CCGCACAGACCGTGCTCACCCGGCTTCTTGCAAGCCAGTCCACCATGACAAACGAGCTCTGCGCGGCGCACGCCCTCCGCGCCGGTAAGCACTGCTGCTGGTAACGCCGCCTCTCTTACTTCTGGATGCAGGGTGCATCGGGGGTTGGGCGCGTGGGGGTTCCGCAGCGGCCGTGGGGTTATCATTGCCGTAGCTGCATTGCCTGCATGCTTAGCGACCAGGCACTTCCTGCGTTCGTGGCCTGCTTAAGCATGCTTGGTTGCTGCCCGCCGCTCTCCACCGGCGTCGGATTGTTGAACCGGCAGGGGGTGTGCTGTCATCTGTCCTCACGTCGAACCGCACGTCGGGCTGCGCGCAGGGGCTAAAAATGCAGCAATATGCATGTCTCCCGCAGGCATCGATTACCTCTGGGCTGATGGGACATTCTGCACCCATGTAACACTCTCTGTGCTTACTACATGGTTGCTCTATCTTTACACCTCTTACAGGCCTGTCCGTGTATGCGGTGATGCACGGTGGCTCCTGCTACGGCGGTGCGGACCTGCAGGCGGCTGCCGCCCTCGTGCCGTTCACCGATTGCGGGGGAATGTGCTCGAGCAGATGGTGTCTCTGGGTGTGCGTGCCGAAAACCAATATCTACTCCCTTGGTAAGTATGGCATGACGGTGGGGGGGGGGCGCAGCACCTTAACGGCACACACGAGAGTGTTGTTAGTGTAGTATCATGGGTCATGTATCATGTGATGCACTGTTCTGGCATCACCGGCCGATAAGGCATGATACAACAGTTAGTTCCATTGATGCAGCTACTGGGTGCACCGCAAGGAGGTTGCGTAGTAAGCCGTAGTTTCGTATTACCCAACCGCCCTCCGTCTTAACTAGTAACCACCCTAATCCCCGACGCCTGCATCCTGTGTTCCGCAGCTGGCTGCACTTCAGGCCTGCCCGGCGCCGGCTACGGTACGTCCGCCTCCACAATCCGGACGCTTGCCGTGTCCTCCCAAGAAGACTGCTGCGCTGCCTGCTCCTCGGACCCCGTCTGTCGCTACTGGGTGTTTCGGCCCGGCAACAGGAGCTGCGAGCTCAAGAGGAACCAGGGCTCCAGCCCCGGATTCTACCGGGACACCGCTTTGGTGGCCGGATCGTCTAGACGTAAGTGGAGCAGCAGCAACCAAAAGCATGACCGGTGGTTAGTACGGCAGTTTTGGCCGTCACCCCTGCCGGGTAGCCCCGCCGCTTGTTCCGTTACGTGTGTTCCGTTCCGTTCCGTCTGCCATTTATGCACGTGCCCCTTCTTGCATGCCGGCCCATGCAGCGCTACATGGGGTGATTCCAACTAGCTCTCGTCCCACGTTAGTGGGGTCAGCGAAAAGGCGCCAGTTCCCTTACTTTTCTTACTGCTGACATCCATCTGCTACCGGGACCGTATTTTTGCTTGGCTTCCTAAACCGCTCCTGCCCTTGCCCGCCCTCGTCCTTCAGCTGTGGCCGTGCTTGGTCCCCGCCAGATGGCTCCTTGGTACTTCAGCGCTTTCCCCGACGCGGAAGCCAAGTGGATCTGGCCACATGGCGGCTCCGCAACGAGCGCGTCCCTCAGCATCATCCCCACCTTCAGCAAGGCCTACATTGCAACCTCCTACATAACCGCGAAACTCTACCTTGCCCTTGACAACACCGGCTATGTTTTCTTGAACGGGGCACAAGTGGGCGACGCCATAACCGGAGGCTGGGCCCCCGCCGTTCCCCCCGTCGTCATGACGCTGCAGCCGGGTCCCAACCTCATCCAAGTGCGCTGCCAGAACCTGGGCAGCAGCCCCAACCCTGCGGGGGTGATCCTGTCGCTGCAGGACGGGAATGGTAACGTGCTGGCGCGGTCAGATGCAAGCTGGATGTGGACTGAGTAGAGCGCGTGTGAGGTGTGTGATGGGCCGCGGGCAGCTAAAAATGTTATGCGGCAATCCAGGTTAGCCAGCTAGCTAGTGTGATGTTGGTCCGAGACAGCCATGAAAATAAGATGTATACGATAAATATGTACATGGGCAGGGGGGGGGTAAGAAATTTTCTTATAAACCCCAACCCGAAATTTCCAAAGAGAAGGCCTCGGAGCCACCCACCCACCGCCAAGCGTGTCGTACAACCTGTAAACTATGCCAAAACGCCGGGGGAAAAAGCGTCTAGGTTCCTCTGCGCAAGCTCTATTAAATGCAGTCGAAAAACCCCAAACCCCCTGGGACGTTAATGTCACAGCGTTGCACTATGGACGGCTAAGGTAACCATGTTCTTGGCCCCAGCTTGACTGATGTTATGTATTTGGCGCCTAGGAAGCACCATGGTCCTCCCATTTGCGCCCTACCGCCGCCAGTTCTGTCACCAACCTACACGACGCCACCACCACGCACGTCCCAGGCCCCTGCTCCTGCCTCTTCTTCCCCCTGTGGCACTGGGCCCTCGACCTTAGCCCCTGGCACCAATTCCCACGCCTTCTTGTTTCTGTGCTCTGCATCCCCACCCCATTCGTGGTCACTGTAAGTGCTTTCTCGCAGCTCAGTCTGTCTACTCCAACCCCGCATCCTCAGTCGTGTTCCACATCCATGGAGACATGCGACATGCTGCGATGCTAGGCCTTTACAACGGGTCGACTAGCCGCGTTCGCAATATATGTTTTCTACATTGGTTGTTTCTTGTACGTTTGGGGATTGGGCAGTTCCGTTTGGCTACCGTAGTTCAGAGGTGAACTGTCATTGGAACATCGGAAGCCGAGAAGTGACCATTTTGTTGATAGAATTAATTCTGCGTATAAGAAACGAAGAAAGGATGGCAATACAGCTTTCAAAACCCTAACATGAGGCCTGGAAAAAATTTTCCGGAGGTTCATGTAAAAAAGTCGTTGGGGCCCTGAACCCACCCACCCACCCCTGCCGTACAACCAACTTTGCAAGCCCAAAACTTTTTCCATACAACTCCAAACAGAATTCTGAAAGCAGATTCGGAATCCCCACGCAAAACTCCTTCGATTTGAGGGTTGGGGTCTATTTTTGCGGTTGTTACCCCCCCCCTGACATGGGACTAAGATCTGGAGTATACAGAGACCGGAATGTTATGTATAATGTGTAAAGTTTTGTGTGTGCGGTGGTGTGCATACTCCGCAACGCCTAGCGAGGGTACTTAAGGTACGTATCCAACATCGATAGTCCACTATATTTCCATAATGACATCGAAGGTCGTAGCATCATGCTGGGATGCAGGCCTCACGTGCTTCTAATTAGGATGCACCGGCAGTCGATGCACATCCCTTGCTTGGGGCTGTGCCGAGCTGAGCCGAGGTGTGGGCTGACCTTGGAAGTAAGCATACGGCCCTGAGTCTTCATGAAGACGGGCGTGCGTGGTGGATTTGTCTAGGCAACTAGACAGCATTACGCATGCAGCCCGTTATGGCATGCTTTCTGGGGCAGGTCCTGACACGTAAAGTTTGAACGGATGTAGTCGCCCGACCCATGGGTCATTGCCAGTAATTTGTAAAATGGGTTGGCTCAGTAGGGTATGCAGGGGAATGAACGCGTGCCTATGTGCATACATGCACCTAGACATGTTCTGTGTCTTTCCACCGACCTCTACTCACCAAACCTCCATGGATGCTAGTGCGGCTTGCCTGTTCTGCACATGGCGTCCCGTGCCCCTTTGCATGGCCCTTTGCACGGCCCTTTGCACAACGGAGCCATGCATGGGAGTAACGCTGTCCCGTGTTCTGCTGGGCAGGACAACTGGACACTGATTCGGTAACGGTCAATCGCTCATTATTTCAATCACTTAACTGGCCCGATTACCAAGTGGCCATTTTATTAACTGGGCGTGTCGCGCATTCCAAGGCAGTCTGCAGAGTTGGGATTGCATTGCTTAACGGAGGCCTGTAGGGGACCTTGACTCAGACTAACTTTGTTCCTCATAGTGTCCTTGGCCCCCTTGGCTCGTACGGATTCATTGTACACGCGCACAGACTGTTAAATGGTAAACTGCAACTGCTTGCACCGCGTGGGTCTGATGTGCCGCCGCTACCCTAGGGAGCATGCGCCCCCCATCCGTCAGCCCAACCGCAGCCGTAGCATGCGCTCAGGGAGTTCGTTCATTCTGGATCGCCCTCGAACGCCAGGGGTAACCGCGCCTGCAGCATCATCACATATGGGGGTGTTGGGGGGCTAGGAACTTAGGGCGGGCGCGTGGGTAAATGGAATAGGAGGGGTGGTATGGAGGAGGGGCGGATGATTGCCCATGCTATCGGGCGTGTACAAGTCAACCCTCAACGCATGCACCCTCCTTGCACAAGTGTAGCTCGGTACAGAGGTGCACACCTCGTACCTGTTGCGCATGTGTCCGGCATATGACCCTGTGTCCCGTGGGTGTCAGTGGTCGTGCAGTACGGCAAGGCTTGAGCGAGCTGGGTGTAGCAACCCACTTACTGGTCGACATTAGTTTGGCACGCTTGAAGGCTCAGGCAGTTCTTTGGCGTCCCTCCTTGTACGCCCTCCTTGTACAACCGTTTCTAACTCTGGTAGGAGGTATGATGTGGCAGTCTCATGCACCCGGATAGCTGGAGCTAGCGGCTGTGCGTCGTAGAATCGTCACAGGGATCGGATGGACGCCTTGTTATTTCCAGCTGTTCCAGGCGATCGGGGGTTTAATTTACGCAGCCTAGGGGCTTCCATGCGAAGCAGGGACAAGGCTGAAGGAGCTGCGGCACGTGTTAGGTGGCTTTGTGTATGCCATGTGATCGGATCCAGGCAACTTGCGCCTGTTGCTGCCAGCTTTAAGATCCATGCCGGCAGATGTCGCACATACAGGTTCTCACATATGCCCTCAGGACTACTGCGTTACAAGGTGGCCCATGCGATTTGGGTGAGGGCAGACGGGGGCACCCGTGACGCCCGTGACCCGATGCTTCCGTACGCGGCGTACCTTCATCCACAAAGACCTCCCGAGGTAACCGGTCTTTGGTTAACTGACTGCTAACTGCTAATACTAACCTAACCAAGAAGCCTAGCCAGCTTGTCGCAGCTGCTAGGGCAGCTGCGGCAGCTGGTAGTTACCTCCGCCGACGGAGAAAATGGCTGCGCCACATGGTGCTTCTTCTAGGTATAAGACTATAATATGTAAAAACTGGAAATCTGGGCTGCCCTGCCCATATGGCGATCGCTGCCAATTTGCTCATGGCGAGCATGAGCTGCGGGAAATTGGTGCCACAGGAGGTGGCCCTGGGAAACAAGTAGGTTTTGCTATTGGTTGATAATCTATGCGGTAGGATGGACGTCCTCTGTCCATCTTAGGTTCATCGACATCCAACAACTGCCATCCATGTATGTTTGCGCCTCACGGAGATCGTTTGCTCTGAACACAGGGAACTGTTAAAACGAAGACCTGCTTCTACTTCACGCTATCTGGCAATTGCAAATATGGCGATCGCTGCCATTTCCTACACCCAATTGCCAACAGCGAAACGGCTTCGCCGAGCACACAAACCAAAGTGGGTGACTGACAAACGGTTTCAATACTGATTTATAAAGTTACAGATGCATGCGAATTGCCTCCGGAGAACCGATAACCCAACGTTCCCTTCTTCCGTCCCTCACAGGTCAACGCCACATCGACCACCGGGTCAACGCCAGCCTCCAAGCCCGCTCCCTCCAGTGCCCCTCTCCCCATCCCTGAACCACCTACCGCTACCCAGCAATCACCCTCCCCTGCCTCCTCCGCCACTGCCATCCAATACGAACAATCTCAACTCGTCCGCTGGGCCCTCGACGCCATTAGACGTGGCGATCACAACTGCTTGCATGCTTTCGTGGAACGACTTCGGGTCATCAGCAGCGGCAGCAACACCCTGCGACGAGGGCACTTATGGAAGCTTGTGGAGGCAGCGGCTGTGGAAGCGCTGAACCCGCAGATGCTCAAGGTGGGTGGGTGGCTGTGGCGGTGTACTAGTCCTAGCTGGTTGGATCGCGATGAGGGAAGGAGGGCGGGAGGGAGGGATGTGACCAACGCGCTGCAGGGTGCCCAAGATGGGTGGGTGGGCGGTCCGGATGGTGGTTAGGAGGGGGCCGCGGTGAGGGAAGGAAGGCGGGAGGGAGTTTGGCGACAAGCGTTGTGGAGAGAAAGCTCACAACGACGTGTGTTGTGGTTTGCACAGGGGTATGCTGCATGGACTTGGCCAAACTGAGAACTGGGGGACAGGGACGTGTTTTCGCGGAAAGAGGTCCCTTACTGTCACTTCGACCCTCACAGCTAACCCCTCCATGCCTTCCTCCTATCTCCCGCCCCCGAACTAACACCTCATAACACCTCATGCCGCCGCCCTACCCCCCTGCCGTACATGCAGAAAGTACTGCGTTTGCTCAACCCCGCCGTACACGGGGACTGGACGCTCCTGGCTTGGGACGACAACATACCCGGCAGTAACAGCAGCAGCGGTAACAGTAACAGCAATGGCAGCAGTCAGGGAGGCACGAGGAAAGAAGGCGCGAAACAGGGAGGAGGAGCAGGTGGAGCAGGTGGAACGGGGAGAGCAACCGGATACGACGTTGTGGTCTACAACGGCTTCCTTCACTCTGTCGTCCTGAGGGCGTTCGAACTGGGTCGCAGCAGCCCCAAGGCAAACGGCGCTGGATCTGACGATGACGATGAGGAGGAGGAGGAGGAGGATTATTGCAGCAGCGGAGGAGAGGAGGAGGGCGGAGCGGCTGAGGAGCGGCATCGGGCTGGGTTGGCGGTGATCCGGATGATCTGCGAGCGGCGGCCGGCAGCGGTGGTGGACTTGTAAGTGCGGGGAGGGAGGGTGCAAGTGCGGGGAGAGGGGGAGGAAGGAGGCGAGGGACATGGGCAGTGCGTACATATGGGGTGTAAGGCGGGATACGGCAGGTGTACGGCAGGTGTGCACGCCCCTTTCCCTCCTCGCCTGCAGTACATGTCTGTCCGCTTTGCCCAGGTAAACACACCTCAACTGGGTCACCCCCCCCGGGTCCCCCGCCTCCTCCCGTCCTACCCACTCCCATTCCCTCTATCTTCCCTTCCCTTCATTCCCTCCTCCCCTCCTCTCCTCCTCCCCTCCCCCCGCAGCCAATCCTGCGACGCCGCCCTCACCCCCGTCGAGGCCCTGCTCGAGGCCGGCGGCACCGCCCTCTCCTCCCGTCACGCGGAGCTGCTGCGGGCCGTGGCGCCGCTCGCCTGGCTGCGGAGCGCCCCCGGCTGGTCGGGGCAGCAGCGGGCGCTGGCGGTGTGCGAGCAGCTGGCGGGCAATGCGGGGGCGGCGGCGGTGCTGGGCATCAGGCAGGAGGGGTGGATGCTGCGGGCGTCGGTGCTTCAAGCCATGTGAGAGGGGGAAGGGGGTCAAAGACCAGGTACCAGACCATAGGAGACCGCAAGTTAGGGCAAAGCAATGGGGGCGTCGGTGCTTCAGGCCATGTGAGGGGGGGGAGCGGGGTAGCATGCGTAGGAGGAGGGAGGTGGGATGGGGGGTCGTATGGGGTGTTGGGGTAGGTGGAGTGGAGGAGGTGGGGGGGAGGGGGCAGTCGAGTCATGGCCGTAGGGTATCGGCGAGGTGCAAGGGGGCATTGCTGGGACTTGTAGGGCGGTTGGGTCGCCTAGCAGATAGCAGCCGCCTCTACACCGCACTGCACGCCCTTCCCCACCCAAATCTACTTTCCAGTCTCCAATTCACGGCATCGACATTATTTTTGCAACATCCAACTCTCCTCCTCTCGTCCCGCTGTTGGCTTTGCCCTTCCCGCCCTCCCCCTGCCCGCCCTCCTCCTGCCCGCTCTCCTCCGTACGACACCGTGCGACACAGCCTGGACGAGCATCACAAGGACCTGGTCAGCATTGCACTTCGGAACACCCCCGAGCGCATGCCGCCTCCCTGCAGCCATCTGCGCATCTGCCTGCCGCCTGTACAGTTTCACGAACAATTCAAGGAAGCCGATAATGGTATATGTAACGATGGAGATTCGGATGCTGAAGACGAGGACGAGGATGATGAGGGTGATGAAGAGGATGAAGAGGAAGACGAGGAAGACGAGGATGAGGATTCAGATGCGCTCTCGTTTCCAAAGACGAGACGCCTTTTGCTCAAGCTTATAACTGCGCTGGACCGCAGGGTGGCTGCCAAGGAGCGCGGCCCCAAGGCAGCTGCTGCCCCTGCTGCTGCTGCCCCTGCTGCCCCTGCTGCCCCTGCTGCTGCCCCTGCTGCAGCGGCCGCTTCCCACCCCCCTGCGGCGGCCTCCGGGGGCCCAGCTCTTGCTCTTCCTGCAGCTGCTGCGGCCGCTGCCCCTGCTGCTCCTTCCACCAGTGCAGCGGCTCCGAAGCCCGTTGGACTCGGCATCTTCAAAGGTATCTTTGGTGGCGGCACTGCACATACGGGCCCTTCAGCGCCGCAGCCTTCCTCCACCGCCGCCGCCTCTCCCGTCCTTCCCGTCGCAGCTACCCCCATGCCGCCTCCCTCCGCCGCACTCCGCTCCACCCTGCAACGCCTGCGAGCCGCCATCATGGCTCCAACCGCAGACTCCGTTGCTCGTCTCAACGATCCCAACGGTTCCCAAGGGCCCAACGGCTCCCAAGGTGCCAGCAGTACGGCAAGTACGACAGACATTCCCGCGCTCACCCGTGCTGTGGACGCGTTGAAGGCCCCAGCCATGCGAGCTGCCATGACCCCCCGAGGGGCCGCGGCGGACCGAGTGCTTGCGGAATGGAAAGCCTGCCGCGGTGCTGGCGGTGGCGGCGGCGGAGGAGGAAAGGGCGGTGGCGGAGGTGGAAATGGTGGCGGTGGCGGTGGTCATGCAGGTGATGCGTGTGATGAGGCGGAGGTGTTGGTGCGGGTGTTGCAGCATGTGGCAGCGGAGTACCGGAGTGCGGAGGCGGCGGCGGCTGCGGAGGTGCTGGCGGCGCTGCGGGAATGCGCCTGGCGGGCGGCGGCGGAGGTGTGGGATGTGGAGGCGCTGGGGCAGCTGGCGAGGGTGGAAATGTGAGTGGCTGGGGGGGGGAGGGGGGAAGGGGGGGGGTGCAGGGCAGGGCTGTAGCTTTGTCCTGTGTGTTTTTCGGTACTTACGGCTGTTACACACGCGCGCCCCTTTAACAATGACCCATGGGTCTCTCCCCTCCCGCTGCAGGCCCTTGGGACTCAAGTGGAGCTGGGAGACGTTGAAGGGCCCTGCCGTGACCCAGCAACGACAACAGCAGCAGCAGCCACACCAGGGTGGAAAGGTAGCGACGGTGCCATTGCTGCAACGGCTGTTGGAAAGCGGAGAGTCACGTGCCTGGGTGGTGGCGAAGGCGGCTCTTGGACGCAACCAAAGCATTATTCGAGCGCCGACGAAGTAAGTGGGAACGCCGTCTGTGTACATCATGTCGCACAGGCTCATGGGAAGTATGGGCGCCATCAACGGTCATGCGTGCCACGTCATTTGCAAGATACGGTACCCGAGATGCGTGCCTAGGAAAACCCCATCTCCATGTCTTCCAGACTTACCGGTAGTACCGCAGCTTCCAGCGCCGCCCGATGCAGCCCATGTTGCCGCCCCAACTCTGTTTCCTGCCGCCACTGCACATACCTTGCTTCAACAGCTTCAAATCTAACCTCTGAATTTCCCTCTTTTCTACCGCCCTCCTTCCCGTCATTCCCAGGAACCCAATCTTGACAGCGCTTGAACGCGGCGCCCCCGCGCCCCTGGTGCTGCAGCTCGCCTCCTCCGCCGCCAAGCTGCGGAAGGAGTGGCTGCAGCCGCAGGACTGGCTGCGGGAGGCCAGCACGACAGACAGCGAGATCGGAGGCGGGGGCGACAGGGAGGCCAGTACGACGGGCAGCGGTGCGGAGGGCGACAGGGGTGGCGGGATGCGGTCCCTGACGGCGGTGGGGATGGCGATGCGGATGGAGAGGATGGACGTGCTGCCAGAGGTGGGTTAGGCTTAGGGTTATGGGTGGGGTGAGTTGGTTGGAGGGGTGAAAGGGTTTAGCGAGCCGCTGAGTTCGCATCTAGGGTGGCAGGGATACGGTGGCTGGGTGCCGGTAGCTGGGTGCCGGTGGCAAGGAGGTAGCCTACATGGGAGCAGTACGGGATGCTGGGTTGTGGGCAATGGGTGTAACATGATGGATGTTTCGTGACGGGACCATGATGACGAGTGTTAGTTACAACCCTATATGTGACAGCTCCTTTTGCTTACTCGTTAGCTGGGTCTTGGAGGGAATCAGCCGATACAGACCCATGGGTCATGCTTGGCTAACACCGCCTCGCCTACCCAACGGCTCCTAACCGCCAGCCTTCTGTAGCTGTGTGCGTGCCCTCTCTCATGGCCATGACTGACATTTCTCCCTCTTTCCCTCGCTCCCTCCTCGCATCTCCCAGCTGCTGCTGCACTGTGACCCACGGGTCGCTGCCGTGGACACCCTGCCCCCCCTGCACCATGCGGCCATGGAGGGGGACGCCACGGCTGCGGCGGTTCTGCTGAACCCTGCCGCCCCCTGGCTGTCGGTGTACGACATGAGCGGTCCCGAAGACCTGGTGTCGCAGGTGGTTAGAGGCGTGACGCCGCTGTACAGGTGGGGAGGGGCGGTGGGTGAAATACGGGAGGGCTGCACCCCAACTGGCGAAGTCAGCTCCCGCTCTCAGCATTCCCAGCTGTGTTTTCGCAGTCCTCGCTTCCGCTTACGCTCGTTCCCCATGCAGCATCTCTCATTCGCCCCTCCCTGCTGCCTCCCTCCTCCCCCTTCCCTCCCTCCTCCCTCCTTCTCCTTCTCCTCCCTCCCTCCTCCGCCCCTTCCTCCCCCCCACCAGAGCCACGGAGCACGGATCGCTGGAGGTAGCTGCGCTGCTGATGGCTGCCGGCGCGCAGCCCCTGGGGCCCGTCAGCAGCAACTCCTTCCGAGACACCGCCGTACACTTGGCTGTAGCAAACGACGACACGGACATGCTGCACGTGCTGCTACAGCAGCCTGAGGCGCCTCCCATGCCGGTACAGCGGCGGGATGTGGAGCAGCAACAGCGGCAGCAGCGGCAGCAGCAGCAGCAGCAGCTGGCCCAGGCTCTGAATCGGGTGGTGGATGGGGAGCGGTTGACGGCGCTGATGCTTGCCGTACAGAGGCGGCACGTGGCGTGTGTGAGGGTGTTGTTGGAGGCGGGGGCGGACCCAACGGTGCTTCGAGATGCAGGAGGAGCGGGAGGAGGAGGAGGAGGAGGAGGGAAGGGGGGGAAGAAGGCAGGCAAAGGTGAGGGCATACCGAACAAAAACGCAGCATGCAAGGGCTACTACGACTGAGCTACTACCACTTGTCGAGTTTACTGGACCCGTCCTCTGCCCTCGGATTTGCGCCCGAAACCCCCCCGACCGCTTTCCCCGTGTTCAGGCGGAGCGCTGATGCGACAGAACGCGAGGCTGCGGGCCGCTGCAGCCGCCACCTCCTCCACAGCCTCAGCCACGACCGCAGCAGCGGTAGCAGACTTGTCTAGCAGCAGCAGCAGCAGCGGTGGCCATGTCGAGTCGGCGCTGTCTCGGGCGGTGTTGGAGTCGCATGAGGAGGGCATGCAGGTGTGCGGGTAGGGGGTAGGGGGAGAAGGGCACTGCGACAAGGGGCTTGCCCAAGACGACGGATATTCAGCTGATGTAGGCATTGGGTTGGTGGTAAAACGTTTCCACGTACCTCATACCTCATGCATCGCCTTGACTACCATCTCATTCCCGAGCGCCGCACGTTCCATCCGCACGGCCCCCGGCTCGCGTGTCGCCGCCTACCAAATCTGGCATCCCTGACTTTCACTAGGGCTGTTTAAGCGTTTAAAGCATACCTTTCTTCTTTTCCCTCCTTGTCTCCCGCATCCACCTGTTCCGACCTGCCCACCCCCCCTCCCACACACCACCCTGCAGGAGGTGCTGCATGCGCTGCTGGGATGCTGGCGGGCGCCCTGGAGCGGTTCCGCGCTGCGAGCCGACCTGGGCGCCCCCGCCTGCACCCGCCTGCGCAGCTGGCTGGTGTCTCATGCGGGGGTGACACTGTGGCCGGCGGTGAAGGTGGGGGGTGGGGGTGGGGGGTGGGGTGGGATGGACGCACGGGGAGTGGGGAGAAGGCGTTAGATGGACGTAGCGCACACGCCTCATGCAGCCTGACTACCGTCCTTCTGCGCCGCCGGGTACCTTGCCTGCCAGTGAGTCCTCCGTCCCCTCCTCATTGCCCTGCCTCCCCTGCCTCCCCTGCCTCCCCTGCCTCCCTCCCCCGCCTCCCCTGATGCCCGCAGGAGCTGACCCAGATCGCATACAGCTCCGGAACCTGCAGCGCGGGCCCCCCCTGGCTGTCCGCCCCCCTCGTCGACCTGCTGATCCAGCTCTGCAGGGACGTGGGGGGAGCGCAATGGAGGGCTGCTGCTGCCACCACCACTGCTGCTGCTGCCACCACCACTGCTGCTGCTGCCACCACCACTGCTGCTGCTGCCACCACCACTGCTGCTGCTGCCACGCCTACTGCCGCCAAGGCTTCTGCTGCTGCGCGTGTCGGCCCCACAACTGCCTCCTCCTCCGCGACCTGTTCCGACACGCCGGGGCACATGAGTGCGGACGAGGGCGCTGCTGCTGCTGCCACAGCTGCTTCCCCATGGCGGGGCCCGCCTGGCACCTACCCGCTGCCACGTCTTGCGGTTTGGGCGCTGGTCTCGAATGCGGTTGTGACGAGCACCGCGGCGGCCAGCACCGCCACGGCAGCAGCAGCAGCTGCTGCTGTTAGCGGCACAAGGGCATCCTCCTCAGGTGCGAGCGAGCATGGCTGCAGGGTGCGGTTGATTGGATGCGGCTACCACCATCACCCGGGCTGTATGCGTCATTCTTTCTTTCTTGGTTCACACTTTCAGTGCGCATATCCACACTGCCACCCCCGCTGCCCTCGCAGGATCCGCCCCCCCGCCCTCCTTCCTGACGCCCGCCATGCTGCAGGAGCTGCTGGCTCGAGGGGTGGTGGACCCCAATGAGCGGGCACCTGCAGCAGCTGCAGCAGCGGGGGCGGGGACACCTGGTGCGGGGTCGGGGGGTGGGCAGCAGCTGATGGAGGGGAGCTGCCTGCTGCACAAGGTGGGGGAGGCCTGGGGTGTGGGGTTGGGGGTCGCTGGGGGTAGGGGCTGCGGTGGCGGGTGAAGTAGGCACCGGGATTTTGGAATGGGATGGGTTTTGCGAGCTGGAGATGTGCTCATACCTGTCGATGAGCGCGTGTGATCAGCCCATCCGCTCCCATCAGCTCACTCCTCTCAATCCTGCTGCCTGGCTGCCTCCTTCCCCCCACGCTGTCGTCTGGTTTGCACTCTCTTTCAACGCATTGGGTATTCTTCCCCCCACCCCCTCCCCCTCCCGCCCCTAGGTATGCTTCACGGGCGACACCGCCCTGCTGTCCCTGCTGCTGGCCGCTGGGGCCGATATCCGCCTGACCGACACCGCCTCCTCCTCCGGTGGGGGCAACACGCCCCTGCATGTGGCCGCCAGCCGCCCACACCGAGAGGAGGTTGCGGATGCGCTGATACGGACCCTGCTAGGCCGGGGGGCCTCGACAGCAGCAGCAGCGACAGCAGCAGGGGGTTCCGGAGGGGCGAAGGCGGGAGCAGCAGCACTAGCAGCAGGAGCAGGAGTGGAGAAGGGGCGGGAGATGGAGGCGGGTATGGCTGAGTTGGCTGCGGTGGTGGAGGCGGAGGGGGCGAGGCTGGAGGCGTTACGGGCCCGCAACAAGGCGGGGCAGCGGCCGGAGGATGTGGCGGGTAACAAGAGGGTGCGGCGGCTGCTGCAGCAGCTGCTGGAGGAGGTTAGCGGGTGAGTTGGGGGGAGGGAAGGAAGGAAGGGAGGGGGGTGCGGAGGGGGGTCAAAGACCATACCAAACCATAGGAGACCACAAGTTAGGGCAAAACAATGGGGGTAGGAGTTGGGGGGGGGGGGTAGCGGCTGCGGCCTACTGGTTGGCACATGGTTGCATTTGCAGGCGTCATGGCGGGAGGGAGTGCGGTTGCGTTCTACCCTTCAGTGGGCGTCCCCCTGGCAGTCGTGCCCGAGTGGTTAAGGGGACTGACTAGAAAGCTTGGAGGATGGTGCACAGCACCAAGCATTTTTGGTTTTGGCGGCCCTGTTGTGTAGTATGCTGCAGTAGGTACAAGCACATGCTGCCAGTTGCTAACGCAGCCGTCCATCATTGGGGGGCATGGCAGTGATGCAAATGGGCACACGACAGCAGGATGTTGGAGCAGGCATGTGACCCGAGCTGCTGTGCAGATATAGGAACATGGGGTCGTGAAAATGCGGCTGTGGCGGGTGCTGGTCTAGTGTCCTGCGCTCTTAATCCGTACAACGCTACCCGTGACCCCTCCCCAGGTCGTACAATCGCGCCCGTAAGGCCCTCTTAGAGAAGCAGCAATGGCAGCAGCAGCAAGTAAAGCAGCCGCAGCAGCAGCAACAGCAGCCTGGCGGCAAGGCCGACCCACGGGTCAATCGCAGGTCACAAAGCGGCGAAGCCGTCAGTGCCACCACCACTGTCGATGTCGCCTCCGCCGAGGGCGCTACAAGCACCTCCAGTATTAACAAGACGGGTCGCAGCACTAAGAAGGACGCCGGTAGTGGTAGTGCTGCTGCTGGCGGCAGCGGCATTGCCGTACGGGCTCTCCGTACGGTCGCAGATCTGGCTGACGATGAGGCGGTTCGGAGCGCCGCGCTGTCGCAGCTGGTGGGCGTTCCGGAGTCGCTGGTGCTGCCGCTCGCCGCCAAGCTAGCAAAGGTGGGGGGTTGGGTTGGAGAAGGATGGGAGGAATGTGTGGGAGGACGGTCGAGAAAGGGCAATGCGGCTTTGCCCAGTGTTCGATGTAACGGACCCGGCAGGGCGAAGAAGCACGGTGGTGCAAACGTCAGCGTGGTAATTATATTCCAATGTTAGGCCTTCCCACATGCGCCGGGCGGCTTTACTGAGACCCTCCTTACCCCCACCTTTCCTCCCGCTTAACTCTCTCCTTCCCCAGCTGCTCCCCGCCAACTGCCTCCGAGTCACGGCCCGAGCCGCAGCCACCGCCGCCGCTGCTGACGGCGCCGCCGCCGCCGGGGACGCCGACACTGACGCCGCCAACGCCGCCACAGATCGGGAGCTTCGTCGTATCGTACGGGAAATGCGTGTCGGCGCGACTGACGGCGGCGGCGAGGGTGAGGGAGAGGGTGGGCAGCCTGGCGAGGAGGAGGGTGACCCACGGGTCTGCGGGGATGACGCGGAGGTGTACAGCGACGACGACGCGCCGCCTCCAGGGGAGGAGTTGCTGCGGGAGGAGGAGGAGGCGCAGCTGGTCAGGTTGCCATCAGGAGGGGCGGGAGGGGGCGGGGGAGCTGCGGCGGTAGGTGCGGTGTCAAGAGGAGGGGGTTTGAAGGGTGCCGTGGCGTCAGCTGCGATGGCGGCAGGAGTGGCGTTTGGCGGCGGTGGCGTGAGTGCTGCTGCAGCGGGGCGGGATCCGCAGCAGCAGCAGGGGCACCCGTTGAAGGGGCTTACCTGGCGCTTCGTCATCACACGTCAGGCGTACGAGGCGTGGGGTCGGCTGCCGGATGTGTGGAGGTGAGTGGCTGGGTGGGTGGGGGGGGGGAGGCGGGTCAGGGAAGGCTGTGGCAAATTTGCAAACACTAGAGGACAAGCTGCGCAGGCTGTGGCACTCTGCTGCACTTCTCCTTAGCGGCTCCTTTGAAGCGCCCATGCTCGCACACCGTGTGCCCATCCTTAACCCTCCCTCCATCACTGCCACTTTCCCCTCCTATCCCCATTGTTTTGCCCCAACATGTGGTTTCCTGGTGTTTGACCCCCCCTCTTCACCCCTCCACCCCCGCACCTCCCCCCCCAGACGTGTGGTTCTGGAGCGGCTGCGGGTGATCGGCAGCGGCTACTGGGCTCGCTGCAGGGGGGCCAAGAAGCTGAGTGCGGAGGACCCGATGCTGGGGCAGCAGGTGGGGGGAGGAGAGGGGGGGCAGCAGGTGGGGGAGGAGAGGGGGGGCAGCAGGTGGGGGAGGAGAGGGGGGGCCGGAGTGGGGGGGGGGAAGAAGAGGGAGGGGGAGCTCAGGAACCCCTGCTGGGGCACGGCAGGCCAGGCAGGGAAGCGAAGGCAAGGCAGAGGGAAGGGATTGAGGGGCGACTCCACTGCAGGGCTATGCCAGCGGATGGCCAGTCCCGCCAGTAATACTCCTTTCGCCGGCAACACGTTGTTTTAATTTGTTACTGCTCCCCGCGACGTCCCTCTCCCTCCTTCCCACCCCCCCCCCCCCCCCCACTCCGCGAGGTGTTTAGGAGTTGTGGCGGTTGAAGATCAGCCGGGGTGGGCGCATCCTGTTCGAGGTGGCGGTGGAGTACGACGAGGAGAGCCGCACCTGGGCGGAGATGATTCGGCTGTGGGTGAGAGGGGGTGGGGCGCTCTTGTGGCGGCTCGCGGGGAAGAAATGCGAACTTGATTGTCGCAAACGTCAAACGGGGATGGACAGGAGAAATGCTGAAGAGGTGGCGAGGAGAAATTGGGAGGGAAGGTCATGGTGAGACTGAAGGGCCACCTCTTAAGAGAACTGCCCCTCCTCCACCCCCCTCACACCCCGACCTCCTCTCCCCCAGTTCATCACCCTCAACCACAAGGCCTACGAGGACATGATCGGCCTGGTGCGCTCCTCCTTCCGCCGAACCCTAGCTATGCGGGAGCGACTCAAACTGCAGCCCCTGCCACACCACGAGGCACCTGTCTCCTCCTTCTCCACCTCCTCCGCCACCTCCTCCTCCCTTTCATCTTCATCCGCGGGTCGTGCGGCTCAGCGCCTGCCACGACACTACCGAGAGGCGGCCAGCAGCAACACCTCCTCCCCTGCCGCCTCCTCCTCTTCAGATGCGGATAAGGACAGCAGCACCAGCAAGAGCAAGGCATCCGTGTCCGACGCTTCGTCTTCCTCCGCCATCACCTCCCTCCGCGAGCACTTCCCCCCCGCCAGCTGGGCCGCGGACACCTACACGCTCATGAAGTTTTACACCCTGGACGCCACCTTGGTGGGGGCGGTGCTGCAGGGGCTGGAGGCGGCGAAGGTGGGGGGTGGGTGGGTGGGGGTGGGGGAGGCGGGGTGGGGGGGGGGCATCGTGGGAAGTTCACTTTACGCGCGCAAGGGGCAGGTTCGGCAAGGGTCGGCCCTGGACCAGGAAAGGTGTTGTGATGTGCCGTAGGGTGTAACCCGCTCCTCCACCCCGCTCCCTCCCCCTCTCCCCTCCCTCCCCCTCCCCTTCCTACCCCGCCCCCCCCCTTAGGTGGACTTCCCCTTCAAGCTCTCCCCCCAGGAGTACGACCTCATCACCCTCACCCCCCACCCGCCATCCTCCATCATCCTGCTGGGCCGCTCCGGAACCGGCAAAACCACGTGCGCCGTGTACCGGCTCTGGGGCCACTGGCTGCGACACCACACGCAACCGGGGCTCGATCCCGTGAACGCCGTATTCGTAACCGCATCCGCTACGCTACGGGAGCGTGTGGCCATCGCGTTCCGGCGGCTGCAGAGTGCCGTACTCTCCCCCGCGGAGTACGCACGGGTTTGTACGGCAGCCAATGCGACGTACCACAGCTTCCGGGATGTGCCGTACGAGGCGTTTCCGCTGTTTCTGAGTAGCAGGACGTACCTGAGGATGCTGGATGGAACGCTGGCGCGGCCTTTCTTCCCTCGGGCAGCTAACGGAGCTATCCAGCAGGTAAGGGGGGGATGGGGGGGAATATGTTATATCGGTATGTATAAAGGAGGAAACACGCCTACCTTCTTCCTTATTTCCATGTTGATCCGTGTTGTTCAACTTGGATCACGTTCGTGTACCTCGCTTACTTGTGCGGGAGGGTTCTTTTTATAACACCACCGGCACATACCCTCGCCCATGTTTCTAACGCAGCCGCTCCCGTGCCAGCACTCATACAACCCCTTCCCCCCCTCACCCATAATACTACACTTTCGTGATCTCCACTTCTACAACAGCCCCCTTAGGGTATCCCTCTTACACATTACCCGCGCCTCCCGTCGCCACCCCCGCCCTCAGCCTAATGCGGAACATGGGTATTCCCATTAACCCCCCAACCCCCCAACCCCCCCCACCCCAGCTGCCCGACGACGGAGAGGAGTTGGACCCCGACGGAGCCGCCCTGGTGGTGGCGCTAGATGAGGACGCGAGCGAGGAGGAAGAGGAGGAGGAGGAAGAGGCGGCAGCAGCAGCGGCGGAGGCGGCGGCAGCGGAGGCGGGAGGGGTGGCGCTACAGGAGGAGGTTGAGGCGGCGGCGGCAGCTGCCGCCGCCGCTGCGGGGCGAGCTGCGGCGTTGCAGGAGCTGGACGCCGCCTTTGGCGGCGGCGGCGGCGCTGACGGAGGCGGGCTGTACGGCAACGCTGGCGGCGGTGGCGGCGGCGACGGTGATGGTTATGGTCTTGGCGTGGCGGGTCGTGCTAGGTTGAGTCGGGAGGTGACGTACCAGTACTTCGTGAGCGCCATGTGGAGGAGAATCACCAGTGAGTGGTGGGCGGGGGTGGAGGGGGCAAAAAATTAAATATGTGAAACAACCTGGCACCTGGCAAGATAGACCTGGGGGGATAGGGGGGACAAGGGGGAATCGAGAAAGGACAGGGGGTTCTTGTGGGGGTGATGTACGGCATGTGTAGCGGATGTACGGCATGTGTAGCGGATGTACGGCATGTGTAGCGGATGTACGGCATGTGTAGCGGATGTACGGCATGTGTAGCGGATGTACGGCATGTGTAGCGGATGTACGGCATGTGTAGCGGAGGACACTGCTCGTAATCTGCGACACCGTAGATGCTCCCCCCCTCTCGTCTCCTTCACACTGATTCCCCCCCCGCCCCCCCCCCCTCCTTTCCCCTCCCCCCCCCCCCCTCAGCCCCCGAGCAGCGCGACTCCGTGTCCCCCGGCCTGGTGTATCAGGAGATCATGAGCTACCTAAAGGGAAGTGCGGAGGCCATTGCCAGGTGGGGGGGGAGGGGGGAGGGAGGGCGGAGGCGATTGCCAGGTGGGGGGGAGGGGGGAGGGAGGGCGGAGGCGATTGCCAGGTGGGGGGGAGGGGGGAGGGAGGACGGAGGCGATTGCCAGGTGGGGGGGAGGGGGGAGGGAGGGCGGAGGCGATTGCCAGGTGGGGGGGAGGGGGGAGGGAGGACGGAGGCGATTGCCAGGTGGGGGGGGAGGGGGGAGGGAGGGCGGAGGCGATTGCCAGGTGGGCGGGAGGGGGGAGGGAGGGCGGAGGCCATTGCCAGGTGGGGGGGGGAGGGGGGAGGGAGGGCGGAGGCGATTGCCAGGTGGGCGGGAGGGGGGAGGGAGGGCGGAGGCGATTGCCATGTGGGCGGGAGGGGGGAGGGAGGGCTGGTGTTTGCGAGGTGGGGTGGGGAGTGGGGAGGACGGAGGCGATTGCCAGGTGGGGGGGAGGGGGGAGGGAGGGCGGAGGCGATTGCCAGGTGGGCGGGAGGGGGGAGGGAGGGCGGAGGCGATTGCCAGGTGGGCGGGAGGGGGGAGGGAGGGCGGAGGCGATTGCCAGGTGGGGGGGAGGGGGGAGGGAGGGCGGAGGCGATTGCCAGGTGGGCGGGAGGGGGGAGGGAGGGCGGAGGCCATTGCCAGGTGGGGGGGGAGGGGGGAGGGAGGGCTGGTGTTTGCGAGGTGGGGTGGGGAGTGGGGAGGACGGAGGCGATTGCCAGGTGGGCGGGAGGGGGGAGGGAGGGCGGAGGCGATTGCCATGTGGGCGGGAGGGGGGAGGGAGGGCGGAGGCGATTGCCAGGTGGGGGGGAGGGGGGAGGGAGGGCGGAGGCGATTGCCAGGTGGGCGGGAGGGGGGAGGGAGGGCGGAGGCGATTGCCAGGTGGGCGGGAGGGGGGAGGGAGGGCTGGGTGGATGACTTGGATGATCCTGGCTAGCTTGAGGTTCCGCAGAAGGTTACTTGTGCGGAAACAGAAAGGGGCAGGAATGCCGGAGAGGGCGGCCTTTCCTTGTCACCACCCACCTCTTCTCCTCCATCCGCTCCTCCCCCGCTCCTCCCCCTCTCCTCCGCCAACAGTCCCACGGGTCACCTCAGTCTGCGCGCCTACCTGGCACTGGGTCGCAAGCGCGCCGCCAACTTCGGAGAGGAGCTGCGGGAGAGGCTGGTGTGGCCCATCTTTGAAAAGTAAGCGGGAGGGGTGGTGGGCGGGTACATGGGCCCTACACGGGCGTGTACATGGGGTGACATGTGCGTGTATTAAGGAAACTGGCAGCGAGGCGGAACGTACTGTGCGGCGTGTGTGTGTGTGCGTGCGGGCCAATCAAAACGTTGCATGTGACCGGCTGTCCTCCCGTTTCGTCTTCGTAGCGTAGCCCTGATGTGCCTCATGCACTCTATCTTTTGTGTGCATCAACCCTCCCTCTCCACACGGTCAGTTAGTTGTTTGTTTGTTCTAAAAATTTGCCTCCCTCCCCTTGCCCCATCCAAACTCCCACACACTCCCACACACATCCCAGTACGTTCCTACTCGCGGCCAGTTTTCTTAACACACTCCCACACACTCCCACACACTCCCACACACTCCCAACCAACCAACCCCGGGCAGGTACGAGCGGTTGAAGCGCCAGGAGTGGCGGTACGACCTGCTAGACCTAGTGGGCCACGTGTATCGGGAGGTGGCGGTTGGCGGTTACAACGGCACGCCCATTCACGCGCTGTACCGCGACGAGGTGCAGGACTTCACGCAGGGGGAGTTACTGCTGGATCTGGCGGTTGCCTCCGACCCCAACAGCCTCTTTTACTGCGGAGACACGGCGCAGACCATTGCACGCGGCATTGGGTTTCGGTTCGCGGATATCTGCACGTTGTTTTGGGAGGAGAACCAGCGCCGGCAGCAGCAACAAGTGGTGAGTGGGGTGGCGGGGTTGCCGGTGGGGGTGGGGGGTAAAGGGGGCCAGCATGCCGACCCATGGGTCGTATGTAAAACAACTGTGCGTGTGTGTGCTTTACATCACATTACTATGTCAGAAGCCATAGTGCGACATGCATGTCTTTGTTACGCGTTTGGAATCCGGTCACCTGTCCGGTGCACACATCATCCTTCGGCAATCACAGTACGTTTCGCCTCGCGGCCACAGTTATTACATAACACATCCTGGTGACAAGACGCTCTTTCCTTCCTTCCTTTTTTCCTTCCTCGCTGTGCGCACCTCCCGTGCCCCTCACCTGCGCGGTCCCCCCCTGCAGGCGCGGCAGCAGCAGGCGGGCGGCGGCCCCCTCCTCCGCAGCGGTCGCGGCATCGCTGTGGCCACTCCGCCCATCCACCAGCTCACCATGAACTACAGGTATGCAGGCACACACGGCACAGGAGGCGGCTGCTGGAGGGCCCGGCAACCAGGCTCACCTGCCAAGACGTGTCTCTCCCTCTATGCACCCTCCCCCCCTTTCAGTACACCTGATACCCCGCCCGCCCCCCCCCACCCAGGTAGTCCTTACCCTCCGCCCCTCCACTAACCCTCCCTAACACCCGCCCCTCCTCTCCTTCCCTAACACCCGCTTGCACACCTTCGCGGCACCAGTTACCTCCACATGGCCTCCTCCTCCTCCTCCCTCCCTTTCCCCCCCTCCCTCCCCCCCAGGACCCACCAGGGCGTGCATGCACACCCGGCGACCAGATCTTTCAACACACCCTCCTCCTCCCGCCACCTTCCCCCCCCCCCTTCCTGCCACCTTCCCCCCCTCCCTTCCTGCCACCTTCCCCCCCTCCCTTCCTGCCACCTCCCCCCCCCCCCCTTCCTGCCACCTCCCCCCCCCCCTCCCCCCAACCCCCCCCCCCCCTTCCTGCCACCTCCCCCCCCCCCTCCCCCCAACCCCCCCCCCCCTTCCTGCCACCTCCCCCCCCCCCTCCCCCCCCTCCCCCTCCCCCCCAACCCCCCCCCCCCTCAGGACCCACCAGGGTGTGTTGGACGTGGCTGCTCTGGTGGTGGACGCGCTGCGCCGCTACTTCCCGCGCCAGCTGGACCGGCTGGAGCGGGAGCGCGCGCTGTTCCCCGGCCCCCACCCGCTGCTGCTGGGGGGCATCAGCGCGGACGACCTGGCCATACTGCTGAGCGGCGCGGACAGGAACACGTCGCAGGTGGGGTAGTCCTCGCAGATACTAGGTACCGGTGGGGGCCACTAACCCTCTTTTCCTTCGGCACAAAAACTGCTTCCCTCTATATCCCCATCGCTTTACCCTAACCTGTGGTTTTGGTATATCTCTGCCCATTCCCCTCCTCCCCCTTCCCCCTCCCTTCCCTCCCCAACCCCCCCCAGGTTGAGTTCGGCGCCCACCAAGTGATCCTGGTTCGCTCCATGGCCTCCGTGGCCGCCCTGCCGCGAGACATCCAGGACAGCAACGCCATCATCATGACGGTGCCGCAGGCCAAGGGGCTGGAGTTTGACGATGTGAGGACGGGGGGACAAAGACCATACCGAACCATAAGAAACCACAGGTTGGGGCAAGACAATGGGGATAGGAGGCGGGGGGGGGGGGTGCCACAAAAACAAGGGTTGGTGGGGGTTCCAATAGGCCTTTGAAGCTGTTTGTTGAGGGGAAGAGGAGGCAGCATTGTTGTGGTTGTTGTTGTTGCTGTGAGGTGCTGCTGTGTGGGGCGAGGGCAGTGATGGGGCGCATGGCCACGCGTTCGCCCTCGCCGCTCTTGAACTCCTGACTCTCCCTCCCCTTCCCTCTCTCCCCCCCTCCCTCTCCCTCCCTCCCTCAGGTGTTCATCGTGGATTTCTTCGCGGACAGCGAGGCGGGTCCCGAGTGGCGCGTGCTGTCCTCCTATCTAGCTGAACTGGCGGCGGGGGGCGGGGTGGCACCCGGGGAGCAGCAGGGGGAGAGGCACGTGTACGACATGCAACAGGTGGGGGGTCAAAGACCATACCAAACCATAGGAGACCACAAGTTAGGGCAAAACAATGGGGGTAGGAGTTGGCAGGGTGCCACAAGACAATGGGTTGGTTAGCTTTCCCTACCGATACCGGGTCCGCGTTGCGGATGAACAGGTGGGGGGGGGGCGGGGTTGGGGGTGTGGCTGGGGTGGTCGGGGGTGGGGGGCAGGCAAACAGGCAGGCGGGCAGGCAGGGTTGCCGTCTTACCGAGGTAGCGATGTTCCCCTAAGTCCGCTGTGTCATGTCTACCCCCCCCCCTTGTCCCCGTCCTTACGTCCTGCCCTGCCCTGGCCCCCCCTCCCCCTCTCCCCCCGGGCAGGTCGCCCCCCCCGACCCGGGCGCCGTCCGCCCGCTTCCCTTCGACGAGCGCTCCCACGTGCTGCTCGCGGAGGAGTTGAAGCACCTGTACACCGCCCTCACGCGAGCCAAGAACAACGTGGTGATATTCGACCGCAACCCCGCCAAGCGGGCGCCCTTCTACCACTTGTTGCAGAGCTGCGGCATCGCACGCACCGTGCACAGGTGCGGGGGGGGAGGGTGGGGGGGAGGGTGATGGGGGCGATGGGATGAGGGGCGGGAGATGGCTGCTAATAGGATCTGTTTGGGGGTTTGCTATGGACCTTCCTAACGGGGCCGCGGAGTGTGAGGTTGGGGTTGTGTGGTGATGAGCTTGGGCTGTGGGACTCCCCATGGTTTGACACGGCGGTGCGGTACTGAGGGTGGTGGTAGGCTTGCAGGAAGCGCGGAGAGCTGCATACCCCACCTCCCACCCCACCTCGCCCGCCCCTGCTGTTGGAATCTTGGAAAGCTGATGGACAAGAACTCCACCACATCGCGCCCCCCCCGTTTCCCTCCCACCCCCTTCCAAGATAGTGGATAGTGGCTCCGGATGCGCTCACTGCATGAGTCGGGATATGGGATTGGGACTCGTTGTTTCACTTCTATAAACTATAATGTTTCCCCCACTCCCCTTCGCAGGTCTCTGCTGGAGGACGGTCGCGACGCGGTGCGGTTCGGCCTGACGCAGCAGGCCACCAGCAGTCGCGCGGAGTGGGCCAAGCGCGCGAGGAACCTGATGGACAACCGCAACTACGGCATGGCGAGGAAGGCGTTCCTGCAGGCAGCGGACCCGGTGGGGGGGGGCGGGGGGATGGAGGGGTGGATGAGGGGGAGGTAAAGAGGAAACGAGAGGGGAGGGGTGGATGGAGGGGGAGGGTGGAATAGAGGGAACGGTGTTGAAGGAGGAGGGTGAACCCGGGACAGGCCATGGACGTGTTAACCCATATGTAGCATTCATCCCACGGCCGTTTACCCGCCGCCCCGGCCCCCATGCAACCACTCCTGCGTTGCCGCACACCCCCCCCCACACACACACAAACACAAGGTTCGCGCCGAGGTGGCGGATGCCTACCTGAAGCGCCACCGGGCCGCAGAGGAGGACGTGTCAGGGCCCGGAGGCAGCAACACCGGCGGAGGCGGCGGCGGCGGCGCAGCAGCAGCAGCCGCAGCGGCCGCGGGTGCAGCGGAGCAGCGGCGGTTGCTGGCGGCCGCGGCGCTGCAGCTGCTGGCTGCTGCCTCACGCGCGGGTGAGGCTCCGGACCCCGTGGAGCCGGGGGAGCTGCGGAGGTGGCTGGGGCTGGCGGGCAGGTGCCTCAAGGTATGTGGTGTACGGCAGACAAGCAGGAGAGGTGGTGCCGTACGTGCTAGCTGTGCCGTACTTGCTTTGTGCTGTGTGGAAGGGCGCTGAAAGGGGGGTAGGGGACTGGGGCTGGCGGGCAGGTGCCTCAAGGTGGGTGCGTATGTGTGTGTTAAGAAGACGGAGCGGGGCGGTGTGGGAGGATGCTTTAAGACAGGAGGGAAAGGCACGCGCGGTTGTTGCTGGCCTAGTTCTGGCGATTGTTTGGCAGCAGCTTTGCGTCGTACGATGGTGCCATGGTGTCATGGAACGGGGTGCAGGGGTAACAAGCAATCGGGGAAGGTAAGGCCGGCCGGCTGCGGTATGCGGCATGAGAGGTGGCGAACGTATACCGGTAAAAATACCATCATAACTACCCTCCATGCACCAGGGCGTGTTTGCGCCTTCCCCCTCCCTCCTCGCATTACCTTCGCATCACCATTGCACCCCGACTCATCACCTCCCTTCCCCTTCTGCGGCCTGGTTTGCAGCACTCAGTCGCCTCAGACTCTCCCTGTAGTCTGTAGTCCTGCTCTCAATGGGGTTCCCTCGGACCCCCCACCCACCCCCCAGGCCTGCGGCATGGCTCCCTCCGCCGCCGAGCTGGCCTTCAAGGCAGGAAACCACAGTGCGGCGCTGCGACTGCTGCTGGCGGGCAAGGAGCACCGGGCGGCGGCGGACTGCTGTCTGGCGGCGGCGGCGGAGGCGCTGCGGCAGCAACAAGAACACCAGACGGCGGCGGAGGCGGCAGGGGCGGCGGAGGCGGCGGCGAATGAGGCCGGGACGCCAGCTGCGGTGGAGGCGGCGGCGGCGGCTGCTTGCCGGCAGCGCGCTCTGTTGTGGCTGTGCAAGGCGGTGGAGCAGGTGCGGGGTTGGGGCTAGGGTGTGGGTGGGAAGGAGGGAGAGGAGAGGAGGAAGCGGCGAGTACAGGAACACTGCTGACAGGCGGTCAGGGGCCCTCCGCAGCTGGGCAACGGTTGGCTGCTGCGCCAACTGGGAAAACAGTTCCTTTGCGTAACGGGTGTGCGTTCGCTCCCTTGGTTACACGCCACGATACAGTGCACTTGACCTTCGTACCCTATCGACAGGGGCTTTCCTGTTCCCGACCCCTGAAACTCACGAATCTGACTAATTTCGGTGAGTTCCCAAACCTGATCCCTCTTCATCCCTTCTTGCTCTCCCGGCCCCCCTCCCCGCCTCCCCGCCCCCCGCTCTCCTCCCAGGTCTTCCTGGCCAACGACCTGGAGCAGCTGGTCCTCCTGCTGGCGCCGCCCAACCTAGCAGCCGCCCGGGCAGCCGCAGCAGCAGCCGCAGCAGCCGCCAAGACACGCAGGCGAACGACAGAAGACGGCAGCAGCACCGCACCTGCGGATGCTTCCAATCCTTCCAATGACGAGGACTACGAGGACAAGGATGACGAGGACTTTGGGGAGGAAGAAGAAGAGGAGGATGCAGCCCAGCAGGACGAGCAGCAGCAGCAGCCCCAGCAGCCGCTGCCGTTCGCCCCCCTGGTGTGGCAGCTGCACGAGGCGCTGCGACGGCGCTGGGCGGGCAGCTACGGCCGAGCGCTGCAGCGAGTGGCACTGCGGCTGGCCACTCGGGGGCAGCGCCGTACGGCAGGAGCTGTCGTACGGCTGATGCCGGTGGAGGCGGAGCGGGATGCGCTGCTGGCTAAGCTGGGGTATTGGAGGGAGCGGGCGCGGCTGAAGAGGTGAGCAGGAGGTACACGTGTCGTACATGTCGTGCTGCCCCGGACTGACACGTGTCGTACATGTCGTGCTGCCCCGGACTGACACGTGTCGTACATGTCGTGCTGCCCCGGACTGACACGTGTCGTACATGTCGTGCTGCCCCGGACTGACACGTGTCGTACATGTCGTGCTGCCCCGGACTGACACGTGTCGTACATGTCGTGCTGCCCCGGACTGGGATGTGCCGTACACGTCGTGGTGTCCTGGACTGACACGTGTCGTGCACGTCTTACTGCAACCCCGCAGGTCCACGGACCCCCTGGCGGCCGCTCAGCTGCTGCTAGACCACGGAGACATGGAGCACGCTGTACGGCTGGTGTGTCGCTACCTGGCCAGCAGGGCCCCGCCTGCGCCAGATGCTCCCCAACAGCGGGAGCAGCAGCGTCAAGGCGGCAGCGGCGCAGCAGCCACAGCTGCTGCTAGCACTAACATCAGCAGCGGCAGCGGCGGCACTGCCGCTGCGTGGGCGCCCGTGGACCCCCGCGCCTGGGAGCTCCTTCACCGCTGCATCCTGGCTCAGACGGACGTGACAGGAGCGAGGAGGCTGAGGCTGCAAATGGACCGGTGGGCACCCGCCGCACCTGCTCCGTCGCAGCAGCAGCAGCAGCAACAGCAGGCGGTGCCGGGGCCGGCCAGGGCAGCACCGGCACCAGCAACCACAGCTGGTGGCGGCGGCAGCAACGACGCTGGGAGCAAGTTGGTGTCGTACCGCGGCCATGCGTTGCTGCTGGAAGCTCGGCTGGTGCTACAGCCTTGGCTGGCTGGCAGCAGCAGTGGCAGCAGCGACAGTGTTGCCGGAAGGTCCACTTCTGCGGCTGCTGCTACTCCGGCTGCTGCTGCTAGTGCTGGTAGTGCTGCGGGGGCTTCAGGAGCCAAGGGCGTGAAGGAGCGGTCGAAGGCTGTTGTGCCGGAGTCGTGGGAGAGTGACGGTGCAGCTGCAAAGGTTGTAACTGGCACGGGGTCTCCCGCAGCAGCAGCAGCAGCTGAGCACGTGGTTGCGGAAGCCAGCGAGCTCTTGCGTGAGGCTGCCGACTGCTTCAGCAAGGGTGGCAACTGGCCGGGGCAGCTGGAGGCCCTGTCCCTCTTGACACTGTACGGCACCGCCAGCAAAGCGCAACACCACCTGCCCCCTCCCGCGGATGGTACTTCCGGCGGCGGTACTGCCGCGCCGCTGCTCGGCCAAGCCGACACCGCCGGGGCCCTGGTCCGAGCAGCACAGGCCGCCGCCGACGCGCTGACGGCATCGCCTCGTACGGCAGCCCTCACCGTACTGCAGCGGCAGTATATGGCGGCATTGGGGGAGTTGTACGGCATGCCGGGTATTGCCAAGTGGGACGAGCAGCTGCCGTCGGCGCATGCGACGCACGTCTGGCGTGCACTCGTACGGCCGGAGGCTCCTCCCGCGGCGGCGGCTAGCGGTGGAGGCGGCAAGCCACAGGGTATCAGTTACGCTGCCGCCGCCGCAAAAGCAGCAATGACAGGAGGGGACGTGCCGCCGCTAGCGCCCACTCGGCTCCTGCTAGCGCAGCAACTGCGTACGGCGGCAAAGCAGGCGCCACAACCCGACGCAACCTCGGGTTTGATGCTCCGGAACCGAGTGGTGTCGGCGGTGGCTCGCGACGTCGCCGTGAAGGCAGCGTGTACGGCACATCAGGCGTTACGAAGCGCATTGGATGCATATGTGGCGGGCGTTACGACGGCGGGCGAAGGTGCCTCAGCAGCCCCGGTGACGGGTGAGGTTTTGCTGGCGGCGCTGCGACCCGTGGTTCGGTCGGCGCGGGTGTGTCGCCAGGCGGTGGTGCTGCTGCGGAGCCTGGAGACCAAGGCAGATCTGCAAGCGGTGGGGAGGGCTGGGCTGGGTGCGGGGTAGGCACTAGACGCTGTGTTATGGTTATGCGGAAGCGGTCATCCTTACATGGACGTTTGGAGGTCACTTGCATTTTACTTGCGTGGCAAGTACTCCTCAATTCGTATGCATGTGCCTAATCACAAATGCACGAAACAGATGTCCTCCCCTTCCTTTCGCTATCCAATTGAGATGTTTGTGTGCTCCCCCGCCCCACAGGCCTCCCTGCAGCGCTCCTTCAACTACCTATGGCGCCGCGCCCTCGCAGCCCTCGCCACCGCCTCCCTGGCTCCCGCCCAAGCCTCAGCACTGCTCCTCGACCTGCTGCAGCCGCCCCTGTACGGCAGCGTGGGAGCCCAGGCGCATGTGACCCATGGGTCACTCCTGGATCTGCTGGCGGCGGAGGGTCTCCCCAAGTTTGATCTGTCCGACTGGGTGAGGGAAGCGCTGATCCGTTCGGTGCCGCTGGAAAACCGGCTGGCACTGGCTCCGGTGGCGTCGTACACTGCTTGGCGGACGTTGGCGCTGGTCCTGCGACATGACCGGGATGCAAAGAGGTGGGGCACTGCGCTGCGACTCCCTGCAGCGGCAGCAGCGGATGTAGTAGTAATTAATGCAGTCGTCTGAGTCGGGGAGTTCGAGGCGGTTAGGTGGACCAAAACACCTTATTGGTGATACCTCCTAGGGTTTTCCGGACCCTTGTTTCTTCTCTCCCCTTTATTTATGAGCATTTTCTTGTGCCCCTTCTCTTATGAGCACAGCATCTTCAGCTTGCGCTCCGGCCGTCTGCCCCGGGACATCCCCGCCTGCCGCATGCTGCGGGTGGGGGGCTGCACCGCACTTCCCGAGTACCTGCTGCAGCAGGTGGGTCCAAGGAGGGGTGGGTGGGGGGTGGGGGAGCGGGAGGCGTGACCGCGGGCGAGAGGCAGGGGGTGAAGTTGGAGGGCGGCGGGGACAGGTGGGGAGCGGATACGCCGGGACTGCCGTCTAAGATACGTCTGAAGCTGCCGCTGTGCTAGTCTCAAGGCAGCCGTGGGGGCTTCCCACGCCTTCCATAAGGCACCGCACCGGTAGCCCCGGTAGACACGCAATCGCCTTCCATAAGGCACCGCACCCAGCGTGTTGCCTCTCGCGCCCACACCTCACGGCACCCTTTTTCTCCCGGACTGCCTGCTCGCTCCTCCCTTGCTGCCGCTCCCCGCAGGCGTTCAGCCACTTCAGCATGGCCCTGCCGCACCGCGCCCTGGGCGACCTGCTCTACTACCTGTCCTGGTGCGCCAAGAGGGACGGAGCCACGCACGCCCTCACCGCCGCCACCACCCCCACAGGTACCTCCTCCTCCTCCTCCTCCACGTCTAGCATGGGCGCAGTCAGCAACGCAGCCGCCCCCGCTGCCACGGCCTCTAGCGGGGGCACCACCCAGCAGCAGCAAAAGGAAGCCAAGTCGCTCCAGACGCCTCCAGGACCTCCTGCAGCCGCCCCGACAGGCGTCAGCGGTCGAGCTCTGCCGCTGGAAGCCTACCTGGAGCTCACGGAGGTGATGGTGGGTCAACTGACGCTGGCGGCATGCGACAGCGCCTTCCTCGCAGCCAACGTGGCGGGAACGCTAGGCGGCCTGCCCATGCTGTCGGACCCTCGGAAGGGAGGTCTGGCGGATGTGGCGGCGCAGTGGAACCGGCTGCTAGGATACGAGCCGCCGGGGGCGACGGGCGGTACGGCAGGAGGAGCGGGCGGCGGCGGCCGGGCTGGCGGCGGCGGCGGCGGCGGGATGAATCAGGCGGCGCAGGCTCGACGGTTGGCGGAGTACTACCGGAATGCGGCGGATGTCCGGAAGGAGTTTGGGAAGCAGTTGCTGCTGGGAGCGAGATTGATGATGGTGCTGGCGGCGCATGTGGGGAGGGCGCTCGCGGCGGCGGATGCGGCGGTTTCCGCAGCGGCGGCGGTGGCTGCGAAGCCGGATGCAGCCGCCAGCGGCGGCGGCAGGAGTAGCAAGGACGCTGCTGCTGCTGCTGCTGCTGCTGCTGCTGGCGGCGGCGGCTCGTTACTAACGTATGAGCTGCTTCCGCTGCTGGAGGCGCCCTCTCGCGCCGCCGCGCTGGAAATCATGACGTCGGCGACGGAGCCGTCGGCGGCGGCGGGTCCGAGTACGACACCCATGGCCGCCGCCAAGGCCCGCCGTACTCGCCTGCTGGCTCTGGCTCGTCGGGCGCTGCTAACCGCCGCCAGCGCCTGGCTGTCTTTGGAGCTGCAGGAGCGGTTGTACGTGCAGAGCGGCGGAGCCGGCGGCGGCGGCGGCGGTGGCTCCAGCGCAGCGGCGGCGGCGGCGGCTGACATGCAGCGGCCGCCTCCGACTCGCGGTGGGTGGTCGGCGGAAGCCCTGCGTCTCTTCCGTGAGGCGTGTGGGACCCTGGCTGACCTGGTGGAACCCAGCCTGTTCTTATCCCCCCAGGCGAGGCAACAGCAACAACAGCAGCAGGAGCAGCTAGAAAAAGCGAAGAAGCTGGAGGAGGGTGAGGGAGATGAAGGCCAACAACAGCCGCCGGCAGCAGCGGCTGTCAAGCCCACTGCGGCTTCAACCCGCGGCAAGGACATGTCGCTAGCGGCGCTCGCTGACAATGTACGGCAGCTGGCGGCTGCCTGGTGCAAGCCCGACGTGGGCATGCGGGTTGTGGACGTGCGAGCCAACCGCGAGTTCACGGGCTTCGGTTCCCAGCAGCAAGTCAAGCAGTTCAAGGCGCAGGCCCAGCTGTTTGCGGCGGCGCAGGCGAAGGTGCTGTTGCCGCAACAGCAGCAGCCTGCCATCGGACTGGGAGCTACGCAGGCTGCGGCGGGGGCAGCGGCGGCGGTGGACAGCGGACGGACAGGTGCGGTTGCTGTAAGCTACGAAAAGGCGTAACTGCCGTTGTCAGCATCGCGAGTGTGCAGGCTTACATATGCTGCTGTGGTGGAGCCCGGGCTGGGTCTCGTGGGCTGTATGGGTTGCGAGGCATGTGTTGTGTCCACGCTTGGGTCAGCAAAAGCCGCTTTGGCCGCGTGAATAGGATGATGAAAATGTTGACGAGCATGGGTTTCTGTCCCTCCATGCGGTGAAAAACGTTGGAAGCGTTTTGGACACATGTGTCTAAGCGTTTTGGGGGCTTTGCACATGCTTGCAAAGCATGTGCTTCCTACACGCCACTATATCTCATTTCACCTCGTAACAATAACACATGTTTGTTTCCTCTTCCTCCTCCGCTCCCTAGCCATGCTGCGAAACGCCGCGGCGGTGGTTGAGGCGGTTGGCAGCAACGACTACCGCCAGACACGTGACGAGGCTGTGAAGCAGGGCGAGTCGGCGACCGTCATCCAGCGCGCTTGGCGGGAGTGGCGGCGGCGCCGGGAGGAGGCCGCGAAGGCGGAGGAGCAGCGGCGGCGGGAGCAGTGTGTCCTGGAGAGGCTGCAGGCCTCCCTCACTATCAGGTGGGAAGGGGAACAGCTTACCAGGCGCGGATTCTTCCTTTTGTGTGTAGCTGGACTGGCCCATGCTCGCTGCTCGTTGCTCGCTGCATCCTCTCCTTGCACGTCAATCTACGCACACTTCGTCGGAAGCAAAGCCTAGTTTGCTGCTTATGCTAGCTGGATGAATAACCAGCACCAATGTCCTTGCGCTTCCCTGCTTCCCCCCTCTCGCAGGATCAACCTGCGTGTCTCCATTCGGCGCGTCAGGCAGTCCCTGGAAGCACGTCGGCCCACCACGTCGCCTCGGTCTGCTGGGCAGGGCCCGGGCGGTGAGGCAGGGAGCAGCGCGGGGGATGGAGCTGGAGCTGGAGGCGCTGCTGCGGGGGCGGAGGAGGAGGAACCGGATGAGTTCGGGTTTGCGGAGGTGGAGCGACAGCTGCAGGCAAGTGCAAGGCCGGAGGAGGCGGGAACGGGGGGAGCCTTTTCCAACCGGTGCCAAATCTCTCCCTATTTGCTTCTGTACCATGTCCTGTTCCATGTCCCCATGGGCCGCTTCACTCCCATGCAACCCCCTCCTAATCCTGGAACATGCGAACCTTTGGCCGCCGCACGCAGGTCGGCGAGCGGGTCAAGTTCATCGATGAGGCCGCCTGCCCTGTCTGCCCGCCCAAGTCCTCCCCACCTCCTCCTCCTCCCCCTCCTGCTCCCGCTGCTCCCGCAAACCCGGGCGGCATGTCCTACGCCGCTGCCGCGGCCGCGCCGCCCCCACCGCCCTCACCCTCCTTCAAGGACTTCACTCCGCACAAGAACAAGCAGCAACACGTGGAATGCTGCCAGAGCTTCCGCGCCTGCCACGGCTGGTTCCGGCGCGGAGGGCCGGCGGGGCTGCTGGCTTGGTGCAACCTGCTGCTCCGGGAGGCGGAGGCGGTGCAGGCGGGCGACATGCAGGTGTTCTTTCTGGAAGCCTCCCTGCAGCTGGAAACCGCCCTCACCGCCGTACGGCAGCACCTGCGGCACCTGGTGTCCAGCCGCGGCTGGGAGATGGGGCCCATGCAGCTGCACCCGCCGCTGGTGATGTGTAATCAGGCTGCAGGGGGGCTGGCTAACTTGCTGGCGCAGTTCAGGCAGGTGCAGGGGCAGGGGCAGGTGCAGGTGCAAGTACAGGGAGAGCAGCTGCCACAGCAGCAGCAGGTGCAACCGCAGCAGCAGCACCAGCAGCAGCACCAGCAGCAGCACCAGCAGCAGCAGGCGTCTTCCTCGTGGGAAGGACGGGATCTTCCAGAGCCGCAATCGCAAGCGGCGGTGCACCAAGGGCCTCACCCTGTGCAGCAGCCACCGCAGCAGCAGCAGCCGACAGCTGAAGTGGGTTCAGCTAGCGTTGTGGGTGCCCCTGCGCCTCACCAGGCGATGCAGCAGCTGCAGCAGCACCAGCAACAACAACAGCAACCCCAGCCATACCTGCAACCTCAGCAGGTGTTCCAGGGACAGCAGGCGCAGGTGCCGTTGTCGCAGCCGCCCCATGATGCCCCAACAACAACAACCGGTGCTGCCGGTAGCATGGGTGGCGGCATGGGTGGCATGCCTGGCGGGGTCTGGGGCCAGCAGGCCCCCACCCCGGGGGCTGATGGGTGGGGACCGCAGCCCCACCCGGCACCAGCAGCACCACCGCCGCAGTATACACCCTTTGTTCAGGCCGGCCCCGTTGTGCCGGCAGGCCACCCGGGACAGCAGGGGCAACAGACTGGGATGGGCTCAGGGTTGCCTCCACTGCCGCCGCTGCCGCCGCAGGTGCTACTGCAGCATCAGCAGCAACAGCAGCAGCAGCAGTACTACTACAACCAGGTACCTGCAAGTGGCGCTGCTGCTGCTGGTGCTGGTCCCGGACATGGATCCACGGTAGCAGTGATGGCGCCGTTCGCTGGGGGCAGCAGCTACAGCAGCAGCAGCGCTGCTGCAGGCGGAGGAGGAGGAGGGGGAGGCGGAGGAGGAGGGGGAGCCGCAGGGCTGGGTCTTCCGCCGACTGGGTTCATTGGAGCTGACCCGTTCACGGATGCCGGCAGCGGCCTCCCCCATGTCGCCCCCATGCCCGTCCACTGGCCTCCTATGCCGTACATGTACGTCGGAGGTGCTGGGCAGCAGCAGATGATGGTGATGGGCGCAGCGGCAGCAGCAGGTGCAGCGGCAGCAGCAGCAGCAGCAGGCGGAGGCTTCCAAACGGGTTTTGAACCTCATCATCCGGCGAGCGTGATGCTGCAGGGTTATGGTGATGGCTTTGGCGGCGGTCTTCGGGTCAACGTGGGCGACTTGTCGGCCGGCGTTGGTGGCTACTACCCGGTCGCAGCCATGCCGGCAGCAGCAGGGGTGGAAGCTGGAGCCTCAGGAGGGATGGGAGGCTTTGTCGGCGGGGATGGCCTCGGCGGCATGGCAGGTGGGGTAGCAGGGGATGAGTTTGGTGAGCTGGGAGGTGTGGGAGAGGAGGACGATGAGGAGGACGAGTGGATGGAGCAGCCCAGGAAGGGCGGGCGGCGCAGCCGCTACAAGCGAGGTGGTGGGGGTGGCGGAGGGAGGCGGGGAGGCGGCAACGTGCCCTCGGGATCACCCAGCAAAGGTCCCGCAGGAGGCGGTGGGGGTGGCGGTGGTGCTGGCGGAGGAGGAGGAGGAGCGCAGCACCCTCAGCAGGTGCAGCAGCAGGCGCAGCAGGCGGTGGCGGCAGCGCTGCGCGGAAACGCGTTCGCTCCGTTGCTGCATGCGGGGGGCACGCCGCCTAGGCAGGGAGGCGGCAGGCGGGGTGGCGGACGCAGGTGATGGTGGTGAAGGTGAAGGTGATGATGGGGTCGACACCAGCTGCGCGCTGGTGCTGTCGGTGCTTGGGGATTTGAATGGAAGGGGCCAGAGGGTTTAGGAGTGACTCGCGCTGGGAAACGCGTGGCAATGCATCCCGTGTCAGGTCATCTCGGTTTCGTTCGGGTGTGTCAAAAAAACTGGCCGCGAGTCGGAACATACTCTGTATTGGTGTGGTTGCCTATCTAAGGCCACGGCCAAGCGCTTCAGCCCCAAGGCCGTGCAAGAGGCCGGGGAAGGTAGGTATGGTTGCACCTGTCGGCCCCTTGGCGTGATTGGCTCGGAAGCAATGTGGCGTGGCGCGTTGCAATTGATGTGTCCAACAGACACAGTCGCCCATTGTTACAGGTGGACCGATAACCACTGCGAGAAGGAGTGTCGATTGCCCTTGTTGCACCGGTACTTTGCCTAGCAGGAAGGACGTACATGCGAGGCTAGTTGTCGACCTGTTGATATGTCAGTCGTGAACTCAAGCCGCCGGCTCGGGTACCTCTTTCTGCCGAGTAGCAGGCTTGTGATGTGGGTTGGGCTCGTGACGGAACAAAATCAGGGTCAGATTCGGTTACCAGGTAAACGGTACAAACTGGAACGTGGCGGCGTGGCGCCTAACGGTATTAGATTGAGGGTATAGTCCTTGTTTGAGTCACATTTTAAGTTTTAGTGCCGTTACATTGTGTTTGTACGGGTTGGCAGGGCTCTGCTTTAACCAGGCCAGGGCCAGGCTCTGCAAATGTGTTCGGAAGATCTACATTGCAAAGAGCACCGCAAAAATGTTGTGGGCAAAATGCAGACCGCTGCACGAGCCACGGGAATGTGACACATCCCCCTACCAAACGTGTACAGGGTTAAGAACGGCTAAGTCCCGTGCTAATTCTGGTTAAGTCATCCTTAGCACATGTTTCAAGTGTACCCGGGTTTAACTCCGTCTTAGCATGCTAACATGGACTTAATTTCAGCCTTAACGGCTAAGCTCTACCATTTGTGCTTACAATGTGCTAAGCCTTGCTTAACCAGTATTATCCAAGCTTAACCAGGATTAGCCCCAAATGGGTGCAGGGCCAACATAGAAGAGGGTCTCAGCCAAACCGCAATAGCATAAATTACCCCCCATATGTAGGGGTGCATGTAGCCTGTCTGCTGCCAGCTAGTCACATTAAGTAGCCATTGTTAGACAGAAAGACGGTCCATAGAAGGAAAACCATGCCTATCTCAGTAGCCAGTTTAACATGACATTGATATATAGGCAGTCAACAATAGACAGGATCACGTCAAGATGTACGTTGGAATACTAGGTTATAAAACATCCAGCTACTATTCCGTCCAGCAACACTATCCAAATTTTGACAGTAGCAGAAATCAGTGACAATGTTAGTTCACTTCACAGCAGATCCGAAACCATTGGTCAAAAACCCATCCAATTGACATCCATGCCCAATGCTTAACTGCATTGATAACTATTTCCTACACTCCGTTTCAAAACATGTTAGACAGGTGAAACACGAGGCGTGAACTCCCATACGAAAGACCCATGGGACGCATCAACTAGCATATATACCAAAGCAAAAGCAGCACATGCCTGAATTTTCCTGACCCCGCGACTGTCAAAAAGACTATCCCCCACTGATCTCAGCCTGGCATGGCATCCACACATGCCAATCAACGCATCCTTGCCGCTGCCCCTGTGACGGGCTCAAGTGCATCCCATCCAGCCTGTGCTAATGCACACTAAGCTGAGTGGAGCTGCTAAGACGGACTTATCTTAAGGCCATGCTAAGCACCAGGCGTGGGTGATGTTGGTGCTAAGCTCATGCTTGGGCTAAGAACGTATAAGCTTGCTTAGCCACTAAGCATGGGTAAGAGGGGCTTAGACCGTCTTAGCATGGGCGGTCCTAACCAATCTTAAAGCAATCTTAACCACTTTAAAGCATAGTTTAAGTAAAAACGGCAACTTTAAGCACGTTTTAGCACCGTTTAAGCACACTTAAAACGTACTTAAAGCCCCGTTTGAGGGTTTTTTCACTGTTTTGAGCACGTTTAACTCCAGCTAACCCCGTTCTTATCCCTGTACACGTTTGGTAGGGTCCATGTACCGGTACATGGCTCGTGCGGCGGTCTGCATTTGCCCGCAACATCTCTGCCCATAATTCATCTGTCCCGGCACATATCTTCTGTTGCTTGGATGTCTCGGACCAACACACTAGCAATCTTGGATTGCCGTACAACTTTCCGCACAACCAGCATCAGACGTAGCTGTACGTATATACCATACACCAATTATAGCACTCGCGTTCCAACCATGAAAGGGCCCTGGCATGTGTACACCCACATCTTCATCTTCAGCGACCCATGGGTCTACCTACGTTGAAGTGAATGTACATGAAGATTTAGTCGTCTTGATTGTCAAAGAAAGTATTGCACGGCGTCCCAGACTACAGCTACACATACCTCGCGTCCTGCAGTTCTGTTGCCTCACTCTCATCAATACCGCACGTCCAATGCACCGGCTATTACTGAGGAAGCAGCAGTCGATACCAGCCACCAAGTACGGTATTTGCTGCCTTACTGTCGTATAGCCCTTATTGCAGCATTGGTGTAACACATTCAATGCAACACAAACCGCAACACAGACCACACAAACTAAACACACTAATGCCAACTGCTGCTACAAATCCTGCCCTGTCTCAAGGCGGGCACCAACACTGGCCACAACCGTTCCATCTAGCCAGGCACTATCAGACGACTACCGCCTCTTTCCCCGCCGCGCACCTCCACTCTTACCACCACCACCCTGTCCGCCTTGCTTCTGGCCCCGTGTCTTCACTGCTCCCGGCTCCTCTGCCCCCGCCTGTCCCCCATGCTTCTCTGCGCAAGCCGGGCAGCAGAACCACATCTGCTGGCCTCCAACACTGCGCGGCTGCAGCTCTACCACCAGCTGGCTGTCTCCCTCCAGGTTGTCGCATGTGCCGTAGTCGCACACCCGCAGCAGCGAGCACACCTCCCGCAGCGGCGGCAGCTGCTGCGGCACTACCGGCAGCACTGCGGCCACCTCCCGCTCCCGTCCGTCCCACACCGCCAGCAGCATCTCCACCAGCTGCGGGTCCGGCAGCACACCCCCCGGACCGTACAGCTTCATAAGGCCCCGCAACACTCCGCATGATGACGACCCAACATCAGCTTCCCGGTAGCGTAGGAGCCGGACCAGGAGGTCTGGCGAGTGCGCCCACAGGCGCCGTAGCACACGAGCAAAGCCAGGAGCAACCTTGGCAGCCGGAACCCAGTCTGCATCCACATAGCCTGCCAAGCAGAACAGGAATTTGAAGAGGGAAGCCCTGGAGAAGAACAGCTGCTGCCATGCCGCCGCCTCTTCCTGGGGCTGATGAGCCGCTCCGGGCGCTGAGCAGCTTCCAGCCATCCAGTCCAACATGCCGTTCAGCAGGCGCAGGGCGTCTCGTGCAGGGGGCCAGGTCTCGCCCCGCTCCTTCCATTCTTCAGCGGCGTTTGCTTCCGGTACCACGTCTGTAGCTTTCAGTATCAGTGTCAACTGCTGGGAAATCAGTTCCGTCAAGCAAATGGGAAACCAGCGGATAAGCGCAAACGCCAGGATGTGCAGCAGTTGAGAAGTGGGCGTGCTGCATGTGTCTCCTCCCGCACCCGCAGATCCGCTGCTGCTGCTGCTGCTACCATCACGGCTGCTGCCGCTGCTGCTGCCGGAGCACTGGGCCCCAACGTCATCGCCAGCCCGGCTGCCGGCCTCCTGCCGCATCCTCACCCAGTGCATGCCATCAAGCAGCAGTCGCACCAGTTTGCGAACCATGCTCTGGGACTGCGTGGTCTCTCCTCTAGCCTTGGCCTGCAGGGGAGGGGCAACCTTACACAGTGTCTCCACAAGCGCCGCCGCCTGCCGGGGATCCCCATACGCCAGCATCCACCCCAGGTGCCGCCATGACAGCAGGCACAGGGCGTTTGCAGGTAGCCATCCCTGCCGCCGCAGCAGCCGCTCCAGGCAGGGTAGGTAGCCGGCAGAGAGGGCGGCTGCCACGTCGGGCGGCGGGCTGGCAGGCAGGTCGACTGCGCAAAAAGAGGGAAAAGGGTGCAGGGAAGGTAGTGGTTTGGAGCACAGGCACGCACGATGCACAGTCCGCGAGCAGGCGTGGACATGCCCCGATACTTGTATGTGTGTCAAAAGGGGTCACCCACACGCATTCGTCAATGGAACACGCAAGCATGCTAGCAAAGGCAGTACATCCTAGCCCCCACACGGCCCACACACACAGGCACAAAACCCGGTCGAGCAAGCATAGCTTTACTGTCCCCCAGTTGTTGGCAAGCTTAGAAACGCTTGGCACTCCACAGAAAGCAGCCACAGACAGTACCCAGGCACTGCCTTACCAGGCATCTGCACCGCCTGCTGTCCCCCAGCCATCTGGGCGCGCAGGAGCGTCCCCAAATCGTTCCATATTTCCGTGTCCGCGTCCGCGCTCTTCTTCAGGTTGCTGCAGCCCGCAGCCGCATTAACCACCCCCACACTGGCCCGCCACCAGCTGTCCGGCAGGACCAGCGGCACACGCCCTGGAACAGCCGCCGGGGGCCCCTCTGCTTCTGCTGCTGAGCTCGACACACCGCTTCCAGGTGAATCGCAATGCTGCAGCTGCTGTCGCTGCGGCGATTGCTGCTGCTGCTGCTGTCGCTGTGACCACTGCTGCTTCAGGGCGTCATGTGCCGACAGCAGGGCTGCCACAGCCGTCCAACAGCGCGCAAGCCTCTTCCTGGATCCCGAAGCGTCTGCACCTCCGCCACCTCCACCGCCAGCACTGCTGCCGCTGCCGTCCCCGTCTCCATCCCGCGTCTGCAATGACCCGATAGAGGCCGCACTCAAGCGCAAGCATAGCTGGTACATAGCAGCAGGGCTGGTGCAGGAGTGCACAGGCAGCCCGGCTCCAGGGGTTTGTGTCAACGCCCAGAAGTGGAGCGTAGCATGCGGAGAGCACCGCGATTCCCCTGTGGGCCGCAGCACCTTTATCTTCCTCACAACCTGTAACGCCTCCGCCGGCAGCCCGTAGGTGGGCCCCCCTCCATCAATCTCCCGCAGGGCTTCCAAGGCTGCAGCTGTGTGCACGAAGTGCAGGCATTGACCCATCAGGCCGCGAGCTCGGAGCAACGGACGGCGTGAACGTGGCGAGGAGAGAAAGCGCAGCGCCGCTGTTATGTGATGAAATATATCGGGAGGTGGCCCTGTCGTGAAGACCGCAAACAGTGCCTTGGCGGCGTGCTCCAGCAGCTGCGAGTCCGCCAGCGCATCCACCAGCTCCCGCAGCAGCCTCCTGCTGTTGCTGGTGTTGGGCACACCCTGGCCACCTCCACCTCCACCAGCATCATCATCATCATCAGCAGCAGCAGCAGCAGCACTACCGGCACCACTGGATTCATCCAGAGCCTTGCAGATGCGATGCACGGTGGTTATCACAAAGTAACTCGCAGCAAGGATGCACTCAACGTGTGCTTCGGGCGTGTCTTCGGGTGTGTCCCCTGCACCGGCACCAGGCTGGGATGCGGTTGCGGCACTGTCCGCAGGCTGCCGCTGCTGCTGCTGCACCTCACCCGCCGCAGCAGCCGCCGCCGCAGCAGTGATGCTAGCGAGTTGACGGCTCATGCACTGCAGCGCGCCAGAGCGGATGATGGCCAGGGCAGCACGCTCCAACTTGGGAAAGAGCCACCCGCCCTCGGGCCCCACGCTGTCGGCCAGCAGCTGCAGTGAGTGAAGTACGTACCTTGAAAAGCGGTTGTACGCCAGACGCTCCTCCGCCGTCACCTGAGGGTCTGCTGCGCGCCGCAATCCCACCGCTATCGCCTTGACGAGGACAAGGCTGGGGCCGGGGCGCGACCACCACTCAAAGAACAACCTGCCTGCTTCCTGGCCGGCCCCGGGCACTTGCCATTGAGCTGAACCTAATAGGCTATCCACGTACTGCCCTGCCTCGGCAACTGAGCCTGTGTCTGGCCATTGCACTCCTCTCGGCGCTGTACCAGTTGTCCCGGCAAGAACAATCCTCGTGGCCATCCGCAACACATCATTCGCCACCTCCTCCAATGTCGCTACCTTGACCACTGAATGTCGCGTCATACTAGTTGTTGGAATCCCACTGGAAGCCATTTAGTCACTGCAGCTGAGAACCTGCAGAAAACGAGGGGAAAATGGAAGCAGCGGGTAAAGTCACGAAAGAGCAATGAGGAGGTTAAGTGGTGCGGCGGGAATTGCCAGGATGGGGGTAACATCTTATAGTGCCATCCATGACTCAGCAGGGTTTGCTACGAAAACACAATACTGCGTGGACGTCGCATGCGATGCCGTCCCTTACGCATGGCACGCTTAAGTCACTTAAGGTACAGACGAGACGACAGCAGGATATGCCATGTAACTCAATATTGTAAGACGTGGGCTCTTGTTTACTGTTGACAATGGTATGATAGCTGTTGGGCAAGCTGAACGCTTGCAACCGCAACAGGCAAACGCTTCCGTCTCACCAGTACTCGCGACGAAGGATTGACTGGAATTGATACCACGTTGTGGCCTGCTTGCAAAGGCCGTCCAGGCGGAAAAGCAGGATGTTCGCCGCGCTAAGAGGGGTTACAGACAAACTACCCTATGCATCTGTATTACAGAATTACCGGCGCTGTTGCGTGACCATACTTGCATTATTCATGCTACGTAGTTGGGCAACAAAGCAAGTCTCTCCTTCAGTATAAATGCAATGTGGTGAGAAAAGCGAAAAGGCACATGTACCGCTTTTTTGTACAGTGTCCTGCGCTAGCTCCCTTGTTCAGGGGCAGCAACAATAATGTCACGTGCCCGCAGACACCTCGGACACGACAGCTCGTCCATAGGGCCCATCTGAAGTCACCCTGACTTCTAATGCTAATGCGGTACGACAAAAACCTTCCAAGCTATAGGTCTGAAAGGAGATAGTGCAGGTACGCGAGTTAAAAAAAACCGCGGCCGTCAAAATTTGCTTATGGCAACCTTGGGGGTCACCTTTGGCTCGACTTCCATGACTGAAGTAGTGTCACAGTCAGGCAAAAGCAGGAGCCCATGCAAACTCCAGCATCCCTCCTTGTAATGCGCATGCGGACGGACGTCCTGGGAAGCAGGAAGCCCCTGCACCCTGCATCATGGAGACCATAATGATGCCGGGGTGATGCATTGGCCCCCATGCATGGCCCCCATGCATCAAACCAATGCATCACCCCCATGCATTGGCCCCCATGCATGGCCCCCATGCATCAAACCAATGCATCACCCCCATGCATGGCTCCCATGCATGGGCCCCATGCTGCCGAGCGACCGTCTCACTCGTGCGGGGGGTCCTAGACCCCTCCTCTCCTCGGCATAAGTCGGGGCTCGGCATTGGGACTCCGTTGATGCACTTATCTATAACTTTCCCCCTCCTCCGCTCTCCTGACACTGAGGTGGCTGGCTCACTGTGTCAGGGGCATAAGGCCCTCCATTGCGGCGCTCAGCTGCAGCTGCAGCTGCAACACCTCCTGGAGCGCTGCCTGCGAGGGGGGGGGGGGGAGGAGTACCGGGGGGAGGAGGGAGTGAGGGGACAAGTAACCAACCGACCGTGTGGTAAGGCGTCATCCCAGGTGAAGGAAGGAGGGAGGAGGTGGGGAGGAGGGAGTTGTTCTACCTACCACCACGCCCAAGAGGGGGTGCAGGCGGGGAGCAGCAGAGGAGGTGCGAGCGAAGTCAGGTGCGGGTGAGTTGCGAGGTCGCACCTGGAGGTCAGGCACAGCGGCAGCAGCTCCGGCTCTGCTGCTGCAGTCATGCTGCTGCCCTCCTGCTGCCTCTTTAGCTCCTCCTACCACCTGCTGCTTCTGCAGCAAAGCCGGTCGAGGCTGCTGCTGCGGCTGCTTCGCGGTTGGCTTTCCGTACTGCTGCTGTTGCCGCTGCTGTTCCTGCTGCTGCACTTGTTGCTGCCGCTGCATTTGTTCCTGCTGTTCTTGTTGCTGGCGGCCCCGGTGTTGCGCCAGCAGCGCCCCCTCCAGCAGCCCCAGGCTGCCCTCCACACAGCGCTGCAGGGCGGCGAGGGCGCTGTCCAGTGGGGCCAGGCAGGCGGGGGCGGAGAGCGGGTGGGGGCGGTGCACGACGAGACGCCGACCCACCTGCAGCAAGAGGAGAGGAGAGGGTAGGGAAGGAGGTGACCGGAGGGAATATGATAAAGCTTGTATCAATCAATCGATCGATAGGTGGAGAGAGTGGGGGGGAGCAGAGGGAAAGGTGCCGTATGCGTGGTCGAGGGGGAGGGAGAGGGGGAGGGAGAGGAAGAGGGGGAGGGAGAGGCGGGTTGAGGCGGAGTCACGTTGTTGGGGTCTGGAAGGGCACGCAACCGTACGGCAGGGGGGGACACCGGTACGACCAGGTCGCCGCGGGACTGCCTCCTGCACAGAGGCCAAGAGGAGGGACCAATGGAGCGGAAGTTCTTGTTACCCAGATGTAAGGTTCCCAGTTCAGGTTTCCTGAAGGTACCGCAGTGCCGCGTATCATGTGTGAGTACGACAGCCCCCCAACCTCACCTGCCGGCAGCACTCCGCCGCAACCGCCACCACCTGCTGTTCCGCCTGGTCTATCGCAAGACCTTGGTAAATAGCTGCTGCTGAGGAGAAGGAGGAGGAGGCAGAACCTTCGCCGCTGCCGCCGTCAATGTACGACAGTTCCACCTCGCAACCGTACTTGCCGTACGGCCGTAACGTGGCACCGCAGCGCCCTCCCAGGGGCCCTTGCCAAATCAGGCCACATACAGGCTGCTGTTGCTGCTGCTCGTGATGCCGCCGCCCCTGCTCTGGTTGCTGCTGCTGGGGAGGGTACGGCTCTTCCTTACATCCGGGCCGCTGCTCCTGCTGCTGCCGCTGCTGCTGTTGCTGCTGATGATGTCGCTTCAGGTCCCCTGAAGGTGCTCCCCGGTTAGTGATGCCGCCACATTCCAGGTTGAGGAAAGAAATCGCAGTGCAGGACATGAAGGGAGGGGGTCGTGTGGGAGGTTGGCTTACCCTTCTTTTCTAATAGTCGTAAGCAGACTGAACTGTTCCTAAGCGCATGTTTGGCTCCCGTGCCAAACCCAACTACCCCGACCGTCCCACTCACCTTCCAAGGCAGCTCCTTTCGGTTGTACGGTGAAGCCCGGCAACGCCGCCAGTCGAGCGGCCAAGTCGCCGTACAACCCCAACCGCCCCAACCGCAAAACCGCCCCCTCTCCATCTGCTCCTTCTTCCCTTCCATGTTCCTGCTGCTGCTGCTGCTGCCACTGTCGCGGCGATGTAAACCCTCCGAAACCCCTTTGGGCACCGAAACACCATGCTGCCGCAGCAGCCGCACCGGGCTGCCCCTCGCTGCCAACACCACTGCCGCCACCACCACCACTGGGTCCACTACCCGTCACCCCCGATGATGCCGCCGTCGCCGCATTCGTCGCGAGCAGCAGCAACTCCCTTTTGTGCGCAAGCAAGTGACCCGGGACCACTGGGGTTGTTGAGGCGGCGGCGGCGGCGGTAGCCTCTGTTCCAATGGCTGTCACCGGGAGCTGCTGCTGCTGCGGGGGTAACCGCGGCAGCAGCGATGGCGGTAGCGGCTGGTGGGGTTGCAGCACCCGTTCCAAATCCACTGTTACAGTTCCCAAATCCAAGGTACGCACCAGCAGCGAGGACGAGTGATGGGAACCCCCAAGCTGCTGCTGTCCTCGCGACCCAGGGGTCACTGAGCTTCCTGCGTCGATGCCCGTTGGATAACCAACGCCACCGCCGCCGCTGCGAGTCCGGCTCGTCATACGCATTGCATGCGCGGTGACGCGGACAGCAACCCCCAACTGCACGCAACCGAACCCGCCTCCGCCGCCGCCACCGCGTCCTAGGGCGATGTGGCGCAGGGTGCGACGACCGTCGTCGTGTCGCACACCAATGCGCGTACCTTCGGACGTGCCTCCCCATTGGGCTGCCCATGACGACCCTCCTGGGGGTGCTTCTTTTCCTCCTACTACCGCCCCATCAACACCTCCTCCTCTTCGCCCTCCCTCCTCGTCCGCAACCCCCTCTTCTTCGCTGTCGCTGAAGCTGCAGCTGCTGTTGGTACTGTGCCCTTCTTCGCTGTCGCTGTTGCTGTTGCTGCTGGCTTCAGTCGCCCAGGAAGCAGCGGCGTTGTCAAAGAGGCTGGGCAGCGGGCCCAGGGCGGTGCTGAGGTCCCGTTGGGCGGCAGCAGCTTGGGCCCGCTGCTGCTGCTGTTGCTGCGGCGGGTCGGTGGGTCGGTCGGAGTCGACGCAAGCTGGGGTGAGGGACGAGGGGTGAGGCGGGTATTGGAGAAGCTAGTAAGCGCATGAGGTGTGCCTGGCGGCCCTCACCTCCCATCATGCCCCCTCCCACCTCACCTCCCATCATGCCCCCTCCCACCTCACCTCCCATCATGCCCCCTCCCACCTCACCTCCCATCATGCCCCCTCCCACCTCACCTCCCATCATGCCCCCTCCCACCTCACCTCCCATCATGCCCCCTCCCACCTCACCTCCCATCATGCCCCCTCCCACCTCACCTCCCATCATGCCCCCTCCCACCTCACCTCCCATCATGCCCCCTCCCACCTCACCTCCCATCATGCCCCCTCCCACCTCACCTCCCATCATGCCCCCTCCCACCTCACCTCCCATCATGCCCCCTCCCACCTCACCTCCCATCATGCCCCCTCCCACCTCACCTCCCATCATGCCCCCTCCCACCTCACCTCCCATCATGCCCCCTCCCACCTCACCTCCCATCAAGCCACCCGCCAGAGCTACCAAGTCCGCCAGCGGTACCGCCGCCTCCACCACCACCAGCAGCTGACTCCGCCGCTGACCCCGCTGCAGCCCCTGCTGCTCTTGCCGCTCCTGCTGCGCACAATCCTGCTGCCATTGCTTTGCCCCACCCTGCTGCTGCTGCCCCTCCTGCCCCTGCTGCCCGCCATCCCGCTGCTGCCACCGTCGATCGTGTACGACAGACCATCGCCCCCGTACACATGGCAGCGGCAAGCAGCCACCACCACCGCCACCACCACTGGTGCAGTACAATAGCAATGCCGCGTCATCAAGATGCAACGGCGGCGTAGGCGGCGGCGGTTGTGGATGCGAGTAAGGAGGAACTGCCAGTACCGGAAGCGGCCGTCGTTGTCCCTGATCGAGATCTCCGCCGTCGGACACCCGCAGTACGACCTGTAGTACCCACTCGCCGCCCTGTCGTACTTGCGTCAGCGAATCCAGCGACAGGTGGAGGAACGACGACTCGTCCGTCTGAGGGCTGGCGGGGGGCTGGCGAGGGCTGCTACCAGCCGCTGTCGTACCGCTGGACACCTGCCGTACAGCGCTGGCATCTCTGGCTGCTGCTGGCGGTGCTCCGAGTAACTCGTCTAGGAGGCGCTCCACAGCAGCATTCGCAACAGGTGGGCCCGGGCGACCCACGGGTCCGTGCGCTGTTACTCCTTCCTCTTGCTGCTGTTGCTGCTGCCGTATCAAAGCCAGCTGTTCTTGCTGTTGTCGTATCAGCTCGCCTTCAAGGTCCAGTGTGGGGTCGAGCAGCCCGGCGCTAGGGGGCGGTCGCGAGGCAGCCGACCCACGGGTCACTAGGGCTTGCTGCCCGGCGCTCGCAATCTGCTCCTCGGATTGCTGCGTGAGGGCAAGCATGCGGCCCAGAGCCGCCCGCTGCTCCAAGGCGTGCGCCGTGTCTGTGAAGGAGGCGGAGGAGAGGTATGAAGGAAAAGGGCGGTGAGTCGTGTGGGACGCGTGGGGGGCGGGGGTAGTTGCCATTAGTGGAATACGGTAATGCGAGGAGCGGGGTATGTGTCCTGAGCAGGCGCAGGGGCAACGAAAGAATGCGGATGGACTACGAGGCAAAGACACCGGCGAGGGCAGGGTGGCCAGCAAACAGACAGCACTGGGCGCGAATGGGGTTGGTAAGGGAGACTGAGGGCAAGCCAAACGCATGGTTACGGTGTTATCTCAGCAGTGACCCAATGTCAAGCAACATGGTGTGCCTACGTCTGCATGCGCCGTCTGCATGTAAGCTACCCAACCCAGGCGCCGCTCCTGCACCTGCCGCTTCCTATTCCCATTGGTCTGCCCCAATCTGTGGTTTCCTATGGTTCGGTATGGTCTTTGACACCCCAACGCACCTGCGTCCCAGCGTCTAGCCATGTGGGCCAGCACCTTGGTCATCCCCGCCTCTTGTGTCGCACTGCCCTCTCCCCCTCCGCCGCCGCCGTCGCCGCCTCCCTCGTCCCCCATGCCGTCACCATGCGACTCCCGCTGCCCTCCGGCAACATCCTCCTCTCCTTCCTCCTCGTCATCCGTTGCCATGTCGCCATAGCCTCCTCCGCCCTGGCGGCCGACCCATGGGTTATCCACGCCACCTCCTCGGGTACGGCGTCCGTTAGCGGTATGGCTTGTTCCGTACAGCAACAGGGGACCGTTGACGGCGCCGGTTGCGAAGCCTCTGCTGGTATGTACGACACCTAGCGCATCTGGGTGCCCCTGCTGCTGCAGCGGTTGCTGCTGCTGCTGTTGCGGTTGCTGGGGTGGCTGGTTGGAATGGGTAGGAGGATGCTGTGGGCGCTGCTGTTGATGTGTTGCCCTTCGCGCATCATCAGGAGGCGGCGGAGGCGGTAGTAGGACTTGCGGTGGCAGTGGCTCTACCTGCGGTAGTAGTAGTGGTGGTGGTGAGGAGGAGGAGGAGGAGGAGGAGGAAGAGGACGGTGAGACCGCGGCATAAGGTCGGGTTATGGCTGGGCAGGGTTACCTGCACCCCAAGGACCCCCCATGCCTTGGGGTGGGCAGGACCCGGCACCTAGGACATACCCCTACCCCCACCCCGCAGCCCCCACCTGTGCGGGCAGCAGGTATGCCGTACGCCAAGGACCCAACTGAAGCGGCCCCAAAGCGCCGTACACTCCTCCTCCGCCTCCGTCGCCGCCACCAATCCCGTCAGCGGCAGCAAAGCTCCCGCCCGTATCTGCACGCCCGCGGGGCCTATGACGGCCCTGCTGTTGCTGCCGCTGATCTCCATCCTCCTCCTCCTCATCGTCATCACCCCAACCAGAGCCCCCCTCGCCGCCCTCCTCATCGTCCTCATCACTCTCAGCTCGCATGCCGCCCATGCGCACATCACCGCCCCTGGCTCCTGTACGGCCGCCACCGCCACCACCGCCACCACCGCCCCCGGGGCGACCCAGATCGCTTCCTTCTGCCGCCCCCGCCACCACCACCACAGCCGACACAGACACCGCCAACGCGACGGAAGCGGCGCCGCCGCCGCCGCCTCTGCTGCCACCTCCGCCACCACCGCTGCCAGGAGCAGGCGCCAGGGCGACCGTGAATGCCGACGGCAGCGGGACGGCCAACAGCGCTTGCACTCCGGGGACAACGAACAACCGCTGCAACGACCAGGGGGAGCAGCAGAAGCCTTGACCATGCACCTCTGCTACAGCTGAGGCGGAACCACTGGCCCCGCGACCCCGCTGCTGTTGTTGCTGCTGCCCCTGCTTCCTCCGCTGCGTCTCTAGCTTCTGCCGCACCCGTACCACCACCAAGCTCCGGTTCACGTCACCGCACAGCGCCCCCGCAAAGAAGACCCCGCCGCCGCCCTGCGAATGCCGACTGCGGCGGCGGTTATGTTGCTCCGCGGCCGCAGCTCCGCACTCGTCGTCATCGCCGCTGTAGCGGTAATGGTCGTTATCGGGCCCTGCTGCGTCGTACGGTTCATCGGTTGCTGGCGCAGGCAGCTTCGCCAGGCGAGGCAGGAGGCATATGGACTCGACCGGACCTGCAGTACATGGGGGGGGGTTGAAGTTATAGGGTATGTAGGAGAGTGTCAGGGAAGGAGGATTTGCGGGCAGATGTAAGCAGGGTCAAGACAAGCTGGGTGTGCGTCCCCGGCAAAACAGGTAAACAGGTAAACCCGCCCTGTGGCTGCTTCCGCTCAACTGCCCTTCCACTAGCTGACCTTCCTGTAACAATGTGTAACAAGCAGCGGTAAGAGTTGTAGTATTTTACCCCTCCCTACGGCACCCCGCCCTACAGCATGCATGCGACCCCCTAACTGCATGCATGTCCAGCAAGTGCTACTTGTCCTACTACCCCACACCCCTGCCGGCAAACGCGTATAACGGCTACCCAGGAAAACCTGTTCCTTCAACACACCACTATCCTGCACCCTGCGTTCCTAACAACAACGCCGGCCTTCCGTAACCCCGCAGATGCTCACCGGGAAGGGTTACGGAAGGCGCAGCCACAGAGCCGCCCTCCGCAGGATGAACATGAACGCTACCATTTGCTACGGCCGCCGGCATACGTGCCGTGCCGTTGCCGTACGCCCCATGTACGAAGTGTTCAGGCGTCAGCAGCTGCAACCGCCCGCTGCTACAGCCGACCAGGGTAGCGGGGTACGGCAGCTGTGGCAGGTTTGCTGTACAATCGGTTCCTATGTCGGCATCTGGCTGTAGCACCTTTCGCCGCTGCCGCTGCTCGCGCCAACCTTGCTTGCTGAGACTAGATCCGCACCTTTCCGGTGGCAGGTACGGCAACAGGGGGCAACTGGCCGTGACTAGATCCGGCAGTTGTACGGCAACAACGCAATCTGTACCAGCGCTGGCAACGTCAGCAGACCCGTTAGCTGCTGCTGTTGCCGCTGCCGCTGCACCAGTCCCGGCAGAGGCCCCCAAGACACCTTCACCACCGCCGCCGCCGCTACCACAGCCTCTGGCAACGCAACTGTCGTACATCCCGTCCTCCTCCGCATTCAGGCTAAACCTCAGCAGCATGCAGCGATTGCGGCTGCTGCGGGTGCCTTCCGCCTGATCTTCTTCGTCACGGGAGGCGTTGCGTTGGCCTGCGTTGCTGCTCCTCCAGCCATTGCCGTAATCAGGTACCGAGGAGGAAACCGCTGCTGCCGCTGCTGCTACGGAGGTAGCGCCGCCATCCTTACTGGTGCGTGTTGCTGGCGACTGCGGCGGCGGAACTGCCAAATCCACCAGCACCCGTCCAGCAAAGCAGCAGCATGACAAGAGGGTGCTGTTGCTGCTACAGCCGCGGATGGCAGCAGCACTTGCAGATGCGGCCGTAGCTGTTGCCGCTGCTACGTCCAAGTCAATGACCTTGCAGGCAGGCACGCTGGTACCGCTGCTACAAGGAAGGGCAGGAGCTGTGCAAGCAGAAGCATTCGCGGCTTCCTTCGCCTCCTCCGCTTCCGCAGCGGACGGGAAGGGACGTTTGCCAGGGGGCAGTTGCTTCATCCTGCCTTCACCGGCACTGCAACCAGCAGCTCCTTCCTCAGCAGCACGACGGCGTTGCTGTTGCTGGTACTGAGCTAGCAGGTGCTGCTGGCCCTCCTCCCCTGCTGAGGCGGCGTACAGGGCAGCTCCGAAACCCAGCAGCAGGATGCGCTTTGGGGCTACGAGAACAGCGGCCCAGGCTCCACCACCACCACCTCCACTTCCGCCACCGCTACCTGCGAGGCGACATTGCATCTGCGCTGCGAGAGCTTCTAGACCGCCTTTATTTCCACCAAAGCCGCTATTGAGGTATGTGTTGCTTAAACGGCTTCCAAGAGTGTCGGTCACGTCTAAGCGCGCAACCTCCTTCAATGACATGTCAATGGATGGCTCAGGAGCGGGAGCTGGATTCTGAGGCGGATAGCCACGTGCTGCCTCAGTATGCCCAAAGGCACCATCAAGCATTCCCTCAGCAGTCCCAGCTGAGGGTGAGATGCAGGAGGCGAGGCTGTGACGCGGCTGCACAGCCCAAATGTGGAGCAGCAGGTGCTGCGTAAGTTGACCGTTGCAGGCCTCATCTGCTGGCCAGCCGGGTTTCAAGAGACCATTGTGGTCTTCGGAAGACACCGATGCGGTGATGATGACTGAGCGAGGTCCAGCGGCTCCGCGGCTGTCCTGGACGATGCCTCCCGCCAGCATGACATGGCCTGCTGGTAGGGTCGCACCAGCGGCGACAGACGTGGAAGCTGTGATAGCATTTCGTACATCATAACTGTCATGGCTCGACGCGGAGGTGCGAGCGTCGGCTTGTACTAGCGGCAACAGGCCAATGTGTTGCTGCCCATCGGGCCTAACGGTATGAGCTATAACAGCATTCTGCACAGAATGATCAATCCACTGCATATTAGGAGTGCAGGTATTAACTCTGTGTTGTTTGGAGGCTATGCAACACGCGCCCCTCATGGAACGTTGCGCAGTGCGCCATATGTGAGTCGCTTTGGGTTAAACATTGCTGACATGCAAATCTGTGCAGGGTCGATCATGCTTATTATATCTTGCTTTCTACGCCATGTCCCCTCTCCCGCGCAATCTATCTAGTACGGCAATGGGGCTTTCAGGAGTCCTACGCATCAAGGGAACAGTACAATTACATACGCCGCTTTGCCAGTAAGAAAGAGCGCTATCCACAATATCATAGCGTTGAGCATAGCATCCTACCTAGTATGACGCTAACCGCTGCTGCAGTACGGCGTTTTCGGGGCTCTCTGGCAACACAGATTCAGGACCAACCTACCAGCTTCACCTGCCAGCGGTGATCACCACACAGTGCGGACAGTTGCGGCTGCTAGTATCCTAGCTATTACAGTGTTTGCTGCTGTTTAGCGTTGACCTACTGGTTAGGGCGCTGTGCCTCACATCCCAACCGGTGTTTCATAAGACTCCCTTAAACTGTCTAGTCCCTAGTTAGCCCGTTTAAGACACCGTTGTCTCACCACACTCCCCCAGGAAGTTTCTCCGTGCCCACTCACGGCGTGACCCATTTGCCAGGGGAGAGGACTACCGGTACTTAAAAGACACCTGGGCCGCCTGCACCCACTTTTGGGGTGGGGATCGGCCAGGACTACCCTGGGATGTGGTGTCGTTAAACCCAATTTCCCCATCCGTTGGGTCAGCGCACGAGCGCGCCCCGCTTGACTGTGACTCTTTGCTTTGACAGCTTTATGAATTACTCGGCACTCTTACAGTGTGTGCTACTAAATTGCCGTCATCTGTATGCAAAGCCGTCGATCTGCGCAAGGGAGACTGGGCTCGCTAGCCAGGTATGCGCTGGTCGGGAAGTCCATCCATACTGCACCAGTCATACAAGCGCCTAACGCATCACATCACCAACCTCCTCACACTCATCAAAGCATGTTAAACATAGAAAATACTTTATCGTTCGGCAGGAAGAAATAAAAGCCATAGTTGCCGTACGCTGTAAGTTGTGGCGACGAGTCTTTCCCGCACCATCTTCCTTGCTGGTCGCTACACCGCGAACTTTACACCGTGACGCACTAGCCTTTTATACATTAACCATGGCCGCTGCTATGCCTGTTAGCGGGTCGGGCGTCCGCCTGCCCACCCGCACATTATCTGCCGCCAGCACTAGCCGCATGGCGTTCGGATTCCCCAGCGTCTCTCGGACACCAACTCGCAGTGTTACGACCATGGCTGCTAAGGGTATGTTATCGTCAGCTGTAGGCAGCGCTGGCTATCCTTGCTCAGCTTAGTTATCGCAAACATAACGACAGATTTTGCTATGCTATCATATCAAATAATTGATATCATAATGCTTGGAAAAATTATTTGCGGCCAACGACGCAGCCCAATTGACGTTTGCGCATGCTTTTGGTGTGGCTGTACGCAGTCACTGGCAAGATCAAGCTAGCTTTGCCAGCTGGAAAGGCGAACCCTGCTCCTCCTGTTGGCCCTGCTTTGGGTTCAAAGGCAAGCTCTTGGTCCTTCTTTATCAGCTGACCAACTCTACAGCACCATATAAGCATTTTTGCCCGGTATGTAGGGTGTGAACATCATGGCCTTCTGCAAGCAATACAATGCCGAGACGGCAAAGATGATCGGCGATATCATTCCTGTGGAGATTACCGTTTACGAGGTGCGCATCGTGGTAATCCGCCCCTCCTTGCTGCCGCGCGCTCACAACCTGCCCTTCTCATCCACCATACAGGATCGCAGCTTTACGTTCATTCTTAAGACGCCACCGGCTTCCATTCTCCTGAAGAAGGCAGCTGGTGGGTCCTGAGCTTTGGGATGCCTGTTGGTCCAGGGGGCGGGAAGGGCGCGGCATTTCCATGACCTAGTACCCGCCGCATCCCTGTGGGGTCGGGGGATGATACAGGAGCAGGCAAACTGCATGGGGACCTTAGCCATCCATTCAGCCTGTGGGCGGGGGAGGTGTCCAGGAGTGTTGCATGCCCTAGTGGGAGTTGGGGCCCAGGGAGCGCACCTGGGTAACTCGGGGTGACACATTGAGGCGCGTACTGAGCAATTCGTCGGCCGGTCCAAGGCGCAACCAAGGGGTGCCAAGTCGCAGCCTAGCCCGGTACCCGGTGCGACAGCTGCCGGTTGCCGTGCACGCGGCTGTGTACGGCGCTGTCTACTCCACCCACAGGTCCCCCATCCCCATGCACCCCATTCCCGTACCCCCCCCCTTCCGTACACCCAGGCATCGAGCGCGGCGCCGGCAAGCCCAACAAGGAGGTGCTGGGCCAGGTGACTCGCAAGCAGGTGGCGGAGATCGCGGCGAAGAAGCTGCCGGACACCAACGCTACGCAGCTGGAGTCGGTGGCGCGCATGATTGAGGGCACGGCGAAGAACATGGGCATCAAGGTGGTGGATTAAATATAATAAGTTAAGCCTTTGGATAGCCTCCAACTCCTTTTAATTGAGAGATTGGGAGGAAACCTGGAGCAGGAGCGGGGGAGCAGGAGTGGGCTCCGGGGGCTCATAAAGGGACGTGACGGGGCGCGGGTGTGGTGTCCTCGCGCATGCATGCGAGCATGTGGGCTGGGATGTCGTACGAGGCTGTACGGTGTTTCGAGTATAGGTGTAGGAGAAGGAGGGGGGAAGAGTATGGGAGAGGGGCATGGCGTGGATGGCTTTCTCTTTGGTAAAAGCAGGACTCACCAGCCATAGCAGCCGAACGCGCGCCACACGTTGTACGGAGGGTACGTGCCTAGGCAGCAGCGAAGGGCGTGTGCTTTACCCCTGAACCGCCGCTGGTTGGCACCCGCACGAGGACGGCATGTTTGCACGTACAGTGAAGTGGGGCGCTGCGATTGGTAAGGCATCCGCCCCACTGCATGTCTAGCATGTGGCGTCTCTGGAGGGGTGTGAGGGGTATTGATGCGGACGAGCCTGCTCAGCAGCCCAGGTTGCTGTTGCTGGGGTGTTGTGAAGACCGGATGTGGGCTTTAGACCCTTCTATGGCTATTCGGCTGAGGTAACGGCCAAGCTCATGGCTTTAGGGCCCTCACCGGAGTCCCTCGTAGCATGGCCATGAGGTGTTGGGTGGCCATGGGCGTTTGTGGAAGGAGTGTTATATGGCGCTGGGTTGCTGTTTGGGGAAGGGAAGGATCGCGGGTTGGACTGCTGCTGCACCGATGTGGAATGACGACGCAGGTCCGGGAGTCTAGAGGGACAGACTTGAACGTGAAGTGGGCTTCTGTGTGTGTCCTGCTGGCCGCTTACCTGGTTGGCGGATTGGACATCGGGCTTTTTTTGTGGTTGTACAACAAGAGAGGATGCTGCGCAGTTTTCCCGGGGGGAGGTCGCCCAAGGCCGATTCTCCCCTTGCGTCTTGCATATCTTGACATCCGTCAGACTATGTGGACGTATGAACGTTATTGCGGCGTGTGCTTGCAAGGATCGTGCCGTTCTACTAGGCCGGAACGCAATTTTGAGTTCAAGCGTGAAGGCAGTGGTGGGCGGACCGTCCGCGTATTATAGACTGACGGATACCGGGCCTTTGTCATGTGCTGATTTGGAGGCATGGGTATGTAAACGTCTTGGTCTTGTTGTGCTCCCTTGCACTACCATGCCACCGTTTTTTGCGTTTCGTCAAAGGCATGGCATCAGTGGCGCTCAAGACCCACGGGCCGCGTATCGTACAGCATGTGAAGGCTGTATTCCCTCTAAGCCGGATGATGGGCCGTCTGTCAAGCCCACGAGATACAGTTGCATACTGACGGATACCAAAGCCAGGGACCAACAACACCCCCAGTGCTCACCAGTATGGATTACCTTTGACGAGAGGTACCCGTGGCCTGTTAAAGGAAAGCTCGTGAGTTATTTAATACAGATGGATCCAAGGCGCCGGCACCCCGGCAGCATACCGCCGTTACTCTAGTAGGATGCACGCGTAATCACAGGCAGGCTGGTCAGGTCCTTGAGACAGTTTTTCCTATTTATTCTTAGAGAGACTGACGTGTTTTCTCGCTGGCGCTACATGTCAGATAATTTGCATACTGCTACGGCGTGGCATTAAAATGGCTTACGAGACCCATGGACCGCAAATGTACAGCAGTATATAGTATATTCGCTGTAGGCCGTTGTATCGCATCAGAGTGCTTGCCTTTGGTTGGTGAATTTAAATATGCGTGTGGTATAGCAGAGTACACACTGCGCTTTACTTTGAAAGCAACTGTCTGTCAAACCTAGGTGATCCGCCGATCCCGCTGCAAAAATGACGTATACGAAGGCCAAGGGCCCGTAACCTTACTGCCCGCATGCGACCATGCTACACTTTTCCTGGACCCTTTCTCTCATGGCATTCCCTAGCTGATTGGCTCCTAGCTAAGGGGCAGGAATGCTATAAACAATAAAGAGCGGTTAAGCGCGATGCTGCCACAAGCAGATTTCGGTATATAAAAGCCTTGTTAGAACCGAATGGCCAGATGCTTTGGAAGATACAGCCTGGCGCTGACTGTATCTTCAATAGTTGCGTGCGCACTCGTTGTCCTACCGTTAGTCAATGCTAGGTCAACAACTTCGAGGACATTAGCTCAAGTCCAGGGCTGTCGTCCTAATGAAGTATCAAAGGAGGAGCGCTGCGCGTATGTGCGCGAACATGCTGACTGCATGCCAGACGACGGGTGGATTCCATACCTGGAGGTCCACTACTGCTACTTGGACCAGCTGTAAGGACATATTCGATATACTACTTGTGCGCGAAATTGGGAAACCCTACCCTAGTTGACGCCATGACGCGCTGGCCCCCAGGGAGCTGGCATCGACAGCTGTCTTCTTGCTGTGGATTGGCGCCCTCTTTGGCCTTATGCTTATGGTCGCGGAACGCTTCTTCTGCCCGAGCCTCGAGCTCATCGCCGAGTACTTGCGGCTTCCGCCCTGCGTGGCTGGAGCGACATTGCTAAGCTTCGGCAACGGCGCGCCGGACGTGTTCACGCAGCTAGCTGCGATCAGCTCGGTACGTTGCACGGGTGAAGAAGACTTCCCCGCGCTGTGCTCATGTGAATGCCAAGCATCCTGGAAGATCCTTTGCAGGCGTGAAAACAAGCCACCACGAGGTTTTCACCTGTAATACACACCCACACGCACACGCGCCACCAAAACCCGCACCCATACTCTCCTCCTTCCCATCTACGTTCCCACCCATGCGCCTTTCCCATACCTCCCGCCAACCCAACCGCCAACCCCTGCCTCACAACCAACTGGGCCCCACCAACAGGGCGACGACACGGGCGGCAGCAGCCCGGGCGCCATCTCCATGGCTCTGAGCGAGCCGCTGGGCAGTGGACTGTTCGTGGGCAATGTGGTGTTCGCACTGGTGCTGTTCTGCTCGGGGGCGAGGGAGGTGAGGGGGCGCGGGAGGTGAAGGGGCGCGGGAGGTGAGGGGGCGCGGGAGGTGAGGGGGGGAAGAGGGGAGAGGGGGAGGAGGTGGGGAGGGAGGCGGGACAGGACTGGGGCGCTGCTGGTGGCAGGTGGTGGCGTGAGGTGTTGGGTGGGCCGGGCCGCAGAGGCTGGGGTGACGTGGGTGGGTGGGGGGGGGTGGCAGGTGGTTGGCGTGTGGGGCCCCGGCATGTCTGCAGTAGGCAGTGGCTGGCGGCTGGCGGCTGCGAGGGAGCCCGCAGAGCGCTCTGCGTGGGGGGGGGGGTAGCTGCGCGGGGCGTGTGCTGGCGGCATCACGTTGTGTGCCTTCCTCCGCCTGACTGCCTTCCCCTGTTACAAACCCGCCTCTCCCTCACCCTCACCCAACCACCCCCTCGCCACCCCAACTATGCAGCCCGATGCGGATTGCGTTTCCCTGTCCATACCCATCCCCCGCCCCCCCAACCCCCCATCGTCAGTGTCTCATATATATATGTGTGTGTGTTTTTACCCACTCCCCCAGGTTCGGGTGCAGCGGCGCTACTTCCTGAAGGACTGCCTCTTCTACCTGGCGGGGGTGGTGGGGGTGCTGGGCTGCCTGATGCGGGGGGTGGTGAGAGGGGTGGGGGTGCTGGGCTGCCTGTTGCGGGGGGTGGTGAGAGGGGTGGGGGTGGGAGGTGGGAGGTGGGGTGGGGGGTGGTGGGTGGTGGGGATGGTGGGAGTGGGGCGGGTTAGGGGACTCATGGGGCATTGGTGAAGGGCCGCAACCAAGGTGTGTATAGGAGTATAGCAGGGTCTTCTTCTTCTCCCTCTGCTGCTCGTTTCCACACACACTCGAGGTTCACATGCGAACCTCTCCCAATTGCTTGCTCTTGTCCTACTCAACTACACACCTGCCCTGCCCTGCCCTGCCCCCCCCCCTCCCGCCCCCCCTCAGGTCACCGTGTGGCAGGTGGCCGCGCTGGCTGCTCTCTACCTTGTCTTCATGCTCACCACCGTGCTCATGTCGCGGGGCGACGAGCCGGTGCGTGCCGACCCGCGGCTGCACGAGGTGCCGCACCGGCTGAGGCAGCTGGACAGCTACCTGAGGGGTGGGGGGGGGGAGGCGGGGGGTGGGGGCCGGGTTAACACTTGGGGTGGGTTACGGAAGGAAGGGAAACTGGGACTTACCGTATGACAGGCGCTGGGGAGGCGGGTGGATTGGGTGAGGTGGAGGATGAGGAGCATGCATCCCCAGCTGGTGCTGCACCGCTCTCTCCATGCCCGACCCAGATCCCCCTTGCTTCCCTGCCAATACGGGCTACGACCTCGCATCACCCCTCCTTCTGCAGCCCGTCACCTGTCACCCTGCCCCCGCGCCGTCGTCATGCTGCATCGCGCACACACGCCACGCGCACACACGCGCACATCCCAGTACGTTCCTACTCGCGGCCAGTTTTCTTAACACACGCCCTTGCAGAGAGCTTTCGACGAGTGGACCCCCCCTCACTCCTGCTCCTCCCCACGGAGGAGGAGGAGGAGGAGGCGGACTTTGAGAGCGGCCTAGCGCCGCCAGACCTCGTGACGGTCATGGGGTGGCCCCTCCCTGCTGCTGCTGCTGCTGCTGCTGCTGCTCACGAAGCTAACGCCGCCGCTAACAACAGCAATAACAACAGCGACAGCGAGAAGAACACCAGAACCAGTTTGAACGACGGCGGTTATCATCACCGCGACAACAGCTGCAGCAACAACAGCTGCAGCAGCACTCTGACTGTGTTGCCGGACCCGCTACAGTCGCTGCGGGAGGAGGAGCAGGAGGGCGACGAGGTGCTGTTGTTGGGACTACCGCCGGCGGGTGAGGCAGAGGCAGGGGCAGGGGCAGGAGCCGTAGAAGCAATGCGGTGCAGCTGCGTTGAGGAGGGCACGGCGGAGGAGGGGAAGGAGAGGGCGTGGGATGGCAAGCAGCCCTCCCCTCCTCCTCATCCTCCTCCGCAGCAGCAGCAGCAACAGCTCCCGGCATCCCTCAGTGGCGTGAAGCTCCAAGCCCCGGACCCACGCCCCACCATCAACGCCACCTCCGCAACTCCGCCCCCCGCGTCAACCCAAGCAGCAGCCACCCACACGCCTGCCGCACCCCCACCAGCAACCCAGGTTGCAGTAGTACGGGTGCCGGCAGCAGCAGTGTCGGCGACAACCCAAGCAGCACCAGCAACAGCAACAGCAGCAGCGTTAGCGACTCCGACAACAACAACAACAACAGCAGCGGCGCCGCCGCCGGCCGTGGCAGCGGCGGCCCGCTTACCGGTACTGCAGGAGGCGGTTGGGGCGGCGGTTGGGGCGGTTGAAGCGAGTCCCACGAATCCCGATTCCGTCTCTCCTCACCGCATCAGGACTGCAACAGTCACAGCAGAAGCAGCAGCAGGAGCGGCCCCACAGCCATTCAGGACGGCCACCGCTCCCTGGGACCAAGAGGCGGGAGAAGAGGAGGAGGAGGAGGTGGATGAAGAGGAGGGAGGCGGGTTTGGCCGCAGGGGCAGCCAGTTGCGGGCGCCGTTGCTGCTGCCCCCGCTGCCGTCTCGGGAGGACAGTGGTCGCCCGCCGGGCGGGTTGCAGCTGCTGTGGCGACGGCTGGAGCGGCCGGGACTGGCGCTGCTGTCGGTCTTCATGCCCCGAGTGGGTTTGGGGGGGAGGGCGAGTGGGGGGCGGGCGGAGAGTGTCGTAGGATGCATGGAGCCGCGTAGCGGTGTTGTGGGGTTGTTGGGGTTCGGGTTCGTGGATAAGGCGGATAAACAGTGGACAACATTTCGTCTTCCATTACGTTGCTGCCCGGCCCCCCCTCCCGCCGCCGCCGTTCTTCCTTCCCTTGATACCATAAACCCCGCCCCCCGCCATCAGGTTGCCCGGGACGTCCACGCGCGCTACCGCAAGGCCTACGCGGTGCTGCTGCCGCCGCTGCTGCCCACCCTGCTGGCCATGGCGCTGCAGGGGGGCTGTGGCCTCTCCGGCGGAGGGGCCTGTTGGGCGGGGCTGGTGGCGCAGCCGGGGTGGCAGGTGGGCACCGCTGTGGGGGTGGTGGTGGCGGGCTGCGTGGCGAGGTGGTACCCGCGCAAGGGGCACCTGCATGGCACTGCGGCAGGTGAGCGTGTGCGGGTGTTTGTGTGTTGAGGAAACTGGCTGCATGTGAGGAGGGGAGGAGGGAGAGGCGGGGGGCTTGGCTGTGTGAGGGGGAGGGCCTGGCCCGCGCGCTTCCTCTGCTTGGGCGCTTCGTCATGCCGCCCCCTATCCCCATTACCTTGCCCTAACTTGTGGTCTCCTATGGTTTAGTACCAGTATGGTCTTTGACCTCCCCGCCCCCCCCCTTCCCCCCCCCGCAGGCATCGCCACCGTGGTAGTGTTCCTGCAGTCCATGGTCCTGCTGAACGGCTCGGCGGGTGAGCTGGTCCGCGCCGCCCTGGCGCTGGGCCAGATCTACGGCCTGAGTCCCAGCCTGCTGGGGGCGAGTCTGCTGGCCTGGGGAAACAGCGTGAGCGACCTGGTGTCGAATACCACACTGGCACGGGTGAGGCGGGGGTGGGGTTGGGGTGGGGTGGGGGGAAAGCTAAATGGAAAGTGAAGCAATGGAGTCCCATTCCGAATTTCGGGTGGGGTGGGGCTGGGGGTGTTTAGACAGCTGGCTGCGAGGAAGGACGACCGTGGAGTGGTGTGTGGGTCCAGCCTGCTTTCCCAGCAGTCCTCAAATGGGCGTTGTGTCGTTTCCATGTGTAAACGGCGGCATGTGACCGGTGCATGTGTTGGATTGCTGCCTGGGGCGGGCAGCGGCTGTTTGGTGGTGGCGAACAATGGTAACAAGAACCCCCTAGACAGCTCCCACGCAACCCAATGTTTCCAACGGCCTTCCTGCCCCCATGTTCCCTTGCTCTTTCTCCCCTCTCGTGTTGCTCATACCTGTTTGCGGACTGCCGGTATGTATATTCTATCCAACCCCCCAACCCCTCCCCCACCAGGACGGCCTGCCCTGCATGGCCATCACCGCCTGCTTCGCCAGCCCGCTGTTCGTGCTGCTGGCAGGTGGGGTCGTGAACACGGGAGAAGCTGTTGTAGGGGGCAGAGGGCTGCGGGTTGTTTGCATGCTACCGCTATTTTGCTTCATCTGGCGGCGCCCGTTGCCTGCGTCGTATCGTTGCGCGTTCTTGCGTTTTCTGCTACCACTGGTATACCACTGGTATGCCCCCACCACGCCACCACTGCTCTCTTTTCGCTGCAAACACCCTGTCTCAGTTCCCTACCATGCATGACTGCGCCGTTGCTTTGCACCCTTACGAATGCCACGTACGACCTTACCCCGCCCGCTCCCTCCCTCCCTCCTCCCAGGTCTGGTGACCTCCCTGACCTACGCCACCCGGCACGGCGACATGGCCCTCCCACACGACCTGGCTCTGCGTGTGTTGTACGGCCTCTCAGCTGCCATCCTGCTGATGTGGGCGCTTGTCGTACCGCTGGTCTTCCGCTTCCGACTGACGAAGCGGGTTGGGTTCCTGGCGCTGGCAGTGTATGCGGTTTATCAGTGTGTGTATATAGCGGCGGTGCTGCATGACAGCAGCGGCAGCAGCAGGGGGCGGGCGGAGTAGGACGCACGGAGTACTGTGGAGGCGAATGCTTGCGGCGAATGGAGTATTCACTTCAGGGTTTCCGTACTTTTGACGAGATTCTTTTTCCTTACTTGGCGGGTTCTCTTTCCTTGCGTCGCGAAAAGGAAAGGAAAGAGGTGCTTAGGATGAGGCGCATGCAAAAATGTAACCTTCAAGCTTATGGCGTGTGTAGTTAATGGAATGGGCCGCGTAATTGACTAATGACCATTCTGTAGATTTTCAATGCATTCGACAGAGAAGAGAAATTCATGGGCGGCCTGTGTGGCGTGTGTGTGTGTGTGTATGTGTGAGGCACTGACGTGACCCAGAAACGCCGCGACGGCGGGCCTTTTCGAGCCTCTACCCTTTCCTGTACAGCAATGCCGACGAGGCATTCTACATCTTTTCTCTTTTTTACCCGCCAAGATGTATAGACTTTAACCGTTTTAACCTTTGGAAAGGTCTGGAGGCGTTGACGCCTGTGTGAGTAGACCATGATGCGGGAACATGTCAACATCATCTGCCGTACGAATGCTGTATGTACGTACTACAGAAGTGTTGGCGCATGGGTGCGATGTCCGAAATGCGTCCGACAATTCACCCATTTGGCAATGATGTACACGTCGAGCTTTGTGTAGTACATGTCCTGGATACCCCATCGTGAAGGGTCTAGGCAAGACGCATCTCCAAATACCGGTAGGTCCCGTTTAACGGTGTTCATCCTTTTGTCGAGGCTTGTACCGGTATCACAGCCTCGCCTTCTAGCGCAGCTGGCTTCGAACGTAGCTGGTCGCATACCAGTATCCCATCTAGGAGACAATGCGTGTTGTATGGGGCTGAAGGTGTTGAGGTCGTTTCTATGCGTGAGGAGCGCGGAGGGCTTTGACCTGCCTGGTGGTTGGGGCCTGCCAGCCGGACAGGTTGTTTCCCCCAACTTTAGTGACTTTTTACAACATGATCGGAAACCGCTACCGCTGCACTAAGCCGTTCACTAGGAGGAACAACCCTGTGCAGAAGGTCACAGGGCACTTGGCAACCGGGGACCATGTGCCATTGGCACGACCCGAGGCGCCAGGTTCAGCGTCCACATCTATGTTAACGGTTACAGTCTGTACGAGTGTACGGGCTGTCCGTACGAGCCAGGAGGGCCAAGAACACCTATGTGTACCGGTACGACAGCTGTCCCATGTGTGCGCGGGAAGTGGACTTTGCGCTTGCAGTTGGATCCCTTTGACGGAAGAAGCCATACGGGCTTGCGCTGCAAGTATTTACTAGCCGGTGAAACTTCAGTCGGGGCTGAAAGCACAGGCTGACCCATGGGTCATAGCGCGCTCATGGCTAGGAGGGATGAACCCTGCGGCTGCGATTTTGCCGGGACCGGAGCACCTTCATTGCCCCTTCTTTAAGAGCTGCAGTATAACCTTTCGAACGAAATTGTTACCATTTCTGCTACTGCACAAGTTCACACCAGTTCCACCGCTCGCAGGCGCTTTGTCCGCTGTAAAATCATCCGGCGCAAAAAAATCATCCGGCGCAACTGCGCGTCTCCAACACAGGAGGAGTGCCGCTAGGTTTATGAAGATACTAAAGTACGCTTACAAGCGGTCGCTTTGGCTTCTTTTGGAGCAGTATGTGTGCATATCTGCGGCTTTTGTAGTCAGCGGCCGCACAACAATAGAACCCCTTGCAAGATTTCTGCAAACGCTAAAGTACCGTTATGACCGCCTCCTGCAGGCTGCCGTCTTGCAGGAATGCTTTATCCTACGCCTGCGCCCATGTGTGATGGCTTCATGCCGTACGGTGCGTGGATCCCAGGACAGAAGCTCAACTTGCTTGCTTACCGGCAGCTGCAAAATGTTTTGCGTCGCTACATCGCTTTGCGTTTTAGCAAGCTGCCCCTAGCTGCGGACGGTTCCGACGGGTGCAGCAGAGTCCTGGAAGCGGCGGCACTTCGAGCAGCTTTTTAAGACTTTATAATGCTGTGCCGCATGAGTATTCTACTATGCATACGGGACGCCTAAAGGTTCCTCAGGGTCAATCCAGTCAAGTCCAGCAGCGGCCTGAGCTCCTGCCTGAGCTCGTGCCTACGACCAAGCAAAGCTTCGGTTGCTTTAGCCCAAGCTTCCGGCTTCTGCGTTACCAAGCAGATGGCCCAAACGCGAACTGGCAGTCTACATCGCTGTCGTGTGGCGCGTATAGAGGCCGTAGGTAGGTGAACGGCTGCGAGCTATCGCCCAACCTTCACGCCCTCCCTTACGCTTTTATAGACGGCTCCGCTCTAGTCCTGGTCCTGGCCCAATACAATAGAGTTATGTATGCCAGGGTTCTTGCATTTCCCTGCTCGGCAGCCTGCTTAGCTGCTGCTGCTGCTCCTGTATGTCCTCCCTTACCTCCCAGGATTCAAGTGTTTTCGCGATGCGGTGGATGTGGTCATTCCGGATCCCGGCCTGGTGTGTATCGTGGGGCCCAACGGATGCGGCAAGAGCGTGCTGGTGCGTGGGGCTACGGGCGGGGGGCGGGGAGCTGATGCATGATCTGGGATGTGGATCAGGATCTTTATTCCGGAAAATGTGGGTCGGAGATTTGGGTCGGGAATGTGGGTCAGAGATGTACGTAGGGGATGTGGTTCAGAGGCATGGGTCGGGATGTGGGTCGGGGGTTAGGGTTGGGGATAAGACCCGGGTATGTGGGTCGGAGCAAGAATTGGGTTTGTGGGGGGCACTAAGACATGCACATGCACATGCTTGCCATTTAGCAGCCATCTGGGTCAGCCCATCTGGGTCAGCCCATCTGGGTCAGCCCATCTGGGTCAGCCCATCTGGGTCAGCCCATCTGGGTCAGCCCATCTGGGTCAGCCCATCTGGGTCAGCCCATCTGGGTCAGCCCATCTGGGTCAGCCCTAATCCTACCACGTTGGTCGCTTCATCTTACTCTACAACCCCAGCAACATGCTTCCAACTCCCACATTCGCCTCCTCTGTCCTCCTCCTCCTCTGTCCTCCTCCATCTTACATATTTTCCTCCCTTCTTCCCTCTTTTCGTGTCACTCCTCTCTACTCTCTCCTCTTAACCCTCTCCCCAACCACCACCTCAACCACCACCTCAACCTCAGGGTGAATGCCTCGCCTTCGCTCTAGGTGGCGGTCGCCAGCTGCTCCGCGCCCGCAACCTCGCCTCCCTCATCCACCAAGACTATCTGAAACCGCAACAACCTCCACAACCACCCCAACTTCCACAACCACCTCATTCAAAACTACCCACGGTACGACAACAACAACAGCAACAGCGACCTCCGCCCCATGTGGCTGTTACCTTTGAAGTTTCCGCCGCCGCCGGCGACAGCAATGTTCTACCTTCCATCAAAGTGGAGCGGAGGCTCGTAGTGACGGCGACGGCGGCCGCCTCCGCTGGCGGCGGCGGCGGCGGCGGCTCCCACACCTCCGCAGCAGCCCTCAGCAGCCGCAGCGTGGGTACGATAACCCGTGTCGAGATACCAGCCGGCAGCGGCCGTTGGCGCCAAACGACACAAGAGGAGTTGGCTGCCGTACTGCGACCGTACGGCATCTGTCCCGGACCGGCGGTTGACCGTTACGTGGTCTCGCAGGCTCGGCGGGGCGCGGCGGTTGAGGTTTCGGAGCCGTTGCGGTTGTTGGGGCACTTGGAGGGGCTGCTTGGGCTGGGGCACATGCAGGTCAGGAGGGGAGGGTTTGCGGGGAGGGAGGGGGGTTGAGGGGAAGATAGGAACCGGTGAATACTGGTATAGAAGTGAATCGAGGCGGCTGAGGGCTCCCATACGGCACAAGCTTCTATGCCTCCTCGTGCCAATCCCTTCCATTAGCTTATCCCGTCTTGCGCCAGCCGCAACCGCCAACCCCCTTCAACCAACACGTGTCCCGCCCCCTCCCTCCCCCATCTTCCCCTCCCTCCCCCATCTCACCCTCCATCTCCCCCTCCTCCCCCCCTCCTTCCCCCTCCCCCCTCCTCCCCCCCCCAGGAGCGGTTGCTAGCGCTGGAAGAGCAGCTACGGGACACCTCCGCGCTGCTGGACGAGCAGGAGGAGCTGGCGGGGAGGTAGGGAGGGTGGGTGTGAGGGAGCTGGTGGTGGAGGCGGGGAGTGTACCGTACCCGGCCATGACATCCTGGCGACCTCATTACTCAGGGGGCCTGCTACCTGCCGCCACACAGCTGCCCCACTCCCTGCCGCCCCTTAGCCCTGCCCTTCCCCCCCTCCCCCAGCCTCATTCAACACATTGGGTATTGTTCTTTCCCCCCTTCCCCTGCCGTACAGGTTACGCACCCGTCGAGAGGCGCTGGCCCCCTGCGTGGCCCGCTGGCAGCGTTACGAGGCCGGGGTGGCTCGGCTGGCTGGGCGGGTGGGGTCGCTGCGGGGGAGGCAGCTGCGGAGGGGGGAGCAGCGGCTGGGGCAGGCCAGGAAGAGGGTGGGTGGGGCGGATGGAGGAGATGGAGGGTTGAGCGTTGAGGGTAGGTGGTTGGAGAAATGGGTTTGGTTGGGGTTAAAGAAAAAGGGAGCGTCGGGCTTAAGGACGCCCCGATATAAACTAAAACCCTAAAACCCTAAGGAGTTGTGTGAACACGTATTGCATTGCCGTACATTGAGATCTCATTTACGGCATGCCTGTGAAACACCGGTGCTTGTACGGCGCTTGCGCATGCAGGAGGCGGCGGTGGAGGAGCGGTTGGAGGATCTCCGGCTGCGTGAGGGGGCGCTGGCGGCGGCGGAGGCGGCGGCAGCGGAGGCGGATGCGAAGGCGGCGCGGGAACTGACGGCGGCGACGGTGAAACGTACGGCAGCGGCGGCGAAGGTACTACACTGACGGGGCTGTCGTACAGTTTCGTGGGTTGTGACTGCCTGCGTGGTGCTGCATGCGTACCGGTATATGTGGGGCTCTGGGACATGCATACGGCAATCAAAATTAAGAGCTCTTTGTCCCTAGCGGCATGGGCGCATGGAGGTGCTGTGCTGCTGTGTGCGTTTGCAACGTGGATAAGCTGGGAACATGACCCTTTTCCCGTGCACGACCTTGTACTGCAACAGGTCTCCGAGCTGCGTTCAGCGCTCGCCAAACTACAAGCCCGTACGGGTATGTACGGCGAGGAGGAGACGCAGGCGGCGGCTGTCGTACAGCGGTTGAGCGGCAAGGTTTCGGAGCTTGAAAAGGAGCTGGAAGTACGGCAGGCCGAGTTGAGTCGGTTGGACGAGCAGTTGACAGCTGCAGTGGAGCAGCAAAAGAGGCAACAGCAGGAACAGCTACAGCAGCAGGAGGAGGAGGGAAACCAGCAGCAAGATGGGGAGGAGGGAGGCGGGGCAACGGTGTCGGCGGATGATGCAGTGGTGGAGGAAGCCGCTAAGGAAGCTGGCGGGAGGAAGCGAGGAGGTACCTGTAGGAAGGCGGTTGCGGCAGCTGAGGAGATTGCAGCGGCACCAGCAGCAGCAGCAGTACGCGGTACGACATCCGCTAGTACGGCAGCTGCGGCTGCGGCTGCGGTTCGTACGGCAGCTCTGTTGGGTCGCGCTGCGGAGGCGGCTGAGCGGCAGTTGGCAGGCGGGGAGCAGCGGAGGATGGAGCTGGAGGGGGAATTGGAGCAGGTGGGGTGAGGGTTGAGGGGTTTGGCGGCTTGGGTTTGGCATGCTTTAGGGATGCTTTCTTAACAATAGTCGTATATCTGTATAGAATCCCGGATAAGGCTATGTCGCCGTCAACGCTACCAAACACGATATGATAACCCACAAGGAGAATGTATACCGTACCTTCGGGTGATCATCGCGCAGCCCCATTAGATGGAATTATTTTTCAAGCTCGCGCAGGGGTGTCAGGAATTAATTTTCAGCTTCGCGCAGCTCATGTCCACCACTGCATTTTGACTGTAAGAACCCATCCATGTAAGCCCAGATCGCCAAGACAGCTATACAAATACCGCTATGTCTTCCATGGGGCGTACTAGCATGCAGCCCGGGGCTGGGCAGCGGAGATGACGGGGTGCTGGGGCATGTTGGGGGTGCGGGGAAGGGTCCCGAGGGGTTTCCCCAGTTTCACGCACCCCTCACAGCAATTATTCTATTTTGCGCGAAACTGCGCATTTTCCGAAATAATTATTTATTTTTGCGCGATGATATCGTGAAGGTACGGTAACCCACTTATCCGCGCACGCCCGTCCCCTCCAACCGCAGGCCCGACAAGCCTTAGAATGCGCGAGGTCTCGTGCCGCATCCCAGTACGACACCGCTTTACGGCAGATCCGGGAGCGGTTGAGGGCGGCTGAGCAGGAGTTGGAGCGGGAGCTGCTGGAGCTGAGGATGGCGGCAGGGGAGGGGCAGCAGCAGCAGGAGGCTGGGGCCGGGGCTGGCAGTGCTGCTGGTAGTGGTACGGCGGTTGCTGCCGCGGGTGATGCTGCATGGGGGCTGTGTGGGGAGCTCGCGGAGGCCCAACGGACGCTGGCGGAGGCCCAGGTGGGGTCTGAGGGGAGTGATGGGGTGTTGGGGGGGGGGAAGAGCAGGTGGGGTGGGGGCTGAGGAGACTGGGGGAGGGTGGGTGGGGGCTAAGGAAGCGTATGAGGAAATACTGGCTGTTGGCCAGTCGCTGTCACACCTTTAGTCAACACCTGAAGTCTCCTTGTGCACTTGGTAATACCGGTACTTTTATCTCGTTGTTGCATACCCGCTCCTTGCTTCAATGTACGACACTGCAGATTCAGATCCAGATGTTGGACGAGCAACTGAAGCAGCAGCAGCAGCTGAACGAGGAGGAGGGCGGCGACGATGCGGAGGAGGAGGATTGCGACCCCGGCAGCTTCAGGGGAGGCGCTCTGGCGAGGGGGAGCACGCCCGCCGCTGCCGGCGGTACCGCTCTTGGCGGCGGCGGTAGTGGAAGTGGCGCGGTCAGCAGCAGCGGCGGCGGCGGGATCAGCAGTACAAGCAGTGGTCGTTGGCGGCGGTACGACAGCGCCCTGCAGCTCCTCATGACGCCTCCCTCGCCGCTAGCCGGCCGACTGCTGGGGCGACTGGCTGACGTCATGCGGATCGCCGTACGACACGAGGGGAAATTAGTAAGCCTGGATCGCCGGAATGCGCCGCATGCAATGGATCCGGATCCAACGGGTCCACGGAATTTAAACCCGAACCCAAACCTGATGAACCTGATGAATCCAGATCCGTTGGATTTGGAGGTAGCTGTCAACGCGGCCCTTTCCGAGCAGGCTCACCTGCCCTCCTGCCTGGTGGTGGGGGAGCGGGCGGCGGCGGAGGCGGTGGTGGCGCACTTTGCTGGCAACAGGATCGGGCGGGTTACTTGCCGTATCCTGCAGGAGATTGGCGGGAGGGGAGGAGGAGGCGGGGGTGGGATGTACGGCAAGATGGGGCGCGGCGGCGGCGGCGGCGGCGGCGGTGGTGGTGGTGGTGGTGGTGGTGGTGGTGGTGGTGGAGGGCAGTTGTGGCGGGGTCCGGTACCGCTAACGGAGCTCGTGGAACCAATGCCGGGTGGGGCGGGAGGTGGAAGGGTTGGGGGTGGGGGGTGGGGTGGGGATGATGGTCGTACACATGTTGCCCACTCCTCACGACACCTCCCTAGGGACTCCCTCCCCCTCCCCCCTGATAACCCCATGTTATGTCGCCCCCCCACCCACCCACAAACACATCAGGTGCCCCCCAGGCGGTTTCGGAGCTCATTCAGTCGCTGTTGGGCGGCTGGGCGCTGGTGCCGGATGCGCAGGTGGGGGCATGATGAGGCGGGGGGAGTTGGGTTCTGCGGGCTAGAGAGGTGTTGGGGCTTGGGGCGGAGGGAGGTGAAGCAAGGATTTCTGTCCCTGGGCATGCATGCATGTCCCAACCGATTCCTTCCCCCGCCGTTGTATGTCGCCCTTTCGCGTGGCCCCGACACCAACGTCGTGATTCCTCTTTCTCCTCCACCCACCCTCTCCTGCATGCCCCGGCAGGCTGCCCTGAGGGTGCAGCAGCAGCAGCAGCCGCAGCAGCGATGCAACCTGGTTACCTGGGGCGGGGCGGTGTTTAAAGCGGATGGGGAGATTGTCGTACAGCAACGTTCTCAGCAGCAGCAGCAGCAGCACTACCGGCCGCAACAGCAACAACAAGGGAGGAGAGGGCAGGAGCTGGATCGGGAATGCTGGTGAGGGGGTGGTTGTGTGCTGGGAAGATTGGAGAAACGGTGTTTCCCAGTTCACGGGAGTGACCCGTGGGTCCTTAAATCCTAATGATGTGAACGCATCTCATCATCTCGCAAGCTACCCGGATTGCGTTTCAACCAACGCGGGACATGCTCTTCGACCTTTGTCAACGCTTCTGGGCCCTATCTTCACCTTCCTCGTTTCACTTCGACTATGCCATTCTATCCCCCATTCTGCCCCCTTCTCCTTCTCCCCCCTTCTTATTTCCCTCCCCCCTCCCTCCCCCTTCCCTCGCCCGCCCGCTGATCAGGGTTCGGTATGCCCGTACGGAAGGGGCAGTCGCTGACACAAACCACCCAACCACCGCAACCGCCAACCGACACGCTCAACCGCACCACCAGCAGCAACAACAACAACAACAGCAGCAGCAACAACAACAACAGCAACGGCAGCAAGAGGAGGCGGAGGCGGCTCGGAGAAGCCGACAGGAGCAGCAGAGGCAGCGGAGGCAGCAGCAGGAGCAAGAGCGGAGGGAGGCGGTGCGGCTGCGGGCTGAGGCCGCGGAGGTGGAGGCGGCGGCTCGGACGCGATGTGCGCGGCTGGAGGGAGAGATACGGGTGAGATGAGGAGGTGTACGGATGTGTGATGAGGATGAGAGGTTGGGATGCAAATGTTAAGGGGATGGTTCTGCTTTGGGGAAGAGGCGGGGGGGGGGCATCAAGGCCTATACTCCGTGGCCCGTTGCGCAACCGTGGGGTTGGGTGCTTGGGTCCGTCCTCCGCCTTGTCTCCTGTGTCCTGTCCCCCCACGTACTTCATGAAGCAGCTGACATGGACTCCACCCACTCACCTTCACGTCCCCTCTCTCTCCCGCTTCCTCCCATCATCACATCATCACATCATCACATCATCACATCATCACATCATCAGGCCCAGCAGGAGTCCTCCCGACAGCGCAGCGCCCGGGTGGCGGCACTGCAGCGCTCCGTGGCGGGCCTGCGGGAGCTGCTGGGGCGGTACGGCAACGGGGAGGGGGGCCAGTACGACATGCTCGGAGGTGCTGGAGGCGAGGGAGGCGATGGTGGAGCGACGGCAGCCGTGGCAGAACAGGTGGGGGCTGTGAGCTGGAAAGGGCTTTGGAACGGTAACTTGAAGTGTCAAGATGTACATACTCTCGTGTACCGGTACGCTTACAGGGGCTCACGACGACCCAGATGGCGAAGGGCTTTACTCACCGCCTTATCGGTATCGGTTTCAATGTCCCCACCTCCCACGCCTTCCGCACCTCGCATGCAACTACCCTCGGTATCTCATCACCTCCTCCTCCTCACCCTCACCGATTCCTCACTTGGTTTTCTGCTTCCTTACCCCCGCTCACCACCACCACCACCGCCACCCCATGCAGGCTGCCGCTCAGCGGGTTTCGGAGCTCACTGCGGCCCTGGATCGCTGCCACGTCAGACTGGCGGCGTTACGGCAGGCGGCGGAGGCGGCGAGAGTACGACACAGGGAGGCAGCGGCGGCGGCGGCGGCGGCAGGGGTGGCGGCGGCGGGAGAGGGTGAGGTCGGTGAGGGTGCGAGTGATGCGGAGGGGGCGGAGGGAGGAGCGGTACGGCAGTCAAGAGGGAGGAGGCAGCAGGAGGAGGAGGCGGAGACGAGGCGGAAGCAGCAGCAGCGGGATCAACGGGAGCGAAAGGCGCGGGAACTGCAGCAGAAGATCCAAAAGGTAGGGAGCTTGGAGGGAGGATAGAGGGAGCTTGGAGAACCCACATGAAATGCCCCCTCGGAGCGGTGGCCCGTGCGATTGTTCGGCAACCATGCTTGCTACTAGTACCTCTCGCCCCCTCGCCCCCTTACCCCTCCTCCACCACCACCCTCCCCTCTCCCCTCCCAGCTCCGCACCTGTCGCGACTCCGCCGCCTCCCGCCTCCGCCGCACCTCCACCTCCCTGGAGTTGCAGCGGAAGGGGGAGCGGGAGGCGCGGCAGCGGGCGGAGCAGCTAGCGGGGGAGAGGCAGGCGGCGGAGGCGGCGCGGAGCCAGCTGGAGAGCAAGGTGAGAGGCCGGGTGTACCGCACTGGGAGGCGATGCTTGTGTATGTACGGCAATGCATGTAGATGTACGGCAGTGCATGGACGGCGGGTTGTACGGTGATGTACGGCTGTACGGCAGCATACCGGTACGTGTAGCGGCCGTAGCAGCAGCAGCTTTGCCTTTGTTGTTGGATAAGAGCATGGAAGAGGTATCGTACTATCGGCCTGAGCCGCAGCACTAAACTGGGATGCATGGGGAAGGTTTAACCAGCCGAGTCTAGCAGAGCATGAACTGGGTTGGTCATGCTTTCACGTGCGTGCTCGACGTGTTGGTTATGTCTTATGTGATGTTGGTTGGCCTTGGTTTGTGGGGTGGCCTTATAGGTTACGGAGGCGGCGGAGGCGGAGGCGACGGCAGCGGCAGCGGCTCGTACGGCACAGGCCCGTCGACGTACGGCAGCTCGGGAGCTGGAGGTGGGAGGGAGGGGGGCTGGAGGTGGGAGGGAAGGGGGGCTGGAGGTGGGAGGGAAGGGGGGCTGGAGGTGGGAGGGAAGGGGGGCTGGAGGTGGGAGGGAAGGGGGGCTGGAGGTGGGAGGGAAGGGGGGCTGGAGGTGGGAGGGAAGGGGGGCTCTGGTGCCGTATGTGAGGGCTTAGGACATGGGATGCGTCACGAACCCTGACTGTAGTGTTCCTTTCCTGCGATCCATCCGAACAAGTGTTCGGATCCGAGCACGTGTGTTGTTATGTACACATTATCACCATCAAACACTCCAACACTGGTTGTGTTTGGAATAAACAATGCTTTTGTGTTATTCCAACTGCTTCTGTGTGTTTGATTTTACGTCAGGATGCTCGCTCCCGCCTAGCTGCCACCGCGGCTTTACGGCAAGAGACGGAACGGCAGTTGGATGTCGTACGGTCGGAGGTTTCGGAGCTCCTTGAGCAGTTGGTGGAGCTACGGAGAGCCATAGCAGCGGCACAGGTGGCAGCGGCAGCGGCAGGGGCAGGTACGGCGGCGGTGCGTGGGGATCAGGGCATCGGCAAGGAGGATGAAACAGCGGAGGGCGATGAAAGGGAGGATGGGTGCGAGGAGGTAGCGGCCAAGGCCGCTAGTAAGCAGCGCAACGGAAAGCGCAACCGAGGCGGCGGGTACGGCAGTGGTGAGAGCGGTGGTGAGGGCGGTGAGGAGAGGGGTGGTGGTGGCGAGTGTGGCGGCGACGGCAGCGGCGCTGACAGGGGGCGGAGGAAGAGGCAGCGGCGGGTGCGGCGGCGCAGTCGTGCAGGGGCTCGCAGCAGCTCGCATTCAGGTGCTGATTCCTCCTCCTGCTCCTCCGATGGTCATGATGGTAATGGTGATGTCGAGGAGGGCTCCAGTGACGGCAGCGACGACAACATTGACAGCGGGGGGGATGAGGAGGAGGATGAAGCCGACTTTGTTGCACCCACCACCGCGGCCACCGCCAGCAGGAGGGCTGGAGGCAGCGGCGGCTGCAAGGCCGCAGTCGCTACCCGTGGAGCTGGTTCCGACCGCCGCGGCGGGGGTGGTTCCGGTGCCCGTGCCCGTGCCCGTGCCGGTACCGGCGGCAAGGCGGCAGCCGCAGGAGGGAAGGGGAAGAAGGCGGAGGAGCAGGCGACGGCGGCGGCGGGTGAGGAGGAGGACGCTTGGTTGGCAGCGGAGGCGGAGGCGGTGGCGGCGGAGGAGCGGAGGCTGGAGGCGGAGAGGAGCGGCATCGACCCAGCGGCGCTGCAGGTAGCTACCGGGGCAAGTGCGGCGCGTAGGGGGGAGGAGGCGTGTCCTCAGCCGCTCTATTGTGTTAAGAAACAAACCGCAAAAAAAACCACCACTCGCTTCTTCGTGTTAAGGAGAGGGCCGCTTGGAGGTACATGATATGATAGTACGTATATATCCGTATGCAGGCCTCGGCTTCACCTCACTATGTACTGGTATTCCCTTTCCGCCGCCGTCGCAGGAAGACGTGTCGTTGCTAAGGTCGTTAGAGGAATGCAACCGCCGTACGGCTGAATTGGACGAGCAACTCGATTCCACTGCCGCCAGTCGGGAGGCGCTGCAAGCGCAGCGCTACAGCCGCCTAGCTACAGCGCTAGCGGAGGCGAACCGGCAGCTGGGGAGGGTGTACGGCATTCTAACGGCTGGCGCAGGAGATGCCGTACTGTCGTACACCCCGGATCGCGCATTGCTGTTTTCCCACGGTGTCACGTTGGAAGTACGGTAAGTGTTGCTTTGTACGAGCGGTGACCGGTTAGGGAGGTCGTACGGTAGGATCTTCATGATGATTGCATGATGGCGTGATTATGACACCAGCGGGAAGCAGGAACTTTCTGAGAACACTGGTCAACATGCAACGTTTTTATTTCGCAGCGCGTAGTTCCGCCGAACTGTAATTCCCCTAAACCCCGTACCCCACCCCTCCATCATCCATCCAAGTTTAACCCCCCCGACCCCCCTCCACAACGCTGCAGTCCCGACGAGCACAAGTGGCGCCCCTTCGTGTCCCTCAGCGGCGGCCAGCAGGCCCTCGCCTCGCTGGCACTTAGCCTGGCACTGCAGGTGGGGCCGGGGGGGCAGGGAGGGAGGGGTCAAAGACCATACCAAACCATAGGAAGCCACAGGTTAGGGTAAACCAAAGGGGATAGGAGGCGGCAGGGTGCCACAATACAGAGTGTTGGTTAGTAAACCCTCCCCGGGGTGAGGGGGGGAGTAAGACATGACGCATGCCAGCATTCCTTCTTCCAACTCCCCGGTATTCCTTCTTCCCCCCCACGCACCCTACCCCACCCACCCCCCAGGCTGTCGCTCCCTCGCCCTTCTACTTCTTCGACGAGGTGGACTGCGCCCTGGACACAGCAGCAGCAGCCCGGGTGGCAGACTACCTGTGCAGCAGCAGCAGTAGCGGCAGCAGCAGCAGCGGCACCTCCTCCTCAGCTGCAGCAGCAGCGGCAGCAGCTGTCCAATCGGCCTCGGCCCCCTCCTCTTTTGGGGCGCATTTGGAGGCGGAGGACGGCCCTGAAAAGGGTGCTGCTGCTGCCTCCGCGGCGGCTCAGTACTTGGTCGTCAGCCACAAACCCCAGGTGAGCGCTGACGCCGACGCCAACACAAACCAGGGGATGCTGTGCCCACATCCCACATCCCACACCCCCCTGCCAACCCCTACCCCCATTGTTTTGCCCTAACTTGTGGTCTCCTATGGTTTGGTACGGTCTTTGACCCCCCTTAGGCGCATCCGTATACAGCTTCTATAAAATGCTTTCTACTACTGCCCGCAAACAAACCATCATTCAATTCACAATGCCCAGGTGTTCGAGCGGGCTCGATGTCTGATCGGCGTCTACAGCTTCTTCGGCGCATCCTCCGCAGTGGTCGCAAGCGGCCTGATGACGGAAGTAATGGCGTCATCAGCGAGGAGGGCGTCCGCTGCGACCCATGGGTCAGGCCTCCCCGGGCTGCCTTGGGAGCCGCAAGAGGAGGAGCAGCGGCTTGGGGAGGCGGCCGTCCCCTGTGCTGGGAGAGGAGACGTGATTGCGGTCACGTAAGCCGCCGGGGTTGTGCGTGTGACCCACGGGTCGTTTTGAGGGTGTGACCAAGGGGGTGACCAAGGGCAGGCTACATGGGAGCGCTGTTTGTGGCAGCAGTAATGATGCAGCCTGGTTCAGGATTTTTTATGTACGAGCAGTTGACCCATGTGCCATTCCTTTCTGTGTTTCGGTGGTGGGTTGCGCTAGACTTAGGGGTGTCGTGATCCTGTCATGCGTGCGGGTTCACTGCGGCTGCACCAGTGATCCCTGTATGTGTCGAACCGTGCGAAGCGAACGGTAACGTACGGGAGCATGCTGATGCGGGGTCAGCGATGTGGGGTCAGCGAGGGCAGGAGAGCGATGACAGGTGTTTCGGCGTACATAGGTGCGTTTGTATATATATGCATGCTACGGTAGTAGGGAAACGCCGAAGGCCGTAAAAGAAGAAAATCGCGCACGTGCACAGCATCCGGCACTGAAGAGGTGGTGGCAGGTGGGCAGGTGGTGGGGTGCATATGTAGGACCAGTCATTATGTGTATAGCCTAAGTTCTAGGATTTAGGAACTGCGGGACGAGGCCTCCATGTTGTGCATGGGTTAGGAAGGATCATTGCGGGTGGGGGCGGGGCGACTCCAATCGCGCCATCTTGGGCATCGACATTTGGGGGCAGGGATGGTGGGTCAGGTTGAGAGGCGCACGGCAAAAGCTTGCACAACCAACGAGCCGCAACTCAAGGACGTAGGTTAAAAAGCTTACAGGGGCTTGCATGTTCCAGAAGCCACAGCAATAAATAGTTGACAGCGACTTCCTGGCATCACAACGCCAGCGCGACGCCGTCCTGTCCGCACATGAGGCCTCCAGTTCATCACAGCTCCTCCAGGGCTGCCCCTTACAAGATCGTCCGGTACATACCTAGGTGTTTCTCACACGACCGGCACAGCACGAGGGGCCTCACGTTACTGGTGACATGCATGAACATGTGAAACCACAAACACGTACCACCCCTACCGTAACACCCTCTCCCAAGCACCCCCTACCGCCCCCTAATCATGGTGCCCTGCGTGCCCCACCCCAGTACCCTCCACCACCAGCTCACCCGCACCTCGCTACTTCCCAACACCGCTCGCAGCGCCCTTCCTCCTCCTCCCTAACGTCGCCTCCTCCCACATGCCTCCTCCTGCCTTCATGGGCGGTTTCAGAGTCCAAACGGCACTGTCATGCACCGCCCCTCACCACCCCCCACCGACCACCCACCCCCCCACTCATATGGTTTGGTCTCATTCGACCCCCTCACCACCGCCCCTCACTCCCCCCTGAGCATCCTCATCAGCACCTCCTTCATTAGCCCCGGGTTGACCCGGCCCTTGGACTCGCGCATCACTTGGCTGCGGAGGAGGACGGGGGAGGGAGGAGGAGGGGGTAAGGGGGAAAAAGAGGCGTGGTGGCATGCCACATGCGTCAGAAACTGACAAGGGGACATTCTTCAAGGGAGGAAAGGGGAGTAGCGTGCGCAGGATAGGAGAGGAGGCCATGCAGAGCCGCGAGTACGTACGTTTGCAGGAAGGGAAGATCGCAAAAACCACACACACATCCAAGGGTATGTCGGACAATCACGGCCGGCTGTTCACGCCTTACTCCGCCCAACCCCTTAACACATTGGGTATTCTTCTTTTCCCCACCCTCCCCTTCCCCTCACCCCTCGAAGAACCCCTGCAGCTTGGTCTTGCCCCCCCGGTACTCCGCTAGCTGCCTGCGGGGGGGGAGGGGGGTGGGGAGGGTGGGAGGAGAGGCGGGGGGTGGGAGGGGAGGCGAGGAGGTGAGGCTTTAGGTGGTGAGGCAGCAGCAGTGGGTTCCGCGCTGTGTGTCAGCCGGGGGCCGCAGCACACGCCACAACGCACGGCAACGCTCCGCTGCGGTGCCTCTCCACCCTTAAAATTACCGGGAGCTGTAATTCTCAACAACAACACACTTTCCTCCCACCCCTCCCAATCCCAATCCCCTCCCGGATTGGGACTCGTTGTTTCACTTATTTAATTTTTTCCCCCTCCCTCCTCTCCTTACTTTGGGTTGGCTTCCAGCACCCGCCCCACCAGCTGCTCCACCGCCGCCTGGTCGCTGATCATCAGCAGGCCCCGCGACTCAATGTAGGCGCGAACACCTTTGGGGGGGGGTGTGAGGGGATTGGGAGGGGTAAAAATAAGGAAAACTGACGAACTGGATAACGAGGCTTCTCCATGGGTTGCTAATTGAACCCGGTCCGGCTGGGAGGGGGGGATAGGATGAGGCGGGGGGGCGCTGGGGGAGGGGAAGCCCACTTGCTGCTCCGTTAACTGCATTGTTCCCTGCACATTCACACCTTCCCCCCGCCCTAATCCTCACCATATCAAACCCTAAGCCCCCCTTATCTATACCGGGATACAACCACCTCCCCTAACCACTCTCCCTGCCCCGCCCCAAACCCCCCCCCTCACCTCCGTTGCCCCTCCCCTGCAGCAGGTCCGGCAGCACCTCCTTGGCGATCTTGCCGCTGATGACTCCGCCCTCGATCAGTCCAATCATCTCGGCCAGCGCGGAGGGGGACAGGGACCACCCGGACATGCTGGTCTTGGTCTCCTGCAGGCGGGGGGGGGGGGGGAGGGGGGAGGGGGAGATGAAATATGAGAGTCGAAGGGGGAGAATAAATGAAAAGTGATGCAACAGAGCCCCAATCCCATATCCCGAATCATGCAGTGAGTGTATAGTGAAGCCGCCCCCCTCCCCCCCGCCCCCCTCTCCCCTGCCCCCCTCTCCCCTGCCCCCCTCTCCCCTGCCCCCCTCTCCCCTGCCCCCCTCTCCCCTGCCCCCTGCCCCCGCCTCATGTTGATACGGGATTGGGACTGCGTTGTTGCACTTATCTATAATTTTCCCACCATGTTGCAAACCATGAGGATGCCTTATCACACGGTCAGTTAGCTGTTTCCTCTTTACCTCTCCCCCCCCCCACCCTCCCCCCCCACCTTGCAGTACGCCATGATGTCCCCCTGGATCCAGTTCGCCGCCTGCCGTACCGGCGCCCCCAGTGCCAGTACGGCATCGAACAGCGCTGACGTGGCCTCCTCGTCCGCCAGTACGGCAACATCCCCCCGAGTGAGGCCCAGGGACAGGTAGCGGGCGCGACGGGCGGCGGGCAGCTCGGGGAGGGAGGACTGGGGGGGGGAAGAGGATAAGGAAAGTAAGGAAATGTATGGGAGTGGGGTAAAAGGGCGACAGAGGGAGCGCGTGTCGCACAATGAGGGACATGCATGCATGTAACCGGTATCGAGACCGGTAACCGGGGATACCGTAGGGAGTCAAGAGGAGCGTCAATCGGTCGCGCATGCAGGGGGCACCATTCGGAAACGCAAGGCGTCAAGGCGGCGCATGCAAGGGGCGCCTTGTCCGAAACCGCCGATGTGCGCCCCCACGCACCGCCAGCACCCCCCTGTCATACCCCGAAACACAGCCGCCCTCCGCCTAGTACTAACCGAAATACCGCCCCCCTCCGCCGCATGCCTCCCCAACACTACCACCACCAAACCAGGAAAACAACCGGCAACACCTGCTCCACCCACCCACCCACCCAGTCACTCACCCGCACTTGCTCAATGAACTCCTGCGACACCTCCAGGGGGGGCAGGTCGGGCTCGGGGAAGTAGCTGGGGGGCGTGAGGCGGGGTGGTTGAGTGGGTGGGGAGGGGGGAGGCATGCGGGTAGGTGGGAAGGGGGGGGGGGGTGCTGATGGCAGGGCGGGGGAGGGACGTATGCACGGGCCCCTGAGGATTTTATAGCCCCCCTCCCCCCCCCTCCTCCCCCTCCCCATCCATATAACCAGATAACAAGCACATTTACACGCTAACCCAGATACGCGTTCGCGCCTACTACGGATTACAAGTATCGCCCCCTCCCTCCCTTCCCCCCCCACCGGTAGTCCGCCAGTCCCTCCTTCTTGCGCATGGTGGTGGTGTGCAGCCGGATCTCATCCCACAGCCGAGTCTCCTGAACCACTTCGGCACCGCGACCCGAGCGCAGCAGGGAAACCTGGGGAGGGGGGGGGCAGATGGGGGAAAGAGGGGGGAGGGGTTAGGGGGGAGAATATCCATTGCGTTGAATGAGGATGGGGGAGGAGGGTTAGGAGAAGTGAGGGGGAGGGGAGGTAGGGGGACAGGAGGCAGCGGGAGGGGTAATGAGGATGGGGAACTGGCGAGACCTGTACAATGACGAGCCAGCACCACGGCTTGCCACAGGCGCCCAACCCCCCCCCCACCCAACCCCACCCCCCCCCCCCTTTCCCCACCACACCACACATTGAAATGTTTCTTCTTGCCCCCCACCTGTCGCTCAATCTCGTAGTCGATTGCCTTCTGCATGTTGCTGAAGCTGTTCATGTTCTTGATCTCCACCCGGGTGCCGTACGTGGGGCTGCCGCGGGGGCGAACACTCACGTTGACGTCGACCCTGGGGGGGGGGGGGTCGCATGGGGGGAGGTGGGATGGGAATTGGGGGGGGAGTTGGGGGTGTTGGGGTGGTGGTGGTGTGTGGGGCGCGGAGGAGATGGTGGGGAGTGTAGGGAAGAAGATGTGCTGTACAGCACCCCCCCGCCCTCACCTCATACTCCCGTCCTTCCCCCTCTTCCCTCCCCCTTCACCTCATGCTCCCCTCCGCCATGTTCCCGTCCGTCACGCCGCACGTCCGCAGCACCCGCCGCAGCTCCTCGCCGTACGCCGCCGCGTCCCTCCCGCTGCGCATGTCGGGGGCGGACACGATCTCAAGCAGGGGGACGCCTGGGGAGGGGGGGAGGGGGAGCGGAGGGCCGGGGGGCAATGATGATAACCAATGTGGGGGGAGGGGAGCGCAGGGGGGTTTGGGGACTGGGTGGGAGGGATAGAGGTAGCCTCGCGTGGCCATGTCATAACCCACCCCCACCCCATCCCGCGTTCCCGCATTCGGCCGGTGCGTCATTCCTCACTCCATGCCACCTCACCTCACCACCACCGGCTCCCCCTGCTCCTCCTACCTGTCCCCCCCTCCTGCCGTCCCCCTTGAACCCGCGCTTCCTCAGCAACCCCCACACACCCTCACTTTATCAAGTCGTTCCCTCCCCACCCCTCCCCCCGCCCTCACCCGCCCTGTTGAAGTCCACCAGCGAGTAGTCCGCGCCGCTCAGCCGCTCCGCCCCCGCGTACACGATCTTGCCCGCGTCCTCCTCCAGGTGCGCGCGGATGATGCCGAAACTGGGGGGGGAGGAGGGGGGGAGGGAGGGAGAGGGCGAAGGAAGACCAGGTTAGTGCCGAGGGGGAGGGGGAGAGGGAAGGGAGACGGGGGACGCTGAAGCAAAATGGGGGAGGATGGGTAAGGGCGCGCGGTTGACGCCGCGAGCTCTTCCCCCAACAGACCCTCTCACGGCTCCACCTCTCCTCTCTCCCCCCGCACCTCCCTTCCCCCCTCCCTCCCACGGCTCCCCCTCCCTCCTTCCCCCCCCCTGCCGCACCTCTTCACCTCCCCGTCCACCTCCACCTCCAGCTGCCCCCCGCTGCAGATGGGCTCGTCGTACTGGCTGATCTGGTAGCCCTGCGTGTGCAGGGGGGGGGAAGGGTGGTCGGAGACAGGTTAGGGCAAAGCAATGGGGACAGGGCCGCCACCTGGCTTCACTTTTCTTGTATTTCTCCCCCCCCCACCCCCCCCCACTCCCTTACCTTGGGCAGGTCGGGGTAGAAGTACTGCTTGCGGTCGAACTTGGATCGCGGCGCGATGCGGCAGCCCAGTGCCAGCCCCGCCCGCACCGCCAGAGTCACCATACCGGCGTTGAGGGCGGGGAGCGTGCCCTGGGGGGGGCGGGGGAAAAATATATATATAAAAGTGAGGGGGGCCGGGAGGAGGGAGGGGGAGGAGGGAGGTGTAAAGGGGAAACTGACGAGCTGTAGGACGAGGGGCAGGGAAGGAGGGGCAGGCAGGGACGCTAACGCCAGCGTCCCGATACGGACGGCGTGCCCCTTTTGCCGGAAAATGCTACTGGATGACGCCCCCCCTCTCCCCTCCCCCTCTCACCGGGTGCCCCATACACACGGGGCAAACGTGGGTGTTGGGTTCCGACCCGAACAGGGAGGGGCAGCCGCAGAAGGCCTTGGAGGCGGTGGCCAGCTGCACGTGGCACTCGATGCCAATGACCGCCTCGTAGTCGGAGAGGGGGGAGGCGGCGGGGGAAGAGGTCTGGTAGGGGGGGGAGAGAGGGAAAGAGGGAGGCAGGGAGCGGGATGCAGGGAGGATGTTAAGCGGCTATGTGACACAAGTGCTGAGGACGGGCCCAAAGCCTCAAGCCCTGCGCCATACCTCCGCCGCGAGTAGGAAGTGTGACGGCTGCCCGCCCGCCAGAACAGAGTGCCTTCCCTCCCTCCCTGCTCTCCCTCCACAACCCACAACCCAGATGGCTAGTACCGTTACCCCGCAACACGCCCCCAGGCTGGTTCGCAGACAGCCAACACCTTCGCAAACCACCCGCGCATTGCGGTTACGCAGGGCGTGTCGACAAACAAGGATGAAGCGGCACATGTGGGGGAAGGGCCACATTGCAGTTTTTGCAGCATTTGCCGTTCGCCGGGCAATCACCCCACATCGGAGCTGCTAAGTGCAGTGTGCCTTCACCCTCAGCCAACCACGGCCATGTTAGTGACATTCCCCTGCATGCCCCCATGCCCTGCGCCACGTCTTCTCATTCCCATGGTGCACCCCCTCCAAGCTTGTGCACGGAGAGAGACGATGAGCTCGCGGTGGATTTAAATCCTTGCGCAGCCTACCTCGGATCCAGCTGTCGTGGATGTCTGAACAGCAGCGGCAGCTGTCGCCGTGCTGCGGCAGGCCAGCCCCCGACTTGGAGCCGAACCCAGCAGACGCGGAGAGGGCACTGAGCCTGCCATGGTGCTCCTTAGCAGAGCAAGACCCGCGCCTCGCCATGTTCTGGCGGAAGAGATGGGAGTGGATAGTGATGGACATGCCATGGTGCGTGGTGCGCAGGTAAAGTCTCTTAAGCGAGCACGAATAGGGAACTTAAGCGATGATGTAAAGGGTGTTGGGGATAGGATAGGGGAAAGGGGTTGTAACAACGCAGCGCATCGAGCTGCACCAGCGGCTGCACTTGCGGACGCCGTTGCCGCCCGCGCGCTGACTTGCATTGTCACGAGTTTCAAGGGAATGGAAATACTGTGCTTCCGTAGGCTAGCTCAATTGCAGGTAGAATGGTAAGCAGTGTAACACAAGTGGTCCTCAACAAACGCAAATTGCTAATCTATAATAGTTGTATAGATTTAGGGAAATCCAGATGGACAAAGTTGATGTCTCGCTGCCAGAGCATCCGTTCACGATGACAGTTGGTTCACCTCCTTCATGTTGTCGGCCAATGCGTGAGCCACGTGTATTTCAGCCGATAGAGTCTACAGATCTTGCCATACACATATAATATAACTATACGCGCCCTGCGCACGTCCTAACAACGGCGCTGGGGCGCACTTAATTGCTGCGCACCCTCTACAAATGGCGCGGCTGAAGGTCGTCGTCCTGGCCTCGTGCATGCTACTGTTTGGCACCATCAACACGCTTACAACCAAATTCCAGGTATGTAACTGGGCCGATCTGTATGTCGCCTCCTAGTCAGCCTAAAGGCGTGCATGCTTTCCTTACACGTGCGTTGGTCCGCGGTCGTCGCGCTGGTAGAACATACGCCAATTTATTGTATCGCTTTACTCTGCGCCATGGTCCATGCTAGATAGGAACGCTTGCGCTGAGATGGCTATGCAACTACCAGGCCGCCCTATATCCTTTGGGGGCCCGTCGATTGCCCTCCCTGCGAGGCTGGCAAGATCCATTTCTGGTGCCGTGCCATTTTGACTGGTGCCAAAGCTTTGTCGTATACCCTTTCCTGACCCATGCTCCGCATCATCCTCCATTTTTCCTTACCCCGCCCGGTTACCTTCCCATCCACAGGACTTGGCAGTTGTGGGTCATACACCCGATGGAAAACCGGTCACCTTCAAACATCCAGCTGTGCAGGTGGGGCAGTCCTCCCGTACCATCGTTGTTGCCTGCCTCGTTATCCATCTCGCAAGCGCCTGGCTGCTATGAGGTCCCGTGTCTCTCCCCCCTTGGTTTTCATCTTGCGGCATCCCCCTGATCAGCGCCGTTCATGTGGGAACCTGTCGTGTCATCCCCGAACAGCTGTTGTTCGTCCCTTTTCTCCCGGCACTCCTTCCTCGCATCCTTGCCTCCTTCCCTCCTTCAGCCCACGCCTCAAGCAACCCCTCTCCCAATGTCTCCAATCACGTCCTTCCTTCCCAAGCCATTCCAATCCCTCCTAACCCCTTCCAAGCCCATTCCCCCCCAGTCCATCTCCTCTTAACCCTCCTCCCAACCCAGTTGATGCATTTATCTATATTTCCCCCCCACCCCCACCCCCCTCCCAGTCCGCCTTCATGTTCTTCGGCGAGATGCTGTGCCTGCTGCCGTACTACCTCATGGAGTGGAAGTACGGCAACACGAAGAGCAGGATACGGCGCCGTACGGAACTGGAGCGCCGCGGCCCCGCCTTCCGCGCCCGCCGCATGCTCATCTTTGCCGTACCTGCGGCGTGTGACGCGGTGGCGACCACACTGCTGAACCTCGGGCTGTACTACACGTAAGTGGGTTAAGGGCTACACTAAAACTGGCTGCGATTCGGAACGTACTGCGGCGGCTACCGAACGAGTGACTTGAGTGTGTTTTATGCGGTACCATATTCACCTCCTTCCCGCAACCTATCTATAGCCCCTGCTTTCTATCTCCTTTCAATCCTTGACCGCTGTCCGTTCCCCTTTCCCGTACCACCACCACCAAGCCCAATCAACCCCAATCTCAGCCTCCTCCTCCCAACCCATCCTCATCCAATCTCTCCTGCCCCCTCTCCCTTCCCTTCCCCTCCCTTCCCCTCCCTCCCTTCCCCTCCCTCCCCCCTCCCCCCCCCAGTTTCGCCTCCACCTACCAGATGCTCCGCGGCACGCTGGTCCTCTTCGCCGGCTTTTTCACCGTCACCATCCTGCGCCGCCGCCTCTACGTGCACCACTGGCTGGGCATGGCGCTCATCACGGGCGGGGCGGCGCTGGTGGGGGCGGCCAGTGTGCTGAGCAGTGCGGCGGCGGGGCAGCAGGGGAACAGGGGGGGCGGAGGGGGAGGGGGAGGAGAAATGCCAGGAGGAGGGGGAGTGATGGCGGCAGCAGGAGGAGGAGGAGGAGGAGGGCTGGTGGAGGGAGCGCGGCTGCTGGCGGTGAGTGGGGGTTGGAGGAGGAGGGGAGGGTAGGGGAAAGGAGTTGGAGGGATTGTGAGTGGGGTTGGAGGGGGGCTGACCGCCGTTATCCGCAAACGATCCATCTTTACGCACCGCACCTTTCCCCCCTCCCCTTTCCTTCTTCCCCCTCCCCATCAGGCTGCGCTGCTGGGTTCCGAGCCGGGTGTGGACGCCGCCTCCGCGCCCCTGTTCGGGGACCTGTGTGTGGTGGCGGCACAGGCGTTCACGGCACTGCAGGTGAGGGGAAGGTGGGCGTAAAATAGAAACTGACGGACTGTATAACGAGGCTTCACCATGGGTTGCTAATGATCCCGGCCCATCCCACCCCACCCGATTTAGTCAGTGGGGCTGCATCTGTGGCAGCATGCTGGGTGGTACGGCCATGCGAAACACCCTCCCTGCTGCCAACCCTGTTGTCCCTCGGTTTCGGTAGGGGCCGTTAACCCTCCCTTTTCATCCTGCCGCCTCATTCCCCCATGATTCCGCCGTAGTTCTTGGTTTCGTATGGTAGTGTCTTTCTTGACCCTGCCTCCCTCCTCCTCCCTCCTCCTCCTCCCTTCCCCCCTCCGCAGTTCATCCTGGAGGAGAAGTTCGTGGCCGCCTACCGCGTGCCCACCCTTCTGGCGGTGGGGCTGGAGGGGGCCTGGGGCATGCTGGTGTGCTGCGTGGCGCTGCCGGTGCTGGGGGCGGTGCGGGCGGGGGCGGGCGGGGAGCCGGTCGACTCGGCGGCGCAGGTGAGGGGTGGTGGAGGCAGGGAGGGGGTTGGGTTGCGGTGGTGGTAGTGGTTGCACAGCAGTGTGGGTGTTGGTGCTAAAGCAAGCGCGGCCTGTTACATACATACGCCCCTGCTTTTAGGAAATGCCTCCGGTTTTGAGCTGCCTGCTTTGTAACCCCTTTGCAGTCCCCATCGGCAATTCCCCAAATGCAATACCCACGACCTCCCTCTCCCTCTCCCTCCCCCCGCTCCCCCCCTGCCAGGCGCTGCGCGAGGTGCTGTCGCACGGCCCGCTGGCGGCCTCCGTGGCGCTGTCCATCGTGTCCATCGGCTTCTTCAACTTCTTCGGGATATCGGTCACAAAGGTAAGGGGGGAGGAGGAGGGGGGTGTGGGGGAGGGCTACCGTCGCTATCCCCTCGTCTCTCCTCCAGGCCTGTAGCCTCGACAGTGGCCCCTCTGTCCCCTTCACTTTTCAATACCTACCCCCTCCCCCCTCGCTAACCCTCCTTTTGTCTTCTAGACCCATGCCTCCTCATTCTCCAATTGTTTTGCCCATTCCTGGTTTCACTTGGTTTGGTCTGTTTTTGAACCCCTCCCCCCCCCAGGCCCTGAGCGGCGCCGCCCGCGCCACCATCGACGCCACCCGCACGCTGTTCATCTGGCTGGCCTCCATGTGGCTGGGCTGGGAGAGGTTCCTGCCGCTGCAGGTGGTGGGCTTCGCGGTGCTGTTCGCAGGTGGGGGCGGGGTGGGGTTTGTGGGGTGGGTGGGTGGGGGGTAAGGGGGAAAGGAAAACTGAGCCGCAAGGAAACACTGACCCTGGGGTTGGGATGGGGTTGAGGGGGCTGGCAGTCGATCTGGGTTCTACAGCTCGGAAGATATTGGTCATGGTCTTTACAAGTGATCGGTCACTGTCTTCCTCCCGCCATCCCCTTGCCCGCAGTAGGGTCAGCATTCCTCGCGGCCCAGTTTACCTAACCCCCCCCCCCCCGCCTTCTACGGTTTGGTTTATTTATACGCCCCGCCCCCACCCCCCGCCCCCCTCAAACCCCCCCCGCCAGGCACCAGTCTGTACAACGAGCTCATCCGCATCTGCCTGCCTCGGCCCGAGGAGCTGGAGGAGCCCGAGGTGGTGGAGGTGATGTACGGCAGCGGATCCAGGACGGCAGGGGGAGGAGGAGGAGGGGGGAGTGGCAGCGGGAGCGACTCGGAGGAGGGGGAGGAGGAGGAGAGCGGGTATGAGAGCGACAGCAGCAGCGGCAGCGGGAAGGGAGGAGCAACGGCGGATGAGGAGGCTGGTGAGAGAGGGGTGGGAGGGCGGGAGGGGCGGCGGGGGAGGGGAGATAGGGGTGGGGAAGAGACAGGGGCAGCACTCTGGGTGCGTCCTGGTCCCAGTTGCACGTGAATGGAAGACCCCTCTCGCATAAGAACGCGGCACGCTTGCGTGTCAGGTCTGACTCCTCCTCCTCTCGTGAGCCCTTCTCTTCCTCTTCTCCTCTCCCTGCTTTCTTACCCACCACTCCCCTCCCCTTCCCCCCCTGCTCTCAGGTACCCTATCTGAGCCCCTGCTCTCCGCCCCCTCACCCGCCACCACAAACCGGAAGTCACCAACCCTATCAGCAGCCGGCGCCGGCCCCTCCTCCACCCCCTCCTCGGGGGGGCCCACCACCCTAGCAGCAGCGGCAGCGGGAAGAGCAGCGGCCGCGGGAAGAGGAGGAGTCGCGACAGGGGCATCCGCAGGGGGCCTAGCAGGGGCCGTAGCGGCGGCAGGCGGGGCGGGGTCGAGGGCGCATGGGCAGGGTGTGTATCAGCAGCAGCTGCATGCGGCGGCAATGGCGGCCGCGGCGGGGGGAGTGGGGGCGGCGGGTGGGGGGCAGCAGCACCAGCAGCATGGGGTGGGGGGAGGTCAGCAGGGGGCGGGGCGACCCATGGGTCGGCGGCTGTCTGGACGGGAGAGCTCGGATGGTCTGGATGAGTATACCATGGCTAGGTGAGGGTGAGGGGTGTGTTGGGGGCGAGTGTGAAAGAGGGAGAGGGAGAGCAAGGAAAAAAAGCCTCACTTCTTTTGTTAGTCCCTTTTACTGCCTGTGCTCTGTGCTCTTCCGCTTTCTATGCCCAAGCTGCGGCCCTCCTGCCCCTCCCCAACTCCCTTCCCTCTCCTCACCCCCCCCCCCCGAAACACCCCCCCTCCCCGCCCATGCAGGTCCATGCGTCTGGGCCACTCCACCCTCATGCCGCACGCCCTGGACGCGGACACGGACGACGGCGCCACGGAGAGCGAGGGCGGGCTGGCGGGGTACAGCCCCGGGGGCATGAGCTTCGGGTCGGGGCACACGGGGGGGCTGCTGTCGCAACCCAACATACCCGAGGGTGAGCACGGCGATGACAGCTTCTTTCCCGGATGTAGACTGTTACAGAGGGAGGACAGGAAGCAGTTGGGAAGAAGCGTGGGGGGTTGTGCGTGTGGGTATGGTCATGTGGATAGCAGAAGCTCGTCAGCAGGAAGCTCGCCCTGATTCACCACCCACATTAATAACAGGAGGGGGTGGAGCGGCGGCGGGTTGTTAAGTGCGGCTTACGTACCGGCAATGTCCCGTTGCTCTCTAGGAGTATCCTATCGTACCTTTTGTTCATGGTCCTAACTTCCCCTGCTTGCTTGCATGGTTGCTTTCATCCTTCCCCCTCTCCTCCATCCCCCCCACCTCCCCCCAGGCGACGAGGATAGCGACATGGTGGGCCCCATGTCGGGCGTGGACGTCAACGGCAGCGGCACGCCGGGCGGCCGCGGACCCATGGGTCACCACCGCGGCCACCACGGCCGCCAAGAGTCCTCCCGCGTGTCCATCGCCATAGGGCCCCACGGCATGTACTCGGGCGGGGTGGGGAGGGGCGGCGCCGCGAGTGGAAGGGGAGCAGGGGGCGGCGGCTCCGGCCGGCGTTAGGTGGTCTGTTTGGGGCTGTTGGGGCGATCGAATGGAGGCATGTTATGTTTGTTAGGTCTGTTGAGGTGACCGGATGGAGGTGGGAGAATCGGGTTTCACCAGGGTGTGTGTTAACCGATTGCCGAGTAGGCTGTTGCCTCGTTTGTATGCATTCATGCATGGGGATACTTTCCTGGCGTGTACTAGCGCAGGCGGGTTAGCGCAGCAGCGTTTGGGAAGGGCAGGACGGGCATTGGGTTGCAAGGCATGCAGGGTACGGAAGCGGTTGGTATGACATGTGGCATGTGGGGGGGGGGCCACGCAGAGGGCTAGGGTGCAGCGGCGCGCGCCGCGGATTATCAGGGATGCGGGGGGGGCGCTAAGCACAACATTGCCGCATGCTGGAGTTGGTTGGTTGCTGGGCGGATTGTTGGGGAGGGGGGTGAGGAGGGATGTTTGCTGCCGGTGGGACATGCGGACAAGGTAATCGTCGTGTGTTTTGGATGTGGGTGGCTATCTGGGGTGCTGCGTAGTCAAAAAGTACAGGAGAGTTGGAGAAGTAGGAGGGAGAAGGAGCAAGCATGGCCAGAAAGGGACTGCAATTTGGGTGCTGTTGGGTGTCGCACAGCATGCATGCGAGAGGTTAGGGAAGGGACTATACAAATGGAGGGGGGGGGTAGTATCGGGATCTGCGACCCTGGGGGGGGAAGTTGGGGTGTACGACGTACGGATATATATAGATCGTCCCACATCTGATGTACCTGCTCATATGCATATCGCAAATTTCGGTTTGTTAGTGCCGTATGCGAATGCCGGGGGCTGGGGGGTTGCGGCAGGCTAGGGGGTGATGCAAGCATGCAGGAATTGTAGGGTTGGATACGACAAGGCAGTTTTGGGGTTAGAGTGCGTAGGGTTGGTGAGTGGAGTCTCGGACACTTGCACAGAGTGTTTCTCCATGACGAGGGAAATTAAGGACACCCATTCTCCTTTTTCGAGGAAGGTTGTGGTTTGTAAGTCATGACCCATACAGCAGCCTTGTGCTTCTACTTATCGTCACATTGCATGCGGTGGGACGGGGATAGAAAGCAGCTGCCCCCCTCGAGGCTGCTTCACTCCCAGCGGCAGCCTTGGAGCTAACCGCAAATGCTGAAAGTCATAATGTCAATCATAGTTCTCATAGAGCCTAGTACCAAAGTACGCGGTGTTACGATAATGCCTGTCACCTACGGTTATTATTAAATTGTTGCGATGATGCCGGTTAATCCCTTGCAGGCTCAGCTTGCTGTTGGTGGGGGGCCATCCTACCGTCACACCGAGCTTGATGTTTTGGAGTCTAGGCTCCACAGCGTCCCCAGAAACTCCCAGATCTCAAACGGCGTTCTATTCCTGCTCGGCGTATGGTTTTCATGCTTGTTCCGGATAACCTTTTGCTTGGATATAGCAGCTACAGGGTCAAGGGGACATGCACCTACCTATATAGTATAGCTCCTTTTACAACCCTTTTAAGCATCATGACAAGTCGGAAACGCTTACCTGAATCGCTAGCGGTTTACTCGCTTGTATGCTTGCTCCGAAGTCGCTCGCCAAACCTTTGATGGAGGGCCTGGTAGGGCTCTGAATTTTTGCATATGCAGAATTGATGTTGAATATCTTTTTCAGTACAACCACATCGTGCACTGAGCCTAAGAGTATAGTGCTAAATCCAGAACCAGCTTGCAAGAACACGAGGGATTGCGAAACGCGAAACACAAACAAAACCGTATGTGGTAACAGATACAGACCTTCATGAGTTTCGGAACTCAGGTGAGCGGCTTGCGCTGCTCGTCTCTTGGGGCATGGCCGTCGGCAAGCAAGCGCAGCGTTCCGCTTTATAGCAGTGCGCTGCCCAGCCGCCAGCTGCCCAGATGCTTACGGCTTCACCTGCAAGCCGCAACCTCCTCATCCAGCGGCGATCCGGGCTCATTTAGCCTCGACCCATGGCCGCCCACCCGTGGTTGGAGCGATAAAGATGAACGGAGTTGGCGAAGGTCCCAACCGCGTCTTGCGTCCAACAAGTCGACTCCGGTGGCGCGCGGTGCTCATCATGAGCCCCCACCACACAAGGTACCGGTATGTGGTCACAGCACGGCAACTTCCGGAGCATGCATGGCCCTACTCCTGCGAACTGTTATGCCCGGGTGCCCGACAGTAACATCCGGATGATGTTTGACTCCCCCTCCCCCCTCGCTCAACCACTCCTACAGGAAGGTCAGCTGGTGGAGGGAGTCGTCGTGCGGGTCGAGCCCTATGGTGTGTTCGTGGAGGAAAGCCAGCAGGAGGGCGGCAGCAGCAGCAGCAGCGGCGGATTCCGCTGGTTGCTGCACGTGAAGGACATGAGCTCGCAGTACGTGTTCACGGCACCCGACCACTTCCGACTTGGAGACCAGGTGGTTGCGGTTGTGACGAAGATGCCGGAGGATGTCCAGGGGGGGGGCCGGAGCTTGCTGAGCACGAAGGAGCTGGAGCGGGAGCCGGGTGGGTGACCTTGGAGTCCCATCACCTGCCTCTAATCCTGCTGTATCCAACCTTTTGCTCCCGTTGAGTTTATTTTGGGAAGTTGTTTACCGGTATATAAGGTAGGAAACCGGCTTTTTTAGTAACCCGTGCATGCCGGTGATACCGTAGGGTTAAGTTAGGGGGTTCGATAGGCTGGAATCGGACCCCCAGGCACCCATGACCCATCGCACTCGCAGTGAAATAGTCGCTGTTTCTCCCCATCCACCTGCCACACATTGGGCTTCTTCTTTTCCCATCCACAAACGGACATGCAGGGGAGTTTCTGACGGATCGAGAAGGCGTGTACGAACGCGCTGCGGAAACTCTCGCCATGCGGCAGCAAGCGGCGGCGGCGGCACAGCAGCAGGTAGGGTGCACACGTCAGCAAGCAAAGCAACCTCAAAAGGCAATTGCCCTTAATTGCTACATGGGAGTTACGTTGATTTTTGCAACGGGCCCCTGCCGGAACACTACTTTGGCTGGCAGCCGATGTTGGTCAAGCATCCACTGTAGCTTCAGTTGGCCTACCTATCCTAACTTAGCACGTTGCGGCGTGATGCCCGGCAGTGCTGCTGCTGCTGCTGCTGCTGACGATGTTGTCACAGCAAACAAGGGCGGCCGCAACTCATCAGGGCAGGGCTCATCAGCAGAACCACCTATCCTACTTCGCACGTGTGGCGGCTGCTGGATGGCTTGGTTGGTTGCAACCTGGCAAGCGGTCCTTGCGTCCACAGCATCCGCTCTATTCTCTGTCCTCTATCGCCACCCACTCGTGTCAGTTACCACCATCTTAACATTGCGTTCGTTCCCCCGGCAGGCAACGGACCCCCAGCAGTCCAAGCCAGCTGACCTCCCTGACGCCGTTTGGGAACGCCTCAAAGTAAGCAAGGGGACGCATGCATGCATGCATGCATGCATGCAGCAGACATGTGGCATGCAGCAGACATGTGGCATGCAGCAGACACGTGGCATGCAGCAGACATGGCATGCATACATGCATGCAGCAGACATGTGGCATGCAGCACGGCGGAGTGCCTTGCATGCTGCCTTTTTGCCCAGGCTCTCGTGCGTGTTGTCCCTCAGGCGGCCCCGTACATAGACATACACAAGCACGCATCCATCCCTGCACCCTCGCGCACACAACACCAGTACCTTCCAACTCACGGCCAGTTTCCTCAACACAGTACCACCTCCACCTCATCAGCCGCCGGATGCGTGTGAATGGTTTCCCTTGCCCACCGGTACCGGTTTGTACTTACACTTTGTATTCACCAGTCCTTCTGCCCCCTTGCACCCTTGCAATGGGTCGCCCACCACATACGTAGGTCGGCACGCTGGTACCGGGTGTGGTGGAGAGCGTACAGCCCTCGGGCGTGGTAGTGCGTGTTTACCTACCCTCATTCGATCTGGAGGAGGCCCATTGGGAACACAGCTTGGACTTTGCGAATCAAGAACATAGCAGGCTACTTCGAGGATATGACACCGGTAGTGCTGCTGCTACTGTATCGTTGACGGGTCTGCTGCCCACTGGCGCCATCAGCCACTTCCGGGGCGTCGTACCGGAGGCGCTGTTCAAGCGGGGAGAGATGGTGTACGCACACGTACAGGAGCAGCAGCGGGAGGCTGGGCGGCTGAGGCTGACAATGAGAGACCAGGAGACCCTCCCAGGTGCATGAAGGGACGGGATCGGGAAAGCACCGCTGCTGGCTGCTGGGGGCCCTGCGGAAAGGATGGGTTGGCATGGGGGGGGGGGGGGGGTTGCATGCATGCGTGCATGCATGAGGTAACACCGCACGAGGACAGGTGGGTGGGGGCAGCATATGAGGCAGGGGCTAAGGTGCTTCAGAAACATGCATGCCAGGTCTCCGTTTAGTGGGAGCCTGGGAGGAGGTGGAGCGGGCTTTTGTGAGGGATGCATGGCCGCCGCATACACAGACTCTTGGCCGAGCGGCGTAGGTTTGTTTAAGCTTGGCTGGCAGCACCTCTACCTCCTCTAATTCCGCTGTTGGCATGTTGTTAAGACATAGGCTTGCCTGTGGCATACGCACAACACAACTAATCCGCGACATTGAAACATTCAAGCCTGTATGTGTGCAGGTGACATCGTCCTCTTCAAGGAGCGCATATTTGAAAAGCATATGTTTCGGGGGCTCATGGACTTTGGGGTAAGCAGCTTGGCGTTCATATTTGTAAGCCCCCGCACTCGCAATCCTGACAACTGCAGCCACGCCTTTTCGTAGCTTGCATTATCAGTGCGGCCTTAGCCTCACCTTGCCAACTCCACGACGGAAGGTTAATAGCTGACTACAACAAGGGTTCCAAAACGGTACCAGCGGGCTTGATTGGCCTGGCCAACAAGTCCTGGCAGGTAGTGGTGTGTAGACAACCCTGGCAAAGCTCCCCGCCCCTTACCTGCTGCTGCTAGGCGCCCCTCTCACCATTTGAGTGGGACGAAGGAGTGGCTGCCAAGGAAGCGAAAGAAGGCAAGCCGCGATGGCTCAAGGTAAGCAGCAGTCTAAGCCACCCAGGATTGCGTTGCGGACGCATGCATGCCCCTGATGGTGCCCTTCTATGCCCCATGCCACCAAGACTTGTCCACAGCAGTTTCCGTCTCACAACAGTTTCCGTCTTACGACTGTTTCCTTCTCACGGGGCACGCATGCACGCCTGCCTGCAGGTTGGCCGGCTGGCGTATGGCGTGGTGACAGGCCTCACGGACACGTGTGCCTTCCTGGCCCTTCCGGGCTGCAACCACAACGAAGCAGTCCTGCACCTGCGCGACTTGTCATACCTGGTGCCTGCTGCAGTGGACCCGAGTGGTGAGGAAAGCGGCTCCATGGTCTCATCTACGGTATCATCTACGGTGCAGCAGGCAGAGGGAGGCAGTGCTGACAGCAATGAGAGCCAGGATGAACCTGCAGCTACGGAAGGAGCTGCCGCTGCTGCTACTGTCACTGCTACTGTCACTGCTACTGTCACTGCTACTGTCACTGCTACTGTCACTGCTGCTGCTGCTGCTGCTGCTGCTCCCGTGCATTCCATGCGCAATTACCTGAGGATTGGTGACCGAGTGGCTGGAATCGTGAAGAGCCTGCCCCAGCACGTCTCAGCTGAATCCCATGTGGAAATCAGCACCTGCGATCTGGAGTACCTACCAGGTGCGGTGTGTAGACGTGTGTTAAGAAAACTGGCCGCGAGTCGGAACGTGTGCAAGCATGTGTAGGCGTATGCATAAAGCGCATTGCCAGACGGCCGTTTCCAAACCACAGAATTGTCATAAATAACGACGTGGGAATTTTTCTGTATATATGTGTACTTGGTACGATTACTTTACCTTCTGAGTTAGCATTGGGCTCTTGCCAGATTCCAACTGGATAACCAAAAACCCTGAAATCGTGAAGTGGTGACCGATGCTGACCCTGTTTACTGCAGGGGAAATGCTGTGGGACCCTGCATCAGTTTACATCCAGGCTGGCTCACGCCATGACGATTTCAGGAGCCGCGCGAACCAGCTTTGGAAAGCACTGGGCAGCAAGCTTGCTGACAGGCGACGCATCGACAACCTGCCGTCCCTGGCCGCGATGCAGCACTGGCTGAAGGCCCAACAGCGGAACAACAACGGAGTTCCCGTGCCTGCTGCAGCCCTGGCTGGGTTGCCCGTCGTCCCAGAGAAACTGTCTCACAATGATGGCAGCGTGACGGGGATTTCAGCAGCTGCAGCAGCACCGTCGGGGGCTGCTGACGAGTCGTCAGCAGCGCTGGCGGCAGCAGCTGAGCAGGCCTGCCAGCGTAAGGGTGCACTGTGGCTGGAGACGGCTGCCTGGGTGCAGGAGGTGGCAGCAGCGCGGAAGAAGCTGCAACGCACGCTATGTGATGAGGCAGGGAAGCATTTTGACGGCCACGTCGCTTCGGCGGCCAAGGAGGTGAGGCATGTGTTATAAATAAAAGTGGCCGCGAGTCGGAACGTACTGTGATGCACGTGTGGCCGAGGTGGTTGATTGGTTTGGGAGCGGTGTGCATGCTGAAGATGATGCAATGATGAAGGCCCTGGTGCGGCAGGGCTTAACGTTTTAATCCTACTGCGTATACTGCGTATACCCACTGCATTTACACCCACTGCATCACCGCAGTGACAGTTAGAATGTTCCAGGATGCTTAAACGGCTGGCCTTACCCTCGCTCCGTATGGTCCTTCTCAGCAGCAGGCGGGTCAAGCGGCCTCAGGGGACGAGAAGGAACGTCAGCAGCAGGACGGGCGTGATAGGGAGCGGCAGAAAGCCGAGCCGGTGAGTGCTGGAAGCACGTGTTGTATGCAGGGAGACATGCACATCGCATGTACTGGCATTCCAAAGCCAAACACGTTGCTGCGTGCCCGAACTCTGCGGCGCGGCTGCCTGGTGCTGGCAGCAGCAGTAAAGCAGTTGTACTAGCCTCGCTCTATGCTTAATTACACCACAAAAAAGCAGCCTTCTGTTTCATGACGGGTTAATCCACATGCATGCAGGTCCGCCCGGGCCTGATGGACTGGACGGTGGTTGCGGTGACCCCTGAGGGCGCCCTGCTGTCCAATGACTTGGTATACGGCTACCTGCACGCCAGCGATCTGTCAAATGCGGTACCCGAGTCCGAGCCAGCTGCCAGCCCCTTCAACCCCTGGCGCAAGGGCCTTGACAGCCGTTGGTGCTTCCCAGAGCGCCGGTTCTGGTTCAGTGTAGTGGACCAGCTGCTCAAACCAGGCGATAAGGTGAAGGCGGCGATTGTGGGGCGACAGACGACGCACACCAGGGCATTCCTGGGTGAAGGAGGAGCAGCAGCTGGAGTGCTGTACTTGGCAAAGCAGGAAATGGAGTGTCCCGCCGATGTAGTACGAGTGAGCACCAAGGAACTGGAGCAGGAGCCGGGTGAGGTGGAAACCGCAATAACAATGACCCGTCTCCATCTGTGTGACGCCGGCATGCCTGCGTACACGGCATTGTTTTTCACGGGGCTCCTGTTTAGCTTTTGCTGTATGAAGGCTCTTACCTAAGTTGCAAATACGTTGTGCGTGCACCAACATTTGGCATGCCCTGTCCTGCCAAAGCTGTCTGGGCGTCCAAAGATGCATGCATGCACGCATTTGTACGGAAGGGCAGCTTCTTACGCAGTTGGTTGAGCAAGGACCATAACCCAAAATTACACGTCTTCAACATGCTCCTATGTTTCCATGCACCTGGCTCGAATTTCCTTGCTTAATACCAAGCAGTATGTGCTATCTACCAGCACAGCAGTGTAAGCTAACAGCGTTCCATTGCCTTGTTGCTTGCAGGCGACATGTTTCACGATGCAGCAGCAGTATTCAGCTCAGCCGAGGAGACGTACGAGCGGTGGCGTGGTGCACCCCAGGACGAGCTTCTGGACCAAGTTGAGTGCGCCCTTGGTGCATGCAATGGCAAATGGAAGCGCTTGGATGAGCCGTACAGTACGGCAGCCCTGCTGGACTGGCTCACCCAGAGCCCCGCACGGGCGCTGCGTGCGGGCCCCCAGCTGCATTCCTTGGTGGCGGAGGGAGGCAGCTGGGAGGAGGTGGCGCGGCTGGCACTCCGGGTGGCAAAGGAGGAGGTGGAGGAGGTGGCGGACAAGGAGGTGGATCCACTGCAGGTGGGTGCGCGTAGGTACGGACATTGTACCTCCGTAGGTACGAACGTAGGTACGACGGAAGCGTTCCTGTTGGGTAGGTTCTGCTGGTGAATGCATGTAAAGCCAGCTGACAACGCTTCCGTCAGCTGGCTTTACATGCATTCACCAGCAGAACCTACCTAACAGGAAAAACAGGAGCAACTGCGTCACTTGTGGTTATTAGTTGTGACGAGTGGTCTTTTATTTGTACCTACTGCTTGCTTGCTCGCCGGGGCTTGAAGGACGCCCCAAGGGCCAACGCGGCTCTGCCCTTTTCGTGATGAGGGTGCGTGCACCTTGTTTCCGCTCACGCTTTGCTCAGGCGTTGGACAAGGGGCGCATGTACGACGGCACTGTGGAGTCCGTTACGCCCTACGGCACCTTTGTGAAGTTGAGTGCCGGACCCACGGGTCTGCTGCACATGAGCAAGATCAGCAAGAAGCGCATTGAGAACATGAGCGAGGTTCCCCTCCGGAGGGGTGACAAGGTCAAGGTGGAGGTCCTGAGCGTGGACGCTGACGGGCGGCGTGTGTCCTTTGGCACCAAGCGCTTTGAGGACACACCAGGTGGGAGCCTCCGTGCATGGGGCTTTGCGTGCATTCCGGGTGTGTGGAAGGACGCATGGAACCAACCTGCTGTGGGACCACATGCATGCTGTCTAGGGGTTCCAACATCAACCCAATAATCATGCCAGATGTCTTGATTGCGTGTGTTTCGTTAGGGCCGTGTGTTTAGGTGTGTGTGTTTTGGGGCCTCTTGCGGGTCCTGGAGGACAAACATGCCGGTACACTCGCTCTGCCACGCCGCTGCACTCCCAACATGTGACCTGCTCCATACATCGATCCTCACCACCACCCGCCTCCTTGTTCTTATCCTCTTATACTTCTTATACGGTAATTATTGTAATTTTATTGTAACAATTTATTATTATCACTATTACCCGGCAGGCGACATGCTCCAAGACCCGCAGCGGGTGTTTCAGGAGGCGGAGAAGAAGTACGGCGGGTGCGTGTCTGCCTGCCATTAAGCTGCAGTGCGGGGGGCGGAAGTACGTTGCGTTGAGCGCTGCCTAAGCACGTGAGGGGGATTTGGTGCCGGCCTGTACCGGTAGCTGGGTAGCTGGGTACTACGTTGCTGGTGGTAGGCTTGCTTACCAGCAGCACCTACCGGTGACAGGTTGTTGCACAGGTGATTAGGTATTAAACATGCAGTAATGGTGCGATAACACGTTGAGGCGAAGTACTTGCATGACAGTTTATAACGTTTCCAAAGACTGTGGCATACCACGGTAGTTGGGGTACGGGACCCAAAGTGCGGTGCATGGGTGTGGTGGTGGTTGGCGCTGCCGGTCTTGCACCCGGCCTTTCCGGTTGCCCTGAATGAGGGCGTCTGCTGGTCTGGTGAGAAGATAACACGGGTTATTTAGTTTAGGGGAAGGCGTTCATCTCTTGGGAAGGCAGCCATCCCTTCTATGACGGCATGTTGGTATTGAAGCGGTACCGGAAGGCATATCCTTCTAGACCGCCACTGGTGTTGGACGTCAGTCCTGGTTTCCGCCATGGGCACGGCAGCAGTCTGGACGGGAGTTAGTGTGTGTTGTTGGAAGCTGGCTGCGGGTCGGAACGTTACTGTGATTGCATGGGGGTTGCATGGGGATGCTGAAAGGCGGCGGACAGCGTCCATGACAACGCAACTTGTTCTCATATGTTACTTGTTGTGTTACGTAAAAGGCTGGTTAGAAACGACACGAGGCAGCATGTTGCTGTGGAGGTATAGTGTTGGTTGTTGCGGTAGTTGTAGCAGTCAGGTTCGCTTCTGTCGTGTCTGGTCTCACATGCAGCAGGAGGTCACCCTTGTCCTTGGAGAGCGGGCAGTGGTGGAAGTGCGGTATGTGGCACCCGAAAGCAAGCCTGCATAGCCGGCAGACAGCTAGGTAGCCTGGGTGAGGGTTTAAGAAGGCGCTTCTGCGAGGAAACGCCTGCAAGCATCCACCGGTAGCCCCTCCTCCACCCCCTCCTCCGGGGCGACAGGGACATACATCCGCAGGGGGCCTAGCAGGGGCTGTAGCAGCGGCGGGCGGGGCGGGGTCGAGGGCGCATGGGCAGGGTGTGTATCAGCAGCAGCTGCATGCGGCGGCAATGGCGGCCGCGGCGGGGGGAGTGGGGGCGGCGGGTGGGGGGCAGCAGCACCAGCATGGGGTGGGGGGAGGTCAGCAGGGTGCGGGGCGACCCATGGGTCGGCGGCTGTCTGGACGGGAGAGCTCGGATGGTCTGGATGAGTATACCATGGCTAGGTGAGGGTGAGGGTGTGTTGGGGGCGAGTGTGAAAGAGGGAGAGGGGGAGCAAGGAAAAAAAGCCTCACTTCGTTTGTTAGTCCCTTTTACTGCCTGTGCTCTGTGCTCTTCCACTTTCTATGTCAAGCTGCGGCCCTCCTGCCCCTCCCCAACTCCCTCTCCTCACCCCCTCCCCCTTCCCCCTCCCCCTCCCGCCATGCAGGTCCATGCGTCTGGGCCACTCCACCCTCATGCCGCACGCCCTGGACGCGGACACGGACGACGGCGCCACGGAGAGCGAGGGCGGGCTGGCGGGGTACAGCCCCGGGGGCATGAGCTTCGGGTCGGGGCACACGGGGGGGCTGCTGTCGCAACCCAACATACCCGAGGGTGGGTGAGGGAGGGAGGGAGGGAGGGAGGGAGAGGGAGAGAAGCAAGGGAGGATTGGAGGTTTGTTTGTAAGGGGGGAAGGAAAAAGGAAGGGAGGAGGTTTGACATGGGAAGGGAGGAGGGATATACGAGTTGTAACGGCGATGTTTTTCCAGCATGGTGCCTTACTGTAAAGCTTGTAGCAATGCGTGTACGTCTTCCCCGCCTTTCATTCCAGTCGCGGTCCCAACTTCCATTGCATGCTCGCTTTCATCCTTCCCCCTCTCCCTCATCCCCCCTCCCTTCAGGCGACGAAGATAGCGACATGGTGGGCCCCATGTCGGGCGTGGACGTCAACGGCAGCGGCACGCCGGGCGGCCGCGGACCCATGGGTCACCACCGCGGCCACCACGGCCGCCAAGAGTCCTCCCGCGTGTCCATCGCCATAGGGCCCCACGGCATGTACTCGGGCGGGGTGGGGAGGGGCGGCGCCGCGAGTGGAAGGGGAGCAGGGGGCGGCGGCTCCGGCCGGCGTTAGGTGGTTTGTTGGGACGTGTTAGGGCGGCCGAATGGAGGCATGTTATGTTTGTTAGGTCTGTTGAGGTGACCGGATGGAGGTAGGAGAATCGGGTTTCACCATAGTGTGTTTTAGCCGATTGCCGAGTAGGCTGTTGCCTCGTTTGTATGCATGCATGCATGGGGATACTTTCCTGGCGTGTACTAGCGCAGGCGGGTTAGCGCAGCAGCGTTTGGGAAGGGCAGGACGGGCATTGGGTTGCAAGGCATGCAGGGTACGGAAGCGGTTGGTATGACATGTGGCATGTGGGGGGGGGCATGCAGAGAGCTAGGGTGCAGCGGCGCGCGCCGCGGGTTATCAGGGATGCGGGGGGGGCGCTAAGCACAATACTGCCGCATGCTGGAGTTGGTTGGTTGCTGGGCGGATTGTTGGGGAGGGGTATGAGGAGGGATGTTTGCTGCCGGTGGGACATGCGGACAAGGTAATCGTCGTGTGTTTTGGAGGTGGGTGGCTATCTGGGGTGCTGCGTAGTCAAAAAGTAGGAAGGAGAAGGAGCAAGCATGGCCAGAAAGGGACTGCAATTTGGATGCTGTTGGGTGTCGCACAGCATGCATGCGAGAGGTTAGGGAAGGGACTATACAAATGGAGGGGGGGGGTAGTATCGGGATCTGCAACCCTGGGGGGGAAGTTGGGGTGTACGACGTATCATGCATATCGCAAATTTCGGTTTGTTAGTGCCGTATGCGAATGCCGGGGGCTGGGGGGTTGCAGCAGGCTAGGGGGTGATGCGAGCAGGCAGGGATTGTAGGGTTGGATATGACAAGGCAGTTTTGGGGTTAAGAGTGCGTAGGGTTGCTGAGTGGAGTCTCGGACACTTGCACAGAGTGACGAGGGAGGTTGGCTGGAATGACAAAGGAAATTAAGGACACCCATTCTCCGATATCAAAAAGGTTGTGGTTTGTAAGTCATGACCCATACAGCAGCCTTGTGCTTCTCTTATCGACACATTGCATGCGGTGGTGGGAGGGTAGAAAGCATCTGCCCCCTCAAGGCCGCCTCACTCCCAGCGGCAGCCTTGGAGCTAACCGCAGATTCTGAATGTCATACTCACGTTCAAAATTCTCATGAAGCCTAGTACCAACGTACGCGGTGTTACGATATTGCCAGTCCTAAATTGTTGCGATGAGTTGTTAGGGCTGCCCTAACAATAATTTTCCTCCCGTCACGCCGAGCTTGATACCGGTATTTTGGAGTCTAGGCTCCACAGCGTCCCCAGCACCCCCCACAGCTCTAACGACTTTCTATTCTTGTTCGGCGTATGGTCTTAATGCTTGTTCCGGATAACCTTTTGCTTGAATGTACAGGGTCAATGGGACATGCACCTCCCTTCGCAGTATGGCTGCTTTTCTAAACCCTTTTAAGCATTCTAACAAGTCGGAAACGCTTACCTGAATCGCTAGCTGTTGACCTTATCCTTTAGCGGCTGCGCCGAAACCAGGTGGTGTGCTCACCGCAATCTGTTGGTTTGCGCTTACGTAGCATAAAAAAGCAGCAGGCAGACGCAAAGGGTATGCTAAATAACTCATGTCATGATTATTTAGCAGTTATCTCAGCTCCCCACTGTAGAGCAGCCCTTACGGAACACTGCGGTTTAGCATAAGGAATGCACGGTTTGGTTCGCAGTTTGCTTCTATAGCACACGTATGGCCCTGACGCTGACACCATGGATTTTCAAAGTTGTTCTCCGTGCCAGCACAATCAGGGCAACTCGGCATCCGTTACAGTTATTATGGACGACGACTTTCCCCGAAGAACGAGTGCAGTTCTTGCTCGCAATAGCTTCCTGGCCAGCAGCACGAGGAGATCAACCCCTCAGCCTGAAGCCTTCGATGTTGAGGCAGGACCGGAACGTGCTGTTATGGAGAACGCATCTCTTTCCCCAGACCATGATCAACAGAGCAAGCAAGACGTCATGGCCGTTGCAGTGTTGGACAGGCCAGTGGATGAGCTCGTTGCCAATAGTGGAGCCCCAAGTGCTGATGGGTATGGCACTCCGGCTTCACTGATGCCGACTCAGAGTCCTTATGACCCCGGATTCGGCATGAGCGAGGTCCAGCCAGTGTTCGGCCTCCAGAAATTTGGCCTGCAACAGCTTATCATACATTGTGGTAATGGCACTACGATACCAATCGCACCAGAAAGAATCTTTTCATTTCCAGCCTGCGCACTTGGATGCAGAACAGAGCGACCCCAGCTCTGGGATAAACATTCATGGTTGGAAGAGCTTGCTAATTATCACGTGCTTCCTCGCCCCTTTCTTGGTCACAACGTGTATTCCTTTAAGGCCTACCATGACCATTACCACTTCAGTCACTCTCCTTACATGGAGGTGACTTTCACTGAGCCGGTGCAGCTGTACGTGTTGATGAAGTACAGCTCAGATATCCCTGAGTGGCTGCCCAAGGAGTTTGACTTCTTGCCGCATGACAGCTTTCTGATCGGTTTTCAACCAGAATCAAACTGCTGTAACAATAAAGGGTCTGTTGATATTTGGCAATACAAGGTTAAGTGTCTCCCGGGTCAACCTTATCGTCTTGGCGCGCCAAAAGGCAAGGATCGCCGTGGTAACATGTACCTGTTGGCATGGCGGAGGCTAGAGCCGGGCAACGTCGATGAGGGTAAGCACTTGTCTCTGGGGTTTGGAAGTAAGCTTACACGTACGCCGGCATGCCGACTGCTTACTAGCGGGCTTTACTTAGGATTCAATGCACCCTGATACCATGGCGTCAGCATGTGTATAACATCCGATGATGCAACATCTGTGCTGAACATGCTGAAGCTATTGGTCATTGGTATCGTGAATGCTCGCTGTATTCAAGAGGGCAATCAACTTGTTAGCAGGGCTAAGCTTGGAGTATTTGGCTAGACGTACTATTTATGTGATCATGACATCAAACCGTCCCGTCCCAGTCTATCTAGCGAGTGGGACTGCATATGCTGAGCATCCCTTTGCCAGCAGGCAGTCATGCAGCATGGTGCATGTGGTGCCATTTCCTATTGGCGCCTTCATTCATACATGCACACTTCCTTTTCCCAGCCCCCCAGTAATTTAGTTGCACAAAATTAAACCTTTCGACCTTTTCGGCCTTTAATTACCGAATAAGATTGCGCATGCCAGCGTATACGACAGCGTAACGTACACACTTGTTAGGTGATTATAATAATCACATACATCGACAACACGCACCTAGCGGATAAGCCTTCATTACGGCGTTACCCTATGCATGTCGCTGTCAATGCTGTCCAACACAAAAAGTGCTTCAAACAAGGGTTGTCAGCTTCCCAAGCAAGGCAGGGGTGTCAGCTTCTAAAACAAGGGGTCACTCTGGGGAATACCCCCCCCTAAATCTTCGTATGCGTATTCGTATTTTGGGGTTATGGAAACATTCGTTTACGTATACGTTTTTTTTGCCCATTTTTACGAAGGCCCCAATACGAAGTTCGTAATTGGGTCGTAAAATGAAGTTCGTTTGCTCTAGTTACCATTCGTTAAGTGCGAACGAAGGATGAGAAAACTGCATACGAAGGGTCATTTACGAACAAATATTGCAGAAGACGAGCTTCGTTTACTTTATGGTTCACAGGCTAGCTACACAAAATGGCAGTCCTAAGGGTGGGCAACATAGTATGAATGACAGAATGCCGCAGTGGCAAGTGTTGAAGGCACATTATACGCAATTCGTACCTACGTGGAAGAGCTCCGTCCACTACATACGAGCTTCGTATTGCATGCACAGGAAGAACTTCGTACCTACTTGGAAGAGCTCCGTCCACTACATACGAGCTTCGTATTGCATGCACAGGAAGAACTTCGTACCGATGTGGAAGAGCTCCGTCCACTACATACGAGCTTCGTATTGCATGCACAGGAAGAACTTCGTACTGACATGGAAGAGCTCCGTCCACTACATACGAGCTTCGTATTGTATGCCGTTTATGGAGTGCGTATATCTCTGGAAGGAGACCGTTCGCTTGATATGAACGTTGTATTATGTCAACCGCAGGAGCTTTGTACCCATTCACCTTACAAATACAACATTCGTATGGTATCAGAAGGCAGGTAAAACTAGGTTAGCATTGCTTAAAGAACGAACTTCATAACCCCAGACCACGAAACCTGGTTTGTTGGAACACTTGCTGTCCCATGTTGGCCTCCAGCAATATAGGTGTTTTCCTATGCATTCATAAGTGTTGTAGAAAGGTGCAAGCTAACCATACCAACAAGCAACGAATATCCAATAAGGGACAGCATCAAGTCACCTAGATGTCTAAAACCGGGCTCACTGTTCACAACCAACAAAAGGGATGCTGGCCGCAGTAAGAAGGATGTATATCCACAACTCCTAATCCTAAGGACGTGTCCAACGCAACTTTATCGGTCTTAGCTTGCTTCACTGCGCACTTGGTGGCCTGGCACCGTCATAATCATATAGCAAGCGTACGGTGTTATATGTCTTCATTGGGCAAAATGCGAGGATCTTACCTCCAAGAGTATCACTATGGCTGTTCCCTTGCTTCCAAGCCGCAGCCTAGCGAAGCGTCGGGAATCAAGGGCAGGCCAAAGAATGACGTAGCTTGCCAACGTTTATCAAATACCAGGATCGATCACGTCCCTATCGGGGCGAGCCATCCCTAGCTACCCACACCACTTAGCCCCTTCATATATTTAGAAACACCAGCCCAGCCAGTGCATGCATCACACAGGCAATGTCCGTGGCCAGCCATGTACACGTACGTACATGTAATAATACGGTATACGAGCTCTCATTATATTATGTATATGCGGCACGCCTAAGATAACATATGTGTTGATCAAGGGAAGTGCTCTTTCCGGACCTTATGTCAATATATAGTGTTGCACTCTGGGAAAACCGGGGTCTTAACTCCCGTACTATATAGGGGGTGGGTCCACTCCGTATTCTGCTGCCATTTTACAAACGCGTCCTTCCGTAATCAATGTACCTAAACACGGAACCTGAATACGTAGGACGTGGCTAGTTAATACGGAAAGTAAGGTATCTGGTAGTGAATTTGATTACCAAGCACCCTCAATTGTTAGACCATGTATGCTTAATGCTACCCTACCAACGGCCCCTATGGGTTAATCCGGCCTACGGATCAACTTAATCCGTCTTAATCCGTTTTAATCCGGGATAAGCCTGTTAGGCAGGTTAAGGCGCGTGCATGCGGATACAAACGGATTACATCGGATTTATCATTGATCCAACCGCATAATCCAATGTAACATTTGTGCCTCTACCGGATTAATGCGGCTTAAGCGCACGAAGTTGCACCTGTACCTAGAGGTCACATACAAAGCATGCCAACTACCATAACCAAATAAACTGTCGTAGAACACGTGGGTGGCCAAGCGGTGCCTCGCTTGCCCTGTGTATGGGACCTAAGGGTCACATCCAGAACCAATGCATGTTTACTGGATGCCAATCAGGCACAGTCGCTCCCTTTGCTAGCCGTACATGGCTGGACAAGCTGTGCCTCGCTTGCCCTGTATGTGGGACCTAGATAGACATGACGGCAGTCAGGCCGTTGTGGCCGCCTCATACAGCCCCTACAAATAAAGCAACGGGGTAGTAGTAAACTAGGAGCACACGCATGCCAACTACCATAACCAAACTGTCGTAGAACACATGGGTGGCCAGGCCGTTGTGGCCGCCCTCATACAGCCCCTACAAAGCAACGGGGCAGTAGTAAACTAGGAGCACACGCATGCCAACTACCATAACCAAACTGTTGTAGAACACGTGGGTGGCCAGGCCGTTGTGGCCGCCTCATACAGCCCCTACAAATAAAGCAACGGGGCAGTAGTAAACTAGGAGCACACGCATGCCAACTACCATAACCAAACTGTCGTAGAACACATGGGTGGCCAGGCCGTTGTGGCCGCCTCATACAGCCCCTACAAATAAAGCAACGGGGTAGTAGTAAACTAGGAGCACACGCATGCCAACTACCATAACCAAACTGTCGTAGAACACGTGGGTGGCCAGGCCGTTGTGGCCGCCTCATACAGCCCCTACAAATAAAGCAACGGGGGCAGTAGTAAACTAGGAGCACACGCATGCCAACTACCATAACCAAACTGTCGTAGAACACATGGGTGGCCAGGTAATTAGCCATTCTTTGACACTGCTGCTCGCTCGGATCCCTGCTTCCAGTATTATAGTTCCGTATATTGTGGAAGGGTTTCCGTATTTACAGCCTTTCTAATTATATTAGTGGGATGAATACGGACGGAGTTCCTGGAATAGGAATGGCTACTACAGGATTAGATAGGATGACAATTTCCCAATCAAATCAAACCCTGTACCAGGAGGGGTGAAAATTTTCAGCTTTTGGGGGTATGAGGTAAACTGATCCCAAACACTGCTATACGTATAGAGGATGTGGGGAATAGCCCTTTTAATCTATTTCCCGTCGATTTCGAGGGTGCTCTTGGGGTGTGGGGTGGTCCCGGGGCCGGTCAACTTTAGTGGAACGTTTTTCTGACTGCAAATTTCTTTGTAAAATTGCTATATTTGCGTTTGGCTTACATAGTTCTATTGATTTACGCACCTGTCCTCCATATACATTTATTTGATGCCTGCCGTAGTGGCTCGTGACATAGCCACCCTATACCATAACACGATAACACCTTAACTCTCTCTCCAACCAAATAGCCAGTCATGCCGGGAGAAGCCAACTGAAGAAGGGGGAATGAAACAACTGGGCCCCTGACGCGCTACCCGTGCCCTCTTACGTACTCAGCTAACCTGCTAACACGCATTACTGCTGGCACGGCAACGGACCCAATCTGCGTGGCCTGCTCCTATCCAAGGCCCACGCAGAGACAACCCCCGGCCACTAGACCCAACAAGGAAAACAATGCGAAGGGCGGGTGGGTGGGAAAAGAAACTAGACCTCGGTAAGGCAGCAAGCCCAAGCTCTAGACAGCGAGGGCTATCCCCAATTGACTAGCGTTGACTACAAGAGGCTAGCCGCGATTGGACACAAAACCAACGAAGTTCTCCGGAAGAAAGCCACGCAACGATAAAACAACAAGGAAGGCAACTCTCAAAACGCCATCCGACCACCAAGGCTCAATGTACGACAACTCATGCACTCGCCCCTACGGGTCCTCAAACTAGATTTTTAGCTACGCCAAAAATATAATTTTGATGCCTGCCGTAGTGGCTCGTGACATAGCCACCCTATACCATAACACGATAACACCTTAACTCTCTCTCCAACCAAATAGCCAGTCATGCCGGGAGAAGCCAACTGAAGAAGGGGGAATGAAACAACTGGGCCCCTGACGCGCTACCCGTGCCCTCTTACGTACTCAGCTAACCTGCTAACACGCATTACTGCTGGCACGGCAACGGACCCAATCTGCGTGGCCTGCTCCTATCCAAGGCCCACGCAGAGACAACCCCCCTTTCCCTATCCCTTATCACATCTGCTCTACCACCGCCCGCCTGACTGCCACTGACTTGCGAGTGTACACATCTACGGCCCGGGACTTCCATCGCCCGTGCTCCTTACTGGCCTCTACCACGTGGGTGATGAAGAGGCAGACCAGGAAGCGGTTGAGGTCCTGGCCCCGGGCCCGAGGGAAAGCATCCTGCTCGCTCAGGCGCAGAACAACGACGCAGAACCTCAGGAACCGCTGGCGCCCCGCCTCATAGGTGGCCGCAGACCGGGCCGCCACCGCGCTGCCTACCTGCACTACCCATCGTTTGGCGAGTCCGCTCACGTAGCCTTCGGCAGCCTCCGCCCCAACGCCCGCCGCCGCCAACACGCAGCCGGCGCAAAGGTACCACCCACCCGGGTAGTCGCCGGCTGCCAGCCCTAAGCAGCGGCGGTGCGCCATGCGGTGCTGAGCTGCCGGCTGAGGCGATCTGCGCGCACATTCTCGACGCCCGCGATATGCTCCGCCCGGAGCTCAAACCCCTGCCGGATCGCAAGCTCCACCATCTGCCGGCTGACGCTGCGGCCCTCCGGCACGCGGGTGGAGCCGTGCCTGATCGCAGCCACGGCCTGAGTATTGTCGCAGCGGATCAGCACACGCCGCCCGGTGAGCCGGGGCGCCCACGGCTGCACCGCCCTGAGCACCGCCTTCAGCTCCAGCCAAGCCATGTGTAGCTGCTTCTCCGCCGCTGACCACGGCCCCTGCAGCTCCGCGGGGCCCCAGGCCGCGCCAGAGCCGCAGCCGCTGGCGTCGGTGAAGAAGACTGCACCACTGGGGCCCCAAACTCCCCCCTCACCAAGTCGAGGTCCGCTACAGCGCACTGCTTGACGCCATCCCACACTGGCGAATCCGACCGAAGACCCTCCACCAGAACTCCAAGTCCTCTATGGCCTCAGGCGTTAGCTGCACCAAGCGTGGTGGTAGTGTAGTTACCTTCCACGCTGCTCGCCCCTGCCACTGCACCTCCCTGCGGCGCTGCAGGCGCCACGGTGCTGCTGCTCCCATGTTCTACCGATGGCCTGCCGACTGGATCTGCCATTGAGGATGTCGCCACCGGCTGGCCATGTTCCGCCACCATGGCTCCCTGTCTCAGGGCCAGCGCCGCTGCGTACAAAGCCTCCAGGGGCCCTACCAGCGCCTCTGACCACCGGCCATCCGTCTCCACCACGTGTCCCAACAGCCTGCTGCTGTTCACTGCACGAGCGATAGGGAGATGGGCCGGAGGAAGGGGAGGAGGCCCATAAGATACCCACTTCGCCCTGGAATTGGGTTGTTATCGCCTTGGGTGGTACACAGGTATCCCATTTCGCCCTGGGATTGGGTTGTCCCATATCGCCTTGGGAAGGCACAAACGTATCTCACTTCGCCCTGAGATCGGGTTTTCCCATTTAGCCTTGGGTAGGCACTAAAAGTCCCACTTCACCCTGGGATTGGGTTGTCCCATATCGCTATGGGGAGGCGCCTAAGAATCCCACTTCGCCCTGGGATAGGGTTTTTCCATTTAGCCTTGGGTAGGCACTAAAGGTCCCACTTCACCCTGGGATTGGGTTGTCCCATATCGCTATGGGGAGGCGCAAAAGTATCCCACTTCGCCCTGGGATAGGGTTGTCCCATTTCACCTTGGGGAGGCACTAACGTATCTCACTTCGCCCTGAGATTGGGTTTTCCCATTTAGCCTTGGGTAGGCACTAAAAGTCCCACTTCACCCTGGGATTGGGTTGTCCCATATCGCTATGGGGAGGCGCCTAAGTATCCCACTTCGCCCTGGGATTGGGTTTTCCCATTTAGCCTTGGGTAGGCACTAAAGGATCCCACTTCACCCTGGGATTGGGTTGTCCCATATCGCTATGGGGAGGCGCAAAAGTATCCCACTTCGCCCTGGGATAGGGTTGTCCCATTTCACCTTGGGGAGGTCTAACGTACGGCCCGCCCTCATGGTGTCTCCCACACCGCCCTGGGGTGGCCTACCTGCATGAGTGTCGCCCATGCCGCCCGATGCGCCCGCTAGCCACCCCGCGCCACCGCCCCCCGCGGCAGCGGCGTCTGGGGCACCCGCCATGTCCCTGGCGGGCGCATGAAGTTCCTAGTTCCTCCGCGGCATGCGCCTGCGCGCCGCCGCTAGCTTCCTGTCACGCTCATCCTCCGGGAGGCCTATCAGCGTGGGCCAGTTGTGGAACCTGTGGCCCGTCGCGTCGCAGACAAAACAGCGCTATTGTGCATCGCCGTGGCTGCCTGCGGACCCGCTGCTCGGAAGCGGGAGGGGCGCCTCCCTGGCCGCTGCTCGGTTGCTGGAGGTGCCTTGACCCGTCGCGCTGCGCAGGATGTCGGTCAAGTCCTCCTTGCTGAAAGAGGAGAGGCCGCGCAGTAGGTTGAGCTTATCCGGGTCTCCCTCCTTTAGCCAACGCATGGCCTTGGGAAAGGTAGTGTAGCGCGTGAGCTTGCTGACCTCGGACTGGACCTGCTGCGCCTCCTGCGCCCGCTTGTAAGCTGCGGTGGCAACCATCAAGCTCCGTGCTTGCTCGTCCGTAGTCTGCGCCCTCGCCGCCTCCTGCAGCGCGGCCTCGCCCAGCGACACGCTAGCGCTGATGACGCTCTTGGCATGACTGTTGAAGATGTCTTGGTTGGTAGACAGCCGCTGCACACCCGCTACCGCTAGCAACTCGCTCATGAATGGCGCCATGGCCGCGGTGTCCTCCATGTCAATGCTGGAGGTAAGGGTCTTCTCGAACGGTCCCAGCGCCGACCGTTGAGCCCCCGTTGCCGTCATGCCCGCGCCCGGCCCCGTCGCCAACGTGTCCAGCCAGGAGTCCAAGATGCCGGCGCCCTGGACCGTCAGGCGCCGGGGGACCTTGCTTGGCGGCAGCACCGCCGCCTCCAGCGGACCTTCCACCGCCCTCCTCACTCCCCTTTCCGGGCGCTCTGTCAAGACGTGAGAGGCCCCTTGGGGCGCCGCCTGCCTAACGGCAGGGGGCGCCAACGGGCCTAGTGTCTGAGCTAGGGCCGGGAAGCCCTCGGTATCCACCTGTTCCTCAATATCCAGCACATGTGCGTATTGTACGGGCACCGTGGTTGCTGCTGCTGCTGCTGCGGTTGCAACCTGCCTCGCTGCTGCTGCCGCTGGTATCGGCTGAACTGCTGCTGCCGGTTGTCCCAACCCCGCTGGTCCCTGTCCCGTTGCCCCACCAGCCGGAGGCTCACCTTGTGGGACCGGCGCCAGCGCACCGTGTCCCTCCTGGGTCGTAACGATCGCCCCAGCCGCGAAGGCCTGGCTGAGCTGTGACTTGCGCATGAAGATGGCGCGACGTGTGTCTTCCCGAGCCCGCAGTTCCAGATAAAATGGCTGCCTGCGCTCAATCTCTCGAAAAGAAACTAGACCTCGGTAAGGCAGCAAGCCCAAGCTCTAGACAGCGAGGGCTATCCCCAATTGACTAGCGTTGACTACAAGAGGCTAGCCGCGATTGGACACAAAACCAACGAAGTTCCCCGGAAGAAAGCCACGCAACGATAAAACAACAAGGAAGGCAACTCTCAAAACGCCATCCGACCACCAAGGCTCAATGTACGACAACTCATGCACTCGCCCCTACGGGTCCTCAAACTAGATTTTTAGCTACGCCAAAAATATAATGTATACGAGCGCATAGTTAAAATTATTTTAGGCCATCCCAGACCTGGCAATTGTGAACCACCCGGTCGAAGGCTGTTTCTGCTTCTGCAACTAGCGTTGATATATTTGCTTAAATCATTGCTACAAGCACCCAAGATGTCTCAGAAGCAAATATCGGCACAGCCGGGCAATCTTGACCGACCTGCTCCTAGCTCTTTCCGCCGGGCAGCAAAGCCAGTTTGAGAAACATGTGGCAAAACTTCAGCAACAGTATGCAGACAGGCCAAAGCGGGTAGCTAAGTGGAAGTGACCGGACTGTCCTTGCGGCTGGTTCCATGACAAGGATGACCTCCAACTTTCATGAAGACTGTTAGGGGTACTATATACATCGTAACAAAACTGTTTACACAGTGTCGTACACGAAATTCCCATTTTTGGCTGCTTTGGGGGTGGGTGGGTGGTCAAGGGTGGGTCGTCGGACCTTTTGCTCTTACCGTCAAGATCTTTTTCTTCTCACCCCTCCTGCCTGTACGGTTACATTCTCCTCATGACGTGGCAAGTAGTCACGTACTAGAGTGACGCGTTAATAATACGGGATCTTTGACCCATAATACGGATGACCTTACGGAGTCCTTCGTCTGGATTACGGAGTTATCCTCCCCAGCCAGAATACTACCCGCCACACTGCTGCAGAGCTTACTGCCTGTTTTCCGGTTTTCTAAATGACTGAATGTGCATTGCAGAAGGTCAAACGTCCAAGTCGATGGCTCCGTGCTTGGATGTCGCACAAGAATTGAAGATCTGCATGCTGAAAGCCTTTGAGTGGCGTCGAGAGAGGCACAGCAGGCTGCATCAATTTATCCACGTTTACGGGTAATAGGGTGAAATGACAGAGGTTTTTACACACGCACCCTACCGCCTCGCTTTCCTAGTGGATACTGGATTTACTGAAATGCTCTAGCTGCGTGTCCTTAATCGCACCTGCATATATATCTACAACCCGTGCTGCAGGTGCTGGGCACATAAATCTAGTGTGCTGGTTCTGGGGCAAGAGTAGATGTGCAATACCGGTACATACATGCTACTGGGAGCCCTTATACTGGGTGCTTTTGCCCCGATGCCACCGGATACCCACTCTCTTGTCGTAATAATGCCTATGAATTAAAACGTGAACTTGTACCTGGTCTACAAGCCAACTAGCGATGTTACTGTGCAACGGTCGAAGGCCTTACTTGCGTGCACAATGCCGAGCATCCTGCTAAAGCAATGTAGGTGAAACCTAAGTGGCCTGCTGCTGCGTGGCCCCCCGAAAGTATTTCCATGTGACAGTTGGGACCAGTAGTTGAATTTGGTTAGTTGCAGTGCTCCTGCCTCCATACATTGGACTCTGAGCGAGCTCGTCTAGCCATACAATGAACAGAATGATAAAATTAGGCAAGGGGCGTCAGTGTCCGTGTAACAAGGTGTGTTAGGTCAACTGGTAGGGCACGTACAGGTGCGCGCGCATGCCCTGACATATATATAAGTGGTCGTCATATGCTCCTGTACATCGTACACAAGCCGTACAGCAGGGTGGGGTTTGAAGCAGCTAGTGGTGGTTTGGGGGGAGGGTAGGTGTACCCTGGAGGTCCATGAGTTTTTTACACCCCTCCTGGTGCAGCGCCAGGTTTTAATTGGATGGATTTATTGTATGAAGCCCAAACCCCATGTTACGGATGCTCCCACTCCTAGGAACATTCCTCTTTCCTTGAGTGGGAGGTAGGCCCTAAGACCCATGCCCTGAACCGCATAACCTGATGGAAAACACATGCCTAACACATGGTGCCATTCCTGCTGGGTACTACGAAAACAGGGCCTATAATAAGGACTGCGACAAGGAGCCATACTTTATGGTCGGCCCAGAAGGCAAGGAGCAACTGCTGACTGCAATGGCAGCATCAGCAATGGACGAATACTCCTGGTGTTTGATTTTTGACATGGTGAAGGCGGGTGCAGAAATGGATGCTACAGCATTCAGGTGTGCTCTTAAGTTTGTTTTCGCTCGTCAATTATGACGCCGCGAGCCTGTTTGACATAGTCACTTGCCATTTTTTCAGGTGCATCCTTGGAGATATTAAGAGACTACAGGCATATGATGAATACCTCGGCGTCACACACTTCATCCTATCGTACTTAATCCATCGTCGCAAACCAATCGCCAGATAGCTGTACGTTTCTTGCCAGTCGATTGAACTATTTCAACAGCACGCTGGAATGCTGCTTCGTCAACTGGGGTCCACTTTGCGCGCTTCTTGGGCGGAAGATTGCTCTCCAGCTCTGAAGGCCGTATATACTCTTGCCCAGCGCAGCTTTGTTGCGGTGCAGGAAGTAAAGACAGATCTATAGGTCAACCAATTGCACTGAGGGTCAGCAATAACTTAGGGCACTTCTTTGTTGCCACTTGCATTAGCTTTTGCTACATATAATTGTTAATATCAGAGAACACAGGTCTGCGAACACATCCAAGCGACTAATAGTCATTGCCCATGGTACGGATGGCTAGTGACCAAAGCCTACTTTGCCCATGGGCTGCACCAATGTAAGTTCTTCCTTTATCAGTCCTTTGACGCTGCTAAGCATGGTCACCACAAGCCAATGATCGCCATTCAGAAATCATGCTCCCCCTCCTTTGCATTGGTTTATTTGCTTACTGGATTGTAGGCAATGCTTTGTGCCATAGCTTGAGAACGCGCCTTAAAAATCTGAGGGGCAGCGGTTTTGGTGGTTTCGAAGAAATAGTCCCTGAAATCGGCCCGGGTGTTCCCTAAGGTTGTTCCCTTGCTTCCAAGCCGCGACCGATCAAGGGCAGGCCAAAAACAGTGTCAGATGCACGATGTTCACAGCAAACACTGCTACGTCGCGGTGGGTCCTTATGGCACTGGGTTGGATTGCTGCCTGATGGACAGATGCCTGATGGACAGTCTGCGGATGGACAGAAACACGTTGCCGCTTGGCAGCGTGGTACCGTTATGCACCCACTGCAAGTACGAAGTCCTGCAACTGAATTTTGTGCCTTGACCCATGTTTCCTATATGATATCAAATTGATATCGCCAAGCCCGGGTTTACTAAGGCTGTTCCCTTCCAAGTTGCTTCCAAGTAAGTGGCCCAGCGGAGCAAGGTATTAGCCGGGAACTTGGGAGCATTGCGCGCAATGGAAATTACGCTGAAAATGGGCTGGTTGCGCGCAACGGTCCCGCACGACACGCCCAATTTCCTGGTCTGACAAATCTGTCTCGTTTTACAGCGCAGTATATATTTATGTATAGTATCATGTGGCCAAGCATCGGGCTCGATTGGTTGCGCCGTGCGAGTGTGGTCGGGCAGAATGTGCCGTTCAGACCGGGTGCATGGTGGGCGGGGGGCCTAGTCAAACCCAGGGTTTGGGGCACGTATCCGACCGTGCGAGCGGCACCTGAGCGGTGAATCATGATAACTTTACGAATCGTATGGCCTTGTGCCGACGATGTTTCATTCAAATTTCTGCCCTATCAACTTTCGATGGTAGGATAGAGGCCTACCATGGTGGTAACGGGTGACGGTGGATTAGGGTTCGATTCCGGAGAGGGAGCCTGAGAGATGGCTACCACATCCAAGGAAGGCAGCAGCAGGCGCGCAAATTACCCAAAAAGCAGCCAATGATGGAAGAATGGTTTGGCCGCCACCTTTCACGGAGCACAGCAGACGACTGAAGTGGTCTGACAAAATTGCATAGTAGCTAGAGAGCAAGTGGTCCGACGAACTTGCATATATAGTAGAGAGCATTGTACAACCTTTGGGCAGCAATGCAAAACACATGTGCCGTCGCGGATAGATAGAGGAGCTTATAGCTAGATAGGCAGCAACGCGAGGTAGTAGGTTGTGGAGATGACATCACGCGCACTGATCAGGATCGAGAGCCCGCCCTTCCCACCCATTACCAATTGCACAATGCATTGGACACAAGCATGTCACTTGCCTAACTTCTTGCAAACAGCTCCTACACATCCAGTCGCCCCAACAGAGCCGACCCTGTGTAGCTAAGTCAGGTCTTACCACTACCCTCTCTGTTACCCACTTTCCATCCGAGGGGTAACCGACTTCCCTACATGACGTACCCCCTCGCCAAGGGTTCGTCCTGGCGAGGACCTTTACTACTGTATTTGTTTGCGGCAGGTCCCAAGGTTTTCCCCAGCCCTAAAACATTTATGGAAATCACAACATACTTCTGATCGGTGCCTAACCCGCCAGCTCCACACGCCCCCTCCCTCCCCTTCTTATAGTTTAAGAAGCAGTCTCGCTTCCAGGCCGCCGAGCAGTTGCGGCACTATGAGTACATGGTGGAACGTCACCTGTTGGGAGCACCCTTCTCACTGCCGCTGCTTCTGCTGTCATGGCTGCCGAGCAACCACACAACCACACGGCAAAACGGTAGGGTCGTTGCCTGTTCTCTCACAGCAGGCTATTATTGTGGCTCTATATGAGCTCTTTCTGTCAAGAATTTATGTATATCCGTCTATATATATGGACGAAGCAACTTGCATGAAGTGCATATGAGCATAGCGCATCCCGAGCAGGCGTTTACTGCAATCCTTGGGTATGTGTCCGGCAATGAAGTGGTGTTGTTGGGCCAGGGTTCGCAAGTGAGTTGCAGGGGTAGCCAGTACTTCCGTATTTCACGCAGGCCTAAGAGGAATAAGATAGAGGTTTTTAACTATATAGCATATTACGGTATTGTTGTTACGGCTCTGTTTACATACAATAAGCGTGTACCACACCGACACCACGGAATGCAGTTCATGGTGCCTGTGTCTTTCTTCCGTCATTTAGGCCTGATTTGAGGGTGTACTTGATGATTGCCCGCACACAGCTTTACTCCATAGATGAAGCATCATTAACTTCTGAATGTTTAATCACCCCAGGCGCCTGCAGGAGGCCGTGGTGGGACACCGTTGTGGACGATCCTGCTCTTTTAAAAGAAATCAAGAAGTACAAGAATTTTTGGAAGAAGAAGCGTTTTAAGCAAGCATTATTGATCTCGAAAGGTCAGTGTCCGCGCATGCCTTCATACTGCTTGCGCCTGAACCATGTGTGCTGTAGTTTCCACACGCACCTGCAGCAGTAATGGCGGCTTGACTTTTATTATAGGAGACCACGTCACCCACCCGCTGTTTGCATCTGCAACACGGGTTATGCGTGCATGATATATACAATCTGGACAGGAATGTCAACTCTTAAAACATCATGTTTGGGGTATAATGCCCAGGTTTTGGCAAGAAGGAGCACCCCACCGGCACCAACGCCCTGCCGTACCTGGTGTACCTGCTGACCATGTACCCCGTCCTGATGCTGCTGGTCTGGGTGACCTACTTTGCCATGGCGCCGTACCGGATCATCTACTTCACCTTCTGGGGGCACCAAAAGTGGATTCGTGCTTCAGTAAGTCAGAATACGAATGTAAGGGCCTGTAGGGCCGCCTTTGGTGGCAGGGGTGGCCGCTGTATGCTCTTCATGGTGCATGTGACTGGAGGAGGTGGTGCCGGCATACAAGGGATAACACCCTCCATGCGTGTGCTCCTAGTTTACTACTACCCCGTTGCTTTATTTGTAGGGGCTGTATGAGGGCGGCCACAACGGCCTGGCCACCCATGTGTTCTACGACAGTTTGGTTATGGTAGTTGGCATGCGTGTGCTCCTAGTTTACTACTGCCCCGTTGCTTTATTTGTAGGGGCTGTATGAGGCGGCCACAACGGCCTGGCCACCCATGTGTTCTACGACAGTTTGGTTATGGTAGTTGGCATGCGTGTGCTCCTAGTTTACTACTACCCCGTTGCTTTATTTGTAGGGGCTGTATGAGGGCGGCCACAACGGCCTGGCCACCCATGTGTTCTACGACAGTTTGGTTATGGTAGTTGGCATGCGTGTGCTCCTAGTTTACTACTACCCCGTTGCTTTATTTGTAGGGGCTGTATGAGGCGGCCACAACGGCCTGACTGCCGTCATGTCTATCTAGGTCCCACATACAGGGCAAGCGAGGCACAGCTTGTCCAGCCATGTACGGCTAGCAAAGGGAGCGACTGTGCCTGATTGGCATCCAGTAAACATGCATTGGTTCTGGATGTGACCCTTAGGTCCCATACACAGGGCAAGCGAGGCACCGCTTGGCCACCCACGTGTTCTACGACAGTTTATTTGGTTATGGTAGTTGGCATGCTTTGTATGTGACCTCTAGGTACAGGTGCAACTTCGTGCGCTTAAGCCGCATTAATCCGGTAGAGGCACAAATGTTACATTGGATTATGCGGTTGGATCAATGATAAATCCGATGTAATCCGTTTGTATCCGCATGCACGCGCCTTAACCTGCCTAACAGGCTTATCCCGGATTAAAACGGATTAAGACGGAATAAGTTGATCCGTAGGCCGGATTAACCCATAGGGGCCGTTGGTAGGGCCAGTGCATGCGTGCGTGCCTCACCCCCTCTTTACATGCCAGGGCTACACTTGGAGTGATATTACTATTGCTTACTTATGCTTACTACAAATATTAACTGGACGTGCCAGGAATGAGAGTGGGTACACTGACAGCCGTATGCAAGTATCAGGAAAGTTACCCGCTTTGCCTGCATCGTTTCCTGCTGACCGTATGTGGTGGCACGACCTGTTCTCGGCTTCCCCGGATGCCCCCAGAAGTCGAAGAAGAATACGCACCCCTGGGCCGTCCGGTTTAAGCGAGCTGTTGCAGCTGCTGAGAATGTAGCCGCACGGCCTCTCTGGCTGTTGGTAGGGGTTGCGCTCTACCTGGCCCTGTTCGGAGCCCTTCTGCTGGACCAATGGATGGAATGGTATCCAGACGTGGGCATACAGGGTCGCCTATAGCATCTACGTCATCATGGTCGGCTGGGCACCGGTAGGCCGTATGGGACCCCATAGTAGAAGCAAACGCCAGTGTTGCCCTTATATCCGTTTAGGGTTACACCTTGTACCCTTATTACCGTACAAGTACCCATGCATGCTACTGTCATTGCTTGTTCGCAGTCATGCATGCCAATGATTGGTCAGGAATCTTAGGAATATTATCCTAAACTAAAGATCCTAAGGTTTCTACAATTAGAGCCTTAGGATTAGACTAGAAGGACACAGCTATCAAATATCTGTGTCGAGATTTCACTTAATGCCTCGTCCAAAGCACGGCTCTAACATTTTCAGATGCCTGGTTCTCCCTAGCAGGTCCTCCATAACAAGTCGGCAACTACTGGCAGGAACGACCCCGATAGGACGGCCCAAAGCTCCAATAGGTCTGAAGCCAACAATACGGATGAACCTGTGAGTTGGCATGTCTGCATAGAGGGGTTCGGCAAGACAAAGTGGAACCAGAAGCTGCTCAATTATGTTATCGAACTCCCGTTTGCCCGGGCATGTCAGCTTTGCCATCTCTTCAGTCCTTGGCACAGTTGATGACGATTCCCTTCCAATCACAGCAACTGGCCCCTCACCGTTGCCCATCAGACTTTCACGGTGGAAGTGCTGCAGCGCTCCATGCTCAAGGTGGGCTTCACCAAGACGGAGGTGGAAGCGGCGCGAGAGGGGGTGCTCAGCAGCGACCAAGTGCAGAGCCTGCTGTCGAAGGAGAGGGAACAGGTGGACTGGGGCATGTCAGTTCAGATTCAGGAGTTATTTAATAAGCAAGCTGAGGAACAGCAGTTACGGTTATCAGCGTTGCAGGAGGCCGTGGCGATGCAGGCGCATAAAACGGCGGAGTTGCTTGCGGAGAAGCAGGAGAAGGAGCGGCAGTACTTCCGATCGGAGTTGACTGAAATTCGGAAGGCCATCAGCGGTTTGGCGGAAGCCATTGAGGGACTTCGGCGTTCCCAGGCCGCCCCTGTCATGTAAGGGTGTTGGATGGGTGGGAAGGCGGGGCAGAACCGGATGTGGCAAATACAAGGCGCCCGTCTGATTGCGCGCAATTGACACCCGTCATGCTCCATATGCTCTATTTACCGCTGCGGATGTGGGTTTACCGCTGCTTGACCGCTTTCCAATTTCGTTGGTCCTTTATCTTATCTGAGGGTCCTTAGGATGTCTTGCAGGGCCTTGGGCCCTTGTGGAGACATTTTTTGGGGGAAAGGTCGGTGCGCATATATATTCCTGCGTGGCTGTGTTTAACGACCTGCTTGGGAATATGCACGTGTATAGAATTTTCAACGCTTAGGGTATAATGACTCTGCTTGCCAATACCTTTGTCTGTGTTTTCGGTTGACCAGGGTACCGGTGGTGTATGGAGAGACGGAAGGCCCGTTTCCGCTTCACCGCTATTCATTGTAGCTACAAACTGTATGTGTTTTCCATGTACCAGCCACTGCTGGAAAGGGGTTGGCCTATCTAGGATAGTAATAATTGTGGGATCCGTAGCCAACTTCTTTTGCCTCCTTATCACGGCAAATGCTCTCAATGCATGCCGTTGAGGTTCTTGGTGCTGTGCCAGTAGCTGTCATTTAGAGACGAGGTAGGATAGAGAGCTTATTGCTACATTGTTGGGTCGGTAATAAGGCTAAAGGGGATGGGGGGGCGTGGAGCTGCATGGCTGGCGTGGAGGATGCGAAGGAGAATGTGGCGGCGATGGGGGGGTGGGGAGGAGGCGGTGGCGGAGCTGGCAGGGCATCTGGCGGCGACGGGGATGGCGGGGGGGCGGGCTGGGGCTCGGCAATGAAGGAGGAGGTGGTGAAGGGGGCGGGGCGGGCGTGAAGGCGGGCAGGGCGGTGGCTTGGGATATGGAGATGGTGGGGCGAGGGGCTTGGTGCAAGTGGCTCAGGGCTGGATGGTTCCGGGCTGGGAGGTACAGCAGGTGAGGGTGGTTCCCGGTGTTGATGAAGGGAAGAGGGAGGTTCGGGACTGGGAGGCGAGGGATAGTAGGGCCAAGCCACACATTAGCTTCCAGCAGCTGCCGAGCTATGGCCTTATGGTTATGGCTCTTGGCAATCTCCAAGACCATGGCGATATTACTTTCGGAGCCCTGCTGGCCTCCGCATAACAATGTTGTGGCGATGTGTGTGTCATCACTTGGTGCAGAGTGCGTGACATAAGGGTGCTCTGAACAATGTAGTAAATAAGTACCGGTAATAATCTCTATTATAAACTAAGATGTGATAGCTGAGTCGTATGCGCTTATATTATTACGACTTTCAGTGGTAGGTGCCGTAAACCAACTTTTCGGTTCTTTCCTTAATACTTATGGCGCCCGTACATGCGTTGCCAGCGCGCGGATGTGTACAAGCCGGTACACCACCATTAGTGTCGTTTTAATTGTTGTTCATTCTTGGTTGAGGTGCCCTACGTGGCCCGTCAATGACGGCAATGGCATGGCGTTGCGTGGCGCTATTTCTTACGTTGAGCACCTTGGCTCACATCACATGTCATGTTTGTTCCTGCCGCTATGGACGTTTCTTGTAGTGCTGGTACTCGGAACTCATTACATCTTTACATGACGGTCTTGGATGTATGCCGTGACCCCCGGCGGCTGGCCCGGTCGCACCTGTCAGATCTGAGTTAAAGTTTTGGTCAAGGGCCTGAAGGGTTTAGGGTTCGTCTGTTTTGGTAATAGCCACGTGACATTGTCAAAGCGATCTTTGTCCACCTATGCTCCTGAGTAACTACATGCACAATACCCAACCCCAGCAACTTCATTTTTTAAATCCTAGCGCAGGGTTTCCGCAGAGAGTGTACGGCAATCGTCCAATAAGAGGTAACATGACCTTGTGACCCGTGGGTCACGCCGGCATGAGCCACAGACAATATCGAAGCAATGCAACAATCGCCTGCGTTCTGGGTAGGCTGCAAATTTGTCCCCATCCGTGTCGCCAACCACCAACAATCAACCGTGTCGAAACCGCAAACTCCTTTTTTGCCTTCCAGCCAGCTCGTATGCACATCAGAACGCATCAGCGCACATCAGAACGCCACCAAACCAATTACCCACAATCCACAACCGCCAGTCCTCTGCCTCTCTATCAACCAGGCTGGCCCCGTTTGATAGCATCACATACCCAGCAGCGCTCATGCAAAAAGGATATAGGGGTTGCTGCATGGCTGATGCCAAAAGGAAATTCCTACCAAAGGTGCAAACATGGAGGTACCGTACATGGGGTGCATGGTCCCACCTACCAGGCAATCCCTTACCAACCAGCAATTCCATCAACCAACTTGCGAACGAACGCCGCTCTAAGAGCCCCTTAGCACCCCCCCACCCCTCTCGCCATTCCCTATTCCTTCCCGCCCAAACCCGCATCCTTCCTCGCCCTGTCTCCTCCTGCTCCTCACGCCCCTCTCTGCCTTTACCCCTCATCCACTGCCTCGCCCCCACCTGCTCACGGCGCCGGACCCGACGTCCAGTCCTCCGCGAGCTCCTCCTTTCCGCCCTTCCGCGCGCCCGCAATCACATCTCCGCCCAACACATCCTCCATAATCAGCTTCTCCGCCTTACTCTCCCCAACATCCTCCCTGCCGCCGCCCAGCGTCTTCTCCTTAACCACCGCGGCACCAACCGCCGCCACGTCGGCGGCGTGCCGTACGGACTCCCGTACGACATCCGCGGCCACATGGGCCTTGTCCCGTACGGCGTCCGCCGCCACGTGGGCCTTGTCCCGTACGACATCCTTCACATGCTCGGCGGCGTGCCGTACACGGGAGGTGATACCGCCGCCGCCGCCGGTGGTAGCAACACCAGCACTAGGCGGCTCGCCCTCCGCAGCAGCAGCCTTGGAGGTGCCGCCGATACCCATGGCCGCGGTTGCAGCGCTGAGCGGGTCCGTCTCAGGGCCTCCCTTGCCGTTGTTATTGTTGTTGGTGCCGCTGCTGGTGCCGCTGGTGGCAGGGGTGGTGCCACCGCGGCCGCCGCCGCCCCCGGCCGCAGCTGCTGCGTAGCTCTTCTTGCCAGCTGCAGCTGCAGCCGGCTGCTGCTGCTGCTGCTGCTGCTGCTGCTGCTGCTGCTGCATGGGAGGAGCTGCGGTCGCTCCCTCGCCCTCCTCGGATGACCCGTGGGTCGCGAGGGGGTCCCGCAGGGGCTGATCGGGGCGCAGCTGGGCAGCGGGGGCGCGCTCTCGGGCCTGGTGGGGGGGGAGGTGCGTGGGGGGTTGTTTGTGTGTGTGAGAGAGGGGGTGGGATGGGGAACGAGGGGATCAAAGGTAGAAGTGTGGCGATGGGGAGAGGGCATGCGGGATGTCCCGGGGTGTCCGATGGGTGCCGTAACGTTGGTGCCGTGGTGGCTTGCACCAATAAAGCGAGTAGTGGTATAAGTTACCACACACGTGGCCATCCCAACAGCTCCCTCCCCACCCCCAATCCCTCTCCCCCCTGGTTTCCAATAGTTTGGTATGGTTTTTGTCCCCACCCCCCCACACGTACTGGCTTCGCTAATTCGGGCTGGGCGGGTCGGGCTGGCTCACATGTTGCAACCCATGTTGACGCCTTATCCCTCAGTCAGTTAGTTGTTTCCTCTTTACCCCCACACACACCTCCCCATCTTTCGGCAATCACAGTACGTTTCGCCTCGCGGCCAGTTATTTTAACACACCTCCCCTCCCCCACCTGCAGCAGTGCCTCCGCCAGCTCCTTGCCGCCCTTGCCGGGAGCCATCACATCCACCTGGGGGGGAAAGGAGGGAGGGGAGGAGGGTGAGGGGGAGGGGGAGAATAGAAAAGTGACATGGATTCGCTGGGTGCTTTTTTGGCCCGAACCACCAAACCCTGGCTTAACATGAAAGTACCAATGCAACTTGGTACCAATGCCTGAAACGTTGAGCTGGACTTTGAACTTCCGCGACTACCACCCCAACCCTCCCACTTGGCACATCCATCCCGCATTCATCCCTGCTCCCCTTCCCTCTTCCCCCTACCACCCGCCCGCCCCCCTCTCTCACCTGCTCCACCACGTCCACCTGCCCCGGGCTGGGTCCGGGGGCGACGATGAAGGTGTGACTGGCGGGGTCGGCGGAGGGGTCGGCAGGCGTCAGCGGCACGCCAGGGGCCTGCGCATGGAGGGGGGGAGGAGGAGGAAGGAACGGGGGATCGTTGAATGCGCATGTATGCTGGGAAGAACGAAGGAGATAAAGAGGAAGAATGAAAGGGAAGTTCAGGATACAAGTAACATACAAGGGCAAACCATGAGGAGAGGAACTAGCGAGGTACGGTGTTGGAGCGCTGAACCGAACGACACGTGGGTCGCAGTAAGGTACTAAGGTGTCGTGAATAGCTGTGCGGAATCAGCTTGTGTAAGCAATCCGCATGGACAATTAGGAACGCTCGCAGTCCTTTCCTTCCACCACCACCATTCCACAACAAAAGGCAAAACCCGATGTCGTCGACAGAAGTTCCCCCACTCACCCCTCGGTTGATGCCCGTGCTCTTGTGCCCCCCACCGCCGCCCTTGGCCTCCGCCGCCGCCTCCGCAACTCCCGCCGGCTCGGGTGTGGTAGCGGAGGGGTCACGACCCGCGCCCCCCTTGTACGACAAGGTGGCACCCGGCACCTCCGAAACCTCCTGTCGTACGAACGAAAAGGTGCATGTTAATACCGGTACGTAGGAGAGCGTATGTAGGGAAGGAAAAGGGCATTTAGGAAGGGCACCCACCTGCAATGCGGCCTTCAGGTTCTCTACAGCACCTGCTGTTAACCGGGCGGGCGGGACGGGACGCGAGAGAGAATGGGGCGGGGGTCAAAACAAATCGAACCATAGGAAACTTCGATTTGGGGCATGGGTAGGTGTGAAGCGGGTTTAGAAGGGATGGGGAAGAAGAAACGATGTAGATAAGAGCGATACATTGCCTTACATACATTCGACAGGTACCGGTAACAAAGTCTTGGAGAGAAAGTAGTATAGCACTAGCACTGCAGATCCACCTGAAGCATTATGCGCGCGCGATCAACGCGGCAGGCTAGGATTTTCGGGACGCCGGCAAACCGGTCTTCAACTTGTTAACAAGCATAACTCCTTCAGATGCACAATTTTCAAGCCAACTTCATCAAAATAAAACCTACGACGCCCTAGTGAAGCATAAAAGTCATGTGGGACGTCAACGCCGCAGCAATGACCCACGGGTCACATCTGCAGCTGTCAAGCTTCGAGCTGCACAGCCGGAAGCAAACCGCAGTCTCGCTCACCGTAACTAAATAATTATAAGACGCATTCCTTGATATAAGACTCTGACACCGGTGACTAGACAGGGTTAAACAAAAAACGCGCTTTCGTGCCGTCTCGGAGGAAAAGGTTGCAAGCGTCACGCCGACCTCACCTTGAGTCGCGCCTGTCGCCATCTTGGTTCCTTTTCCTTCCTCCTTGCCTTGTGCTTGAGCACGTTTGCCGGTGTGTGTGTCAAGGCAGTGGTTCCTAGCAGCAGCTGCTTACAAGGTCCTTGCTCCTAACAGTATGCGAGCGAACCTTCAAGGTGTCCTGGTTTTATGTGCGCAACCTAAGTAACAAGATGAGTTAGGGGTTGGATAATGGTAACTGATTATAGCTGTGAAGGGAAGGCGTTAATAGGATTATAGCAAATGGACGGGGGCGGATGCAGGCTTAGCTGAAGCCCTTTTTCGATTGCGGGGGGATGAGTCATGTGGTGGACGAAACCGATGGCGAGACATGCGACACCCTCGGCTTAGGCATCCCCTCCGCAAAGCTAACCATCTTAGCTAGCAGGTTACAGCACCGGTGCCACTACATGTTGTTGGCACAACTAGAAGCAACCCGGACCCCGCGCACTCGCGATCCTGACAGACATCTGCAGTTACACCCCTTGCGTGGCTTACACGGCTGTACGCTCCTCCCGGTCCCTCCCTTCCTCATCCTTCCGCTACCACGGCCTGCTTCCCAGCTACGCAGTTGCCGTATCCCGGGTGCCACACCGAGCAGCGGGTGTACCGGTGTATGTCACCGAGCAGCAGGCCTCCCTAGTGCGCTGCCTCGACCGGCTAGCTAGATGCTTGCAGGCGTTCCCTCGCAGAAGCGCAACCCTAAACCCTCGCCCGGGCTATCTAGCTGGCTGCTGCCGGCTATGCAGGCTTGCTTTCGGGTGCCGCATACCGCACTTTTAACAACTGCTCGCTTTCCAAGGACAAGGGTGACCTCCTGCATGTGAGACCCGACACGAGGCGAACCTGACTGCTACAACTACCGCAACAACCAACACTATACCTCCACAGCAACAAGTATGCAGCCTCACATTGTTTCTAACCAGCCCTGTAACACACAAGTTAAAATATCCTTCTTTAGTGCGCCGCACCATGAGAACAAGTTGCGTTGTCATGGACGCTGTCCACCGCCTTTCAGCATGCATCCCCATGCAACCCCCATGCAATCACCGTAACGTTCCGACTTGCAGCCAGCTTTCAACCACACACTCACTCCCGTCCAGACTGCTGCCATGGCGGCAACCAGGACTGACGTCCAACACCAGTGGCGGTCTAGAAGGATATGCCTTCCGGTACCGCTTCAAAACCAACATGCCGTCATGTAAGCAATGGCTGCCTTCCCAAGGGATGGACGCCTTCCCCTAAACTAAATAAATCTTCTCACCAGACCAGTAGACGCCCTCATTCAGGGCAACCGGAAAGGCCGGGTGCAAGACGGGCTCTGCGCCAACCACCACCACACCCATGCACCGCACGTTGGCTCCCGTACTCCAACAACCGGTATGCCACAGTCTTTGGAAACTTTATAAACTGCCGTGCAAATGCTTCGCCTCAACATGTTATCGCGCCATTACTGCATGTGAATACCTCATGATCTGTGTAACATCCTGTTACCGGTAGGTGCTGCTGGTAAGCAAGCCTACCACCAGCAACGTAGTACCCACATACCGGTACATACCGGCACCAAACCCCGCTCACTTGCTTAGGCAGCGCTCAGAGTTTATTTCCGCCCCCGCACTGCTGGTGGGTTGGGCAGCAGCTTAATGGCAGGCAAATCCGCACCCGCCGTACTTCTTCGCCACCTCCTGAAATACCCGCTGCGGGTCTTGGAGCATGTCGCCTGCCGGGTAATAAGAAGAATAATAGTGGGGGTGGGTGGGGGTGAGGATCGATGCTTATAGCACAACATAACATATCTTTTTAACAAAGCAAATATGTTTAGTGGCGTGCAGGTAGCCGTATGCCAAGTCATTGGACATCAGGGCACCCTCAGGGGTCACCGCAACCACCGTCCAGTCCATCAGGCCCGGGCGGACCTGCATGCATGTGGATTAACCCGTCATGAAACAGAAGGCTACTTTGTTGTGTGTGCAGGGATGCCAGTCCATGCCATGTTCACGTCTCCATGCATACATCGCGTGCTTTCAGCACTCACCGGCTTGGCTTCCTGGCGGTCTCCAACACGCCGGCGCTGCTGCTGACGTTCCTTCTCATCCCCTGGGGCTGCTTGACCCGCCTCCTGAAAATGACCATACGGAATGAGGGTAAGACCAGCAGCTTAAGCTGAAACATCCTAACTGTCACTGCGGTGGTGCAGTGGGTATACATACGTGGATTATTACGTTAAGCCCTACCGCACCAGGGCCAAGCAACTCCTCCTTCATTGCATCATCCTCAGCATGCCCACCGCTCCCAAACCAATCAACCATCTCGTCCACGCGCACACACACCGACATCACAGCACGTTCCGACTCGCGGCCACTTTCCTTAACACATGCCTCACCTCCTTGGCCGCCGAAGCGACGTTGCCTTCAAAAAGCTTGCCGGCCTCATCACATAGCGTGCGTTGCAGCTCTAACCCCTCCGCTGACACCTCCTGCACCCAGGCAGCCGTCTCCAGCCACAGTGCACCCTTACGCTGGCAGGCCTGCTCTGCTGCTGCCACCAACGCTGCTGACGACTCGTCAGCAGCCCGCAAAGGTGCTGCTGCTGCAGCTGCTGAAATCCCCGTCACGCTGCCATCATTGTGAGGCAGCTTCTCTGGGACGACGGGCACCCCAGCCAGGGCTGCAGCAGGCACGGGAACTCCGTTGCTGTTCCGCTGCTGGGCCTTCAGCCAGTGCTGCATGGCAGCTAGGGAGGGCAGGTTGTCCATGCGTCGCCTGTCAGCAAGCTCGCTGCCCAGTGCTTCCCACAGCTGGTTCGCGCGGCTCCTGAAATCGTCATGGCGTGAGCTAGCCTGGATGTAAACTGATGCAGGGTCCCGCAGCATGTCCCCTGCAGCAAACAGGGTCAGAAGGGGGCGTATAAGGTATAACCACTTCGATTCCAGGGTTTCTGGGTATCCAGTTGGAATCTGGCAAAAGCCCAATGCTAATTCAGAAGGTAAAATAAAGTATCATAACTACCGGTAATACACAGATATACAAATCGTTCCCAAAGCCGTTATTTATGACATGTCTGTGGTTTGGGGCCAGCCAACTGGCAATGCGCCTTGCGCACATGCCTACACACGTTTACACACGTTCCGACTCGCGGCCAGTTTCCATAACACACGCCTACACACATCTACGCACCGTACCTGGTAAGTACTCCAGATCGCAGGTGCTGATCACCACATTGGAGTCATCTGAGAAGTGCTGGGGCAGGCTCTTGACGATTCCCGCCATCCGGTCACCAATCCTCAGGTAGTTGCGCATGGAATGCACTGGGGCAGCAGCAGCCGCAGCCGCAGCAGCTGCAGCTTCTTCCGTAGCTGCGGGTGTATCCTGGCTCTCAATGCTGTCCCCAGTAGCAGCTGTTACCGTGGGGCCGCTTTCCCCATCACTCGGGTCCACTGCAGCAGGCACCAGGTATGACAAGTCGCGCAGGTGCAGGACAGCTTGACTGTGGTTGGAGCCCGGAAGGGCCAGGAAGGCACACGTGTCCGTGAGGTCTGTTACCACGCCATACGCCAACCGGCCGACCTGCAGGCAGGCGTGCATGCATGCACCGTGAGACGGAAACGGTCGTAAGATGGAAACCGCTGTGAGACGGACACTGCTGTGGACAATTCTTGGTGGCATGGGGCATAGAAGGACGTCATCAGGGGCATGCGTCCGCAACCCAATCCTGGATGGCTTAGACTGCTGCTTACCTTGAGCCATCGCGGCTTGCCTTCTTTCGCTTCCTTGGCAGCCACTACTTCGTCCCACTCAACTGGTGAGAGGGGCGCCTAGCATCAACAGGTAAGGGGCGAGGAGCTTTGTCAGGGTCGTCTACACACCACTATCTGCCAAGACTTGGCACGGCCAGCCCAAACTCGCTGGTACCGTTTTGGAACCCTTGTTGTAGTCAATTATTAACCTTCCCTCGTGGGGTTGGCAAGATGAGGCTAAGGCCGCACTAACATGAATGTCAAGCTGCTTACCTCCAAGCCCATGAACTCCGCATATGTATGCTTTTCAAATATGCGCTCCTTGAAGAGGACGATGTCACCTGCACACATACATACAGGGGTGATTGTTTCAAGGAATCGCGGATTAGGTGTGTTGCGTGTATACCACAGGCAAGCCTATGTCTTAACGACATGCCAACAACGGATTCAGAAGAGGTAGAGGTGCTGCCAGCCAAGCTTAAACAAACAATGCCGTTCTGCCCGCTCCACTCGGCCAAGAGTCTATATGTATGCGGCGGCCATGCATCCCTCACCAAAGCCCGCTCCACCTCCTCTCAGACCCCCACCAAACGGAGGCCTGGCAGGCATGTCTCTGAACCACCTTAGCCCATGCCAGTACATATGCTGCCCCCCACCCACCTGTTTCAACCCATGCGGTGTTACCTCATGCACGCATGCAACCCCGCCCCATGCCAACACATCCTTTTCGCAGGCCCCCCAGCAGCCAGCAGCAGTGCTTTCCCGATTCCCGAATCGTCATGCACCTGGAATGGTCTCCAGGTCTCTCATTGTCAGCCTCAGCCGCCCAGCCTCCCGCTGCTGCTCCTGTACGTGTGCATACACCAGCTCTCCCGGCTTGAACAGCGCCTCCGGTACGACGCCCCGGAAGCGGCTGATGGCGCCAGTGGGCAGCAGACCCGTCAATGATGCAGCAGCAGCAGCAGCTTCACCAAAAAGCTTCACTGCGTCTGCTGATGAGCCCTGCCCTGATGAGTTGCGGCCGCCCTTGTTTGCTGTGTCGAGATCGTCAGCAGCAGCAGCAGCACTGCCGGGCATCACGCCGCTACCGGTGTCATATGCTCTGCTATGTCGCTGATTTGTGATGGTCAACCTGCGTTTCCAACGGGGCCCCTCCAGATCGAATGAGGGTAGATAAACACGCACCACCACGCCCGAGGGCTGTACGCTCTCCACCACACCTGGTACCAGCGCGCCGACCTACGTACGTGGTGGGCGACCCATTGCAAGGGTGCAAGCGGGCGGAGGGACTGGTAATTACAAAGTGTAAGTACAAACCGGTACCGGTGGGCAAGGGAAACCATTCACACGCATCCGGCGGCTGATGAAGAGAGAATGGTACTGTGTTGAGGAAACGGGCCGTGAGTTGGAAGGTACTGGTGCTGTGTGCGCGAGGGTGCAGGGGGATGGACGTGTGCTTGTGTACCGGTATGTTGGGGTCGCTCACGGGGCCGCCGGAGGGACAACACGCACGAGAGCCTGGGCAGCAAGGCAGCATGCAAGGCACTCCGCAGTGCTGCATGCCATGCCATGTCTGCTGCATGCATGCATGCATGCATGCGTCCCCTTGCTTACTTTGAGGCGCTCCCAAACGGCGTCAGGGAGGTCAGCTGGCTTGGACTGCTGGGGGTCAGCTGCCTGCCGGGAGGAACGAACGCAATGTTAATATGGTGGTAACTGACACGAGTGGGTAGTGATAGAGGATAGCGAACGAATAGAGTGGATGCTGTGGACGCAAGGACCGCTTGCCAGGTTGCAACCAACCAAGCCATCCAGCAGCCGCCACACGTGTGAAGTTAGGATAGGTAGGCCAACTGAAGCTACAGTGGATGCTTGGCCAACATCGGCTGCCAGCCAAAGTAGTGTTCCGGCAGGGGCCCGTTGCACACGCAAAAAACCAACGTAACGCCCATGTAGCAATCAAGGGCAATTGCCTTTTGAGGTTGCTTGCTTGCTGACGTGTGCACCCTACCTGCTGCTGTGCCGCCGCCGCCGCCTGCTGCCGCATGGCGAGCGTTTCCGGGGCGCGTTCGTACACGCCTTCTCGATCCGTCAGGAACTCCCCTGCATGTCCGTTTGTGGATGGGAAAGGAAGAAGCCCAATGTTAACTGAATGACCGTTACAATGGTGCCAATGTGTGGCATGTGGATGTGGAGAAATAGCGATTTCTTCACTGCGTGTGCGATGGGTGCCTGGAAGCCGCCTGTCGGACCCCCCAACTTAACCGTACGGCATCACCGGCATGCATGCGTTACTAGCAGCCGGTTTCCTACCTTCAACGGGAGCAAGAAGTTCGATACAGCAGGATTGGAGGCAGGTGGTGGGACTACCAAGCCAACCCACCCGGCTCCCGCTCCAGCTCCTTCGTGCTCAGATGGTTCCGGCCCCCCCCCTGGACATCCTCCGGCGTCTTCATCGCAACCGCAACCACCCGGTCTCCAAGTCGGAAGTGGTCGGGTGCCGTGAACACGTACTGCGAGCTCATGTTCTTCACGTGCAGCAACCAGCGGAATCCGCCGCCGCTGCTGCTGCTGCCGCCCTCCTGCTGGCTTTCCTCCACGAACACACCATAGGGTTCGATGCGCACGACGACTCCCTCCACCAGCTGGCCTTCCTGTAGGAGTGGTTGAGCGAGGGGGGCGGGGGGAGTCAAACATCATCCGGGTGTTACTGTCGGGCACCCGGGCATAACAGTTCGCAGGAGTAGGGCCATGCATGCTCCGGAAGTTGCCGTGCTGTGACCACATACCGGTACCTTGTGTGGTGGGGGCTCATGATGAGCACCGCGCGTCACCGGAGTTGGTTTGTTGAACGCGACTCGCGGTTGGGGTCTTGGAGACGTTCGCCAACTCCGTTCCTCTGTATCGCTCCAACCACGGGTAAGCGGCCGAGGGTCGAGGCTAAATGGGCCTGGATCGCCGCTGGATGATGACGTTGCGGCTTGCAGGTAATGCCGTAAGCATCTGGACAGCCGGCGGCTGGGCAGCGCACTGCTGTGAAGCGGAACGCCGCGCTTGCTTGCCGACGGCCATGCCCCAAGGGACCAGCAGGGCAAGCCGCTCATCGGAATTCCGAAACTCATGAAGGTCTGTATCTGTTACCACATACGGTTTTGTTTGTGCTTCGCGTTTCGCGATCCCTCGTGTTCTTGCAGGTCGGTTCTGGATATAGCACTATATTCTTAGGCTCAGTGCAGGATGTGGTTGTACTGAAAGCAAATTCAACCTAATTCTGCATATGCAAAAAAATAGAGCCCTCCCTCAAGGGTTCGGCGAGCGACTTCGGAGCAAGCATGCAAGTGAGTAAACCGCTAGCGATTCAGGTAAGCGTTTCCGACTTGCCAGAATGCTTAAAAGGTTGTAAAACAGCCATACTGTGAAGGGAGGTGCATGTCCCCTTGACCCTGTACATCCAAGCAAAAGGTTGTCCGGAACAAGCATGAAGACCATACGCCGAGCAGGAATAGAAAGTTGTTAAAGCTCTGGGGCGTTCTGGGGACGCTGTGGAGCCTACACTCCAAAACATCAAGCTCGGCGTGACGGGAGATGTGCGAAGGGGTGAGCCCACATGGCCTGGCGTCGGTCGCCGAAGATGCCCCGAGGGGGTTATGAGAAGAGATCGGCCCGCATGGCCTTGCAAAAGTAATAATGAGGAGATGTGCGAAAGGGTGAGCCCACATGGCCCAAGACACCTGTGGCTCAGAGGGCATGCGAAAAAAAGGTTATGAATCCTCCAGACCAGTCGCACAGAACCAGCCTACCTAAGTTACAATATGTCGCATGGGCCAGGTGGGCATGCATACACGCATCGGCGTTAATGCATGGGTGGGCGTGCAGGATAGGCCCGGGCGCAGGTGGTTGGGAGGGGCGGTATGCTTACGCTCGTGGGTGCCGGCTCCTAGCAGGACGAGAGGATGTCTGCACGCTTGACCACAGACAGCTGGAAAGGGCGGAATGCATAAGCATGTGAGTGCCAGTAACTGGTGCGGCAAGTAGGGCCATCGCCTACGTACGCCAAGATCTACGGTATGTTTGACCTATCCTTTGAACGTGAGATCTAGTCGCTGAAAGAACCGGGGCTAGCCCTGTGCTTTCCTATCAACACCTGAGATATGAAGTGGTCGCTTAGCATAATGTAAGAGCTTAAAGCTGGTAACAGGAATACGGCTGGAGGTCTGTAGGTTGTTGTTGTGCTGTGGTCGCTGAGCATATAATCAAGTGATCGCAGACGTACGCAATATTAATGCGATCACTTGATGCAGTCTTGCTTGCTTGTCCTTGCTGCACTTTACTCGTGTTTGCGGCAATCAACGTACTGGCAAACTTGTAACAGTGCAAGCATGCCTGCACGCATGGGTGCTTGGTACCGGTAGTTGCCTACACGTGTGGGTATCGGGCGTCAGGGAAGGGTGGGGTTGCCTGCACGAACAGCAGGGCAGGGCGGGGATGAGCCTGCCTGCCTGCCTGCGGGAGTGGGCAAAGCGGAGATGACGCACGCATGAGCACCATATAGTATTGCCAAAATGTCATGCGTTTTGAAGCCCATTTTCCAGCCCCGATTGACAACACGGAGGTATTTTCTGCCCCATTTGACCTTCTGTTGGCGAATGTATAGCCCCAATTGACATGCGCGGAATGCCCAAAGTAAAGCCGCCGTTTGGGCATCGCCTGGCCAGGAACCTGGACCCCCGGCTTTTACGCCGCAAGGTCGAACCAGACCGAAGCGACCTCATGGCCTGCCTTAATGTTGCTGGTTGCGTGTTGTTGTCCGGCGTGCGGCAAGCGGGTGTTGGAGGGGTACGCGTAGGGGCTTAAGATAAAGGCTACCGGTATTCCCATTCGGTTGGATGGGAACCCTGTCCTTCTCCATTCCCTTTGCACCGCCTGCTTCTGTGGGCCCCCCCTTCCCATACCGGTATGTTGCGATCAGAGCAACAGCAAGCATGCTGGCAGCGTTGTTCTGGTACTCCTTTCCGCAAGGCTAAGGATGGTTATACCCTGCCCACTCTGGGCTATACATCCATTCCTAGAGTACATCATGATTGGCCTAAGGCACTGGCGAGTTGACCAACGGCTGCTAAGGTTTGCCGCTTTGACCAAGATTTGACCAGCGCTTGAACGCTTCCATTGGCGAATTCCGTGCTTACTAGGTCTTAATATCTGAAATGATGTTCTGTATGGCATACATTGTCGGTGACGGTTAAGTTTCTGGTGTATTAATCGCCTTTTTTGTGGGCATGAGGTACCTCCGTACGCTTTTAAGCGTAATGAACAAAGGTCTAAGACCACCGTACTTACACCTACGCCGTCACAGCGCAGAAACGTAGCCATCCTTGGGGTCTGACGTAGTTACTGTGGTGTAATTATCCCAGACCGTAATACCGTAAACCGCAAGGTCCTAACCCTATACGGTATACGCCACCACCTGACCTTGCACACCACCGCACCCAACGCTCCACAAGGAGTAGGCGGGCAGAAACAAACCCATTCACCAACCATGCGCGCTACTGGAATCAAGTACGATTCCAAATCCTTGGATCGATTGCAACAAAGATATTCCATGCCCACACAACCGCAGCGTAGATGTTACTTCTTGACCACGTTTTTAGCAAGACTCGACAGCAGACCGCCTGGGGAGCGATGAAGGGGACGCAGGGCGAGAGGGACCGGTAAAGCAGTCAGCCATGCGAGTAGGACCAGATGCAAGCAACCACGAGTTGTGACAGGACGGGAACCTGTGCGATATTTGCAGACAGATGCAAACCAGTGTTCAATTGCACAAACCTCCTCCCACGCCGCTCCCTTCCCCCCGCAGTCCTCCTCACCCGCTGACCCCAGCGCCGACGTCGGCAGGTAGTCCCCGAACTCCCCGAACCGCTGCTGCGCCATGGCCGTCACCTCCGCCGCCTTGTCCCCCAGCAGCGACCCAAAGGTGCCCAGCGACCCGCCCTGCAGCCGCGCCTGCAGCGCACTCAGCGCAGCAGCGCCCACCGCAGCCGCGGAGCCGCCCAGCTGAGCCGCCGCACCGCCGGCCGCCGCCGCAGAGGCCGCGGAGGAGGAGGAGCCATCCACGGGGCCGGCTTTGGAGCCGCCGGCGGCGGTCTTGGAGGCTGGGACGCCGGCTCGTGAGGAGCCCAGCCGTGCGGCTCCCAGGTCGGCGAAGGAGTAGCTGTCGGCCGCATCGGCGCCGCTCTGGACCGAGACTGTTTGGGGTGCAGCAGGCAACGTGATTCATGTGAAGCCATCGGAGCGGGGACGATGAGGATGTAGGGGGTGGGTTCAACTACCGGTACCGCGCTTTAGGGCCGGAAGTGGCCCGGGCGAAGGCAGGAGGCGCGGAGGCGGAGTGAAGCATGGGATGCATGTTTTGCCCTTTTTGCATCTACACACACCACGTCCGCGTGCCGTCCTGCCTGTCCCAAACGACAGTACCGGTACCTCGTGCCTTGCCTTGCCAACTCCTTTCCCTTCCTTCCTCTTACCTGGTGCCGCCCTGTTACAAAGTGCGCCCATGCTGGGCCGCAAGCGGTATGCCGCCGCCAGGGAGCCCGCCACACCCCCACCCCCACCGCCGCCGCCTGCCCCCACCCCCGCACCGCCAGCAGCACCTGCGACCACCCCAGCCCCCATCACCGCAGCGGCGGCCGCTGTTGCAGCCTGGTGCGCTGCTGCGCTGGGTGCGGGTGCGGAGATGGGCAGGTAGTGGAAGCGCGGAGCCACCGGCAGCACGTTGAGCGGGTTGGAGTCCTGTGCACAGGCGGGCAGCACACGAGACGCAGGATGGGGAGTCAATGTGCGGCTGGGGATATCCCTGACAGAACCCATGACCTGTGCATGCCCGTACGACCCAGTGGACACCACTTTTGACGAGTTTGACGATGGGTTTGCATCCGACGGGTCCCGCCTTCATCCCATGGCTCCAACCGGCATCCAACATTAACTCGCCCTCTTCTGTGTGTATCCCCATGATGCTAAATGCCGCCCAACCCAACGCATAATTGTAGATCCACATGACGCCAGCGTTTTCCTTCTCCACCGTCCAATCCGCGCCACAAACCGCCGCTTCCCTCTTCCACGCCCCCATCATCCTCCCACCCTCCCACTCTCCTCACCTGCAGCCCCGACGCCGCCAGCTTGGTTGCCCCCTCCGGGTGCGCCCGCTGCAGCTGCACCAGCCCCCCCAGCAGGATGGCCACCCGCTGGAAGTAGCGCGCCTCGTTGGCCCACAAGTAGCTCTCGTAGGTGGCCCAGTCGATGGGGTCGAGGCAGTCCTGGGGCGGTGGGGTTGGATAGGGAGGCATATTCCGGGTTAGGCTGGAGTATAGGATTGGGAATATAGTCAAACGTGTTGGGCTGGGAGGTAGTGAGGCAGCAGGGGTGGTAACAAGATAATGGTAACAGGAAAAGAGCGGGGCACGCCTTCCTGAACATACACGAGAAGAAGATCGGATATGGAGCGCGCTGTGAATAGGGAAGGAGGAAAGGGAGGGGGAGGGGGAGTGGGGCTGCAGCCCCAAGGGAAGGCATGGCCGAAGGCATGCAAACAAGCAGAGCAATGCGTGGATGCATCACCCCGTGTTCGCCGCTGGCCCAGCAGCACTGGTTACCAACAGCCTACCACCAGCAGCACTAGACGACAAGGGACAAAAGGTTACCTGCAGCATCTGCTCCAGCGCGGCTCCCTCACGCTTCCTCTCAGCCAGCGCCGAAACCACCGCGGGATCCGCCAGCTCCGCTCCCACACCGCCTCCTCCAACACCCAGCCCGCGGCCCAACAGGCTGTTGCTACTGCCGCTGCTCACGGTACCGGCACGAGCTGCAGCACCACCTGCTGTGGCCCCCGCCCCTGCCGCTCCCACCGGCCTGCCTCCCAGCAGCACGTCCCGTACGAAGCGCACGTCGAAGAGCAGCTGCAGGATGCCCTTCTCGCTCAGTCCGCGCACATGCAGCTGCCCGGTGCCCGGCTGCAGCAGCTGGGAGTAGACGGCGGTCACGGAGCGGGACAGCTCCCACTCGAACGCCTGGAGCGCTTCAGGAGCTGCGAGGGGGGGGTGCAAGGTGACCCATGGGTCGGGGTGAGTTGAAGAGGAGCGCCAGTCGCAGGCGGAGCCAGTTCGCGCTTTCGCTTAAGAGTGCATTGCAAGAGGGCTGGCAGGTGCCGCCATGCCCCAACAACCCATGCACAGTTACCGCATACCGTCCGGGACAGGTCTGTAGAGTCCCTAGCTAAGTCCCTTGACTTAATCCTCCCAGATGCAACCGCCTCTTCCCAGCCCCAGGCCCCCCCACTCGCCCCAAGCACCCACCAATCTTGTAGTCTCCCGCTCTCCGCACCTCCGCGCACGCCGCCGACAGCAGCAGCAGCACTGCGGGCGAGGGCGAAGCGGGCAGCGAGAAGCGCATGTCCTCTACCGGCTCCGCAAGCGCGTTGTCGGCCTCCGAGCGGATGACGGTCTCCTGGGGGCGGACGAGACGTGGGGCGGGCAGCCAGGCAAGCGGGGCTTTTAGGCGATACCAAGGGTATGAGGAGCACTTGAGATGCAAGGGCCAAGAGGGGCACTTGAGCGGACTAGAAGGCATAATGAGGCGCTAAGATGTAGTGCGACCCTGTTGTAAGGCCCCGCAAGAGCAGCTCACAGCCCCTATGCACCCCTCCCCACCCGTGCCCCGCCCCACCTGCCACGACAGCGGCACGGTGTTGGTGGTGAGCAGCTCGTCCGCCAGCAGCAGCGCCCGCAGCTCCCCCGCCAGACTGCCCGCAGCCCAGCCCGCCCAGCAGCGGTACGCGCACACCGCAGCGGACCGGAGCTGCTCCAACACACCACACAGACGCGCGTTGGCGGCCGCGGCACCGGCGCCCACACGGCCCGCAGCGCCGGGGCCGGTGCGGCCGAGGGCACGAGCGCTGCCGCCGCCTGCAGCGGAGCCGGCGTGTGCCGGTCCTCCACCCGCGACAGCTGCCTGTTTCCCGGAGCAAGGTGACGAGCCAAGTGGATCCAGCAGCCGTTAGCCGTTAGTCGTGGGCAAATGGTGGGGCTGAGGAAAAAGGAATTCAGCAACCCGGCCCTCGGCCCCACCCGCCCCCCTGCTCCCACCTTCCACCCCTCCGGTGCTCCCAGTACGACGGGCAGGTAGCGCGAGTCCGCTGCCAGTGCGGAGGCCAGGCGGCCTAGCAGCACCACCTGCTCGGCAGTGGGGGCGCCGGAGGGACCCGCGCGGGGGGAGCCCAACCGCTGGAGACGGGATTGGAGCCTGGGGTTGAGGCAAGGAAGGAGGGGTGGGGGTAAGATGATGACAGGTCCAAGGGTGATGGAAACGTCAGCGACGTTGCTGACCCGGCGACGCACTACAGGAGGACCGCGTGCCCCTGTCGTACAAATGCCCACACCCTGCACCCCGCTCACATTGCCGCAATGCCCGCCACCAGCTCCATGCACTTGGACTGCACAAACGGCTCCAGCTCGGCAGCGCGACTCCCCTGCGCGGGTGGGTGGGTGGGTGGGCACACATGGTGGTTGGGAGGACAGGAAAAAGGGGACAAGTACCGGTGTGTACGGCAGTTGGACAACGCAGCCAACCACGCTTGTGTACCGGTGGTTGCATGGGCGTGCCGTCTTTCCTTGTGGCAGGCGTGCGCATCCGGGCAGCGAGCGAGAAATCCCGGTAGCAGTTCAGGACTAGCGTCAGCCGCGGGTCAAACTAGCTCCGCCGCGGGTGCTTGACATGTCGCTAAGTACATGCCACCCCACCCCAACTGTTGTTGCCTCTTTACCACCCCACCTGCATGTCTCGCTTGATGGACGCCAGGGTGTGCAGCGACGACCGTGCATGCAGGTGGGAAGCCCCGTGCGGTGAGGCCCAGGGGAGGGGCGCTGCCCCTGCTCCGCCCGTCTGCGCCTCCGAAGCAGCACGGGACAGCGCGAGGGATGCATGCGAGGGCGAGGCGGACACCGGGGTGGAGTGCACACCGGCCGGCCAGCAGGCGGCGTCGGCTGAGCCCACAAGCAGCAGCGCAGCCTGCCAGGGTGCGGAAAGGTGTGTGGAAACAACAGGTGGTGCGTAGTAATTACTTGATTGGGGACCAGGACTTAGATATTAGCCATTCCTCGTTTCTCAGACCAAAATGGGCAACTTTTGCATCTCTAGGGGAGCCGTTGGGCCAGCGGTACGACCCCAAACAGAGACGACTGGAACCCCAACCCCACCTCATCATAAACCGCGCCCTACCTGCAGTATAGAGCGCAGGTCCTCATCAAACCGGCGCTGAATCGCAGACACGTGCTGGCGGTACGATCGATCAGCTGCCGCCGCGCCATCACCCTCCGCATCCGACCCATCAGCCCCCTTCGCAACCAGATCCGCTGCGGCAGCCGACATCGCGGCCCGAAGATCCATGCTCCGGCTGATGGACGTCGTACGACTACCCGCGCCGCGGCCGTCGGCGCCGCCAGCCCCTGCCGCTGCGCCGCCCTCCACATCCCAGCCCTCCAACGGCCAAACCCGCGTGATGATGCAGCCCGCAGGCTCCGGATCCGCTGCTGCTGCGGCGCGCAGGCAGGCATCCAAGGGCCCCTCCAGCGCACGTCCAACAGCCGCGTAGCTCTCCTCGATGAGCTCCTTGGAGCGTACGACAAAGGGCTGGTGGAAGACCTCCTGCCACAGGTTGAGCTGTCGGCCCACCACCCACTCGCACACCGACTCCCAGCTGTCCAACTGCGGCGCCTCAGCACCCGCACTACCCGCACTACCCGCACCACCACCAGCAGCGGCGGATGATGACGAAGGCATTGACAGCAACGCTGACGCGGATGCGTGATACGCAATGCGAGGCCGCTTCGCGGCGGCAGCAGGCGCGGTGGCCGCCGCCAGCCCGGGGTGCTGCCAGCATGCGATGGCGCCGCGTACCTGCGCCTCCACCTCCACCAGCGCTGCCGCGGTGGTCAGACCCACCAGCAGCTTGGGGCTCTGTCCTGAGAAGTCCTCCGCAACAGCGCGAAGCCACTGCACGCATGCCTGCTCCACCTGGCCGGAGGACAGCGCCGCCAGACGGTCCACGACGGCGCGGTTGGTGCGCCGCCAGGCGTCCGCCTCAGGCGCCTGTGGGGCCGCCGCTGCTGCTGCTGCCGCTGCAGCAGCTCCCCCGGCGCCACTCGTCGTCCTGCCGCCAAAGAGCAGCTCCGAGTAGTCCGCCTCGTCCTCCCGACAGCGCTGCTGCAGCAGGCAAGAGGCGTCGGCACCGCCGCTACCGCCCGCAGCGGCAGCGGCGGCGGCAGCGGAGCCGCCACGGTTGCTGGGCAGGAAGAGCTCACCCACCTGCGCCACTGTGTGCTGCGCTGTCTGCGCCACAGCCGACAGCACCTCCGCTGCAGCGGCAGCGCTGAGGGGCTCCGGCGCGGCAGCGGCGGTGGCTACGATCTGAGCTATCAGCGTGCGGCGAGACGACAGAAACACCTGGGGTTGCATGGAAACACACCGCGCTGCGTTAGACGAGCGAAGGAGTCCTCACCCCAGAAGGAGAAACATAGCGTATTCACAGGTCCGCATCACCCTCTCGCCCTCCCTCTCGCCCCAACAATCATCCCTTCCCCGCCCCCACCTCCCGCCTCATCCCCACATCACTCTGCCCTAACTCGTGGTTTCCTATGGTTTGGTCTGCTTTGTCCCCACCTGCATGCTCGACGCCGCGTCCATCTCCCGCAGCGATGCCAGCGCCGCCAGCATGTCGGCCGCCAGCTCCGTGGGCAGCTGCCGCTCGCGGGACAGCGCGCCGCCCACCGCATCCACCACCTGCTTCCTGTGTGCGGGGGGCGAGATGGGTTGTGAAGGGAAGTCTTGGAAGGACGAATGGTCAGGTATGCGCGAACGGATGGATCATGAAAGGGACGAACGGGCGGACCATGAAAGGACGAACTCGTCGTCATGCGTGCGGTAACTGAAGGAGGTATGACGGGAGTCCTTCCGTATTGCAGCAGCAGGCACGGCCCTGTCTCAGGCAGGTCCGTGACAGGTCCGCAACAAAGGTTAGGCTGCATCCAGGCCCTGCGCATGGCTCCCTTGCTCAGTAACCTCGACGCTGCCCACTGCAGTATACTCTACAGTGGTACTTGCCCACATCCCTCTGCACCGCCGCCCCCACTTAGCCCCGCTCACTTGAACTTGGTTACAGTGGGCCAGTGGTGCTTCAGCAGCGGGAACTTGTCCAGCACGGCGGGTGCAAAGGCGGTGGGCAGCAGCTCGTGCACGTGCTGCGCGCGCAGGAAGCGGCGGGCGGCATCCAGGTAGTGAGCCGCATCCAGGCAGCCCCAGATGAGCTCGGGGGTGTCGATCAGGTACTTGACGCGGGAGCCGACGGCTGTGGAGGGTGGTGGAGGGCAGGTGGCGGGCATCGGGGGTGCATGGGAGGGCGAGGAGGTAGGAGGAAGAGGATGGTGATGGTTGAAGCGACTGCGGCGTGAATTAACAGGCAAGAGCTTCCGGACCATGACGGTGCAATCCGTTATCGGCCGGCCTATTTGTGCAGGAGCCCTAGATAGCTGCCATGCGGGCCGCACCGTAAAGCTCCTCGTGCTTTGTCAGCGAGTCCCTCTTTTCGTTCAGCAGCGCATCTGAGGAGGTGAAGTTGTGGGCCAAGCTGGTGAAGGACTCCTGATGTGGTATAGAGGGAGGAAGGGAGGGGGCAGGAAACAAGGATGGGTTTTGGGAATTGCATAGCAGTGAGGTAGGAACAACATGAGGGTCAGCAGAGGGGTTATGGTAGTCCCGACCCTTCCCCGACTCTTCTCCAAGCCGCAGCAACAACCGGGGCACACCTGGATGCTGCGGATGTTGGTGAGGATGGTTGTCGTGTTGTTGGAGATGGCAAGAATCTTGTCCGCGCTGTCAATTAGGTCCCTACAGATCCAACCCCGAAACCCCGGGTGAGCACACCTGTACCTCCGGCTAGTCAGACAGCACAGAGTACGTGGCAGTCACAAAGCGCACCTGTAGGAATCCCCCACGAGGTTTCGTAGTTGCAGCTTCTTCTGCTCGATGTCCTTACGGGTTCGGACCTCAATCTGCCATGCCAAACGGACAGCAACAGCGTAAGGACGACCTGAGACAGCTCATAAACCCCTGATCTTTAATCTCTTACGGTACCCCAAGACATATAGCAGTTTTGCTAACACGTCTCTAGGCTCTATGGCAGGGACCGTGGGCTTTCCGTGTAGCTGATCTTAAATTGTTTCAGCAATACCTGCATAACTTCACCCTTTTTCATACCTCCCGAATTTCCGTGATGGTCTTAGTAGTGAAAAGCGCCTCGGCACCCCGCTGCGCCTCGCTAAGCACAGGTTGCTTGGTTTGCCCAGGGACCGGGCCATAATGCCCCGCTCCTGATGTAGGCTGCATTTTTAATGAAGCCTAAGGTTTATATGAAATCAGCATCGACAGCAACATGCTTGTGGCCTAAGAGGTTGCGCAGGGGTGCGCACATGTAAAGGCTACAGCCCCTATCCTATCGCGTGGCCCTCATGTAGGTAAACACTGCTCCAACGAACTATTCAGCAGTATGGTAAAGACGTTGCTCCTCTTCCTACCGGTTTGCGGTTGCCGTACTTCGTGACTTCTTCCTTCCTGAGCAAGACAGCCCACCTGTGCGACTCAGGCTCCGTCGCGATGCCAAGCATGAACGTTGTAAGTTGCACGGTTTTCAACCTGATTAGAAACATACCCTCGTCGGAGCTGCACAAACACGATGCGCTCATGCTTGCGGAGATATATAAGAAGCTGTAGAGTTGCCGCTGGAACGCAATGTACTACGGCATCTAGGTTACTAAGCTTACCGCGAGCTGGTCGATACGTTGCCACTAGCGTCCGCGATGCCGCTGGGCCGACGCGTCGCCTGGTCAGTACGCGCGTCGCCGGATTACACGACATCCCTACCAGCAGCACCCCCCTGCCCAAATTGGACAAAGCTACTGGTTCAATTCAGCCAGTCAGCGACTTCGTGGCGCCGCCGCCCGAGGAATGGGCTAACCATGAACACCTGATGGCCGGGTGCGAGCCCGGCAAGCAGCTGCGTGTGGCGGTGCTGCTGAGCGGCGGAGTGGACAGCAGCCTAGCGCTGCGGTTGCTGCGGGCAGCGGGACACAGCTGTCGGGCCTTCTACCTGCAGATCTGGTTCCAGGAGGACTTCAGGTGGGGGGGGGGGTCTTTGGATTGCTACACGTTTATCGTGCTTCTGGGGGCACGGCACGGCGCCTACCCAATTGCTGCTACCCGGACCTGCCCCCCTGTCAGTGCGTGTCTTACACGGCTTCCCATGCCCTTGCCGGTTACCCCCACAGGAACTTCTGGGATGCATGTCCGTGGGAGGAGGACCTGGAGTATGCCAGGAAGGTGAGAGAAGGAGGGAGAGGCGGATGGAGAGAAGGGAGGGTGGGAAGGAGGAGAGGAGGGAGAGGAGGGAGGTGTGAGGGTGGGGAACGGCTGGGTGCTGCTGTACCGTGTGCCGCTGCGCTGTGTGCCAGGAGTTGTGTGGAACCGTTGGGCTCCCTCCCTCCCTGCCGATGTGCCGTACTGGCTTTCGCCTGACGTGTCAACCACATCGCATCCCTTGCATCTCGTTTCCTCTTGTGCTGGTCATGTAACCTGGTATGGGACCTCGGCCCCAAGCATGCCCTCCCACGCCTTTTCACATGCACCCACCGGCACCTCCCACATTCCGCTGCACGTCTCCTCCTGCCGGACACGCACTCCATGGATGTTGGAGCCTTGCCAGTTGCCACACGGTTTGTTGGGTTCTCCCTCTGAATCCCCGAACGCTCCCTCCCCAGGTGTGCGACTCCCTGGGTGTTCCCTTGGAGGTGGTCCCCCTCACCACCCAGTACTGGGACCGGGTGGTGTCAGCAAGCGTGTCCGAGATCCGCGCCGGTCGTACACCCAACCCCGACATGTGGTGCAACAGCCGCGTCAAGTTCGGCGCGTTCTACGACTACCTGGATCAAACGTACGGCAATGAGTTTGACCGGGTGGCTTCGGGGCACTATGCGCGGGTGGAGAGGGTGGCGGGTCGGAGGAGGGTACGGCGGCGCAAGGAGGAGGAGGAGGAGGTGGTTGTGGGTGGGGCGGTGGGAGTGGGGCAGGGAGCGGCGGTGGTGGCGACGGCTATGGAGAGTACGGAGGGCACGGAGGGGGAGGAGGAGCGGCGGCGGAGCCACGCCGCTGCGTCGACCAGCGGGCAGTGGTCTTCACAGGAGGAGCATCCACAGCAGCAGCAGCTTTCCAGCACGCCCCAACGGGGCGGTCTAGGGCAACTGCATCACCAGCCGCCGCAGCCGCAACAGCAGCAGCAGCTGGGTTCTGTAGGGTCGTCGCCGCTGCTGGCAGGCACAGCAGCACGACGCGACCCCGTTGAGGGCTACTCAAGGCCGCAATGCAGGAGGGAGGGAGAGGAGGCGGGGGCGGGTGGGGCGCCGGAGCGGGCGGCTGTGCAGGCGGCTGTGCAGGAGGCTGTGCAGGAGGCTGTGCAGGAGGCTGTGCAGGAGGAGGCTGCGGATGAGGAAGAGGAGGTGCGGCTGCTGCTGACCCCCGACGCGGTGAAGGACCAGACCTACTTCCTGTCCAACTTGGCTCCGCAGCAGCTGGCGCGGGTGATGTTCCCGCTGGGCTGCCTCACCAAGCCGCAGGTGGGAGGTGGGGGCGGGGTAAAAGTAGGGACAAAGTTGATCAAAGCATAGGAGGAGTATGGGGAAAGATACTACACGGGCGGTGGGAGCTTACAGTTCTTTTGGGACCATGGCTTCTACTTCATACGTCATTGCATTCGGTGCCTTCATCCAGGTAGCCACTCATCTCGCTTCTGCCTCATGCTTTCCCTTTTCCATACGGCATACGCCCTCCTCTCCACTTTCCCTCTCTCGCAACATGCTCACTACTACCATCTCCTCTCTCCCCCACCCCCCTGCACACACCACCGCAGGTACGGCAGCTGGCTGCTGCTGCCAACCTGGCCAACAAGAACCGCAAGGACAGCCAGGGCATCTGCTTCCTGGGCAAGGTGGGTACATGGGGTGCGGGATGGGGTGCGGGATGGGATGCGGCATCCTCGGCGCTGATGCCTTCCTGGGGTGGAGGGCTACCCGGGGCTGGGGCATCCCTTGTCCTGTGTTGCTGTTTTGCCTTTTGAGCGGGGGGTTTACAGCCCGTTCTTTGCTGCATGGGCTGCATGGAAACGAAGTCCCTGTTGGTTCGTGATCCCGGAAGCAGCAGAAAACTGTTTACACAGTGTCGTACACGAAATTCCCATTTTTGGCTGCTTTGGGGGTGGGTGGGTGGTCAAGGGCGGGTCGCCGGACTTTTTGCTCTTACTGTCAAAGTGTTTTTCTTCTCACCCCTCCTGCCGGAAGCCCCATCCGTACAACTCAACTGTGAGAGCCTCTGCGTGCGCCTCTGCTAGTGTATACTCCCGCAGTAGTAAGCCACCTACCCATCTCTGCATCTGCCTGGCATCCCATGCGCCCTCGTCGCCACTCCCTAGATCCAATTAGCGGTCGTATCTGGCTCCAGCCAACGGTCCAACTAACTTATATTTGGCTCCAGCTAATGGTCTAACAGTCCAACCAATGGTACAAACTACCAACGGTCTTACTAACGGTCCAGCTAACCGGCATGGCCCTGCCTCCCCGCGCAGGTCAAGTTCCCCGAGTTCGTTCGTGAGCACCTGGGCGAGTGGGCGGGCCCCATCCTGGAGGCGGAGACGGGGGCGCCGCTGGGTACGCATGCGGGCTACTGGTTCTACACGGTGGGACAGCGGGGAGGCATCAAGCTGCCCGGGGGGCCCTGGTGAGTGGGCGGGGGGGGCCGGAGTGGGGTAAAAATATAATGAGGAATTGGGGGGAAGGAGAAGGCGTTCCAAGCTCTGCAAGCCCCAACACATACCTGTTAGGCAACGACCTAGGCAACCGCTTACCGCTAACTGCAGCTTCTGACGGAGCCCCTGTGTGTTTGCGCCCGTGTGCAACTCCTGCCGATTGTACGGCAGGTACGTGGTTGCCAAGGACACCCTGCATAATGCCGTACTGGTCTCCCGGCAGTACTACGATGACTCCAAACGCCGTAACGCCTTCACCTGTGGACCATTCAACTGGCTTCATCCAACCGCTCGACCTCGCGACCCGCAAGACGGCGTCCCGCTGTACGTCAAAGTACGACACGGACCCAACATGTACAAATGTACGCTACAGCTGTACGGCAGCCAGGGTACGGACAGCAGCGACGGCTTGTACGACGGCGGGAAGGATTCGTACGGCACTGTGGTTTTGGAGCAGAACGATCAGGGGCTGGCCGCGGGGCAGTACGCGGTGTTTTACCAGGAGGGGCGGTGCCTGGGTTGTGCGGTGATTAACTCCACGGTGGAGGTACCAGCGGGGGGGCCGGATTCGGAGGCGTCGTGACCCTCGCGGGAGTAGCAAGCGGCGTCAAGGAATCAGGGAACCAGGTTGAGCAAGCGTTGCGCTAGAAGTTGGGCAGGGCTGCGTGTAAAACGGAACTGCAGGAATGTGTTGGAAGGCAGGCTCGTGTTCATGGATGGTTGCTACCCAATGCTATCCCTGTGCGATTTCGCCTTGTTGTGTACAGCCCTTGGATGCCCTCAGGGAGCAGGACGGTGCACGTGGGGAGGCCGCAACTGCACCGTACACGATGAAACGGGGGTTGTGATGACTGATGCGAATCGCTGTATTTACTTCTGTGGTGTGTTGCTGCTGGGGGTGCTGGGATCAACCATGGGGTCCATGGGGACCCCGCTTGGTGCCTGCTATGCAGTGGAGGACAGGGAAAGTGTGGTGCATGGACCCGTACACATCACACTCCCTGTGTAACACGTAGCGCCCCGTGAAACTTGGAAACTTGGCCCTCAAGCTATCGTCCAGCGCTGTTTGGAGTCACTTCAGGAAGTGGTCAGGAAGGAGACATGGATTTTTACGAAGTACGACACCCTCAAAAAGAGTCCACTTCCGCCATGAAGCAGCGTTTGCCAAAAGGAAATGTGAGTCGTGGCGGCAGTCTTTTGGGGTGTATGTCATTAGGCCACATCTCAGGTTTAGAGTTTAGGACCCGGAGGGGGCGGGTGCAGGATAAATGGATCAGCCGAACTGGCAGGTAGGATGGATTACAGGTGGGATTGGTCAGGCATGTAGCTAAGGGTGGTACAGTGGCGGTGGACACAGGGGACCCACATGGGTATTCAGACTTTGTATCGAGGGGTTAGAACTTCAGCAATGACACCCGGCCGTGCATTGCACAATTGCGCTTGGGGACTTGAAGTCGAAGCGCCGCTCCGTGGCTACCGGGAAGCTGTCGTAGTAATCCGCAATAACCGCTGAGTTTAAATATAGAACGGGTGCGCACCCTATACGTTTTATAAGCAAGGCCCCCGCATACCCAAAAGCAAGGCTTGTCGATGGCTAGCTTCGTACATTGCAGGAAGGATATTTTCCAACCGCAACAACGTCAACAGGCAAGCAACTAATCTATCATGCAAGAGTTTTTGTGGCGAAGCCTAGTCTGTGGAAGCGAGTTTGAGGTTTAGCAGGTGTAGGCCCACCAAGCGTGAAAGCGGACAAGGCGCAGCTTTGGATGTATGTATAGTTATAAGTTATTATGTCCGAAAGTAATCTGAAGTAATGACACTTTTTACGTCGAGAACGACAACATTACTTAACCGCTCGGTCATCCCTAACATTTGCGCCTGCTAGCAATCTTTCATGTGTGTCATGTGCATTGGTGTGCAAGGCACTGACACTCTGCTAGGTTACGACAACAGAGTGGCCGTTCGCTAAGCTCCCGCCCTTTTTTAGTACAGTTACACCTGGCTTCTGTGCTTCCCAGACTTCGTTCTAGGTATGACCCTTTGTTACACTTGTAAAAGGAAAGCCAATTTTCCACTCTCTTCTGCTATGTTTGAGCGGGTTGCGTTTGCTCGTCCATTGCCCGACATGGGGGGTTGGCCCATGGCTGTACCCTGTCATTACGCATAGTTTGCGCACCACTTGCCCACATAGGAGCTTAGGGGTCTTCATTCCTCCATGTTATCTTACCCTTGACATTATTACACTCTAGTCCTGTCATCAGCGCCATTTTTGGCGGCTCCTTGACCTTGGCTTTTGCTTTCCATACAGCCGGGGCCGGCCAGCAGGAACATGGCAGAGGAGCCAGTTAATGAGCATGGCTTCACGGAGGTTCCCGAGCAGCAGCCGGCGCCTCAGCCAAAGTCATCTGTGCTTCGTTTGCGGGGCCTACCCTTTTCTGCGGGAGAAGAGGAAGTGCGCCACTTCTTCTCAGGCTTCACTATCGTCCAAGTTGTTATTGGCAAACGCGCTGGTGCGTGTCGGCGGCAACTTGGCGGATCGATCTTCGGGTGACCTTTTGGCCTCCTTCCTTTGCAGGCCGCTCAACTGGCGAGGGCTACGTTCAGCTTGACTCCACTGCTGCAGCTGCCGATGCCATTATGAAGTTGCACCGGCAGACGCTTGGCCACCGGTACATCGAGTAAGTCCGCCTTGTAAATCCCGCCAACGGTTATTTGGCTTAACGGGCGCCTGATCTTTTACAGGGTGTTCGAGTCCACGGAGGCTGACCTTGCAACGGCAAAGTCACTTAGCGTGGACCGTATGCGCGGGTTCGTTGTGCGCTGTCGCGGCCTGCCTTATACGGCGACCGCTCAGGACGTGCTCAACTTCTTCGGGCCAGATGTTCCTATTGTTCGCGGTATTGAGGGCGTTGTTTTTACGTATGCTCCTGATGGCCGGCCAACTGGCGAGGCTTTTGTGGAGCTGCAGACGGAGGATGCCCAGCGCGAGGCCCTTAAGAAGCACAAGGAGAGCATGGGCGCTCGCTACATTGAGCTCTTTGTCAGCACAAAGGTCGACATGATTCAGGCCATCCAGCAGAACCGCCTCATCCTCGGCTACTCTAACCGCAAGCGCTGGCTGCAGCAGCAGGGCATCAACCTGGGGCCTGGCCCGGCCCCCGGCCACATGCCGCCTCACATGCAGCCGCACCACCACCAACCGCACTACGGTGGACCCCAGCACCACGGCCCTCGTCGGCACCCACAATACGGTAAGATGTTGGGTTGGGCCAAGGGTCAACGGTGGGCCAGACGGCTGTGCACGATGCATTACCGTCAACTTTAGCTGCCATTGTTCCACATAGTACCTTTCACGCTGCGCCCTGTCTTGAATACTCCTTCACATCCCCTAAGCCGTTCCATGCCTACCCAGGCGTTAACGTTTCTCTCTCTGCTTTCCTTATCTTGGATGCTTCATCCCAACTTGCATGCCTGCAGGCTTCAACATGGGCGGCATGGGAGGGCACGCGGTCCAGGTGATTGGCCCGGGCGGTCAGATGCTGCCGCCCGGGACCTACCAGCTGGAGGTGCCGCGTGACGGCAGCGGCAAGCAGCCTCAGCACCAGCAGCAGCGGTTCGGGTACCCCGGCGGTCGCGGTGGCGGCCGTGGCGGTGGCCGGGGCCCCGGGCCGGCGCCCTTCCCCGGCCGTGGACCTGCGGGCGGCATGGTGATGGGCGGACGTGGCATGCAGCAGGTGAGCTCATGGACTGTACATAGTAGCGGTCCGTATGTGTGAGCGTCATGCGTCATGCGGAATTCTCACGTCTCAAGTCATATAATGTTCCCCCTCGCCTCCTCCTCGTCCCTGCCCTGCCCGCAGTTCCCGCCCGCAAGGCCACCGCCGCCTCAGGTGGTTGCCATGGCGCCCATGCCGCCCGCCGCTCGCCAGACGGCGCAGGTGGTGCCGGTGTCGGCTGCGGGAGGCGCGGCTAACGGCGGCCACGGCGGTCACGCGGGCCACGGCGCCCACGCGGGCCATACGGTCGCCCACGGTGCCCACGGAGCACCTCACGGCGCGCATGCGGGGCACGCGCCGCACGGCGGCCAGCCTGTGATGGTGCAGGAGGTGCCACAGCAGGGCGGTGGTGCGCAGTACATGCCGTACGAGCAGCAGCAGTGGGGCCAGCAGGTGATGGTGCAGCCGCCGCAGCAGCAGGGCGGCGCGCAGCAGCAGCAGGGGCTGTACAATGCGGGCGCGGGCTCGCAGCAGGCTGCGGGCATTCAGGGTAAGCGCCCACGCTCGGGTTATGCACGTATGCTTTGTGGAAAGCCTCTTTAAAATAGCCTTTCGCGGTTCTTACATCAGGGCTTCTCAGTAACCACGCAACTCCTGTCACACGTCCCTTCTGCAATCCCGCAGGTGTTGCCCCCGGCACGTACACGCTGACCACCAGTGTCATCCAGGTGCCGTCCGGCGGCGCTGCGGGTGCCGGCGGCTACTCGGACTACCAACAGCAGGTGCACTCGCTGCAGGGACTGGACGGACCCGCGGGTCCGGGCGGCCTGCAGGTGCGGAGGGTGACTTGGGGGCAGTAGACCTAGGCCATTGGGGCCGCGACCTAAGTTACAATCAGTATGAGGTAGCGGCTTGTGGATGTAGCCTTTCGGAGCATGCGAAAGGATTCAGTATCGACACCCTGTGAGCGGTGATGTCGTCGAGTGTTTTTTTTCGTAAATCGTACTCCAAATTGTTCAGGTACTCACCGCTTGTGCTTCCCCTTCCCTTCCCCCATGACCCCTCACCGCCGCCATTGCGCCGCCTGCTTGCGCTCCTCGCGGCCTCCCAAACGCCGCTATCGCAGACAGTCGACATGGGGCCCCCGCTAAGGGGCGCCATGGCTGGCCCCGCCCTGGGCGGCGAGGTGCCTCCCAACCAGCCCCCGGGCCAGCAACTCCGCCTCCCTGCCGGCCGTTATGACGGGCGACCGCGCACGGGCGGAATCTAAGTAGAAAGCTAGACAGCATACCACGCGCGCTGTAAGATGCATGGCGGCATGGAAGAGGTGATGGAAGCTGCGGGCCGTTAAGAGGCGTACCTCAGCGGTTGCGTGGTTGTGGCGGCGGCGTTGTGTTGTCCAGGGCTTGGATTGGAGGCAGGCTTCCGGTGATGCTTGGGAGGGCGCGTGCGGCGCGTCGGTTGCATGTTGCGCATGGTGCGCGCTAAAGCTATATCAGCAATGAGATGGGAGGTTATGCTGGTTAATTCGCCTATACTGTTGCTGTTCAGTCATTTGCAGTTGCACGAACCCGTCACAGCATCAGTTTGGTGCCTGAGTGGGCGGGCGCTACCCTGATCCGCAGCATAATGGCGAACGAGTGAAGTTGCGGTCCGAGTCTTGAGTCTTTTCGTGTGCGTGCTCTTCCGTTTGCTGTTTGATCAGGAAAGGTAGGTACCATGGTGGTGCCAAGCAGACAGCGCATGCTGGCCAAGAATGTTTAAAAAGAAGTTTTTAAGGTGGGGCGTGTCGGGGATTGTGCCATTTGAACTGCAAATGGGCTTATGAGATGATGCGGGGGTAAGGATAAGGCTCGTCAATTATGGGAACTACACAATAACGGCCAGGAGAGATATAGCGCATGCGGGATTGCGCCTTGTGGGCTTCCAGCTGCGCTCGGCCAGTATTATTCACCATCACATTCAAGTAAAACGGCGGGGTACGGCGGAGCACGTTATGGCGAAGGGCTGTTGCATTGCTAGCAGATGTCAGTCGCCTTGGTTATTGTGCAGAGGAGGCCTGGTGTGCCACGTTCCCAGCTTCGATCTGCGCTGCTTTTTGTTACGGTTGTTAGCATTGTCACTGACAGTGGCAAGAGCCTTGCGGCGAGCAAAATGGTCGGCAAGCAAAGCAGCAGCGGTGGTTTGGTTGTGGTTTGGTAGGCCGGTGTCTGCCTGTACGGAGTAAGCAGCAAGGCCAAGATGAGGGTGCATGCGCCTTAGACTTCACAAATGCCGTGTGCACAGTTATCTGCGCCCTAAGGGTTCTGCCGTATCGGCGTCTTCAGTTTGCTAGAGACAGATTTGCCTGCTTCAGCAAGGCCCCTTTGCTGGGTGTTCCTGGTTGACGTCGGGTTTAAGAATTACTATTGGTGGCGATGGTGGTTTGGGTACTACGCGGGTACGGCCCGGTGGGTTCTTCCTTGCATGGGTGGCAGCATGGTTCATTGCACATACGTTGCAGGCCCCGAGCAATTTCACTTCGCCGGGGTTGGCGGTCGTATTTCATTCGGCCGTTGTTGCCGCAGTGAAGACCCAATAGGCCTCTGCCCATTTACGTTTAATTTTCTGGCGTTATCTGTTTCTTCCGAGCCCTAAACAGCGTGCGTCGGGCAAAGCGATGGCAGTTATGTGGAAGGCTGTGTCGGCGGTATGTGGGCGTGTGCGCGCGCACGTGTACCGCAGGCGCTGTCGTACAATCTTATTGCATCAAAGGCCCTGGCACGCGCATGGCACACAGCGGGCTTTGCTGGGTTTGCGCCACTTCGTGCCTTCCAGGATCCACACTGATGCGGTGCTTTGGGCTATGGTCCTCCGCGCAATTTAGCGCACATTATGTTTCGTTAATTAACAATAATGGTGAAGCGTTTGGTGTCAAGTGAATGCAGACGGGTGTGCCACTGGGTCTCCGCCCACAGGGCAAGTCACGTCGCGTTTATTGGAGGACGGCGAACATGTGGGAACGCTCTCTTGTCATGTAAGCTAATCCATCTCATTAAGGGCGGGCTAACGCCAGCAGTTGCAAGGACGGGGTGATTCACACAGGCAATCGGATGGTATTTCAGCAAGGCATGCGGTTTACATGGAGAACCCGCTTGACCTCCGTATGCTGGGAGGTATGTTGTACGTCCGTACATATCATTGCCGGAATCTGGTAACGCGGGCAGCAAACTATTACCCGCAAAGCAGCCTACTCAACCTATCACACCAGCAAACAATGGTGCTGGTTGCCTTACGCAGGTTCGGCTTACCAGCATAGTGCCATGTGCGCATACACATTGTCTACAGTCACCGCGTATACTAAAGTATTGATAGTCAACAGCCGCAATGCCAATGCGTTGCCCGACGTCAGTCCTAATATGTATGTGCGGTTAACCCATGCTCTATAGTCACAAAACCCCAAGCATGAATCACTGCAGGGTTGCACATCAGCGTGCACAGAGCTGCATAACAGCGCAGCGTACCAAACTCCCACGAGAGCGGCAATCACAGGACTGCTGATGAGCAACAGCACCTACCAACACCGCGCTCACCCCCGCCTAGTGAGAACCCACTGACCCCCCCCCTTCCCATGCGTGTTCCATTCGTTGCTAGCATAATCACATCCACCACAAAAGCAACCACAGGTCAACACACTGCCCGCTTTTCCGTCTCAATCGTCTAACATGCACAGCAACGCAACGCCCTGCAGGATCCAGAAGTCGCTGCTGGTGCTCGACCGCATGGGCAGGCTCACCAGCAGCACGAAGTTGGTGGACTGCCCGGTGGTGCTCAGCACGCCCGCGCGCACGCTGGTCTTGTACAGCGGGCACTGGTACTCCGTGTCGGGCGGCTCGTAGTCCTGGGGGAGGTGGGTTAGGTGGGGGAGTGCATTCTCAGCAGCGTGAGTATGAGGCTACTGGGGGGAAATCACAGACGGCTGGGGTAGGTAGGGGTGAAGTGGGAAACGCGTGCATGAGTGGGGTGCCACCATAGCAAGAGAGCCCGGGAGCCCGTCCTCGCAGAGCTGCGCAGAGCATTCTCAGCAGCGTGATTAGGAGGCCACCGGGGGCAACCACAGACTCGCATGAGGTCAACCTACTCAGCCGACCATGCAGGATACGCACCGGTACACGTGCTTCCATCCTGGACATGTATGTACAAAATCATGTGACACCACCCCCACCACCACCTGCCGACCCGACCCGACCCACCTGCATGGGCTTAAAGTGGATGACTGGCAGCGGCGCATACATGACGCCCGGCTCGCTCTCGTCCAGCCGCGCGGCGGTGCGGTCCCAGCGCGCGCCGTCAATCCACAGCCCGTTGATGAGGATACCGTCCTCAGGCGCCGCCTCCGGCGGCACCGCGTCGGGCTCCTCGTAGGGGGTGACCTCGAAGCCAAACGATAGCGTGTCGATGGGGATGGAGTACTTGCGCGCGTGCATCTGCAGCACTCCCGTCATGAAGCCCTGTGGAGGAAGAGGAGCGGGGAGGAAGAGGCAAGAGGGTGTGAGATGGAGCTTATGGGCGCAAATTTGCGCAAAAGCTGCACCGAGCACGATGTCCTTGGGTGTGGTTCCGGTTACCGGTAACAAACACGACAGCGGAGCATTTGGAAGGTAGCAAGATACTAGGGCTACGGTTCTCAACCCTCCGCCCACCAACGCGGTCCACACCTGCGGGAAGAAGAACCCGGGCAGCCAGAAGCACTTGGGCCGCCCCCCCTGCAGCCAGGAGCGCATGAAGGCGATGCGCTGGTGGTAGTCCGCCACCCAGCTAGCCAGCGGCTTCAGACTGGGGTAGGCGTAGCGGGCCCAGGCCTGCGGGGGCACACAACAGGAGCGGGGTGGGAGGTGAGGTGAGGACTCAGGACGTCAGGAGGGAGGTCACATGGTTCAGTCCCTATACGTGTTTAGTCCCAGTTATGCGTGGGCTTCAGGGTTTGGGAGTGGTGGCATAGCCGCGCCTCACCCGGACCTCACAGCCCCTGCCCACATGACACCAACATACCGGTACACCACCTCTGGCTTACCTCGGGGACCTGGTTGTTGAGCATGCTGTTGTACACGCCCTCCAGCTCCCCGCTCATCACCACCAGACCTTTGATGGCCTTCTGCAGCTCCGCAAGACTGGTGGCGACCTGCGCGCGCAGGGGCGGTGCAGCAGCAGCGGTGGAGGGGAGGAGAGGGTGAGAACCATGAGAGTCAGCGACTGCCCTGGGGGGCAGCTTGGGCCGGATAGCGTACCGGGCAGGAAGACATTCCTCGTTAGTCTGTAATAAGGCAGTTGGGGAGGACAATACCTTACCCACCCCCAGCCTCCAACCACGCCGGCCCCCCCCCCCACTTACCGCTGCCGCCAGCCGGTTAAACCGATCCATCTCCTGTCCCAACACCACACTCAAGCTGTTCAGCTGTCCCGTCTCCGTTCGGTCAAACAGCCCCAACGCCGCCTCTTCACGACTCAGCTGCGCCGGCAGTCCCTCCTGCAGCTGTGCTGCCAGCTCCGAAACCACCTCGTCACTGGACTTGCCGCTGGAGCCGCCGCTCAGCCGCGGCTGGATGGACAGCACCGCCTCCACCAGCTTTCGGGTCTCCTGCAGCTGGAAGGAGATATTGGCGTTGGCGTGCATGCCGAACACCTCGGGCGCCTCCGTGGCGGGCAGGCCGCGGATGTAGTCGCGGTAGTCCTCCAGGGAGCCCTCCGAGTCGGGGCTGTAGTACAGGCCTGCAGTACGGGCGAGTACGGCAGATGATGATTATGGTCGGGGAGACGGTGCGGGAGGATGCATGGGGTGCAGGTGTCGGTAACCAAAAGGTGAAGGGTTTATCGGACACACCTATACCGTACACACATGTAGTATGTCTGTTAGTGATATCCGTCTTCGCCCTCCATTCAACCGCCTTCCCTTGTTCCCAGTCTCCTCCCCCGCTTGCAACCCAGTCTGCTCACCACTCGGCGTGAACGTGTAACCCTCCTCCAGCACTCGCGGCGTGATGTACCGCCGCAGAATGGACATGAGACACCGCCGATCCAAATCGTCCGTCACACGACCCCCGTAGTTGATCTGCCCCACCACGTACTCTAGCGCCGGCCAGGGGATCTCCTCCTGCTCTGACAGGAACATCCGCAGCGTCATGGCGGAGCACTCCAGGTCACTGTTGTTAAATTCGTACCGAATGTTCCACCCCAGCGGCCCAAACTTCCGCCGCTCCTGCACCACCGCATGGAAGAAGCTCAACGCGAACAGCAGCTTCTTGAAGGGCCCGGGCTTGGCTGGGCAGGCGGCGAGAACCTCGGGTGTGAGGTCGTTGTAGGTTCGGTTGACGTTGGCCTTCACGCCCTTGGGCGGCTCGTTTGTGAGCTTGATGCCGTTCTGCAGCACCAGCACCGGGAAGACCTTGCTGGGCATGGAGGTGAGCCACAGCCTGAACTCCGGGTGCACCTGGCTTGACTCCTTGGAGATCTCCTCCACCTTCTCCTCCAGCCGTAACATCCAGGAGGAGGCGAGGTGGCAGTTCTGCAGGCACACCCAGTCGCCGCTCTTAACCGCCTGGCTGATCAGCATCTCAGCGATGGGCCCCTGCCCCTGACCCAGCGAGATCATGTGCAGCCGCTCGCCGGTCGCGTAGCCGCACTTCTCCGCGAAACGCTGCAACATGGCGGTCGGGTCCGCACCCGTGGACAGGATGAAGATGATGGGTGTACGGCAGGAGGTATCCGGGAACACGTCATCCAGCGACCAGGGCGGCGGTTCCGTGAACTCCGTGCCGAGCTTTCCAGCCACGTACTGCGCGCATGCAAAGGTGAGCTTCTCCTCTCGGAAGGCCTTGACCAGCAGCAGCTTGCAGAAGGGCCGGGACTTGGTCAGCCGCTCCTCCCAGCCGGCAGGCAGCGGAATCAGGTGCGGTTCGTCGGACTCGAACCAGGCTTGCCAGTCCCGCCCAAACGCGATGACGCTCTCCACCAGGCCCAGGAAGGTATCGCTGAGCACGGTCTCCAGGTGCAGCACGGAGGCCCAGGCGGCGGCGGTCATCCAGTTGGGGTAGGGGTTGGCGCGGGAGGGGGCGGAGGTGGTGCTGCCCACACCCCGCACGAAGAAGTTCCACTCGGGTTGGGTGATTTCGGGACCCGCGGATTCGTGGCGCAGGATGGAGGTGCACAGCAGGAAGCTGGGTGGGGTGTGTGTGGGGGGGGTTAGGGGTCGGGAGGGAAGGGGAGGAAGGGACGGTTAAGATGATGCCTGGAGTGAGGAAGGTCCGCGAAAAGGTGGCAAGCATTGGTGGTGCATATAGGCATTGTACAACCGCGCCGTTGGCTTGTATACGGATGCAAATGTAGCGCATGTATACGAAGCTGCCAGCGAAAGACGTCCGTACGGACCGTACCTGTACAGCAGCTTGTGTTCCTCAAACAAACCGCGTGAGACGTTGTTGTAGATGAACCGCGTCACGAACTCACTGAGCAACACCAGCCGAGCAGGCACGTCGTCGGCCTTCTCCGACTTGTCAATGCAGTACGAAAACATCTTTGCAAAGTACGACAAGCTGAATTGGTACATGGGGCTGATGAGGGACAGGTCGGCGACGACAAAGTAGAGGATGGACCCGCGAGTCGCTGCGGGGCGGTAGTGCTCGCGCGCCTCGTTGATGGAGCGCTCCGTCACCTCCGCCTCTTGCACTCGGTTCTGAGGAGAAAGGAAGACGAGGGACGGGCGGGAGAGGGCAGCAGCAGCGGAGGCGGGTTGAGTGCATGTCGTATCCGCAGTGCCATGCCGAACCCTGATCAAACAAGTCATAATTCCGACTCAGTATACCGTACAGATACCTCACCCACGTACCCTTGCATGTCCGCTAACCCAGCCACCATACCCTCCTTTCCTCACCCCTCCAACAACCCCACCACCTCCATTACCAACCCCACACCACACCGCACCCCATGCTCCCTCCCACACCCCCCCCCCACACACTGGCAATCGCAGTACGTTCCGACTCACGGCCAGTTTTCTTAGCCCACACCATCCCCCTCCACCCTCACCCCCCTCACCACCCACCGAGATGACGCTGCTGGTGGTCTTGGAGTGGTTCAGCGTGTTGATCAGCTGTTCGTCGTCCAGGATGTTGCCGCTGCTCTCCTTGAGCAGCTTCAGAATCTTGTCCTCCAGCTCGCCCAGCTGCTTTTTGTCCGCGCTGATGGAGAGCACCAGCCGGTCCTTGGCCTCCTCCAGGTCGGGGCGCTCCTTGCGGACCACCTCACCCAGCAGCTGGTCCTCCAGACCCTGTTGGGGGGGAGTGAGGGGGTGGCGGAGGTCGCGAGGATAAGGAGAGGGTAGAGGATGGTGTACGGGGCTTTGCTGCTGGAGTCCCGTCCTTAGCCCTGCCCTTGGGCCTCATAAACCCATAAGCCTGCTTATGGGCCCTGCCAGAAACCTCGCCCGTCCCCCTCTCCCCCCCCCACAGCCCTTGTCCGCTGCTCTTCACGTTGAGAGCACATCCGTCCCATAACCCTCCACACCTTCATGGTGACTGTGAAGTTGATGATGGTGACCTTGATGCACACCTCGGGCAGGTAGTGCGGGTTGGCCAGCTTGGTGGTGACGTAGAAGCGGAAGTTGGGGTCGTAGTCCACGTCGCTGTCGCCCAGCCGGATCAGCATGCGGCCGCCCTGCGCAGGGGGGAGGGAGAAAACAACGTGTTTAGCAGTTGCTGTTGCAGTTACAGCCTGTACGCGTGTACAGTTTGTGCAGTGCGATGACGTGTTTACGACCACCACCACCACGACAGCGTCAAGGCAGCGAGGTTACGGCATGCACACAGTCAAAGGCATAGAAGATAGGACACGTACATGGCACCCGCACCGCCGCCCCCCTGACACCCCACCACGCCGCACCTGTTTGAACACCGCCTTCTGCAGCACCGGCTCCAGCGCCGGGTCCAGCGTCTCCCCCACGTCCTCGATCAGCACCGGGTTGCCGATGCGGATGGAGTTCTCCAGCGTGCGCAGGAAATTGCCGTCCGTGAGCTTGATGCAGCGCAGCCCGTTGCGAGACTCCATGGCCTTGATCCAGCCGTTGGCTTGGCCCTGGACAGGGAGGGACAGGGAGAGGGGTGGGGGTGAGGAGGGTGAGGGGGAAGGAGGAGGGAAAAAGGGAAGGTTGGCAGCGACGGTAACAATCCGTGAGGGAGGAGGGAGGGAGCCAGCCTGAATACGGGAGCGGGGCCAGCTGTGCTATTGGTGTATACATCTTCATACAGGTCTTCACAAAACACGACAAAAGCCGTTTAATCTCTCCTCCTGATCAAGCCCCCCCACTCCCCCAGCAGGCCCCCCTCCCCCTCCCCATCCCACCTGCGGGTCAATCATGAGCGGCCAGCGCTTGCCCCTCGTCACCAGGATGCCGTTATCCACCGACACATCGTCCGTGGGCAGCCCCCAGATGTTCCACTCCCTGATCTCCACCGGGTTGCCCAGCGTGGAGCGCAGGCTGGCCGCCTCCGACACCGGGATGCCGCGCTCCTTGCAGGCGCTGATCCACCCCGCCACCAGCTCCGCGCGGTAGGCGCCCGTGAAGGCGCCGTAGTAGGCGATGCAGGCGGACGCCAGGAACACGTCGCCCACCTGTGCGGTTGGTTGGTTTGGCGGGTAGGTGGGAAGGAGGTTGTCAGATGGAGGACGCTAGTAGCATCAAGGGCTAGATGCATCAAGGGCTGAACATCGGTACCACCAGTAGCAAACCACATCACATCACATCACATCACCCATCAACCGCCGCAATCCTAGGCCGCAATCCTTGCCCACGCACGCCATGCACCCCACCAGCTTTGCATCCTGCCTCCTCCAGCAACCCTCACCAGCAGCACCACCATCCGCAACCATCCCTCCCCACACCGCCCAACCCGCCTTCCAATCCACCCAACCCACCCCCACCCACCAGCTTGATCAGCTGCTCCCCAATCGTCTCCGCAGTCGCCTTCCACCGCACCCCCTCGTCCGCCAGCCCGCTGGTCAGTTTGCCCGCCCGCTCCAGCCGCTTGCGGGTGAGGTCGGCCTGGTCGTTCAGCTCGCGCTGCTCCCGCTGCGCATCACCCAGCTGCTTGCGCAGGTTCTCCACCCGGTCCTCCACCTCGCGCAGCGCCGCCTGCTTGTCAGCCAGCTTGGAGTTGGCCTCGGACAGCTGGCCCTCAGCCTGGGGGGGAGGAGGGAGCGAGGGAGGGGGAGGTAGGAGGATACAGATGGTGGGAGGTTAAGATGAAGTTAGGTGCTGTGTTTTTAAAACACCGGTATAAGGCGTTCGGCACATTTTCATTGTTTTTCCAAGGGTCGTCCAAACCCCCAAACTGCAGCAATCCCTTTATGGTTCGAGCAGTAGCCAGCTGGCCACGGAACACCAAAGTACGCAGCAGCCAGTGCACGCAACCTCCCCCCTCCCACACACACCCAACCTCCCACCCACACCCACACCCATACACCCCACCACCCCGCTCCTCCCCCACCTGCCGCAGCGCCGCCTTCTTTGGCTCCACCACCTTTGCCACGCGGTGGTAGGTGTTCATGGCGTGCGTCCACATGCACAGCGATCGGGCCGCCTTGGACACCTTGGCCACCAGGTCGGGCGTGTAGTCGGGGTTCTCTAGGTACCTGGGAGTGGGGGAGGAGGTGGGGGGGTGGTGGGGGATGTTAGGCGTGTTGGGCAGATGGTCTGCCCTTCCATGCCCCTCCATGCACACATTTGCGAGGGTGCAACACACACACATCCCGTAGCACATTAGGGCATTCCTACTTGGCCTCCCCTCTCCCTCCCCTCGCCCTCCCCCCCTACTTTTGCAGCTTCTTGATGGTGTTGTCGGGTATGTTGTCCTTGTCGAACTCCTCCAGCGACCTCATGAACTGCGCGTCGCCCAGCAGGCGCTTGGCGGTGTCCCAGTCGGGGCGCTCGCCCTTCAGGATGCACACCGCCTCCATGGTCATCTGCACGGCCTGGGGGGGCTTTGGGAAGGACTTGATCTCCACGATGTCGTTCTTGTCCAGTGCCTGCAGGCGAGGGAGGGAAGGGAGGGAGGGGAAGGAGGGCGGTTATGATGGAAGGCGAGTGTGCATCTGACACAGCACAGCAGGCTGAGGCTGAGGCATCCACGCCCCTAGACCACCAAGGCACATCATGATACACGTGATGGCACACCACCACCACCACCACCCCTCCGCAGCCCGCGCAGCTCCCCTCCCCCCCACCTTGAGTGCCGCCAGGGCCGCATTGAGTGCGGGCAGCGCCTCATCCAGGTCCGCCTTGGCACTGTCCGCCATGGCCTGCGTCTGCACCTGCATCGCCTTCACGTCGCGCTCCTCAGCCGCCACCACCTTCTTCACCTTCTCAGCCTGCTCCTGGTCAGCAGCCACCTGTAAGGTTGCAGGTTGGGGTGGAATGGGTGGGGAATGGGTGAGGCGTGAGGGGATTGGAACAGGGAAGAAGGAACAGGAAGTGGAGGGAAGTCGTGCGTAGAAGCAGCACCGCTTTGCGGTCCACACTGTGCTTCCGGCGCTAAGAACCAAGACAAGCTATCCGTGATACCCAACAAACACCCTTGATCAACAACCAACCCTCCCTCCAGTCCTCCCTGCAGCACCGCGTCTGCTCATCCACCACTTCGTGCAACCGAGTACCCCTCGGCACCTGGGTAATCCCCTTCACCAACCAGTCTCCACCTCTCAGCATTCATCTCGCCCAGCACCCACCTTCGCCAGCACCCCCCCCCGAATGCGCTCTCTGCATGAGTCGGGATATGGGATTGGAACTCGTTGTTTCACTTATTTAATTCTTTCCCCACCCCCCTCCCGCCCACCACTCACCTTGACCAGCAGGTCCGCCGTGGCCCGCGACTTGGTCTCCAAAATGGGCTGCAGCCCCGCCAGCTCCGCCTTCATGCGGTCGACCAGCAGGTTGGTGTCGCTCAGCTTGCCCAGCCCGTTCAGCAGCCGGTCCTTGGCGGTGGACAGCTCCTCGCGCTTGTTGCGGAGAAGCTAGGGGAGGAGGGGTGGGGCGGGTGGGTGAGGGGAAGGAAGGAGGGGAAGACGAGGGAGGCGAAGAACAGTCTAGTAAAGCCTAACGTGCGCGTAGCGCCATGTCCTCCCATAGGCCTCAGCAGCCCCCTCCCATCCTCCCTTCCTGCCCCCCCCCCCCACCTGCAGGTATAGGTTGATGAGGTCCAGGTAGGACTTGGGGGTGGTATAGTAGCGCCGCCGCAGCTCGGCGTAGAAGCGGTCCGAGGCGGCCGACACGCTGGTGTGGATCTGCATGGGGGAGGGGGGAATAAGAGCATGAAGTCAGATGAAGTTGCAGCAAACAAATGAGTGGTGGTTGGGGGGGAGGCGGCTTTACACAGAGAGGAGAGGAGACTGGGAAGGGTGCCTAGACTGGGTTGGGGTGGGGTGACGCAGACAGGCACGCAGGCGCACATGCGGGGGACGGACTGGCAGACGGCGGCTAGACAGGAGCATGCAAGTGCAAGGGAAGGGCAGGCACGGCACGGCAGCGGTACTTACTACCCACCGTGACACACATGGTCGCCAGCGCGTCCCTCACGCCGTCCCCGCCCAGCTCCGTACCCGCCAGGAACTTCTGACTCACGCTCAGCAGCGCTTCCTGGGGGCGGAGGGGGAGGAGGAGGAGAGGGAGGGAGGAGGAGGACGAGAGGGAGGAGGATGAGGAGGGGTATGGTCGTCCGCCGTTCGCGAGGTGGTGGCTTCACAGCGAGGTGCGACATGCGGCATGGGCTGTTGCGTAACGGTACACAGGCTGGTGTACGGCAGGTCTCGCCTGCTCTCCAAGCCGCACGGCGCCGTACAACCTACGGCTACACAACCCTGCCATGCTTGCTTTCCCAATACTGCGTGCTACCCCAGTACCGCTACCCCAGCCCTCCATCCCTCCACCCTTGGTGTGTAACCCTAGCCACCCGCAGAGCTCACCTCCGGCCATGCGCTGAACCAATCGATGGTGGTGCAGTTGATGAGCGAGGGGAACTGCCGGCAGCGGCTGCGGAAGGCCTCACCCACGGGGCTCATGGCCAGCACGCAGTGCAGGTTGTCACGCACGCGGTTCACGAAGGCGGTGTAGCAGCCGTCCTTGGCGGGGTTGCCGCCGGTGGCGACCACCCACTCGCGGATGTCGTTCACGATGCGGTCCTTCTCATCCTGGTGGGGTTGGGGGTAATGGCAAGGCGACAGGGTTCAGAAATGCACGGCAGGGAACGAAACGGGCTGGGGCTGTAAACTCAGCAACAAGGGTAGCCCTAGGAGGGGGGGAGGGGGTAAAAGCCGGAGTATGTGGGCGGGTGAGAGGTGGGTAGCTGAGGATGGTAAGGTTTGTTTCATGTACCTTGTTGGCGTTCCCTTTCCTCTTTTCCCTTTCCTTTCATCCCAACCTCCTCGCACCTGTGCAAACATGCCCGGCACCTCGCCGCTGTTGAGCATGTTGTTGATGTCCTCCAGGAAGCTCTCGCTCACGATCTGGGTGTCGCTGAACAGGAACACAACCGGCTCGCCATCGATACCTAGGGTGGAGGTGGAGAGGTGGGGGGGTGGGGCGGAGGTGGAGGAAGAGCGTAGGATGGAAGCCGGGCGAGAAGGGTGCCTACCTATAGGCACACCGCCTCTGCCCAACGCACAAACCCACCCGCTACCCACTACCCTACCTCCCCAGCCACCTTCTTCCCCACCCACCTCTAACCCTTTACACATTACCCGCCCCCGCACCCCCCCCACCCCCACCTGCGGTGCGGTACAGCTTCTTGAGGTCCTCCCGGAACTCGTTGGTTCCGTAGCCACGGGTGAGCTCGATGGAGAAGATCTTGAAGCCGCCCATGAAGGTGGCGAAGCGCGTGAGCGAGCTCTTGCCGCTGCCGCCCACCCCCACCAGCATGGCGTTGCCGCGCGGCTGGCGCAGGATGCGGGCGATGCGGGTGATGTGCTCCACCGCGTCCATGAAGAAGACTGGGGAGGAGGGGGGGGGAAGGAAGGGTATAGAAAGGAAGGATGGGAGGAGGGAGGGGAGGCGGGAGGGAGTCATGGGAAGACAACAGCAGCGAGTGAGAGGTTGCGCAGGGAATGCAGGCCGCCTCCTCGTTCTCTCATCTTTCTCCCATCTCTGCCTCAGCCCCCCCTCAGCCCCGACCCCCATGTTGCAAACCGCCTTTCACGGTGACGCCTTTCACACGGTCAGTAACGGTAGTTGTTTCCTCTTTACCCTCTCCCCCCCGCCAGACCCTTCAGCACCCCCCCGCCCCACCCACCCAGGTTGAGCGCATTGGTGTTGGACAGGTTGTACTCGTCCAGGTACTCCTCAAGCACCGACACCACCCGCGACACGTCGCCGCCGATCTCCTCGTACCGCCGCTCCTCGCGATCCAGGCCCAACTGGTGGAAAGCAAGCAGGTCGGCAGGCAGGCAAAAGGTGGTGTGATGGTTAAGAGTGCGGCGCGGTGCGGTGCGGGGATACACACATGCAGGGCGTCGCACGCCAGTAAGGCGTGTGATGACAAGGAATTTTTTACGAACGCTGGAGAGGTCCATTGCCGCCCCCGCTCCTTCCTCCACCCCTTGCGGGGCTAAACATGATAACAGCCAGACCCATGGGCCATGACAGCAAGCCGACCGCCAAATGTGCACCTGCACCCCCCCACCCCAAACCCACCCATACCCCTTGTCACACAGCTCGTTAGTTGCCTCGTCAGTTTCCTTACCTTTACCCCCCCACACACACGCACCCCCCCACCCCCACCTTGATCCAGTCCCCGAACATGATGAAGTGCCCGGGTCCGAACAGCTCATCGTAGGTGGCTGAGCCCAGGCCGTGCTTGCTGGCCAGCTCCACCAGCATGCGCTTGAAGTAGTCCTTGTCCTCGTTGTTGATCAGGCTGGGGAGGGTGGGGGAGGAGGAGAGGAGGAGGTGGGAGGGGAGAGGTGGGGTTAGGGGATCGGAGGCGGACGGGGTTGGATTTGCGGCCTTTTTTGTAATGGGAAGTCAATACAGTTTAGGATTTAGGGGAAGAATCGACAGGGTGGAAGGACTGGGTGGGCCAGTTACGTAGGATGGCTCAACACACCACGGCGACATCACTCTTCACCACTCCATGCGTGTTGCCTCCCTTCTCCCACAGCCTCCCAGGATCAGCCCCGCCCGCCCTCACCGGTCATGGAACACCCGCAGCGACTCGTGCAGCCACAGCCGCATGAGCGTGTCTCGGTCCTTGCAGTTGCCCGATGTGATCATCAGCATGCCCTGGAACACCTTGGACAGGTCGCGCAGGTTGAAGGTGTAGTGGCTCTTGGCGGGGGTGGGAAGCAGCTCCTCGGAGATGCTGGGGGAAGGAGGAGGAGGAGGAGGGGTGGAGGAGGGGGAGCAGAGGAAAATATAAATGAAAGGTGAAGCAAATGTTGCAATCCCAGTTCCGACTCATGCAGTGAGTACATACGGAGACACTACTGGTATTCCAAATGGCGGAGAGGAGGAAGGGGAGCAGGGGAGCGGCGCAAGGGGAGACGCAGAGGTTAATAGTTAATGAAGGTGAGGGTGCAGGTGGGCGGTTTACACAATGTGGCAGGCCGCTGCGAGTGTACGTCTAGGGTTTCGGTCAACATCCCTGGTGAACTGCCTTCGTCACAACTCACCGGTTGTACGCCTCGACGGAGCAGTTGACAATGGGTACGGCAGCGGAGGAGATCTCACGCGGGAAGTCGGCTAGGAAACCGTTGAAGATGGCGGAGAGGATGGTCTTGGTGGCGGCATCGCTGGGCGGCGGCACGCACAGCATGGTGAAGTGCCGTACGAAGCGCGGCGTGATCTCCTGCCTGCCGCCGCCCGGGGGAGCGCAGGCGGCGCAGAGGGTGGTGTCCTCCACGTCCTTCCAGAACAGCTTCTTGCGGTCGTAGAAGCCCCTGTTGTGGTTGGTGTGATGCGGGAGCGTTGGTGAGAACATCGGTTGACATATGGACGAGAACGGCGGGGACATGAAGCTCATCAGCTATTGAAGGTATGGCGGTTCGGCGGCGTGGAAAGTGCTTCAAAACTGGATACCTAGCGCATGCAAATGCACTAGGTATCCACTTTTGCATGCGGAAGCGGCCTCCTATCAAAGAGGCTTTGAGGCCCAGGCCAGCCCCCCAACGTGCGTGTCTCCCTCACTTGAAGTCCTGGAACTGCCGCAGCAGCTCGATGGGCGGTTGGGCGCCGTACTTCTCGCGTGCCGGCATGTTTACGTCATCCACGAAGAACACGATGCGCTTGTTGACGGGGGCGCCGTACCGCGTCTTGCGCTTCTTCTCCAGCTTGCTCTCAATCAACAGCTGCGCGGCAGGCCGGGTTACGAGTCTTACAACATACCGTACATTGGATCAGCATGGATATCGTACTCCGCCCCTGCCATGTTTTTTGCGTCTGGATGCAGGACAACTGACTAGCTGCCTGCTAACGAGCAGCTAAACATTCCGCGCGACACGTCTAAGACGGCCAAGCGACAGCATCACCCCACCTGCGTGTCGATAGCCTGCGTCTGCGCTGAGAAGTTGATGGTGAAGGGCACCACGTTCTTGCGCTCGCGGATGTCCTCCAGCGCGGCCACCGTGATGACGCTCTTGCCCACACCCGTAACACCTGGTAGGAGAGAGCGCAGGAAGGAAGGAACGATGGATGGACAAGGTGGTTGGTCCCGGGTCTCAGTTAACCAGTAGTAGTCAGGAGGCCTCGGCTCTCCCGTTGCGGTGTACCAGTTTGACTGACTGACTGTGTGTAACGGAGCGCTGCCCCCATGCAAGTGGAAAGCCGTCTCCCTGTGCACGCATGCACATGCGGTACCGCACATGCATGCATGCAAGGTGCACACCTGCAGGAGCTGCTCCTGCTCCTGCTGCATTGCGCACACACACACACACACACACACAGCCCCCCTTGCGGCCGGCCAGTTTTCTCAACTGAGACCAACCAAAGTACCCCAGCCCGCTCCCACCTGTGAACAGCACGGAACGCTGCACGTCCAGGCAGGCCTCCAGCAGGTAGGAGAAGCGCACGGTGTCCACGGTGGGGACCATCATTTGGAAGTACGGCAGCTCGCGCTTGTAGGTGAAGGTGGGCACGATGTCGGTCCAGGGCTTGAACTCGGGCGGGAAGCGCTGCGGGGGGAGAGGGAGGGAAGGAGGGGGTGGAGAGGGAGGGACAGGGCGGGGGGGCCGGGAAGGTGATGATATTAAGGAAAGCCGTCCTATTCTGTACAAAAATGGTTGTGGTGCTCGGGCCGGGAGCGGCAGGAAGGCACTGCACTGAGACATACGCATATGCGTCCCCTCGCGTGCGTACCTTGTTGCAATCCAGATAGAAGTCAAAGATGGATCCGGAGCCGGGGAAGGCGCACAGCGTCTGCAGGTGTTCCCGAATGAAGCTGCGGGGGGGGGGGCGGCGAGAGGGGAAGGAGGGAAGGGCGCTGGTCAGTAAAACATCAAGCAAAACTCGAAAGGGGCTTTTGCATTGGATATCGCAGCGCACACGACCAACACCAGCCACGTCACCCCAGCGGGGTAAAGCAACATACATCTGTATATATAACAGAGCCGAGCCCTTATAGGCTCAGATCCGATCAGATTTGCAAGCCCACCAAGCCCCCCCCGCACTCACTCGTCGAACTCCTCCTTGGCCGTGTGCACCAGGTTGCCTCCCAGCGCCCACACGTAGCAGAAGCCGAACAGCTTGCCCAGCGCCATGGTGATCTCCTCGGGCTTGGCGGCCCAGTTGAAGCCGCGGGAGGGAGACACCAGGCTCTGTGAGGAGGGAAGGCGTGGGGAGGGGGGTGCCGGTAGTGTGGACCGTAATGGGTTAGCCATAATTGGGCTGGGCTTTGGGAGAGGAGATGCCGAGAATGGCATGCACAACGGGCCGTGGTTCCGCCACAGTGCACCGCCTGAGGAGGAAGTACGCGGTCTTGAGGTACCGTATTCTCCCCTCCACCCTCCATGGGAACACCCGGCAGTCCACACACGCACCTGCAGCATGTACGCCAGCGAGGTAGTGAGGTTGTTATCCACACTGGCAATATACTCCCTGCCCGACTTGCGCACAAACGCCAGACCGCCGTCCACGTAGCTGTCAAACATGGCATAAATGGCCTCCGCCGTCTCGGGCCGGATCTGCGGAATCGCCTCCAGCAGCGTCTGTCGCGCCCATGTCTGGATGGCCGGCCGCCAGCCCAACTCTTCCAACGCGATGTACACCATGCCGCAACGCGACACGGTAGCCGGAGACGCCACCGCAAGATCCTGCACCTCAAACAGCATCCGCATGGTAACCGGGTTGAGCTTGATGCGCTCTCCGTTGGGCAGGCACAGCGTGCAGTTGTCATCCAGCACGGTGTTCATGTTCTCGATCCAGATCGCGTCAACTGGGCCGTCAAAGACCACCCATTTACGGTCGGGTGTGGTGTCGTTGACGGCGGAGCGAATGAGGGTGGAGCCCAGGCCGTCGGACCACTCGTTGGTGAGCAGGTTGTATTCGCCGTACAGCTCGCCCATCTTGATGCACTTGGGGTTGAAGGTGTAGGTGTGTGTGACCTGGAATGCGGCAGGGCGCCGGTGGGTATGGGACTTGTAAGCCGCTACACGAAACACAATCCTTCCTGACCAGGATAACCTGCATGTGTACTTCATGCAAACCCTTCTCTTTGCATGCTACACCAACAATTATCCCAGCCCCTTCCCACCACCACCCCATGCCGGTGCGTCTCCCACCCCCACCTGGTACGTGTCCGAGGGGTGCTTCACCTCCGTCCGCAGCCGAGTGGTGGCGCCCTGCAGTGTGCGGTAGCACTCCGTCTTGCCGCCGCCCGTGGGTCCCACCAGCATGACGCCGAAGCGCACATTCATGGTGTCGTACAGCTGGATGACCTTGGTCACAAAGGACTGCGGCTGCTGCAGGCCGCGGGAAGACAGCACGGCGCGGATGCTGTGCTCCAACTCGCCGAAATCCTGTGTACCGTATATACAAAGGTGAGGTGTAGGAAAAGTGATGAGAAGAGCGGTAAGAAGAGGAGAACGGGTAATGTTCAGTAGCCTAGCAACAAAGCAGAAAACGAAATCATAAACATCATCGCCCCCGTGCACGTCCAGCGAAGCCTTGTAGCACTCGACGATTTCTACCATAGCATCCATCCATCCACCCCCCACCGCACCTGGTCCGGCACTGTCAGGCCCGGGAAGAGGTCGGATATGATGTTCTGGAACAGCTCCACATCGTCCACCAGGAACTTGGGCAGGTTGGAATCGCGCATGGCTCGGATGAGCACCACGTCCTCGCTGAGGTCGGGGTTGGCGCGCTTGAGGCTGCCGGCCATCACAAGCACCGACTTGACGGCACGCATGCCTGGCAGGGGGAGAGGGAAGAGAGAGGGAAGGAGGTTGGGGAGGATGGTAAGGTTAGGCGTCGTGTCATGTGCCTATGTTGCGTAACCATAAACTGCATTAGTGTATGCATGCAAAATGTAAGATATGTTACACAGAAGCCCGTACGTTTACCCGTGTTTTCCCCTCAAAAGCCCCCCTTCTCCCTGGTTTTTGCCGCCGCCGCCTGTTTCCCTCTCTTACCAAAGTCGTAGTGGTCCTGCTGGCTGAGCTGCTCGCTGGACAGTTTGTACAGCTTCACCATCTTGCGCGACAGCGTCTTGGAGTCCTCGAAGCCCTCGCTGAACAGCATCACCTCGGCCACCAGCGCGTAGTCGGGAATCATCATGGCCATGGGGCGGAACAGAGCCTAAGGGGGGTGGGAGGGGGGAGAGTTGGGAAGTTGGGGTTGGGGACAGGACGGGGTTTGGGCTAAGGGAATGTGCTGTGAATGGGAGGAGAGGCAGTGCTTGGGAGCCTGGCGAGGGGCCACTATGCCTGGTATACGACCCACCCCGCTGAACCTCCTATTCCAGGACCCCGCACCCCCCCTGCTGCACCATCTCGTTTGCTAACTTCACGTTCTTACCCACACCCACCCCACACCAAACCCTACACATCCCTACCTTGAGGTTATCCGGCAGCTCCGTGCGGCCCGCGTATCCGGGGTTCATGGTGATGAACACGCCGCATGTGGGCACCAGCTTGATGATGCGCCCCTCGAAGTTGAAGGTGCCCATGCCCGCCTTGAGCGCGTTCTGGATGGTCAGCAGCTGTGGGATGGGAGGATGACGTGGGAGCGGGAGGGCGGGAGAGATGTGGGAGGTAGGTAGAATGTCATCATTGCAGCCGCAAGGAGGTACCGGGTCTACCATACTACGTTCTAAGGTCTCTTAAAGGTTCTGAGGCCGCCCGTGGCGCAGGTGCATGAAAAAGCAAACCCACAAGCGGGAAGGCTAAGAAAGAACGCGGCCTGCATGCCGGCCGGCATCCCAACCCCCGCACCTGCTGTGCCACCACTGACAGCACCTCAATGTCAATGCGGTTGAACTCATCAAAGCAAGCCCAGGCGCCGCACTGAGCTAGGCCGCTGAAGAATTTGCCCATGAACCTGAGGGACGGAGCAGCAGGAGGAGGAGCAGTGGGCAGCAGTGGTCAGGGGCGTGCAACAGCGCCACGGCACATTGGATAGCGTGCGCGGGCGCATCGATATGACTGAAATAATTAACAAGGAAGAGCGCACGAGAGCGGTGTGCAAGGCTGGTCATGGCAGATATTTGCGGCAGATCTCCGCCCGCCCCCCACATCCAGGAGGCGTGTTACCGTACTCACTTGTAGTCCAGGTTGTCACCGCAGTTGAACACCACGCAGTTGACTCCCAGCGCCTTGCCCAGGTCCTTAGTGGTCTCCGTCTTGCCCGTGCCTGACACACGTACACAGCACCCGGCGAGGCAGGCCAGCAAGGGAAGGCGCGTGCATACCGGTACTCAATATCCAAATGCAAATCAGTTTTCCACGCAGGCACCATGCATGTCCCAATAAAAAGCGGTTGCCCGCTTTAAATCACTGCCCTCCTTTTGTAGCTTTGACGGGAGTCGTGCATGCCAGGTGTGCCGTACAAACCCACCAGCCGGCCCCGCTGGCGCGCCTCCCAGCTTGAGGTGCAGCGCCCCCGTGAGTGTGAGGTAGCAGCGGTCCGTCATGGGGGTCACCACCAGACGCGGCTGCGCACCCAGGTACTCGTACGCGTACACGAAGCGAGCGTTCACCTGGTTGGGGTGGTGAGGGAGGGGACCGGGCAGGAAGAGGAAGGCCAGTGACTAGGAGGCGGAGGCGGAGGCTAGCCAAGTCATGTGGCTGGGATGACTTCGGGGTGAAAGGAAACGGCCGCCGCAATATACGCCTTACTGGATCCTCCAACCCCTAAATGCGCCCTTTACAAGCAGCCTATCCACTAACCATGTTCCTTGGTTCCCACCACCTGCAACCATGTTACCCCCACCCCAACCCACCCGCCCCCAACCCCCACCCAACCCACCTGTCGCACGATGATGTCCTCATTCTCAAAGTAGTACCTCAGCTGCATCTGCCACTGGAAGCTGTTGATGTCCGTCACGCCGCCCGCGTGCAGCGAGTCCACGATGTCGCGCGCGTGCACGTCGATGGTGATGAGCGCGGCGATGATGCGGCGGTGCAGCGAGGACAGCTCGCCGCGCACCAGCTTGGTCAGGTCGGCCAGCTGGCGCACGTTGATCTGGGGAGGGGGAAGGGGGAGGGCAGGTGGGGTGGATGGGTGGCGCAGATGGAGGGTGGCGCATGTACGGAAGGTAAATGCAGGGCCTGAGCAGGTACAAGGAGGACGGGTAAGGAACAGAGGCGGAAATGAGGATCGGACACCACCCTTGAAGCCCCTGCCAAACCGAACCCCAACACGTCCCCTCCCGCCCTCCACACCCGCATGCAGGACACTCGCGCACCTCCTCCTCCAACCCCAACCCCACCCCACCCACCATGCGGTAGTCCCCCAGCGCCTGCACCGGGTCGGTGCTCTTGAGCGCCTCCTCCACCCCGTGGCACCAGTACACCTGGCTGATGGCGATCACCAGCTGCGCGGGCTGCTTCAACACCCAGCCGGAACGAGCCTCCTCGGGGTACGACACCCAGCCCGACTTGGCCAGCTTCTTGAGGTTGGCTGCGTGGAGGGACGAGGTGGGGAGGAGGAGGAGGTTAGGAGAAAGTAAGGAACGCGAGAAGGCTGGGGGATTTGCCAAGGAAAGGGCAAAGCAAAGGACGGCAGGATGCAGACATCGTCACAGTATGAAGGCCACTACCGATAGTGCATGCTGCGGATGTGCACGTATAGGCAGGTGATTCGATCACGTAGCCATGTACTCACCAATCATGGCGCTCTCCACATCGCCCAGCCACTTCTCCACGTTGCCGCGCGCCTTGGTGTTCTTGCCCAGACTCACGCGCTCGCCCTCGCCGGAGATCATGGCGTAGATGTCTATGGACTTGGGGTCGTCGCCAAAGTCCAGGCGGCGGATGCCGTCGAAGCACTTGCCCATGTGCGGCTGCACGGCCTGCGGACACGAACGCAGAAATACACACACAGGGCCCCGATGCGCGGGATTAGGAGGGAAGCCCGGTCAGAATCAAGGTTTGAAAGATACCGGTATGCGCCTGATTGACCCTTTGACACCCTTTTCCGTCCGATTCTCCGCATGGTTGCTCACCAGCGGTAGCAAACCACCATTCAGCCGCATGGGGCCGTATCTGCCAGCACCCCAGCCATTTACTGCATTTACTGCATTTACTGCTTGCGTTGCTTGACCCCTCCCGCCTGACTACCCGCCACCCACCTGCACGTTCTTGGTCTGCGCCAGGATCTCCAGCAGCTCGTCGTTGGACAGGAAGTAGAAGCGCGGGAAGGCCATGCGCTTGGTCTCCAGGTAGTCCTCCAGGTTCTTCTGGATCTTCTCCAGCGTCTCGTTGGCCTTCTGGAACGTCTCCAGGACGCCTGAGTAGGGGGAGTAAAGAGGAGCGGGGGAGGGGGGGATTGTAACACGGGTTGGTACCACATGGTAGACGGCCGTGTGCTGGGGTTTGAGGAGGAGGAGGGAATGCACGTTGCTAAGCCAGGCTATGGTAGGCAACTACACCCATACCTAACATAGACCTAATTCACCCACAAGACACCATGCATCACTATCACATTACCCACAGCACAGCCCTCATCCTCCTTGCTATGCTACGGTGCGTCCGTTTATCCATGTCCAAACCACCCCCGTTGCCGCCTCTCGCGTCACTCTCACCGGGGTGCGTCCCCGCAATCAGCGCGTTCGGCCGGTCCTTCGTCCTCCGCATGATCTCCCGCAGCTGCTTGTCCACCGCAAAGAACGCCTTGGCCTCCACCGGCAGCTGCCGTTGGATGTCCACCGCGGAGAAGATGGGCTCCAGGTACATCCACGCCTTCTGCACCGCCACCCACTCGTCCAGCGTGTCCGCGAACAGCGTGAGCTGCCGCTCCACCTTCTCCACCTCGGGTCGGATACCCGCCACGAAGCGGGAGGCGAGGATGGTGGACATGGTGACCATGCTGTCCTCCAGCGCGATCTGAGGGGGGGAGAGGAGGGGGAGAGGAAGGGGAGAGGAAAGAAGGGAGGGATTTGGAGCGGGAAGAGGGGACGAGAGAGGGTGTGGGGGCAGGGCTGCGCCTGAGGAATGGTTGCAAGGATGCGGACACATGGAAGAGCAGCACTCCTGATATGCAGCGTTACCGGTATTGTACGACGGCTGTAAAGCTTGTTCTCGAGGCAAGCATTTAGTTGCGAGCTGCCGACAGAGGTAACGCACCTGGATGTCCTCGATGCCTCCCAGGATGAACACGTCCTTGCTCTCCTTGTAGGGGATGACATTGAACTCCAGATCCACCCACTTGTTGGACACCTGCAGGTGTGTGGGTGAGAGGGGATTCCGGGGCTCGGTGGTTACGGAGCATGACGCCCGTCAGCTATCTTCCAGGTTCCAGCCTCTTCTAGCCCAATGCGCCTTGCATTTCTTACCACCCACATGCTTGCGAAGGTATACATCGGTATACGAAAGAAGCATGCAATGAACCCCAAAACCACGAACCCCCTCCCACCTTTGCCAGCAGCTCCTCCAGCGCCATCTCCTGCGTTGCCTCCGTGGAGATGGTGGAGATGGCGTCCTTCCACACCTGCACCTTGGCGTCAAGCAGCACCTGCGCAGCGGGAGACAGGCGGCACACAAGGAGAGGTAGTGGGTAAACCCTGGGTAAACCATTGTATGAAAGAGCACTGCACGGCATCCGTGAGAGGGCAACTTCAACTTCAACGGCGAAAAGCGAGCGCCGTGTTCCCGGTAAAGAATTGGTCCTTTGCACACACTTAGCCAACCAGGCTCCGTGCGTCTCCATGCATGCATGCGTTCGCTGCAGGGGCCCCAGCCCGCCGGCGCTCCTCCACCAAACCCCTGCCATCAACCCATTCCATCTCATCCCCCCTCAACCCATCCCAGCTTACCTGCAGCGTGAAGGTGTTGTCACGCGGGATCTGCTGCCCAATGGTCTCAAAGATCTTGGACCAGTGCCGCTCCTTGAGAGCCCGGTTGCGCAGCGCCGAAACCACGGGCAACAGGTTGCGGAAGTCGTCCACTGCCGTACGGAACTTGGGTACCAGCTTGTTGGGAGGCAGACCGCGCTCCATCTTGTAGACCTGAGGAAAGGAAAGCAGGCAGGCGAATAGAAAGGTGGTAGGTAGGAAGGAAGGTGGAAGGGCAGGTGAGCAGGCTCTCCTTAGGAACCCCCGCCAAGGGCTATAGCAGCTACCAGCATGCCAGATAGCACACAGCCACAGCCGCAATGGCCTACCATCAAAAGGAGCGACTCCTACACAGATTAGGTGTCCCATCCCTCCAAAACACCCGCCGGAGAAGGCAAGTCATAGGGCAGAGTCCCATCCGAGCTTCCCATCGCCCCACCCCACCCCCAGCTCCTCAGTTTTTTCCTTTCCCATCCCCCCACAGCCCAGCCTAATGCGGATTATGTATCCCTATTATCCCCCCGCCCCCACCATCTTGTGGAAGCGCTGCGTGGTGTCCTCCAGCGTGGTCATGTCCAGCGAGTCAAAGTGCGTGACACACCAGATGTCGGTGATGGACTCCCACTCCGCGCGGCCCAGCCACAGGTTGAGCTTGAGGTTGACCTCGTCCGCGGTGTCACCCAGGTCCTCCGACTTGGACTCCGGAACCTGGAAGGGAATGGCGTTGTTGAGGTGAGGTTGTTGAGGTGAGGTGTGAGGTGTGAGGAGGGGAGAGAAGCGAGTGTTTAAGCGAGAAGGCCGGTTTGAAGGGTGCTCGGTGGCTTGATATTGGTGCTAGGCTGAGAGCAAGGGGCCAGATGCATGGGGGCTGCGGATGAGATGGGCAAGATGGGCCAATACGGTACTCTGCAGAGAGAGGAGTACGGTGACGAAGCGCCGTGGTGTAAGGCGTGCTGTGGCCCCGTGATGATTCACACAACCGTATGTAGCCTTTCCCCTAACCCGAAACCCCCAGGCAAGCCCTTGGCGGGGCCGCACCTTAAAGAGCCGCTGGTACTTGTTGATGCGCGCCGACTCAGCCTGCAGGTCAGACACCGCGAGTAAGCCAGTGGCCAGGAAGTGCGAGAAGCATTTGAACAGCAGCAATCAGCATGAAGCCCACCCACCTGTTTTGCAAACATAACCCCAGTCGCCTTATTAGGCATCGGCCCCAGTAATAACTGACCGTCTGTAAACCCCCCACCGCATGGTCATTTCTCCCCTTTGTATTCGCATCCCAACCCGCCATTGCTCGGTTAACCCCAAACCCCGCCATTGCGACCAATCCCATATACACACATTGAAAAGTAGGACTGCACTCCAACCCGCCCCCCCGTTGGTTGCCTCGTCAGCCTCCTTTGGTTGCCCGCTTTCTCACACCTTCTCGCGCGGTTTGTTAATCGCTTTCTCCTTACCCCCCCCCCTCACCTGCAGCCTGTCCACCGCCTCCTTGAGCTGCTGCAGGTAGGCGACCACCTTGTCGTGCTCGCTGTCCTCACTCAGCACCATCTCGTGCTGCGCCTCGTTGCGGATCTCAGTCACCTCCTTGCTGATGGACTCGATGCCTGGGGGGGAGCAGGCAGGAGTGAAGAGGAGCAAGCAGAGGAGCGGGACGGTGGGGTGAGGTCCACATGGCATGGGTGGAGAGGAAGGAGGGCATAATGCGAGGCTGGGTATGATAAAGAGATGCCAAGCCCGGTAACCCAAAATCTCCAAACCCCAGCCCCCATAGCATTCTCTGTCCTGTTGCACTACCGGCATGGCAACCTGCTTTCCCAAACCCCCCAGCCATTGCCCCAACCCGTGATTTCAAATGGCACGGTATGGTCTTTGACACCCCCCCTCATCCCAGCCTCCTCCACGCACCCGACTCCAGGTTCGCGCTGTACTTGGATACATGGTCATCCCGGGCGCCCTCCACCTCCTCCATCGTCGTCTTAAGCGTGTTGTAGGTGCTGTCCATGGTGGCGTAGGCCGCACGGTCCATGGGCGGTACGGGAATGTCGTACTCGTCGATCAGGCCGTACAGATCGTGGATCTCGTTGCATGCGCCGTCCAGCCGCTTCTCTGCCTCGCGTACCTCTGCCAGGAACTGCAGCTTCTCTACGTACTCCTCCACGGCACTGCTGGGGGCCTGCGGTGGTGGTGGCGGTGGTGGTAACGCAGCGAGTCGTCGGATGAAAGGTAGCTCAGCCCAGACTGAGAGGGCTAACGCGGGCGTCGACATGACATATGAAGTTTTGAAGTACACGGCATCGCACAAGCCGAAACCATGTTCCAACCGGCTCGGCTCGGGGCCTCGAGTTGGCCAAGAAGTGGTAGACCCAAGACATCCAGCAGCACACATCCCCTGTTCCTATTTCGTTACAAGCAATATAGCGCAGCCTTACCTGCAGCCTGCTTAGCGCGTTCTGCACCGTGCTCATGAAGTCGTGGAACAGGTCCGCCGCCAGCGCCGGCAGCATGGCATGCATCTCCTGCAGACACCGCGTGGGACTGGGGATGACGGCACCCTTGAAGTGCCCCACCGCCACACGCACGATGGACACGTCGCGGTACGGCAGCAGCGCCTCCATCTGCGCCTTCTGCTCCGCCAGCAAGTCCATGAGCTGCCTGAAGGTTGCCAGCGTGACACGCTGTTGCTGCGGCTGCTGCTGGGGCTGCTGCTGCTGGTCTTTTTGTTGCGCGGCGTCGCCTCCATCGGCCCTGGAACCACCCGCGTCGCCGGCTTGCTGCTTGGCGGCTGCAAAGGATGTGGAAAGGACACACGGCGGGTAGGCGGTAGGGGTAAGAAAAGGAAGTCCAGTCCAGTGAAACGGGCCGCGCAGACACCCGTTGCATGCCGACCCACCCAGCAGCCATTTCTCCCCGACCCTCTTACAAGCAAACCAAGCGTTTCCTCTCACCCTCTGGTGTGCTGTCCTCTGTGGGCAGCGGGTCGCTCTTGGCCTTGAAGAGCGGCGCCAGGCCAAAGATGTCGAGCGTGTTGTGGAAGAGGACCATGTCGCGGTAGGGCAGGTAGCACTGCTTGTGGTCCTCCGCGTAATTGAACGCCTCCACCACACTGTCGCGCACTGACACCACCTGGTAGGGGGTGAACAGATAGGGGTAAAAAGGGGTGAAGGTGGCGGAAGGATCGGGTATGGTTGGTGGTTGGGTTGTCAGTGCATGGCCGTTAGGGCGAGGGCGTTCGTGTTAAGGTGGTTGGAATAGCTTGGCATGCCGGAGACATAGGTAAAGAAGGGCACGCATGCATGGCGATCAGGGTGAGGGTGAGGTTAGAGGCTTTCTCACAGTAACCAGTAGGTCGATCTGGACACCCCTGCACCTGAGGTTACCCCCAGCTCGCTCCTTTAAACAACCACCCTCCCTTTCATTTGCAGATCCACGTACGACAAACGCACCAGATCGTCGTAGTTCTCGTTGGTGATGAGCTCCTGCAGCTCCGTGCCCGCCTCCACCTCGCCCGCCTTCTCGCCCATCACCACCGACATGAGCGTGCCGTCGCCGTACAGCCGCGTGATGCCGCACAGGCTCTCCAGGTAGTTGGCCATGATGCGCTGCATCTCCTCGAAGAACTCCTCCGGGTGCGGGTCGTACAACAGGTCCTCCTGGTTGTCCGCAAGCAGCAGCTCCAGCTGGAACAGCGCATCCGAGCCCGACGACACCACATCGGCTTCCTCGATATCGGCGGCGGCAGCCGCCGCCGGGTCCTTGCCAGCTTCGGTGGCAGCGCCGCCGGCTCCGCCGGCGGCGCCGCTGCTGCCGTCCTTTCCGCCGTCCTTGGCGGCCGCCGCTGCCGCGGCGGCCGCTGCCTCAGCGGCGGCGGCTGCCGCCGCCGCCGCGTCGTCCATCTCCTTGAACAGCACCATGACGGTTCTCTTTGGCCGCGTCCCGTCCAGGAGCTCGCGCAGGGATTCCAGCAGGACGCTGTGCAGTGTGTCGCACACCATGTAATCTGCAAGGCGAATGAAGTTTAGCAAGCGGCGTTGCTCGGAGCGCCGCGCTGCTGCAATGGTGTAGGCAAAGTCCGACTGCCCCTGCTCCCGCTCCTTCTCCGCTTCGGCACGAGCCAGGAAGTTGCTGTGTTGCGATTTGGCAAGGTCACCGGCACGCTGGGTTTCGTTCTCGTCGTGCTTCTTGTTAAACTCGGCGAGCCGCTCCTCCAGCTTGTCCAGATCGTCCCTGGGTTGGTTGGTTGAGGAGACATTCCGTGATGTGGGCGAAACCGAACGTTCTCTAGTCCCAACAACGATACCCTATGCCGCAGGCATGCACCAGTTCATCCTCACGCGAACCGCGGTTACCCATACATGCAGTACCCTAAACGCTCTCCTTCCATCACAGGGTCCTACGGCACAGTGCTCTGCCCCGCACCTGCATGCCTGTAGCACCGTCTGGAAGGTGTCGTCGTGGAAGTGCGCCAGGCGGCCCTCCACGGTGGCTTTGTGGTCGCTCTGCTCCGCCACAAACTCATCCAGCGTGTACACCTGGGGGGTCGGACGTTACGCAAGCGCTCAGACACCACAGAAGGGCATGACAGCGAGGGTTCGCAGGATTGCAAGTGTACGGCATGCAGGATGGCGCGATGATGGTGTATATTTTTTTCTAGTATATTCATGTACGCGTCCAAGTGGAGGGACAGGGAAACGCCTTCACTCGCGGCTCCAACACCCCTACTACACTTCGCCGCACCGTGCCCTACCCCCGATCCCAGCTACCGCACTATGTCAAGTTGACAGTGTCACCCCCACCTTGCCAGTCACCAGGTTGTGCATGCGCATGTGGCTGAGGTCGAAGCACAGCCCATGGAAGCGCCGCAGCGGGCCCTGGAACACGGGGGACAGCTGGAAAAGGTTGCGCTCCAGGGATGAGCGCGCCTTGGAGAATTTGTGCTGGTTGACTGCGCGCTTCCACAGCCGGAAGGCCTTCCACAGCTTGTACAGCCGGAACATCTTGAGGTGCTTAAGCCGCGTGAAGAGGTGCAGCTCACGCTCCCATTGGTCCAGGGCTGCGTGGTGGGGTGGGGTGGAGGGTGTAGTAGGGTTGGTGAGGTAACGTGATGTCACAGGCCGCCTCAGTTAAGAGCCAAAACATGCTTTACGGACGGCTGGGTCGCACCCGAGCATTTAGCGGTATCCGCCAGTACCGTATCCAACGCTTCTTATACACTTACTTGCAAAGTCGGAGGAGGTGCCATCCAGGTAGTGGGTGATGCCACGCACCGACATGGTGTAGAAGTCCCGCTGGTCAATGGCCGCGAAGGGAACAACCTGTTTCGAATAGAGGAGGTGGTGTTCGCAAATCATCGGGGCGCACAGAGGGGGCAGGCGACCGCTGCTGGCCAATGCCCTTATGCGGGTATGCCATTCCCGGCATGGATCACTCCCGGTCCCGGCTGAGTGGCCGGGCGGCATTAGGCAACACGCAATGCATCTTGTGAGACAGGGAAAGGCCCAAAGCCGTCGGCGCGGCCCCTTGATGCTCTGGCCCACTTAGGGCTTGGCAGCAGCAGCTGCTACTCCTTCAATGGTGTAGCTACCGGTGCGCACCTCCAATGCATACGGGTCGTACTCCGAGGGGTTGCGGTCCATGCGGCGCAGGTACACAAAGTCCTCCGTGTTGGGGTACTCCCGCAGCGTGTAGATGAGCCTGGGGTTAAGGGCAAAGACAGCACTTAAGAACATTTAAGAGCATGCGTTAAGTGTCCGGTACCTACCAAACAGCTAGCACCTAACCCCGCGCACGGTTCATGCCGTTTGTGCGCAGTCGCACCTCATCGGGCCCCCAAACTCGTTTCCCCCAAAAGTCGGGTACCAAGCTCTACGCGACTCATGGAGTCACGCGACGTACCCTTTCCCTTTCTGACATCCTGGCAGTCCACCTCATTCACCGGTCCCCACATCCGCTGCTCACGCTGTCTACCCCAGACCCCAAGACCCAAGCTACCCTAGTACGCGTTCGGCCGTGCATCCCTCCCCACGTACCCCACCCATGCTCCATGCAGCTACCCGGCAACTCACTTGACGTACGGCAGCGCTTCTCCCAGGTCCTGCTTGCCGGCCAGCCGCGCCTGCGTTGCTGCATGGGTGGGCGAGTGGCTGCGCCCGCTGTCAGCGACGCTAGGCCGGCTAACGATGCCCGATGGGGTGATGGTGGTGGCGGTGATGCCTGGTGGGGAGGTGCGGGTTGTGTAAAGATATGGCAGCTTTCCAAGAGGAGGGAGCTAAGGATGGTGCTAGGGCACGCAATCAGCGGACGCTGAACTGGGTTAGCCCCACGTTGCATCGTAGGCGGTGGAAGACCGGTCCCCTTGGTTGGGAAGGTCTTTTGACAAGCCCTAGTTGGGCTTGGAGCCCGTCATCCCGGCCGCCGCTGTATTGACCTAACCCATCTGTCGTCGCACAGGCTGTCGCAGCCTTGGCACTTCCCTCTCGGCCGCATGCAAGGCTAGTCCACTTCCATGGGGCTGCCGACAGGCTGCAAGCTGAATCGGCTTCGCCAGCTGCCCATCCTTCCAAATGCTGCATCGCGTGCTGACGTCGGTAGCCCCGAAGCCGCATGCAAGGTACGCCCGCTGTTCGGAACTGCTGACCTGGTTACGGTGTCTGCATCAACCGCCAACCCAAAACGCACTGTTCCATTCCATCCCAGTCCAAACCTTCCAAAACCCACCCCAACCCATGCTGCCCATGTCTTCCCCCTCTATGCACCAGTTAATTACCTGCTTGCTCATCCTCCTTTTTGCGACCAGAGCCACGCAGGGGTGGAGCCACCGCTGACAGGGGCTTGTCAAGCGGCGGCACATCAGTCTTTGGGGACTGTGGCGTAAGCCTTAGCTTCTCCAACACGGGGGCCTGCCCCGGTCAAGCAACGTCACGTCAGTATTGTGGCTTGAGCTGGGTCTAAGGCAGGTCCCCCAAGCACAGCCTGTGCAGACCAGGGGCCACAGCGGGACTTACCTTCCTGCTACCTAGGGAGAGCAGCGAGGAGCGGATCTGCTGCGCTTTTTCAACACCCGCCGTGGCCTCGAGCGGTGCCAATGACCGCGTCGCGGACTGCAGAGTGACCCCGGGACACACAAGGTCAGAACTGCAACTGGATGGCGTTCCGGGCCCATATATGTGCTGCTTGCGTACCACTTGGGCTGCAGCCTGCGCCTGGGCATACTTCTTGGCTGCCTTAGGTGCATGCACGCCTGCTGCTGCCTTCGGCTGAAGGTATAGAGCGTTTTTTAGCTGCCCAGGATACTGAGGGACCTCATTATCTCTTGACGCCATGGCTCCTTCAAAACGACGCTCCTCACAATGTTGACGTCGTTCTTAGCCGCGCCAGGATACTGCTAGCTTCTACGCTCCAAGTCATTGAAATATAACTCCTAATATAGTTCACAAGCTCTTGCCTGCTTTTGGCGCAGAAGAGAAATATGTTAAGTTGGTCATCGAGGGTGTCTTGGCGCAAATTAGGATTGGCCGATAATTAAGAATAATCACGTTGAGTATCTGCTAGAATACTATAAAGTTCTCTTGCGGAAACATGGACTGAGTGCTGAGGATGCCGTGTACTTCGAAGTCCCTGAGTTCGATTGCAGCCCAGGAACTGTTCTTCATAACGTTAACCTTAAACCCTATACGTATTCCAAATTGTTCTTGTATTTGCGAACAGGGCGACAGCAAACGGCTTTGCGCTTTGCCTTTCCATTGTGCCGTGCCATATGTAAGTTGGGACGCCACACGCCAGAACCAAAGTTACATCAATTTCACAACAGAAAATGTATCAATGATACCCATCGCAAAAGAAATGGCTTAGGATGAACGGACGGGCTTAGCGAAGGCGACGCGCTGGCTTCCAAAGCATCTAGCAGCTCAGGTGCAAACCGGGCAACATGTTTAAGGTACGCACTTGGCTAGGCGGGGGGCATACCGGCCAACAGGCTGGCACCGAGCGAACACTTAGCGGTTGCCCTTGCATGCGCAGCTACCCCTCCTCCAGCCCCAGCTTACCGGCCCTAATGGCATCGAAAGAAAGGACGGCCAGTCTGTTATGGCCCCCTTCGCCGGAACTGGTGCCAGGTGAGGGGGTCGCTTCGGGTGACGGGTCTTACCAGCAGCAGCAGCCCCCGGGTTCCCGGGCCACTGGGTACGCCTACCGCGCATACCTGATGGGGAGTTGACTGTTGAGGAACTTTCCCAATTGTCAGTCTGGGCCGCGGCTGCTCAACCAACATGCTACTGCTTAAGTAGCGCATGCAGTGCAACGGGCATGCGCGCATGCCTGATGTGGGCCAGCTCAGCCCCCCTCCTGCCCGTTGCCGTCCTTGCCACCCCGGCAGATCTGGCCGGGAATCGGACCTTGCAGCAGCCGTGGCGGCCGCACAGACAGCCACCTTCGATGTGCGGGGCTGGTCACGTCAGGTACGGCCGCCCTAGCTGGATCTGGTGCCGTACACGGACGGTTAGGATAGCAGCGCCTTTGGCAAAGGCTTGGGTTGGGTTGGGAATAACGGGATGGGGTTTCACGGAATTCACGGAATGAGTCGCAGTAGGGCTGCGCCGTGCGGGGCATGCCGTACGGACCGCATGGACCGCAATTTGCAACCGCAATGCAGTCGTGCAGCTGCCCCTCCTGGAGCCGCACAGAGAGCCGCCCCGAGTATCCCGTCGTCCCTTCCTTTCCTCTCCTCCCACTCCTCCCACTCCCCTCCTCCCACTCCTCTCCTCCCCCTTCCCTCCTCCTCACTGCATGAGTCGGGATATGGGATTGGGATTCGTTGTTTCACTTATATAATTTCCCCCCCCAGGCCAAGGAGATCACCGCCGACCTGACCGCCTCCGACAAGTACAAGAGCCTGGCGCTGCATGCGGAGGTGCGCCTGGCGGAGGCGCTGGAGCGCTGCGAGCGGGTCAGCCCCGTGGGGCACACGGCGGCGGGGGAGGAGCGGCCCAACAAGCTGCGTACCGCGGTGGCTTGCCAGGTGGGGAGGGAGGGGAGGGGAGTGGGGAGGGTCTATGTGGGGGGGTGGAGTGAGTTCCGGAGAGATAGGGGACGGTGTCTTTCCAGCCCAACGCCCCGCTCCCCTGCATGCCGCATCCTCCCCTCCCCAACACCCCTCCCCTCCCCCCTCCAGCTGCTGGGTGAGTTCGCGGAGCTGTGCGGCCCCTTCAGCGGTGTGCTGCTGCGGCTGCGCGAGGAGCTGTTGCGCGGGTTGTACTCCTGGCACTACGCCAGTGAGCGGGGCGGGCTGGGGTTCGACCAGCTGCCGTGGTTCGCGGTGGCGGAGCGGCTGGAGCGGGACAAGGAGGCGATGGTGGAGGAGCGGGAGGGGTTCAAGGCGCAGATGAAGGAGCAGCAGGTGGGGCAGGAGGGCAGGAGAGGGCGGAGGGTAAAGAGGAAACGACTAACGAACCGTGTGATAGGGAGGAGGGTGGTGAAAGGAGGGCGTACATGGGACAGGGCGGTCAACAGAACGCCTAGGAAACGTTAGCGATTGCCATCTCTACACTGCTCATGCTGCTGCCCTCCGCCTCCTGCCCCCGCTCCCCCCCTACCCCCCCCCCTACAGGAGGCGGTGGGTCGCATCGAGGAGCAGATGGGTGCGCTGCGCCGCTCCACGGAGGCGGCTCAGCAGGAGGCGGCTGCACTGCGCAACCACCTGGAGCGACTGGTGGCGAGTGAGGAGAGCGCACGGCTGGAGGTAGGGGGGGCCCGGGGGTAAAAATACCGGTAGACCAAACCGTAGGAAACCACGAATTAGAGCAGAATAATGGGTGTTGTATGGGGGGAGAACGGCATGTGATGGGGGGGCCCGACGGGTGGCGGGGAGCATTCGTACGAGTTACGACTTACGATTGCCAGTACGGTGTGCTGTGAAGATGGATGGATGAAGGGTGCGATGTGGGGCGTGTTGTGTCATGAGAACTGAGGCACCGCGCTGCCGGTATCCCTGAGCTGCTCAGGCAAGGGTCATTGGGTTGTACTCACTTCTCCCGCATCCCGTTCCCTCCCTGCTGTCTCCCCTCCCCTCCCCTCCCTTCCCCTCCCAGGCCAAGACGGGTCGCGAGGAGCTGAAGAAGCTGCGCAAGGAATACCTCAAGATGCGGGACGAGCTGGATGCGGAGCGGGCGGCGCACACAAAGCTGCAGGTGGGGGGGGGTTGGGGGGGGTGGGGGGGGAGATGAGGAGATGGGAGCAAAGGGAGGGAAGGAAGGGAGGCAGGGGGAAGAATGGGCTGACTGACGGTGCACGGAACTGGCAACCAGGCACATTTCACATGGGAGTAACAGTCCAAATGCGATTTCATTTCCTCACACGGACGCTCACTGTACCAGCCCAAGCCACTTGCGGTTCGTTTTGGAAATGGCGGATCTGTTCCACATCTACTGAGAAGCCCCCTTCCTCTCCCCCTTTTCCCCCTTTCCTCCCCCTCTCCTCCCCTCCACCATGCCCCCCCCCAGGAGCGCCACGCCGAGCTGACTGAGTTCTCCGCCTCTAAGATCGAGCAGCTCACCCGGCAGCTGGCGGCGGCGGAGGCGGACGCAAGTGACGCACGCAAACTGGCGGAGAGCCGCATGCCGCCAGAGGTGCGGGGGGCCGGGGTGGGGTGGGGGCAGGAGCGTCTCCTGGTAAACAACAGTGACCGGGCAACAAGCAGCAATTGCGCTGCCGTGCTTGCTACGGACACGCTGCGTCCTGTTTCTTTAACCCCTGCACCGAACTCCTTAAGCCTCCTGTACCCCATGTGTCTCCATTTGTGAGTCCCTAGCCCCTAGCCGCCCCTCCTTCCCTTCCCTCCCTTACCACGGGTTGTCAAAAACGTCGACCTAAACTTGTATCTTCTTCCCCCTCTCCCCTCCTCTCCCCCTCCCCCTCTCCCTCCCCCCCCACCCCCACCCGCAGGTGTTTGAGAAGCTGCAGACCAACCTGCTAAACACCATGTCGGAGCTGGAGGCGGCGCTGTCGCACAACCGCGATGTGGAGGCGGTCAACACCAAGCTGGCGCACCGGCTGGACGTCATGACGCCGCGGCCGGTGTGGAGGAAGCTGGCGGAGCACAACGTACAGGTGGGGGGAGGTGGGGGGGAGGTGGGGGGGCGGGGGGGTGGAGGTGGGGGGGAGGTGGGGGGGGGATCAGGGCATGCAGGTGGGGCAAAGGTGGGGCAAGACACTGGCCAGCTGTATGGCCGGGGGCATGGGGCGGAGTAGGACTGTTCGGCTGATCGGCTTACCAACATGGCTAAATGTTTAGTCTTGCCTGCCCTACTCCTCCGTCAGTTTTCCTTATTTTTACCCCTCCCCTCCCTTAGGGAGGTCGCCGCACCGCCGAGCTGGTGCACCGCGTGGAGGAGCGGCTGGGTCGCTACGCCTCCGAGCTGGACGAGGCCAAGAGCCGCCTCTTCCTGGCGGCGGCGCTGCTGCAGCCCGACCCCGCACCCTGCGAGGTGCAGCTGTCGCTGGTGACAGATGCCAGCGCATGTGGGTGCTGGGGTGGGGGGCTGGGTAGTGGGTGTTGGGTCTTGGGTTGTGGGGCCTGGGTTATGGCGTGGGGGGCTAGGTAAACCGAGCCGCGATGAAACCCTGAATCTCTATCCCATAGCCCAGATACCTCCCAAACACCCAACGCCCAACCCAACACCGCCCCCCACACCCCACCGCATGCAGACTTCCTGACGGAGGGCGGCGACGGCACTCCATCGGGCACCACCAGCAGCCGCGAGGGCGCGCTGGCGGAGCCATGCGGCCTGGCGCCCAGCGTGCCTCGCTGCCTGCGCTGGGCGGAGCGGGTGCCGCTGGCGGGGTACAGCGTGGAGCAGACGGAGGCGCTGGTGATGGCGATTTGGAAGGTGGGGCGGGCAGGAGGAGGAGGGGGAAACGAGGGGCTGCATGGAAGCATGAGTTGACGTGTAGGGATGCGCACCCTCCCGCAGGTCTCACAGCTTTCCGTCACACCTCCCATCCCACCGCCGTCTTCTCTTCCTCAGGCCCTCGTTCCTCGGATCCTCCCCCCTATTGCTATTTATCCCCATTGCTTTGCCCTAACCTGTGGTTCTGGTATATTCTCTGACCCCCGCTCCCGCCGCCCTCCCCCCGTAGTCCAAGCAGGCCCTGGACGTGTCCTCCACCGCCTCCACCCTGCAGGCCTTCGTGTACTACTACTTCAACCCGCAGGTGCGTTGGGGGGGGGGCGGGGGGCTACGAGGGGTGCGGGTAGCGGAGAAATGTAGATTACAGTTATGGTTACGGTTACAGTGTGTCCGTACGAGCCAGGGGGGGCCTTGGCTCTTGGTAGGCCGGTAGGCGGTAGGAATGTGACAGATACCGCAGGGCGATTAAAGAGGAGGGCTTGGTATTTAGTGCTTTTAGTAATGGGGAGGTAGGCGGCGGGCGAGGTACCGGTAATGAGGCCAACCGCTAAAAATGGTACCTCCACCCCGCATGTGCTGGATCAGCAATCCGCAGTCACCCCCGACCACCCTCAACCGCAACAACCCCACCCTGCCCCGCCTCACTCCCAGTTCCTTATTCAGTTTCCTTACTTTTACCCCACCTCACCCACCTCCCTCCCAGGGCCTAGCCAACGCGGACACCGCCAAGCTCTGCTACAGCTTCTACCACGCCGCCTCCTGCCACGCCAAGCTCAGCCCCGTGGTTCGCACCTTCTGGCTCGTCCTCACGGGCCAGACCTCCGAGGCGGCGGCAACCGACCAGCGCATTATGGTGTCGGGACTTACCGCGCTGCTGCACAGCCTGCCGCCGGTGCCGCCGCAGGAGGCGGGGAGAGGAGGCGGGGGTGGAGTGGGGGCGGAGGGGAGTCGGTCGGGGTGGGGAGCGGAGGACAGCAGCGGGGATGCGGGGGCGCCATCGTCCTCGTCAGGTAGGGGGGGGGGGGTGCGGGGGTTGGCCATGCGTGTTTGTGTCTTTATGGGTTTGAGGTATGCCCTGGCGCGGTTAGTGCAAGTCCTTCCATTCGATACCTCTCCTCCTCTCTCTTGCGTCTTTCCCTGTCTCGAACGTCCCGCAACCCTTACCCGCAACCCCTCCCTCCCTCCTCAGACCTGCTCATCCGCACCGCCGATGTGGCATCCGCTCTGGAACGCCTCTTCCCCACCCGCCCGAACTTCCGAATCAACAAGCTACGAGAAGCCCTGCGCACCCAATTCCCGGAGGAAACCCTGCCGCTCAATTCCCTACTGGCGCTGCTTCGCCCTCACGGGTTACAACCTCCACCGCCCTCCTCCGTGCCCTCTACCGCCAAATCCACTCGCTTCCGACCCGACGTCATCTCCCGACCGGGTCCTGGCATCGGGCCCTTGGTCTCTGTGTTGCTTGGACAGCATATCGACGAGATCCAGACGTTGTGTTTGGAGGTAGCCTCACAGCTTTCGGACGTAACGCCTGCGCCGGCGACGGCATTGGCGGAGGCCGAGGCGGCAGCGGTGGAAGTTGGGGAGACGCCGGCGGAGGTGGCGGCGGTGGTGGAGAAGCTAAGCAGCGTGTTGGGTTCGGGACGTGCGATGGCGTTCGTGCTGTCGGCGCTTGGGTTTACCACGGGGGATGGAGGAGGGGAGGATGGCGGGACGGGCAGCGGTACGGGAGGGGCTGGGGGCGGTGGCAGCAGCGCCGCTGCTGCGGCGGACGTGGTGCTGCCGGTTGGGATGTTGGTGGATGTGGGGGACATCACGTCGTGGATTCTGCGGCGGTGTTTGGTGAAGCCGGTGGGGAACTACGATGCGAATGGGGCGATGCGGTGGGCGCATGTGGCGTTCGGGGTGTAGAAGAGGTGCGCACCGGCCTTGTATACAGCAGCGGGCTTGTTTGCTACCGGTAGGTGGATTGGAAATGCACGGAATGCATGTGGGGCATTGTGTTAGCATTGTTTGATGATAGCCATTTATGCAATGGAAATTACGGGCAGAGGTGGGGGAGTAAGAGATGAGGCTGGGGGGTTGCATGGAAGGGCAGGACTGACTGATTGACGGTCCCCTGGGACAGGTAGTGGTGGAACGGCACGACGGAGGGGGACGGGAGCGCAGGCTGCCGGGTAGGAGGTAGAGGACGGCGTGTGGCGTGTGGCTCGCGCATGTGGCACCTGCTGGGGGGTCGTGCGCTCGTGCTTGCTGGAAACATGCAAGTGTAGGGCGTGCTTGCTGACCAGGTTAAACCCTGGTTGACGCAATCGCTGAAGCCGTCAGCGCAGCAACAAAATGCGCTTAATGGTTGCAAGACTTGCAAGACTTCAAGGCCCCTGTTGCATGACGACGTGTCTTGACATGCAAGGGTGCGGTGTAGGAGGGACTGGCTGCTTGTGAGCAGCTCGGGTGAAGGCCAGTGGAGATCATCAGCCGCTATTAGATTCCCGAGCTTTGTAGGCCAGCTGGCTGGCTTAGAAACGTGTTGCCTGGCTTGTCAAACACCCAGCAGCACCACATACAGTCACAGCCCGTTGCTGCGCCGTACACATCTGGCCACCGCGGCACCGTACGGCAACAAGAAAGAATAACCAAATCGTGCCAATAGGCTTGCGCGTTCCAAATCAATGTAACAGTAATCCTGGATTGAACGATGGATCCAGCACTGCTACGCATATGTACGGTGGCCGGCTAACGCGCCTGACAGAATATTGGTAAGCGCCAAGCATCACTCACTCTTCCAAAACCAAGTTTGTTCCTACAGCACGAGTGTCAACTGCAGTCATTGCTGTCAGGTCAGTTGATGGTACGACGGACTTCCATAATCCTAGCCACCCCGTCACCGCCACACACGGCCTCCTGAACCCCGCAAGCCCACAATGTCCCAGGCCCTGCAATACCGGTATTCAACCGCAATACCTTGGGTCCGACCTACCGCGACTACCGAATGAACGCCTCACTGCCAGATCAGTACCAAGGGTGTAACAGCACGAAAAGGCTTTACCGTACTCGAGATGGCAACGAACCCAACTTCGGGGGCATTTCGGGGCAAACTGTCTGCAACTACCGTATAGCAACACTGCAAAACATCAGCACCGGAAACCAGTCCGAGTACAAGGTCTATTATAGCTACCAGTCAGGCTACCGCTCTACCCGTGTGTACTGCCGTAGAAGTAGCAGCAGGCACAGTGCAGTCCATGAAGACGGATGCAACCTACAAGAGTAACCTGCACAACCTGTGTGCTGCAGGTGTGTGCGATTGCAGCAAGCACCTTACGCAGGACGGCCGCCGCAAGATAACAACCCAGCCCTCCGATGGCCGTCACAAGTGTTAAATTTGGATTCCGCTTTAGAGACATCGCGCCACACCAGCACAAGGCCCCAGACGAACGGGCCGGAGTCTTTCACTCATTCTGGCGTAGTGCATGTATGCACCCTATGCAGTACGGGTGTACGGCACTCGCCGCTGCCTCCAGGGTCCAGGCCCCAAGGAGCGGAGCTAGGTAAGGCCCCATGCAGCAGGGGCGCCCTCTGCTGACGTGGCGCCCTGGTTATCCCGCACGCTGACGTCAGCACCCGCTGCGACCAACATGTCGTACAACTGAGGGGAGGGGGAGAGGAGAGAGCGGAGAGGAGGGAAAGATGGTGGTTTTATGGAGGGGTAGGAGCTGAAGCGTTGGCATGGGCGGGGGCGGGAAAGAGCAGCCGCGGGCTCCTTGACTCAGATGTGACCATGCGGCCACATTCTGGTTAGTAGGGCCGGTAGGATCATACTACGCATAAGCTTTCCATATATTGCGTGTCCGGGCTGGGCCGGGCCTAGATTAAGGGAAGCCCTTGATGCCTTACACGTGGGACGTACCTCTTTGTGTTCTGTAATTGCGGCATAGTGCAGCGGGGTTTGCCCGTCAGAGTCCTGTGCGTTGATGTCCGCCCCTGCTGAGATCAGCGCCTGGGCTACCGCCAAGCATCCCCGATCCGCGGCGAAGTGAAGTGCTGTGCACCCCATGTCATCACACGCGTCTACGGGCGTCCCAGACTCCAACATCTGCATTACCGCTTCGACATCGCCCTCCCCCGCGACCTCGTGCAGCGTCCTGGGCCCCTACGCGTGCCAACGTTCTCGTAGGTACCAGCTTAAGGCACAAACGCAAACCGAGTGCTACCCATAAAAAGGAACGCTTACCTCCTCTTCGCAGGTGTTGCCCGCTTCATCGCCGGCAGCTAAGCAGCTAAAGACGGTACCCATTCCACCTTTACTTTTATGCTGTGATTCCCCTGGTCCCCATTCCGGCGCAACTTGGCGCAGCAAGTCGACATAGCGCCGCATGGCGTCCTCTTTGGAGACATCGCCAACTTGCGCCCAGGCATCCCTATGACGGATTTCGATCATGACACGTACCCATATTAAACCAATCGATTATCCTTCCTTACCATTTCGCGCGCCCAGCCATGTCCCAAAAGCCTGGTCGCCCGCCCGAGCATTTACCGACGGTCGCTTGCTTATACAGGCCGTAAAACTGCAATTTAAGTTTATCATCGAAACGACCGTCTTTTGCAGATACTGCTGCAGCAAGAAAGCTGGCCGCTGCCGCGAACTGGTCTTCCTCGTCTGATGCAACTCCCTCCATGACATCGTCCGTGTCAGCCATGATCGCGGAACAGCAAAGAGAACGACGATATCACTTCACCGAGTTGTTACAAAGCAGCCAACGTGAGTGTCTGGAATTGCGTTGGGAAATTGCAAAGCGCGTATCCGTACTGCAAAACTAAAGCAATCGGGCGCCTACCGGCAGGCCCATGTATCACAGCTCTTATTCACTCACTCACCCGCCGCGCAAACTGCCTTCTTTCCCGTCCGCTCTCTCGAACCACCTCCCATGCACACGTCCCTTCCCTCCTGCTAACCCTTTTTCTCCAACAGCCACCCAACCAGCCATACGACACCATGTCGTACACCATACCGCACAACCCCCAACCGCCCAACACCAACCCCCCTCATGCCGCCCCTCCTCCCCATCACCGCATGGCTCCCGCCCGCAGCACATCAATCATGTTGTACAGCGTCTGCTCGCTGCCCTCCGCTCTCCGCTGCGCCAGGAACAGCGCCGCGTCCACCGTCCCCTCCGCGTACGTCGTACGGCCCACCACATTGTGCTGGAACTCGAACATCACCGACCCATCCCCCGACACCAGCTGATACGTATGGTACGCATGGCCATTCAGCGCACCCTCCGGCACCTTCATCCGCTCCACCTGCTCCTTGGGTTCACGCACCAGCTCAATCTGCGAGACGTCAAACGGCACGCCCATCTCGACAAAGGATTGTACGACAGCCTTGGCGGTGCCCGAGGTATCCTTCTTGGTGGACTGGTGCGATTCCACGACACGCAGGCGGTATCCGGAGAAGGCTCCCGGGAAGGACTTGGCCATCATGTCCATCATGGCTTGGAAGGCCACGATCTGCTTGCCCATATTGGGTGCGATGACGGCGTAGGTGCGGGCGGCTTGGACCTGGGGGCAGGACAGAGGGGGGGCAGGACAGGGGTTCCTGGCTAAATGTCGTGGTTCACGGCTAAAGGCTTATACGCATGATCGACGTAGACTGACAGCGCTACTAAGCATCCGACTGGTATAAACACAGAGAGCGGGCCACAACAAACACCCAGGTAAGGTATGCCGACGAGCATGGCCGGGAACCGAGCAGCATAACGAGGCGTTCAAGGCGCCATTCCCCCGTCGTGCATGCGCCACCCCAGCTACCCCAAACCCCCGCGTCAGCATGCACCTACAGCCATGCATAACCCCATCCAACACACACTTCCCCACCCGTACACACGCTGCAAGTTATATTAACACACGCTGCTCAGCCGCCCGCCTACTTGGAGCCCATTTTCACATGGTCAGCATTTCCTTTTGACCCACCCTCCCACCCGTTCACGCGCCCACCCACCACCCTCCCACCACCCACCCGCCCCATCCCAGCCCACCCACCCACCCTCATCCCCATCCCGCCCCCCCACCTGCTCCGCAATGCGCTGCCTGTCCCCCCCCGTGGTCCCCATCACGAAGGGCGTGTTGTGGGTGCAGTAGAAGTCCACCATGGAGTGGATGGCGTCCGGCAGCGTGTAGTCCACCATCACCAGCCCCGGGTAGCGGGACTGCAGCTGCCGTACAACCTCGTCGCGGGTGGCGGGCGGGACCAGCTCCAACTGGACACCCTGGGGGGGGGTAGGGGGTAGGGGGTAGGGGGTAGGGGTGGTGGTGGTAGGGGTGGTGGTGGTAGGGGTTGGTTAGGATGGGATGGAGAGATGGGGTGGGGTGGGATGGGTGGAATGGGAGTGACAAACTGGGACGCGAGGGAACACTGACTGAAGGGGTGGGGTGAGGTGGGAAGGGACGGGGGCCTGGGTGCAGCAACAACAGCAGAGCGCCTGTTCCAGGTGCCAAGGTTCACCCTGCTCCCTCTCCAGAATGCGATTATTACAGGGGAGTCCGAACGACTCAAGGACTTTCTCCAGTACCCCTCCCCTCCCCGCCTAAGCTGGTGCCGTACAGCGCACCCACCTGCACGCTGACGTGGGACTTGTCCGCCACGTCATTGGGCCCGCACAGGGTGTACGGCACCAGCTCGATGTTGGCACGCAGGGCCGCCTCCGCCACCGCCTGGCCCATCTTGCCGGTGCAGCTGAGGGTGTGTGAAGGGGAGGGGCGGAGGGGGGCGGAGGGTGACTTGTGTACAGGGTTACTTGAAGAGGGTTGTTAGGTGTTGTGGTAATAGGAGAGGCGGTTGAGAGGTGGAGGCGGGTGTGTGGAGGGTTAGGAGGGAGCAGAGGGCGGTAGGGGAGGGTTACCGAGGGATGGTTGTGAACGAAGAAGGTAGCAGGAGGTCGGGGTGAACAGGAATAAGGGCAGAGATTGCATTGACACTTTTACGTGTTCAGGCAAGCACTGGGAATGACGGGGGCAAGCCGGATAAGGCCGCGAAGTCGCAACGGGACCCGGTCCAGTTGGCTAGGCTATAGTCCAAGTTTACGAGCCGAGGTGAAGGATTGGGGATGTCGTGACGGGGTAAGCTGCCGGCGTCAAGGCTTCCCCTTAAGCAATCTAGTTGTGTCGCATGCTTAGTTCGTGTCACTAAGAAAACTTGATGGCGATTGGAAGGTGGCCGCACCTGTTGACCATTAGCTGCAGCTTCGGCTTGCTGGAGGCCATGACTACAACCGACGTCCGCGTGCGCCGGGCGTGGCTGGCAGCACCCGCTGTTCTTGCACTACGCAATTGATTTCTAGCAAGCATTTTGCAGTTCTAGCGTACTGGCTGTAAGTATATTGGTCTTTTGGCGGCGGAAGCAGAAGGCAAAGCCTGCTCGAAAACAGTAATTGGATTTGTTTACGCACCACTTTGCAAGGAATCAGACGATCAGTTGATCAGCGAGTATGCACACCATCGTCGAAAAATTCACGATTAGTACGGGCCAACAACAACTCCACGCAGTCCGAGCAGCTTGAGCTGTAACCTCTGTAGCAACCGGTAGTTACACACACGTGTTCCAGTTACATTTGTACTCCGCCCAGAGCAAACGGGTCCACCGGTTCACTGCAGCTGTATTTACCAAAGCATCGCTGAACTGAGCATAGACTTTGTTCCTTAGTGTTACAGGGTACTACATAATAGACGACTTATAGGGAAGTAATCTGTGCCAGGCGGAGGCCTTTTCAGTTATAGATTTCCTGCTTCCGCCATGGCGACGCTGTCGGACCGCCTGAACATCAATAGTCAGATCGAGCATTTGCAAGCGAAATACGTGGGGACAGGACATGCTGACCTTACCAAGTTCGAGTGGGCGCTGAACATTCACCGTGACAGGTGTGCTGGGAACAGCGCTTGATGACGGTCAACCCTTTCTGTACTGTGGCAGTAAAGAACCGACATCGCACCAAGTAGTATCCCAGTACCTAGGGTCACAAGCCTTCCCTGCCACCCCCATCCCGCCCTTCATCTCCCATCTGCACTGCAACCGTCTTAGTCTTCGACCATCCCCCAATTCCCGCATACAGCTACGCTTCTTACGTAGGCCATCATAACATGGTGGCATACTTTGGTGTCGTGGAGAACGAGTCCATTGGCCGCGTCAAGTACGAGTTCCTTCAGCGTATGCTGCTGCCCTGCGGCTTGCCTCCTAAAGCTCAGGACCAAAGCGAGGATGAGGAGGACAAGTAGAGCGCTCCCTAACCCAGTAAGCCCTTAAGGAGCACTAGGGAACGTGGGAACAACGGCGATGGGAGCAGCAGTGGCGGTGTTAGCAGCAGCGGCCATGGTAGCTGCGATAGTGACGGTAGCAGCAACGGCAATAGTTGCGGCAGCGGCGGTGGTAGCGGCGGCGGCGGGAGTAGCAGCGGCGGCAGCGTAAGGCGAGGCGGCAGTTACTGCAGCGTTAGGTCTCCCTCCAGCTGCGGCAAAAGCGGATAGGACTTATCACGTCTGCGCCCGGGGCCCAATGAAAGAAGCATATGGACATGCCTACGTGTTATAGCCGTATGAGCTGCTAGGTATACCGTTTCTTTACCTTTCCGTCATAGGCTAGGCGGGAGCCCTGTTTTGCTGTTAATGGTTGTCAGGAGGCAGGACAAGGGAACGGGCAGCCCTTACCCCTGCCCACGGGCGATGTGGACCCGTAGGTCCGACCGTTTTCGTACATGATGTTTGGTTGTGGGGGAGTGTCGACTGCAGCGAGGCATTGGCCTTCCATATTTTGTTCCGTGCTCACTGCAGCCGACTGTCGTGTGGTAGCGGCGGTAGCGTCTGCATCTGCGTTGGCTGAGGCTGTGTTGGCTGTTGCTGGGTTAGCAGTGGCATGGACGGTAGCGGTGGTAGCGGCACACTAGCCCATCGGTGTTCCTGTGTCTTGTACCGTGGTGGGTGGTGAGTACGGTAGCAAGTCATCACCTTCAATTTGGCTTGTGGGTAAGGCGGGCTTGGCGTCCTTGGAGACGCGAGGGGTCGTGAGGTGCGAGCGGCCCAGCGTGGGCTTAGCGGTTGAAACATGGAAAGAGGCCTAATGGGAAAGGACGGAGAGGGAGGCAGGGGATCAGGATGCATGTGCTCAAGCATGTGGAGCGTGGGGCTCAAGGAGCCAGGGGCGTAGTGTTGTACCGGTATCAACAGGGGGTGCGCACAGATGCACAGACGTTGCCAGCTCCTATGTCACATGTCATAAACCATCGTGCGTATGAGTCTTCCTGGACAGTCGTGTCCCGTGACAATGCGTCGTCGTACAGTGCTTTCTGATGGGACCTGCTTGTGGGCAGCACTGGTACGTTGGCTTTCGGGACGATCATTCAAGAGGGGAGGTCTGTAACGTGACGCGTTACGTAAGAGCATTCCCGTTAAATCATGTTATCGGTTAGGGCGGTTACCCCGCGGAGAATCGTACATGCCGTACAGCCCGCTACTACTGGGCGCTCTGTTCTGTTCTGTGCGTGTGTCCCGTGAAGGCGAACAACAGGGAGTCAGTAGCCCTGTCACACCGTACTTTGGTATCCACGATTGAGTATTGTTGTAGTTATTAGACAGATACCTCCGCTTGCCTCGGCGCCTTCACCCCTAGGCGTTGCCCCCCGCGTTTGTCTGCACTGTCTGGATCATATGCCCCACCTGAAAAACTAATTCAGGTTCCGTCTTCTCCACCTCCCTCTCGGAAGGTAAGCTCCCGCCCAACTACCGTAAGTGGCACGACCTAGCAGGCTGCACCTCCTCGCTAGCAGCCGTCACCCCCACCGCACACCGCCGCCACCTGTTCACCTTCACAGCATGCTATCTTTGCGTTCCTTCTCCCCCCCTTCTCTCTCCCCTCCCACCCAATCACCCCCGAGTGCCGAGTACCTCCGCCAGTGTGGCTGCCACCGCCTGCAGCAGCGGCGGGGGGCTCTTCTCCACGTAGTCGTGCGCCACCCCGGGCAGCCACAGGAAGCGGGTGGAGGGGGCGGGCAGCTGGCGGGACCAGGCGGTGACCTGGCAACACAGTACGGCAGGAGCGGGGGAGGAAAAGAATACGACAAAGTCGGTAACGGTAACGGTAATGGCATGGGAAAGGCATGAAAGCACCAGCAGGTAGGGGAGAGAGAAAGGGCGGAGGGAATGGGAGTGAAGGGCGGCAGAGCTGCGGGAATAGGGAATCGGGAATATGCAAGCTGCTTGCGGGAAAGCAGGCGGCGGCGGAGAGCGATGATAGATAGATCCAGGTATCGCGTGCTCCATCATTTCCTGTTCGGCAATTTCACATGGCATCTTGGCATGCAGCTTTGCAACATGTCCTGTCATGCATGGGGGGCTGCGTTGCGTTCCAATGTGCTTGTCATTATTGTCATTATGCCACGCCATGTCCGCATGCCAACATGCCATGTATTAAGGGATCTCTTCCTGCGTGCCCCCGGAGGTCACCTGCTCCCGGGAGTAGCGGTTGTCTAGCTCCCCGGCCACCACCGTGGCGGGCAGTGTGAGGGGCGGGTTGGCGGGGGGCAGCTGGGGGGCGGTGACGGCGGCGGGTGGAGCGGGGGGTGGACACTTACCAACGTCATATGACAGACACATAAGAAAATGACATTAAAAAGAGATTACCGGTACCGGTAGCTACCTGGCGGAGGGCGATGAGGTGCGAACAGCAACCCATGCCAAGCGTCATTACGTGCGCGTCTCAGGACAGAGACGGCAATGGGCCACACCAACCGCGCCATTAGGCTGCTGCCGTACTCGTACCGTCGTACAATCGTACAACAGAAGTCTACCTAGTCGTACCTGGTAGGTCTCGGTGAGAGCAAAGTCGGCTCGCAGTACGGGATACATGAGCTGCCGTATCTTGGGGTTAGCCTGGAACATGTAACAAACGAAAACGTACGACATCAATAACCGACTTCGAAAGAAGCCCAGACGCCATGCATTATCCGTTACGCAGTATCTTGACAGTCCTCTTGACCACAGAAACACCCCCTTTGTAACCAGTTCCCCAACGCACCGTGCTCGCGGCCTGTTTTCCTAACACCCTCATATCGATCCCCATGCGCTTAACATACCAGTCCGCGGCCCACCAGTCCACCAGCCTCACCAGGTGCGGGTTGGAGGTGCCGTACCGCGCCTCAAAGGCCGCCCAGAAGTCCCGTGGGTCGCTCAGGGCGTGCAGGCGGGTGGGGTCCAGGTCGTCCGCTGCGGAGAAGAGGTGGGGCGCCCTGGTGGGGGGGCGGCAGCGGGTGGGAGGGGACGGGAGGTGACGGGACGGGTTGAGGGGTGGCACGAGGAGGCTTTGCTACATGCATGAGGAGCAGAGTCGCAAGCACGTGGTAGCTGTGGTTCGGCCTGGATGGAGGGAATTGGGGTATGCGGTCCAGGAATGTGGGATTTGCTGGCGAATAAACGATGAACGGATTGAACACGCAAAGGAGGGCCACGGAAGGCACAACCCTGCCTAACGGGCTCTTACAAAAACAGTCGGTACGGCCGACGCTGAGCCCCTCTTCATTGGTACCCTAGACTCTCTCCAAACGCCCCAGTAAGGTACACAACACATACGACATACACAAGAACCCAACCCCCACCTGATTCCCGACACGAACAGGTGGGCGGGCAGCGGGGCACCGCACCGCAGTAGCGCCTGCATGAGGGGGGGAGGGCGAGGCAATGTCAGGCGAGTGGGGTTAACGTTCAGCCGCAAATGGATGGGAGGTGCTGCGAACAGTATCAAGTATACGGTACACACAAACGAGCGCACACCTGTACGACTTCATATGCGATCCAGCCGGCCATGCTGTGGCCGAATATGGCGTACGGCATGTGACCTCCTCTGCTGGTCCTGCATCAGCAACAGCATCAGCATCAGCAACAGCATCAGCAACAGCAGCAGCAGTTGGTTCGCGCCAGCTACCCATCTTACTCAGGGACGTCGGTGGCATTGTATCACACACGAGATACACAACCAGAATGGAAAGATGGATAACGCATAATAAGAAAGCTCCCGCTACTGCTGTTGTACTGCTGCCATGGCCGCTTGCCCCAATCTACATGGCCATTGCTGCTCCTGCGGCACTGCAACCGCCACCTACCCACCCGTCCTGTGGGTCACTGCTGTGATCCCGTACAATCCGTTGTATGACAGCCGCAATATCCGCCGCCAGCTGTAGCAGGTTGGTGGCGCAGGGCTCGCGGAGGCGGCTGTTGTGACCGGGCAACTCGATTGCTAGCACCTGTACGACAGGAAAGGGCGCCCAACGGTATGTTCGTGAAGATGGCGATTTTGAAAGTACGGCAGCAGTACAGGCAAAGATGCAGGGCGGGAAACAACACAGTACGGCGAGGTATGAAGACCGGTATGAAGTCGCAACGGAATGACAGTATACCCCACCTCGACTCCCAGCGGCCGCAGGTGTAGCTCCCAGGAATGGTACACCCAGGCGCCCATGCCCGCCTGTGTCGAGGTGCGGGTCGCCAAGGAACGCATGCAAGTAAGCAGGGAAGCCCTGGTTAGGCCGGAGGGAACTAGCTCCCATCCAGACGTGCAAAGATGGGCACAGTACCGGTGTGTGTGAGGTGAGTACAGAGATGCAGAAGCACTGTACACTTAGAGCCATGTATGGGATTAATAACATCCTCTGTAACTACGAACGTCCTTTAAGCATGTAGCGGCTGGGCGAGAGCAGAGGTAGACATGCAGGGTTGCAGACAGGCGCAGTGCGCACCTGGGGGATGCAGAAGAGCAGCATACGTGGCGGCGGCGGCGGTGGTGGTTGTACGGTTGTTTGTACGGCACCAGCAGCAGGATCCGTACCGGCGGCATTGGCGGCTCCCTGCTGCTGGTGCGAATGATGCTGCTGCTGCTGGTGCTGCTGGCGGCGGCGGCCGGGCGGGGGGCGTAGGATCCAGGGAGCGTAGTCCTTCGTCCCTGCAACAGTGGCGACGCACTTGCTGCTGCTGCTGCTGTTGCCGTCCGCAGAGGCCATATCCGTGCCGTGAATGCGGTTGGTTGTGTGGTTTAAGAAGGAAGGAGGCTACAGGGATCACGCAGGGTCCTGCTGTGGTCTGAGGTATAGCCACCAGAGTGCTGCTGTTCTGTTCCTGTTGCTGCTACTGGTGCTGGTGTTGGCGTACGTTAATGGGCTAGCCGCGGGCAGTTTGTGTGGTGGTTGATTGGTTAGATGGGTGGAAGAGATCGTCTGCAGCTTAGGTCGCCGACCCACGGGTCAACTACTGCCACTATCTTTGCTGTAAGCCGCTTCTAATAGTAACTCATTTTACTGAGAGCAGGATAAAGAGGGTAAAAGGTATGGCAGCAGGTAGGGAGGAAGAGGTGCCTCAAGCGTTGTGAGCGTTTGCAAGATGAGGTGTAGTACACGCAAAGTGCTGCAGTGGGTTCTAACCTGCGTGTGCGTAAAATTGAGCGTCTAGGAGGATTGTGCTGGACCTGCCGCACACTTGGCGGCATGCAGAAGTTGTAGCACCTCGGTCGGCTTGTCCTAGAAAGGAAGAATGGGCACACGTAATGCGCGAAGCATTGCAAGAAGTACGGTACCCTAGTACTTGTAACCGATACAAAGGTGATTGGTACCGCACATAAGCACTTCCATTGATACCGAGCCAAACACCCGGCGGGAAAAACGCCGGTGCTCGGTTCGTCTTCCATCTGGCAAGCAACGTCATTGTTGGCTGCGAATACATGGCCCAACGAGCATTTAAGCCCGTGGGATAGCATGGGCTACCAGGCTTGTATTTTGCGTATCGTAATGGATTCCCAACCAGGTGTCCCAACCAAGCAACATGCCATGCGAATGGGGATCTGGATCAAGCCTGAGTCAGAGAGGAGGCTCAACAAAGCATTGTATGGAGCACATGCATGTATGTCAAAGTTCTGCTCACTCCTTCCTCGCTCGATGCTCACTCCATCCATCCCCGAAAAAAGGCGAGAAGTAAACGCCACTCATCCAAAATGCATCCGAGCTATAATAACCAGGTAGACATCACATGGCGCCGTAGTATTAGAATAAATTCATCCTTGCGTCACGCGCTTACTGTGCATGCGCTACGAGCCGCGCCCGCCCAGGCTTTTCGGACAACATTGTTTCCCTACGTATCCACAAAGGAGCACTACTAATGCACATACACTTCGTAAACTCTTCTCCGTTAGGAACAAAACAGAGCAATAATATCGTTTCCGTGTCTGCAACGTCACGCGATACCGGTACTAAGCGCCAAGTTTTTTAAGCTTGCCATAAAGTGCTCAAAAGTGAAGACATCAAGGAGCGTTCCAGGCGTGCAGCTTGAAGGCTGCGCGTCCTCAAGAACGGCTCCGAAGCCGCAAAGAGTGTTGCGCGCTTGCATCATTACTCAACCCCAAGTGATTTGGGTGCTCCATTAACACAAATAGTAAACCCAAACCGCTTACGTTGGCATCTAGCCATGACATTTCCGCTCTGCGATATCAACGACTTAGAGGGACTGCTGTGGACGCACGTCTCGCTGCTCAGTTTGTGTGCCATCCTCATCATCGCCTCCTTCAACTCACAATTCAGGAACCCCGCGCCCTATGGCCGATTTGCGGACCCTGCGAAGGCCAAGGCCTGGGGCTTTCCAATCCCGCAGCGCATAGGCCACATGGTGCGTCAAGTATAGTCGGCCTTAACAGCAAAGCGGTTCCTTTGGCATCTCCTTCCCCCACCTTATTAACTCCTTCATACCATGAGCGCTAGCTACTGGGCCAGCATACGGGGCGTGGCCATACCCTAGCCAGTTGACCGCAGTCGTCATCTACGACCTGACGACCACAAGGGACACGAAGCCGCGGGGCCGGGATTCGGCAATTGCCCTAGCAAGCACACCGCTGTTATGCCACACCACACATCTCATGGATTGAGCCTTACCGTGCACGTACCTTCTATCGCCTCTCCGCCCCCTGTCTGCCTGCAATCCTTGCATACCCGGTACCCAATGCCCCCTGCCTCCCCCGTAACTCCTCGCTCCCCCCGGCCTCCCCCCACCCACCACGCGTCCCCAGGTCAGCGATGCCCTGCCCGGCATACCCCTGTGTCTTGCCGTATACCTGCTGTACTCAGGGCTGCTGCCTCGGTACGGCAGTTTCAGTGAGGTAAGAGGAGTGAGGGTTAGTGAGGGTTAGGAGGGAGGGTAGAGGAACACGGCAGATTTCCAAGGCTAGAGCGCATCTCGTTGCAAAGTATGACGCGAAGAGCCCCGGGACGGTTAGCGAGTCATACAAGTGTGCTGTAGCGGTCCGAGATAAGTCCATCACGCGATACGTCATGGCAGCGCACCTCTCTGAGGGTGTTGCGTCCCCAACCCCAACATGCTCCTTCCGCCCGTCGTACACCAGTAGAGTGCTAGCAACCGAACTAGTACCGGTACCATCAAATCCTACCACTTCTGCTCGCCTTACTCCTGCCCTTACTTACCGGTACCCAACTATCCGTACGCATCGTACAGGTCCGCGCCGTGAATGTCGTACTGCTGTGCGGTTGGCTGTTGCACTACCTCTACCGAGGTGTCGTACATCCGCTCATCATGCCGTACAGCTCTAAAACCGTGGCAGTGGGTATCACCCTTGCCGGCATCTTCCCCAACGCCCTCTTCGCCTACCTAATCGCAGCCCAGCTAGCATGCAGCCGTTACCCTGACAATTGGGCCTCCCAACCCAGATTCATCATTGGCGTTGTACTCTATGCCGTTGGTACGGCGGTTAACCGTTGGGCGGATCTGAAGTTGCGGGCTGGACGGTTGGCGTTACAGAGGAGGCGACATCGAGGCAACAAGGACCGCAAAAGCAGCAGCGGCAGTAGCAAGATGGCTGAGCAAGAGCAGCAGCACAAGCAGCAGTTGATAAGCGGTGGTGGTGGTGGTGGTGCTGAAGTGGCAGGAGGTGGAGCAGGCGCAGCGGAGGGAGAGAAGGAGGAGGCGGAGGGAGGGGATGTGCGGTCGCAGTACTTCATTCCTCGAGGGGGTTTGTTCGAGTTCGTTAGCTGCCCCAACTACCTGGGTGAGTGGTGGGGTGGAGGATGAGGAGGTATGGGGTTGTGGTGCATGTTAATAGTTGCTTGGAGTTGGTCTTGCTGCCTCATCTGTGACCATATGAGATAGGAGGTGGAGGAGGTGAGATGCGGCCGTACGCTGCGGCCTCTACCAGTTACCGGCCGATGACTGAGAGGAGGGGAGTGCCCCCCCCCCCGGGGCCACGTAGGCGTCATCGGTTTGCGTTGGACCCTCAGACCACCCACCCCCACCCCCGCCCCTCCCTCATGGTTGCCAACCATGATGACGCCTTATCACACAGTCATTTAGTTGTTTCCTCTTTACCCCGCCCCGCCCCACCCCTCCATGCCGCATGTAGGTGAGCTGCTGCAGTGGGGCGGCTACGCGCTGGCGGTGTGGAGCTGGTCCGCGCTGGGATGGCTGCTGTTCTGCACCTCCACCTTCCTGCCGCGCTCCCTGGGCAACCACAGGTGCGTGCCCACCTGTGGATAGGGGTTAATGGGGATACGTACTCCGCATTAGGCTGGATTGTAGGATTGCGTATACCGTACCTTCACGTGATCATCGCGCAGCCCCATTAAATGGAATTATTGGGCGGAGCCCCCGCCGCGAAGCGGCTTCGGGGGGGCTTCGCCCCCCAGGATTGCCCCTGTCCGTGTGTCCGTGTGTCGCCGGAGCAATGTAGCGACGTCGGAGGCCGACGTCGTAGACGGAGTCCGGAGCTAGCGAAGCAGCGAAGGAAAGGCATCAATAGGGGGGGGGGGTTTCGTGCTCACATTTTTTTGGCAAGCGCCTTAACAGGGACGCGGCGTTTTGAGCGCTAAAATTCGCGGCCCGGGTTCAAATCCCACCCAAAACATGAGTTTTGCCGTTTGTTTTTGGCTTTTTTCTCTCCACTCGGCCGCGCAACGCGTCGCCAAGTGGCGTTTTCCGAACCCATTTGAAGGTCGCAAGCGCCACATGCATCACGGGCGGCGTTTTGAGCGCTGGGTGAGGAAAGGCCGGTCAGGGCGCCCACCCTGGAGCCCTAAGGTGTGTGTCTGTAACGCAAAAAAGTCGCCCAAACGGCCCGCCAAAGCCACAAGAAATACAGTGCTTAAAACGTTACTTAACGCACCGAAAAAGCGGCTTCGAGGCAAAGACACCGCGAAGTTGGAGCCCTAAGATGCGTGTCTGTAACGCAAAAAAGTCGCCCATTCGTCCTGCCAAAGCCACTAAAAGTACAGTTCTTAACACGTTACTTAGCGCACCGGAAATGCTGCTTCGAGGCAAAGGCACCGCGAAGATGGAGCCCTAAGATGTGTACGCGAAAAAGTCGCCGAAACGGCTCGCCAATGGCAACCAATGTACAACGCAAAACACGGTACTCAAAGCACCAAAGAGGCGGCTTTGGAAAGACGGCCCCGCTAACGACCACATTTCGCCACATTTCAAAGCGACATCTGGCGCCGGAGCAATGCAGGACGGAGCTATGTAGGAAGCCCACGCTGGAAAGCACAGCAGGCGAGTGCGCTTTAGGTTCGACTTCAGGCAAGGAACCGACTTGCACACGAATACAAATGTGTCCAACCAATTCAAGCACATACCCTAGCATACGACGCTGTCAGAAGCCGGTTGGCCGTCCAAGGTGGAAGTGGCTCGTTACGATAGTAAATCAAAGCGATATAAACGGGGAAGCCAGTTTGAAACTGTGCACGAGTATTGCTATGACAGGAGAAGGAATAGCGGTACCACCTCCTACTGCAAAAAAGGAGGGGGGGAAGCCGCCGATTAAGAGGTGCGTCATGTGATAGCAAGAGTGAGAGCGAGTGGAAGGGCCACGGCGTGTCACGTGCGTGACAATAAATGGGAGGAGCGTAGCATGATGGATGAGTGTAGCATGATGGATGAGTGGGACAAAGACTGCGTGCGGGAGGGTGATAGGGTGGGGCACTGTGCGCATACGAGCGAGTGGGAGGTACGCCGTGTGTTTAAGCGTGTGGGAGGGGCGCTGTGTGCTGGAGGGCCATTACGAGGACAGCCGCATGCAGGAGGGCCGCAAGGAGCGCCAAGTAAAAGAGGGGCGGTGGGAGAAGGGCAGCGTGCGGGACAGCACCCCCACTTAACTGGCCTCCTCAACCCAAGCAACCCACATACGCATGCATGCAAGCACTCCCACTTTACTCGTTCCCTCGCCCCGTGCATCACACAAGCACATGCAAGCCCTAGGTCCGGTCGTTTTCTGAGAGTGCTTCTTACGCCCTACTCACCCTCAGCACCAGTACTGGACTTATATATCTACATACGCTACCATATTCCATGGCTCCTGTGGCGGTTCTGTGGGGACTTCATCTTCCGACAATCACAGTGCGCTCCTACTCGCGGCCAGTTTTCTTAACACATGCAAGCAACCATGCTTCGCAAGCCCCCTCGCCCCATGCAACCCACACACGCACACACATGCACGCAAATCCGCTTTACGCGCCCCCTCGGCCCATGCAACCCACACAGGCATGCCCGCACCCCCGCTTTACTTGCCCCGCCCCTCGCCCCATGCAACCAACGCACACATGCAAGCACTCCCGCTTTACGCGCCGCCTTACCTCATGCAACCAACACACTCACGCATGCACGTACCCCCGCTTTACTCGTCCCCTAGCCCCATGCAACACACGCACGGTCAATCGCAGTACGCTCCGCCTCGCAGCCAGTTATCTCAACAGATGCAAGCAACCATGCTTTACAAGCCCTCTCGCCCCATGCAACCCACACACGCATGCATGCAAGCACTCCCGCTTTACACGCCCCCTCGCTCCGTGCAACACACATATGCACGCATGCAAGCATCTCCGCTTTACTCGCTCCCTCGCCCCATGCAACCCATACACGCACGCATGCAAGCACTGCCGCTTTTACTCACCCACTCGGCCCATGCAATCCCTACACACATGCACCCACCCCGCTTTACTCGCACCCTTGGCCCATGCAACCCACGCACGCATGCACGCACCACCACATTACGCGCCCTCCTGCCCAATGCAATCCACACTCGAACGCACGCAAGCACCGTAGCTTCACGCGCCCCCTCACTCCATGCAACCCACGACAGCGGACATGCATGCATTCCCGTTCACTCGCCCCCTCGCCACAAGCAACTCATACACGAACCCCCGTTTTACTCGCCCCCTTGCCCCATGCAACCCACACTCGCACGCATGCAAGCACCCGTAGCTTTACGCGCCCTCTCCCCCATGCAACCCACGCCAGCAGACATGAATGCATTTCCGCTTTACTCGCACCCTTGGCCCATGCAACCCACGCACGCATGCACGCACCCCCACTTTACGCGCCCTCCTGCCCAATGCAATCCACACTCGAACGCATGCAAGCACCGTAGCTTCACGCGCCCCCTCACTCCATGCAACCCACGACAGCGGACAGGCATGCATTCCCGTTCACTCGCCCCCCCCGCCACAAGCAACTCATACACGAACCCCCGTTTTACTCGCCCCCTTGCCCCATGCAACCCACACTCGCACGCATGCAAGCACCCGTAGCTTTACGCGCCCTCTCCCCCATGCAACCCACGCCAGCAGACATGGATGCATTCCCGCTTTACTCGCACCCTTGGCCCATGCAAACCACGCACGCATGCACGCACCACCACATTACGCGCCCTCCTGCCCAATGCAATCCACACTCGAACGCACGCAAGCACCGTAGCTTCACGCGCCCCCTCACTCCATGCAACCCACGACAGCGGACATGCATGCATTCCCGTTCACTCGCCCCCTCGCCACAAGCAACTCATACACGAACCCCCGTTTTACTCGCCCCCTTGCCCCATGCAACCCACACTCGCACGCATGCAAGCACCCGTAGCTTTACGCGCCCTCTCCCCCATGCAACCCACGCCAGCAGACATGAATGCATTTCCGCTTTACTCGCACCCTTGGCCCATGCAACCCACGCACGCATGCACGCACCCCCACTTTACGCGCCCTCCTGCCCAATGCAATCCACACTCGAACGCATGCAAGCACCGTAGCTTCACGCGCCCCCTCACTCCATGCAACCCACGACAGCGGACAGGCATGCATTCCCGTTCACTCGCCCCCTCGCTACATGCAACTCATACACGAACCCCCGTTTTACTCGCCCCCTTGCCCCATGCAACCCACACTCGCACGCATGCAAGCACCCGTAGCTTTACGCGCCCTCTCCCCCATGCAACCCACGCCAGCAGACATGAATGCATTCCCGCTTTACTCGCACCCTTGGCCCATGCAAACCACGCACGCATGCACGCACCACCACATTACGCGCCCTCCTGCCCAACGCAATCCACACTCGAACGCATGCAAGCACCGTAGCTTCACGCGCCCCCTCACTCCATGCAACCCACGACAGCGGACAGGCATGCATTCCCGTTCACTCGCCCCCTCGCCACATGCAACTCATACACGCACCCCCGCTTTACTCGCCCCCTTGCCCCATGCAACCCACACTCGCACGCATGCAAGCACCCGTAGCGTTACGCGCCCTCTCACCCCATGCAACCCACGCCAGCAGACATCTATGCATTCCCGCTTTACTCACACCCTTGGCCCATGCAGTCCACGCACGCATGCACGCACCCCCACTTTACGCGCCCTCCTGCCCAATGCAATCCACACTCGAACGCATGCAAGCACCGTAGCTTCACGCGCCACCTCACTCCATGCAACCCACGACAGCGGACATGCATGCATTCCCGTTCACTCGCCCCCTCGCTACATGCAACTCATACACGCACCCCCGCTTTACTCGCCCCCTTGCCTCATGCAACCCGTGCAAGCACGCATGCACCCCCTCTAATACTTGCCCCCTCGCCCCATGCAACCCACACACGCACGCATTTAAGCACCTCTGCTTTACTCGCCCCCTCACCCCATGCAACCCACACTCGCACGCATGCAAGCACCCGTAGCTTTACGCGCCCCATCGCCCCATGCAACCCTCGCCCGCAGACATGCATGCATTCCCGCTTTACTCGCACCCTTGGCCCATGCAAACCACGCACGCATGCACGCACCACCACATTACGCGCCCTCCTGCCCAACGCAATCCACACTCGAACGCATGCAAGCACCGTAGCTTCACGCGCCCCCTCACTCCATGCAACCCACGACAGCGGACAGGCATGCATTCCCGTTCACTCGCCCCCTCGCCACATGCAACTCATACACGCACCCCCGCTTTACTCGCCCCCTTGCCCCATGCAACCCACACTCGCACGCATGCAAGCACCCGTAGCGTTACGCGCCCTCTCACCCCATGCAACCCACGCCAGCAGACATGAATGCATTCCCGCTTTACTCGCACCCTTGGCCCATGCAAACCACGCACGCATGCACGCACCACCACATTACGCGCCCTCCTGCCCAACGCAATCCACACTCGAACGCATGCAAGCACCGTAGCTTCACGCGCCCCCTCACTCCATGCAACCCACGACAGCGGACAGGCATGCATTCCCGTTCACTCGCCCCCTCGCCACATGCAACTCATACACGCACCCCCGCTTTACTCGCCCCCTTGCCCCATGCAACCCACACTCGCACGCATGCAAGCACCCGTAGCGTTACGCGCCCTCTCACCCCATGCAACCCACGCCAGCAGACATCTATGCATTCCCGCTTTACTCACACCCTTGGCCCATGCAGTCCACGCACGCATGCACGCACCCCCACTTTACGCGCCCTCCTGCCCAATGCAATCCACACTCGAACGCATGCAAGCACCGTAGCTTCACGCGCCACCTCACTCCATGCAACCCACGACAGCGGACATGCATGCATTCCCGTTCACTCGCCCCCTCGCTACATGCAACTCATACACGCACCCCCGCTTTACTCGCCCCCTTGCCTCATGCAACCCGTGCAAGCACGCATGCACCCCCTCTAATACTTGCCCCCTCGCCCCATGCAACCCACACACGCACGCATTTAAGCACCTCTGCTTTACTCGCCCCCTCACCCCATGCAACCCACACTCGCACGCATGCAAGCACCCGTAGCTTTACGCGCCCCATCGCCCCATGCAACCCTCGCCCGCAGACATGCATGCATTCCCGCTTTACTCGCACCCTTGGCCCATGCAAACCACGCACGCATGCACGCACCACCACATTACGCGCCCTCCTGCCCAACGCAATCCACACTCGAACGCATGCAAGCACCGTAGCTTCACGCGCCCCCTCACTCCATGCAACCCACGACAGCGGACAGGCATGCATTCCCGTTCACTCGCCCCCTCGCCACATGCAACTCATACACGCACCCCCGCTTTACTCGCCCCCTTGCCCCATGCAACCCACACTCGCACGCATGCAAGCACCCGTAGCGTTACGCGCCCTCTCACCCCATGCAACCCACGCCAGCAGACATCTATGCATTCCCGCTTTACTCACACCCTTGGCCCATGCAGTCCACGCACGCATGCACGCACCCCCACTTTACGCGCCCTCCTGCCCAATGCAATCCACACTCGAACGCATGCAAGCACCGTAGCTTCACGCGCCACCTCACTCCATGCAACCCACGACAGCGGACATGCATGCATTCCCGTTCACTCGCCCCCTCGCTACATGCAACTCATACACGCACCCCCGCTTTACTCGCCCCCTTGCCTCATGCAACCCGTGCAAGCACGCATGCACCCCCTCTAATACTTGCCCCCTCGCCCCATGCAACCCACACACGCACGCATTTAAGCACCTCTGCTTTACTCGCCCCCTCACCCCATGCAACCCACACTCGCACGCATGCAAGCACCCGTAGCTTTACGCGCCCCATCGCCCCATGCAACCCTCGCCCGCAGACATGCATGCATTCCCGCTTTTTTCGCGCCCTTGGCCCATGCAACCCACACACACATGCATGCACCCCCACTTTACTCGCCCCCTAGCACCGTGCAACCCACGCATGCACGCATGTAAGCAACTCCGCTTTACTAACCCCCTTACCCCATGCAACCCATGCACACACGCATGTAAGCAACCCCGCTTCACACACCCCCTCGGCCTATGCAACCCACACACGCATGCCCGCAACCCTGCTTTACTTGCCCCGCCCTTTGCCCCATGCAACCCACACACGCATGCAAGCCACCCCGCTTTACTGGTAGGGCCGCCATGTGAGCGTGTGCATTTAGGCGTGTTGAATGCACGTGAGCAGTAAGCAACACGGGTGGCGTGCTGGGCAATACGATATGGGCCTGACATTTACCACAGCCCTTCACACGTCAGCTCACCACTAACGAATGCAGTTCAGCCCAACTTTTTCTCAGCACCCGATTTGCAGACAGATAAAGAAGGACTAGCAAAGCTGGTAACAATAAGAAGGCGCGATAATCACAAGTTGGCAAACAAGGCCCTCCGAAAAACGGACGTCCTGTGTCCTTTTTAGTACGACAATTGTCGCTACTTGCCTATTTACTCCAGCGACACTGTTGGGTTGCCGAGAAAACAAAACGACACGCACTCATACTTATGCCCAAGTACAGACGATTGAAAGGCAAAACGGACCCGAGCACACTGCGATGCCAAAGCAACTTTCGACAACCACTAACCCACGTCCGAACCAAGCTCTTCTGCATAGCATTTATGATGTCTGAACTTTGATTTTTTTGATTTGATGTATCAAATGAGCGGGCGGGGTTAGGCTGTTAGCAGGACGATAACGTTGTCTTAGGTTGACTGACATACGTATCACGAAAGGCCACAACACGTTATCAGAATGCAGCATTTGAACTTGCTACGTGGCGCCTGAGCCATGTAGGAGACCTTCGCTAAAGAGCACCGCAGGCGAGTACGACTACATCCCGACTTCAAGCAAGGAGTCGACTCGACTTGCACACGGATACAAAGAAATATGACGACACCCTGACATCCTGACGCTAACAGAAGCCGGTTGGCCGTCTAAGGTGGAACTCAGTAAATCTAGACCGGGAAGCCAGCTTGAAGTAGTGCATGCTTATGTCTATGCCTAGAATAGCGGTACCTTCGCTTACAGCAAAAGAAGAGAGGGAAGCCGAGTAGGAGGTACGGCATGTAAGCGAGAGCCACCACATGTTTGGCGGCGCGTGCGTGTGAGCGTAGATTGATAGAGGGTGAGTTGGACAAAAGTGGCAAGCGACAAGGCGATTGGGTGGGGCACTGTGTGCGCAAGAGAGCAAGTTGGAGGCATGTACGAGAAGGCAGCAACGCAGCATGGGGAAACAACATCGCCCCCAAACCCCACCACAACCCAAGTTGCGACGGCCCCCCCCTGGCACGCCCCGCCATGTCCGTGTGTCCGTCCGTGTGTCCGTAACGTCAAAACATACAAACTAGACAAAACTATTAATTGCACCTAATAGATATTTGTTATCTGTATTCAGTAAAAATAACAGCAAGTCAAACAAGCTTGATTTCGCAATAAACATATTATTGACCAACCATTGAAAAGGACCACCTCGGCAACACCGATTAGCGCCCCTCTGTGGTTTGTCCTGGTACCGTAAACTATATTTAGTGAATCGGTAACAGCGGCGTGCCGGAAAAGGGCAACCTGTGAAAGTCGGCGGGAGCATGCTTGCATGTACTGTGCTACTCAGAGCCCACACAATCCTTTGTGACGATGTTGCCCGCCTTTGCTATTGATTTGTGCGCCATAATGCCTATGAACTGTAACGCAAACGGGTACGGGGTACCTCGCCTATAAGCTAACATGCGATGTTACGGCGCAATGGCTGAAGTCCTTCTGAGCACGATGCCGAGATTGCCGAGCCTGACCTCCTCATCATGTTAGTAATGTAGGTGAAACCCTAACGACCTGCGGGACCCTGAAAGCACTCCCATGTGGCAGTTACGCCGTTGATTTGGGTTCTGTAGCCTAATGCGTGGGTGTTATCAAGCATGACAAGACGTTACTAAGTACTCGATTGAACAGTGACCTAACAATGTGTGCAATGAATGAGGACACTACGTACGCCATGGGTGAACAAGGCGGCCGGCCTCGGCTGGACAAGGGGCTCTGAGCTCATCTAGCCATGCAACGAGCACTAAAACTACAGTAAACAAGGGGGTTCAGCGTCCGTATAACAAGGTGTGTTAGGCCAACTGGTGCCGTGGAGTCACAGGAGCGCATTCGGCATTCCAGGTCATAAGGCCCATAGGGTTGTGCGTCACGCTTGAGTCGTTCCACTCCCCTAATCGCATTCATTCCAGTGGTAATAATACGTTCCTGTACTGAAGAGGAGGGGCTCCGCCCTTTTCCAGCTTTGAGGAAGCTGAACCCCCTTGTTTTCCAGCTTCGCGCAGGGGTGTCAGGAATTATTTTTCAGCTTCGCGCAGCTCATGCCCACCACTGCATTTTGACTGTAAGAACCCATCCATGTAAGCCCAGATTGCCAAGACAGCTTGACATATACCGCTACGTGTTCCATGGGGCGTACTAGCATGCAGCCCGGGGCTGGGCAGCGGAGCTGACGGGGTGCTGGGGCATGTTGGGGGTGCGGGGAAGGGTCCCGAGGGGTTTCCCCAGTTTCACGCACCCCTCACAGCAATTATTCTATTTTGCGCGAAACTGCGCATTTCCCGGAATAATTGTTTATTTTTGCGCGATGATATTGTGAAGGTACGGTAGTCAAACTTGTTAGGTGGGTGGGGTGGGGTACCGGTACCTGGATTGGGGTGAGGTGCAGCCTCCGGACCCGCCGGGGTACCCGTGGCGAGGGTGGTTAGGGTGGGAGGCGCACGTCTCAGCCAGCTTCAGGTTTTCGACTAGCTTCCCTGCTGGCTTCCCGCTATCTTCCTCCTTCGGGTCTGATGTTTTACGGCATCCCCTCCCTCCGCACGACGCAGGTGGTACCAGACACACTTCGGGTCGGAGTATCCGCCCAACCGCAAGGCCCTCATTCCCTTCGTCTTGTAAGGACGCGACAAGGGCACGTGTAGCAACGCACCATGTATGCTCGCATGCTGGCGCGCGCCATGCTAGCAGCCTAACACGCTAGCAGCCACCATGCTAGCAGCCTAACACGCTAGCAGCCACCATGCTAGCAGCCACCATGCTAGCACATCCGTACGACAACAGCGCATCAGTACGACAACAGAACCGGTATGGTGATGCGGTACGGCAGCCAGAGGCATTAGGGAACCAGTGGAACGGTCATTCATTCATTAAGTTAGAGGCGGCCGCTAGGGGCTGCGGCAGCAATGGTGGCGGCTGGTGGCGTGTGTGGGCGGGGCATTGGCAGGGTGACGAGGGTGTATGTGGGCACTTACCGGCGAGGGAGGGTGAAGGGTAAGGCGGGGTGGGGGTTGGGGAAGGAGGCCAAGGGTAGTTTCGCGTGTCAGGGCAGGCGGTGTGGAGGGCGATTGGCGACGCGGTGTGAAGGGGGCCTGGGTTGGTCGGTAACCGTGCGGCAATGCGGAATGGATATGTTGGTTGGTTGTGTTGGGCCGGCGGCACCTGTGTGATGTTTCGTTTTCTGTTTGCAGCCAGGACGGCCGTGAACGTAACATAGCCTCAACTTCTAACGTAGAATGGAGTTGATAGGACTGCACGCCTAAGTCGCTTGCATATGTTTCTCCTTCTTCTGCAGTCCATGAGCCTCCTGGCTCATCTGTGCCTTACGAGCCTCAGCTTGTAACCATCATCGTCAAGTTGTAATACTTCGGCCCAGCTTGAAGCATGGCTGACACATGCGCCGTACCGGTAGGCAACAAGCTCATCATGGTCGGGGAGAAGTGTTCGGGTCGGAAGAAGTGTACGGGAGAACTTGCCGGGGTGTCACTAGGGGTACAACGAGGCCCCGGAGGCCTCACAGGGCGCCTGGCACCAGCAGTTGAGCAGTCCAAGAAGCTTTCTGAACAACTCCTTACGCCTCCCTTACCTACTGTTCCTAACCTTCCTACTCTCAAGCTGCTGCTGCCACTTCACTGTCTCCTACACTCCAAGAAAGCCAATCCTGCGCCTCCCACCACCTACGCCCCAACCCACACCCAACATGAGGTCCACTATCACTTTCTGCCCCCCTTTTTGGGCGTAGCCCCTGTCGTGAAGCGGCACCATCAGGGGGGGGGGAGAACTGACGAGGCAACTAATGAGCTGTGTGACCACCAGGGTGGGGGGGGGAGTCCAGGGCATTGCACTCGGCACCGTACGACAGGAGCCCCCCACCATGCAATGCAGATACCAGCCCACCCAGCCTGCCCAGGCCCTCAGTGCACACCTGCGGCTCCTCCCGGCCGCATGCCCTGCCATACGGTATCCACCGCGGTACCCCAACCAACTCCGACCCCCCCCCAGTGATGCTGCTCCCGCCCGCACATGCTGCTCCCTGCGTGTTCTGCCCAGACGTGTGTGGGCGTCACAATTGCCCAAGGGCGTTGGCCGATGGTACCGGACCTGCATGGCAGGGGGGAGGACGGGGGGAGAGGTGCTGGGCGGCTGAGCCGAGGGTTGCTGGGTGCGGTTTTGGGTCGCGAGGCAGCCACAAGACACATGGTAGTTAGATAGGGTGCTGTAAGTCTGTAACACTTGGTCTGTGTTGTAACATATGGCCTGTGACATCACTCACAGGGCCCCCACCATGCAACATAACACGGTTTCACATACGGTAACATGACCTGCGCACCACGTAATAAATTGGTGCTACCAGGACAAAGCATGGGCAGTTCTGGGAAGCCATGCCCCAAGGTGTCGTGCTCGGTTCGCAGGTGCATACACATGCCCACCTCCCATGTGGGGCCATGTCAGCACCGCCCTCCACCGCCCTCCCGCCCCCTTCACTTGTTCTTCTTGCCCATGTGCGTCACCCCCTTCTGCCCCTTCTTGGGCGCCTTGGGGCCCCTGCCTCCCGGCAGCTGACGTGCGACCTGCGGGCGGCGGTAATAAAGGATTTCAAAATAACCGGCCTCAAAGTGCGTAACTTACACACAAAGGCAATCATCTGGCCAGTTCGTACATGCATGCGCCCTAAACCTCTAGTAGCAGCGGCAAGCACCCCGCCCCACCCACCTCGTCGTCATAGCGATACACCACCAAACGACCTCGCTTTTGGCCGGTGTTGATGATCTCGGGATACCTATTAACAATTGCGGGAGCCGGCATATGGGCATGTCAAAATTGGTCGACATGCCCACGGGTCGCCCACGGGTGCCCACGGGTGCCGACGGGTCTAGGGAACCAAGCGCCACAAAGGTGACATCGCAACCGGCCATCGCACCTCGCAATGGCGCGTGTCAAGTTTAGTTTCCACCGTGGAACTGCCCGGTACATGGGATGTGGCCTGCAGCGCGAAGCACAACCATGCACAGGATTACGTGAAGAGTCGGCGGCAGCCGTTGAGCATCAAAACACCCAGTTCCCACCGATGATCCAGCAATGGAGTGATGTCGGGGTCCGATTGTAGGAAGGCGGCAAGGTCGTCTAGGGTACCCTGCAAGCAGCCAAGGCGGCAAGAAAAGCCATGGAGAGTTACCCCCAGCTGCCAGACTGGCCGCATGCGGTAGCTCCCGGACCCAGCCTACCTCATGATTTGGCATCAGTAAAAGGGCCCGACGCGACCAATCCTGCATGCATGGAGGGTTTAGGACATACCCACTGTTACGCACCACTGCCTTGTGCCCAGTTGTACCGTGCAGGCAGTTCCGCCGCATGCCTTACCCTCCAATTATAGGTTCCACGGGCCGCAACAATAGTCATCACCCGGCCTGCAATTTAAAGGCAACAGGTAAACATTCCAGCCATAGCACGGGATGCACCAAACTGGAGTGCAATTCAGGAGATACCTGCGAGCTCGCTGTACTGTACGAATTCGCACCTGCAAAAGGGTCTGCGCCGTTGGCCACTTGATTCCGGACCCTAGCTAACTTGTGTTGGACCCTCCTACGGATTGCACCATCAGGGTCGGGCAGCTCCGCCCAGCCTGCAACAAAACCCAAACAAAGGCCCTTACGTTCGTCATTGGGGCTGCTTTGGGGCAAACCCACGCGACATGTGCCATGTCCAGCCGTACTTGGGTCAAATATCGCAGGTGCTCTAGCCCGCCAATACATCCTACACGTGGCTCCACTCAGAGTGTACTTACCCAGCCGCGCCACTCCCTCACGGCCGTGAGATGGCTGACCGGGGGGAAGGGACGCCACATATTGCACCAGCAACTGCGTTGCAGGTTGCAAGACGCTGAGAAAGGGGAGTCCCGGAAATGCCCTGAGAGGTACTAAGTGACTCTTACCAAGCAAGCCCCATTACCTCGTCATTACGCAGTGTTACTGACCTCACCCCACCCAACGCACCTCCAATTGCTCCTTGTTCCAAACTTCTCCAGGACGCCATCCGTAAGCCAGGGTGCTGCTTTGTTGGCCGACAACGTTGACTGTGTTCTCCTCCTGTCCCAGCCCGGTGCTTCGGCGGCTGCCGGACGCGACATCGTGGCTTCTTCCCAATCGGGGGCGCTTCGCGACAACGGCGTTGCATGCTTCCTCAATGTCTCCGTCCACGAGGTTGGCAGCTAGTCCCTTCCAGTCCGCGACAAAGCTTCTGCCCGACCGCAAGACCCAATTTGAAATTGGGCCCGCATGGCAAGTAACGTTTCTTAAAACTACAGCACTAGCGACCGAGAGCCTAGGTTTGCTCATATTGGGGCACCTGTAGTAGAGGTGCCCCAGGCTTAAACACCGGCAGGCTTTAAGGTTGTCTTGACGATTCAAAGTAGTGGGTAAAACTGTCCAGGCAGCAACAGGAGATGTGACAGCAGTTCAAATCATCAATACATAAAAATCCTGAAATGGGATCCATCCTGGTACTGTTGAGTTGTTTCGGAGCAGCAAGACGTTTACCGCGTTTCCTGGAACGCGGTCAATATTTCCTGATATCCCAATGCAAAGCCCGGTCAGACGTGCTTGCTGCGCTCAAGCGGCTTGATTGTGTTTCCCAGAATCACCAGGTAACTGGTTGGGTGCCCACTCTGGGTATTTGTGTGCCAGGCTCTTATACCACGAATGGCGCAAAGAACGATTGCCTACCATTTTCGGTATTCCCTTCTCAAATTCCCGCAAGGCGCCCTGGCTAAGATCGCAGGGCCTATCCTGACTTTTAATGGCCACCGGTAGAAGGGCATTGGTTAAAATCCACGAAGCACGTCACCAAGCCGGCAAGCTGGTGAAAGGCTTGGCATTTGATTGCTGAAGCTGGAAAGTACGGCGTTCCCGTACCGTTTATCTGTTGCGCCAAATTGCAAGGCACGAAGGCGGACATGGGATGCCATAAATGCGTTGTTATGTTGCAAGTCCGTATACGCCCATACTGCATTTAAAGGCTAATAGGACTACAGTAAAAGAGACTATCAATGGCCCTCTTAAAAGATGTGATCCGCCAAATTAGTGTAGATGCGGCAGCACGTTTGCTGTACTGTTTAGATCGTGAAGACCGCCCCAACGTTCGACTGGCATGTCGGGAGTTTCGCGCTTTTGTCGACGCCAACGTGAGCAGCTTGACAATCCAGCTGAAGCCTGGCGACCGACAGCGCTGGCTTGACGGCCATACTCCATCTCTTTCACGTTGGCCACTGTGCAGCGACTTGACTGTCCGTGTACGGCGCTCAAACCCCAGCAACGGCGATGATGATGCTGAAGCCGATGATACACCCCCAACCGCAAGCCTACTGACGCTCCCCTTCATCGGCGTGCCACCGGAGGCACGACGGCGCATAACATGCATGGCGGTTCAGGTTCCGCTCTCCTCTGACACCATCGTTGCATCCATTGCATCCCGTCTACCCAACCTGAAATCGCTGGACCTGAGCGAGGCCAAGCTCTCGTCAGACCAGCTCCAGCATCAGCTTCTGTTGGAGGCCCTCGGAAGCCTGCCTCACCTGAAGCACCTGATACTGCCCTCCTATGCCCCGTTGGAATGCATTGGCACACTGGCTGGGAGCAGTGTTAAGGAGCTTGAGGTCGGGCCCCACAGTCAAAATCCATACTTGACGGAGGCAGCAGTGGCAGGCATTTCACGCCTTCAAGGATTGACGAGCCTCTCCCTGTGGCGCTTTCCCCTGGGCTTCAGTACCCAGAGGTGGCGTGAGAAGGAACATGCGGTGTTCCTCCAGATGCTTGACAACCTGCCAACAACCATGGAGGGGCTGGAGTTGGGCCAACATGTGGATTACAACGAGCCTTCGAACTACTTCCATATGAAGCTCAAACACGCCAAGTTGGAGGAGCTCACAGTTTGCGGCAGGGATGGCATGCTCGTGGAGTTCCCAGCCCTTGCAGAGGTCCTGCTGGCAAGCCGCGTGATGGGACCCAAGATTGCCCGGCTCCAGATAGAGGTGGCCATCATCCCGAGCGGCATGTCAGTTGAAGAACAACAGCTGCAGCACTGGAGGGAGATCCTCCAGCGCAGTGAGGTGGTCGAGGTGGAGGAAATGAACATTCAGAATGGAGAAGTGATGGAGATGATTGACTTGTTTGGGAAGCCGGAGTGCCTCATCCTCGTGGACAAAGACACCTCAATGGAGAGACTGATCCTCAAGCTCCGCAACCCCAAGGAGTCGCCCACCCTCGTAGAAGCAGTGGAGCTGCTACAGGGCGGCCTGCAAGGTGCTGCACTGCCACATCATGTGGGCTCGACGAGGGGATCTTGCTCCTCTGCTAGTAGTGTGTGCAAGGCCGCACTGCAGTCCATGTCTGCAAACCCCAGTGGGGGCCCTCACACCATGCTGCTGCTCCAGGGCCCCTTTGTGAGGATGTTGGTCAACGGGCCGGAGGCTGTGGAGGGCTGGCTGAAGGGGCTGGAGGGCCAGGCCGCTTTTCTGGCCATGATGCCCATGCTTGGAAGGAAAATAGACTTCATTGCATCCTGCCTGGTTGTGCCGGATGCATTCAGCATAGTGCTGCAGTGCAGAGCACAGGAGGCGGTGGCCATAGATGGTGGCGCTGTGTCCCCTGCTGCAGCTGTGGCAAAGGCTGCAGTGGACGCTGCCGCTGTTGGGGGAGGGGTAGGAGGGGGCGCGGCACTGCTACAGGTGCTGCCAGTGATGCAGACAGGCATGAGCTGCAAGGAGCTGTTCCGCTACAGTGTGGAAAGGGTGAGTACGTTGGGGGGCCTGGGGGGCTGAGGGGTTAGGGAAACATATGTATGGGAAGTGGTAAGGGAGGGTGGCCACATCGAGGGAGGGTAGCCATAACGAAGTAATAAGCCTGGTATGGCCTGGGAGGGAACACAAGCCATTCTGCAGTGGTGTGGTAGATGACACTGTCCAAATGTGACTCAGCGATACCCTGGTAATGCTCACGGCAAGGACAGCCCCCGCCCAGCACGAACAGCCCCCGCACAGCACGGACAACCCCCGCACGGCCCCGACGGCTCCTGTCTTCAATCAGCTTCCCGCCTCCCTGTGTACCCAATTTGCCATGCAGGAGCTGCAGGGTGTCTGGGACGCACGTCACAGCAGTGGAGGGGGTTGCCGTGTGGGTGAGGGCCTGGTGCTGATGCAGCTGGTGGAGATCTGGAAGTACATCAACCACCGGTCATACTGCATTGACTTTTAGAGATCTGGGGAGACATCAGTCGTCTATCGTACTGCATTGTGATCCTAGGATGTGGGGAGGCATCATTCGGCTGGCCGCCCTAGCCCACGCTGCCTGCAGGGTCAGCGGTTTGGGCGTGGCGGCGGGGCCGTTGGGCGGTCAAGGGGGTATGCCGGCGGGGCGGGTGCGTTCCCGGCTGTGCTTCCGGAGTGCACGGCTGTCAGCGTGGGGCCTCTCGGTGTTTTGTTTCGCCGGGTTGTGCCCTCGTCTTGGGGACGCCGGCGCCTAGCTGGCGCAGCTTGTGTGGCGGGTTGTGCCTGGGGGGGCCGGCGCCTATGGGATGTCCCCTCTCCTTCCTGTACTTCTTGGGCGTAGGTTGCCGGTGGGTTGGTTCGTGTCTCCGATCCGCGGCGTACCGGGTTGTGTGGCCCCCGCGGTTCCGTTGGGTCCATTGCTTGATCCCAGTTCATAGGTGGCCGCACGTGGCGGATGTCTACGTGTATGCAGTTTTGGGTTAGGGCATCTGCGTTCGCTAGATGGTAGATGTCGCCTTCGTTGTCAGTCCATAGTCGCCCTATGAGAGCAGGCGCCGGTCTCTGAGAGTCGATGAGGTACCAGTGGTCGCCGCGCCGCTTTCTACGTTCTAGCTGTTCAGAGATGTGGGGACGCACCTAACCACTGTCGTATTGTGTTAGGAGTATAGAGGTTTGGGGATAGAGCAGGCTAACGGCTGTCGTACTGAGATTCGGTCTAGAGGCCTGCTGGGGAGGCATCAAACGGATGTCGTAATGCATTTCGTTGGATGGTGTTCACGGGAACATGCAGTGCTTACCTGTGGCGATTTGTGAGTAATTGCTTGGAGGGAAGTATTTTGTCTTCCCAGTTATTGGGGCTTGTCTTGTCACCAATCCAGCACGTATTACTCTTGGAGAGAGTGGAAAGCTTTTGTCCTGATAAGTCATGCGGGCTCACGGACACATGGGTGGCTCTGGCGGTGGTCTTTTCGTTGTGGTGGTTGTGCTGGTAGTGGTGGTGGGGTTGTACGCGTATACGCACGAGTGACGGTTGAGGTTGGCCGGGGGACCTGTATACACAGCAGGTCGTGGCTTGATTGGGACACTCCCTGTGATGTCTGATGTGCTGTGCTGTGCGGCAAGGGGGATTGCGGATGAAACGGTTCGTCGGTCGGTCGGAGCTGTTTAAGCAGCCAAGAGGGAGTCGCTTGCTGGAGTGTACGGGAGTACGGGAGTGTAAGGGAGTTGACAAACGGCTAAAATGTTGTTCTCACACGGGCTATATGTCAATCCAATTACAGATTATTATTATAATGTCTAACATTTACTTGTTTACTGCTTGGTGTCTCTCTACAACGATTTTTTCCAGATCCCGCCAAGTGATCTGCAAACCTCTCATCGCCTGAGCATCCAGCAGCCAGCTTGTCAGCGAAAATGTTGTTATAACAAGACGTTCTTTTACCTATCCAGTCCTAAGCATCACATGCGTCAATTACCACTTAGTAAAGACATCAGCTTTTGCTTTCTCTTTTGCGCACAGCGCTGTTTCCGCGATGTCTTCACGGCTAGAGGTAGTCGCGCTTCCTCTTCCGCCCCACCTGCGGAACAGGCTGCTCGCTGCCGGCTTCACTCACACAGACGACCTGGAGCGAGCAGGCGGTCCCGTGGGGCTGGCACGAGGTGCGCGGGAAGTAAGCCGACCAACGGCCTGACACCTTTGTCTTGTCTGCATGCTTACCTACAACTTGTGTATATTGTCCTCCTCGCTGCTGATGGAACCGCAGCCATAGCTTGTCTCCTGGTGCTTAACATGTCTCCTTTCCTCTCCATGCCGGGTGTAAAGTACTACCGGTGCTTGGAGTGGGGGTAATCGTGGTGACACCCTGGCGCCCTGTTTCCCCTCTTCTTCCGGCTAATACTCTCTCCTCTTGCCCACCCCCCCGACCCCCCTTCCTCCCCGTCTGACCCCCTCCTCCTCCTCCTCCTCCTCCTCAGAGACCGGTCTCAGCCCCGAGGAGGCTCACGAGGTGTTGCAGCTGCTGCACCACCTGCCGCCGGCCCCGCCCGCAGCCGTACCCTGGGTGGTTGCGGCGGGGGGGCAGCAGGCGGGGGCGGCGGGGGAGTGGCAGGCGGGGGCGACGGAAGGAGGAGCGGGAGGGGGGAGCGGTGGGGGCGACTGGCGTGCAGGTGAGGGGAAGGAGGAGGAGGAGGGCGGCTGGTGGTACCGTAGATGGGGCATGGGGCTGGGTGATAGGTGGGTGATAGCAGAGTGTGAAGCGTGGGGAGGTGCTGGGGGTAAAGAGCCAGGGAGGGCAGGTGCCTTCGTGTGCAATGCGTTGGTGCCTGCATTATCCCAGCCCCTCTCCCTCCCCCCTTCTGTTCCTACCCTCTTCCTCCTCCCTCCCTCCCTCCCTCCCTCCCTCCCTCCCCCCTTCTGTTCCTACCCTCTTCCTCCTCCCTCCCTCCCTCCCTCCCTCCCCCCTTCTGTTCCTACCCTCTTCCTCCTCCCTCCCTCCCTCCCTCCCCCCTTCTGTTCCCACCCTCTTCTTCCTCCCTCCCTCCCTCCCTCCCCCCTTCTATTCCCACCCTCTTCCCCCTCCCTCCCTCCCTCCCTCCCCCCTTCCCCCTCCCTCCCCCCATGCAGGCACCGTGTCCGCCGCCGCCCTGCTAGCCGCCTCCGCCGCCCGGCCCCGCATCGTGACCATGTGTCGGGAGCTGGACGAGCTGCTGGGGGGCGGGGTGGCGGTGGGGCAGGTGACGGAGTTCTGTGAGTGGGGGCGGGGGAGGGTGGGTACGTAGGGAGGACGTTAATGATGAGTGATGCTATTGGAGTCCCAATCCTCGTAGGGGGAAGGGGGTAGGAGAAGGGAAAGAAGAAGAAGGGCCATGCTTTGGGCGATGTTGGGGAGGGAGGGAGGGTAAGGAAAGGAGAGGGGGGACCCTGGGGTGTCTTTTTGTGTCCTGCGGGGCGTGCAGTGCAGGCTCCACCCGTTTCCTCACATGCCCTCACGTGCCCTCACGTGCACGTAAAGACCTCACGTGCCCTCCTCACGTTGCCTTGCTGCACCTGCCCATGCCCGCCCCTGTCCTTTCCACCACATTGCCGACGACGTGCGTCACCTGACCTACCATGCCTGATGCCGTACCCCACCCCACCCACCCCACCTCACCCCGCCTAACCTCCACCCTCACCCCAACACCCCACCCGCTCCCCACCTCACCCCCACCCCCACCCTGCTGCATTGCGTATCCTTCTTTTCCCCGCCCACCTGCAGGCGGGGTGCCGGGGGTCGGCAAGACGCAGCTGGGGTGGGTAGCGCGGAGGGGGGCTAGAGCGGGAGGGCTGCAGCACTGCTTAGGCTAGATCCTGGATTGGGAGGGGGGGGGGCTCGAGCCGGGGCTTTGAGGCCTGGAATGGGATGAAGGGGCGCTGCTGCTGCCGGGCTGGCTGGCGGGCGGGTGGGTGGGCGGGGGATGAGGATGATGAGGAGGAGGAGGATGGAGGGGCGGGCGAGGTGGCAGGCGTCGTACCACCGCTACCGTTGTATGTACCCAACGTGCCCCAATGTGCTCAACGCGTCATCCTCTCCCCGCCGCCCTACTCCACCCTTCCTTTCCACGTTTCCCCTCCCCCCCTTCTCCTGTCCCTGTCCTCCCCCTGCCCCCTCCTCCTGCCCCCCTCCTCCTGCCCCCCTCCTCCTGCCCCCCAGCATGCAGCTGGCCGTCAACGCCCAGATCCCCGCAGCTCTAGCGGGGGCGCAGGGGCAGACGGTGTATGTGGGTGAGTGGGGGAGGGCAGTTGTATGGGGAGGTTCAAGCCAGCAGTGTGTTTCCGATCTCACCTGACAAACCCAGTCCACTAAAACCCGGTGTAAATTGTTCACGCCCCCAACACCTCACGGCCACCCCCCCTTTCCCCTTCCACTCGCCCCTACTCCCCCCCCCCCGCCCAGACACGGAGGGCAGCTTCATGGCTGAGCGCTGTGCGGATATCGCCGAGGGAGCTGTACGGCATGTGACCGCAATGGCGGCAAAACAGGTGCGTGGTTGTACGACAAATACACAATTGCGTTGTTGTACGACACGCGTGTATGGTACGACAGGGATGCGGTGGTTACCCGCGTCCGCTCCGGTGGTGGGTGCTGGGCGACCGATGTGCTCCGGGTTGCCTGATGGGTTGGGAGGACCCCTGGAGCTGCCAGGGCTTGTTTAGGCAAGCGGCTCCTCAAACATGGCAAGAATCCACTCCCCCCTTTTCCCTCCACCATGTTTTGCACCCCATGGTGAAGCCTTGTCATATACAGCTCGTCAATTGCCTCATTCTTACCCCTCTCTCCGTCCCCTTCCCCTCCCTTTTCATTCGTTCTCTCCCCTCCCCCCCCCTCCCTCCTCAGGCCTCCCTGGGTCGTCCCGAGCTGCTGGATTCCCTCCGCTCCGGGCTCCTGGCCTTCGACGTGCGGTCGCTGCTGGGGGGCATCTACTGCTTCAGAATACACGACCACACGGAGCAGGTAGCGGGGGGGTGGGGGGAGGGAGGGGTGGGGGGGGGAGGGAGGGGGGGGGTGGGGGGAGGGAGGGGGGGGTGGGGGGAGGGAGGGGGGGGGTGGGGGGAGGGAGGGAGGGGGGGGGAGGGAGGGAGGGGTGGGGGGAGGGTGGGAGGGAGGATACCTAATCGCATGGAGCAGGTAGCGGGGTGGGGTGGGGGTTGCGGAAGGAGGTGGAGGTAGGGGTGGGGTGGGGACGTAGGGAGGGGTGCCAGGGAGGAAGCAACCTAAGGCAGGTAGGGGTGTGAATCCATGGCCCCACGGAGCAGTTAGAGCTAGTGCGCATGCTATGTACCGTAATAGGGGAGGGGGAGGGATGGGAAGTGGGGTTGGGTGCTTCCTGGTAGGAGGAGGTAAGGGCCTGAAGGTACGGGGTACTAGGCGGCCCCCACCTCTGTCGCTACGCAGTAGTACCTAACACAGGGAGGTATGTATGGTTGCCTTGTAGCCGTTTTAACACACATGCCCAGATGCCAGCCCCCCGTCCTCTGAACCCCGCTCCTGATTTCTCTTTCCCGTAATCCGCAATCCCTTTCCCGCCTCCCCCCCAGCTGGCCCTCACCAACATGCTTCCTCGCTTCCTGCAGCAGAACCCGCAGGTGGGGTGTGAGGGGGCGGGGGTGAGGGAGGGGGGTGAGGAGGGAGGGGGGTGAGGAGGGAGGGGTGGGAGTGAGGAGGGAGGGGGCGGGGGTGAGGGAGGGGGGTGAGGAGGGAGGGGTGGGAGGGTGAGAGGGGGGAGTGGGGGATGGGGAGGGGGGGTGAGAGTGTGATGGGAGGTCTGGTAGGGTGGGGAGGGGGGGTTTGGATGGGGAGGGCTTGGGGTTGAATCCTACTCCTAGGGTGTTCGGCGGGGGCGGTGGGCAATACCCTCTCTCCTTTCTACCCCCCTTTCCACTCCCTCCGTCCACCCATCCACGCATCTCGCCTCCCCCTCCGCCCCCCGTTGCAGGTCCGTCAGGGCTTGTCAGCTAGTTTACCACTATCACACCACACATTGGGTATTCTTCTTTTCCCCTGCAGGTCCGCAATTCTTAAATCCAGCCTAATGCGGAATCTGTATCCCCTTGCAGGTCCGGCTGCTCATCTTCGACTCCATCACCTTCCACTTCCGACAGGACTTCCCCGACATGGCCGCCCGCACCCGCACCCTGACTCACATGGCGCAGCAGCTCATGGCAGCGGCACAGGAGTATGGGGTGGCGGTGAGGGGGGGGTGTGGGGCGGGGTGAGCGGCACAGGAATACGGAGTGGCGGTGAGGGGGGGGGAGAAGAATACCTAATGTGTTGAATGAGGCTGACAAACAAGTCAGCGGGGGGTGGTGGTGGCAGGGAGAGGGGGTGAGGGGGGTAAAAACAAGAAAACTGACGAACTGTTTGACAATGCTCCATCATGGAGGCAGTGAGGGGGATGTGCGGGCGGGCGGGAGTCCTGATGCACCTACCGGTCGCCCCTTACCACCCACGCCCCCTTACCATCCTCCCCACCCCCCACCCCCCTCCCCAGGTGGTGTTGATGAATCAGGTGACCACCAAGGTGCTGGAGGGCGGGGGCGCCAAGCTGGTACCCGCACTGGGTGGGTGGGGGGGTGGGGGGTGGGGGGGTGCGTGGAGTGAGGGAACATGTGCGGCTCCTTCTTCCCCACACATGCCATGTGGCTCCATGCGGCTCCATGCGGCTCCACCGCTCACGCTCCCTCCCATCCCCGTGTTCACCCCCCATCTTCACCATTGCTTTGACCTAACCTTTTGTCCGTATACCTCTGACCCGCCATCCCCTCATCCATGGACACCCTCGCGCCTTCCCGCTCACCTTAACCACATCCCCTCCCCCCCCTCCTCCCCTTCCCTCCCTCCCTCCCCACCCCCCCATGCACAGGTGAGAGCTGGGGCCACGCCGCCACCACCCGCGTGATGCTGCACTGGGGCGCCTCCGACAACGAGCGCCACGCGGCGCTGTTCAAGTCACCGCACCTGCCGCCGGGGGATGTGGCGTTTGCGGTGACGGCGGAGGGCATTCGGGGGCTGCCCAGGAGCAGGAGGCAGGGGTAGGGCGGGAGGCAGAGGGGTAGGGGGGGAGGCAGAGGGGACAATAGGAGGCAGGGGCAGGAGGCAGGAGCAGGAGGCAGGTGCAGGAGGCAGGTGCAATATCGGTAATAGGCAGGAGGCAGGGGTAGCAGGAGGCAGGAGGAGCAGGAGGCAGGGCGGGCAGTAAGGGCAGAGGAGCAGGAGGCAATAGGCAGGGACAGGTGCAGGAGGCAGTAGTAGGAGACAGCATGCTACTAGGGGTCTTACTCGGAAAGTCTTGAGGGGTGCAGCGGTGGGCTGCGCGAGACACGCACACTTGGGTGTGTAGGAACATGGCGTTGAGAGAGCCCAAGGCAGGGCTGAGTGGGGGGTCTTTGCGAGAAGGGAATTGGAATCGCATGCTGCTGACTCCTGCCCCTGCTGTGCGAGAAGGGAATGACAAAAGAGTTAGTGAAGGGTAGCAAGGCAGGGCTGAGTGGGTTTAATTCCCGAGAATGGAATCGCATGTTGAGTTGCCGACTCCTGGTCGCCCTGGACGTGTCCGAACTGGTGGGTTGTGAAGTCGTACATGCGTGCGGATGTCGTGCGTGAGTTGTACAATGAACCGCGTGTGGGCTATAGGGTGCGTGCGTGTGTTGCACCACAACTAAACAAGTGCATGCCCCCAATTCGTATTCTTCACCTCTCGGACCCTCTCGGGCCTCTCGGACCTTGAGTATATACATGGAAGGCGCTGGCATTTCCCATTTTAGGAATCATCTCTGGCATTCCTCATCCGACTGTGTGTGTCCCATGGGTCACCTGAGGGGGAATTTGCTGGAATACAAGAAATCGGACCGAACCGCGTTCCACACAAGCGGTTTTGTTTGGGATATGTCGTTTTGTGGCACGGCGACTGATGTTCCATGGTTGAGTGCTTGAGGGGGTATTGGACGGGGGTTGCCTGCGGGTTGGTTGTGTTAGGGGGTTGCCGGAGGTGCACTGCTGCCGTTTGGTACACCGCAACACCGGCTGAATGGTAACCAAAATGGTATTAGACCTATCGTAGTTGTAAGAGGCTGCGCTGCACCAAAGAAGTAAAAGGACTGAGATGAGGCTAGCAGAGAGTGTGGAGAGCAATGGCTGCCATAATGAAGTCGAAAAGAAAGCGTTGCAATGACAGGAGCACGGGGAGCTGTACGTCAAGATGTACGGCAGGTAGAGGATGCCGTACGACACGCATGCATGTGCGTTGCAATTCCCAGCCTCGCCCTCTGCCTTCACACGCCTACCTCGGACATTCTGATTGTCCATGTCAGCAAGATGTGCCTTGTAGCCCAGCCCGCGCGGCAAGTCTGCATGTGCGCGAGGTCAGGCTCCAACGTTTGTGGCAATTTTTACGAAGCCCGGACAGTGCCGCTGGAGCTCCTGTGATGCCGCTCTTCTTACCAATTCCCTAACCAACATCCCTAATCAACAACCCACGAACCTTTCTGCAGGTGACCAACCTACTTGCTCGATCGTACGTGTAACATACAATCTCCAACACGCCCGTATCTACAATAAGGACGGCTCTACCAGCTACCAACCCACCGGCTTTTCATTGGGGAATGAAGACCATCCTGCTACATGAAAACACACGCGTGCCGTACTCAGGTACACGTCATACTCAGCCACATGTCGTACTCAGGTACACGTCATACTCAGCCACATGTCGTACTCAGCCACATGTCGTACTCAGCCACATGTCGTACTCAGCCACATGTCGTACTCAGCCACATGTCGTACTCAGCCACATGTCGTACTCAGCCACATGTCGTACTCAGCCACATGTCGTACTCAGCCACATGTCGTACTCAGCCACATGTCGTACTCAGCCACATGTCGTACTCAGCCACATGTCGTACTCAGCCACATGTCGTACACACAGCGCCACACACCTATCCGTACCTACACAGATCCCTACCCCACTCCCGCATGCGCCCTTACTGCTGCCGTGCTGTCGTTCCAAGCCGCTCATAACCCGGTAACACGCGAGCCCTAGGTTACCCAGGTTAGCCCGGCAAACCCTCGGATGGCCTGCAAGCCCCAACCTGCCTCCCCCTAGCTACCGTAGGCTATCTACCGTATCGCACTCGCATCCACCCGCCCGCACGCCTCCTTGTGCCCCGCCTTCCAATGCGCCACCTGACACTCCCGGCAGCAGTACCCCACCGCCCCTCCACACCGCCCGCAACCCTTCAGCTGTACCTCCGCCTCGCTGTCCCCCGCCAGGCTGGTGCAACCCGGGTTGCCGCAGCCCTGCAGCAGCCCCCGCCCCCGCAGCTCCGCCCGCCCCAACAGGGCCGCTGCACGCGCCGCATGCTCGGGGGCCAGTACGGCAGTTGCTGCCCGCCGCAACCGCTCCCGGCTCAGCTCTTCACCGCGGCCGCTTCCGCTGCCGCCACCAACAGCAGCAGCAGCAGCAGCGGCAGTACCAGCATCCCGCCACTCCTCCAGTTGCGTCGCCAGGACCTCAGCTGCACCGCAAACGGCTTCCAAATCCTCACTGCCGCCACCGCTGCCGCTAGGGCCACCACCACTGCCGTCGGTGCCGCCACAGCTGCCACCGCCGCTGCCGCTGCTGCTGCTGGCCCGCCAGTGCGCTTGCCGCACACCTCCCTGCACCCGCATCACCCCCACCAGTGTGCGCAGCGGCTCAGGGCGCCAGGAGCCATCGGGTATCGCTGCCGCCGCCGCCGCACCTCCACCTCCACCTCCGCCTCCCGCCACTGCCGCCAGCCGCACCCGCTGCGGGGCTGCCGCCGCCACCGCACAGCAGCAGCCCACCAGAGTCGGCGCTGGGAACAGCGAGCAGACTCCTGCGCTGCTCCCGCCTAGCCAAGTGCTCACGTACAGCTGCAGTACGGATCCGAGCAGCGGTACGACATCCACCTCAACCAGCAGCAGCTGCCGCCACTCGCTGCTGTCGGCGCCGCCGCCGCCACCCTCTCCCGCGCCCGTGTCGTCGCCGCCACCACCGCCCACGCACCGGACTGCAAGTGCCGGCAGCCACCGCAGCACGCACCTCGTACAGAGGAATGCTGGGTACATCAGCTGCTCAGCTGCGGCACCAGCAAGGCTCGCCTGCCGTATCATCTGCTGGGCTAGACGCGACAGCGGCGGCAGCCACTCCCACACAGCGCAAGAGGCTAGCAGTGTGGCATGCTGTAGCGAGGGCGTCCCCATGTTCCCCGCCGCTCCTGCTGCACCCACACCAGCAGGAGCAGCAGCAGCAGCAGCCGAAGCTGCAGCTGCAGCTGTACCCGATAGCAGCTCTACAGCCGAGCTCGCATAGCTAACCAGCAAGCAGCTGTCACTGAGCGGCTGCTGCAGGCGCTCCGCCGAGTCGTCGTGACCCAGTGGGGACGTGCCGACCCGTGGGTCGCTCCGCCACCTCAGCACCTTGCCCAGAGTGGCCACCAGCGCTGCAGCCTGGTGTAGCTCCCTGCCGCAGCCGTACACGAGGAGAGACGCAAGGGACTTCTGGACAGAGGAGCTGCCGGGGTGCTGGTGGAGGAGGTCGCTGTTGCTGTTGCTTGAGGTGTTGCTTGAGCGCTGCTGGGGCCGCAGCAGCCCCCGCAGCAGAGTCGCGTGCGGGCCGGTGGGTCGATCGCCGGCTCGGCGCAGCAGGAGCTCCAGGCAGGGCAGTAGACCGCCTGCCAGCGCGGCTGAAGCAGAGAAGCGTGTAGGGAGCGGCAGAAGCAGCAGCAGGAGCAAAGGGAGGAAGCACGTTAGCAAAGGATGTGAGGTTCGGTGCCCCTATTTCGAATACGGAGTTTAATTACGCAGCAGGATAGGGCGACATCACGCACGTAGTGTTCCTCGTTGCTTTGGTGGTGTCGCGGACAAAAGACAAATTTCGAAAATGGGTCGGGCTATTTGTTACCATGCATGCTGATCGTTCCTCCAAGAGCGCTCCTCCTCTCCATACCGGCATTCCGCCCCAGGGCCCACCTTGCATGCACAGTGACGGCAACTCCCCTCCCCCTTGCTCCGCCTCCACCTCCTGACTCTGCAGCTGCTTCGAAACCAGCTGGGACAACAGCTCCCCTGGGTTACTCACTGCCACGGGAAGCACGTGCCGTACCACTTCCGCCACCAACTGCCACCACTCCGCCACCTCCGCCACCCACACAGCACGCGCGTCAGCTGCAGCGGCAGCGGTGTCGGCAGATGGGCCATCAACCGGCAGCGGCCGCATGAGCAGCTGTGCACGGTCAACCGCGGAAACCGCCACGGTTACGGCGCTGTCCGGCGGCAAATGGTTATGAAGGACAGAGCCTTGCGCCCCCCCTGCCACTTCCCAAGTAACCAGCGCCGCCGCCTGTGCCGCCGCCGCCACCACCGCCGCCGCCGCCGCCACCGCCGCCACTGCCATGCGTCCAACCCGCAGCGCCAACAGGCGGGCTGCGCGCCGGCCTGGCGGCGAAACGTGAATCAGGGGGTCGAGGGTATCCAGGAGCGTGCGAATGCTGGAGTCTCCCAAAAACACAAGGCCGGCATAGTCTGTTCGTTTGGTATACTCCACCGCTAGGCTGACCATCAGGCCCCACGGCAGGCCGTACACGGGGCCTCCGTCAGCCGCCCGTAGCGCCGCCAAGCCGTGTACGACAGCCACGTGCTGGGCGCAGCGGCCAGACAGCACCTCCCGAAGCTGAGCGGCTACCGAAGTGTTGCCGGCGGCGGCGGTGGGGAAGGTTTCGACCCCGCCACAGTTGAGGCGGTGCAGGGCAAGCAGGGCTCGGTAGACGCAGGTAAACCGCATTGAGGCTTCCCCCACCGCGCCCTGCGCGCGCTGTTTCGTTCCTCCTCGTCCTCCTCCTGTTAGCGCTGCGCTTGCTTCTTCTGTTCGCAGCAGTAACTTGGCACCGAGCTCCATCACGCAGCTGTCCTGCAGAGCGGCCGCGAGCTCGGAGCAGTACCGCTGGCGCTGCTGCTGGGGCTGCTGCGGCGGCCACTGGCTGTTAGCTGCTGTTGTAGTTGCGAAGCGGATAAGAGACCCAAGAAACCAAAAGGCGTTGGAGGCATAGCAGGCGGCGGCACGCGCAGCGTTTGCGTCTTCAGCAGCCTTCTGCTGCCCTGGCGGCTGCTGCTGCTGCTGCTGCTGCTGTTGATTTCCAGGCGTGACGCTTGCCTCCTCCTCCTCTTCGTTGTCGGCATCTTCGTCATCGTGGTTGTTGTCGTCAGCGGGCTGCTGCTGCTGCTGCTGCTGTGGCGGCAGGGTCGCCGCCACCGCCGCCATCTGGCGGCTGAGCGCCTGCAGGCTTTGCATGCGCAGCAGCTGGTGGCCAAAGTCCAACACGTGTTGGGGTAGCGGGGCGTGTGGGCTGCGGTTTACCTCCAGGAGTTGTGAGGCGCACGCCTGAACGATCGGAAACAAGGAACCGAAGGTATCGCTTGCATCGCTTGCATCGCTTGCATCCTCGTCAGGCCCGAGAAGCTCCTCCGGTCCCAGCCGCAGCAGCGCTGCCAGCAGCCGCAGCAACGCCAGGCGAAAGGGCTCGTCCGCCAGGAGTTCCGCTGCGGCTGCTGCTGCGGGAGGTAAGGTGTGATTGCTGGTTGGTGCGGCTGATGCAGTCCTTGCGTGCAAATCGGCAATGAAAGCGGTAATGTTAGGCAGGCTGCAATGCACGACAAAAGCTTCCGGTGATGCGACCCCGGACGACGTGATGAGATTGCTGCTGCTGTTGCTGCTGCTGGGGCTGCTGTGGGAGGAATTCAGCAGCACCGAGCTCGAAGCGGACACGCACTGCACGCATATCCTGATAGCGGCTGGGAGGAGGTCTTGCTCCGGCCTACTTCTGCGGCTGTTGGCACCATTGTTGTTGTCGTTGTTGTCGTTGTTTGCGGCTGCTGCTTGTTGCCGGTTGCCGGGCGGCCTCCTCGCTTGGCGGCGCCTCATCGCGTTGATCGAACGTGGGAAATGCCGCTATCTAGAAGCTGCTGGAATGATGAAGCTGCAAATGAAAAGCTGAGGAACAAGCTGAAATGTTGCTTTCCACACGGCACAGCCAAAAAAGCCCGGCAGGCGACAGGAAACGCCTGTGAATATTGATATGAACGGGATGATCAAGGATAGGGTTGCTGCTGTGGGGCTGACGCAGTGCTTATTATTACGAGACGCACCCTTCCTGCTCACAGCGTCGGCGATGGAAGATATCAATGGTGACCGTAACGTATGTGTCTTGTCTACGCATGCAGGTACTAATGAGGTTTCAGCCGGAGCTGCAGGCAAGCCAAAAGCGCGATGACGCCGCTTTACTGCGAGCGAGCTGAAATAAAGACCCCCGGGTCGGCGGCCGGTGCTAAGCGGAGCACTCAGCTAGTGTCTAGGAGGTAAGGGTTTACGATAAGACTGCTGTATGCATTGGTTGCTGCCCATCAGGCTGTTCTGTTGGGAAATTAAGCTTTGGGCAAAAGTAAGTCGTACGCGGCAAACTTTTGCTGCCGGGCAATCAATCCTTATTTGGTTGCTTCTCTCTCTAGTCTCATCTCCCTTTCGTATGTCTTGATGCGGGTGTGGTCCAGGTATGATAGGTAAAAGCCTTACGGTGCATGTAAAAGCCTTACATCTGAGTGCAAGGGTCTGTCTGCTTGGACTCTGTATCGCTACAGGCGGTGCGCCCCACCTAAGCAAGCTCGCATTACTGCAGTGTTCAGCAGCGCTTTGAAGCGTGCAGCCTTCTCAGGCGTTCGGTTTGGATGGTCGCGACCCGTGGGTCGTACCTTCGCCGTCTTGCCAGCGGCGGCGGCGGCAGCGCCGCCGACAACGACGTCCGCAGCGTTGCAAAACGCGCTGGCCACCAGGAGTGTTCGGATTGCCCTCATCAATCACGTCGACGTTTGCACTCCTCGCCGCCGCCTCCGCCGCCTACCGGTATCTGCCGCCGCACGACCGCACGTACGTCCCCCTGTCGCGCCCACACCGGCCTGATCATCTGGCGTCACCGGGGTCCACACTCCGGTCCCCACGCTCGCTTCCTGCCTGTTACAGGAAGGGGGTGCACCTAAACCTTGCGGGATCTAGGTAGCACCGCCCAGCCCTCCTTGCGTCATTGGCTGGGGTCCGACCGCAATCGGATTACGCTGGTAGTAAGAAATGGCTACGCACGACGTCACATGCAAGCCGGTGACCCGCTAGCAGGGCCACGACAGGTGGCGATCAAACACCGTCGTTACATGCTTGCGTTGGTTGCGAGGTGCGCAGCCCCGAGTCACGGGGCTGCGCGGTCTAAGAGGAGCGGCGGCTGTACGGCAGATATGCCCGATGTGCCGTACTCACAACTACCAGAAACCGGCAGCACCCAAGGTAAAGGCGCTAGCACAACAGCTTGTAACATGCATACGCTGAACTATGCCCATAACACAACTGAGCTGTGAGACAAGCACTATGTGTACCAGTGTACGTACGGGCATGCCGGTCGAATGCACATGCCGGTAACGGGGCGCGACACCCCAAACCAACGGTCAACGGGGTGATTGGGTGTTCTTAGTCCGCTCCGGGTCAGGGAAACCAGCCGGCAGTTAATGAAGTGCGGGGAGCGAGGCTGTGTGCAAGCGGGTCGACGCTGGGAGGTGTGTGTGTCATCGCAGGGATGAGCAGATGCATGGCCCCCTTCTAAATGGTTTGGATTTCAAGCATGCTGACCCACGGGTCATCCACGGACATTGCCGGTTGCCTGTGACAGATGCCCATGAGAGAGTTGCCACTTAGGTTGATCGGCCTTGCCTGGCTGCTGCTAAGGCTACACGCAAGGCTGGTCTACGTCTTGACCTCACGTAATTCCATGCGAGATGCGACCCCTCCACATAAATGCTTGCGTACCAGAGTAGTATGATCCGCATGAGGATGGGGTATGTGTGTCTGCCGGTATATATTTCCTGCGTGTGCATGCATGTCCCCTACTTATCGTGCTGGTCCTCCTGGACCGGGCTTGGCAGCATGATGTACGGCACGCATGTGGGTTACAATAGCTTGAGGTACGGCCTCTCGCCCTCAGCCCGCACATGCACGCCAGCAAGACGGAGGTCCTACCGGTGGTGACGTGCGACGACGGTGTCCTGTATTGGCTGTAACTAACGTAGTACGATTACTGTCACACGCCATGAAGCCTGGCCGGTACGCCGTTTGAACTCCGGTCGTAATGGCTTCAAACAGCTTTACTTCACCATCAGCCCACAAGCCTTCATCCAATTGAACTAGTAAATAGCTGAATTATGTACTACCCCCAAGATGCTATCTAACTAAAAACAGGCAACCAACCCCTGCTCAACCTAGAGACTATTTAGTCGGAATTGAAGACCATCCTGCTACATGAAAACACACGCGTGCCGCACATGTCGTACTCAGCCACATGTCGTACTCAGCCACATGTCGTACTCAGCCACATGTCGTACTCAGCCACATGTCGTACTCAGCCACATGTCGTACTCAGCCACATGTCGTACTCAGCCACATGTCGTACACACAGCGCCACACACCTATATACACAGTACATCACTCTCGCGTGCGCCCTTACTTCAAGAGCCAGGCAACCAACCACACATCTCAATTGGCTTCCAGTTCGCCGCTGCAAAGTCGGCACACAGCGTCACAACACATGCAGCCCGTCGTAGCATGTTTGCCTCCTACTACGCAATCCGATAGCCGTCTAGGCAGGACAGAGGACACGGAGGCAGCAGCAGACAACAGCCACCGCCCGCTGTTCAAGCTATCTAACGTTGTGTAAACCCTACACACACGCATCCGGTGCAGCTGCGGTCCCGCACCGTCTCACACACGCTTCCCTACACGCCCCCCTAATTACCAGTACATATGTACTTGACAGAGTACAAGCAATCCAGGGCTCATCCATCATATTCGCACGCATAATACCTGTGATGATACGGTATGGGGGCGTGTCATCAGCAGCACGCATACACCCCATCCACGCAAGCTAGGAGGGGGGGCGGGGGACACAAGAGGCGCACATACCCCTTCATCACTCGCCCGCCACCATCCCATCCGATTCAGTATGTACCGTACCGTACCGTACCATTTGAACGCCAGCCAATAATTGCACGCATGCTCGCTGCGTATGTTACCATGTATAGCGTAGGGGCCTACGCATTATGTACACGTTATGATAACATCAAATGTTGCCTTATTATGCCGTAAGGTTGGTCAACCCCACGCCCCGGTACACATATCCGTTCCGGTCGTGCATGCATCCTATGTAACCTCCACGACGACACCCGCACGTCAGTCTGTACGACACAACAATAAGTACTCACACATCACAGCAAACCCCGATACACACGGTCTTCCATACACCGGCTGTATGGGGGGGGGAGAAGGAGGAGGAGGGCATAACCGTGTGCACCCCCACGTCAGGCTGCATCTGTAGAGCAACCGACGACTGATCACATCTGAGGATGGACGTCCCTAACAGCCTGACGCGCGGCTAAAGTATCCGTTCCTAACGACTCTGGTAGTAATGTGCATGTCGAAGTCCTACTGGGGTCATACTAGCAGGCAGCAGCTAACAAGCGATTGCACTCGAGGCGCTGAGGCAGCTGCCGTCACCACCCATGCCCGCTGACACCACATACCCCTTCAGCCCGGCAGGACATGTCAGCTCAGCACCGCTCCCACCCCCACCCACAGCAGCATCCGCAGCAGCAGGTGAACCCAGTACGACCATCTTCATCCAGTACGACACGCGGGCTGCGGCGAAGGAAGCCAGGTTAGAAGCCTCCGCCTCGTCAAGGGGGGAGAAGCTACCGCAGACGCTGATAAGGGTGGAGTCACACTGGGAGATGGTAAAGGGATCTGAGATCTGGGCGCCAGCTGCTGCGGTGATGTCGGAGGTGATTTGGGAGGAGAAGGAGTCGCATTGGGCGGGGCTGAAGGTTTGCGGGGTGGTGGGTGTGAGGGGCGAGAGGGCGAGGAAGACGCATGTGAAGCAGGGTGAGGGGGGGTAGGCGGGATAGGAGGGAGGTAGTGGGGCGCTGGGAGGAGCTGGGGTGGCGGGAGAGGGGTGGTCGGGAGGGGAGGGAGTGCTGGTAGGGGCCGGGGAGGGAGGGCTGGGAGGAGGTGGGGACGGAGGAGGAGGGCTGGGAGGCGGAGGGGAAGGAGGGCTGGGAGGAGGAGGGGAAGGAGGAGGAGGGCTGGGAGGAGGCGGGGAAGGAGGAGGGCTTGGAGGGGGCGGGGAAGGAGGAGGAGGGCTGGGAGGGGGCGGGGAAGGAGGAGGCGGGCTAGGAGGGGGCGGGGAAGGAGGAGGGCTTGGAGGGGGCGGGGAAGGAGGTGGGCTGGGAAGAGGCGGGGAAGGAGGAGGGCTGGGAGGAGGCGGGGAAGGAGGAGGGCTGGGAGGAGGCGGGGAAGGAGGAGGAGGGCTGGGAGGGGGCGGGGAAGGAGGAGGCGGGCTAGGAGGGGGCGGGGAAGGAGGAGGGCTTGGAGGGGGCGGGGAAGGAGGTGGGCTGGGAAGAGGCGGGGAAGGAGGAGGGCTGAGAGGAGGCGGGGAAGGAGGAGGGCTGGGAGGAGGCGGGGAAGGAGGAGGAGGGCTGGGAGGGGGCGGGGAAGGAGGAGGCGGACTGGGGGGAGGCGGGGAAGGAGGAGGAGGAGGGCTGGGAGGGGGCGGGGAAGGAGGGGGCGGGCTGGGAGGCGGCGGGGAAGGAGGAGGCGGGGAAGGAGGAGGCGGGGAAGGAGGAGGCGGGGAAGGAGGGCTTGGTGGGGGTGGGGACGGAGGAGGCGGGCTGGGAGGGGGCGGGGAAGGAGGGCTGGGAGGGGGCGGGGAAGGAGGGCTGGGAGGAGGCGGGGAAGGAGGGCTGGGAGGAGGCCGGGAAGAGGGGCTAGGGGGTGGAGGGGAGGCGAGCTGGCGGGGTGATGGCGGCGGCGGCGGGGAGGTGTGGGAGCAGGGCTGCTTGGGCGAAGGTGGTGTGCGTGAGGGCGGCTTAAGCGAGGGTGCCAGGGGTGAACGCGACGGCGGTTTAAGCGAGGGTGCCAGGGGCGAAGGTGGCTTACGCGATGGCGGTTTAAGCGAGGGTGCCAGGGGTGAACGCGATGGCGGTTTAAGCGAGGGTGCCAGGGGCGAAGGTGGCTTACGCGATGGCGGTTTAAGCGAGGGTGCCAGGGGCGGCGGAGGCGGCGATGGTCTTGGTGATGGCGGGCGAAGCGATGGCGGCAGGAGCGATGGAGGGGGCGACGAAGGCCGAGGCGACGGCGGACGCAGGCGTGGTGACGATGGCGGCGGTGGCGGGAAGCTATCCTCACTGTCGCCATCATCATCATCACTGTCATCATCATTGTTATCATCATCATCATTGTCATCAGCTACGGAGGTGACGCTGCTGACGGGGCAGCAGGCGCCCAGACCGTCCAGCAGCGCCACCGAGCACCCGGTAGCAGTGCCGAAGGCGGAGGTGCCTGCTGCTGCTGCTGCTGCTGCTGCTGCTGCTGTTGCTGTTGCTGCTGCGGGTGGTGGTGGCACGCAGAGCTGCTGCAGGGAGGTACACCCGCCCCGGCTGCTGCTGGTGGTGGTGGCGTTAGGCTGCTGTTGCTGTAGAAGGAGGGTGATGCAGATCTGGGCGCCGTGGTCTCCTCGGTTGAAGTTGAGTCCGGAGATGGTGAGTACGGCAGCACGTGTGGTTTGTACGGCGGAGGATTGGCTGGGTGAGGAGGAGGAGGAGGAGAAGGAGGAGGGCAGGGTTAGGGTTTCGAAGACGGCGGAAGGTTGGGACTTGACGGGCACGCCGGAGACAGTGGCGCGGACGGAGAGCGCTGAGCTTGTGTCATCGAGCATGCAGGCTGGGTTGATGTTGAACTGCGTCGGGGGGGAGAGGGGGTGGCGGCAGGGGTGGCAGGGGGGGCAGGGATGACGCAAGGAATGAGCGTGGGGGGAATACAAATCGCCGCTCTACGTGCCACCCCACCAGCGTTTTGTTTTGCTCAATTGACGCCCACTCCACCAAGCTTCCTACCCAGCCTAACCCCAACCTAAGGCTTTCCAAACCCCAACCTCACCCCAATCGGGCTAAGTAGTCACCATCGTCTAAACCCCAACCCCAATACAGCCCCAGCCTCACCTGCAGCTTAGCCACTCCGGAGCGCTGGCAGCAGTAGGTGTTGCAGCTCGGGAGCGCGTCCGTGCTGAGTGTGAAGCAGTACTGGCCACCGCCTAGCGAGCGGGCTGCGGGCAGCAGGCTGTAGGCGGAGGGGCCCTGGGAGCAGCTGCTGCTGCTGCTGCTGCTGGAATAGGGGAAGTCGACGGCCCGGGCTTGGATTACTGCTGAGGACCTGAAAGAGGGGCACTAGGAGCCGGTGAGCGTAGGCAGATAAGCATTGGGATGCTAAAGTGTGAGGGTTGTCAATCGATTCTTCGATTACTGTACAAGAATTTTTAAAATGAGCGTTTCATTAAATGAAACGCTAATTAAACGGTTAATTAGGTGCGGCATGGAGTGTGGACCCGACGGCAACCATAAAGTGCTCATCCATCGGTTTCATCCTCCCTGCTTGACTTCAGCCCCAGTGATCGCTATGAAGAGCTCAATGCGAAAACAAAATTCCCAGTGCACTAACTTACAAAAATGCGACGATGGCTACGATCGCAAGCGGTCTCGTCGTGAGCCGCATGGCTTGCGATTGACAAGTATAGAACGCGGGTAGAGATCAGTTATGTACAGTAACCTGTGCCAATGATATAACCTTTATATGAAGGGTAAGGCACTGGAAGCGCCGCTATCAATTGTTTAATACCAGACCGTCCAGCAGCTTATATTATCGAGCCAGCACGGTGGTGAGGTGGCTGGAAGCTTGCAAGGTTTGTAGCTTATATTGCGCCTAAGATTGTGCCCAATCTGTCTGGCGTGTCGGTAGAAGGCCCGGAGAAGCCCTGATGAACGGCCGGTACGTCTCGCCGGCAGTTGGACTGCAGGACATCTGGTTAGGAAGAAGAGTTAACGCTTCAATAGCATATATATTTACAAGCAAAATATACGCGCATAAATTTCATAGGGATTTGGTTTGGGAGGCAGCCTGAGTCCTCGGTCGCCATCATGACATGTACACTTGATGTTGACATGCGAAGGAGTAGGCGTCATTCCGGCGCCTCTCTACCTAAGGACCAAGCAACTGACAGTAACATATACTACATGACATCAAAGAACCTCGGAATTCACCGATGCTATTTTGTGTGCGCGCCCAAATTTTCAAATGGGCGAGCCGCTAGGTAACCCGCAGAAACCCATTAGCTGCGAAAGGCGTTTCGATGGGTAGCAGCGTTTGCCAATACTGCACGCTTCGATGATTCGCGGTTTCCGTATGTCTCCCCATCCTCTTACATGGGCAAAGGGCGTACACCCTTTGCTGCCCTTGCAACCTCAAGCACGGTGTAGTAGGCATACAACGCCGATCAAGAAACGTGCGCGGGCCACCCCGGCGCTTAACTCATCATGAATCATGGGGACTAATGCAGCAGTCAAGTGGTACGCTTGCAACCATGCATCCTCGCGGATCCTGCAACACAACTTCTTCGTCTCACAAATAACCATGTCGTGAACTCCTGGCCTTATCCAAACCCCCACCCAGCAACATTTCAAAGCCGTACAGCATAGCGCCTAAACGCCAATGTACGACATGTACGACACTTACTGCAACAGACCACCAACCCAACAAGTAAACAGCAACAGTGCACAGCTGGCAGGCAAACCCAGATCCCGTCCCAATGCCCTAATCCTTTTTGCGGGTGTTGCCCTGCTCCCTTCCAACACACACGCACACACACACACAGTACGTTCCAACTCGCGGCCAGTTTTCTTACCACACACAGTCCACCCTGCCATCCATCCCACCAATCCCCACACGACCTGTGTCTTTAAAGAAGCATACCTTCCACTCATCCTCTGCCCCTCCGCCTCATATTCCTCTTCTACTTCATACACCCTGTATAACAAAACGTACGACACCCTCCCTCACGTCAAACCTCTTGTCGTACAGTATGCCTAGTACGGCAAAGACACTCCTGCCGTACCTCGCCTACACAAAGTACGACGCTGTACCAGTAGCCTGCGTGAAGCTGTCCCAGTCATCCGCCTGCATCGCCCCCTTCAGCTTCTCCAGCGCCTCCGCCTCATGCGTCCTCCTGAACTCCCCAAGCACCCTGCCCGCCTCGGCACGAACCACCCCCGCATCTCCCCCACCTCCTCCTCCTCCTCCTCCCCTGCCACCGCCACCAGCAGTAGCAGTCGCAGCTCGGACCAGGGCCATGAGGACGGGTGGCAGCCAACCCGGCACGTCGTACGGACATGACATAAGCAGCGCGGACAGCCCCGCCACACAGCCCAGCTTGGCTAGCTGGAGCTGCTGCTGAGGGGAGGAGGAGGAGGAAAGGGAGGAGGGCGGCGCGGCTCGAGGGGGCAGCAACGGCGCAGCCGCCCCTGCTGCTGGTGCTCCTGCTGCCCCGGCGGATGCGGTAGCTGATGCTGCACCCCGACGGCGACGGCCACCACCTCCGCCGCCTCCAAACAGCTCCGCGGCTTGTATCAGCAGGCGGCTCCGAAGCGCCTGTACGTCACCGGGTGCGGCTCCTCGCAGCAGCCCTGACAGGGTTGCTGCGGCCAGGGATCGAACCTGGGACCTTGGGTCGGAGAGACGGGACACCACCACGTCCTGTGTAGGAAGAGGGGAGGGGGAGGGTGGGGGGAGGAGGGAGGGGGGCGGATGTAGGATGGGGAGGAGGAGGGGCGGGTTGAAGGGTACGGTATACCGTACACTGTTGGCAGGATTGTAGATGTGCTTTTTTAGCTGAGGTGGAAAGCAGGTTGGATGACCAAAGCCGTACGTAGTCACCCCCTGCCCCCTTCCCCCATGCATTGGGAATTCTTCTTTCCCCCCCCCCCCCTCACCCCCTCCTGGTTTCCTAATTCCTAAGGTTCGGTATGGTCTTTGACCCCCCTCACCCCCCCCTCACCTGCAGCCTCCTCAGCTGCTCCTCACTAAGCAGCGGCGCATGCCGGAACCACAGCGTCTGTGCGTACGACAGCGCCGCAGCTCGGGCACTCCAGGGAACCGCCACCTCGGCTGCCGTACACACAGCACCCAGGGCAGCGGACACCAGCGGGTGGTGGTGGGGGTGGGGGTAGGTTTGGAGGTGAGGGTGGGAGGGGGGCGGAGCAGCGAGGCCGCCGCTGGCAGCACCGCTGCTGCCGCTACCAGGCACCATGGTTGAAGTGGAGGGTACGGCAGAAGCAGGGGCGGCAGGAGGGGCGGGTGTGGGTGTGTGGGTGTTGAGGCTGAGGCACCGGGCCAGCAGCAGTGCGGCCTGGAAGCCGGGAGCGAACTTCTGGAGCTGGGGACCTGCGGGGGAGGAGGGGCGGGGAGGTGATGCACCTGCACATCGCGGGCCACGTTCCCAAGAACGCAAGAAGCCACCCCTCTTAACCCACCTACAGTCGTGCTCTTCCCGCTCCGCAACCCATTCCCGCCCACCACACTCCTCCCTCATTCCTTTGGAACTCTCATTGCTTCTCTTCTCCCTTTACCCCTATGCCCACTCCCCACAACCCCCCCCCCCCCTCCCCCCCCGCCCCCCACCTCACCTGCCAGCTCCTGCAGCCTCATCACCCCCGGCAACATCCCCACCACCACCTCCCGCAACGCCGGGTCGCGGTGCCAGGTGCAGGCCAACACAAACACCTCCAACCCCAACCCCAGATGCGCCAGCGGAGCCGACAAGGAGCAGGAGCTCCGCGACTCTGGCGGCGGAGGTGACGGCGGCGGAGGCGGCGTGGCGGAGGCGCCGACTGCCGCCGCCGCAGCGGCGGCGGAGGCTGGCTGCTCCACCTCCATGACGTCAGCGTCAGTCGCCGCCGCCGCCGCCACGTCGGCGTCAACAGCGGCGACAGCGACCGTGTCAAGGGCGGTTGTCGCCGCCACCGCAGCGGCGGCGGCGGCCTCCTCCGTCAGCGTCGCTGTCGGCGTCGGCGACGCCGTCGCCATTGCGTCGTCAAGCTCCACCAGTACGACGTCGTCTGTCGTACGGGAAGCCGGCGATCCGCCACCTCCGCCACCTCCGCTGGACCGTACGGAGGGGGGCGGCGGCGGCGAAGCCGCCGCCGTCGCCGGGATACCGGCGGTGGCGGCGTTCTTCTCCTCTTCTTCTCCCCGCGCCGCCGCCTGCACTCGTACGGCAGCCGCATTGAAGTCCCTCACTAGATCCGCCGCCAGGCTGCGAGCGGCGGAGCGCAGGTACGACATGGAGGCGTACGGCAGGGCGCCGCCGCCGCCGCCGCCAGCTCCGGCACCAGGGCGGCGGTGGGTTGCATTGGCAGGGTGCAGGATGAGCACGGGTTCCTCCTCACCCTCACCCAGCTGAAGGAATGCAGGAAAGGTGGTGGAAAGGGGCATGTTAGGGTTGCAACCTCCTAACAACACTGCCAGAACAACAAGTCGTCCCCAGCTCCTGCGTCCCAGCCCTATTTCCCGCCCTCCTCACGCCATCACCCTCCCTGTTCCTGGCCCTGTTCCCCCCCATTCCCCCCATGCCCCCCATCTCCCCCTCCCCCCGCTCCTCACCTCCATCTCCGCCGGTGTAGACATGCCACTGGGCTCAGCGCTCACGTGCACCAGCTCGCCCTCGCCGTTGGAACCGCTGGAACCGTTGCCGCCTCCTCCGTTGCCACCATTTCGACGACCTTCCGTTGCCGTTCTACGACGTCCTCCATTACCTCCATTCGTGGGGTCACCGTTACTTCCGTTACCGTTACCCATGTCGGTTAACAGTCCCTCCGTCGCCCCAAAGTACGACAGGGCGTCCAGCAGCGGTTGTCCCAACTGCTCCCTCAGGCTAAGGCACTCCTCCGCGCTGGCGGAGTCGGGGCAGGAGGCCAACTGGCGCAACTCGCGAAGGAGTCCGCACCAAAACAGCCGCACCTGCATGTGTGGAAGGGGGGGGAGGCGGAAAAGGAAGGATTGGGGGGTGGAGGTTGGGCAGGGGAGGGGGGTGGGGGTACAGAGGGGAACGATTGTTGGCATGGCGGCCAATGTGTTGCTTTTCACAGCATGTGCTCCACTGTAAGTGGCGTGAACCAAACGCTAGAGGGCTCACCTGCAACGGCAGCCCCTCCTCCTTCGCTCCCGCCTCCTCCTCCCCCCGCAGCTGCACCCCTGACAGCTCCCGCACCGCCGCCGCCACACACCGCAACCGTTTCAGCTGAGCAGGCAAACCGCCACCGCCGGGCACAATAACACTCTCAACGTCGCCGCCGCCGCCGCCGCCATCGCCAACTGTCGCCGCCGCCATGGCTGCCGCCACCTCCGCCGTATCGCCTGTCGTACCACTGCCTGGCTTCGCCGCCGTCGCCGCCAGCGGTACCGTAAGGCCCAGTAGGTCTCCCAGCGCCGCCGCCGTCACCTCCGCCGTTAACCCGCCGGCGAGGACCGGCCGCGGCGGCGGCGGCGGTGGCGGCGCTGTCGTACGCTGGTCCCACGGCATCTCATTGCTATCCGGCGGCATGACGGGACGCAGACGGTCGGGGAAGAGGCCGTCCAGCAGACCTCGGATGGCGAACCTACGGCGGTGTGGACATAGCGGGTGCAACAGTATTAGGTGGTGCAACGATATGTGGAGCAACATACCCCCACTCCCACCCCCACCCCCACCCCCTGCCCCTCACTTCTGCCACTTTTTCGCTCCACCGCCTCCTCTACCCCTCCTCACGCACCCTGCCGCTTCCTCTCCATTGTTTTGCCCAAACCTTTCCTATGGTTCGATATGGTCTTTGACCCCCCCCCCCACCTGTACGCCAGCGCCCAGCACTCGCACGTCTCCATGCTGCTGCCCCGTAGCGCCCGCCGCAGCGCTGCAACCGCCCAACCACCGCCACCACCACCTCCGCCACTACCGTCACCGTTACCACCACCGCCACCACCCTCGCCTCCGCCGTCCAGGTCAGCCCAGGGAGCCCCGCTGGCAATGAGGCCCGCTAGCGCCTCCGCCGCCGCCGCCACCTCCGCCTTGTCTGAGATGGAACCGCCCCCCAGGCCACCGCTAGCACCGCCAGACCCAGCGGCAGCAGCACCGCTAGCACCGCCGCCAGCAGCAGCCCCCGAGGCAGATGCCCCTCCCGAGAGGCGGTCCGGGGAGGTGAGCAGCTCCAGGGGGCCGCGTAACGCGGACATGACCTGTACGGCACAGGGTGTACGGCACAGGGTGTACGGCACAGGGTGTACGGCACATGGGCACACCACACATGAGGTGAAACCGTACAGAAATGCATGCCCGGACAGCTGATGACTACTATAGCCTTATTAGCCAGCTTCATTCAAACCCTTCAATAAGTAAGATATCTATTACAGTGTCTACACAAGAGTTAGTTGCGGCTAATGGACCCCGAACTCAAACCCCCAGCTCACACCCCCCCTCCTCTCCTCCTCCTCCCCCTCACCTCCCTCGGCGCCGCTGCCGCCATCAGCTGCACCAGCCGCGCCTGCCGTACCAGGAACGCCCCCTGCCGTACCGCTGCCGGCGGCGGCAACCCGTCCGCAGGCCACCTGGCTGCCCGGTCCGCCGCCACCGCTGCCAGGGTGGCGCACAGCTCCTCGAAGGTGGAGTTGAGCAGCCGCTGCTGCAGGGCTAGCAGGCCGGCACCGCTGGAGGGGGGTTGGGTGGGATTGGGCGGGTTTGGGGGAGATATCGGGTGGGTTGGATGATAAATCTGATAATGCAAAGCAGATAATGACACACTCCTGGTGGTGGTGGTGTGGGAGGGATGAGACCCTTCCCCTCTCTCTCATACCCTGCCTCCACTTCAACTACTCTTCGCCACATACACAACCCCCACCCTTCAGCCCCCTCCTCCTCTTCCCCTTCCCCCTCCTCCTCCCCCTCCCCCCCCCACGTCTCCAAATTAATCCCCCCCCCTCACCGCTTGTCCTTCATGCCCTCCGCCGCATCCAACTCGCTGTGACCCAGAGCCAGCGAGCGCATCAGCCGGGAGCCCCAACCCGTGGTGGTGGGGGTGGGGGTAGTGGTGGGGGTGGTGAGGGTGCTGCTGCTGCCACTGGCCTCAGAGCTAGCGACGGCGGTATTAGCAGTAGCAGTAGCAGATGTGATGACGTCAGCCAGTATGCGGGGAAGTTGCGGCAGGGATTGTCCGTACTCCAGTACGGCAGAGAGCGGCAGGAGGGTACCTGTACGGCAGGGATACGGAAGGCAAGGAGGTTACGGTACGGTACGGTACGGCAGTTGAGCAAATGAAGTTGGGAAGATGCGGGTGAGCCAGGCAGATCCCAACTATAGGTACCACCCCATTCCCACTTCTGCCCAGCATACCGCCCAAACATAAGCAGTATGTTTCAATTCGCCAACCAGTTTCCTAAACATCAACACCTCCCCCCCTCAGTTCCCCCCTGTCACCACCCCCCACCTGTCAGCCCCAGCTGCCGCAGATGAGGGCTCGCCTCACCCCCGCACAGCTGCCGCAGCATGTGCCGTACAACCACCTCAACCACCTCCGGGGCTGGCAACCGCTCCCCCGGAGCAACACCACCGGCAGTGGGAGGGGCACCGACAACAGCAAGTGAGCCGCTGCCGGCCCCTTCCGCTACCTCCATACCCGCAGCTGCTCCTGCTGCCGCTGCTCCCCCACTGCCTGCTGCTGCTGCTCCTGCCGCCCCCTGCTGCTGCTGCTGCTGCTGCCGTTGCTCGTACGGCCCCCAGCGGTTGGGCAGCAGCAGCAGCAGCAACACATTGGCAACCACCTGATAACGGTGGGAGGCCGCCGCTGCCCCCCGCTCCTTCCTTTGCAGCAGCATACCACCCCCGGGAGATCCCAGCTCCACCAACTCCCGTACAAGATCGCCGTACAATCCTGATCCTGCTACCTCCATCGTCTCCCCCTCCGTTTCTTGGGTTTTCCTGTTCCCATTGTCGTACAATTGTACGGCGTACATGGACCCGTACGGCGGGTGCAGAACACGTGTCGCCAGCGCTAGCAGCAACTCCCCTAGGGCTGTTTGCGGTACGGTGGCGTTGTGTGTACGAGCGGCAAGGAGGGCATGTACGACAGCTGCTAACCAATTCGGTTGGCGGAAGACGAGGCGCCAGAGGTTAAGGTTGGAGCTGAGGGCATGGCAGCAACCCAACACTCGGCCATCCCGCTCGCTCTCGCTCTCCTGAGGGGTTGCTGTTGCTGCTGATGCTGATGCTGGTGCTGGTGCTGCTCCTGTTGCTGTCTTGCTGCTACTGCCGCTGCTAGTGCCGCTGCTGCTACTGCTACTGCCAACGGCGGCGGCCCGCAAGCGCAAAAAGAATGCCTGAAGGGCAGACTCGCCCCCCTCCACCACTTGCTGAGGCTGTTCCTGCCGCGATGCTTCCTCCTCCAGCCTTCCTGACCTCTGGAACCCCTTTCCGTCGCCCTCGTCCCCGACCCCTTCGTACGGCACATCCGCAATGCCAGCTAGGATGTACGGCAGGAAGGTGGGCGGTACGACAGCCGGAAAGCGCTTCGCTGCCACCTCCAGCGCTGCCTCCGCTTGTCGACTGACGAGGTGTGTGTTTGGGTGTCGTGTTAGGAGGGTGAGCAGGCGGAGGAGGGAGAGGTAGGGGCGGGGGAACTGCGGGGGGAAAAGGGGAATGGGAGAGAGAGGGATGGGGTAAAATGGTGCTGTTTCAGGGGATTACTTGCAAGGGGAAGGAGGGAAGATACAGCTTTCAGAACGCTTTTCCAACCAAATCCTAAAACACACCTTGCCCCCACACAAACCTGTTTCAGGTCCGTCAGCTGTGGTTGGGCAGTGGTGGGTTGCCAGCTGCCTCCTCCTCCTCCTCCTCCTCCTCCTCCTCCACTACTGCCGCCACACCTGAAAGCCGCTACTGCAGCCCTGCGAGAGTAGTAGATGAGGAGGAGGAAGAGGGGGGTGGGGAGCAGTATAGCATCTAAACTCCTGCTGAACCCCCTCAATGCAGCAAACCAAAGGCAGTAAAACGAATACGGTGCGCCCTCTGCGACCGAGGACGTACGGTAGACCCAAGGAGTTGTTGTGACACCAGCTGTGAAAAGCCCCCCAACCCACCCGGACCCGGTGGCATTACCGTGATTGGCCAAACCAGCGTTGGGATACGACACCCCCGGGTGAAAAGCCCCCCACCCGAAACCCAGCCCCCCACCTGCGAGTGAGGGTGTTGAGCAGTCGTGCATGCAGCAGCCAGGGCGGGTGGCGGCGGCGCCAGGGGGTGCCGGGGGGGTACTGCAGCGGGGGGGGAGTGGAGTGGAGTGGAGGGGGTGGGGTAAAGGTGACGAATTGTATGGTGTGTGTGTGGGGGGGGGTTAGGGACATGCGCACGCACCGACCACACTAGCAAGCGGGTGGAAGCAAGGAGGGAAGGCGTCTCATCCTGAACCCCCCCGCTGAGAAACCCTGCAGTCACAGCAGCAACTGGCTCTGCTCCCCTTCCCTGTCTCCTCCCCCTTCCTGCACTCATCCTGCAACCATCCAATCCCTATCGCCGCTGTCCTGCACTCCGGTGCTGCCTGTCTGCTTGCCCCCTCCCCGCATGCATGCACACACATGCATGCACACCCCTTTCTCTCCCCTTCCCCATCTCTCCTCTGTCTTCCCTCCCCTACCCCTAAACTCAGCAACCCCGTAACAACCACACCCCCATAACCCCCCTTCTCCCCCATCCTATGGTTTGGTATGGTCTTTAATCCTCCCCCCATCTCACCAGCCTCCCCGCCACCGCCGGCTCCCCCAGCTGCCTCCCCGCCGCCCGCAGCACCCGCCCCTCCGCCTCCCCCGCCACCCACTCCACACTGCCGGCGCTCAGCAGCACTCCACCCGCCCGAGCCAGGAGCGACAGCAGCTCGGGGTCGGGGTGGGGGCAGGAGTGCAGCAGGAAACTGGGTGGGAGTGGGGGTAGGGTAGGGGGGAGGTGAGAGCACTGGAAGCGTTATAAGCAGCATTTAACCTAACCTTAAAAACTTTCATGATTAAAAAATGGATACGTAACTGAAACACCTTTTGACACCCCTCCGTGTAAAACACACACATACACACACGTAACCCAGCTCCCCCCCTCCTCCCCCCCCCCCTTCCCCCTCACCTGCCCAGCTCCCCCAACGCCTCCGCCACCTCCTCCCGTACACCCGCACACCCCACTGCCGTACTGCCCAACCCGCCGTACACCGATATGGGGACAGCGGCCTCCTGCCCCTGCTGCCCCCCCTGCTGCTGCCCCCCCTGCTGCTGCCCTCCCCCCTGCTGCTCTCCTCCTCCGAACCCAAAGTCCCTCAGTAGGGAAAGCGTGCCCACTAGCAGGCCGTTGATCTAGGGGGGGGGGAAAGAGGGGGAAACAGGGGGAAGAGTGTCCTCGAGGGAAGGTGAGGCGGCAGCTCCCAGGTGAGGCAGGCAGGCAGGCAGCACCCGCACCCGCACAGGTGGCAGCAGGGGTGTAACTGGATTGCAGGGCTGGCGGGCTCTTCTAAGGGTTCCTTCCTCCCCTTCCCCTCCTTCCTCCTTTTACTCTATTCCTACTCTGATTTGCCCTTCCTGTAGTGCTGGTATGTCCTTGTCCCCTACCTTGAGCAGCTCCCCCCTCACAAGCAGCTTGGTGGCCGCATCCCAGCTCCCGCTGCTGCTGCTGGCACTGGGGCCGCCCCTGCTGCCGCCTGACGACCCTCCTGCCGCCCCTGCTGCCGCCTGCTTGACGCGCCGCACCGCCCCCAGCAGCTGGGAGTGCAGCAGGGAGGAGGCGGCGGAGAGGTGGGCGGGGGAGGGGGGCTGCCAGCTGGGGTTTGGGGGGGGGAGAGGGGGGGGGGAGAGGGGGGGGGAGGGGAAGGGGGAGGGAAGGAGGAGGGGAGGGAGGGCAGGGACAGCGCTTCAGTTTGGGGCATCAGGGGAGGAAGGGAGAGGGTGAGGTGCATGGGAACATGTAAAACCCTAGTACTCTGCCCCAGCGTGCCTAGGCAGGGGAGGAGGAAGGAGGGAAGAAAGGACGCGGCACACGAAGGCCGTACAGCTGCCCCTCCCCCTCCTCCTCCCCGCGAGTCGCATGCACACGTCCATACACACACGCACAAGCACCGAGGGGGGCCGGATTGCTAAAAAAGCGTGCTCTCCAGTTCCTGTCGTACCTGAGCGGTTCATACCCGCTGCCGTACTTGTCAATCCAGGCCACCACTCCCCGACCGGTAACCACCGGGGGTTGTACGGCATCTGTCGTACTGCCACCACTGCCGCTGTCCCCTTGTCGTACAGCCCTCCTCCGCCGCCAGGGCAGCTGCGGCTCGCACCAGTACCTGCATGTACCAAGTGTGATGGAAGAGGTGTGGGTGGTGCGACAACCGGGTGGAGGCTGGGAATTGCGACACTGGGGGAAGGAGAAGAGTTAAAGAACCAGGAGGGGTGGATGGAAATGGGTTTTAGGGTTAAAGGTTAAACACCCTAAACCCCACACAACAGCGCAATTTTAGGTATGGAAACGTGTAGCGGCGTGTAGCGGGGGGCGGGCAAGCCCTCCTGGCGACTTCCCTTCCCGGGCTATCTTCCGTACGCGGACATGCATGCACGCATCCATCCACGCAACCCCACATGCCAACAATTGATAAGAGCAGCTGCTACCCGCACACCAAGCCTTACAGGGTCGTGTAACAATCTAGTTCCCCCCCCCGCCCTCTGCTATCTCATTCTCCCTGCCCTGAACCCATTCCTTTTTGACCCCGTCCCTCTTCCCAACCCCCACCCCACCCTTACCTTGCCAGCCCCACCCCCAGCCCCCCCAGCAGCTCCCCGCCCTCCTCCTGCAACACACGACTGTTCACACGCGCCAGACGACCAGACAGGGACACCAGCCTTGCGATAAGACTGCCGGGGGGAAGGGGAGGCGGAGCAGGGGGGGACACATCTCCCTCGCTTGCTTGCTGCCCCTGCTGCCCCTGCTCCTGTTCCTGCGGGGGGGTGTGTCGGCGGCCGTGCCCCGGCTGCTCCCCCCGCCCTCGCCCCCCCTGCTGTCCCAAGCGTGTGTGTATGTACGGCAGCAGCAGTACATCCGCATGAAGCTGCTGTACGGCATCCCTCAGCAGCGCCAGCTGGTATCGCAGTTGGGACTCTAGACCGGCGCTGGGGGGGTGGGGAGGGGGGCGGCCTGGAGGGGGGAAGGGGGAAGGCACGTGGGGTTGGTTGGCATCGGTCAAGGCTCATAACAGCTATTGCTCCCCTTCCCCTTCCCCCCGGCGCTGAGAATCTTAATCTCTGTCCCACCCACATTCATACCCTGACCCACTCCCACCCGTCCAGTCGTCCCCCTCCTTTCCCTCCTGCCTCCCTCTCCATCGCCCCCCACATCCTCCTCCTCCTCCCCACTCCCTCTCCCTCCCATCCCCCACACTTACCCGTCACTGTGCCACCCTCCTGCTTCCCCTCCTTCTCCTCCTCCACCGCCCCCAGCTCCGCCACCTCCGCCTCCACCGCCGCCAACAGCGGCAGCACCAGCACCCGCAACGCCTCCCGCGGGGCGGCACTGGCCGCATTCCCCACGATAACCCCCACCTCCTGCCGTACACCCGCAAGTGCCGTACCGCCGCCAGCCCCCAGCACGAAGGCGGCGAGTTGCCGTACAAGCTGACGTCGTACTGCGGGGCGGCAGTTGTGCAGCAGCAGCTGCCAGAGGGGAGTAAAGAGGGACTTGGGCTGGGGGGTTGGGAAGGGGGAGGGGGGAGTGGAGGAGGGGGAGGAGAGAGACGAGGTGGTAAGTAAGGGAAGAATGAGATATAACGGGAAGATGGAGGGACTAGTTTATATACTAACGACCAAACCGAGAGTGGCAGAAAGGATTAGGATCAGGGGAGCGAGTAGACCTCTGCCAGCCCGGCCAGCCTCCTCCGCCATCAGCCCTCCCACACCGAGTCAGTACCTCTCTCCTCCCTCCCTTCCCGCCCGCCCGCACGGCCCCTGCCTCCCCCTGTCCCCCACCTCCCCGCCACCCTCACCCTGCTGCTCCCACCCCCACCCTTACCCCCATCCCCCACTTACCCCCGTCAAAAACGAACTCGTGCTGCCTCCTCCTCCTCCCGCTCCTCCCGCCTTTCCCCCTCCTCCTCCTCCCCCTCCCGCCAGATCCGTCCCCCTCTGCAGGTCCGACCCGCCATCCAGGTTCCCCAGCAGCAGCAAACACCGCTCCAACACCTCCCCCGCCCAATCGGACACGTACAGGGACAGCCGCACCTCCTCCTCCCCCTCCTTCTTCCCCTCCCCCTTCTCCTTCCTCTTCCCACCACTGCCGCTGCTGCTGCCGCCAGCCGCCGTCTGTTCCACCTCCCTACCCGAAACACCACCACTCGTCACACCAACCATCACCTCCTCCTCCCGCCCAAACCCATGCTCCTCCTCCTCCTCCGCTGCCGCCACCTCCTCCCCCCCCTCACCCCCCTCCTCCTCCTCCTCCTCCCCCGCCCCCCTCAGCCTCAGCAGGCAGCCCAGTACGGCAACGTAGAGCTGTAGTACGGCACATGTCTTGCCCTCGTCATTCGCATCCAGCCCGGGAAGCACCGCCATGAGCGCCTCTGACAGCAAATGGGCAGCAGAGGACGCACGGAGAGCTGCTGCCCCCTCCTCCTCTCCTAACCCTCCTCCTCCTCCCCCTCCGAAGTGCCCTTCTCCTCCCGCCTCCATTCCAATACCGCTACCACCACCTCCGCCGTACATTCCTCCTCCTCCTGCTCCTTCCCCACCACCTCCTCCCCCCTCGGCCCCGCAGCACCGGTTCCAAGCAAGCAGCAGCGGCCGCACGCAGAGCGCGAGGGTGGAGGTGGCGGCTGCCAGCTGGTGTGGGGCGGTAGCGGAGGCGAGGGCGGTGCGGAAGCGGGAGAGGACGAGGGGGAGGACGCGGGCGGGGGAGAGGAGGGCGAGGCGGGAGAGGGCGGAGATGGAGGTGGCGGAGAGACCTGTAAGTGGAGGGGGAGGGGAACGGGAGGGAGGGGGTGTAATGAGTATACAGTGTGAGTATGAGGGTTATCGTATTCGGCTGCTGCCCTTTCCCGCCTGTTGCCAAGAAAATCCGAAATTCAGGATTCCTACTTTGCCTGGAACCCCTTGCGCCACCGGGGTTTCCGCGAGATTCGGAATTACCATATTCCCATTGCGATCCGAAACCCGAATTCCCAATCCCATTCTGAACTTCTGAAAGTTCCCGATTTCCCCATTTCCGCAAAACTGGCACTTCCGAATCTTTCATCTTTCCCTCCCCCCTCTCGTCAGTGTTTATCGCCCCCCTCACCCGCATCCTTGGAGAACTGCCCCCGTGCCGCCAGTGTCGTACAGCACCCCACCAGCACCGCCAGCTGGGGCTCCTGCAGCTGGGAGGCGGTAGGGGGAGGTGGGGCAGGGGGACGGAAGCCGGGAGCTGCTGCTGCTGCTGCTCCCGCACCTCCCCCTGCAGCGCCCCCCGCGCTGGTGTTGGCGCTGCTGCCCCCACCGCTGAGGGACACCCGCAGGTAGTCCTCCGCCTCGCTGTCCTCATGCTGCGGCGGCTGGGGTTGTTGCTGGTGCTGTTGCTGCTGCGGCGGCCCTTGTTGTCCCTGCTGGGGTTGCTGCTGTCCTTGTCCCCCCTGCCCTTCTCCCCCCTGACCCTGCCCCTGCTGCCCCCCCTGCTGCCTCTCCAGCTGCTTGCATGCCGCCTCCACCAGGTGTCGCAGGAAGGAGGACAGCGAGCCACACCACTTGCCTGGGGAGGGGGAGGAGTAATAGGGATACATGTTCATATACATAGGGGGAGGGGAGGGGGAAAGGAGGAAGGGGTGGGGGGAAGGGGCGGGTATGCGGCAGCACGCAGGCGGTATAGGGTGAGGGGCGCCCTCACCCTTAGCTAACTCCTTGTCTTGTCCTGGGCAACCCCACCTTATCATAACGGCCATGAGATCACCACATCGACAGAACGGTTGGTAAGAAGTCTCTTCCTCTCTACCCACCGACCCACGGGTCACCCACCCCCCATGGACTCCCTCCCCACCCACCCGTGTTTGAGGGATGGTAGTACTGCTCCAAAAGGGAGGTCAGGTGCTGCAGGTGGGCGGCAGCAGCAGCGGAGGCGGCGGCGGCAGAGGCAGAGGCAGAGGCGGAGGAGGAGGAGGAGGAGGCTGCGGTTGTAGGGGCCGAAGTAGCATCAACAGCGGTTGCGGTGGCAGTGGAGGTGAGGTCGGTGGTGGTGGTGGGAGGTGGGTGGCGGAGGAGGTGCACGATGAGGCGGGCGGCGTGGCGGGGGCCCTGGGTCATCTGGGAGGGGGGGGGGAGAATATCCAATGTAGGGGTAACGGGAGGGGGGTCAAAGACCATACCGAACCATAGGAGGCCACAGGTAAGCCAATGTAGGGGGGGGGATAATTGATAGGTGCAGCAACGGAGGAGGGGGGGTTGCGTATAAGGTTCCTGAAACCGGCTGGAAACCGGCTGGTATCAGGGTTGCGGTACTCATCATAGCCAGGAGCCCTTACCCTCCTCCCCCTATAACTCCTTCGTTTGCCTTTCACCTGCCATCCGGACAAACACCCAAGGGCAGCATCCGGGCAACCCTCAACTGTGATTATTGCTGACTGAAAATCATTCAGGATTCCTACTTTGCTGAGATCCCCTTGCGCCACCGGGGTTTCCGCGAGATTCGCAGTTAGCATATTCCCAACTGGACCCAGAATCCGAAATCCCAAATCCCATTCGCAACCTAGAGTCCCGATTCCCGAAATCCCGTAAAACTGGGATTTCCGAATCCGGACAACAAGGACAGGGGGTAATACACAGTGGGTAATACCGAAAAACACTAGAATTGAGCATTCCCACCGGGGGGGGGAGGAAACGCGAGGACAGACCCCATACTTCAAAGTTAAAAGAGCTTATTGAGAGCATTGCAAATCTGCTTTCAGAATTTTATTTGGAGTTGTACGGAAAAAGTTATCTGCGCCCAAAGGTGACTGTACGACAGGGTGGGTGGGTGGGGTCTGGGGGTCCTGTGGGTTTTTTCCGAGGGCTTCCTAACTTTTTCCTGACGTTGCCAAACTCACTATGGAGTATAATAATACGATAAACAAACTGTAAGCAGTCTATAAACGTATTTTTGCCTTTTCGTGATATGGTTTGGGCATGGCATGATGACAGAGACATACGAAAACAGGTATGGGTAGGTGGGGGGCAGGCAGGGTGCGGGTCCGGGTGCCTCCACTTAGGGGGGAATCACCCGCGGGTGGTCTGCCAAGCCAAGCAGAAGGGGGCCGGGAAGTTAACCATGTGACACGGCTCCCCTATGTGCTGCATCTCTGGGGTGGGGTTGAGGGGAGTAGTACGGGGCAGGTCTCTCGGCAGCAGCTGCGTCACCTGTGCCAGCCGCTGCACGTTGTCTGAGCCCTACCTGCTAATCCGTGCTGATAATTGCTGGTCTTGACGCAGTAGTGCGTGTGTATGAGGCTAGTGTACAACGGTGCACCCGTTGCTGTCTATAGGGTTAGATGGCGTGACCATGGCATGGCGCGACCATGGCATGACTTAGTAGGTGCAGAAGCTCAACAAGTTGTATACACTGAAAGATGACACTGAAAGGAATCCATTGGTCTTTTCTGCATCTTTTTTTGGCGTACGGCTATATGAGAAAATAGCGTTCGAAGTTCTGTAGGGTGGGTGGGTGGGTCCAGGAGGGGTCGCCACCAAAAATTCATCATGGGGTTTACCCCAAAAAAAGTACCCCCCCCCCCTGTTCCCTACTTTGCTTTCCTTGCTTTTCGCGTGCTTCCGGGAGATTCGCAAGTACCATAACCCCATCTGGATCCGGAATCCGAATTCCCACTCCCAACCCAACGTTCGGATTCCCAATTCCCGCAAAACTGGCACTTCCGAATCCTTCAAAGGACTTTCAAAACCAAACATTCACTTCCCCCTCCCCAACCCTCCACCTGCCCCTCCTCCAAATCGGCTGGTAGCAGGGTTGCGGTACTCATCGTAGCCAGGAGCCCTGCTCCTCACCCCCTCCTCCACCTCACGTGCCCCCTGACAGCCATCCTGACAAGGACACCCGAGGGCACCTGGGTCCTGATCAGGCAACATCGGGTTGCTGACTATTGTTCACTGAATACCTGGAATTCAGGATTCCTACTTTGCCTGGATTCCTGGAATTTCCGCGGGATTCGAAAGTACCATATTCCCATCTGGATTCAAAATCCGGGATTTCCACGAGATTCGAAAGTACCATATTCCCATCTGGATTCAAAATCCGAATTCCTGCTCTCAACCCAGAACCCCATTCCCAATTTCCGCAAAAGTGACGTTTCTGGACCATCCACCTGTCCAAAAAAGTCGGGAAGGAACTTTTTGCTCTTCTCCCTTTGTGGCACCCTGCCGCTCCTATCCCCATTATTTTGCCCCTACCTGTGCTTTCCTATGGCTCGGTATGGTCCTTGACCCCCCTCCCCTTTCCCTCCCCTTCCCCCCGCCCCCTCCCTCACCTGTTCCTTATACAGCCCAGCCGCCCTCGCCGGTACCCCCCTCCCCACCAGCCCCTCCGCTCCCCCCGCCCCCACCCCTCCCCCGCCCCCCCTGCCCCCTCCTCCGCCTCCTCTTCCGCCCGCTGCGGCGAGGGGGCCGGAGGTGCCGACTGGGAGCTGGAAGAGGGCGGTGACGGCGGCGAAGATGTGCGCCAGGTGGGGGGACCAGTCGAGGTAGCCTGGGGGGGGGAGGGGGGGGATAAAGTACCAGGGGGGTGAAGGGAGGGTAAGCTGCGGCGAATGTGTGCAGCAGCCAGCAGGGGGCCTGGAAAGGGGAAAGAGAAATTACTTTGTCCTCCCCCCCCTCCCTGGAAAGGGGGGGGGAGACAAAGTACCAGGGGGGTTCGGCTTTAGGAACAAGATGCGTATCGGATAGGTTACGACATGCCACCGGAGGCGCAACTCTCCATGCCATACCCTGCCTACCCTACCCTGTCCTACCCTACTTGAAATGCACATGCTCCCCCTCCACTTGTGACCCCCCCCCCCTCCCCACCTCCCCCCCACCCCCCCTCCCCCCCACCCCCCCACTCCCACCCTTCCAGTCATGCTTGGCCGCCCGGCCCAGCAGCCCCAGCCACGCCGCGTCCCACTCCGCACTCTGCGCCTGCAGCCCCCAGGCGCCCACCCACTCGGACAGCAGCGAGTTGAGGGAGGCGGGTTCCAGGCTGTGGGGGATTAATAGGGATGAAGATTCCGCATTACGCTGGATTTTAGGATTGCTCATAGTCAAATTTGTTGGGTTAGTAGCAGCACACAAAGGGAGGGGAGGGGGGAGGGGGGAGGGGGAGGGTTGTATAGGAGGTGGGTATTCCGCACAGGCAGGATTGGATTGCGTGTGGCAGTGGGGGATAGGAGAGGAAGAGGGGGAGGAGACATGTAGGAAAGCGATCGCCCCACACACACGACCACACGCGCGTTAAACCCCCTCCCACCCCATCCCCCCATCCCGCACATGCCCTTCCCCCCATACACATTACCCCCCACCACACACACACACATGCATGCATCCGTTTGCAAACACATGCGAGCCTATCCCAACTGCTTGCTCTTGTTTCCGCTCAACTACACACACACATGCATGCATCCGTTTTGTCCCCCCCACCCCCTCCCCCCCTCACCTGCACATGTTGTGGGTGGGTGCTAGCAGCGCCAGCAGCCCCGCCCCCTCCCACCCCGCGTCCGGCCGCCCCCCCCGCGCCACCCCCCGTACGGCAGGCCCCACCAGCCGCCACACCTCCCACAGGGCGGAGGGGGGGAAGTAGCGGCGGGCCTTGGACACCAGCCTCACCAGCACCGACCCACGGGTCAGCTGGGGGGCCAGACCTTTGGGGAGGGAGGGAACAGGGGAGGCAGGGAGGGGGAGGATGTAGGGAGACCGAAGGAGACGTGGGCAGCACTGGAGTCTCAAATGCCCATGCCCCAACTCAGATGCAGTGGGGTGAAGCGTTACGTTAAGCGAAAAATGGAGAGGGAAGGGGGGTGGGGAAGACAGGGGCAAATGTCAACGGCTGCTTCAAGCCGACTCTTTAAGCTCCCATGGCTGGGATCCAAGCAGGCTCCTGTGCATGCCCCCGAAGCCTGCACGCCTCCCACACTAGCATGGCACAGCTTAACCTCGGCTTTCGTTACCCCATGCACACAAGCCATGTTCTCCCCATCCCCTCCTCCACCTCTTCCCTCCAAAAACTGCCCCCCCCGCCACTCCAAACACTTCCTCCTCCCCCTCCCCCGGCCCCCCCCACCCCTCCCACCCCTCCTTACCTCCCACACCCCCACCCCCACCCGCCCCCGCCGTCGTCATCCCCCCCACCAGCCCCGCCATCCGCCTCCAGGGCAGCTGCAGCCGGGCGGCCCGCAGCGCCCGCTTGTGCGCCCGCAGCAGCTGGGTGAGGCACTCGGCGGTGCGGACCTGGGGGGGAGGGAGGGAGGGGAAAAACTGTGAAACAGTGAAACAACGAATCCCAATCCCATATCCCGACTCATGCAGTGAGCGCATTCGGAGGGATGAGGGGGAGGAGATAGATGTTCCACACTGTGACTAGGGACGTATACTTGGCAGGGTAGTACTGGTATAGTTGCCGCGGAGAGACGGGGGGGCATGCGTGCAAGGACCGTGTTTGTTTGTGGGGGGTCAAAAAAGCCCATACCAAACCATAGGAAACCACAGGTTAGGGCAAAGCAATTGGGGGGGCGTGCGAGTAGGAACGTGTACGTGTGTGTGTGTGTGATGGCTGCTGCCGGCACCCAACCGCGCCGTCTCCAACGCCCCCCCTCTCCCCTCCCCCCCCCCCCCCACCCCCTTGCCCACCTGCACCTCCACATCCCCCTCCGACTCCTCCACCGCCCGCCATAAGGCCCCCGCTAGCGCCGCCGCGTCAGCAGCCACGTCAGCAGCAGTGACGGCTGTAGCAGCACTCGTAGTGGTGGCAGTAGCTTCCATCACAGTAGGGACGCCGGAGGTGGTAGTGGGTGGGATGTCGTATAAGGCCTGGTTCTCGGATCCAACCCGGACATCGCTCTTGTCGTACTCCATGGGGTGGAGATTGGTGAAGCTGGTATGTATAGCGATGGCGGAATGCGTGGGGCGGAAGGGGGGAGAGATTGTGGGTCGCAGGAGGGGATAGCGGCGGTCAGGCGGATTGCGGAAAACGGATAGCGGGGAAAGGAAGTTTAGTGCGACGCAGAAGCAATGGATTGAGGGGAACGGGCTTATGGGAACTGCGTACTTAGGGGAATGCAACAGAGTGGAGCAGCAACCCCGTCCCAAATGCGAGCAAACGATAGCCGTGGAGTCCTCGTGGGCGACGGGGGGGCCGCAGAGGTGCTGGACGTTTTCCGTTGGACTAAAATTCTGTGCAGTAAGGTACTGTATGCTCAGTAGCACGGGACAACACTGCGGCCTTCAGATTGGTGCCATAAATGTCGCCCATGGGACAACCCCAAAGCAGCAACCATTCCTTCCGGCTTACGTATTGATGTACGTTAGCCACTTGACAAGCCGATGCCAGCGGTTGGGGTCCGCCTCGTCGCGCAAAGCGCCATCGACCTCGGCACACACGCATCTTGCTAGGGCTGCGAAACGGCGTGGTTCGTCGGTCAAAGCGCCGTGAGCGATATCTGGTGGCAACCACAACTGCCATATTCGTGGAGCCATTGATGTGTAGTTAGGTTGCTTCTTTGTGGATGTAACTAAGAGATTAGTGGGATCTTAACCGTTTCAAGAATTAGCAAGACAATGCATAAACTTGAAGCTATTTATAATTGTAGCTCCTACGTCTCGTGATGCTCGGAATGAGGTAAGGGGGAGGCTTTACGTGAAGAAGAGGTACTGGTAAGTGGTAACTGCAAACGCAAGTAAATGTCGCGATCCCGCTAACAATTGTGTTAAGTTACGGTACCAAAGCCAGTCCTCCTGCAACACTTCCAGCAATTACAGTATTACCAACTGCCGTATGCAACGTCGCTCTCTTAACATGTGAACAGCAGCCAACACGTATGGCCACCATACACACTACTGTACCAACAATTCCTTGTAAGTTGCCCAGAGCAGATGCGCTGAGCGGTAGCCAAAGAGCGCCACACGAAGCCACGGATGTTGCCTGCTGCATGGTTAGTTCTGCGCTGCCGTAAGCTCCGTGCTCTCTGCCACGAACCGGCGTCCATTAGTTGTTTATCCGTGTACGCCGCATAGTCCGTGGCAAGTATTGATCGTCCAAACCCACACGCTTTCCATCTTCATCCATCCAGCCAGCAGCTAATTGGCGAACTATTCATCACGCTATACAGCGGTTAACCGCTCACCCTCTTTAAGCATAACCCCCCTATATATGCATGGTTCGCTGATTAAGCATAACCCCCCTATATATGCATGGTTCGCTGAGCTGCAACTAGTCCTACAGAAAGACATCGAGAGAAACACGAAGCACGTCACCCTTGCAAAGTACCGGGAAATCCCAAAGCCTCGCCAGCAGCAATTAGTACATCGGTATCCTTTGGGGGCAGACTACATCGACGAAGGCAACATGGCAGGGGGCAAGGAGGGCTGATGCCGGGGACAAGCTGCAAGGGTGAACAGGTGTCATTAACTGCATATGACAACGGCAGGTCAGAACGGTTGGCAAGGGTTACAAGCCATGCATAGATGGATCTGAGGTTCTCGGAAAAGGGGAAGAGGTGTTAAACTTCGACTGGTATTGCAAAAGCACCGAGGTGGCCACAACGACAATGAGAACTTGCACATGCACTGTCTGATACGTGTACAGCTGTATAGCTATACCATCTCATGTGTAACCAACAGCAGTATACAAGCTAGAGAACAGGAGTGCGTATGTGATTCCGTCCAATGGTTCCCTAAAAGGTATGTCCTCCAATTGGTGGTGTTGAAAAACACCGATTTCGTTCGTCTTGTGTCAGTAGAGCCGGCGCAAACTTGTACAGCCACCCGTTTAGCCGCCGAAGCCATAGAGGGTGCGGCCCTGGCGCTTCAGAGCGTACACAACATCCATAGCCGTCACGGTCTTGCGGCGAGCGTGCTCGGTGTAGGTGACTGAGTCCCTAATGACATTCTCCAGGAATGTCTTCAGCACAGTGCGGGTCTCCTCGTAGATCAGACCGCTGATACGCTTTACACCACCACGACGAGCCAGACGACGGATAGCGGGCTTGGTAATGCCCTGGATGTTATCGCGTAGCACCTTGCGATGGCGCTTGGCGCCTCCCTTGCCCAGGCCCTTGCCGCCCTTGCCGCGTCCAGACATTATAAATGGTTGGCTAAATAGTAAGTAAGGAATAACTATGTATGATGTGAAATAACATGAGGATTTATAGCCGCCTGATGTTGGCCGGGTCAGCGGGGTCATCCGCCAGCGGGGTCAGCGGGGTCGGCTCGCCCGCTGTCCGTACAAGCACGGACGAGCATTCCCCAAGGTCCTCTACTATATATTCTTCCGGAATTCTTCTAATGACAACAACTATCACCACTAAACATTTGAAGTATTCTCTCTCAAAACTTTCAATATGGCCCGCACCAAGCAGACTGCTCGCAAGTCCACCGGTGGCAAGGCGCCCCGTAAGCAGCTGGCCACCAAGGCCGCTCGCAAGACGCCTGCCACTGGCGGTGTGAAGAAGCCCCACAGGTGAATATGATGCCATATGTGTTGGCATTTGCTCATACAGATTGATTGGTCATCCATGACTTTCTGCTCTTGCTTCTGAACAATCTTGACGATTACTGATTCTACATCTCTTCCAATTCTGATATTAGGTACCGGCCGGGCACGGTCGCTCTCCGTGAGATCCGCAAGTACCAGAAGAGCACTGAGCTGCTCATCCGTAAGCTGCCCTTCCAGCGCCTGGTGCGTGAGATTGCCCAGGACTTCAAGACAGACCTGCGCTTCCAAAGCCAGGCAGTGCTGGCCCTTCAGGAGGCTGCTGAGGCCTACCTGGTGGGCCTGTTCGAGGACACCAACCTGTGCGCCATCCACGCCAAGCGTGTGACCATCATGCCCAAGGACATCCAGCTGGCCCGCCGCATCCGTGGCGAGCGCGCTTAAGCTTGCTTCCTGAGCTCGGTTTCTTTAGCGCTCTTCCTTTATAAAAAAACTCGGTGTTTTTCAACACCACCTCTCCAATTGGTCATGTCTAAATTTCCTTCCTTACCTATACACAGCTACCTGTGTTGGAATAGTGATCGTATTCATGTTCAGGTTAGGCTCCCTGAACTACTGTACTCTGAGGAAGGGCAAGGTTTGTGAATTATCGCGTCTTGCTATATCCATGAAACAACAAACCAATATAATATTTTGCTGTGGAAGTAACCTGGCCCCGTTCACTTCTCTTCTCTAAGACCTGTTCTCGCCTGTCATTTCGCTCCAGTTGGATCCACTTCCTGTATCCTGGCTTACCTCAGTTGACCCCTCTCGACGCTATCGGTATTTGTCGTTACTATTAAGCTTTTCCGAGCTGTCCGTGTTAGCGAAAGTAGCTAATTTTGTTTCCGAGCATTGCGAGCAAGCCCACATAAAGCAGCTTTCTATATCACGCCCATTGGTTATTGGCGAGTTCCTATTGTTGATTTCTTGTATATGTTGCCGGGTTACCGGTACTTGCTGTAAAGGTACCGTAGCGATCGGCTGCCTGGAAGGACGAGAGACTGGGTGCTTTCTGAAATCTTTTCGTCCTCAGCATGGATAGACTCAGCGCGAAGTGATACCTGCGCTGTGCGGCTACCGTAGCCTGAAAACCTCTGACCCTTGTGTCGACACTGACCGCTCGTTCCGGACATGGACACCTAGCTGGGCATAGCTCAGATCTGATACTTTTCTGCACCCTCTAGTTGGCCCCTCTTTGGGTTGACCCGTGCAGGTGCTCATGCCCATAACTGATGCTCGGCCCCACAAGTCGCAACTGTTAGCTTGTATCTTTCCCCGGAGACAGGATGTTGGATGATCGTGTGCAAAACCAGGGCATACCCTGTCTTTGCCCACGCCTACACGTCGAAATCGTCACCAAAACCGGACAATTGTCCGCCTTGCCGTACAAAATACATGCACCATTACCTTCGTAACTCCATCTCATAGCCCTCCGCATTAAGCACTTATTCCTGAAGACCGCCCTCGCCAGCAGCGCTTCTACCGTTATCAGCTACACCCGCATCTCCCCCACATGTGTTGGGCAGCTTGCATGCCTCGACGGAGGCCAACCCATTGTTTATAAAACAACCATGCACCAGGCTGATACCTTTTAGTAAACGCCGCAACTACCCAACCGTCTATCAGCTGAACTCCACATAATGACATTGGTTGTACAGCATGGATGTACGAAACGTACAACAGGGCGTTATGGAGACACCAGCAAAAAGTCATCCACTGATCTATGATGGCCCGAGCAAATGCCAATGACAGGGTCCGATTCCCCAACTACCGGTATAAATGGAAATGGCAACAGGCGGAGCACCTGCCGGTACTGTTGCACTTGTGTGCATGCAAGGAACAGCAGCAGGCTTCTTCCCGTACCATACACAACGAACCACGTAGTACAGTGCCGTACAACCGGTAGTTAACGGCAATACATTATTTTAAGGCACCTTAGGGTACCATGTTAACAGCAGGCCTACATGCTCTCACGCACCGCAGTAGCGCCGAGCCCAATGTAGCTTGGTAAACTCCGTACCTGCAACAGCTCATTCAATTATTTTATTCGAGTGATAGATTCCAACCGTCCTCCAAGAAAGCATATCAAGCAGCAGCAACACAATTGTATTGAAATCAGTGACAGTAAACGGCGATGACTATGTTCGCAAACATCCCCGCATCAGGTTGCTATTCGCATTGATTGACACACGGCGAGTAGCCGTACGTGGCATGGATTGGATCCGGAAAGGGTGCCACAAAGCATACATAAATGTCGACGCCGACACGCGTGCATGCATGCATAATGGGAATCCCTCTTCAATCCTCATAAAGGGAACAGTACTCCTCGAACTTTAGACCGTCCAGTAACCGCCACCTGAGTATACACACACATAACAGATGTACGGTAGGTGTACGATCTATCGCCACATTGCCACAATCCCAATAAACGGAACGGTTTACGTAAAACGTGTCAACAACACAAGTACGCGGCGAGCCTTGTCATGAGCCCCGACTGCCGCATGAATTTCCGAACAACGAACCCGCACCAACGGATGGGCCCAAGCGCCTCCCCCACACGCCACTCCACCTAATCGAGCATTCCCCTTCTGCTTAGCCGCAGACCTATCCCAATTGCTTGCTCTTGTTTCCGCTCAACTACACCCACACCCACGAATGGTTTACGGATTCCAGGGTTTGCACTCCCCCTTGCCAATAACATCAGACAAAGCCACAAAGTGCTTTGAACATAGGTTTAATTAAGGGAACATAGCCGAACGCATGAAAACATAGCCGAAGGAAGCCGACATTGCGCCCTAAATGCCGCCCCCGGCTGCAGGCTGCATGCCCCATGCAATAATCCCAGTTGCCACTGCTGTATGTTCGGTAGGGTTCCCGATTGCTGTTGGGCCGCTCCTTTGTGGTGCCCAATGCACGGAAATATTTATTACGGCCACCAAAAACCGGCTTGGAAAAGCAGGGAAAGACGAGCTGTAAGGTGTACGATCTGCTGCACACTATCAGCAGCTACCATCTAGCGATACCACCCATTAAACCGCAATCGGCGACGTACGATGATGCTAACACTATAGCGGCCACACGACGAAAACCGACGGAACGAAGGAAGCATTTTATTACCTATTGAGTTCAGTAAAACACCGCCACCATCAATCCAATTAACAAATCCAACATATTGCCCTCCCCCCCAAACCCACTCAGATCACTCTGCAGTAGCATCGTACTGCCGGACTACCGTACTGCCGTACAATGCCGTACTATAAGTTGTACACGTCCCTGACTCGCTGCTGCTTGTGGTAGCGGCACTCCTCGCCCTCCTCCACCCACAGGTAGGAGTCCAGCCGGGGCCCCTCGGCGTCGAGCTGGGTGTGGAACATGAGGGGGGTAAAGGAGAGAAAGGGGTTAATAGGTGCGGTTGTTAATAGGTCCCCCACCCCACCCCGCCCCGCACCTGCACCCCCTCCGCCGCCTCCCACTTCTCGCTCCTCAGCAGCTGCCGAGTGGCGCCGCTCACGTGGATGCGCCCCGGCCTCCCGCCCGCCTCCATGGCATGGGCCCGGCTCACGCTGTCCCCGAACACCGTGAAGCGAGGCATCTTGGAGCCCACCACGCCACTCAGGGCGGGGCCGCTGTGCAGGCCTAGGCGCACCTGGGGAAGGTGGACGGGGGGAGAGGGGGGGGTCAAGGACCATACCAAAGCATAGGAAACCACAGGTTGGGGCAAGACAATGGGGATAGGAAGCGACATGTTGGGTGCGGGGGCATAAGGCGGGGACGTCGGCGGGGTGCGGGAGGAGGCAGGGGGCGCACGCGTGGAAGGGGAGCAGCATGCGCTCGTGAGTGTGAGCGAGGCGGCTTTGCACGTGCGTGGGCGCATGACAGCAGCAGGGAAGGAGAGTCGAGAGAAGGAAGAGGAGGAAGGAGGTCCGTTGCAAACAGTAACCCCGTATGTACCACACTCTCCATCCCCCACCCTCCCTCGCCTTTCATACGGTTCGTTGGTCGTTTCCTCGTTACCCTCTTTGGCCCACTCCTCAACAACACGTTGGGTCTTCTTCTTCTCCCCTTTCCTCCCTCCCCCCCTCCCTCCTTCACTCCCTCACCTGCACCTGCTCCCCCGTGTGCGGCATCCGCACCTCCCGGCTCACTCGCAACATGGCCTTGGCGAACTCCATCACCCGCACCGCATGCAGCTCGTCCACCTCGCCCTCGGGGAGCACACTGCACAACCCGTCGGCGTCGTACCTGTGTGTGATGCCATGTGGGCGTGGGGTGTATACAGTTACAGTTACAGTCGGTGGGCGTGTGTGTATGTCGTACAGCACGGCAGTGCGCTTTCAGCGGGTTGGAGGACACGAGTGGTGTTCGTGTGGTTGGTCGGAAAGTGGCCACGCGTCCGGCGCATTTTCGCAACCCATGGGTCACACTTGCACGAATGCAGCAACAGCCTACAGCCACCCAGCGCAGGGACACCCACGCCCGTTCTCAAAATGCTTGGACAAAGGGCCCCATGCGTTGCCGTACAACACCCAAACGAATGCGTTGCCGTACCTGACGAGGCCGCCCGCCACCACGTAGCAGTCCCCGATGGTTTCAACCTTGTAAACCTGGGGGGAGGGGAGGGGAGGGAGGGACGGGGGAAAGGGGATCAGAGATACACCGAAACCAGCGGTTAGGGCAAAGCAGTGGGGTAGGAGGGGAGGGGCAGGGTAGCGGTAGGGTTTGGGGTTGAGGTAGGGTGGCGTCAGGTGGGCTTTCGGATGTTTGTTTGTTTGCTTACGGGTGTGCAGCGGCCAGTAGTGCACCCGTGTGCTGCGCAATGGTTTGCATTGACGCAGCGGAACGGGTACCCAGTAGCGCCCGGCGGGTAGTTGACAAAGAAGAGGTCAGAGGTAGGGATCGGGAAGCGCACGGAGGCACACATGCATACCGGTACACGAGAACATGGCGTTATGCGTACATGGAAGCCTAGCTTTGCTTCTACGCCACCTTCTTGTTCGGGATACCCGTACCCAGGCCTCCCAGGTCATTCCCATGACCAGGTAACAGTGTGTACCCCTCCCTACTACCCTTACACGTGCTGGCTTCGCTCTTTCGGGCTGGGCGGGTCGGGCTGGCTCACATGTTGCAACCCATGTTGACGCCTTATCCCTCAGTCAGTTAGTTGTTTCCTCTTTACCTCCCTACTACCCTCCTGTACCCCCTACTACCCTGCTACGTATACTGGTACCTTGTAGATATCGAACAGCGCATCCAGCTTCTTGTAATACTCATTCAGGAAGCGCATCACGGTGAGCGCTGACACCTGTGCACGACATACACATGAGGTTGTACAGCAAACAGTTTTGGTACGACAAACTGTGTGCGGCAGCAGGGCACCCGCGCAGGAGGACATCGTGCGGTAAAACAGAAACGCAGCAACAACTCGGAGTATGCGTGTGCCGTAAGATGAAGCAGCGGTAAGCGTGTCGTCAGGTAAAGACTAAAGGTAGCAACAAGCCCTCAAGTCGTCAAGTAAGCATGAACAACGCGGAAAGAGCAGGATACCCGGAAGCCATACCCCACCCCACACGCAGTCCGACCGCACCCCAGGGTCCTACCTGTCGCGAGAAAGCCGTGAACCCCACAATCTGCAGAGGAGGAGCAGCATGAGCCACAACAGCACACAATCACATAAACACACAAGGGGGGCGAGCAATACTCAGCTTGACATTCCGCAGGGGGGCGGGAGGTGTGAGAGAGAAGGTGGCAGCACGCAGCAGCAGAGTCACAGGGATCAAGTGCTGGTAGCGCCCCCAGGGTCGAACCAGTGGCAGCAGTGACCTCCACCTCCAGTGGCCCCATTGCTCCCCACCCCGCCCGCTAACCCTCACTGTGAATTGTGGCACCCTGCCGCCTCCTATCCCCATCGCTTTGCCACCTAACTCGTGGTTTCACATGCTTCGGTATGGTCTTTGGCCCCCATCCCCGCCCCCTCCCCCCGTGTGCAAACCAGTGCAACCGCGACCGCAGGGTGGCAGCAGTGCAGCACAAGATGTATCACGTGCTCGCTGGCACCCACCATCGTCATCATCTACCCACCCCAACGCATCGAACCCTCTAATCCCTTCCCAAACAGCCCACACGCCTCCCCCCGCGCCTCCGCCCCGCCCCCCTGCGAACACCCGAAAACCCACATCTGAGAACAGCAGTGTCACCAAGCGGTGCCGAGTGGCCAGACGCGACACCTTGACACTCTCCCGCTGCTGAGCCGCCACCAGCGCCGCCAACTGCCGCTGCCCCGCCAGCTGACTGTACGTGGGACCGTCCGGCAGTGGCGGTTGGGCTGAGGATGACGCGGCGGTTGGCAGTTGAGCATCTCCATTGCTGCCGTACACACTGACGTTACTATTGCTGGCGTTACTGCCGCTGTTGCTGAGGTCATTATTATCACCACCAGCAGCAGCAGCAGCAATCTCGGGGGTGATGGCCTTCAAGCTAACAGCGACCGCGTCCGCTGCCGTGGTGGCGGTGTCGGCGGTAGCGACGGCAGCAACTACAACTGGGGCGTCAGTGGCGGCGGCGGCGGGTGCTGCTGCCTCGATAATTGCTGCTGCTGCTGCTGCTGGTGCTGTGGCGGCGGCGGTAACAGCGGAGGGTGGGCTTCGAGGTCGCTCAGCAGCAGGGTGGGTTGGGCCGGGAGCCGTGACGCGACTGGCATTTTTGTCATGGTAACCGAAGTCATACCGGTTGTAACGGTCACAACGGTCCTTAATCGCGTCAGATTCGTCGTCCGTAGCTGGGGATGCTGGGGCGGAGGTTAGATAGGCGATTACGTGCCTGTAGCCGCAGCGGTTGGGGATCGGAACAAGGTGGGTAGGTGTAAGGAGGAGTGTCGTCATCCAAGTGACGCGGGCGGGTAAGGCGGGAAGGCCGGTTAGGCGATGGGAATTGATGGCTCAACCTGGCTCAATTAGGACAATGTCTCATTTGTGCGGAATCCGTACAACACTAAACCGTACAAGCCCGGATGCATCGCATGATGTACAGATAAGACATGACTGTGGCTGAGGCAATAACGCGAGTAAGCCTCACCTGGGGAATAGGGCCTGAGCAAGAGGTTTTGGTTTTCGGTTGTGTGCAGCAAGGAAATTGAGGGGATTAAAAGGGGGGGAGGCATGGGAGGGAAGGCGCAGGTAAGCGTCAGCAGAGCACCAGTGTTGTCAGAAGAGGAAAGGGAAATAGGGGTCTTGCTAGGGCCGATGACGATGAGACATGGCAAGGCACACGAACCCTAGGACTAGCATGCAGTATCGTTACAAGGGGCCCCATTGCAAAGCTCGAGGGCCAAGGTTGTGAGTAAAGCCCTAAAGGTTTCCCTGCCTTCCAGCCCCCCTCTCTTCAAGTAGAAGAAGGCCAAGTTCAGGGTGTTAGGCAACGGAAGGGTGGCAGCGGAAGGTGTTAGGCAGCGGAAGGGTGGCAGCTAAGTACCCAAGAACTTGGTCTTCTTCTACTCCATTCTTCCGCTCCTACCCGCCCAGCCCCCACCCGCCCACCTCCAGCACTCGGTGTTCTTGCTCTACTAGTGCTGCCACCCGCTCTTGTGCCTGTGGAGGTGGGGGTAAAAAATTTAATGTGGAGGTGGGGGTGGGGTGTGTGAGGAAGAACTAAGCATGGGTGACCGGGGCTGCACCAAGGACTGCGTTACTTGTTTGCGGTTGCTAGGTACGTACCATACAGTAAGCCCCTGTCTGAATCTGCATCCGTCGTTAGCTTTAAAATGACGAACGCAAGTCGTGGAAGACGTAACCAACCAACGGAAGACGTAACCAACCAACGGAAGACGTAACTAACCAACGGAAAAGCCGTACCTGCACTTGCTTGGTCACATCCGTCATCATAACCACCAGCGCTTGCTCGCCATCAACCGCCGTACGACAAAATTGCGCCCAGATCTGACACCACATCAGCGGTACGTACATCATCACTCCGTTATCGTTATCATCATTACCGCAACTGCCAACTTGCAGTACTTCCGTCGTCAACGAACTACCGTAGGGCGCTGCTGCTGCTGCTGCCGCTGTTCCTGGAGAACATTGTACCGCAGAACCCCCTGCAAACCCGGAAGGAGCAGCAGTAGCTGTGGCGGCGGCAGTAGCTGCGGCCGCTGGAGTAATGGCAGTAGCAGTTGCAGCTGCAACAGCTGTAACATGTGGGCCCGCTGGTTGAGCCTTCCCATGAGCATCGACACTAAACCGAAATCCGCTGTCATTCGCAATTCCTCTAGCAAGCGTATTTGGAATACGTGCTCCTAGCGACGACGACGGTGGCGGCGGCGGTGACTGTACGACATCTTGTCCGTACACCGTAGACAAGTACATTGCGCCATCCGCTGCCGCCGCCGCCGCCGCCGCCGCCGCCGCCGCCACCTGCGCCGCCGCCGCCGCCGCCGCCACCTGCGCCGCCGCCGCCGTTGTCGTTATTGTTATCATTGAGGCTTCACTCGCCGCTGTCGACGTCGCCGTGGATGCAGAAGAAGTTATCTTTCTGGCGAAATGCCGTACAATACGGCCGCCGCCGCCGCCGCGTACCCATGAGAGACCAGCAGGAGCGGTCCCGAGGAACCTTGCTGCTGTGAAGCTGTTTTGACGCGACGCGGTGCCGCCGCCGTACATCGGGACCATGACGTCAGCGGCGGCGATGCCAGGGGCGGGGCTGCCAGCGGGGGCGGGGCTGCCAGCGGGGGCGGGGCTGCCAGCGGTGGCGGCAGCGCCGCCGCTACTACTGCCTCCGCTCAGAAATTGTAACCAGGAGCTACCCTTGCATTTTAGCTGCGAGCTAGGAGCGCGAGGAAGCACCTTGCCATCGTTGGCGGTGTTGAACTGAGAGGAACCAAACAGCGATCCTCCGCCGACGTCATCTTCGCCGTCATTGCAAGTGTCGGCGGCGCCGCCGCCAGCGCCGCCGCTGCCAGCGCCGCCGCCTCCGCCGCCATTGAACTCAGGATACGACGTGCACAGACGACTCAGGGTGGACGACCTCCGCCTAACCACTGCTGTTGTAGTACCAGAAATGGCGACCGTGGCGGCGGAGGTGACGGCGGCTCTATCTTTGCTAACATCGTGAACCGTCGGCGCTGGCGCTGTGGTCGCCCCATGACAGCCGTTAAGTGCCGCACCGGCAGCAGCAGCAGCAGTGGGCGCCGCCAGTATCCTGTCGGGAGCTTGAGGCCAAACGTGCTCGACGTCAGAGCCGCCGCCGACGCTGCGACGGCCGCCGCTGACGCCGCCTCCGCTGACGCCGCCTCCGCTGACGCCGCCTCCGCCGACGGCGAGGAAACCCATGCTGCTACCGCTCGAAGGCGCAACGAACATTCCAGCTGACCTGACCCCGGCGCTCATGGGCAGGGGTGAGATCCTTCCGTTGTTGTTGATGAGGTTGTTGCCGTACAAAAGGTGGTGGTTGCGGTTGACCGTTGTTCGTTGCAGTTGCAGCTGTTGCGCTTGCAGTTCTGCTCGCTCCACTTGTTCTACTAGGGCCTGAACTCGGCTCCTGATGTTGTTAAGGGAGGGAGAGGCAACAGCGCGGCGAGCATCGAGTCAGCAAGATAAGGTACAACTGCACGGTACGAAGCAATGGGTTGCTAGCTTTGACAGCTGTGGCACTAGCACTAGAGAATCGGTGGGCTAACAGGATATAAGTACAAAGCACCGACGAGTAAAGCAGTACTGCAGTAAACAGTACGTCCCTAAGTCCCTATCCTACGGCTGTACTATTCCCAGTGTTCGCCGCAAGCACACACACACCGGTTTTCGCGGCCAGTTTTCTTAACACACCGGTTACCCTCGTTCCCATTCCCTGCATGCCTTGTGCCTTGGACGACCCTGGTGTGCCTTGCACACCTCACGCCTCACGACACACGGATAGTTTTCTCAACACCCTCCCTCCCAACACCACCCACCTCAGAGAGCCCCTCTGCCGCGTTACTGCCCCCCTCGTCCTGCCGCCTCCACCTCCAGCACCAGCAGCGCTAACGGCATTAGCGGCCCCGGCAGCAGCAGCTACTTTTGCGGATCCGTGCCAAGGCGACATCCCAACCCCAACCCCACCCACGCCCACACCCACACCAGCACCAGCACCACGACCCACGGCCCCGGCAGCCTCCGAGGCAACCTCCGCTGCTCCTCCCGATGCAGCCGAGACTGTAGAAACGGCCGCTGCTGCTGCTGTTGCTGCTCCTGCTGCTGCTCCCGCTGCGTCTGGGATGTCACCGCTTCGCGGGAAGGTCATGGCTAGATCCACACGCACGTCTATGACTTGAATTGCTGCGCCCTTGGCACCAACCGCCGCCGCCGCAGCAGCAGCAGCCAGTGCCTGGGCAGCAGCTTGACTTGCCGCTTCCGTTGCCTCAGCTGCCAGGAAGGCCGTCGTTGCCGCAGCGGCTTTTAGGGGAACTTGTGTCGTACGCTCTGTAGCTGCCGGAGCGGCAGCAGCAGCGTCAGCCTGGAGTTGTGGGTGGGTTGTTGAGTCGTGGCCGCTGCGGCTGCTGGCGGCGGTGGATGCGGCGGATGCGCAGGTAGGTGGCGGTGCCCGGAGGTGCTGGCGTTGGGCGGTGTGGTGGAGTCCGTTACGGATGCGAGCTGGAAGGGGAGGGGAGCCGGGAGGGGCGAGTGGGAGGGAGAGAGGGAGGGCGGGACGAGCAAGAGGGGCCAGGGCGGTCAGGTAGGAGGGTGTGGGGGTACGAGTTGCGCGGTGAAGGTGGTAGGGTGGAGGAGGATGACATGCGTACATGCAGCCTGTATTACAACACGAGCAGAAGATGCGGAGCCGCACACCTACGTCTCAACACACCTACCACCTACCGTCTACCATGGTGGTGCTCAGTGCGCGACCAGCAACCTGTAGACTGCCGCCGCCGCCACCATCACCGGGAGCAGTTGACAGCACTGACCTCCTCAAAAAGCCGCCACGTCCACCGCCGCCGCCACTGCCCCCACATGCCTCCAGGGTCTCCAACCTTGAGAGTTCCAACGACAAAGGTGACATCGGTCGAGTATTGGGTAACGTACGCAGGCGTCGGAATGCAGCCGAGCTGCCTGACAGCAGCAGCCGGTGCAGCGGCGGCGCGGGAGGCAAGGGAGCTGGACTGGAAGCAGCAGTAGCAGCGCTGCTGCCGCCGCCGCCGCTGCTGGCAGCGTTGGCAATGCTGCCCATGCAACCGGCACCGTCAGTGCCGTCGTTGCAGCCCCTCTGACCGCCAACGCCATCGCCAGCGCCACCGGATGCAACAGCAGCACCCAGGGCTCCCACGACGTGTTGGGCGCCTCCGCCTCCGCCGCTGACGGCGGCGCCTTCACCGCCGCCAGTGCTGTACGACAAGGGACTTCGTGCGACGGAGGCGTGACGTTGTACAGGCGACTTAACTGTACGGCAGGACCGTAACAGTACGGGAGCGGAAGAAGGGGGCTCCGGCGGCACCAGGGTGGCTGCTTCTGGTGACACCACCGCCGCTGCTGTTGCCGCGGGCATCCGTTGTTGTGGCTGGTAAGGCGGCGACAGCGACGGCGCTTGCTGGGTGTCTGATACAGCATCAGCACCAGTCGCTACAGCAGCAGCAGCAACAGCAGCGACCATGTCGCCGTCAGAAGCGCCAACGTTGGTGTAATCCTCCGTGCCTTTGACGCCGCTGCCGGCGCCGCCACTCCCAACGTCCTTTCCGTCGCCGCCGCCGCCGCCGCTGCTGCTGTCGGCTCCAATCGCCCCATCAGCAACCTCCGCTGGCTTCACGGGTGCGGTCACGCCGCTCATGGGCGCTGTCGTGGAGGAGCCGGACGGAGCAGGCGGCGGCAGCAGCGGTGCCGCGGTCGGAAGGAAACCCACAGGCGCTGTCATCCCCGCCGCCGTCACCCCCGCCGCCGCCACCCCCGCCGCCGTCACCCCCGCCGTCACCCCCGCCGCCGCCGCTGTTGCTACCAAGCGACGCAGGCTGCCGGATTCCAGTGTTGCCACTCGCCGAACACCTCGTTTCGCAAATGGACGCGGCTGTTGCTGTTGCTGTTGCTTCTGTTGCTGCCCCTGCTCCTGCTGCTGCTTCTGCAAGGGAAGCAGCACTGGCGGTTGCAGCGGCTGGCCCCCAGGTTGACATCCCAGGTTCCATGCAGATGCGGACTGCTGCTGCTGCAGCAGCTGTCTGCGAACGGAGGTGCTGTCATTGCGTGCGAACAGGTGGTGGTGTTGGGGTCCCGAGGGCACTCTGGGGGGAGGGGCGGCTGCGGCGGCTCCGCAACCGCGAGGGAAGCCCCGCTCCAGCCGCTGGAGCAGCTCCTGCGTGGTGTTTGGCGAGGTGGGCGGTGATGATGAGAAGGATGTCTTTTGGTGGTTAAAAAAGTTATAAGTGACTGAAAGATGAGAGAACTACAAGCCTCACCTGCTCCCAAGCGTCTAACTGAACACCGCCGGCGCCATCGCCCCGACTCCCAGCTGCTCCACTGCCGCCGCCTCCACCGTCACCACCGCGGTTGCTGCTGCTGCCTGCACAGTCGCTGCCGCCGCCGCCACCCACAGCGCCGTTGCTACCCACAGCACCGCTGCTGCCAGCAGCCCTGGCGTGTTGCCGCTCAACAGACCGGTTATACGTTCCGGATGGGGTGGCGGAGGCGGTGGTGGAGGCGGTGGAGAGGTGTGCATGGCGGCCGCTGACGGAGTTGCTGTTGTGCGCGGCTCCCAGCCCCAGCCTCTCCCCGTGAATGGAGAGCACGGCGCGACTAAGCATGCGTAGACCCTGTGCGCATGGGTTGAGTGGGTGTGGGGTTGGGTGCGGGGAAGGGCAGCAGGAGGGGCGGGAAAGGGTGTATCCGTACGGTATAGTATAGTATAGTAAGCAACGCCATTTCTGCGCCTTGCCTAGTGTTTGTAGCGTCGCCCACTCACATTTATCAAGTTATCAACAAGCGCCCTAACCCCTGTCACCACCTCATCACCAACCCATGCACCCACCCACCGTCATTGCGAATTCCCCCGAACAGTTATGAATGCTGTGTCGCCGCCCCGCCGCAGATGCCCCAACACCCGCGGCGCAGGGTTGGGTTAGCTGGTAGTCCTTCAGCGGTTGGCTGGGGTCGCGGTTGGGTTGGTTGCAGCGGTTGGGATTCGGTTGGCGCGCTGGACCGTGCCCATGGGTGTAAGACGAAGCAGGCCCCACCGAAGCTGCCGCCGCCGTGGTTGCGGTTGCCACTGGAGCCAGCGAAAGCACGTAAGGCGCGGAGGAGCGGCGTAACATAAAACGCATGCTGCCGCCTCCCCCTCTTGCTGCGCCTCTTGCAAGCGCACGTACATCGGTTGTGCCCAGAAGCATCTCCTCCTCCTCTCCCTCCTCCTCGGCACCTCCGCCAGCAACACCACCAGCGTTACCACGTCCGTTGCCGCGGTGGGTGTCACCTCCACCACCTCCTCTGTTGTCATCCTCCTCCTCGTCCTCCTCGCCCTCGCTCCTCTCCGCGATGTCGGATATGGTCCGCAGAAGCTCTTGGAACCCGCTGGGTGCATCTGCTTCCCTACCTCCCTGGCCTGCCTGGCCCGAGTCCCGACCCAAATTAACTCGACAGCCGTTCTTGTCACCGCCGCCGCCAACACCGCAGACATCACCAACAGCGCCCAACGACGCCGACGCCGAGGCTGAGGTTGGCGGCGGCGGCGCAGTGCTGCTGCCGTCGCGTTGCTGCTGCAGACCCCGCCTTGTCGCCTCCGACACCGCAACAACAGCAGCCTCGGCCGTTGCCGCGGTTGGGATGTCTACAAGCTTGGCGGCATCGATAAACGCCGGGACCTTTAGCACGGCGCAAAACCCCTGCAGCAGCAGCACCGGGAGCGTTCGGTTCGCATAAAAGGTACACCGGAAACAGCGCTGAAGGAGGAAACAACACAGCCATCGCAAACCAGTGCGGGAACAGCAACAATAGCACAGTCACACCGTAGCCGCACCGCAACACGTACGGGACACCCCAAAGGCCTAGGGTGATTCCTAAACATGCGCCGAGCTGTTGCACCATTTTGGCACAAAGCACATACACGAAGCAATGGTGCCGTACAAGCAGCATTCATGGGCCGCAATACATGGGCTGCCGTACACCACGTCATACCTGTTCGGTAGCTGCATCGTCGTACAGCCGCTGCAGCAGGCACGGATCTTCGTACTGCAGAATCGCGGGGAGCAGCGCCTCAGCTGCAGCAGTCCCTGATATCTCTTGGTGTTGCTGGACGGGTGCTAGAGGAGCGTCGAAGCCGAGAAACAACTGCTCCTGAAGACTCCGCTGCTGCTGCAGCTGTTGTTGCTGCTGTTCCAACGGAGGCCTCATGCCCTGAGCAGAATAAGCGGGACCAAGGCAAAGAGAGGAGTTAGGAACTGGATGAAACGCCCCACACCACACCACCCCGCACCAGCCTTGCCCTCGGGGTGCCCTCCCAACTGACCGTACCTCCCGCACACACCGGCCAGCCTGCCTACGGTTTATCTAGCACTTCCGCTCTCGCCCCACGGTCCTACCCCCCACCCCCTCACCCCCACCGACACATGCCTGTCTCGATATCCCGCCTAAGGCACTCTTGCGCTTCCGCTTGGCCCTGGCCCCACCACAACCACCAATCATCCGCCCACGAACGCATGCATGCCAACTCAAACGCACCAGGTATTCCCGCGCTCGGCCGTTACAGTAGGCCATGCGACCCCGAGGAGCGCCGTCCCTGAGGATGGGGAAGCACGGCGGGGAACACACGGCGGGGAATGGTAGGGTGGTGTAGTGAAGGGTCCCAGGGATCCCAGGGTCAACAATTTCCGCAAACCCAGTAGCATTGAACACGCCCTAAAACACTCCTAACCGGTACTTGCTTCCTGATAATACAACCATGATAAATGCATTCTGCGGCTGTACGGCACTGTACGGCAAGTTTCCACATGCCGTGCGTGCCGTACGGCACATCCTATAGTACACGCCTTTTGTAAAGGCACTCGTACGACGGTACGGCAGCCGCACCTGCCATCGTACAAGAAGACCAGGATGCATGCGGTTAGCGCCTCCGCCGCCACCGCTCGCGCTGTCTCTGCCTCTGCGGCCACCTCGTCCGGCACCACCTCAGCATCCGCCTCCTCCGCAGCCGCCGCTGCCCCCTGCACCGCCCCCTCACAGGCCGCTGACAAGGATGCACTTCGGGGGTGCGTCCTATCACCACCACCTTCCTGAGAGCCAGTGGTAGCAGCAGTGGTGCCGGCAGCAAGTGGCGGAAGGAAACTGCGGTGTTGGTGGTTTGGGTGTTTGGAAGAACCGGTCCTCAGGATCTCATGAGCAGGCGAGGAGGGGCCGGACTGCCTGGGGTGAGGGTGGCCGGTGCTGCTGCTGGCTTGGCCAATAGGGTGTGGGAGGTGGTGGGGTGGAGTGGCGGTGACGGCTTGCTGCAGTCGCAGACGCAGGATCAGCCCGGGTGCCAAGCTGCCGTCTTGGAGGCGTAGGCGACATGAGGAGAGCTGCAGTAGCAGGGTGGGAGGTGTGGGTGGGGTGGGTGGGGGGTGAAAGCTGGTTAGGGCTGTGCTTAGGTTGGGGCGGGCAGGGTGGGGAAAAAGAAATTCCAAAGTATGGTGTGATAATGATACAAGTTGCAGGGTGGGGAAGGAAGGGGTGTGTGAGTGGGGAGACAGGGATAGCTACCAGAGATACGGTAGCGGCACTCCGGTTGCTGCATACAACACCGTTGAAGCTGCTGAGCTGGGCTGAGCAGCCTCCCGCCCGCCTTACCTGCACCAACGTGACGTTCTGGCAGGCCGCTGGTTGGGGCTGATGCAGCTGCGGTGCAGCCGCCCGCAGTCCAACCGTGCGCAGCGGCCGATGCCGAATGGTACACCAGGTTCCTGCTTGTGCCGCTCTGCAAGATGGGACACAGGCAGTGAGGGCTCGAGGAGACGGATGCCTCGGTTTAGTCTGCGCAAGTCCCAACACGGCACCCAAACAGACCAGCAGAGTATCCATTTCCTCTTCCTCGCACCTGCCGGCCTGTTGGAGGGCTGAGAGAAAGCCCTCATCACTTGCGACCATGTCCTTTAGCAACCGATGGCATTCCTCAAGAGGAATGCCCATGCGCGCCGTTACTGCAGCCGCCGTGCTTGAAATAAGATTAGAAGGAATAGGGCAGCCGACTGCAGCTCCTCTGCTGTACATGCTACCATGGCCAGGCAAACTGGTGTCCTCTTCGCCGTTGCATGGTGAGGTCACCCAGAGAACCGCAAGTGATTGTCGTGGACGAGTAGCAACGACATTGACAAGCTCAATGTGATGTGTGACAGTGTCTCGCCCACTCGGTGAAAGGCTCGCTGTGGTATCCTTGTCATGACGGACGGAGCAAGCGATTGCGAGGTCCCAACCTGCACGTCCTTGTGCTCCGGACACTGACGTTTTTAAACTGCAGTAATTGGCATGTGTATTGTTGCGAGGTGTCGGGATAGGTGCTTGTGTGGCTTTGCTGAACGACCGAGCGAAGCTTGCTTGGTCATAGAGAGCAAGCCCAAAGCCGCCATCTTCCGTATATGCAGGAGATATTGCCTGTAAACATGTTCCGGCCGGTTGTGGAGTAGCTTCTGCAGGATAGGAGGAACGCGGTCATGGTCATTGGTCAGGTATAACACCAAAGCTGCCGCTCCCATTTCAGCCGTGTGGTAAACGGAATGCAGCTGTGTATGCAGAATGAGTACAAATAGTACTAATAGTGCCTAGACAGTAATGTTAGTCATACGCAGCCCTACCGCGCCAGGATTTTCCTTCGCGCTTCCCGAAGCAGCGCCCAATCCAGGCCATAAGGAGTCTGATTTCGGTACCCTCAACTGTGGAGCGGCGCCTGACTGTTTTTGCCGATATTGGTGGTCGGAGGCTGTTAGCAAGTCGCCATAAGCCCTCAAGTCAAATAGTCTTACCAAGGGCAGCTATTAAGCTATGGGTTTGCACTCGCTGTCGCGCCGGAGTGCCGCCATAGGGTACCTCTAATCTTTACGCACCAACTCTCGCAAGTCGTAATTCCTGGATGGTCGTAATCCACAGCGCTTCAGCGATATAAGCTTAAGAGTCACTAAATTATGTATAATGATTGTTTTGCTCTACGCAACACGTTCGGGAAAATAGGGATTTCCTGCCAACCGCCGGGTTTCAGAGCATATCGTGCAAGCAATCCAGACGTCGGCAAACACGGAATTTCGGCTTCGGGAAGGTCCTATTTCGGTATGCCCTCTAAACGCTCTTAAAAAAGCGCTTTTGGGCGGCGCGCCTATTCCTTGACTGCCCAATCCATGTACTTGTCCTATTTTCCTTGAATGGGGGTTCGGGGGCGAAGCCCCCGGAGAAAATTTTGGAATTTAAGGGCTTAGGGAACAGAAATTGCACCCTTTTTGCAGTAATTGTGTGTCCGCAGTGCTTCGGTGGGGGTCAAAATGGTCTCTGGGGCTTGTAAGGGGCTGCCCGCCTGAGCACGAGGGCCTATTTCTGTCGCATGGGTAGCTTCGGATACCGAATTTCTGTTTCGGGAACTTCGGTACGACCCGAACTCTCCGAAGCGTTTGCCGATGTCTGAAGCAATCGATACCATCAAGGCGCGCCTTAATTTAGTAGAGCCGTGAGTCTTAATCTCGAGATTGCGCCTACGTTTATCGCGCTGGACTATGCGCGGCTCACCGACAGCGACAGTCGTGAACATATAATTTTACTCTTCATCCTGTTATAGGTGTAGTAGAGGTGGCACGGTGCACGAAGCACACACAGAAGCACCCCTAGAATCGGTTCCCGTGCTTGGGTCGTTCAGCCGTCCCCTGCACAGTCTAGCTAGGTCTACCGCACTGACAGGCATGCTCCTGATTTCCATATAACGTTTGAGCTTGCAAGGGCTAATAGGTAAGCGAGTTACCAATTGGCGTGCCCGAGTACGGGCACCCATAGTATTGGCGATGTCACACAAATTGGGGCAATGTCATAGTAGTACATTGCGTAATTGTGCGCGGCTGCTTGTCACAGGCAGTGTAACCTCGGAATGTTGATGTACGAGTATTGAACACTGTAACAAGGCCATGTCGCATTTTATAGGGACGAGCGACACAAGTCATGATGCCCATGAACTCGGTAGGCTGTCCGCATTGCTGAACGTTGTTTTGTTTATGGCCCTTTGTCGCTGTGGCTTTTCAGGAGGTGTTGGCGTGCCTTTTTGCGAAGGTTGCGTTGGCCCCGTACGTGTTGTGCTTTTGCCAGACCCGAAGAGTTGTAGAGCTTCCTAGTGTGAGTTGTAGAGCTTCCTAGTTGTCGACTGTAGACAGGAATGCTGTACAGGGATGCGCACCATTTTCCGCGCTGATTTGGTTCTTATTATAAGGACTTTCCTTCATGACCATAGCTTTCGACAACGTCAAGGCTCCGTGTCTTCTTACATGACTCGCACACTGTGGACTACTTTCACAAACACTGCTGACCTACACACCTGCATTCTGTAGTTCGACCAGACGGAAGTAACATGAACCGCTCCACTGCGTTACGCTGCCCGGAGCAAATTGTTAGTGGTTTTTAATTGTATTTTCGCTAGTGTTTGTTTTGCGTGTAAGTATGGGTGTCGTATGTTGTCGTATTGCTGCGTTGTTTGGTGAAGTCCTGTTTCCTTTGCGTGCGTTTTTATTGTTGCGTTGGCTGGCTTGGCGGTCGTGGCCTTGTTCAACATCTACCTCCCGGATGCCTGTGTACTCTTCTTCCTCCAGTTTGGCAATTGCTTGCTGCTGTTGGCAGAGGTGTGCAGCCCGTACATCTTTAGCATCTTCCTCTTCTGCATCCTCTGCTTCAGCCGGAACTCCATGGTTGTTTTGCTGGGCCCACTGGGTTGTCCGCTGGCCTTGTGCCCGTGGTGGAGACCATGGCGGAGGTGTCCAGGCCTCCCCTACTGCCAACGGGCGCGTCAACCACGTGGAACCTTTTCTGTCCACCAAATATCGGCGCGATGCAGCTGGAAGAGTGGGTGCACTGCTGTCCAGGGCCGCAGGGGGTACCGACCTGGTGGCCTGCAGCATCCACACGCCGTGCACACCGCCGTGGGTGCATGCCGCCTGAACGCTGCTTGTAGCCCTAGTGCTAGCTGAAGAAATGCTGTGAAGCCCTCTGCCCCTACTGGGACTGCCCGTTTGTCTGCTGCTGCACCACCTGGCCAGAACCTGCTCTGCTGGTGTATCTGGCTCCACACTGTTCTGGCCAAGTGTTAGGGACATGTGTTTCATCATCAGGCCCACAAAACTACGGGCAGGAGGTACTCCTGCTAGCTGGTCTGCTGCTTGCTTTGCTGCACGGCTTGCCTGCGAGCTGTTGCGTGTGCTGCAGCATTTTGTTGGCGTCCTGTGGTGGCCTCCGTGCCGGTCTGTGCCTGCCGGGCTGCGTGTCGCCGTTCTGTTTCTGCCTGTAGTGCGGCTACTCCTTGCTTGCTGCAGTAACCTCGTCCGCCGGTGTGCTCTCAGCCGCTCCACCTCCCGTTGCCGAAAGGCTTCTGCCTGCGACCAGAGCCCACATGATGTACATGACTGTGTCTGCGGGTGCGGGTGTTGGGTTTGATGCTGCTGCCTGTTGCTGCAGGCCCCGGTGGCCCCGGCCTTGCTGCACGACACTTTTCTCGTCCTCCTCTGCTTCCTGGGTGTCTGAGGGCTCCTCCTCATCCATGCCCCCTACTGCGGCGTCCACTTCTGCGTTGGCTTGCTGCACTTCACGGCGGCGCACAGCCAGAACATCCCAGCCTCCTTCGTCGCCATCCCCCATGTCCACTGCTTCTTTACACGCGCCCTGGTTGTCCTGACGTGCACCCTGGCCAGGTCGTTGGCCTTTTGCTTGTGGAGGCGGGCCATGGCGGAGGCGTGTTGGCCTCCCCTTCTGCCACAGGGCGCGTCCAGAACGTGTGTCACTCACGCGAGACCTCCTCTGTCCATCCAATGTCGGCACGCACAACTTGGAACAGTGGGCGCACTGCTGCCCAGGGCCGCAAGGGGCAAGATCTGGTGGCCTGCAGTATCCATCCGTGCACACCGCCGTGGGTGCATGCCGCCTGAACGCTGCTTGTAGCCCTAGTGCTTGCTGCAGAACTGTTTTGAAGACCCCTGCCCCTACTGCGACTGCCCGTTCGTCTGCTGCTGCACCACCTGGCCCGCATAGAACCTGCTCTGCTGGTGTATCCGGCCCCACACCATGTGGGTCTGGTGTTAGGAACATGAGCTCCAACACCTGGCGCACTATACTGCCCGCTGGTGGGAGTCCAAATGCCTCCTCAGCGGCTTGTTCCGCTTCATCTGCTTCTGCACGGGCTGCAGCTGCGTTGTCTTGCCCTTCCCTACCTGTTTGGTCTTGGGTTTGGGCCCCCCTTGGTGCTTGTCGCATTGCGTTCTTTTGCTGCCTTGTCGCTGCACCAGAACTTTGGCACATAAGTGGATACCGGTATCAGCTGCACCTCTGCAACGGTTAACGTTACCGTATATATCAGCCCCTGGGTAAATGTGGGCTATTGCACATTCAGGCACCTGTTGGCCTGTGGGGGGGGAGGCATGTGAGGGGTATGGTGTGCATGTTGGTTTGCAGGCCTAACCATAACCATTTTGACTGTCTCCCTTTAGACCCGCGGCCCCAAACATAAGAAGCACCTTCCTTTTTATTTCCGCTGCAGTGCTTCATGGGAGCTATCATAGAGGTGTACAGCTTCTGGTTGTCCTCCGCCCCTAGCCACAGGTTTTGATTTTCTACATGCTGTGCACCCAATGTCCGCATGTAGTGTCGAGTGTGTCTTGGGGTGCGTGCCTTGCTGGTGTGAGTGCTAGTTCCTGCCTTGCTGGAGCTGCCTGCTGCTGCAGTCTGTGGCCAAGCTCCTGCTGTACGACGTCATGCTAATTCTCCTCTGCTTCCTGGGTGCCCGAGTACTCTTCCTCCTCCATGCTCCCTGATGCTGCCTCCACTTTGGCAATCCTTGCTTCTTCTGCACGGGCTGCAGCTGCGTTGTCTTTCCCTTCCCTACCTGCTTGGTCTTGGGTTTGGGCCCCCCTTGCTGCTTGTCGCCTTGCGTTCTCACGCTGCCTTATCGCTGCACGTTGCTCGACCTCCATGCTCGCACCCTCGCTGTTGCTCTACGCCGCCGCTCCACTTCTGGGTCATAGTCTTCGTCTTCGTCGGCCATTAGTTTGCTGTCCGTTCCTGTTGACGACGCCCACCTGCCTTGATTGGTTTGTGTTTATCCCGCTGTTTATCTCGTTTATCCCGCTGTCGTTTTTTCGCTTGTTTTTTATTTCTCTGTGTTCCCGTTTCCCGTGTGGATTGGTGGTCGCGGACCTGTTTTCTTAACGTTTTGAAGTTTCCCTGTTGCTTCTTTTGTTCTATGTGTTTTGTTGTTGGCGTTATTGTTGTTGGCGTTGTTTGGGAGATTGGGAGTGCTCTGCTGGTGTTTCTGGCCCCACCCCATGTTGGTTCGGTGTTCGGAATGAGTCTCCAGCACCTGGCGCACCATACTGCCCGCTGGTGGGAGTCCGAATGCGGCCCCCGCTTCCTCAGCCGCTGCCCTTGCTGCTTGCCGCCTTGCGTTTTCACGCTGTCTTATAGCTGCACGTTGTTCGGGGCTACGTGCTGCCCTCCATGCTTGCACCCTTGCAATTGCTCTACGCCGCCGCTCCGCTTCTGGGTCATAGTCGTCGGAACTGTCGGCCATTGCAATCTGCGGCCCGTTGCTGTTCGCAACGCCCTCCTGCCTTGCTTGACTTATGTGTGTTCCGGTGGCATGGTATTGGTTGTTACTGTTGTTTTCGCTTTGTCCTTATGTGTCAATGTTGGGACGCGAAGATGTTTTTTCCTATTATGCGGTTCCCTTCTTGCGTTGCTTCTTCCTTATTGTGTTATTTTTTTGTGCTTGTTGCTGCTGTTGTATATGTTGCGTAGGCTTTTGGGTGTCTTTTGTACGGCATCTTTTGGAAGCCTTCAGTGCGGTATGGAATGGCTTTTGCGTCCGTTCGCGGTGTGCTGTATACCGTGTGTTGTCTGCTTTACCTTGAGGCCCTTTGCGAGGCGTTTGGAGACATGAACCGCTCCACTGCGTTACGCTGCCCGGAGCAATTTGTAGGTGGTTTATTATTATTATTATTTTTTCGCTAGTGTTTGTGCTGCGTGTAAGTATGGGTGTCGTATGTTGTCGTACTGATGCGTGGTTTGGTTGTGTCCTGTTTCCTTTGTGTGCTTATCTATTGTTGCTTTGGTGGGCTTGGTGGTCGTGGCCTTGTTCAACATCTTCCTCTGGGGTGCCTGTGTGCTCTTCCTCCTCCACTTTGGCAATTGCTTGCTGCTGTTGGCAGAGGTGTGCAGCCTGTACATCTCTAGCATCTTCCTCCTCTGCATCCTCTGCTTCAGCCGGAACTCCATGTTAGTTTTGCTGGGCTCACTGGGTTGTCCGCTGGCCTTGTGCCCGTGGTGGAGGCCATGGCGGAGGTGTCCAGGCCTCCCCTACTGCCAACGGGCGTGTCAACCACGTGGAACCTTTCCTGTCCACCAAATATCGGCGCGATGCAGCTGGAAGAGTGGGTGCACTGCTGTCCAGGGCCGCAGGGGTACCGACCTGGTGGCCTGCAGCATCCACACACCGTGCACACCGCCGTGGGTGCATGCCGCCGGAACGCTGCTTGTAGCCCTAGTGCTAGCTGAAGAATTGCTGTGAAGCCCCCTGCCCCTACTGGGACCGCCCGTTCGTCTGCTGCTGCACCACCTGGCCCGCATGGAACCTGCTCTGCTGGTGTATCCGGCTCCACACTGTTCTGGCCAAGTGTTAGGTACATGTGTCTCATCATCAGGCCCGCAGTACTACGGGCAGGAGGTGCTCCTACTGCTGCCTGCTCTGCTGCACTGCTTGTCTGCGAGCTGTTGCGTGTGCGGCAGCATTTTGTTGGCGTCCTGCGTTGGCCTCCGTGCCGGTCTGTGCCTGCCGGGCTGCGTGTCGCAGTTCTGTTTCTGCCTGCCGTGCGGCTACTCCTTGCTTGCTGCAGTAACCTCGTCCGCCGGTGTGCTCTCAGCCGTTCCGCCTCCCGTTGCCGAAAGGCTTCTGCCTGCGCCCAGAGCCCACGTAATGTACATGACTGTGTCTGCGAGTGAGGGTGCGGGTGTTGGGTTTGATGCTGCTGCCTGCTGCTGAAGGCCCGGGTGGCCCTGGCCTTGCTGCACGACACCTTCCTCGTCCTCCTCTGCTTCCCGGGTGTCTGAGGGCTCCTCCTCATCCATGCCCCCTACTGCGGCCTCCACTTCTGCGTTGGCTTGCTGCACTTCACGGCGGCGCACAGCCAGAACATCCCAGCCTCCCTCATCGTCATCCTCCATGTCCATCTGCTTCTGTATACACGCCCTGCTTGTCCTGATATGCACCCTGGCCTGGTCGTTGGCCTTTTGCTTGTGGAGGCGGCCATGGCGGAGGCGTGTTGGCCTCCCCTTCTGCCACAGGGCGCGTCCAGAACGTGTGTCACTCACGCGAGACCTCCTCTCTCCATCCAATGTCGGCACGCACAACTTGGATCAGTGGGTGCACTGCTGCCCAGGGCCGCAGGGGGCACCGACCTGGTGGCCTGCAGCATCCACACGCCGTGCACACCGCCGTGGGTGCATGCCGCCGGAACGCTGCTTGTAGCCCTAGTGCTTGCTGCAGAACTGTTTTGAGAACCCCTGTCCCTACTGCGACTGCCCGTTCGTCTGCTGCTGCACCACCTGGCCCGCATAGAACCTGCTCTGCTGGTGTATCCGGCCCCACACCATGTGGGTCTGGTGTTAGGAACATGAGCTCCAACACCTGGCGCACTATACTGCCCGCTGGTGGGAGTCCAAATGCCTCCTCAGCGGCTTGTTCCGCTTCATCTGCTTCTGCATGGGCTGCAGCTGCGTTGTCTTGCCCTTCCCTACCTAGTTGGTCTTGGGTTTGGGCCCCCCCTTGGTGCTTGTCGCATTGCGTTCTCATGCTGCCTTGTCGCTGCACCATAACTTTTCTTTCTTCTTTGCTTATTTCTCAGGCCTAACCATATCAATTTTGACTGTCTCCCTTTTGACCCGCGGCCCCAAACATAAGAAGCACCTTCCTTTTTATTTCCGCTGCAGTGCTTCATGGGAGCTATCATAGAGGTGTACCGCTTCTGGTTGTCCTCCGCCCCTAGCCACAGGTTTTGATTTTCTCCATGCTGTGCACCCAATGTCCGCATGTCGTGTTGTGTGTGTCTTGGGGTGCGTGCCTTGCTGGTGTGAGTGCTAGTTCCTGCCTTGCTGGAGCTGCCTGCTGCTGCAGTCTGTGGCCAAGCTCCTGCTGTATGATGTCATTCTTATCCGCCTCTGCTTCCTGGGTGCCCGAGTACTCTTCCTCCTCCATGCTCCCTGATGCTGCCTCCACTTTGGCAATCGCTTGCTGCTTCTGCAGGGCTGCAGCTGCGTTGTCTTGCCCTTCCCTACCTGCTTGGTCTTGGGTTTGGGCCCCCCTTGCTGCTTGTCGCCTTGCGTTCTCACGCTGCCTTATCGCTGCATGTTGCTCGACGGTACGGGATGCCCTCCATGCTCGCACCCTCGCTGTTGCTCTATGCCGCCGCTCCACTTCTGGGTCATAGTCTTCGTCTTCCGAACTGTTGGCCATTGGTTTGCTGTCCGTTCCTGTTGACGACGCCCACCTGCCTTGATTGGTTTGTGTTTATGCCGCTGTTGTTTTTTTGCTTGTTTTTTATTTCTCTGTGTTCCCGTTTCCCGTGTGGATTGGTGGTCGCGGACCTGTTTTCTTAACGTTTTGTAGTTTCCCTGTTGCTTCTTTTGTTCTATGTGTTTTGTTGTTGGCGTTATTGTTGTTGGCGTTGTTTGGGAGATTGGGAGTGCTCTGCTGGTGTTTCTGGCCCCACCCCATGTTGGTTTGGTGTTAGGAACAAGCACCTGGCGCACCATACTGCCCGCTGGTGGGAGTCCGAATGCGGCCCCCGCTTCCTCAGCCGCTGCCCTTGCTGCTTGCCGCCTTGCGTTTTCACGCTGTCTTCTAGCTGCACATTGCTCTGGGCTACGTGCTGCCCTCCATGCTCGCACCCTTGCTGTTGCTCTACGCCGCCGCTCCTCTTCAGGGTCATAGTCATCGGAACTGTCGGCCATTGCAATCTGCGGCCCGTTGCTGTTCGCAACGCCCTCCTGCCTTGCTTGACTTATGTGTGTTCCGGTGGCATGGTATTGGTTGTTACTGTTGTTTTCGCTTTGTCCTTATGTGTCAATGTTGGGACGCGAAGATGTTTTTTCCTATTATGCGGTTCCCTTCTTGCGTTGCTTCTTCCTTATTGTGTTATTTTTTTGTGCTTGTTGCTGCTGTTGTATACGTTGCGTAGGCTTTTGGGTGTCTTTTGTACGGCATCTTTTGGAAGCCTTCAGTGCGGTATGGAATGGCTTTTGCGTCCGTTCGCGGTGTGCTGTATACCGTGTGTTGTCTGCTTTCCACTGCGGCCATTGGCGAGGCGTTTGGAGACAATTTTTGTGTTACACTCAGGGTGGGGTGGCTAATCCCTTTGCAATCCGTAGGATTGCTCCGGGAACATTTTTTTGTAACGCACGGGGTGGGGTGGCGTCTTTTGGACGCCTTCCGTGCGGTCTGGACGGGCTTTTGCGTCCGTTCGCGCTGTGCTGTATACCGTGTGTTGTCTGCGTTACCTTGAGGCCATTTGCGCGGCGTTTGGAGTCATTTTTTTGTGACGCTCGGGGTGGGGTGGGGTCGCTAATCCCTTTGCAATCCGTAGGATTGCTCCGGGAATCCGTAGGATTGCTCCGGGAATAAGAAATCAACTTCAACGCCAACCGGGCCTTGGCTCCGATGCATCACATATGATAGCCAAGGAATACGCAAGTAACACGGCATGTACAGATACAAATCAACTACCTCGCGCAACATGGGAGGGCTGGGTCGGAAAGGAGTCGTACGCTTGCGCACATAAAGAAACCAACTAGGCACTCTCCGAACAAAAAAACATAGAAGCAGGAACTTGAGGGCACGCCTCCGTCACGAACGCGTTCGTGAACTTGTTTCGACCGTTTCCAGGTGTGCCAGCAGCAATGTGTCGTCCTGGAGACAGAACATGATTCCCTTTGTCCTCTTTGGCGAAATGCATATACACAATTCCCCTAGTTGGGGCGCAGGGACAAGGTGGTTTACAGTGAAAGTGGGGTATAAAATGGATCCCCAATTTAGGGTGGTCACGGCAGCAGCCAGTACTGGGACGAAATGTGTCACATGCGTGTTTAATGGCGTTGTGTAAATAGTTCCTTCTACATATACCATAACCAACCTCCCCGGCTCCTAGACGATAAACAGCACGGCATAGTGTTGGGTAACGGCATGGATTGAGGCTTTGTCGCCATATCCGGCCGTGTAACCGGGCCTTCATGTGCCTCTCCAGTCAAGCGCGACTATTTTACTATTAACCGTTGCAACGATGCAGTACGGCTAAAGGCACACGCGGCCCTAAGGCCTACATAACACTGCCCCTACATCTGTAACCGTTGCCAGGTAATACGGCAACAAGGACCGTCTAATCTACAATCCACCACATGCCTCGTCTAAAACTCGGCACGCGGGGGACCTACAGATAAAGACCGTCTAGCGCATGTCTGTCATACAACACCCAGAAGCAGTTGGGACGTGTTCGTTGGAACACATCGGCAACACAATCTGGTCAGGAGGAGAAAGCGTCGCTTCGACAAGTTTGGCCCCAAAGCAATCAGGGCCATGCATGTACCATGCGACCAAAAATTCCTAGTCCATGCCGTCAGCTTGTGCAGGGTGGTCGTATGTGGTCGTGGTCATCAACTGGTCAGAGCCACAAAATGAGAAACCCGCATTCCAGCCCGTTCGGCATTCCAAGGCCCTACAACCTCATGTCATAAGGATCCCCAATCTTCCAGATCGCCTACCAGTGTAGGATGGTATTAATCGCATAATGGACACGAAAATACAGAACTTAGTTCAACTGACAACTGCAAACCATCATCGTTGACGCTCCATACTCGCGTGTCGAATGCACTACAGCCAATCGACGTTGCAGACAGCCTACTGCCTTCGCCAAATCGTCCGTAGCCTGCAAAGGCTAACCAAAAAGGCTAAGAAAGTCCATGCAATCCCGAGCGCTCACACCGCTAAACGAACGAGATCTCAAGTCACTAGCTACACATCTTCCCGAGCTTCTCGACCAGTTCGTTAGGTGCAGCCTCCTATCCTGTCATCTGTCGTACGTCAAAGGAACATTGGCCCTGTCCTGCACATTAGTCATCTGTCGGCTAAGCCTACACTGAGGTGTGCATGATCAAGACAAACGTGTGTGAAAATTAATAAGCAATACTAATGCATGCGTACCAAAACCCAGCTGTAAAAACGCTATTCTACGCCAAAGCCTAGGGAGCAGGACTTTTTGGCTGGATGGCACTCCAATACACGCTGGTCGGCCGCCGCTTATATCACCCTGGCCGTATGCCACCTCTGCCACGCATGCCGTACAAGCGGGACGGTGCCAAACTCTACAGCCATCGTTCAACCAACCAAAACCGAGGGAGCGCTTGCCCTAAATGGATGCCAATATACACTTAGCAACGCGCCCCCAACGACACCTGCAAGCTCGACACCCATAGTCAGCGTCCTTCGTCATGTGGGAGATTGAGAGACTGGCCCCCAGGTCCATCGCTACGTGCCCCCATAACTGGAGCGTCCGTCGGCACGAAACCCACCCGCCACGCACGTCACATATCACCATAACAAGAGTGTTACCTGACCACTGTCGGGTAACAAAACATAATACGACGATAGCGGGTTTCCGCCTGCGCCTTGTGATGCATGCCAGTGCCATCACCCATCCACACCTCGTATGCAAGCCACCACCGGTATCCGGCCTTTCTCACGGTAAACAACGCATGCCTAGTAAGGCCCCGGCTTACCGGGTATGCATGCGGTCAACAACGCACCCGTCCAGGGTAGGGTCGGAGCTGAGGAGGCCGCAGCGCCACAGCCCTTGGATATGTACGGTAATGGTCCAACTGTCCACAAACACTTTTCTGCAGCCATGCAAGCAGCCGCAAGAATGACTGGGTTCAGAGGTCAAAACTCGGAAGCTTGCACAGCCTTATGAGATAAATCAAAGAATGGGCCAACGCATGCATGCTGGCGTTTCGCATGAGAGGAGGTGATCCCTAGAGCAGCATTGCCTTGAAGCGATAAGCAGCGAAAGCATCGCACCTTTCCTTAAGCGTCGTCCAAGTCTTCATCTTCCGGAACGCTGTGGATTCGCTTTTCGTACGAGTGCTTGTACTGCACCTGCCGCAACGTCCTCAGGTTGGGCATCAGCTGCGCATCTGGGTCGGCGAGGATCTCCTGGCGGTTGCGATCCACGGAGGCGCGGACAACCTGCACGGTGGGACAACAGGCGTGCGTGGAGCGTCGGAAGCCTCATTGTTACATAAATGGCAGGAGATGGAAGCATGGGGCAAGGTGTCAGCGCAGGTGCCTCGCGCGCAGTAGCAAAGTGCCACGGGTGTTGGTGGCCTGCGGGCGCCAGCCTTCACTCCTAGACGCGTCACCTTGACGCAGGTTGACCACAAGGTTTCACCCAATCCACGCCTACGCACGGACAATGGTCACAATCCCCAGTTCCCCCCAGGCTTACCTGCCGCTGCTCCTCAGTCAGGTTCGTATCCGTCTCGGCGTCCTCCAGAATGCGCTGCAGGCACATCAGCTTGCGCTGTGGCCAGCGGCGAATGCCTAGCTGCCGACACCGCCGCTTGAGTTCTGTGGTGCTCACGCCCAACGTGCGCGCCGCGTCAACCACTGGCAAATGGAAGGAGCCTTGCAGCGTCTCCAGTGCAAGCGCGCCGCCGCCCCGGCCGCCACCCCGGCCGCCAGCGCCTCTGCTGCCTCGTCGGCCCCGACGGCCAGTACCGCGCGACCTGGGTGTCCGTGTCTCGCCTTGGGAGGAGGAATCATCGTCGTCGTCATCGTCCAGCTCTACGTCGTCTGTGGATTCCTTGCGCGTCGCAGTTGCATGGGGAGCGGCTGAGGACCGGTGACGAGGCGAAGCACCGCCCCCGCCGCCGCCAGCAGCAGCAGCAGTTGGAGCGACCGCGGGACCTAAAGGTGCAGCGCCTGCTGCCGCCCCCGCATGCGCCGCTGCCACGGGGTGCCTTGCCGCGACTAATGCATCAACAGAATCGGAGAACCAGCCAGCAGCAGCCAAGTCCTCAGCATCCGCGGGCCCGCCCGCAAGGAACTCCCCCGGCGGCGGAGCGCCTAGAAAGGGCTGGAGGAAGCTGATTGGAAGCAGCTGCATGGCCGCATCGCTGGAGCTGGCGGCGGCGGACGCGGATGCTACACGTGCGGCTCCGTAGGCGGCCATGCCCGCATCTCCTGCTCCACCCTCGCTGACACCAAGACCTGCAGCCACCGCTAAGTGCGCCGCGGACGCAGGAAGCGGCCTCTGCTGTTTGGACCTGCTGAAGTCCAAGGCCTCCACCATCTGGGCTTGCGTGAGCTGGCCTATTTGTACGGCAGTAAGGACGGGTTGCGGCGGCAGCAACTGCACTCTTGTGCGCAGCACAGGTGCTGGCTGCTGGGTGGCCGGCGAGGGCGCTGTTACAGGAAAGGAGGACACGCCGACTGGGGACCCACCAGTTGGCATTGGCATTGCAACCGCGCGGGCAGCCGCCGCGTCGCCCGCCCTGCTGTACGGCGGGTAACCTAGTTTGGCAGGCGTTGGCCAGGGCGCGGCCGCAATTTCGGCCATGAGCAACGTGGTCACGTCCAAGTCCTCCATGGGCACAGCTGGAAGGCGTCGCCTGTTGCTGACTGCTTCAGGGTAGCCTCCAGAAGAGCCCAGCGCGGGAAGGGTAAGATGCTGTCCTGGGGCGTCAAGCGGCTCCTGTGGCGGCAGCGGCCCGCTCCAAGACCAGGGCGAAGGAGGCGGCTCAGCAGCCCCCGCCGCTGCAGCGAAAGATAATGGCAGCTGCCCGCCTGCGACACGGCGTTGTGGAGGGAGCACTCGAGGCTGAACTGCCCGTGCTGGAGGCAGCTGCTGCGGTGGCGGTGGTGCAAGTTGGGCCAATAGCTGTGCTGACAGCTGTAACGGCGGCTCTGGCTCCTGGACGTAGAAACCGACCGGCCATGGGGCACTTTGCGGCTGGTTAGAAGCCGGTAAGAGTCCTGCCAAGGGCAACGACGATGATGACGGTGGGCCACGTACTTCCGAAGGCAGCGCTAAGGAAAAATTCATGGGCCCAGGCCCGACGTCACGTTGTCGTGGACGCGCAGCTGGAAGGTGCGCAGTACGTGTCGGGCTGCCTCCTCTAGCCGCTCTACCGAGGCCATGTTCCAAGCGACCGGGAGCGTAGTGCGCGCTTGCACGCTGCGCTTGGCTTGCTAATAACGCGGCCGGTGCTGCGGCATTTATGTTACCGGTTTGCTCATCATCATATTCACCATCGTTATCCTCGCTGCGATGGGTTGCGACGCCACGAGAAGAAGGTTCCTCGGCTCCTAATTTGAACATCGACGAGGGCGCTGGCAGGCCGGTATCCGTCACTGTAACAAGGCTCTGGGTAAGAAGTAATGCAAACTCTAGATAAGGACCCACGGTAATAGGTGCTGTGTAAATTGGGCTAAGTTGCTGAGTGGCTGTCGCATCCCCAAGACGATGTTCAACCCTGAGCTGCAACCCAGACCAAACGCCTGTTGGAGTAAGGGAATAATAACACTGTTAATGGTAGTAGATGCAAAGGACAAATTCCGAAGGCGCAGCAATCGTCTTGTGGGTGAGGTAGCTAACGCTAGGTAGTCCGAAACCCACCGGAAGGCACCAGGGTAAGCAACTTTCCTTTAGTTAGTGCCCAGGTATCATATGCATCAATATCATGGTTGAGGTGTGCGTTCTGGCGTGAACACCCAAACTCAAATGGCCATGACAGCCCCTGGCACCCACCTGAGCAGGCTAACCCAACAGCTCTAACAACCAATCCTCGAGAATTGTGCACTATGTACGTTAGCACGCAAAGCGGGTTCCTGACGAAGATTAGGTTGTCGACCTCAACACACTGTTATCACAGAGCAAAATGGTCGGTAAGCAAAGTCAGTAGAGGTACGTATGTGTAAGTAACGTGTGTTAAAAATTACTGTTGGCGTTCTTCCCTGGCATGGTGGGTTCCATGAGCTGTCTAGCTTTTCGTGTGAACGGCAGATCCGGCATCCACTACCCTAGGGGTCCAGAATGCCGTTTGTCAAAGTCTTTTCTGCTTTGCATTTATATTCATGCATCCATTTTCTTAAAGGTTTTGGCGGCGCGGTGTGATCTGTGGCAAAAGTTTGTCATCATCATGTTATCCGTGGAAAGAAGGTCCAAGGCGCCACCGCCTTGACATGCCCGATATGCTTAGTGCGGGATAGTGCGGGATTGTATGCAGCTTACGTATAGGGGCGTTTTTGCTTGTAACCTGCCTACATTCCACCTGGGCAATCTCCTTGCCGACTTGGGCCTCACACTACCTAGCCAGCATACTGCATGCCTTCAAAATACATATCGCCTTCTGCAACGGTTTTGCTCCGCTAGGACACCACGGGTTAAAATAATGAGCTTAATCCAAGAGCCGTACATCTGTTGAAGGGAAAGTACGTACTGCGACAAGGCCATGCCCCCGCCAACTATCACGCATCTATACAGATGTGCCTTAGGGGCCATTCATATATGAAGGAGGTCCGATTGAGTGAGGGTGCGTGAAAGAGTCGAAAAAACTCAATATGCGTTCACATTGGTCGGGCGTACAGTGAGAGTCGAAATGCCGCGACCGCGACCGAACACGGGCAGCAAGGCAGGAAGCTAGCGGCTGCGTAGACCTGCCAAGATGATCTCTTCGCAGGTCTCCGCAGCCATGCGCACGCGGTAGTTGCTTGTCGCGACAACGTTAGCAAATTCGTCAAAGTCGCACCGCGCGAGGCCGCGCAAAGCTTTCTATGAGAAAGTAGTATATCGAGAACAAAAATATGCAGTCGCGAAGTCTAGGAAAGCAACCAAAGTGTGCGCTTGGCATAGGGATGCTAGTTGGCAGGGGGCCTCTACTCACGAGTTTCTTCACTCACTTCACTCAACTTCACTCATGATTCACTCATGTTTCACCTATGGAATTATTTTTTGAACTCAGGCGCTGTTAAAAATAATTCCAGGCCAAACGTAATTAAAAATTACAATCTGAACAATTTTCCCCTACGCGCTCCTACGCACTCATTCCCAAAATCACTCATATGTGAATGGCCCCTTAGGCACAAACTGTTGACAATGAGGGGGGTGCCGCTAGGCCAACGGACGCGGCGTTCAATGGCCACGGTCAGTCCCTACCTCCGGCCGCCCTCTTCTTATATAGGACTGCAAAGATGTACATGCAAAGATGCACATAATTTAAGCGACCCGAATTGGTCGCGCTCTGGTGGTGTTACATCTAACTACAGTGGCTGTAGTCCAACAGGTATCCAGGAGGTCTGCACCCGTGCTTTATTGCTACCTGTGCAAGTTTCTGGTTTGTATCTCTTCTTTCATTTAGCTTACTAGGCTTTGTTTCGGACGTGCGCCTTTGGGCGGGGGTGTCCTGCTGGGCCAAACCATATCGAAATGCCTCAGCGAAGACAGAAAGTTTTCTATCGGTGATTACCTACTTACTGCGGGCCCTAGATGCCCACACGCTGAGGATGTTGACCACTGCTCAATCTATTGCTGAAACGATGCACCATGCGTCTGGTGGGGCTACCCTAATTGCGTCGCGAACAGTCATTCGCTCAGCAATTCACTCCCCGTAACTGTGAAAGCCTTCTCTACTCGCAAGCAGGGCTACTTGCAGCTTGCGTGCGCCTACTAACAGATGGTTGTGCAGGACGCCACGTTACGCGCGCCGTCCGATTAGCCACACTCCCCCCACGCAAAGTCCCCCACCATGCAGGGCCCAAGCCGCAGGTTATACGGGAACGCTTGATTTTACTTTCTTTCCATTTATGCAGAGGCAAACGCCCCTCTTTACCATCACCCTAGGAGCCAAGCCACCGTTACAGGCATTACATACAAGTAATCCCCTGTCCATCCTCCTCCCCGGTAACCATCACCTCGCGAGAGGCGGGTGCCACATTACCCCCGCCCCTAGCTGAACGGCCGCCAACTACCGCCACTAACAGGGCCCACATCGACGTCCTTCACCGGGTCGCCGCAACACCGGCAGCTCCCCCCGACTCCAAACGTCGCCGCTCCCAACCCTACACCGATCGCTGCTGCAACCACAGAAACGCCCCGCAGCTATGCAGCAACACTAAGCTACCCGGGGCTCAAGCAACCCCGGCAAGCATCCACGTCAACGCCCAACCACCACCTTTCCCAAGCGCACCGTTAGATACTCCCGACCGCATGAGGTCACATGATGGCCGCGTCACGTGTCATCCGCCCCTAGCTTGTACGGCAGGGTGATCCCCCCTAGCACGCTGCCTCTTGTACGGCAGCTTGCAATACACCGTGTCTCCCCCATGTGTATGCAGGGCTCCAACGCACGGCATGTTCGAACAGGGCATGATGAGCGGCAGGATATCAAGGGTAGCCCGCACCACCGCTGCTGTCGCTGCTGCTGCTGGCACTGCCCTCACTGCTGCTGCCGCCCTCGGCTCCAGCAGCCGCCGGAGTGCCCTCGGGCGGGGGGAGGCTGATGGTCTCGATGGTGAAGTGGTGGTTGGTGTAGATGCACATGTCGGCAGCGATGGTCATGGACTTCTTGCCTGCGTGCACAGGTGCGGGACGTGGCGGGAAATGCTAAAACTCTTTTCCCTCCTTCTACCGGTAAACCCCCCTTCCCGTTCCTTCCCCTCCCTCTTCGACTAAAGGTGCATGGCTGTTGGTGGCCGTTGGCAAGAGCCCACCACTCGCCACAGCCCCCAAACACCCCACTTTTACTCTCCCCCTCTCTCCCACCCGCATCTCCCGCCCCACAGCCCTCACGCTCACCCCAATACCTTTCCTTTCCTCCCCCCGCCCTCTCCCTCCTCGTCATGCAGCTCGTTCGTTTCCTCTTTTTACCTCCCCCTCCCACCTCCCAGCTCAGTCTTCCCCCTCTCCCCCCACCCACCGATCGTCAGTGCGTCCATGCCCGGCACGTCGATCAGCGCCCGGGCGGCAGCTAGCGCGTAGTTGCCGCCGCTGCCCACCGCTGCAGGGGGAAAAGAAATTCCAAAGTGTGGTGTGATAATGATGCAGGGGGAAGGGGGAAGGTGGAAGGTGGAAAGAAGAATACCCAATGTGTTGAATTAGTGGCATGGGGGTGGGGTAAAGAGGAAAAGTGGCGGGGTCAAAGACCGTACCAATTACCAAACCATAGGAAACCACAGGTTCGGGCAAAGCAATGGGGATAGGTGCGGCAGGGTGCAAGAGGGGTGTTGATCCTGTTGAGGATATTGGGGCAGCCACACCCCAGGCCGCCTCCCTACGGCTCCTCTCGCCCCACTCACCAAAGGACGCGGAGCTAGTGGCAAGTTGGCTTCCTCTTTACCTCCCCCCCGACCTCGGCTCGGTTTGCCTAACCCCCAAACTCCTCCTCCCCTCCCCTCCCCTCCTACCAGTACACATTGGGACACATTGGGACACATTCTTCTTCTCCCCCCCAACCCCCAGTCAGTGTTTCCGCGGCTCAGTTTATCTAACCCCCAGTGAACCCACCCATGACCCCGTCATGCGGCTCCAGCACATCCCCGTTGCCCGACACGGTGAGGGTGGTGCTGGCGTCGGCAACCAGCAACTCAGCCTGGAGGGTGGGAGGGGGGGGAGGTGGAGGAGGGGGCGAGGGGTGTAAACAGACCCGACCATGAGAAACCAGGAATGGGCAGAACCAATGGGGAATGAGGCGGGTGGGGGATAGGGGAGGAGAAACCATGCGGGGTGGCGAGGGGACCGATGAGGGTTGTCTGGGTGGCATATGGGTAGCATGGACAGAGGGATGGTACCCCCCCCAACACACACACCCATGGAGAAGCCTTGTGTCATCCCGTTCGTCAGTTTTCCTTATTTTTACCCCCACAGGGGGCCTTGTCACACGCCCGTTGGTTGCCTCGTCAGTGTCTCATTAGATTTACACCCTCACCCCGTTGATGCATTTATCTATATTTCCCCCCCTCCCGCCCCCAGCCCCCCCCTCACCTGCAGGAACCTGAGTGCCTTGTCCTGCCGCCACTGCTTGGCCAACTCCACAGCAGCACGCAGCAGCTGGCCTGCGGACCGGGGGCAGAGGGGGAGGGGGGCAGGGGGCAGGGGGTGAGGGGGGCAGGGGAGGGGAGCAGGGCAGCACAGGGAGGGAACAGGGAGCAGGGAGCAGAGGATGGGTTAAAGATAGACCCCACCAAAGCAGGGGGAGGAGGGGTTGGTGGCCGTTTTCACTGGTTGCCTGGCAAGGGAGGCATGCATGCATGCATGGGGGGGAGTTCAACTGGCTGTTCCCACGCTCACCCGCAGCGCCAGGAGGGGCGGACCCCCTCCCCCAGGGGCGCAAGAGCTGATCACGGTGTGAGAGGGTGAGGGAGGGCCACCCACCCAACCCACCTATCCCGGGAGGCTGAGCCTCCCTCTGCTCCTCTGCTCCAGGCACGCTCCCCTGCTCCTCTGCTCCCACCCCACCCACCCACCCAACCCAGGGCCCCAAGCAACCGGCCGCAACCTCCTTCCCCCCTTCCTTGCCACCCACAATCCCCCTTGCTTCCCGCCTCCCAGACCTTTACGTCCCGCCGCATCCTCCGCTCCCATTTGCCCTCCTTCCCACATCGCACCCCCTCCTCTGCCCCCCCTCCCCCCTCCTATTATTTGTTACCCTCTCCTATGGGATATGGGATTGGGACTCTAGTTGTTTGCACATTAATTTTTCCCCTCCTCTTTGGTATTCTTATTTTCTCCCTCCCCCTCCTTTGCGTCCCCCCCCCCTCACCCCCCCCTCTGCCGCCCTACCCGGGTGCTCCTCCAGCTTCATCTCCAGCCGCTCAAGCAGCGATAACCCGTCCGCTGCGGAGCCTGGGAGGGGCACACCAGGGGAGGGGGGGTGAGGGGGTTGTAAAACGAGATGAAGACGTAGGAGGGTGTATACCGGTTTAGTTGATGGTGAAGCATAATGAGAGTCAGTCATGCCCCTGACAGCAGGGCAGCGGCCAGCGGGGGTGGGACCGCAAGATAAGGTGTGGGCGGTGGTGTGGAGGCGGAAATTAAGACACCGGCGCAAGGAACGTCCCATGGTTCTGCTTGCCATGCTCGGGACATCTCGGGGCATTCCGCAGCACGTAACTACCCGTCGGAAGCACGCCGTGAAGGTACGACAGGGCTGGGAAGCGTTCCAGGGTAGGCCCAGGGTTGGGCTGCATACTGTAAGCCATCTTTGCTGGTGCAGGAGCCTACCTGCAAAGCCGGCGACCACGCCCTCGCCTATCCGGCGTACTTTACGGACGTTTGGTTTGACGCAGATGGAACCTACTGACACTTGGCCGTCCCCGATCATGACAACCTAAGCAAGATGTGTGGGATTTCCAAGACGATCGACGGGTTAGGGCGAGACATCTGACGAGGTCTGAGGGATGAGTATCATGTCGCGCACCATGTTGTCCTTTCGAACGCAAAGGATGGTTGTGGCGTGCACATCTGGCCGGCTAGAGGTGCTAGAGGACCGCGAGGCATGGCCGATGTTGCCCCAAAGCGCTGTCCGCGTTGCACCTGCTCGCCAGCACCATAAGGATATAACATTGTGATGTTATCCGTGATACCCTAATGGCTATAGAATTTAGCGTTACAGCGACGCCCTAGTTACTTTAGGTGATGTCGAGTATTGCATACCCATAACGGGTAATGCATGAACACGTACATGTTGCAGCTAGCAGAGCCTCCCCATTTTGTGCCGCGCGACGAAGCGCTGCTACGCCGGCTAGCATTGGTGCACGTAATGTAATTTGGGCAACGGCAAAGTATGAAGCTTGAGACCCGGCGTGGGCGCTAGTATCCAAGAGCTAGTAACCAGCTTAACAGGCAGGGACGACGTGTTCGCACGAAGCGGCATCGATCACCACGCGCGGGAACGACGGAACGGCACCTCAGGCAATTGCGGTTGGAAGGGGAAACACATGCGCAAAGGCAACTGACAATATATATTGTTCGTGCCTACTTTCTACCTCAGCCAAAATCCCCGGAATCAGCTGTGGGCTTATCTCCCGTCGTCGGAACACGTTTGCGCAAATGGAGGACGACGACGCTGGACCTGGCCTGTGCTTATGCCAACAGGACTCGTACCTCCGTTCGCTATTCACCACAGTCGTAAGGTGCGGGTTGACGCCGGTTGACCGTGCAAGCGTCCAGTCCCCGACCGATGTTGCGACACACGTTGACAGTTAGGAAAGCGAGAGGTCGCCATGCCTCTTTCACTATAACCGGACTGGGCTTGTCACGTCCGGACGTCAACCTACTGCCCACACCCGTCATTCCTCAGTCACACCTCGGCCATCTCACCTAACTACCCCCATGCTCAATGCCACCACATGGCTGGAGCTATGTGATCCTCCATCACGCCACACCCAAGCACCCAGACGCATGCCGTCTGGCCTGTAATTGCTATACACGAGCACCTACTCCATGAAACCCATTACGCCCACGCTGCCCGTCATTCTGGTCCTCACTCCCTCCCAAACCGCTATCTTGTCATACATGGAGCTCGGTATATGGTTGATGGTCAGTTTCTTCCACCTCCCCCTAACTCCCGCAGCTGCACGCCCATCTCGGCAGCTCCTCAACCCACATCCCCTGAGCATCCCAAATCCGGCAAGCCTTCCAAAGGCGGAAGCAGTAGCAACAACAAGAATCATGTCGGAAACCAGGGAGATAAGGGCAAGAGCAAGGCCGGTGGTAGCAGCAGCAACGGCAACGGCGCCGCCAGCAGCGGCAGCGCATCAGGGGTGGAAGCTACAGCTGATTGTGGCCGCGAAGGCAGTAGCAGCAGCAGCTGCTGCAATGGCAGTATCACCGCCCCCACTAGCAGCTACGAGGTGGTGTTGGAGGAGAGCCCCATGTTTCCGGAGAGTGGGGGGCAGCCGTGTGACCAGGGTGGGTGGGGTGGGGGCTGAAGTTTCCTGCCGTGCCTTTGCCTCATCTCATCTTGGGGGTCCTGGAGCATGCGGAGTGGAGCATGCGGAGTGGAGGGGGAGAGAGGATCGCAAAGGGGTCCGTGGCATGCGCGCTGGCTTAGAGGCGCAGTCAGTAAGCGTGCAAAGGGACCCCCAGGGCCCTTCCCTTCACCTGAGTGTTCCCCTCGCCCTCTTCGATCTGCCCCTTGTGCTGCTCTTTCCTGCCGCCCAGCCCCATGTCCCCCACCCCCGTTTGTTTTGTGGCGCCCTGCCGCCTCGTATCCCTCCCCAATGCTTTGCCCTAACCTGTGGTCTTCAATGGTTTGGTGTGGTCTGTGGCCAACCCTCCATGCCTCCCACCCCCACGCCTCCCCCCCAGGCCAGCTGCTGTTCCGCCTCCCCGACGGCAGCCCCGGGGCAGCCAACGTAACAGCCGTGGCGTGGAAGCAGGTGTGCAGGGCGGGGGTGCGGTCAGAAGCCGGGCGCGTGTGTGGTCAGAAGCCCTCCGTCGACCCCTCCAACACACGTCGACACACCCCCCTTCCCCTCCAACCCCCCTTCCCCTCCGCCCCCCAGGGCCGCCTGTGCCACACCACCGACGCGCCCCTGCCCCCGGGGTGCAGGGCGGAGGCGGTGGTGGAGTGGGGGCGGCGGCTGGACCTCATGCAGCAACACACGGGTAGGGCGGGGGGGTGGGGGGGGGGAGGGGGTAATAAGAGGAAACTGACGAGCTGTATGACGAGGATTGTGTGTGGGGGGGGAGGGGTTCCAACCCCCTCCTTCCCCCCTCCTTCCAACCCCCTCCTTCCCCCCCTCCTTCCCCCCCACCCCCCTCCCCCCTCCTTCCCCTCCTCCCCCCTCCCCACCCCCCACAGGCCAGCACGTCCTCTCCGCCGTGGCCCTCCGCCTGCTGTCCGCCCCCACCGTCAGCTGGGAGCTGCACCCGCTCGACCCGCTGACCCATGGGTCGGGCGACTACTGCTGTGTGGCGGTGGACCTGGAGATGCCGCACAGTCCCTCGGGGGAGCAGGTGGGGGTGGGGGGGTCCCTGCCGCTTCCCCTCCCCATTGTCTTGCCTCAACCTGTGGTTTCCTGGTATGGTTCGGAGCGGTCTTTGACACCCCCGCCCTAGCCCCAACATGTCGTTTCCTACGGTCCGGTATGGCCTTTGAACCCCCGCGACCCCACCCCACACCCAACCCCCACCTCCCCTTCAGCTAATCGAGCTGGAGGCCCGGGTCAATGCGGAGTTGCGGGCCATGCGACCCGTGACGCCGCTGCTGATTGACCCACGGGTCAGTGAGGACGTGGAGAGGCTGCGGGCGCTGCAGGCGGACGGCGCATTCAGAGGCAAGCTGCCGCAGCCGGATAAGGTACGGCACGGGGGTGGAGGGGGGTACCGGTACGGCATGAGGGGGGGGGGGGCGTCAAAGACCATCCACTCGCCCCGTGTCCTCACATTACCCCCCTACCCCTCACCCCCCTCACCCCCCCCCCGCCAGATGAAGGGTGGCAAGCTGCGGCTGGTGTGTGTGGAGGGGCTGGACATCAATGCATGCGGAGGTGCGGGGGGGGTGTCATACAGCTTATCAGGCTCCTCATTTTACCCCACCCCTTCTCTCCTCCTTCTCTCTGTAATGGCGCCTTATCACACGGTTCGTTAATCGTTTCCTCTTTACCCCTCCCTTCCATCCCACCTCAAAACATTGGATATCCTTCTTTCCCACCCCACCCCCCCAGGCACCCATCTGCGCAGTACGGGTGAGGTGGGCTGCTTGAAGCTGCTGGGCTGCGAGCGCACCCGGGGGCAGACCCGGCTGCGATTCCTGGCGGGGGGGCGGGTGCTGGGGGCGCTGGGCGGGGCGCTGCGGAGGGAGGCGGGGTTGACGGCAAGGCTGGCGTGTCCGCCGGTGAGGGAGGGGAGAGGGGGGGTGAGGGAGGGGGGGTGATAGACTGATAGTATGTCAAACCACAGGAAACCACGAATCAGGGCAGAATAATGGGGGAGTGAGGCGGCAGTAATAACAATGGGGTGAGGGAGTGTAAGCTTTCGGCTCATTAGCCCCTTGCTACATACATATAAATACGTCCTAAAGACGTATCCAACCATCCCGGGTTGCCTTTTCGTCTTACAGGGAGGAGCGGGGTGAGGGAGGAGCGGGGGTGGGGGCGCTAAGAAGGGGAATGGTTATCCGCACGGGGGCGGAGAGAGGGGAGGGGGGCATGGAGGGGGGGAGGGAGGGGGGGAGGGAGGGGGGGAGGGAGGGCCCGGTGGGGGTGTGCGAGAGGGAGCAGGGACGGGCAAGGGTGGGGGGACGTTGGGGTATAGTGACATGGGGAACCCCTCCACCCCTACTAGCTAGCTAGCTAGCAGTCACACGACTGGAAAGTCTACCTGGCCACGCTCCCCCCTCTTGCCGCGAGTGCCTCCTCCCCCCTTGCTCTTTTCACCTCCCCCCCCTCCCTCCCCTCACCCCGCCCCTGCCCTTCAGGCTCGGCATGAAGAAATGGTGGATCAACTGCTCAGGTGGGGGGAAGCGGTGGGGGGACGGAGCGGTGGGGGGAAAAGTTAGGTAAGTGCGGTGGAGGGAGGGAGGGAGCGTTGGGGTCATCCACCCTTTCAATTCGGAACATGTGTCCCTACCACTTCCCCTCCCTCCCTCCCCCCATTGGGTATTCTTCTTTCCCCCTTCACCCCTACCCCCCCACCTTACCCCAGGGAGCGCCGCGAGGGCTCCAAGGCCCGTAAGGCCCTCACCGCCGAGCTGGCGACACTGCTGGGCCGGCAGCTGGCAGCGGGGGCGGGGGTGGGGGCGGGGGCGGGAGTGGGAGTGGGGGGACCCCGTCGCTGTTGGGCCGTGTGGCACCGGCCGGGAGGGGATCTGGAGATGTTGGGGCTGGTGGCGGGGGCGGCGTTGGAGGCAGCAGGGGGAGGAGGAGGGGGAGGAGGAGGGGGAGGGGCGGGAGGAGCAGGAGCAGGGGCGGCGGGAGGGGCGGGAGGAGCCGGGGGCGCAGGGGCGGCGGGAGGGGGCCTGAGGGCTCTGCTGCTGACTGCGGATGCTTGTGAGGCGGAGGCGGCAACAGGAGGAGGGGCAGGAGGGGCGCGCAAGCAGCAGGGCGGGGAGGACAGGTGGGTGGAAGCGGGTGGGTAGGTGAGTGGGTGGGTGGGTTCCCGGTGGCAGTGAAGTGGCTTCCGGGGAAGCGGAGTGAGTAAGTGTTCCCCGTTTGAAGCACACGCTTTGCCCCCCATCTGACGTCTGACCCTCCCCCCCTTCCCCTCCTTCTCCCCGCCTCCTCCCCCCCCCCCCGGCAGCACGGAAGTGACGTTCCTGGTTGCGGGCGAGTCGGAGCTGGTGCGGGCTGCGGGGGCGGGCGTGGCGGAGGCGCTGGGCGGCAGGGGGGGAGGCCGGCCGGGAAGGTGGGGAGGGGGTTGGAGAGGGTGGTTGGGTTTCGGCGGGGGCGGATGGGTTCGGGCGAACTCCCCGGGTGTGAGCTGTGTGTATGCTGCCGCCCCCGTCCCCGCCCCCGCCACCTCCGCTCCCGCGCCTCTCTCCACCCCCCCTCCCCGCACTATTGGTATTCCATGTAGGGTTGGGACCTTACGGTTTACGGTATTACGTTCTGACGTAAATACGCCACCGTAATTACGTCAGACCCCCAAAATGGCCACGTTTTTTGCGCTGTGACGGCGTAAATGTAATTACGGTGGTCCCAGACCCTTTCTTACGCTTAAAGCGTAAGAAACTACCTCATGCCCCCAACAAAGGCGTTTGAATACACCAAATACTTAACCGTAACCGTAAATGTATGCCATACATACCGTGTTTTTTCATTGTAAAGGCCTAGTAAGCAAGGAATTCGCCAGTGGAAGCGGTCACGCGATGGTCAAACCTTGGTCAAACTTTGGTCAAGGCGGTCAAACCTTAGCAGCCATTGGTCAACTCGCCGGTGCCTTAGGCCATTTATGATGCACTCTAAGAATGCCAACACCCATATATAGCCCAGAGTAGGCAGGATAGTAGTCTTCCTCAAGGTTGCGGAAATTTCCTTAATGGTCACAAGCGACATCTTGGCAGGAGGCACGTCGGCTGACAAATCCGCCATTTTTCACAGCCGATAGATGCTTAAATAAGTATAACAAGTTTAGGAAAGGTGTTAGATAAGGGTGATACCTCGTCTGTGTCAGTTATCGCACCGTAACGGCTACCGTAAAATATTACCGTGGACTTTGCAGCCAACTTGGCCGTAAATTACGGGTTTATGACTGTTGACGTAATGACTGTTACGTCATTACGGCCGCCGAAACCTGGTTACGGCATAAAGTCCCAACCCTAATTCCATGGGTCTTCCGGATAGGTCTTCTTCTCTACCCCCCGCCTCCCCTAGCGTCAGTTTCCCTTTTCTGCCCCCGCCTCCCCTCCCCTCCCCCACCCCCCCAGGTACAACTGGGGCCTTGGTGACCGGTTTTTGACATCAAGACAATAGCACTAGACAACTACAACAGTTTGCTCTGTTTAGCCCGCTCGCTGGAGGGTCGACAGTTCATTGCCACCGTCGACTCGGTATCGGTAGGGAATGCTCACCACTTTGTTTTATGGCACCCTACTGTCTTCTAACGATTGTTTTGCCCCAACTTGTGGATTCTCTATGGTTCGGGATCATCTTTGACCCCCCAGGTACCAGGGCAAGGGCAGCCGGCTGCACCGCCTGCCCGCAGCCCGGGCAGCATTCCTGGCAGCACTGGCGGCAGCGGGGTTGGAGGTGGGGGAGGAGGAGGAGGGGGGAAGGAGGAGGGGGGAAGGAGGAGGGGGGAAGGAGGAGGGGTGGGATGAGGAGGAGGGGGTTAAGAGGAAACAACTAAGGGAGGAGGGGGTGGTGGGAGAGGGCGGAAGGAAGGGTGAGGGCGTTGGGGTGGGGAGGGTGGGGAAAGAAGAGAAAGAAGTGAATAAGGGAGGTCAAAGACCATACCCCAGCATAGGAAGCCACGGGTTAGGGGGCTGGAAAGGGCTGGGGAGGGCGATGGGCTGATGTTGAATACGTAGCAGGAGGGACGCTGATTTAGGGAGGGTGCGTGTCACTCGGAGCGGGAGGGAGTGTTAGGGGTGTACGGTATGTTACTGGCCGGGGAGGACCTGGCTGGGGTGGTATCTATCTATTTGGCAGAGGATCGGCTCTCTAGATCGGTACGAACACAACCGAAACCAACCGACTGCGACCTAACCCTCATGGGAGCAGCAGTGGGACCGTTATCACTTATCAGCGTGAGGCGGCGGAGCAAACAACGAGCTGCGGCTCATCAAGGGGCGTATACAGGCGTTTGCAGTTGGGGGTGAGGATTTGACGGGCTGGGAGTGCATGGAAGTGTGTGTACGGCATTCTTCGCGTGTTTGCCACCGGGCTTGGGAGGTATGGATAGAGGAGATGTGAGGACATCCTATCGAAAATAATGCCTTCTTTCAAGGGCTAAGATAGGGAGCCGCACAGCGTTGGCGCAGCAGTCCGGAGCAGCACACAACGGCAACACGGCGGCATTGGTGTAGAATGATCTGCTTGGTGGACTATTCTGGCAATTGAGTACAGATTGATGAAGCCTTTGCTTGCGACAAAGTGTTCAGAAATGTCTGGCTACCGGAAACGGGATCTGCATGACGGACTGCAGGCGGACCTTTTCAACGGTATCCCGCTTGATGTAAGACATAGAGCGACCCTCTATCTATTGGCAAAATCGGTACATTTAGCATGTTTAGCTCATTATATTTTGCATTCCCTGACGCGGCTCTTCATTCCCTAACACGGCATCCCTTACACGGCAGTCTTTTTTAAACGGAGGCGTACAATCGGAATTAAAGTACAAAGACGTAAAAGCCACTGATCAAACTGTAACTATATTCTAGGTTTACAAACCACCCTTTATACATAACATAGAAAATGCTGCCAAAGCTAATCCTCGCATACGTCTTGCTTGGCGGATGGCTAGCGACGTTGGCGGCGTCGACACGGAATCACGCCTTTATTGGGTATCACGAAAGCGAACGCCGAAGTAAGTCTAGCCGGTTGGCGTTGGTCTTCCGCGCAGCTCTGGCGGTTTATGAGCGTTGACGAACCTGGTCTACGTGGCAGGCGCGGTATCTCAAGTAAACACACACAAATCCCCTGCCTTCAAGGTCAAGATATCTTCTTCTTACGGAGAGGCAAGTGTCCATGCTCGTAGTTGTAGTTGCCTAGTGCATGAGGAAGCTGGTAAGCGACCCCGAACCTGCGCGGTTTCATCTTTCCAATTGTACCCGTTCATAGCTTAGTCTTCTCGTGGCACCCTTTTGCGTTTATGGCGTCCGGTAGTGCCTGTTCGTGGTTGAAGCTAGGCCGAAGCTAGCCAGGTAAAAGTGTGCCTAATTTTCCCGGCGCGTGTACAGTCCAGAGCTGCGATCACATGAACAGCACCTCAATCGTTATCGCGAAACACAGCTATCGTAGGCATATGGCAGCTTGCTCCATTGTTGCCAATCCCACAAAAGTAATAATGGGCCACGGCCTTGCAGCGCAAGCTAGTCTCCTTTTCCGCTGTGCCAGGTCGCGCACGTTTGCACCCATATCCCACACCTGCCTTAAACTTACACGTCCTTCTTCCTCTCTTAGTAATGTCTCGTCAACCCCATTTCCGCGTACGCCCGCAGTTTATCATCAAGCTGCGTCCAGACCTGGCTCCCGATACATGCCTGCTGGTGTGGGAGTTGGCGCAAAAGGGCAATTGCCCCGCCTGCAAGTTCTACCGCCATGAGCCTGTGCCGATGGTGAGGTCGCAATGTGCCACGGGGCCACGGAATGGTGTGTGAGCCTGGAGTGTGGTGACTATTGTGTGATGTTTTATAAGAAGAATGGAAGGGGGCTTCTCCGTGCCATCTCCACTATTTTGCTTTGTTTCCTGCGCCCCTCTCAGCGTGCCCCGCTCTCCTTCACACGCAAAGTACACCTTCCTAGCCTCCTTACCTCCACACCTCATTCCGTGTCTGCGTCCTTACCGCTCTCCCTTCCGCACCACACCCTCCTCCTCCTCCCTCCACTCCTCCTCCCTCTTTGACCCTCGCTCCACGTCCCTCCCCCCTCCCTGCCTCCCCCCCTCCCCCCTCTGCAGGACTGGGGCCAGGCCGGCTTCTACGGCCCCCCCTACGCGCTGCTGCAGGGCAGTCTGGCGGACCTGGCCCGGGAGCCGCCCTTTGAGAACAGCGCCAAGCTGCCCGTCAAGTGAGTGCGTGCGCACATAGCCCGGCCTGGCCTGCCCCCTACCTACCTACCCCGCCTTGGCCTGCCCCCTACATACCCCGCCTTGACCTGGCCCCCGCCTGTACCGTCGTCGTCCATCAAGCCTTAACGCAATGCCATTGCTTGCTTGCTTGCTTGGGAGGCCGAGGGAGGTGGAGGCCGAGGGAGGTGGAGGTTGTGGTTGAGGGAGGTGGAGGAGGGAGGTATACCGGTGCTGTCGGTATTACTGCGACTGTAACCCGCCTCTGAAGCCCTCCCCCCCTCTCTCCTCCTCCCCCCCTCTCTCCTCCTCTCTCCCCGCCACAGGAAGGGCCACGTGTGCATGATCCCCGGCTGCAAGGAGTTCTTCATCGCCACCGCAGACCATCCGGAGTGGGGGGCCAGCCACACCATTTGGGGGGAGGTGAGGGCTTTCGGGGGGGGGGGATTTAGATAAATGCATCAACGGAGTCGGGGGGTGCGGTGTTAGGTAGAGGGATGGCGGCGGAAGTGGGGGATAAAAAGAGTGGGGAGGGGGACGGGCTTCGTTTCTCTCTGGCCCCCTCCTTACGTTCTTCTCCCGCTATAGTTCACAGCACGGCGTGTCTTTCTCAAATTCCCTCCTGTCAGTGTCACTGTCTCTTGCGGCTCAGTTTCCCTAATCCCCCCACCCCCACCCCCAAACCCCCCCCCCCAGGTTGAGGACCTCTCCGCTGAGCCCTCCTACCCCTTTGAGCCCTTCCACTCCATCACCAACAAGGACAACATCACCACCCGCTGGCTGGACAACACCTACACCTTTGACCTGTCCGCCATCGAGCCCCTGCCGGAGCAGCCGCGGCGGCAGCAGCGCCCGCAGCAGCAGCAGCTGGAGGCGGGGGTGCTGGGGGCGGGGGTCAGCAGCGGCAGCAGCGGCAGTGGGAGCGGTCTCGAGGTGGGGCTGGGGGTGACGGGAGCAGGAGTGGGCACCGGCAGGGGGTTGGAAGCGGTTTCCTTGGCTTCTTCAGGAGCAGGTGCGAGAGCGGGAGCAGGCGGGGAGGAGAGGGTGGTGGGTGCGGGTCGGGCGTTGCGGGCGGGTGGTGTGATGAGCAGGGGCGGGCGCGGGTTGGTGGCAGGCGCGGGGGCAGGGAAGGAGAAGGAGGGGAAGGGTGGTAAGGGGAGTGTGGTGGCGGGTGGGGTTGGGGATAGCAGCGAGTCGGACAGCATGGCGAGTGTGGTGGAGTGAAAGCGGTGGCGGGTGTGGAGCGGGGTGTGTGTGTATGGGGGGTGAGAGGGGTGCGAATGAGTGGCAGGGAGGGAAGGAGGGGGGGTAATGCAGGCGGCGGTGTGCAGGTGGGAAGGGGGGGGCTCGACAAGGAAAGCGGCAATGTGCCGATGACCTACCTGGACCTACTTGATTTTGCTATGGGGGCGTGTGCCATGGTTGCAGTTGTGTGGCACATGCGGTTGTTGCCCCAGGACGGCTCGTGCGGTGGGGGAGTGTGGGAGAGCAGCAGCCTGGGGGGCCCAAGTGTGAGGGGACCCCTGAGGGCTGATGCAGGAGGGTGTGTGGGTCAAGGAGTGGCGAGCGGAGGGGACGAGGGGAGGGCTGTGAGATGGGTTGGGGGGGCTGTGGTGGCGCTGTGTGTGTTTCAACGCTTCCTTCAACGTACGGGTGTTGCACAACAGGTGGTGGTGCAAGGGAGTACGAAGCTCATCTACTCCCGACAAGTTTTCAGAGGCGGATTGCCTCTTGCGTCCTGACCGCTCGAATACACACACGCGGTGTTACTGTTTTGCGTGCGTCTCACGGTGCCATGCGCCAGTGCTGCTGGAGCTAGGAATGAGATGTGGTGCGTGGTTGTTGAGGAGGCTGATTGCCCGGTGGGTGGCCGGTGTGCCACTCACATACATGTTACATGAGCCCGAAGAGCTTGCGAGTAGGCGTGCTCTGCACTGCACTCCATTTTGAGTGGCAAGCACAGCTGTAGATCCATACATCCCGTTTCAACTTTATTTCTTGCGACTTACTAACCGGTCTTATGGATTAAATGCTTTCTTTATTCGTGGTCGTCATCGTCCAACATGAATGGTGGTGACAAACAGCAACAATGACGCACGCTACCCTCAGCCGTTGTATCATTGTTTTTATATATAGCTTGCTTGCTTGGGTTAAGATCCTTTCTAGGCAACTGTGTTGGGCGTTCTGTATTTGGTCAATGGCGCATGGCAATCGAGGCCACTGCTCGCTACAGCCGTACGGGTTACAATGACGTTCGTACACGTCATGGTGTACTGCGGACGGGTATTTACTCCCAGCCTTGGTTGTTGGGATCCAACCACGTCCGCGCGTTGCCCCGTTATGCTCGTTGTTTTGTCGGTTGCGTTGCTGTTGAGGGGTATTAGGTGCATGTAGTACTCCTGTGGGGGTGTATCATGTCTTGCATACATCATGTACCGTCACGGGTACCTACGTGTTGTTGACCTTGTTGTTTGAGGGAGAGGGGGTTTGGGTCCATTGCCCTCATTGTTGTTCCCTGGTTGCTGATTGCTGGGTCTGTGGCAGCGGCAAACGGAAGGGCTTCTTCCCGTTTCCCAGCCAAAATTTGAGAGGGGTGGATGGCAAAACATGGTTTGGCGTGTGGCTGGTTTAGGGCAAACTGTGTGGCTTTACATTGGTGGGTTTGTGGGGGTATGGCACTTGCGTACGGCGAACTGTCGTGCTGCCGGGACCTTAGGAAAGCAGTTCAGCGGGGGATGATGTCAGCGGGGGTAAAGAGGAAACAACTGCCTGACCGTGCGATAGGGCAGCGGGGGTAGGTATCTCGAAGGGGGGGATGCTCTGCATGCATCTGTATGTATGTATCTTGAGCTCTTGACTCGGCTGTCAAAGGGCCTTGAATTTGCAATCGTGAATCGGCGGCATGCGAGAAGCATGCAACAAGCCGTCCTGTGATCAGTTTCTTGTTGAGGATGGGGGTGGGGATAAAATATTGGGCCGGCTGATCAATCGTGTTAATTTTACCATGACTGCCCTTGCGGTAGAGATGCACTGAGCGTGTGGGTGATTTTGGGTAGGATTTGGTAGTATCGTTATCACACGCACATGCATGGTTTCAAACCTACACCATAGGGTGGGAGACCCTAGCATGATGCGGGCCGTTGGTTGGATATATTCCGTTACCGGTACTGGGACTTATATGTCCATCCTTGCACAGCGCTGTACGGCACTGTTGTAACGAGAGATAGCGAGAGCTATTCTTCGCGCCCTGTGCCTATGTGTGTGAAGGGCTATGGTGCCGTGTAGTATCTCCATCCATCCTGGCACAATCCACGACAATCGGTGCAGCCTACAGTGTCCATTACATTGCAGTAAGTGGGTTTAAAGGTGAATGCAAACACCCCGGTGGATATCGCAGCCGGATAGCTGAGGGCTATAACTGCCAGCAACCATGCAGTATGCCGAAAGGGGTGTTGTTGAAAGGCTTTAAGGGAAAGCCACGACTGAATGGCTGTTTAAATGGTTCCCTAAAAGGGAACACGGGTGATGAACCCAACCTTACACTGCAAGAGAACTTGCCCCGCAACACGCATTGCATGACTCATACCTCGTAACCTTACACTGGGCCCCCCGGTTTGAGGGGCCTACAGCTCTTCAGGGGATACGGTACAACCCCACCTAACCCGCATCCGCCCCAGATGCCCCGCCCCAACCCCGGATATGAGGTTGGGACTACAGTTGCTGAACATTACCCCTCCTTTCCACATCCGCCCCACCTACCCCTCCTTTCCACACCCGTCCCCCTACCTACCCCTCCCGCCCACCCCATGCCCGCCCCGCACCCGCACCTACCCGTTGCTTCCGCACCCGCTCCCCACCAACCTTTCCCCACCTCCCACCCCCGTCGGCGCGGCTGACTACCTCGATGTGCTCGCGACGCTACCTCGCGAATTCCTATTCATATTGGCTCTGGCTCCGGTAAGTCTTTAATTTATTGTAAGTCCATTACACGTACTGGCTTGGCTAATTCGGGCTGGGCGGGTCGGGCTGGCTCACATGTTGCAAACCATGATGATGCCTTATCACACAGTCAGTTAGATGTTTCCTCTTTTCCCACCCCCACCTACCTCTTCCCCTCTTTTGTATCCCCTTCACGTTTCTGCCTATTGCTCTCCAATCCTTTCTTATGACCGGGCTTTTGTTGCCGTATCCCCAGTAGCACTGTCGGCCCAAAGCCGGGGGACCTAATGGGAGGTTACGGCAATGGAATGATGACCAAAGTAGAAGTATGTATAAGCGGCGAACGGCAGACGCAGTGAAGGCCACATACTTCACCTGGAAGCTCTAGCTACCGTAGCTTGATAGGTAAGTACCGTTGGCATTGCTTGCCACAGAACGAGGACGCGCACATGTCGTAAGCAGTATCCCAACCGTTCTGCTTATATATAGGTAGGCGGACACATGCTGTTTGTAAGCTAGGCAGCGTCACCACATGCATATCATAGTTTAATGTAAAGGCACGATGCACTTGTCACAGCGCCCTTCTTTTACAACTACACGATACAAACAACAGCCATGTTACCAGCAACATACCGGTATTCCAGGCAGCCGACGACAGCCGAACGTAGCAGAATCACCACACCCAAAGAGCATCAGCAAACATATCTTTATATTCGGCCTAGGCTACACGAGCATCGCGCTTGGCAATTGGCTTGCAGCAGCTGGATGGTGCGGCTTGAAAGGATTACAGGAATAATTAGAAACGCATTGAACCTTTACAAGGACCAGCACGTGAGGCATGGGTCCCTGCTGTGATGCGCAGGAGCGTCAGCGGGACATGTCGACAGCAGGCTCGCGCGCAAGCACTGCGCGAGCGGAAAGGCTGGGTAGTTGATAGATACGACCCTGCCACGGGAGCACATTTAAGGTAAGCGGGAGTCGCGTAACTGTCAAGCGCGCGGAAACGATCCAGGCCTGTCTGCAGTTGGGAATAGGGATGGATGGGACGCTGTCAACGGGAGGCCCAGCTGCGGTGTCTGCTGCCTAGCAACCTTGTGACTTCCTGCGATCCATTGCACCTGACGTTCACGAGATTGATGAGTTATATCTTCCGCGTGAGCTATCCTTATCTGCTAACCTGCCGTACACATGCCTTTTGCCATGTACGATGTGCGGTGCCGTACAGCCCAGAGCTCCAAGAGCGCTTGGAAAGCAGCCCCTATGTGCTCAGCAGCATCCCCCCTCTGGCGCTTGGAATATACGACCCGGTAGGTTGTACGACTGACTTGTCGATGTCTTCCTGGACATGCGCTTAAGTCGTATGCATGTTACCACGCTTGGTCCCTTGGTCTCACGGCCTTGTGTGCGAAGCCCAAGATGCGACCCAGATCGCGCAAGGCGCCCCTGCTGGGCCTGCTCAATAAAAACGCATAATTGCTGCAATGGTATCCCCCCTGCCATAACACGGGTTGGTTACCATCTGATCCCTCCACCATAGCAGTCACAATCCCACATCATAAACCGGAAGGTCAGTACCGCAGATTTCGCGTCATGTGACTCCGTACAAATTGCGTGCAATATGCCGTACACTCTCTCAGGCGCTGGCTGCACAAAAGGCGCTGCTGCTGCCGTTGGCCGCTGCGGGGCGCATTGCCTGGTTTGGCTACCTGAGCAGCACAGGTCAGTTCTGCTTGGGAGCGGTTGGGGCATGGTTGGAACTGGCTCGTTGACGCCTTTTACGCCACTTGGGCCATGTCACACCGTATCTAGAAGCTTACCGGTAATTCTATCTGTCTTACACAGGATGTTGTAATTTAAATCTGGATCTAGATCTCCAGAATTATGTGTTTAGGTCTTGATCCAAACACACAGCATGCTTTCCGCTGTGCTGCAGGAGTGTACGGCGACTGGCAAGGCGAGTGGGTGGATGAGAGGTGAGGAGAGGCCTCAGCTTCTTGACTTGCTGAGCTCGGCACCTGTTGCCTGCATACATACCGGTTGCGTACATACCGTACCTGAATGCTAGGCGTAGGCGGCAAGTCTCCCGTGTCTTTTCCCTCGAACTCCTTTAACTACTGTTTGCCACCGTATAGGTATAGGTATAGTATACACAGGGGGGGGGTAAAAAATTTTCTTATAAACCCCAACCCGAAATTTCCAAAGAGAAGGCCTCGGAGCCACCCACCCACCGCCAAGCGTGTCGTACAACCTGTAAACTATGCCAAAACGCCCGGGAAAATAACGTCTAGGTTCCTCTGCGCAAGCTCTATTAAATGCAGTCGAAAAACCCCAAACCCCCTGGGAAGTTAATGTCACAGCGTTGCACTATGGACGGCTAAGGTAACCCTGTTCTTGGCCCCGGCTTGACTGATGTTATGTATTTGGCGCCTAGGAAGCACCACGGCCCTTCCTTTTGCGCCATACCACCGCCAGTTCTGTATTCACCAACCGAGACAACGGCGCCACCACGTTCCAGGTCCCTGCTCCTGCCTCTTCTTCCCCCTGGGCCCTCGACCATAGACCCTGGCACCAATTGCCACGCCTTCTTGTTTGTGTGCTCTGCATCCCCACCCCATTCGTGGTCACTGTGAGTGCTTCCTCGCAGCTTAGTCTGTCTACTCCCATCCCGCCTCCTCAGTCGTGTTCCACATCCATGGGCACATGCGACATGCTGCTATGCCAGGCCTTTACAAAGGGCCGACTAGCCGCGTTCGCAATGTATGCTTTCTACATAAGTTGTTTCTTGTACGTTTGGGGATTGGGCAGTTCCGTTCGGCTACCATGGTTCAGAGGTGAAGTGTCATTGGAACATCGGAAGCCGAGAAGTGACCATTTTGTTGATAGAACTAATTCTACGTATAGGAAACGAAGAAAGGATGGCAATACAGCTTTCAAAACCCTAACATGGGGCCTGGAAAAATTTTTCAGGAGGTTCAAGTAAAAAAGTCGTTGGGGCCCTGAACCCACCCACCCACCCCTGCCGTACAACCAACTTTGTAAGCCCATAACTTTTTCCGTACAACTCCAAAAAGAAATCTGAAAGCAGATTTGGAGTCCCGACGCAAAGCGCCTTCAATTTGAGGGTTGGGGTCTATTTTTGCGCTTCCTACCCCCCCCCCCTGGTATACACGTAAGTATATACATACTTAGGTAAATACTATACCTAAGCAACGAGGTGTGCTTCACAATGGGTTTTGCGTCTTAGCAATACGCAAGGCGCCTTAAGATGCCCCCTTTCGCCGTACCTACCTGCCATGTGTACTGCGGCCACGTACCGCACTGTACTGCAGCTCGCCGTGTCGCCAAACCAGTTCCAAGGCGGTTGTACGGCAGCAGGCGGAGGCGGCCTGGATGGAGATGTACGAGCAGTACGGACTGCCCACACACGTGTTCCGGTTGGGAGGTAGGTAGGGGGGGGGTAGGGTTCTGAGTGTGGGTATAAACACCTCTTGTCGTACACACTTCTCTAGCGGCCAAAGATACCGATGGCAATGAAGGTCTGATCTATAGGTACCATAGTATGCTGCGGTGCGTTGAGGTGCTGTCAGCACCAGTGCGTCAATTGGAGCCCTTTTCCTGTCCTCCGATGGGGCCATGCTCACGGGTCTTTGACGGACGACCTTTAAGCCGCTTCATTTGGGTTTGTTTCTCTGGAATCGCTGCAGGCATCTACGGCCCCGGACGCAGCGTGTTCGATACTCTCCAAGCCCAGGTATGTACCCCTGCATGTGAGGACCGTGCACACCGACACAAGAGTGTGGGAACTTAGATCCTTCAACGCCCTCAAACCCCAAATCCTCACACGTCTTTCCCCCTACCGTCACATACCGTCGTACTGTCCCTCTTCCTGCTCCTGCTGCCGTGCTTTGCCGTACACCCAGCCCAAGGACCTCTCCGGAAGCCGACAACAACGCGCCCAGCAGCGCTACACCGCCCGGTGTCACTTGTACGACATCTGTGCCGTACTAACCGCCAGCATGGCAGCGCCGTACCCGGGGCGGATCTACAATGTCGTGGATGACGATCCGGCTCCCCGATCTGACGTCATGTCGTACGCGAGGACGTTAGTGCAGCCGCCAGCAGCCCAACCGAAAACGGTTGCTACAGCTGCGGCATCAGCCGAGACAGCTCCTGATGTTGCTGCTGCTGCTGCTGGCGCTGCGGTTGCTGCTACCGCTGCTGTTGAGGAGGAGAATGTGAAGGGGTCAACTGGGTCGTCCTCGTCTTCCTCTCAGCCACCCTGCTCCCCCCATCCATCCTCTTCCTCCCAGCCGTACGGAAGCAGCTCCCGCCATGCAAGTGCCCCACTACACCCTCAGCCCCAGTCCCGACATGAATCTTGCATGCTGCATGCTGACAAGCAACAACAAGAACGACATCCACCACCGCCGTTGGACCAAACGTCATCAAGGCCCAAGTCGCAGCTCATCAGGAGCAGCAGCAGTTCAACAGGTGCTGCTGCTGAGGGTACCTTGACGACGAGGGCAGTGCAGTTGCCGCCACCGCCAACACCACCACCACCATCACAGCCCCAGCCCATGCCCCAGCCCCAGTCCCAGCAGTTGGATGAGAAGCGGGTGGCCAACGGGCGCATCCGGGGGGAGCTGGGGGTGGTGTTGCGGTACGGCAGCTACCGAGAGGGGCTGGCGGCGGTGGCTGGCGGGGAGCTGTGGCCGCTGCGGGAGGGGGACTTGGAGCTGCTGTAATCAGCAGTAATCAATAGGTTGGGATCATAGGTCCTGTAGAACCTGAATTTGCCACTATTAGGGTGGTTACCAGAGGTCTGTGGCATCGCACCTTTGGCAATGATGAGAAACGCAGAAGTGTGCAGCTTTGGTCAGATGGACGGGTGGTGAAGTTGTGTTAAGAAAACTGGCCGCGAGTCGGAACGTACTGTGAATGTCAGAAGATGTGTTCCGTTATGATAAAGCGGTAACGAGCGCCCAACTCAACATCCCTGGATTGCGGCTCGGAGTCTGTTGGTATGTCCGTACATTCAGCAGCATGCGGAACCCCAAAGCCGGCTGTTGGCGGGGTTACATCCCTAACTGACAAGCACTGTGTGTGGTTGTCCAGTATATTTAGGCATGCCGCAGGCATAGGGGAGAAGCAGGGTTGTCGGAGGAAGAACAGAAGCGGCAGTTGGTTATCGTATTCCCTCTTGATTCTCCCGTTATCTTGTATTGTAGTACGACTCTCTAATTCAACTACCACTTCACGACGCACCGTTGCCTTTCGTCTGCTGTTGATAATACGGAAACACAAAGCATGAACAGCTCCACGGCACTTAAACCTCCAGTTACGCGCCAATAGTTGCACCACATACCGGTTCAGCAGCGCCGCGTTCACCATTCAGTACCCCGTCTGTCGCTCTACATGCCAGAGCCCACCTCACCCGCCAAGCCGCTCTCCTCGCCTACCCACTCCAACACCCTCGTCGCACACTGCTTGGCTACCTCACCTAGTATTGTGCTACCTGTATCACAGGAGACCTTCCGCACGGCCTTGCCTGCCGCCTTCCCTGCCTTGTCCCAGTCCACGGGGCAGCCCTCATCCCGCAGCCAGCTCAGCACCCGCGGGTCACAGCAGCACTCGATGCAACGCGTGATGAGCCGCCCGTGCGGGCCCCAGGGGCAGCCCAGCCGCTTCAGGCAGCGCAGGGTGAGCAGGTCGCCGTGGCGAGCGGCCCCTAAGAAAGGCGCACCGTCCGTCTGGGGGACAGAGGGTTGGATGGAAGGGCAAGGGAGAAGGTATGAGCATACGTGAATGGCGTGGCGAGGGGTCGTGTAAACTCCTTACAAGCCCGCTCGTTTTCCCCGTCTCTCGTGAAGCCAAGCCCCAACCAACACGCTGCCGCTGTTACCCCACCCGTCCGCCCGGCACATGCCCCACCTGCATGGGACACCCCTCCTCCACCAGCCACTCCAGCGTCTCCTCGCAGCCCGCCTGCACGGCCTTAGCAAACGTCGATTGTCCCCAGCCACACCCCCGCCCTCGCAGCCACCTCAGCAGCTCCAAGCGGCCAGACTCCGCTGCACTGTCGAAAACACCGGGATTGCGCAACACACCATCTCCCAGCGTCTCCACCAGCCAAACCACCACATGGAGGTGCCCACCCCGGGCCGCGCATTTGACCGTCGCCACGCACATGGGGCAGTCGTGCGCGTGCAGCAGCCGTAGCGCCTCCAGATGGCCACCCGCAGCGGCCGCACGCGCGGCTTGCTCATTAGCCTCCACGCCCTCCGACAGCAGGAACTCCAGTGCACCGACGTTGCCCTGCTCCGCCGCCTCACGGGCCATGGATGCTTCCATCGGGTAGCCCCTGCCCTGCAGCCACCTCAGGCGGTCCAGCGCGTCGGGTAGCCCGACTACAATCCTGCAGTCGACATGGTCCGTGAGGCCCTGCGCCTTCAGCCACGTCACTTTGGCCCGCCAGTCGGGTGTGGGACTGCCGGCAGCAGCACCGAGGATGGAGGCCTGCTCCCAGGCTTCCATGCTCTGCAGCTCCTCGTTACCCAGCCGCTGTAGCGAGGCTAGGTCGCCACCAGTAGCCACTGCTATGTAGTACCAAAACGGGAATTCAAGACGGGGATGGCCTGACAGCTGCAGCTGTTGGTATAGCCACTCTACCAGGGATACATGGCCCTCAGAACAAGCAGCGGCCACAATGCCAGTTGTTAACAGGAGGCCCAAGCCGCGTGAGCAGTCGCTGAGCGCCAGGCCCCACTCGCATATGGCCTGATGCCCGGCACGTGCCGCGGCCCAAGTGGCGGCTTTCAAGGAACATCCCTGCTGCTGCAGCCACTGGCACATTTCAAGTTGCCCTGCAGAAGCGGCCTCTTCAATTACGCATTCCCCGCGGCAGCCGTGTACTTCCCCCGTAAGAAGACATCCCGTGTACTGGATTGCGAGCTCCAGGTTTGGAATGCTGCCGCTGCGGGCTGTCAGGTGCAGCAGCTGATGCCGCTGCTGGAGTGTCTTTCCATGCATGGCGCCGGGGTGGCTCCAGCGATGCTTGAAAGCATGAAGCGGAACGGGCGATGATAGCCGCACGGCAGTGTAGCGTTCGCTTTTACACAGTGCAGCAGTGGCCTTGTTTAATGGTCGGAACGTGCAAGCGATTTCATTGATTGGCAGGAAGCTGACAACACGCTCCGCAAGCTCTGGTAGCAGATGTTCCCAAAATTGCGACGGTTCTTCCGGCTGCTGTGCCAATGAGTTTGCACAGCTTTGCACAACTGAGGCGGGCTGCTGCTGCTCTTGTGCCATTCTACCAATCATGGAACAGGCGTGTAATGTCTTCACTTCACAAGGAGCTACTACAGCCTCTTATCGGTATTAAGGCGTATATGGTCAATCATCAATCCACCTTCCAGTTTCGTTCTTTGAGATGGGACGTGGCTACTGGCAAACATATACTAATAGGAAAATAAGTTTCTGTATTAATAATATCTTGTTTCAATGCCCGCGTGCTGATGTCAGCGGCTGGACCGTACGTACTACTGATGTCTGATGTTGCGATGCTTCCGGCCGCTTTCGCGACTGGCATAGCCGCATAGGTAAGGGAAGTCAGCTGCTATCCTGGATCAACAAGAAGTGATGCAAAACGTCCCTACTACTCCCTATGACAGCTGCCGTTCCACCCAACCGTCTTTCACCATATTTTCAATTTCTTGCTACATTGCTGTCACATGACTAGGCAGCACGCTACTTCCCGCATTTAGCTAGGAAGTGGGAGTTTTATGCAGTCTAGGTTGCCTTCCTAGGTACTCCCAATTTGTAAGGGACTGTACTAACGGAGCGACACACAAAACCTTGCGGCAAACAATCTTGTACTACTCATCCATGCGGCACCATGCCCCATTCTGGTGCTCCCCTCCTTCACTTTATCCTAAAACGAAAGACTTCCCACGTTGCTGAAAGCCTGGTGAAAGCAAAACACATCACAACCAGCCCCCACAACACAGGGTGAAGAAAGGACGCTACCTGCACAGTCCCACCCTCAGGGTGCGCAGAGTCCGCACCCCCATTGCTTTTGCCAGACCGTACCTTGCAACAACAACCCACTTGCATCATGGCTCCTTTAACCGTCAAACAGAGCCACCGGTACTCCTGTCGCCCCACCTAGCCTGACGTATGCAGTAGTCACAACGTCCCTAAAGCGTCAGGCACTCCTGACACGCCCCAGCGGTGGGGTCCGTACCGGTAGTGCTGCCGTACTGTTGCTACGTAGTCTTTCTGCTCCTGCTGCTGCTGCTCCTGCTGCTGCTGCTGCCTGCTGCTCCCTGTGCCGCACCCGCTGCCGCCTGCCGCCGAACTGCCGCCAGTGCCGCCGCCTCCAGGTCGTGGTGGTAGGAGGAGTGGTGGTGGTCCAGCCAGTACTGCATGCGGGCGGGGGCGGGGGCGAGGGCGGGGGCAAAGACCATACCGAACCATAGTAAACCACAGGATGCGGGTGGGGGTGCGGGCAAATGCGGGTGGTGCCCCAAATGAAGAGGGACAGAGGGCAGGAGGAGGTTTTGCGGGTGCTACCGGGTGTTGTCTGGGTTGGAGGTTGATGTGGATGTGGGAGGATGCAACGTCAGCGGGGTAGGAAGGATGGTGTACCGGTAACCCTACGCCGCCAATTCCGCTTAACACCAGCAGCAGACTCAGCAGCATAGCTCCACACTCCGTACGGCGCTGCCAACCTGCATTCCCAGCTTGCCACACGCCCTGCTGCCGTCAATACCCCACCACGATGATGCCTTATCACATGGTCAGTTACGTGTTTCCTCTTTAGCTCTTTACCCCCCAGCCGCTCCCTCACTCTCCCTTCCCCTCACTCTCCCTTCCCCTCACTCTCCCTTCCCCTAGTCACCCCCTCCACCCCCACCCTGCACCCGCCACCCACCTGCAGCTGCTTCAGCGGCAGCTCCTCCCGCCCCCCCGCCGCCGCTGTCAGCCCCAGCAACCCCCCCGGATCGCCCTCACGCACCCGCACCACCTCACAGCCGCCTGAGCCGCGAGCACAGCAGCGGAAACCACAGATGGCGGGTGGCAGGGCGGGTGGTAGGAAGGGACGGAGTAAGCGGGAATAGGGGTTTGGGTTGAGCACGGCAGGGGTGGGTTGTGTAGGAGACTCATACAAACCGCCCCCCCGCTGCATGGACCACCAGATAAGGAATAGCTACCCCCTACCTCGTACGGTCACCCCTGGATGCAGATCCCAACGCCCCCCATCCACGATCCACGATCTCCGACCCCCAAACCCCCACCTTTTTCCACCCAGCGCAGCAGCAGCAGCTCCCCAACCGTGTCGTACAGCCGGTGCCGCCCCTCACTGCTGCTCCAGCTGCTGCTGGCCCCGCCACCGCTGCTGCTTCCGCTGCTCGACGTACCCTTGCTACCGTTACGGCCGCCGCCCTCAGTGCTGCTGCCGCTGCTGCTGCTGCTGCCACTCGATGCAGGAGAAACCCCTCCCGCTCCCTCACTCCCCCACACCGCCTTCCCCCAATCCTGCAGCGCTCCCAACCCCGGCACCCACCCCCATGACCCCGCCCCCAACGACCCCCCCACCCATCCGGGTAGCCCTCCCAAACTGCCACCGGGCAAGCCCTTGACTGACGTCACCAGCCCCGGCACCCAGGCCCCCAACTGCGACCAGCCATCCCACCTCCACCCCGCCGGCAGCGCCCCTCCCAGGCTACTGTTCCAGGCGCCCCCGGCCCCCCACCCTGGCGGGGCCACCGCCGCCCCCACCCGCCTCGCCGCCGCCAGCAGGCTGCTGTTGGCGGCTGCGGCCAACAGCGCACGAGGCACGGGGTCGTGCTGGAGCACCCAGTTGATGGGGGGGATGGGGGCGGAGGGGGAGGGAGCGGAGGGGGTGGAGGGGGCCGGCGGCTGCTGTTGCTGTTCATTAGGGGAGGAGGAGGTGGCGAGGCGGGGCGCAGGTTCCTTACCGCCGGCATTACCAGCAGGAGTTCGAAGCGGCTGTGGCAGCGGTTGCAGGAGCTCCCGCAGCACAGCGCTGCTGCCGCCGCCAGTGGCGTGGGCTAGGACGGGCGGCGAGCCGAAGGTATGGCAGGAGATGGTGGCTGGGGACCTGCTGGTAGGATGGAATTGGGAACAGACCAAACCACCGGAAACCATGGATTAGGGGAAAAACATGGGGTGGGTTAGATGGGGTGGGTGGCGGCTGGGGCAGCAGTAGGTGTGATAGCACCACACCACCCCTCAACCTCCATGCGCTCCCAATCCACCCCCAACAGCCCCCACCCCCTCACCCCCCTCTGCCCCCACCTCCTCAGTGCCCTCCTTTCTACCAACCTGGCCCCACCTCGCAGTTCCCTCCACCCACCCGGCCCCCCCCACCTGGCCCCCTGCGCCAGTGTCATGGCCCACAGCAGCAGCGCCAGCGAGCCACCCAACGAGTGACCCGCAAGCACCACCTGCTGCGGCTGCTGCTGGGGCTGCTGCTGCTGCTGATGATGATGATGAGGCTGATGATGAGGGGTGGGGGCAGCACCCGTATCGGCACCCGGGCCCGACTGAGCAGCAGCGCCCTCCCTGACAGCGCAGAGGGAACAGAGTACGGGGGACGGAGAGGAGCGGGGCACCGCTTTACTAGTGAAACCGCAGGCCAGGGCAGGCTGGAACAAGGAGAGGGGAGGGGAAGGGAGGCAGGGGCTCGCGGCCAGTTTTCTTAACACACCTGATGTTCCGACTCGCGGCCCGTTCCTCAAACACACACACACACACACCTGATGTACGGCAGCAGTACGGGCAGCAGCTCCCGGGCCATTCCCGCCACCCCGCTGTGCGCCACCACCGCCGCCACTGCCGGGTGCTGATGACGTGGCTCGCTGGCCTGGGGGGCGGTGGAGGCAGGGGCTGCTGTGGGGGCGGTGGAGGCAGCGGCTTGGGTTGTGGCGGAGGAGGATGCTGCTGTCAAGCCGTGTGCTGAGGGGTCGGTGGGCAGCAGCGGTGTGGGCCAGAAGGAGGCCAGAGCCGCGGATAGGGACAACTGGGGGAGTTGGGAGGAGGAGCGGGGCAGGGAAAGAGGGGCGAGACCCGGAAGCTTGGTGTGCATATAACGTTTGCATCAGCAGCAGCAGCGATGGCAGGCATACACGCACTTGCAGCCAAGCTGAGCCCCAAACCTTTACGCCCGAAGCCGCCCTAGACCCCACACTCTGGCATGGTACAGGCCTTTTCGCGTACGTGCAGCACCACCCCCATCACCACCCGCATGTGCAGCACCACCCCCAACAACCCAATTTGGGTGGATTGGGACTTCGTTGCTTCACTTTTCATATGTTCTTTACCTCCACACCACCCCCAACCCCAGCAGCCGTGCCGTCTTACCGTATCGCCGTCATGTGCTCCCCACTGGACGCCTCGCAGGAAGATGAAGCGACAGCGGCTACCCGGCGTGATGCCCGCTGCGTTGGCGCGATGGGCGGCGGTGCTGCTGTAAACACGACCATCGCTGCTGACGCTGATGTCTTCACCGCTTGCAGTAGTAGCAGCATGTGACCCAGGGGTCATCATGAACTCCCCAGCATCGCCGTCATTATCACCGCTGTGGTTGCTACCGGTGCCACCAGCGGAGCCCTCATCGGCTTGGGTTGCGCGAGTGTCCCAGTGCTGGTCATGTAGCGACCGCTGTACGGGTGATTGCTGCTGCTGCTGCTGTTGGGCCTTGAGCTGCTGGTGCAGCCCTCCTTGTTGCTGCTGCGCTGCATGCTGCTGCTGCTGGTGCGCCTGTAGTCCTCGTCCTCCTTCTCGCTGCTGCTGCTGGCGCGGAAGGGCGCGGCGGTGCAGGGCTTCGAAATCAACGCAGCCGTCCGCCACGTACCTGCGTGTTGGGAAGGTCGAGGAGTACCGGTAGGTCCGTGGGTCCAGGGAGCAAGCCGCAATCCACAGTTGCAGCAGACTAGTGATGATCCCTCACCAGCAAGTGTAGCTTGTCCTGCCGTACGCCACCAACTGCAGCCCCTCCTGCTGTACTGTACGACAGATTGTGTCGTACGGCAAGTAGCAGAGGCCGGACCAGTAGGCCAGCTTGGACCCCAGGTAGAGGGCGGTCCAATCGGAGGAGACGTCGGAGGGCTGGGAGGGATGAGCCCGGGTGGGCAGGGGGCCGGGGGAAGGGAGGGATACGTTTGCTTAGGAGGCAGCGGGTAGTGGTTAAAAGGGGTAACAGCATGCCGTAGTAATTCCAGGATGAGAGGCTGCACGAGCATGTAAGCTGCAGGTAAGCGGGGAAATGTTATCACTCATCAGTGCATGGTGTGTGGGTTGCAGTAGTGCATGCGACACCTTAATCACAGTGTTACTACTGCAGGATGCATACTGTTAAAAAAAAGCGTTATCTGCGGCTGTGTGCTGCAGGGCCAAGGTTGGCTAAGATACTTGCCCAGTCAGAGCCCTAGGAACGTGGGGCTACGAACGCTATACCTTGCTATAGAGCCGAATCCACTGCTGTTGGTTAGGTACTGGATGAGCTACACAAAAGCTCTTCTGCAAACCAACGGGGGAACTGCGGAACAGCTGACGCATGGCAGCAAGCTTATCCCGACCGCTGCTGCTTTGCCTAGCTAGCTCCCTCCCCGTAATCGTACCAAAGTAAATAAGGGGTTTCATTCTTCGTCGTTACGCTAAGTAAAAGCCATGAGAGCAATCCGTGCGCTTCAAGCAAGGATAAAGCAAATCCATGACGGGCAAAGTTACCACTGAAACACCATTGGTTTTGCACGTTGGGTAGGGGCATGCAGCTTTACCTTACAGAGCATCCTACAAGGCAGTATCATGGGGTGTTGTGTTGGGCCTGCACCCGTACGCGTGAAATGCAAGAAATGAACCCAGCTTGTATTAGAAGCAAAAAAGCAGATACACATAACATACACTTCTGTTTGTGTGCTCAATCCTGTATCTCATCTCCTTAGCCCTTGGTGCGTTCATTACGTGACCGTGGCTTCTGGATTTCTCTATCTATGAAAGCAACAGCACATTGTATTGATTACCTGTTGTTATGCGTCTAATTAGTGATGATGATCCGGCTATAGGCCAAATGAGCAACTAAACTTAGACGGCATGTCAAGTGCTTCGTCGCCCGCGGCACCCACAGCCGATGGGCCAGCAGGATCTAACACCTTCTACACCGCTCCTAGCCTTGGCGCTGGCTTAAGAGGCATCGAGCTTGACCGCTGTTACGTTGGCGACTACGTCGGGGGCCGTCGCCATGGCTTCGGTACCTACACGTACCCCAACTCCTTTTTCCAATACGAAGGACAGTGGGTCAACGGCAAGAAGCATGGTAGGTACCCACGCCTGCAACCAGGCTAGAGTATCCTTACACACCCTCCCGCCCCTTGTCCATCACCATGTCCAAGTTTATCCATCTTGCGCCCGTGCTGGGCTCCTGCAGGTCTGGGCAAGCTCACCATGCGTGACGGCGCCTACTATGAGGGGGAGTTCGTGGAGGGGGAGATCATGGGGCAGGGCACTCGGCGCTTTGCGAACGGCGACGTGTACATAGGTGGGTTCTACATACAGCTCGACAGCCTCGGTTCTGCCCGGGGGGGCAGGGAACGGTTTGGGTGCACACCGCGCCGAAGATGATAAGGTAGTTGAAAGGAAGGGGCATGCGAACGGCAAATGGCTCTCCTGCATGCGCTTCTGACTGCATGCAAGAACATGCTCCCTTGCATCCCCCGTCGTACAACCTCGGATACGGTAATGACGCAGCTGTGCCTGTGCTATGCCCCCCTCTCCGCAGGCTCATTCGAGATGGGCGAGATGCACGGTTTCGGAGTGATGCGTCTGGCGAATGGGGACATGTACAAGGGCCCCTTCGTGCACAACGCCTTTGAGGGTAGGCAGAGCGCTGGCGGCCGAGTGAAGGAACTGTGGCAGCACGGTTGCGGTTAACCTCCACCTGCTGAGGATGTCCGTTAGGGCGCATGGTACTTGTCCTACGGCGATAAGGAACGAATCGAGGGGAGCGCAACACTACGTCCCTCCCTGGTAACCCGTGCCATGACCCACGGCGCTACCGGTCTACTCCCTCCCGACCATCCAATCCCTCTCCCCACATGCCGTTTCCCCTACTCCTCCTCCGCCCCTCCATGTGGTTATTGGTACACCTCTGACCCCACACCCCACCCCCTCGCTCCGCGCACCTGCCCCTCCCCCCGCCCCCAGGTGTTGGCGTGTACACCCACGCGCAGGGTGACGTGTTCCAGGGCGAGTTCGTGCGACACAAGCGCCGGGGGCACGGAGTGCTCACGTGCGCGGACGGCAGCAGGTGTGCATGGGGTGGGGCTGGGTGGGGTGGGTAAAAATAAAGAAACACTGACAAACTGAATGACGAGGCTGGGTGGGGTGGGGGGGGGCAGCAGGTGTGCATGGGGCTGGGTGGGGCTGGGTGGGGGCAGCAGGTGTGAGGCATGGGCGGGGCTGGGTGGGGCGGGGCTGGGTGGGCAGCAGGGGCGGGGTGCGCCTGGTGAGTCGTAACTGTTCCAACTGCGAGGGGACGAGTAGGGACGACTCGCTCCCCCGCCCACCTCCACCCCGCCCACCCCGCCCAGGTACGAGGGCGGCTGGTCCGACAACCAGCGCAGCGGCCAGGGCGAGGCCACCTACAGCGACGGCAGCCGTTACCGCGGCAGCTGGGAGCGCAGTCGCTACCAGGGGCAGGGCGAGTGGTTCCAGGCGGCCACCGGGCTCACCTATCGCGGGGTGTTCGAGGGCGGGCAGCCGGCGCAGGTGCCCTCCGCACTCACCATCACCTGGGTGGCGGAGGAGGACCCCAAGGGGCGGGGCAAGCGGGCGGCGGGCGGGGGAGGCAGGGGGAGCGACTCGGATGGAGTGACGCCGCTGCCGGTGGGTGGGGGCGGGTGGGTGGAGAGAAGAGGAGGGGTGGGGGGAAGGTGGGTGGAGCAGAGGATTGCAGTGATCTTAGCTTCTGCTCATGGCATACCGGTCAGCTATAATTGTATCCTCCCCACCCCTTTCCCCTCCTCCCTTTTTCCTTCCTTGCCCACCCCTCTCCTCAACGCCTCCTTCTGCCCCTCCCTCAACCCCTCCCCAGATCGTGCTCGGGGAGCCCTGTCCACTGCCCATCACCATCGCCGCGCAGCTGCAGGAGCCGCTGCCCCCCTCCGCCTCAACCGAGCTCTCCGCGCCGCCTGACGCCCGCGGCAAGGCGGGGGCCAAGAGCCCGCCCGGCACCACGGGCCTGCGGGTGCTGGTGCAGAACCAGCCGCCCGAGCCGGGGCATGTGTGGCGTACGGCGGAGATGGAGTGGGGTCGCCAGGTGAGGGAAGGGAGGGAGGGGAGGGGAGGGAGGGGAGAGGAGGGAGGATGGGGTGAGGGAGGGAGAGGAGGGGATGGGGTGGGTGCAGGCTGCGAAGTAGGGCGGCCGTATGGGAGTGAGTGCGAGGTAGTGGGAGCATGCGGCGCGGGGCAGCTGGGACGAAGAAGCGCCTGCAGTACCGGTGCGGCCCCGTTAGTTGGCAGGGAGGACAGTACATGAACACATGCCTGGTTGCTACCGTGGTTCCACTACCGGTATTGGTTTTCTTAACACAATACATCAGTTTCTCCATCCCACCCTCCTCCCTCCCTCCCTCCTTCCCCGCCCCCCAGGTGAACCTGACCCTGCATGCCGAGCCCCCCCGCCCGCTGCCCCCCGGCCGGCTGCTGCGGGTGCTGCTGGTGCACACGCTCATGCCCGACGGCGCCACCACCCGCGTGCGGCTGCTGCTCAACACGGCGGAGGTGCTGGGGCCGCCGCTGCCACTGGCGCGGGTGCAGGGGCAGCTGGTGGCCAGCATGCAGGTGGGGCGGGGTGGGGTGGGGGGAGGGGTCAGAGATTGGACAAACTGAGCAGCGGAAATAGGGATGTAGTAAAACCACAGGTTAGGGCAAAGCGATGGGGAGAGAGGGCAGCAAACTATCATAAAACAAGGGAGGGTTAGCGGGGGGTGGGAGGGCCAGGGTTAGGTGCGTGTGAGGCTGCCGGCGTGTGGCTTTTACATGGATAGATTGTGTACATGCTGCGGGTGGAGGGGAATAAGTTGAACACCGGTTCAGACCGAGGAATGGATTACGCCGCGATTGGTTTGCACGCTGACGAACACACCGATATGTTGTTGCGGCACACGGACATGCCCGGCTGCAAGCGTGCAGGTGTACGGTTTGAACGGTTTGATGTTCCCCACAGCGCCAGCAGCGCACATCCCCACCGCAACTGCTACTTCCCAGCACGCCCAGCTTCGCTACTCCCCCCTGTGTTGCCCATTCCCATCCCCTCCTCCCCCTCTCTTCCCTCCCCCCTCCCCTCCCCCTCCCCCTCCTCCCCTCCATCAGGTGGAGCTGCAGGCGGGTCAGCGAGTGGTGGAGGGGCTGGTGATCGGGTCGGCCGAGGACACGGAGCGGCTGGTGCTGCCGGCGGGGGTGGGCTTCCTGGTGGCGTCCACGGCGGGGGGCAGGGTGGCGGCGGGGGTGTGCCGGGTAGCGCTGCCGGAGCCCAAGGGAAGCAAGAAGCCGGGAGGCAGGTAGGCAGGTGGGTGGGTGGGTGGGTAGGAGGAGCGAGGCGTGGCGATATGGATGCAACTGGTGGTTGTGGTGGAGGTGGCAGTGGGGGTAGTGGAAGCTGGATGCGGTGAGGGTGTGTTGGTCGTTGTGGTGGTGGTGGAGTCCATGGATGGTCGCGGAAAGCGCAAGAGGGCACAAGAAACATGAAGGGAAAAACTAAATGGAAGTGAAGCAGGAAGATGAGGAAGGGGGGTAAACAGGAAGGTTAGGGTGAGACGCTGAGGAGGGCGGTGTACCTGGAGGCAGCGCCTGTCGGGTCCCCGGGGCGGTGGTGAAAAGGCATGCAGGCGGAGATGTGAGGTGAACCTAATATCGGTACGGCATCTGGACCTTGGCTGTGTGACCGTTGCAAGCCATGTCACTGTGGCATGCCTGCAGGCCGATTGGATGTTGGCCCTTGAACAAGTGCAGCAGCTGTGCCGTGCCGGATTACAATTTGCGTCATGCTAAATACCATCCGAAGTGGCGAAGTGGCTCCGCCATGTAGCACAACCGGATGAAAGAGGGGCAGCTGCTTCCATGCATACCCCGCATGGAGCCGCATGGGACGGGGTGATCCCATGCACGTCGCGCAGGGTACGGCAAGGGGTGCCAGCAGCGCTACAGCAGTGAAAAAATGATCGTGAAGTGGTGGTCTGCGTCTTGCAATGTGCGGCTGTGATACCGGTACCCATAGAGGTGCGGTGAGGCTTGATGCATGCCGCATGGGTTAATAGGCCTTGGAAGCAGCGGGTTGGGGAAATGGTGTGGACGTCACAAGTTACCGGTAAGAGTACGAACCAACAATACACAGGGAGCAGTTCAACCAACGGTGTGATCGACATTTCGGAAACAACATGCCAACTGTACCGGTATGCTAAGCGGCACTGCTGACGCTGGGTATATACTAAATGTATCTTCGCAATGTAACGTAAGGCTCTTAATCACTTCTTCACGGCCTTTGAATCCGCCTTGTCCTTTTATTCTTCATCAGACCAGGTAGAGTTTCCCCTGGTTTCTTCTTCCAAAACCAGCCAGGTACGGCAAAGCCCCAACACGCATCTTCAGCCCTCACACACACAGTACGTTCCTACTCGCGCCAGATTTCTTAACACACGCCCCCCACACACGCATGCACCTTCCGACGGCCAGGCCAGTTTGTTTACGACATGCGCACCTCTTGCCCTGGCAGTAAGGGACATCGCACCAACGCCCTACCCGGAACAGTTCATCATTCCCATTCACAGGGACGCGCACCCACCAAGGGTACGACAACCCCCATACTCATCCTCACACACCCATGCACACGCACACAGCGGCCAGCAGTCCAGGCCGGCAGACATCACCACCCAAATCGACACCCAGTGTACCCGAGTCGACAAACCGTGCACTTAAATACAAAGCTGGATAGAAGCAGTAACGTACCCGAGCCAGTTCTACGGACGCCTGACATGCGGACGCAGGAAAAAGGCCGGAGATAATATCTGGAAAATGTGCTTTTATTAATTATTATATTAAACAAGCAAAGGAAAGGCGGGTTGTGAGAGGCCACGAAATGAATGTGATGACCGCAAAGCGCGCTTCCAATACACACGCACAGGAAGCATGCCGTGCCAGGAAAGCTACCGTGTAACCTATGTGTTCGTTTCTTGCCACATAAAGGTCCTCAACAGGGAAAGTCACGGTGTTGCGCAGGACCACAACCCAATCGCACGTCACACGTTGCATGGCCCCCCCCTTGCATCGTTGCAAAGTGACCATACATGACACCAGGAAGAGCTCCCTCCCCCCAACGCAGCCCTCCTTCCCAAACGTCTGCAGAGCCTTCCAATGCAGGGTTGCATGCAGCGCAATTACCATGCGCGCCCTTTGCTGCTGGGCCAGCAAAGGGGCACGCACTGTTGGAAGCGGGATCAACATACACCCACTGCTGCTGCTGCCGGCTCCGCCTTTATACGATCACACCGGACACTTCTCAAACCTGCTCCCGTCTCGCACAGTCACTCGCTAGGTCATATTTCAACGCTTCGAAGCTCCCTACCCTCTTTCAAAATCTTTCTAAGGGCCTGTCGTACTCCAACCAGCTGATGCTGCACACACATCCCGGTTGGATACAGGCCCCACAACACAGCACCTTCGAAAGCAGCACACAGCAGCTGCCACACGAAGCAAACATGAAGAGGGATACAACTCATACAGAGGGAGGCGTATATAGGCCGCACAGGCCACACAGTTTTGCACGATAACAGCCTCCGCTCTCCAACCGTACGGACCTCCAACCCGTTACTAGGTCCATGTTTCCCCTCTTCGTTACTTCTTCAAAGAGAAAGAAAGAGAGAGTGGGAAAGAAGCAATGGAGTCAGGAGCTCGCTCGCCCCTGCAAACGTCGTGTCAAGCAACGTGTCTATGCTCGCGACCATAGATGCAACTATCATTCCGAGACGAATCTCCGTGCCCATGTGTTTGCAACGGACAACTGCCACCGTTTCCACAAAACGGGGCTCTGATAAACACCATCATCCCCAACTCGCCAACTCGCTCTACCGCGCATTTCCTCTTTCCATGCGAAACCCGCATTCCCGACCTCCACCATCGTCGTGCACTCTCCCTCGACCCACCTCAAACTGCAAGGCCCACCGGTTCCCAATTATAGCTCCACTGCGGCCAACAACCAACTGCAAAAAACGTCCACAGGACAAACCCCCCAAGATCTCTCGCCCCAGCGCACCATGCCCCCTCTCCACGCCCCTATTCACAGCGGTGTTCCCCCTTCCACAACGCGGAGTCGCCAGCTGCCGCACTGCTTGTGAGCCCCAGGGAGCCCCTGCTGTTGCTAGGTACCGGTCGTTCCCTGCCCTGCCCTGCCTTGGGCCGACCTTGGTCCTACGCCCAAGCCGGCAACCCCACTACCCTCTGTCAGCAGCCACCCTCCCCACCTTGCATGCGCTCTTTGCCTAATCAGGATCCGCCCATCTGCCCACCATCCACGCCCCTAACACCCCCTCTTCCTGTCCCACCCATCGACGGCCCTCATCACGCCTCCCCCCCATCCGAGGTATGCGTCAGCAGCCGGGCGTCCTCCCGCTCCCTGGGGGTGGTCCTGCTGCCCCCCGCCGGCAACACCGGCAGCAGCACCTGACCCTGCTGCTGCCCCTGCTGCTGCGCCTGCTGCTGCGGCTCAGCAACAACCCCGCTTGCTGCTGCTGCTGCTGCTGTGACACTGCTGCTGCCAGCAGCAGCAGCAGCTGATGAAGATGAAGATCCGGTAGGTGCAGCAGCAGCAGCCGCAGCCGCAGCAGCAATGGCTGCCGTCACCGAGGTGGAGGAGGTGGAGGAAGGCAGGAAGGCCTCCCCAGGCGCCAAACCAGCAACACTGCCAGCAGCAGCAGCACCGCCGGCAGCACCAGCAGCCGTAGGACGGCTATTCGTACTGGTGGTGTTAGTTTGAGGTGCTGATACGGCAGCAGCAGCACCTAGGGCAGCAGCTGTTGTCGGCATGGGTGCAGCCGCCGCAGCAGCAGCTGCAGCTGCTGCGGTAATCCTGGGTGTGCCAGACAGCCCGGAAGCAGCAGGCTTGGTAGCGGTGGAGGGAGAGGACGAGAGGGCTGCTGCCGCCGCCGCCACTGCTGTTGCGATGTTGGCTGATGCCATGTTGGCTGCTGCTATGTGAGCTGAGGAGGAGAGGGCGGCGGTTGCGGCGCGCAGGTCCTCAGCGGTGGCGGAGGGCTGGCCGGCTGAGGACATGCCGGAGCAGGAGGGAACCAGGAAGGGGGAGGAAGCATGGGTAGCCTGCATGTGGGCGGGGAGGGGCGGGGCGGGGGGGTAAAGAGGAAACGACTAACGAACCGTGTGAGAAGGCTTCAGAGGGAGTGGGGGTTGCGGGGGGAGCAGGTGAGGAGGGGTAAGGGTGGGACTGCGGGTGCAACTGACGCATGCGAGCATGCAAGCACAACAGCCGTCGTTCCGTTGATTGCCTTTGCGAGCAAAGCAGGAAGGCAAGCAGGGAAAAAAAGGAAGGAAGGCGGATGCACAGCACCACATCCCCCCTGGCTAGCCAGGTCATGTCTCGTGTGGTGTTACCGTGCTTTCGCAACAAACACCGGTGGGTCGGGTCGCACCTCGGGTCCGGGAGCCGTCTCATCCTCCACAGATTGGATCACCGCAGAGCTCAGATGCGGCAACGGCCGCCCAGGGGACGTCACAGACGCAGCAGCAACAGCAGCCCCAGATACTGCGGCTGCCACCGCTGCTGCCGTCGCCGCGCCGCCGCCGCCGCCGGCAGCAGCACTCGCAGCGGGGATCGAGCCAGACACCCCGGGCGACCCTCCGCCGCTGCCGTTGCCACTACCGCCCGGCCCCAGACGTGACGGCACCGGCACCGGCGGCGGCACCGGCACCGGTGAGGGCAGTACGACGCTGTCCTCTGACGCCGCCATGTGCAGCTTTTCCGAGGGCAGCAGCGGCAGCAGGTCGGAGCCCTCTCCACTGCCGCCGCGCTGGAGCAGCGACGCGGGAGAGGAGGGCGAAGAAGCAGCAGCAGCACCTGCAGCGGCGGCGGCGGCGGCGGTGGCGGCGGCGGCAGCGATGGTTCCTTTGGGGCTGCTGATGTTGCTGCCAGCGTCTGGTACCGCGGCAGCGGTGTCGGTAAAGGGCGGGGCCGCGGGAATGCGAGGACTGGCCCTGCTGGCGTTACTGCTGCCGCTGCGGCGCATCTCACTGCTCGTCGCCGAGTCGTGTGCATTGGGGTTGACCAGCCGTCGCGGCAGTACGGCAGCAGCAGTCGTACGACCAATGCCGCCGCCGCCGCCAGGCGCGACCTCAATGGCGCCGGCGCCGGCGGTATCGACGTTTTGGACCAGTGTGACGTCATCACCGCCGCCTTGGCTGCTCGGCAGCGTCGGCGGCACCGGCGCCGCCGCCGCGGGGTACGGCAGGAAGGCCGGAGCCTTGGTTGGAGTCATCGCGCCGCCACCTCCGCCGCCTCCACCACTGCCGTACTCTATCGCACAGGCCACCGCCAGCTTCTTACCCGAGCCGCCGCCACTCGCCAGTAGCGCCGCGGCGGCGGCGGCCGCCGCCGCCGTCATGCTGCTGCCGCTGTCGCAGCGGCCGCCATTGACGTCGCTCGTCAGCCACGTCGGCGTCGTCTTGGCCGCCGGCTCAGTGGCGGCGGCGGCGACGCCATTCGCCCCATGCAGCGGCGTGCCTGGCCTGGAAGGCGGGCTGTACGGCCGCTGCTGCTGCTGCTGGCTGCTGCTAAAGGAGGCTTTCAGGGAGCCCACCACCGGGAGTCCGGCAGGGGTGCCGCTGCCGCTGCCACTGCCACCTGTCATGCGGCCGCTGCCGTTGGTAACACCCCCACCACCCCCTAGCAGCTGCTGGCCGCTCTCCGGGTCCAGTCCCTCCTCGTCGCCCTCGGGCACCCTGGGCGGACGGGAGGGGGGGGTGAGGGGGTTGAGAGGGGGTGAGAGGGGGTTGAGAGGGGGTGAGAGGGGGCGGTTGCTTGCCAGGGTTGGAATGGTACGATGTTGTATAACGTGGGTGGGGGTGGGGTGTTGGGAAACTGGCCGCGAGTCGGAACGTACTGTGACTGCCGGTAGCGCAAGCATGCGTGAGGGAGTGAAATGGTGGAGCGGTTGAGGGAGTGTGGGGCGCGGGGGCAATGCAGCGACTCAGCAGCTCGCAGTCGGAGGTCCACCACACCTCCCCTCCCTAACCTCACTCCCCACCCCCCACCCCGCTCCCCTCCTCCACCCACCCCTGCAGGTCCTCCCGCTTCATGCTGCGCCCCGGCAGCATCTGAAACGCCTTCTTGCCGCCGCCCTCAGCCACCCCGCCGTCACTGCTGCCACTGCTGCTACCCAGCCCACCACCGCCAAGCCCGCCTGCTGCTGCTGCTGCTGCTGCTGCGGGGGAGGAGGATATGTCGTACAAGCCGCCCAGTCCGCTGCTGCCGCCGGTGAGCGGACTGGGCTGCTGGTCGGGAGCAACCTTGGGGGGGGAGAAAGGGGGGAGGAGAGGGTTGGGTGGTGGTGGGCGGTAGGTGGGGTTGGGTGGTGATAGCAAAACCTCCTCTAGCACGGTGTGGCTGCCGGTTGCTGTTGTGCCGGTAGGCAGCCGGACAGAGTGGTATTGTTGCGCGAGCGAGACGGCAGAACGGAAGGAGCAGCAACAACTTCCCCTCCCCTCCTCCACTGTTTTGCCCCAATCCATGGTTTCCTTTGCTTCAGTCCTTTCCGCCTTCCCCCCTCCCCGCCTCCCCCTCCCCCCCCTTCCCCACCTGCACCCTGTTTCCCATGAAGTTCCTGGCCAGCTGCGACAGCGAGTGCGTCAGCCGCCAGCCCCCTGCTGCTCCCGCTCCCCCCCTCGGCCCCGCCACCCCTCCTCCCCCGCCCCCTCCCGGCTGCCCGCCTGCTCCCGGTCCCGGCGGCGGTGCGGGGGGTGTGTCGTGCGGGTCGGGCGCCAGCAGGTCCTCCAGACTGGTGCGGCGCTTGATCCAGGTGAGCGGGTTGTACCACCTGGGGGGGAGGGGAGGGGAGGGGGGGAGGGGGAGGGGATAAGGAATTGGACGAGGCAACTAACGAGCTGTGTGACATGTAGGCTTCACCAGATGACACGCCACCCTCTCCCCTCCCTTCCGCTCCCCTTCAGCTTGCCTGATCCCCCCCGCCCCACCCCCTCACCCCACCCCCCCGGAGCTTGTCATCTTGTCTGCCATTATCATTCAACACATTGGCTATTATTCTCTTTTCCGTCCCCTCCCCCCACTAGACTGTCCGCAACTTGTATCATTATCACACCATACTTTGGAATTTCTTTTTCCCCTCCGCTCACCCCCCCACCTGCGCCCGTCCTCCTCCTCGTCCCCGCTGTCCTCCAGCCCCTCCCCCGCCTGCCCCCCCACTCGATAGTAGCTGAAGTCGATGTTGGGGATGGGGTCGTCGAACTCCTCGGGCGGCTCCCAGTCCAGGTTGGCGCGGATCCAGGGGTGTGTCAGCAGCTGCCGGGCGGTGGGGCGCTTGGCGGGGTCCTTGGTGAGACACTGGAGGGGGAGGGGAAGGTAAAAAGGAGGAAACGGATGAGCTGTATGACGTGGCTTCATGGGGGGAGGGGGGGGCAGAGTTATACCAAAACCACAGGTTAGGGCAAAGCAGTGGGGACAGAGGAAAGCAGTGTACCGTGAAACAAGTGGGGTAAGAAGAGGGTAAAAATAAAGAAACACTGACAAACTGAATGAAGAAGTGGGGGGGGGGGTAAAAGGATGAAACTGACGAGCTGTATGACAAGACTGGGGAGAGAAGAGGGGCGAGGGGGCAGGGAGGGAAACGTGTGCTGCAGGGCATTCTTCGCAAGGGGCTGAAGTAGTGGTTCCACAGAGGGCTGCCATAGCATTGGGGATTGGAAAAGGAGGGGTGAGGGCTGGGAGGGGGGAGAAAGGAGGCGGGAACAGGGTTTGTGTAGTGGGGTTTTAGGGCAGGGTTTTTAAGGTTTGGTTTCCCACCTGGTCAATGAAGTCCACCGCATCATCGCTCATGAAGTCGGGGTACTCCGCCTCGCGCAGCAGGATGGCTTCCACGGTGGTGTTGGGGTCGTCGGTGTTGAAGGGCGGGGAGCCCACCAGCACGTCGTACGACATGATACCCACACCCCAGATGTCCACCTGGCATTGGGGGAAAGAGGGGGGGAAAGAGGGGGAAGGAGGAAGGGGAGGAAGGGGTTATTTCGACATCTGGGTCGCGCCATCATCTTGCCTGTATACCCACCGGTCAGGGTCAGTGCTTCCGCGGCTCAGCTTATGGAACCCCCCTGCCTCCCGCCAACCCACCACTGCATGTGTCGGGATATGGGATTGGGACTCCAGTGCTGCAGTTCTAATCTAATTCTTCCCCCCCTGCCTCCCCCCAACCCTCTGCCCCCCCTGCCTCCCCCCCTACCTTGTAGTCGTAGTGCGTCACCTGCTGCTGCTTGGCGTTGGGGCCGTTCAGCACAAACACCTCGGGCGCCACGTAGTCCAGCGTGCCCACCATGTCCTTGGGGTAGCTGCGGGGGGGAGGGGGAGGGGTGACGTGTATAGGGCTACTCGGATTCGGGGAGAAGGAGGGGGCGTGTCCGTCTCCATGACTCCATGGCATACAACAAGCGTAACGCCCACCGCCGCCAATCCCCCTGCCCGTCACAAACTCGATTCCCTCCGTCGCTCCCCTCCCCCCCACCTGTATCTGTTGACGTCCCACGACAGGAAGAACCCGGACAGCTTGGCCACCTTCTCGCTGTTGAATAACACGTGCTCGGGCTGGGGGGCGGTGGGAGGGAGGGGGGAGGAGATGAGAAGTTTAGGAGTAGGGCGAGGCGACTAGGGGGCCGAGGTTGGGGGACGTGGCGTAACTAGATCGCCCCCTGCCGGAGGCCCCCACCCTTCTGCACGCCCCCCTTCTGATGTTTCCTTTTTACCGCCCCTTCTGCATGCGTGTGCCCCCCCCTCCCCCCTTCCCACCCTACCTTGATGTCCCGGTGTATGACCCCCTCCGCGTGCAGGTAGGCCAGCGTCTGGAGGATGGGCAGCAGAACCTGACAGGGGGGGGGAGGCGGGGGAGTTGAGAGTTGAGAGGGTGGAGAGGATGAAACGGACGAGCTGTACGACAAAGCGAAGAGGACGGGAGGGGTGGAGGGGTGGAGGGAGAGAACCAAACCCTCCTCCCTCCTCTCCCTCCCCCCCCTACCTGCGACACCAGCCATCCCTCCTCCCGAATGGGTCCGCTCTGCTGCACGATGCGGTACAGGTCGCCCGCCGCGCAGTTCTCAAGCACCAGCCACCACCAACCCTTTGGGGGGGGAGAGGGGAGGGGACGAACAGAAGAGTACTCAGTGGGGGAGGGGACAGGACGAGGAGGAGAGAGGTGGGGTGCTCATCAGTATAGAGAGAAACGGGAGAGGAGGGGGAGAGGAAGATGCGGTACAGGGTGCTGGCGGGTGGAAGACAGGATGGCGGGGGGGAGGCACCGAGGCAGGACCTCCTGGTAGCGGAACTACACGGAGGAGTCCAGTACGACACCGGTATGCCCCGAACCCGCCTACCTTACCCGGTATGCCCCGAACCCGCCTACCTTACCCGGTATGCCCCGAACCCGCCTACCTTACCCGGTATGCCCCGAACCCGCCTACCTTACCCGGTATGCCCCGAACCCGCCCCCAACTGGCTTTTAACCCCCGCCCTGGTCTTTGGCCCCCACACACACACACCTGGTCCTCGAAGGAGTCGAAGCACTTTAGAATGAAGGGGCACTGCGCGCGCTGCAGCAGCGACACCTCGCTGAACACCCGCTGCCGCGTCTGCAGCGTGAGGCTCTCGCGGCTGTAGCCCTTGAGCACCACCACGCCGCCGCTGTACATGCAGCGGGCGCGGTACACGATGAAGCTGGGGGGGAAAAGAGTGGGGGGAAGAGAAGGGGGGGAGGGAGGGGGGAGGAGTTCGTGTGTATGGGGGTGGAGGATGTGTTGGTGCGTGCAGCGGGGGCGGGTATGCAATATATAATATATATAGTATAGGTGAAATAGGAGTGAAAGGAGGATGCGGGAGAAGCCAGGGGAGGGGGGCGAAGGAGGTGCGGGTAGGAACGTGGCATGGGTAAACGTGCTACAAAGGCAGGTACGACAGGAGGTCGAGGTTGGAAAGGGGAATGTTGCTGGGAGGGGTCGCCCCATAGAGGGACCTTGCGCAGTAGTGAAGGATACGAAGGCACAGTGAGATTCTATGCAACGAAGTCACTCATGGGTACGGGGAATACTCTTGCGTCCTGCGGTTAGGGAAGGGAGGAATCGGTGCTGACGGGGAGTGAATCCCTTAATGGCCACCTCCCTCAGGATGCGATTGTATTCGCTCACCCTTGTTCCTTATGTAGAAGAACTTTATTCTTGAAGTCATCCAGCTTTTCGTAAAAGCGCCTCTTGAGCTCATACTTATTAAGCTTGCCGAAGAATGAACGCTGGCTGAAACTACTTGCGAAGCTATTAACACTCCGTGTCTCGCTGTGGCAATCAAACGGGAGTAACCGTCAGGAATCATATAGGGAGGCAAAGGTCGTCCCTTTAATGGGAACGTGACAAAGGGCGATGACTACAACCTGCAATCCAACCAAAGTTAAGGAACTATACCTGTCTCCAACGCTGCTTGCCGGCATTGCTCCCGCCTGCTACAAGCCCACGCTGGAACTGAGGAGTTGCGCCCCGGTTAAGCGCCAGTAGAAGGAAGCTCTCCTTGTGCTGTCTCTAGTTGTACAGAATTTGTATGAGTGGAAACACGTGGGGCCTTCATCAGCGGTTGCGTAGTCGCTTGCAGGAGATGCAGCAGCGTAAAGACTGTCAACTAAATAAAAAGTCCTTTCGAACGGTTATAACGCTCCTTGAGGTCTAGCGCAGCATTTCGGCCAAGTTGCACCAAGGAAACTTTGCAAACTTTGCTGTGCCGTACTGCAACCCCTGTTTGGCTGTTTCCGCCAAGTGTGATTCCAGCTTGCCGCCGTTATTCCCTTGTGTCACGCGTGGCCTGGCACATTAGTTTTTGTTTTTCAACGCGTGATCTAACAAGTTCTCCTTGCCCCACGCTTCAACGCTAGGCGACAGGGTGGCCTACAGGAACGATGGCCGTCAATTTGTAGCTTGATGTCCTAAAGGCACTTACCGGCCATTAAGTACAATAGCATAAGCGAAATGGGTGTAGTTGTCATTCCTCCCAATCCTGCCGGCCCCGGCACATGCCGGGTGCATCTGGAGTTGGACAAATCAGAGACGCGGGCGACCATCGATCGGCTTAAGCAGGCGTTAGATCGACTGCGCGCTGGTGGCTTAGCTACAGTGCCGCAGGGACCGCGTGCTCAACAGATCACAGAGACATCCCTTCCCGCTGCAGCTCAAGGTATCTTTCCAAGTCGTTAACCCGTTGTCTCACTCAAAATATGTTTAAACCGTCTGGATCTCCTATGATGAACTTTCAAACGACTCCAACACCCATAGCATCAGGGCCGGAAAGCCCGAGCGAATGAAGGCCGCAACTATTGTACTGAGTGTCCTAATGTTCCTTTCTGAAGATAGATAACACGTCCACCCGGAGTAGCCATCCTCTCCCCGCCAGGCCGCCACCCATCTGCGCCTCACGCATCCACGCCCTTTCTCATCTCCCGTTTTGTTTCCTCCCCGCCCCCTTCGCCTCCCCTCGCTTCCCCCACCCCAACAGGCCCCAGCGGACCCACGCCAACACCCGCCCCAGCTCCCACTCCCGCACCCACACCCGCGGCACCAGTCGCAGCCCCTGCCCCTGCCGTACAACCACAACCACAACCACCACCCCTACCCACCTATGCTCCCCAGCAACCCGCGGCTCCCGCCCCCACCCCAGCACCAGCACAGCCCCAGCCGCAGCAGCCGCAGGCGCCTGTCGTACATTACCCGCAACCGCAACCGCCAGCGGTCGTGCCGGCAGTGGTGGCGCCGCAGGCGCCGCCAGCCTACCCCTCGTACGGCATCCCTCAGCAGCAACCGCAGACGGCAGTAGCGCATGCGCCCTTCGCAGCAGCCCCTGCTGCTCCCGCTGCAGCCCCCGCTGCTGCTGCTGCTGCCGGTGGTCTGCTGGGCCGCAGTGCCATGTCGCTTGCAGCCATGCGGCCGGGCATGGGGGTACCGCAGATGGTGGCGGCGGCGGCGGCAGCGGTGCGACCCCCGGCGGGTGAGGAGAGGGGGAGGGGGAGGGAGAGGAGGGGTGAAGAGGGGTAAGAAACTAGCAAGATGTACGACAAGGCTTTACTAAGGGGGGCGTAGGGCCGGGGGAGGAGGAGGAGGAAGGGGAGGAGGGTTGCGATGGGGGCGGTAAGGGGGGGCCAGGGCAACCCCCATGGGGTGAAGGGGCGGAGGAGGGGCATGGGAGCTGCACTGGGGGGGGGCAGGGAAGCTGAACGGGTGGTCTAAGGTTGGCGGGGGGGGCCATGCCTGTTGGGAAAGGTAGTAGAGGTAGCAGTAGTTTGGGACCGGGGGAATGGCGTCAGCACGTTGGTCAGCACGATCTAAGCGGATACCTCTTGAAGTCTTAGGGGCATGGGAGTCATTGAAAGCGGGGAGCAAGAGGTGGGATGTGGGGAAGCAAAGGAGGAATGAAGGGGAAGGAGGCTAAACACGTGGGAGAAGGACCGGGGGAGTTGCGAGGATGGACGCAGCAGGAGCCTGGAGGGTCCCTTGTCCACATGTGGAAAGGCGCCCGGGGGTTTGCTGGGATCCACGTGTGCCCCCAACACCTCGCAGTATAGCACCTATACGCTTGCCATGCATGCCCTCCCCTCCCCGTCCGCTTAACCCGCAACACCCGCCTGCCCCCCGCCCCCCTACCCCCACCCACCCCTACCCCTCAGTCACCCCCGTGGCCATCCAACCGCCGGCAGCCCGGCCCCCGCCGCCCACCTACGTCCCCAACGCGGCAGCCATCCTGCCGCCCACCGTTGCCGTACCGCCCACCCTCGCCGTACCGCCGACGTCAGCGGCCAGAGCCGCGCCGGCGCCGTCACCCATGATATCCCCGGCGGCGGCGGCGGTGCCGACGGTGACAGCGCCTCGTCCGCAGCAGTCGGGGGCAGCGGCTGCTGCCGCCGCCGCCGCGGCAGCTGCAGCGGCAGCTCGTACGCAGGCAGCGACGGTGGCGCCGTCAGCCGCCGCCGCTGCGGCGGCACGCGCGGCGGCGGCGGCGGCTCGTCCCGCCGCTACGACTGCCCCCACGGCCCCTTCTGCCGTACGCCCCGCTGCCCCGGCTGCCGTACATGTGCCGGCTTCGTCGTACAGCAGCAGGCATGCGGGGACTGGGGCTGGGGGGGGGAGAGAGAGGTTCATTCACAGGGTTCGGGTATGGGTATGGGTTTTGGGTTTTGACCCTGAACCACACCAAAGCATTGCCAGGCATTCAATGGATTCACAGTCAACCCTAGCTATCCGACCTACCTACCAACCTACCTACCTACCCACCTCTCCCCTCCCCGCCTCCCCGCCTCCCCGCCTCCTCCCTCCAGGCCCGCCCCCGCCGCCGCCCCCCGCTCCTCCCCCCGACTGGTGTGGGAGATGTGCATGGAGACGGACCCGCCCGAGCACAACAGGGACTCCGTGCTGGTGAGCAGCTCCCACCCCCCACACACACCAGGACCTCTGTTTTCCCTCTGTGTTGCCTGTACTCGCGGTTCACATGCGAACCTATCCCAACTGCTTGCTCTTGTTTCCGCTCAACTACACACCAGGACACCACACATGGATATTCTTCTTTTTTTACCCTCCACCTCCCCTACCTCCCCTACGTCCCCCCACCCCAAAGCCCCACATGCACTCACTGCACTCACTGCATGACCCAGAACATATGGGATGCGCTTCATTTATCATTTTCCTGGTTATACCCCACGCACCCCAAACCCCCCAACCCCTCCCCCCCAAACACACAGGCCCTGCAGTACTGCACCACGCTGCCCGGGCTGCCCGGCGGTGACGGCCACGGCGGGTGGCTGGTCAGCAGCTCGCGGCGGCTGCTCAACCTGTGGGAGTGCAGCGCGGGGGGGGGCCGGGGGGCGCCTTCGCTCATGGTAAGAAGGGGGGGAGGGGGAAGGGGAGCGGGAAGGGGGAGGCGGGGCGGGGAGGGGCGAAGAAGGGAGGGAGGGTGGCTTCCCCTCAACAACCTCTTGCATGTCATTATCATGTAGCATGCAACACGCTTGTGAGTGTCCTTCACATTTGAGTGCACGCTCGCGGCGGGGAACCACAAAGCAGCTGGTGGGGTGCTGGGGTGGCGGCCACGCCCCCCTTGCGGGTTTCTCCTTTACCTTCTCAACCCCCTCCCTGCCCCTGTCTCTTAATGCGCTGACACTGCATGAGTCGGGTCATGGGATTGATTCACCTTACCCACTCTTACTCAAATGTTTCCATCCCCTCCCCCTCCTCCTCCCTTCCCCCCCCCAGCTCCTCCACTCCCAGGAAACCGACTACACCGCCTCCCACCTGGCCGCAGAGCCCTCCTGCTCCCTCCTCTTCGCAGCCTCCGCCGACGCGCGCACCGGCGCCGAGGCGGTCACGGTACACTCCCTGGATGCTGAGGCCGGCATGCTGGCCTACAAGTACAAGTGCGCCGTGACGCCGCCCCCGCCGGCCGGGGGGTTGGGGGCGGGGGCGGGGGGCGGCAGGGGGCTGCCGGCGGGGGCGCCCATGCCGCCCCGGCAGCTGAGTAAGGTGGCCTCGCTGCACCAGTTCGGTGGGGGACTCAAGTCCACATGCGCAGCTGCGTACCAGGTGGGTGGGGGGACTGCTGCTTATTGGGGGTAGGGGGTGCTTGGGGGTAGGGGGTGCTTGGGGGTAGGGGTGCTGCCGATCGAGGGGTGATGCCTATTGGGGGGTGCTGCTGCTTGGGGGTAAGGGGGGAGAAGAGGGTAAGGAGGGAGAGGGGGGAAGGGGGGGGAAAAGGCTCCACTCCCCTTTCAACCCGGAGGGGTTCAGTGTCCATGCACACCATACCCTCCTCCTCCTCCGCCAATGTACACAATCCCACACGCCCCCCTCCTCCACACAGCCGCCAGCTTATGGAGCTATACTACGGTTTATACTTTGTGTGCTGCCACTAACCCAACAATGCGCAATCCTAAAATCCAGCGTAATGCGGAATCTTCATCCCTATTAACCCCCTCCCCCCATGCGCCGCCACTACACACCTTCTCCCCCCCTTCCAACCCATGTTTTTTCTCCACTTTCGCCTTCACTCCCCCCCTTCACTCCTCCCGAGTCGGGACACGGGACCATGCCTCACTCCCCCCCTTCCCCGCCCCCCTACTCTTCCCGCCCCCCAGGGCACTGTGTTTGTGTACGACACCCCCGGCCTGTCGCTCCCCCCCAACTACGACCCCCACGGCCAGCGCCCCAAGGGCATTTGGAAGGCGCACGAGGGTTCTGCCATCAGCGCCCTGAGCACCAGCAGTGCGGGCGGGGGGGCGCGGGTGGTGACGGGGGCCAAGGACGGGCAGGTGGTGATGTGAGTGACCCGGGGGGGCGGGGGAGAGGGGAGGGGTTGAGAGAAGGGAAGAAGGGGAAAGAGAGAAGGGGGGTTGAGATGGGGGAGGGAGGGGAAGGACGAGGCAGCGCAGCTGGGTGTTCAATACACACACGATAGCATTGGCTTGGTACCCGGTTGTCCATGTTGCATAATGCATTTCCCCTCTTCCTCGACCTTCCCTCTCCCCCTCCTCTCGGTATCGGTAGGGGTAACCAACTCTTCCTTGTTTTGTGACAAACGGCTTCCCTCTATCCCCACTGCTTTGCTCTAATCTTTGGTTCTGGTATATCTTTGATCCCCCCTCTTCCCCCCTCCCACCCCCCCTTGCAGTTGGGACATGCGGCAGCGCCCCCCCGGCAACAGCTGGTGTGCCCGCGCGCACGGGCAGGCGGTGACGGGGCTGCAGATCGCCAACGACACCACCCTGGTCACATCGGGGCTGGATGGGAAGGTGTGGGGACATGGGGGGAAGGGAGGTTTGGAAAGAAGAATTCCCAATGTGTTGAATAAGAATGGCAAACTAGGGGGGAGAGAAAGGAAGGGGGTGAGCAGGGGGGTGAGCAGGGGGGGAGGAGGGGTATTAAGTGAGAAGTGCAGCAGGGGGAAGGGGGGAGGGTGACTGTGTTGGGGTTAAAAACAAACCCACAAAAAAATCCACGACTGATCAGCGACTGGGTGGGGGGTGGGGGCTGCTGCTGACTGTGGTGGTCATGAGGTCCCGTGTGGGAGGGGAGGGAGTACAGACGAGTGGGGGTGGCAGGATGGGCGGGGTGTAAGTGGATAACCCCGATGGTGCCTCTACCTTCCTCCTTCCACTTAAATGCAATCCTGTAATCCAACCTAATATGGAGTCCTTAACCTCTTAACATTCCCCCTCCTTACCTTGGTCATACAGTTCGTCAGTCTCCTTATTCTTACCCCCCCTTCCCTTCCCCCTCACCCCTCACCGCTCCCCCCCTTGCCCCAGGTACACATTTGGGACCTGCGCTCCGCCTCCACCCCCCGCGCCACTGCCGCCCCCGACGGCAGCGCGGTGCTGGGGGCCAAGACAAGTCCGGCGGGGGACTGCGTGGCGGGTAAGAGGGAGGGGAGGGGAGGGGGCGGAGGGAGAAAGGAAACTAACGAGCTGTATGACGAGGGGGGCCTTCACCATGGGGTTGCGTCATGGGGAGGGGAAGGAGGAAGGCTGGGGGTGGGGAAGAAAGGGAGGGGGAAGAGGGGGTGGGAATGGTTTGGTGGAGTGAGGCGGGGCTGCTGTTGGAACTCGTGTGTTAAAATAACTGGCCGCGAGGCCAGACTCGTGTGTGTCTGTCACGCCCTCTTCCCTCCCTCCCTTCACATTTCAGTTACCCCTCCTCCCCTCCCCCCCCCCCAGTCTTCACGCAGCGCAACCTGGCCACTGTGGACCTGCTGGCAGGCTCCTCCGCGCCCGTCACCCTGCTGAGCCGCGCGCCCCTGCCGCGCCCGCTGCTGGACGTGTGCTGGAACGCGGCCACGGGAGAGGTGTATGCGGCTGGACAGGGGGGCACCGTCAGCGTGTACCGACAGACGTATGCGTGAGGGGGAGGAAAGAAAGGAGAATACCCAATGTGTTGAATAAGAAGGGCAAACCAGACGGAGTATGCGTGATGGGAGGGGGCAGGTGGTTTGCATGTGGGTCGCAATGATGAGGTAAAGGCTGGTAAAGAAGTGGAGCGGCCATGTATTCCAACGTCCATTGCTCTACGGATGACGCAATGGCGGAAGACACACGTGAAAGGGGGACACAGGATGGGGCCATGGAGGCATGGGGGGATGGTGGAGATGAAGAAGAAGGGGGTGATGTGGGGCCTGAAAGGTGGAAATCAAGCAGGGAGTTGTCGAGGAACTGGCCGCGAGTGGTAACACACTGAATTGTCGGAAATGATGTCCCCAGGGAGTTGTGTACGTGGGGAGTTGGGGGTGGAGCGGGTCGTTTTGACATGGCCCTGACGCGTTAGGGAGTGAGGTGGAGAAAGTGTGGGAGGCTGGGTTACAGTGTCCCCGCCTGGGGTGGGGTGGGGACAGGGAGGTGAGGAGAGAGGGAGAGGTAAGGGGAATGCTGGGGTTGTTGGTGGTGTTGTAGGGAGCCAAGAAGGTGGGAGGCAGGGGGAGGGGGTGGGCGGACTCTGCGTTGCGATGTATGCAGATGTGGGGGGGGGGGAGGCAGTGGGGAGGTCGCAGGTGGAAGGGATGTGGGGGCGGGTACGTGCGGCACGTTGCGTGTCCAGGAGAGGGGGGAGGGGGGCCATGTGGGGCCGTGCTGAGGGATGCTCGGTGGTTGATGACCTGAAAGCCGCAGCAGCAGCAGCAGCAGCAGGGGAGGGAAGTGCAGACAGATGCTGGCAGGGGATTAGGGCCTAGCCGACCGTACTTTGTGCCACAATACACGGTTATGGAACGGTGGTGGTGTTGTTCTGTCAGGTTGTAGTGGATCAGGCAGAGCGAGAGGCCAGGTGATGCCGCGGATTGGGGGCCGTGCGGTGGGGAACTGCGGCCTGGGCACAACAGCGCCTGAGGTCAGGGTGCCGAGCATGCAAGGGGTTCGTGGTTTTGCGGGTGTATGTGCGGGTGTGCCCGGCGGTTGGGAACAACAGCAGGAGGAGGAGCCGGTTGGGAGCAGAAGAAGGAGCAGCAGTAGCTCCTGATATGACCCTTATGAGCTGGAAGAACAAGGGGAGCAAAGGTTAGGTCGGTAGTGGCAAGGCATGATACGTCAATGATGTTGCTCTGCTGTGGTTTGCAGGGAACAAAGGACACGAGGGGGGTTAGGAGGTGGAAGACAGCAGGGGAATCCCTTGCATTGGCAGGCTAACAGTTTGTAGGCAGGTAGGCAGGTGTTCGGAGGGAAATGCGACTGGGATCGACTGAGCGATGGAAAGAGGTTGTGTTTGAGCTACGTGGTGGTTACGTAACTGCTCGGAGGAGGTGGCAGTTGGGCAGGCGTTGTACGGCAGGTGCAAGTTCAGGCGTTATACGATTGTACGGAGGGGTTTATGTAATGACGCGCTTAGCAGGTTGTGGGGCTTGTTGTTGTTGAGTTGTTGGGCCGCTTGATGCTACGGCGGTGCGATGCAAATGGTAGGGCGATGCAGAGGAGGATGGGGCAGGCGCAGAGGAGGAGAAGGAGGAGGAGGCAGGTGTGTAGGTGTGTAGGTGCGGCTTGGGCCTTGGAAGGCCTCTCTGGTCTGTCTGGTGGGGCAAGGAGAGGAGTCGGCGTTGGCGCATGGTGGTGGGGGGATGCTCCTGTTGTGGTTTCGGAGGGGCTTTTGGCGCCAGCTTGAGCTATTGCGATGGCGCCTGGTTGGCCACATGTACATGCACTCTCACGGCACACGTATACGGCGGGTGTAAGAGGTGGTGGCGTGACAATCGACTTGCACCCAGGGGTGTTACATGGGTAGAAGTCAGGGGGTTAAACAACGGGTTGCAAAGAAGGGTATCATAAAACATAACAACTAGTTATCCAGTGTTGCTTTTCGGGCATACGGCATCTCCTTCAAACACACCCTGAAATCCTATGGGCAGCCAAGGATGTGTTCCCGGGTGATGAAACCTGTCGTACATGTGAGACAAGTGCTAACTTCCTGGCGCCGCTCGATTGTTACGTTTACGCAGCTGCGCTGTTTAAAGACTTTGTGAAAATGGACAAAATCTTCAGGGAGGTCTCGGTAAAGAAGGTTAGGCAAGCAGCCGACGGAACGGAACAAACCAACGCGATGTTCACAATGTCCATTTTCCATATGTAGCTTTACAAGGACTGCATGTTCCTGGCCAAGTACTTCGGGAGAAGAGTAGGTCAAAGTTTGCAAGTCGACAACTGCATCCTCTCAATCGGTTTTCAGCTCGGACTTTCTCCTTGCAGCAAGGAAATGAGAAAATGCTGATGGGCCAAGTGCGGGAACAGTTTAAGGCTAACATGAACGAACTGGATGATGACAAGGTAAGAGCGCCGATGGCCCCGCATTTGTGCGTAACTTGCAGGCGTTTGATGCTGATAACGTTGCTACCCTTACTTGTAGATCAAGGAGCAAAAGGAGGCGTAAGTAGCGACGCCCTACGTGTTGTGTCCCGGGGGAAGCGTGCGTCAGCGTCGCTCTACTGGTGTTTGTTGCGCAGCCCTTGCAACTTCGCATTGCCGCATTCCTCCCCTTATTTACACTTTCATCCCTCACCCTGCGTGCAGTGCCATCCGCGCGCTGCACAACGTCCACCTCCTAGAAGCGGACCGATATGTGCGGGTACGTGTGTATCATAGTCCGGGAAAGGGATACGTCCTTGTATAACGAGCACCTCGTCTTTGGTTGGCTTTTACAACATCCCGATTGTCCCGCAACGCAGGAGAAGAAGACGTAAACGAAGCCTGTGTTGCAGCCGCAGCACGGCGAGCGCATGTGCAGCAACAGCGGGACAGCTGGTGGCAGCTACGCTGACCATCAGCAAGTCTGCATTGTTTCTTCGAGCGCACGTCGCGATATGTAGTTACCGGTCACGGAGTTTGTTCGGCGTCAACCCGCCGATGGAAGAATCAGGATATGAAAGTTGCGCCTAAGCCCACGGCACGCTTCCCAGCATTCAGTCAGCAATAAAGCATGAAACAGCTCGCCGACCCACATCCCGCAATGCATCAGCTGCTGCTACTGCTCCTCCTGCAACCGGGTATATATCCAGCCCCTGCGAACCACGCCTCCTACTTCCTGCTGCTCGGAGGACCGATCGCAACTAGCATCCCCTGATATCCCTGGAATACAACAGCACTGTACGGCACTCCTCCTCCTTGAGCGCCTTCCGTAACGCTTCTTACAAGGCCTCAGGTGTCTCGCGTCATGTGCGTGTTGTCTCGTTACCACTACCAAGGCAGCAAACGCGGCCGAGAAGTAGCTAGGTAGTAGCCAGCTAGCTAGGAGTAGCTCACAGCTCGGAGGGCTCGTTGGTGCTCAGGCGGGCGAGGTACTCCCGGTAGCGCTCGTCGTACACGTCGTTCATGTTGTAGTGGCCCGAGTGGATCCTGAAGGGGGGAAGAGAGGGAGGGAGGGAAGGAGGATCATGGGGGGAAGGGAAGAGGGTTGTTGCAGGAATATAAGAGGTGGAGGAGCAGGGGACAGCAGCGGTTCATGTGTAGGAGGGTGAGCAAAGCAGTAAGGGCATGGCGGGGTGTGCGGACATGACAGCTGGCTTCATGCATGGTGGTATGTGGGTGCTGGCATATGGCTAGGCGAGCATGGCATGAGAGCAGAATGGCAGCGGAATAGGTGTTGGTTCGTAGCACGCATGGTGCGGCGCGGTTGGATGGGGTTGCATGACCGAGTAGGGCTTCTTTCCGAACTGTAGGGCCCGCATGACAGTTCTTTATGCCCCTGTTTGGCGGCATGTGGCTTCTTGCGGTCCCGCACATTGTAACCAAATCTCGGTGTTTCCTGGGCGGGAGACCTGGTTGACCATGACTTGTCACGACGACGAAAATCCGCACGGTTGAAGCCCCAGCAGTCCCCCGCCCTCACCCCTCTGCATAAGTGTTGAGCCCTCCCACGGTCCCCCAGCCTCAACGATGGACGCCAGTCCAGCCCAGTGCGGAATAACCCATCCACGCAAGCCCTAGCGCCTTCCATCCCCACCCCACAGAGCCTAGCACTCAGCTATTCAGTGTATGATTCAGCACTCCTGACGTGACCCCCAACCAGCAGCTCCAACTCCACCCCCAGAACTCACCACTTGGTCATGCTGAACTTCTCCCCCCGAATGACCGGGCAGGCCCCGTGCAGCGAGCGCTCCTCCAGCTCGCCGTTGGGCTTCATGCTGTGGAACATGATGGCTGGGGGGCAGGAAGAGGAGGGGGGGATACCCAGGGAAGGGGGGAGGATAGGGTTGACCGCAATGGACAGGGAGGGGGAGGGACGGGGACCGGGAGGATGAGCGGAAGCTTCAATTGGCTGTACGCAATGGTGAGCCGGGGAAGGTAAGGGCAAGGGCACGACATGCAAGGGACTTTTTCTCCTCCCTCCATCACCCTCCCCTCCATCACCCACCATCTCCCTTGCGCGGCTTCACCGCCAGGTGGTACTTGGCGCACTCGGAGAAGCCCGGGTTGATGCCGTTGGGGGCGGGCAGCTTGGGGAACACCGTCTCACCGCCCTCCTACGTAAAGGTAGGGGGAGGAGGAGGGGCAAGGGCCAGGTGGAGGGGGCGAAATTATAGATAAGTGCAACAACACAGTCCCCATCCCGAATCCCCTGGTGGAGGGGGGAGGTCAGAGAGAGAGAGACCGAACCAAATGATGGGTAGGTAGGATTTGGGGAAGGGTGGGGGTGATATGTGCAGGAGGTGTGACACCTCCTCCTTCGACACCAGCTTCCCGTCAGTGCCCCGTACACACGCGGGGGGGTGGGTACACATTACTGCTGCTGCGCCGGTTGCTGCGAGGTCCCTGTGAGGTCCTTGCACTGTCCCAGCCCCTCCACGGATTGCCCTAAACCCCCCACTCCAGCACCGAACCGCCGACCCACATGCCAGCCCCTGCGGCTAGGTCCCCTCCGGCGGCAGCGAACCTTCGCAATACTCCCTAGTCCCTGTGTCACGAACCCCTATCCCCGCCCAACCCGCACCCAGCCAGCACCAAGGCCATCACCACCATCCCTTCCCCCCCCCGCCAACCCATGGTGAAGCCTCGTCATCCAGTTCGTCCATTTTCCTTATATTTTCCCCGCCACCCCCCACCTCGGTATCCAGCAGGTACATGAGCACGGTGGAGTAGCGGTTGCCGCCGTTGTCGCCGCCCTCCTTGTGGAAAAAGTAGTCTGGGAGCGGAAGGGAGGAGGGGGGCGGAAGGGAGGAGGAGTGGGGCAGTAAGGCATGAGGAGGGGTGGCAGCAGTGAGACAGAGGACGGGAACGGAGCGTGCGGGCAGTGCGGGCAGTACGACATCACCGCCCCGGTTGCGACCCCAGACCGTCAACAGTAGTGCCGTCGCGAGGAGAGTCCGTTGGTAGACAAGGTAACAGGCGCGTAAACGGCATGAAGCTCCAATCCTGGGAGTTGCAGCTCCAATGCAAGCACCACCACATACGCTGTTCCTCTTGATGTGAGGTCATTCAAGGAAGGCCGTTGGTCCCATGGACACTCACCCTCCCCCAGCAACTTGTCTCATTATCACACCACACTTTGGAATTTCTTTTTCCCCCAGCACTCACCCCACTGCGCCCGGCAACACCATCATGACGCAAGGCGCCGGGCCGCAGGGGAGGAGGTGGTGGTCCAGCCGCAGGAGTCAGGAGTGAGGTGTACAGTGGGGTAGGGCGTTGGGATGGACGGGCGATGCGGGAGGAGCAGCAGCAGCAGCAGTGGCGTGGGCGTGGACGACGTTGAGAGGCATGGGAAGGAAAAGAGAGAGGAGGTCAGGCAATCTGGTGCGATACACGGCATGCTAGTAATTTATGCTGATTCATATCCGGACCTTTACATGCGCCTTCACCAAGCGGGTTGCTGATGACCCAAATCACCAAGCCATGTCACACCCCAGCTCTGCACTCTCCCTTCTCCGATGCATCCCAGCAGCACCCAATTCTTTCATCACACCGATAAGCTGAACCACTTACGTGAGAGTCGTACTTCTGATCTTTCCGGTAGCGCAGCACCTGCAGCGCCTCACCCGACCAGATGGGCATCATGGACCAGTCCGCTAGCCGCTGCTCAATAGCTGCAAGCACGTGCAAGACAAGTGGTAAGTGGCGTGGCGGGGGCGTAGAGAGCTATGGCATCTGCAAAGGCCGCGACTCGTGCCACAATTCGACGGTTCGAATTAGCCAAGCCGGACATGGTAGAAAGCAATTGGCAACAGTGGCTATAAGCTCAGCTTGCTGTCATATATATATTTTTTGACGTCTGCCACACCTTCGATGATGGCGTCCTCGCCACGCTCAAAGAACATGCCATCCGACGTGCGAATGTCAGAGACAAGTGTCCCACCGCTAGCAGTGTCAACCACACCCGAACGTTCAAGCCTCTTCTCCGCCTTCATACGAAGGTAGTCGCACTCCTCTGCATTTTCAGAGGTAGGAGTGAGCCGTCCGTGAGCAGTCCCAGATGCGCAACTCCCGGGACTCACCTGGCGTCAAGAAGCCCTTCCAAAGGAAAATCCGAGCGTCCGCATCGAGAGTTACGATACGCTTGCGAGCTTCAGGGTCTCCAGTATGGGTGGGAATTGACCGCGCAAGCGCATAACTCACACACAGCGAAAACGCTAAAAGTACAGCTAAACGCGTTGTCATGGTCACCAAGGCTTTGTGTTTTGTAGAACAGTAGAGATACCCTTGTTTCCGCAAACTGGCTTCAGCGCCTGGAAGGAATGTATGTACCGATCAGTGCACAACAGCGTTAAAGTTTGCACAAAGTTGCCTCCCGGTCCTGCAAGGTTGCAAGTGATCAAGCTGTGGCGGAGCAAGGGTTTCCTTACCTGATAGGCCATGCCTAGAAATGTGTCGTAGCACGGCTGCACGACAGCATGGACACCTCGGGCGGGAATGCCTTTTCTGCATTCCCTTGCCCCTTAATACCCTTGTTAGTGTCTTGTCTTTTTCAATTAAAATCAGCCGGTTAACCTGCAAGCTTGATGTTGCCTTCGGCGCTGATGACTAAGACACTCAACCGTCGGCTAACTGCAAGGCACAGTACTGCTTACGAGCAGCCCCGGGATCCATTTCTGGCTTGCTGCCGTCACGCCTTATCCACCAACCCGCCGACCCATATGCAAAGCAAAGGACGCCTCCACCTTCTTTAGCTGCCGTACAAGCAATGTTCGTACAACCCATTCTAGCGCAGCCAGCGACCTACACGATCCTCCCGACAGTCCGCCCGTCAGTGTGCGGAGCCCGGGGGACACACATTGAACGGGAAGGGATATACGGGCTGGCTAAGCAAATGGGGCTAAGAGCTCTTGGAGATTTATTGACAACACGGACAACCCTACTACGCAGAACCAGCCCATACCGGCTCCGCTGCAAGGACTCTGAACCAGCATTACAGCTGCCTCACAACCGCACGTCGTCTGGAAGGACTTATAAGCCCCATATGTGTTCAAGCGTGGGTAAGGTACGGCAGCACCCCACGCAAGTCACATGAAGGTTGGGCCCAAGGAGGGGGAAGAGGCTACCGAGAATCCTTCAGACACGCACGGGGCCTGTGTGTCACCAGTAGCTCCTACCAGCAAGCACTCACCCCAAACACGCTGCCAGCACACCAGCCATCACACCAGCCAGCACACCAGCCATCACACCAGCCAGCAGCCGCCTGCACCCCATCCGCACAAGGCGGTTTGGCGCAATCAAGTTTTACCAGCACCTTTCCACCGCTGCTTCACCACTGCACACACCCGCACCCTAATATCACAACAATCACCACTGCATACCTAACGTCACGAGACTGATGGAGCCACCCGCACCCGCACCAGCACCCGCACCAGCACCACCCCCCCTGCTATTTTTTACCCCTGCTCTCCTATGAAGACCCCAATGCGCTCCTACGTTCGACCTACCGGTACCGTTAGAACTTAGAACCCAGCTGAACCCCGCCCCACCTTTTGTCAGGGGCACCCCCCACCCCCTACCTACCAGGGGTACCGGTATACATTCCCCGCGGTTGGACGCCACCCCTCAAACTGCCCCAAAGCCCCTGCAGCGCCCCCCTGCTCATGCTCCTAAGCCCCTCCCCCCCCAAACGACGCGCGCCTTGAACGGCGGACCTCCCGCACCCCTCCACCCTCCACTCACTGCCTCTCCAACGCGCCCCAACGCTGCCAGCTGCCGACAAGAGTCCTTACCCCACCGGCCCACACCCAACCAAGCCCACCGCCATGCACGCCCCCCCCCCATGCAGCACGTCTACCGTGCACACGTCTTCAACCCGCGTCGAGTCCGGGGGAGCATGCGCGCAGGGGAGCAGAGCAGCATTGGGTTAGATGCGCCTCACCCTGTTGGGGTACAGGAAAGGATCTCGTGGGTCGTACCTAAAGATTCTGGGTCGTTCCAAAAAACTCCCGATACCCACATGCACCAGGGGCGTTAGCGAAAGGACCCACACACCCCACTCCTCCCGCTCATGCCTTCTTCCCTGCCCCCTGCTGCTGCTGCCCCCCCGCCGCCGCCGCCTGCTGCCGTCGCTGCTGCCGCACGCGCTCCATCTGCGGCGCCAGTCTCCGCCGTGTGTCCGCCAGGCGCTCCCGCAGCTGCCGCCGCCAGCCGTGGGAGGGGTCTATGAAGGCCTCGATGGCCCGCTCGGCTTGGTCTGGGGAGGGGAGGGGGGAGGGGAAAAGAAGAAGACCCAGTGCGTTGAATGAGGGAAGGGGATTAATATGGATACATGGGGAGGGGAGGGGGTAGGAGGAGGGGGTAGGAGGAGGGGTTGAATACACGTCATACACGAAAGGACGCAATGCGAGAAGTAACGTGACAGGCAGAACCCGTCACCCCAACCCAACATACACACACACCCGCTCGCTCGCTCACCCGCCCCCTCCGCCGCCAGCAGCTCCGCCCACTCGGCCTCCCGCCGTGCTGCCCAGTAGTCGCTCAGCATCAGCTCGCTCAGCCCGCACAGCAGGTCCAGCCAGTGCGGCTGGGCCTGCCGGGTCTCGGACAGCAGCGAGCGGATCTGGGGGGGGGGAGGGGGAAGAGTGGGAGGGAGGAGGTAAGTACTAGGAAACTGACGAGACAACTAACGAGCTGTGTGACACGGCTTCACCATGGGAGGGAGGGAGGGGGGGATGGAGGAGGTGAGGGGGGAGTCAGAAACAGAGGAGTGCGACAAGGAAGAGAAGAAGAGGAGAAGCGTCGCCATGCCGCGAGAGTTAGCGAGGGCATCGCCCTCCTGCCTTTCCGCTCACTCTCCCTCCACCTAAGGCCTTGCCCCCGCATTGCAACCCCTCCCCCTCTCCTCCTCTCGCCTCTCCTCCTCTCGCCCGCTCCCTTCTCCCCTCTCCCCCTCCCCCCTTCCCCCCCCCTCACCGGCTGGTACTTCTCCGCCACGTTCCAGGGCATCCACTCCCTGCCCGCCCCCCCGCCGCCCCCCGCCGCCCCGCCCCCCACCACCAGGCACCCCAGCTTCAGCTCCAGCGCCATGCGGGCGGGCAGCTGCGGCACCACCTCGCGCAGAACCCGCTCCAGGGGCTCCTGTGGGGGGGGGGGGGGGAGGATTGGGGGAAAAGAAGAATCCCAAGGTGTTTAATGATGCTAGCAAATTGGGGGGGGGAGGAGAAGAATACCCAATGGGGATTGGGGGGAGAGAAATGAGAGTTGAAGCCGCATGGAGGGGAGAGGATTGCGGGGGGAAGTAAGGAAATGAGGGTTGTGGCGAAGTCCAATATAGGTAGTTCGGGGGCGGGCGGGTTTAGGGGGGGGGGGCGTTACAGGGGAGGGATATTCCGCGCTGGTCAAGAATCTGCGGCCTCCCCCCCCCTAAAATCCAGCTTAATGCGGAATCTTCATCCATATTACCCCCCCACATGCACACATGGTGGGAGAGGGGGGGGGCGCCCACCACCTGTGGTTCTAGTATATCTCCCCTCCCCCCCACACACCTGCGACAGACCCCCCTTCTCCCCCCCACCTGCGGCAGACCCCCCCTCCACCCCACCCCCCTTCTCCCCCCCACCTGCGGCAGCCCCGGGAACACCGCCTCCAGCGCCCGCCATCCGCGACACCGCTCCAGTGCCGCAGCGAACAGCGGAGAGCCGGGGCCGCCGCACACCGCTGCCACACCACCACCAGCAGCACCACCACCACCAGCACCGCTACTGCTGCTGCTGCTACTAATGCCGGGATGGAGGCCAGCACTGCTGGGAGGATGGCGGGGGTGGTTGGCGGCGGCGGCGGCGGCGGCGATGTCGAGTTCCGCCATCTTGGCTAGCTCGCGGTAGACCCGGTTGGCTGTGACGCCGTGGGCTGAGGGGGGGGGAGGAAAGGGGAGGAGGAGGAGAGCGCGGAAAGGAAGAAAATAAAATGTGTTGAATGTTAATGGTAGAGGAGGGGGGAAGGCGAGGAGGGAGGGGTTTTAGGTGAAAGCGGAGGGCAGGAGGGGGGTCGGCTGTTTAATGCCCCAACCCGTCATTCTTCTCACCATTACCCCCACACACACGCCTCCTCTCCCCCCACCACTTCTCCCCCCCTACCGCGCTGTGGTACCATTACCCCCCCTCCACAAAAACCGTACTGCCGTACCACCCTCCCCTCCCTCACACATTGGTATTTCTCCCCCCCCTACTCACGTCGTACCACACACATGCGTGCCGCCCGCCGTACCCGCCCCTCCGTGTGCGGCTCCACCCGCAACCCGAACTGCACTGCCAGCCGGGCGGCGCGGAGCACCCGGATGGGGTCCACCTGCGGGGGGGGGTGTTATATGATGATGATGGGGGGTGGTTGGGAGGTGTTTGGGGGGGGGGATAAGGAAACTGAGGGGGGGCAGAGAAAAACCAAACCCTACATGTAACTCCTTTCAAGCCAGCCGACCCGCCCCTCTCCCTCGCCCCCTCCACTACCCCGCACCCACCTAAACCTTCCCTTCACCCCGCCCCTCTCCCCCCCATACACACACACACGCACCTCCACACTCGACGCCGTCATGCCCAGCCGCTCGTGGTGCGGGAACACCCGCAGCAGCCCCGCCCGCAGGTCCTCCACCCCGCCCACATAGTCCTTGACCACACCCGGGGGCTGCAGGTGGGGTGGGGGCGCCAGCGAGGGGGGAGCAGCGGGAGGGGGAGGGGGAGGAGGGGAAGCGGCGGAGAGACCAGCAGAGGCTGCAACTTCGGGTGCTGCTGCTGCTGTTGTTGTTGTGCTGCTTTCAGTTGCTGTTGTAGAGCAATCAGTGCTGCCATTGGCATTAGTCGTGGCGGTGCTGCTATTGCTACTACTGCTGCTGTTGCTGCTAGTGGTGGTGGCGGTGGCTGCATGTCCCGGTGTTGTTGTTGTCGTGGGGGCGGCAGCAGGCGGCATGTTGGAAGCAGCGGGCGGCAGGTGGGGGTCGAAGAAGAGCGCGTTGAGGGTGAAGTCGCGGCAGGCTGGGTGGGGGGTGGGAGGGAGGGAGGGTGGGGGGAGGGTGGAGGGAGGGTGGAGGGAGGGAGGGGAGTAAAGAGGTGGCGGGGGTGGGTTAATAGAGATACATATTCTGCTTTTACTCTGCTGGCGGGCTGGCTTCCCACACCCCTCCCCCTCCTCACCCGCATCCCGCCACTCCGCCTCCTCGCAGTCCGCACTTAGCCCACCTCGGTAGCTGGTCACCTGGGGGGGGGGGAGCGGGGGGTGCGGGGGGGGGGAGCGGGACACGACGGGGCAAGAGCATGGTAAGCGCGGTAGCCGTGGTAAGCGTGAAGGTCGTCCACCCTGGAGTCGGTGTATGGCTGGCTAGCACACGGCGGCCCACGCCCCCTCTGTCACTGCCGCTAGTGTCCTTGGCCCCCCTGACTCGTACGGACACACTGTACACGCGTACAGGCTGTACTTGTAACTGCCACAATCTAGAAGCCATGCAAGCCCACCCCCAACGCCGGCCCCTCTCCGCGCTAGGAGGACAGGGGTGTCCCACCCTCCCACCCTCCCACCCCTCACGCTCCGGTATACTACCGGTGGTCAGGGTCAGTGTTTCCGCGACTCAGTTTACCTGCTACCCCACTCCTCACCCCACCCTCCCACTCCCACCCCCCCCACCTCGAACGTGTGTCCATCCCATGTCACATCGCATGTGGTGCCGCCCTTGAGCCGGCAGTGCCGCGGACCAAACACCTCGAACACCTGGGGGGGGAGGGAGGGGGGAGGGGGGATGAGGGGAAGGGGTTGACGGGCGCTTTGAGGGGTGGAAGCCAAAAACCGTGCCACGTGCCCATTGGCCCATGTGCTACCCACAAACCCTGCCCCGACTCATCCCCGCTCACCCCACCCCGGGATGCAGGAAAACCCGCAATCTGTTCCCCAACCCCCAGCCCCCCTAAAACCCATGGTTCTTCTGACTACCCCTCCATCCCGCCCCCCCTCCCCCCTACTCATACAGCTTGTCAGTTCCCCCGTTCCCCCCCCCTCTCCCCCCTCTCCCCCCTCCCCCACCTGCACGTAGGTCGCGTTGCTGACCAGGTCAATGTCGGGCGAGGGGCGGCCCAGGAACTGGTCGCGCACCCACCCGCCCGCGAACATGGCGGTGTAGCCGTGCTCGCGCAGCCTGGGGGGGGGTCACAGACCATACCAAACCAGCCAGGGTGGGTGGGTGGGTGAGGGTGGGAGGGTGGGGGGGAGGGGAAGAAGGATTCCCATTGTTGGGGGGAAGGAAAAGAGGAAACAACTAACTGACTGAGGGATAAGGCGTCAACATGGGTTGCAACATGGAAGAGGGAGGGAGGGAGGGAGGGAGGTGGGGGTGAGAGAGCGGAGGGGGGCGGGGGTAAAAAATTATATAAGTAGGGGGGCGGGGGTAGGGGCGGGGGAGTGGGGCGGAGGTGTTGGGGCGGGGAGAGCAATCCGTAGGGAACTACAAATTAGGGCGAAACAGTGGGCAAAAGGGAGGGGGGATGTTAGCAATCTTCTCTCCCGACGGCAGGGCGCATAATGCACGGCGTTGTGTAGTTGGGACCCACCCCTCCTGTGTTACCTCCCGGGGGGTTGGTGAACCTGCCCGCATGGTGCGGCATGCCTGTGCCCCCTTCCCAAGCTTCACCCTATCTTCCTATTTATGGGTGTCCTCTTTTCCTAGCATTCCCCTTCCCTTGTTTTCAGTTTTATCAACGCCGCTCCGCTTTTGTCAACGCCGCTCCGGCACCCCCTCCTTAGCCCTCACCTGCGTACCACTCCCAGCGCCGCTTGCAGGCATCGCTGTTCCGCCGGCGACCGAGGCGCCCGCAACGGTGGCAGCGCATGCAGTATCAACGTAAATTCTCTGTAATGCCTTACGGCTGGGAGTTGAAGGTTGTCGTACGCCGTATGCCCTGCCGGTGTTGGCTTGACCCCGGTCTGACTGCTGCCGGTGGGGGAGTTGGGTAAGGAGGAAACGGCTGCGGATGCGGATGAGGCTGCTGCATCTAATTGGGGAGATGCTGGGGATGCGAAGTGCCGCAGAGAGTGGCGCTGGGGCCAGCTAGCTTGGGTCGCTGCTCCGAAGCTAAAGCGCCGCGCCTGTGCAGAGCATAGTGCGTGGCAGGGCTGCTGAAAAGCTGCATGTAGCTGGAGCCCTGAAGGCGAAAGCTGACAAGCATGATATAAGGAGCTGCTGCCGCTGTAGAGAACCTGGGATGTTCGTTGCAGGGCATGCAACGCACGACAGACGGCTGCTACCGTCGTCGGAGACGTAGAGCAAGCCGCCATAGATCAACACAAAGGAGTAAGGTTATGGAGAAGCTCACAGAATCTTGACTTAAGGACCACCATGCATTCCATGGAACAATCAAAAGGCATCATCCTATTAGGATGTGCAGCAGTTGGTCAAGTCAACATAGCTCTACGCAAGAAACGCAAAGATTGTATATGAAATATGCTTTGCTTGGGCAGGTATGATCGGCCGCTCCAGGTTTCGGCCGCTTGCATCGTAACCTAACCCGACAGCAGCCTCGCTCCCGAACGTACTTACTATTATTAATCAGTCTGTATCAATTGTACCTAGCAATCAAACGACATCGCTGCCAGTTTCAAAAATGCCACCTCCACCCCGGTTGCAGCTTGCTTCTGCGCTGGTGAATCCATCACAGTTAGGCTTTCTGATATATGGACGCCCTACCGTCCTGCGAGCGTGTTTGGACCCAAGCCTCCTGGGACATTCTCCAAGCGTCGAGATCGCTGACGGCGCGCCAAGCCCGTTTAGCGCGATTGAATTCCACCAAAGAGCAGAGCGACATGACGTTAGCGCCGCCGCCTCCGACAACACCATAACCCAACGGCGCGAGGAGCTATGCCTGCCCTCTAACCCAACATGCCACGATGGCCTCAACACACATCCAGCTGCAGCCTTTCTTCAAACAGGACCCACCCTTGGCCTAACTGCGCGCCCACGGGGACATTGGCTTTCGTCTCCAGAATTTAGCACAGGGGGCAGGGTAACGCACGCTGGCATCCCACCTCAGGATGCCGCATGGCGGCGTCACATCACCACCGCGTCATCAAACCAAGCCGCACGCACTAGCGGCGCCGACGCATCCAGCAGCAGCAGCGGCAGTGAGGTATCCCAGGACCCCTTGGGCGGCAGCGGTGCTGTGGGCATTCCTGGCTCGTCCTCAGCTCCTCCCTTCCGTGTGAGTGGCGGCAGCCGCGGAGGCAGCAGCGGCAGCAGCAGCCCGGAAGAGGAGTTTAGCTTTGTGCAGGTAGGGGTGCGAATGGGGTGATGTGTACGGCATGGTACTTACCGGTACTCATCAGCTGGATCTAGCGCTGTCGTACATGGCTGTCGTACATGAGTTAAGTTCCGCATCCCCGCTAGCTGCACCCCCAGCACTCGTTTGCAGCACATGGGGGCAGTCCTGACTGGCATGACAAGGGTCCCATCTGGCATAGGGCGGGTGGATATGGATGAGGTTCGCTCTCCTCCCCTTCCCTCCCGGCTTCCTCTTTCACCACCCATCCGCCACCTCTTACCCGGAAGCCATGCCATACGGAGATACGGTTAGTTAGTTCCTTCCTTCCTCCTTACCCCCTTTACCCTGACCCCTTCCCCCCTGCCCGCTCCGCCCCTCCTACTCCCCTCCCTGCCCCTCCCTCACTCCCCTCCAGGTGGGTCGCCCCGTCCGCACACGCATACCCATCACCTCCACACCCTCCACCTCCACGACACCCTCCTCGCGCTCCCGACCCAGCTCCCGAGCCTGGATGGACGACGACCTCCCATCCCCAGCCTCCACCTCCTCCTCTCCCAGCCACGATGATGATCAGCCCCAAGAATGGCCGCTCGACCGCATCCCCATGGTCCCGCCCGAGCATCGCCAGCAGCAGCCGCTGCACCCGCGGGCCGCTGCGGAGCTGTGGCGCGCTGCGGAGGGGCTGGCGGCGGGGGGGCAGCTGGTGCGGCTGCAGGTGGGGCGCTGCGGGCTGAGCCGGGGGCTGCTGGCGCAGGCGGGGGAGCTGCTGGAGCGGCACGAGCTGCTGAGGGTGAGAGGGTGGGGGGTGGTTTGGGTGAGGGGGTGAGGGGTGGGGGGGCTGTTGCATGCGTGTAAGGTTATACGCTGCATGGTTAGGACCTATACCAGCTGTCACCACCACACGTCGTGTCACGCATGTGTCTCACCCCCCTCCTCTCCCCCTTTCGTCTTGTTTGCCGTTCTCATTCAACACACTGGGTATTTTCTCCCCCCCCCCGCCCCTCCCCCACGAGTCGGGATATGGGATTGGGACTCTAGTTGTTTGCATTTATTATATAATTCCTCCCCCCTGCAGGTGTGTCTGCTGCCCAACTGCCCGCTGGAGGTGGGGTTCGTGTCCTGGGTGCTGGAGAGCGCACTGGACTGCGCCTGCCTCAAGGTGAAGGGGCGGACCGTCACGCTGTACAGGTGGGTGGGTGCAGCGCTGGAGATAGCCAGGGTAAGACCTAAGAGGGGATGCCGCCAGGAAGCCCTGGTCGCGCTTCTTGGTTCAACAAGCCGGTAGCAATACCTCGTGTAACGCAAATACATGCCAAGTGCCCCTTGTTGCATCTTGCGTTTGCATATTGCGTGAGTGTGTTAAGAAAACTGGCCTGTGTATGTTCCGCCCTCTTGGCACCACCTGGCACCACCAGCACCGCTGACGCGTACCACTGCCACAACCCGCCGCCCCCCCTGTGCATTGTGCTCACCGATCATTCCACCCGCACCTACGCTTCTCCCACTCCCGATATCGCCAGCCGGCGTGTTGTCCCTGTTTGACCCCACCCTGCCCCTGCCCCACTTCCCTATTCGGGACTCCGTTGCTTCACTTTATTCATTTGTATTTTCCCCCTAACCGCCCTGCCCCCCCCCGACCCCCACCCCCTAGGGAGCACGGCCTGCCCCGCCCCGCTGCCAGCTTCCGGGAGGAGGAGGAGCAGCCGGACACCTCCGGACCCCTGCCCACCGGCCTGGGGAGCAGCGCAGGAGGGGGAGGCACTGCTGCCTCCACCACCGCCACCACCACCGGAACCACTACAAGCAGCAGCAGCAGCACCCCTGCCGCCGACGCTGCTCCCAGCAGCAGGGATGCGCCTGATGCTGCTGCTGCTTCCGCCGCAGGGGGACAACAGCAGCAGCAGCAGCAGGACCAGGAGGCGGTTTCGGAGGGGCGGGAAGGCAGCAGCAGCAGCGGTGAGTTGTCAGGCAAGGGGGCTAGCCGCAGCGGTGGGCAGCAGCCGGGTCAGGCGGCTGCCTCCACTTCCGCTGCTGCCTCTGCAGCTGCTGCTGCTGATGTTGCGTCAGACCCGGCCGGTTCCCTGGGTGGTGGTGTCAGCCCGGGTGCTGCGAGGGCGAGTGTGTCGGGCGCCTGGGCGGTTAGGTGTCGTCGTGCGTGGGCACTGCGGCGGTCGCACCGGCCGAGGATGGATCTGCTGTGGCGGCGGCTGTTTGGAGGGTGACGGGAGGGGCGGGATGGGGCGAGGGCGGAACAGTGGAGGGCTGGAAGGGCCGGGAGAGGAGGAGAGAGGCAGGCGGTAGCATGGTAGATGGTACCCCTATGAAGGCAACCAGGCGGGGTGCGGTGGAGGGTGTGCCTGACGAGTACACGTGACGTCGGGTGACAAGGTTAGCTCTTCGGAGGTTCAGGGAGGGTGTTACCCGTAGCACCTGTGGTGCTGCGCAGTCTTTGTGCAGCAGGTACCAGCAGGAGGACCGCTGGGCTGAGCACCGCATCGCACTCCTCCTATGTAAGGGAAGCCCGGCTTCAGCAGCCCTGCGCAGCCTCGAGCGCACGTGTTGTACGACACAGCATGCTTGGGCCCAGGCTGGTGGGACCGCTTCAATGCATGGGAACAGAACATAACCCATATAACCCAAGTAACATAGGCTCTTTCTCATCGAACAAAAGACACACCCACAATGACCTAATACTCTGATTAGCATTAGGTAGCCAAAGACACACAGACAAGTACTGGACGCGCCTGTGCCGTTGCTCTATACTTCCCTTTGCTATGTAATCCTTATAAGTATCTCTTACCGTATATGTGCTGTGCGCTTTCCTGAAAGTTGAAAGCTGTGGCAATGGGTGGAGAGCCCTCTGCCGACAGAATGAACGTGCTGGCAACGGGGCACGACAGCTGTCGCGCCCACGCGCTGGCTTGCACACCTAGCGCCAATGGGATCCACACTTCCCCCACACAACCACACAACCAAACCAGGCTCAAAGGGTTGGTCGTACCGCAAGGACCCCAGCCACCCCGGCAGGGACACAGGCAAGACAAGAGCGCAAGTGCACACTGCAGGGGCCGCATAACCACCCCACATGACAAGGCATGGCGCGCGTACGCAACAGTGAACCATCCGTCCGTCCCCCGTGCCGTCCGTCCATGTCCGTCCAGCGCACCTGCTGTGGCGACGGGACACAATGTGCCGGCTGCTGGGATTGCTTTGGTGGACGTTGCTACTAGCGTGCAAAGAACCAAACAACAGCTCAACGGCGAGCCAGATATTGCAATCCTTTTAGTTAGAGTTGTCCAAAAAAGCAGCATAAATTGCACCCTCAGATGTTTCCTAGAATTCTGAATCCTCTGTGCCCAAGCGGTGCCGTGGGCGGCCGTTGCTTACGTGGCAGTTAACGTGCTACTCGTCCTGCTCGTGTTACCCGCCAAAGTGCTGTGATGTATCCATGGATCCCCTTTGATAGTAACCAAAATCGTGCAACAACTGTCCGAATGTGAGCTTAACATTGGTATCGTAGCTCTTGATGAGCCAATCTCATGTGTCGCAATCGGACTTCCCTTCAACCCAAACCTCTTAACCGCATAAATGAATAGGGTGACCCATGGGTCATGGCACAGCCTATAACTTAGCCCTTGAGCCGGTTGTGGTGTAGCCGCCTGGTAAAGCTGGCCAACACATCATGCTGAGCACGTCATGCTGTCGTGTGCTGCGAGTTCGCTTACAACGCGAGTGCGACATTGATTGCGATTTGCTGATGTCCAGACACGTATTGCTTGTGGAAGGTGTGGATTTTACTGGACATCGTGATCGGGAAGGTGAGCAACATCGCCATCTATGTCGCACCTCCGTCGCCAGCCTAGTTCATGGTCACAACATGTTGCAAACCTGGAAAGAAGTAGCCACGGACTAGATATTGCATCGATGGCAGCGCCAAAGCCCGTGGGCGGCTGGGATGAGGTTGTACGACGCTTGATCGCCCGACACCTGATCATTCCAGCGGCTATCCAATTGGCTAGTTAACTTTATTTCCTTGTCACTTGTATTCCTTCTATTGAGGGCCTCTGTGCATCATAGGGCAAGCCCACGCGCAGCGACGATAGAGAATGGAGCCGCTTTACGCTTCGCCGACGGGCTTGACAGCTTGAACGGCAGCTGGGCCGATATGGTGGCTGTGCAACATGGCTTCATACCAGGTGTAGCCTGCTGAAGGCGTATGCGTATGTTTTCTATTCATCAATGTCATGACTGTTCTGTGATCCATTGTCGTGCAAGTTGCAGCAGAGGCATCTAACACTGTGCTATGGGTCATGGCACTAACTGCACCACCACTTGCTAGCTGCCGCGTCGCGTCCGCCCTGGGACGCGCGAAGCCCATGTGCGTCGTCCTAATCTGCAAGCGAGTCGCACCTTTCGTAGGTATGTGTTGCTGTGCCTTTTTAATGGTCTAAAATGTCATGCGCTGACCTTTATTCTTTTCTACGTTTGCAGGCGCGTCCATCGCTTCACGTGGTATTTGCGGCGTAGCATTGAACGTGTGCATTGCATCTTGCATACGCCAGCCAAGGTTCCACGCCGGCGCCCTCTGATTTAGTTTCCAAGCCATCGTGCCAAATACTTATTTCGATAGCGATTGTGATCAGCCTGTCTTACAGCAGAGTAGCGTGACAGCCTGAGCTGGTTTCGGCAGTGTTAGATGTTCACTGTGCAAGGACTTTGGGGCAGCTGCAACTGATTAGAAGGTCAGCTATACGAGCAGCTACTGTATTATCAATAAGGACAGTCTAGGACAGCAGTAATCGTACATCACTACACGGTCTTATGAGGTTTAGCCTGTCACTTCAGCTCAGGCACTGTTGCCTACCGCATTACCGCCTTTGATGCAATGGACAAACACAGAAAAGTTCCAATTCTTCACAGTATGACTGTAATTGGTGTAACTGCCCAGTAACTGGTGTAACTGTGCATGTGCAATAACGACTGAGCAGCTGCATCTTAATAGGCGCTCAGCTACAAACAGTTCAAGCGCAACATCGTAGCGTTAGCTGCACAGGTTGCCTAGAACAGCAGAAACTGATCAGAAACTGCTCTCTTACTGCAGTTGATACAGTGTGCATACACTGGTAGATGTAGGATTTGTCCCGCTTACACCAGACAGTTGGCGGTTTCTTGCTGCACCTCTGGTGGGGGGGGACTACCAACATTTGCACTTGATGCACACGCTGGGATGCACACGCAGGGGGATAAAGGGGAAGAAAGGCAGGGGGAGGGGGGGGGGTAAAGGGGGGAGGGGGAGTCCCCTCCCTCGGGGTGATGCTTGCCGCTGGGTGACAGGGGAGGTAGGAGAGATCCCCTCCCCTTCATGCACCGGGAAGGAACACAGAAACCAGGCTATGGCGCTCTGATGCACATGGCGCTTGCATGTTTAGCAATCTATGTCTTTCATGTCCGCAACATCACCATCAATGTCGCACTTGTGAGGCACTCCCAGCGGCATCGTTGCGTGTTGTCATCGATCTTAACACCATTGGATAGGGAATTTAAAAACCTACCTCATGGTATAACATTTTCATACGCAGGCTGCGCCAAAAGCCCAAACGTCTATGCTTTCAGCCGTACCCCTACATCATTCACCATAACCGGCTAATGACCGCAGCAGCGTTCCTGCCTTGCATCATGCTGCTGAACCCCTTCACGGCCATCACAGTAACCGCCGCTCCCCAGCCAACGGTCATTCAAGGAGTGATGTGTTTTCAACCTCTCCGACCTCCTTCAGTGTGATGCTGGAACCCCCACGCCATTAAGCAACCTCCGGGGAACTACGGTCAGGTGTCAGTGTTTCCGCGGCTCAGTTCACCTAATTCCCCTCGTCGCCCCTATTCCACCCGCCCTATTCCTCCCCGCTTCTCCCCTCCGCATCCCTCACACCCCTCCTCCCCCCCTCCACTGCCGCCTCCCTCCAACCCCACCTAACCACCTCTTTATCCCCCCACTCACTCACCCTCCTGCCTCACACTCCTACCCGCATCTCCCCCTGCCTTACACCACACGCTCAGTTACCTAAACCCTAACCACACGGTTGCTTAGTGAGTTCCTGGTTTCCTCCTCCCCCGCCCCCTCCCCCTGCCCTACTCCATCTCCCTCCTGCCCCCCGCGCAATACTCCTCCAGCTCCCGTACGAGCAGCTCCTGCAGCCTCGCCACCACCGGCCCCCGCCCGCCCGCCCCCACCACCCGCCCGTCCACCGCCACCACCGGCAGCACCCCCGCAAAGGTACCCGTCACGAACGCCTCGTCCGCGCTGTAGACCTGAGGGTGGGGGTGGGGAGGGGTGGGGGTTGGGGTGGGTGCGTTGAAAGCTTCGGCATTGGGCACAGCTGCATTGTGGGGCTTATGTGGAGCGGATGTGGGCCGGCAGAGTTGGTTAAACTACCCCCCACCCCCACCCCTGCACCCACCCGCATGGTTCTTCTTCTTCTTCAATTCCGCCACCCCAACTAGCTACCCCCCCTCAGTCAGTTAGTTGTTCCTCTTTACCCACCCCACCCCCCAAACACACACACGCCCCCTACCTGTGTGAGGGCAAAGTCGGTTTCCCGTGCGGGTATGCCGTGTCGTACACACAGCTGCAGCACTCGGTCCCGCGTGATACCTCGCAGCTGGTGGCGGGGGGAGGGGGCCCACACCTGGCCCCTGAGGGGGTGGGTGGGGAGTGGTTGGGGGTGGTGGGGGGAGGGTGCGGTGGGGGTGTGTGAAGGGGGGGGGTCAAAGACCATACCAAACCCATAGGAGACCACAAGTTAGGGCAAAGCAATGGGGGTAGGAGTTGGCAGGGGGGGGGGTTAAAGCTGGGTAAGGAGGAGGAAACAAGCTTCAGCTGGCGTATGGGTTTCGTGTGTGCTGAAAACACTGGCCGCGAGCCTGTGCATGGGGGGCTGGGACCCCTTCCTTTGCACCCCTCCCTCGTACAGACCTCTCCCTCCCACTTCACTTCATCCCTCTCCCACGTATTCCCTTCTTTGCTTCCCCCTCCCTGCTTCCCCCTCCCTGCTTCCCCCTCCTTGCTTGCCCGCTCCTCCCGCACGCACCTGCGCACGATGAAAAAGTTGGTGGAGTTGCATGTGGCCACGAAGCCCTGCGGGTCCAGCATGAGCGCCTCGTCAGCACCCGCGTGGTTGGCCTGCAGGGGGGAGTTGGGGGGCAAAATACCGGTGGACTAAACCATAGGCAGGTCGGAGCAAGACAATGGGGATAGGAGCGGCAGGGTGCAAGGGGGGAGGGGTCAGAGATATACCGGTACCACAGGCCAGGCCAAAGCAATGGGGATAAGAGTGAAGCAGTTTGCCTCTAAGAAACAGAAAAGTTGCCAGTTGGCCTGTCGCACCTGGATGCACGCGGATATGCAGTTGAGCTTGGAGTGCGAGTTCCAACCAGGGTCCTGGGGGGGCGCGGGGGCAGCGGGGGGCGGGGGGCGGCAAGGTGGGAGCGGGAACGGGAACGGGAGCGGGAGGGAGCGGGAGGGAGCGGGCGGCGGGTGGCGGGGAAGGGAGCCAATGCCCTTTGCCTACAACAGGGGAGGACGACGACGGCAGTAAACACAGAGCACGCGCCCCTATCCTCTGCCCCCACCCGCCCCCCCCACCTGCACATCCGGCGTGCCTCTTCGTACGTGCACCGTGAAGAGGCGGATGCCCTTCTCCCGGGGCCCGGGGGCGGGCTCCTTGTACTCGGGCAGTATGACGATGGTGGGCTGCCCCAGGGTGATGTTCGGGTTCTGGTAGGGGGTGGGCTTCAGGCCCCGAGTCACCATCAGACGGATGTGCACGCCTGGGGGGAGGGGCAGGGCGAAACATAACAGAGAAGTGGTGGTGTGGGGGCGGGGCGGGGCCAGCCGGGAGAGGAAGGGGGGGAAGGGGGCGGGAAGAAGGGGGGGTCAGGAAAATCAAAACCATAAGAGTTATCACGAATTAGGGCAAACCAATGGGGGAATGAGGCGGCACAAGAGGGGGAGGGGGCGCGGCGGGAGAGGAAGGGACGGACGGGCGAAGAGGTACGGAGAGAAGAAGGATGAACTCGATTGTGGAAGGACGGGTGCACCCCCGGTTCCGCGTACCTCCCCCCCTGCCTCCCTGCCTCCCTGTCTCCCTGTCGCGATATGGAATTGGGACTCCAGTTGCTCCACATTTCCTTTATTTCGCCCCCCCCTCTGCCATGGATGTTGCAAACCACGATGACGCCTTATCACACGGTCAGTTAGTCACCGGTAGATGTTCCCACCCCCCCTCCTCCTCCATGCCTATTCTTCTCCCATGCTCCCCCACCTGACGTCATGCCGTTGGCGTCTATCGTGTCGTACAGCAGCTGCGCCATCTGCCCCCGGCTGCACCCCAGCCGCATGTCCAGCGCCGCAGCTCCCTCCCACAACCGCTCCAGATGCTCCTCCAGCAGGTACAGCACGCCTGACAGGGGGGGGCGGGTGGGAGCGAAGGGGTGATAGTAAGGATACTGATGGGCGGTATGACGAGGCTTCACCATGGGTTGCTAATTGAGCCCGGCTCATCCGGGGCGGGAGGTGCGGGGGGAGGAAACCCAGTTCATAAGTGCGGGCGGGGGTTGGGGCAGAGCAGGCAGGCAGAGGGGCAGAGCAGGCGGGCAGGCGCCACCTACCCTTGTGCAGCCGTATTCCCTCCCAGACCCCGTCCCCCAGCATGAAGCCGCTGTCCAGTACCGACACGCGTGCGTGCGGCCGCCACACCTGGGGGCAGGGGGTCAGGGTCAGAGGTGTACCAAAACCACAGGTTACGGTAAAGCAATGGGGATAATAGAGGGAAGCAGTTTGTCGCGAAACATAGAGGGTTGGGGATGGGGGGATGGGGGCGGCGGTGGTGGAGCAAGAGTAGATGCAGGGAAGGGCAGGAAGCCAGTGCACCAGAAATGGGACATGCCTCAAGAGAAGGGAGGAGAAGCGAAATCGCAGATGCCATGCACTGCCACCCTTCCACCGCGTTACTCCCCATGTCGCTCGGCTCCGATACCCACACCAGTCCCCATCCCCCACATCCCGCTCCCCAAACCCCCACTTCTCTTTTACTTTTCTACCCCCCCCCCCCGCTCCCCGCTCCCCTCACAACCCCACTCCCGACCCCCCCCTTCCTACTCACTAGCTGGAACCGGCCGCTCACTCCGTCCCGAATGCCCACCAGCACATCCGCATTGCGGGGATCAGCCAGGTACACGTGCGTGCCGCTCTTGCTCTTGCTGCTGCCCTTCTCCTTGTCCGCAGCAGCATCAACAGCAGCAGCACTGCTGTCGCTGCTGACGCTGCTGCCAGCAGCCGCAGCCGCCCCTCCTCCCGTTGCCCCTGCCTCCGCAGCCGTGTCAGCAGCAGCAGCAGCAGCAGCGGGGGGCAGAGGTCGGGGCACATGGGGCAAGAGACCGGCCACGTGGCCATCAGCACCGCCGCCGCCGCCAGCCTCAAAGTGACCCATGGGTCGGATGGCGAGCCGAGCTAGCATGTCGTACAACGGGTAGCACTCGGCTAGCAGCGGCTTGAGGTGGTCGGGCAGGGGCTTCCGCGGCTCCCGAACTTCCGCGTCGAATCCTGTCGTACATGCACACACACGCGATGGGGACTTCATCTTCCGGCAATCATCGTACGGTCCTAGCCGCGGCCAGTTTTCTTAACACACAAAGAGGAGGAGGGAGAGGAGGAGGGCCGCTACTACGCAACCAGGGACAGCGGCAGGTGGCGTGTCCAAACATAGCCAAGCAAGCAAAAGAGCGACACCCCATGAACTACTCCGCGCCCTCATCCTTCGCCCCCTCACCCACACCTTGCCCCCAACCTAGGTTTGTTTCTTTCCCTCCCCCCCCACACACGGTTCATTCCACCAGGGATTGTCAGCAACTTATATCATAATCACACCACACTTTGGAATTTCTTTTTTCCCCCCCCCACACACAGTTGTTGCGTTTCTGTGGGGACTTGTGGGGGATCTTACGGCAATCACAGTACGTTCCGCCTCGCGGCCAGTTTCCGTAACACACGCACGCACCTGTGCCCCTGTGTGTGTTTCGGTACCACCAGTCCGCCCAGCATCCGTCGTACGGTTTGGGCCCCGGCTGCCAGCTCAGCATGGCGGGCTGCCAGGGTATGCGCAGCGCAGCACACAGCGCGCGCAGCACGCCCTCGGGGTGGCGCAGCAGCTCGTCGGAGTCCACCACGATGGGGGGGCGGCTGGGAGGCAAGCAGCATGCACCATGCGGGTTGGGGGGGTTGGGGGGGTTGGGGGGGAGATATACTGGAGCCACGGGTTCGGGCGAAACAATGGGGATAATAGAGGGAAGCAGATTGTCACGAAACGAAAAAGGGTTAGCTGCGGGTTGGTGGTGATGGTGGGGGGGCAAAGGAGGAAGGTACGAACTGCCCGGTAACCGTGTGACACGGGCAACCGTGCTACGTGTGTTGGAGGCCTGCCAGTAGTTATACGGGTTGGTTTCATGTGTGCCCACCCCTCCACCACCAACCCGCCCCGGGCCCAGGGCCCCGTCTCGCCCCACCCCACCCTCACCCCGGGCCCACTTATCTATAATTTTGACCCCACCTCCCACCCCTCCCCTTACCCCAGCACTCGTCCCCACCCCACCCTTCACCCCTCCCCTCCCCTCCCACCCCTTCCCTCCCCTCCCACCCCTCACCCCAGCACTTCCCTCCCACCCCTCACCCCTCCCCTCCCCACCCACCCCTCACCCCAGCACTTCCCTCCCACCCCTCACCCCAGCACTCGCAGCTCGCTCACGATCTCCAACAGCGCCTGACAGCAGCAGGGGCACCAGGGGCAGGAGGAGGGGCAGGGGGGGCGGGAGTTACCGGTAGGAGTTAGGAGGGCTCAGCCAGGGGGCAGCCAGGTGGGAAGCGGGTGTTGTCGACGGGTCATGTAAAAAGACCGCCGCCTCTGCCCCGTACCGTCATCCTGGTCTCAGCCATCCTTCACTACAAAGATGCCAGAGCTTCCCACAATTCCCACTCTGCACCCTTCACGGCCCCCCCACCCCCTTCTCCCTCCCACCGTGTACCCCAGCTCCTGCTGAGTGGGCTCAAGTACGGAGGAGAATGACTGCAGTACGCCGTACGGCTCCCGAATCAAGATCTGCGAGTGTACGAAAACGGCACGAAACCATGCATGGGTTGTGGGATAGCTGAAAAATGGAGAAGTGGGAGTCGCTCTCGGTGGCTCAGGGGAAACCAAGCCCGACTCCCCCCCCCCTCAGCAGCTCCCTGCATCCTCTTTCCCCTCCAGCCGCCCTCAACCCCTCCACATGCAATGCAGGGTGGAGAGCCCTCTTCTCTTCTCCAATACACCCACCACGTGCTGTGCCCGCTTGAAGAGCTCGTTGGTGATGCCGGCCTTGTGTTTTCCCATGTGCTTGGCGTACAGCAGTGGCCGGCCGGGCGGGCGGGGGGAGGAGGGGGAAGGCGAAGAGGAGGATGGGGAGGAGGAGGAGGTGGGGCAGGAGAGCAGCTGGGTGGAGACCACTGCGTTGCCATCGGGGTTCTGTGCGGCCAGCACCTGCGCGGCAGGGCATGGGTGTACCGTAAGCTTGGGAAGCACAGCAAAGTACGGCAGTAGTGGTTGGGTGCTTTCTGCATCCAGAATGCTTTGGGCTGAAGCTCTATGGGTTCTGTCCTGTTCGAAGTTATGACAGAAGGTGGTGGCCGAGACGACTTGTGGGGGATGTCCGGGGGAAGGTCAAAGTCCGCATCCATCGTGAGTGCTAGTGCGTTGGAGTCTCTGTAAGTCTTAACAGTAACCTAGGGCGCTGTTTATTCCCCTTTGGTATGGAGTATTTCACGAGCTCCTAAAGGCTCCAAGCTCAAGGGCTGTTGCAACCTTGGTTGCAAAGCTCTGGTAGTCGCCGTAAAGACACACCTGCTCTCGATAAGGCCGTGGAAGGCCTGTGAGTCTTAAGTAGTTTGCGTAGAGAGGCTCATCCAGCACTGTCGTGTCACTGCGCTGTGCGAACGAGTATAGTAGGCTGGTAGAGCAACATCGTGGGACGGACCAGCAGTTTATGCAACTTGCGTCCAAATCATCGGACGCAGTTGACATTATTCGGGCCGTTCAAGCCAAAAACAACAACCGGTTCGCGGCTTAGGACTGCATGAAGGTGTGACGGTATTGACAAAATTGTTCCAAGCAAGTAATGCCTAGGACAAAGAGCTCAAGACCTACTACCTACGTGTGCTATCTGACAGGTGCGAAGCAGTTCAATGCAGGGTAAGACGGAGAAAGCCGAGCAACACGTGTCGTGCGTAAGGTAGCCTTACAGAGGACGCATTGCTCGTAGTACTACTGGCCATCCGAAACATGTGTAGCACACCATAACAACATCCTACTGCAAGGAAGCGCGCGTAGCTTCGCAAGCATAAGCCACACTTGTGAAGGTCATGTCCGCCTACATATACAAAACTGTAAAAGACGAGAGCACCAACATTGCTGAGCCGTGCCTGACTGCTAACGCATGCATCACAGCTACGAACACAGCATGCGGTCACCTCGAAAGACCCCATCCCCTCTCACCCCAACCCCCCTGCCCCCAATGGTATGCGCCTCGCTCCTTGCTGCATACCGCTGAGCTATGCCTACTTCAGCTCTCCAGCCCATGCGGCTCGCCATGCTCCAGCCGCCCTGCTCATGCTATTCCGGCAGCAATGCCAAACTTTACTTGGCCATCGGGTTGCTGCAGATGTAGTTAATGGCATCGCTAACAGTGGAAATCTTATCGGCCTCCGCGTCCGGAATCTCCACGCCGAACTCCTCTTCCAACGCCATGACCAGCTCCACAACGTCAAGGCTGTCCAGGCCCAGGTCCTTCTCAAAGCTAGCCGTGGGCGACACCTGCGCGTCGCATTTGGTGTTATATATTTGTCGAAAGACCAAGACAATAGGAATATAAGCACAGAACGGGGCGCCGGATGTGCCCTAGTTATTGCCAACACAACGACAGCCGCACCTTAGAAGCATCGATCTTCTCGAAGTGCTTGGTGACATGGATCACGCGCTCCGTCACCGAGTCCTTGTCGAGGAAGCCCCCGCCGAAGCCCCGGCTGATTATGTTGGAGAAAGTTGGCAGCGGGCTCTGTTGAAGGCTGGACGTCACGGTCACGCGCAAGTGCTTCAGGACAGTCGACCTGAGCGCGCTAGCTGCCGAAGAGAGGGCCATTTTGCCAAGCTGCTTTTGCTACGCGCGGTTATGGAGGCGGCAGAAAGCAAGCTAGGTAGGACCTAACAACGTTAAACCTATGGTGTTGCAATGCTGCACTTTAATATAGGACCGTAAGCTGTTTAAGAGAGAAGCATTCCAGCATAGCAAGTACGCCGTACGGCAGGCCTTTGTATCCTTTGCGCTGACTCTGAGCTTTCCAGACTATGGAGAAGATCTTGACCCATAAACTCTTTTCTATGTCACCTTTGACAATTGCACGCTGGAGAATGTCGTAGCACAAGGACAATCATCTTAAGGGACAATCTGTGCAACACCGGAAGGCACGCACGGCAAGGGGTTTGTCGTCTCATCGCGTTTACTGGGCGGGAGCGGTGCAACCCTAGCCGCTGCTCTCGCCCTGCCCAGTACCCTTGCGTCTGAGATGGATTTCGACTTGGAGAAAGAGCTCAAGGTCCGCAGGCGGATACTCGCCATGTGAGTCGCTGTTCTTGTCGCTGGGATTGCAGGGGAGACTGTTATGCAGCTAAGCCGAAGTCCTGGGAGTTATACACCCGATACATCCACACGCATTGCACCATCCTATCACCAGAAAAGAGCAGCAGCCTCCGTTGCCAGAGTACCCCATGACCGCCATGATTGAGAACTAACTAAGCCCCGTCGCAGATACAACAAGGAGCGAGAGGACTTTAGCAGCAAGGAGGAGTTCGATGACTACTTGGAAGAAGTAGAGGACATCAGTGAGTTGGGCTCAAGCTGTCAATTAGTATTATGAAGCTGCAGCAGGTTCTAGCCGCAGCCCCGGCCTCCACGGTGACGCAGACCAAACAGCGGTCAGGAGTTATCTCACGTGATTCTGGTGATGAACGCTCTTCCCCTGTAGCACGAGCGCCCATCCTTGCAACTATCCCCTTGCAACATTGCAGGCCCCTCCCCTCGTGTCCTGTCTAGGTGCACCCACCCTTCCCCCTGCTGCCCCCAATCCGGCGCCATGCAATGCGTCGCCTCCTCTCCCTCTAACACGACCCCAACATGCCCGTTCCTGCCGCGAACCCACCTCTCCCCTCGCCTGGTCTTTGACCCCCCTCTCCTTGTCACACGGTTAGTCAGTCGTTTCTTTTTTACCCTCCCCGCTCCTCTTTTCCCACGCTCGTTCCCCCCTCATCAGTTTGGCGGCTGAGTAACAATGTGGACATAGATCGCACCGAGGCCCAAGTGCGCAAGTACCGCCACCAGAACCAGGAGCAGATCAACCGACAGGCGGGTCCAGAGCGTGCGTGCGTGTGTGTGTTACAAGAACTGGCCACGAGGCGTACTGTATTGCCGGAAGATGGAATGGAGCGTGTGTGTGGCAAGTGCAGCCTGCCTGTCTGCCTGCCTGCCTGCGTTGCGCTGCTTCTGTGCCTCTGCTGCGTTGATGGGGAGTGCAAGGGAGATGCGCGCTGTGTTGTGGGAGGTGATGATGATGTGGGTCGGGGGGCTGCGTCGCCGGCGTGGGTGGCTGCCTGCCGCTGCTGCTGCTGTGGGAGCTGGTGGGGAATGGCGGGCTGATGGTGGGTTTGTGATGTGGGTCGACGGAGCAGACAGCGGGCAGACAGCTCACCCCGTCGAGGGTTCAATGCAGCTGCTTCATGTCAGGATGCCGTACTGCATGGGAGGTGCCGTGCTTGGGAAACACACCACTCAACCCCATGATATACCCTGCTTCCTTCCGTCCATCCACCCTATACCGGTTGCTCTTGTTCTGTCCTCTTGCTCTGTCCTCTCCACCTCCTGTACCCCAACATCCTGCAATGCCTCCCTCCTCCCCCTCCTCCTCCTCCTCGTCCCCCTGTTCCCCGCCCGCCCGCCTGCCCCCTGCCTCCAGGCCAACAAGGGCGCAGCGCTGCTCTCGGAGCCGCCAGCAGCAGCAGCGGGAGGCCTGCAGCCGCCCCCCAAGGCAGCTGCACCGCCGCCCATGTGAGTGTGCGCCCAAACACGCAGGAAGCATGTGTACCGAGCCACAGCGCCACCCCAGCACAGCCACCCCCAGTTCGTTAGTCGTTTCCTCTTTACCCCCAGCACACATGCCACCGGCACCTCCGTCCCCCTCGTGCAGCTACGCACGCACGCATGCATATGTTTGCATACCGTACGTCCGCAAGGGCGCCGCCCTTACAGCACCCTACATGGGCTCCACTCCCACCCCTCTTCCGCTTTTCCGCTCACAGCCCTCTTCCTCTCCCCCTCTCCCTCATGTCTCATCTCCCTCCTTCCCTCGCCCCATCCTGCCTGCCTACCTCTTCCCGCTCCCCTGCCACAGGACCGGCGGTCTGCCCCTCATCCTGCCCAAGCTGGTGCAGGAGGGGTCCGGGCTGCTGGACGCAGGGCGGGATATCCTTTACGACCGGCGTACACTGGACAAGGCGGGCCCCGGGGCGGCGGCGGCGGGAGGCTGGTCGGCGGGTGAGAAGGTTGGGCCGCGGGGGGGGGTAGTTCCTGGGGTAACACAAGAATAGGTGGATGCACCAGGCGCTGCGCATGCAGCCCGGGGTGGAGCTAGAACGAAATGAGGACTGAAGCACAGTCCCGGGGGGGTTGGGATTCGCCATGCTGCTGCTCCTGCTGCATTGCGCGCATGCAACCCTTACCGCTACCCCATATCGTTCCCCGCGGTGGCATCACCACCCTTCCGTCCTCGCCGCCTCCGCCTCTGCTGCCGCTGCTGCAGGCGTGTGGCAGGCGCGACTGTCCCAAGAGGCGTTCAGCTCGCTGCTGCTGCCGCCCGCAGCGCGACTGGTGGAGGGGCTGGGCGGATGACAGCGCCCCGGGGGGGGGGCGGTCGCTTGCGGTTGGGGGTCAAAGACCATACCATAGGAGCCCACGATGGGGAAAATTATAGATAATTGCAACAACGCAGTCCCAATCCCCAACTGTGGGGGGGTCCTGCTGCGGACATGCATGCATGCGTGGGCGGCAGGCGGGCTTGAGAGGGGGTGTACTCTCAGCGTACGACATGGGGGGCCTCGCTCCTTGTACGGTGGTGTGCAGGTGTTGTCGGGTTCGTTGTTGGTTGCATGCGAGGGCTGCGGTGGCGGGAGGACTGCGCTGAAGCGTGTATAGGTGTGAATGGTCGATGGCAGGATGGGGCTGTGCCGTATATGCGTTATATGTTTGTCCTCAGCATGAGCGGGTGAGAGGATGCGAGTCGATGATGATGCCGCCGGGGCGCACATGCTTGCTTGTTTGCAAGGGATACGTTGATTGACGAGTAGACGGGCAGGACGTGGCAACGATGGTGGTATAGACAGGAGAGGGACGGACACGCGGTATGTAGGTTGAGGAAGGTGCGCTTGAAGCCAGGAGTGTGTTCAGAAGCTCGGCCACGGCAGCATGCAGGAAGCATGCTTGAAGCCAGGAGTGTGTTCAGAAGCTCGGCCACGGCAGCATGCAGGAAGCATGTGGCAAGAGAATGTCCGTCACGTGTGTCCGTTGCCTGCCCGCCACAATTGCGGCTGACGGTTGGTACACAGTAGTAGTGGTGAGGACGGAGGTGTTACGCGGTGGCGGCGGCGGTAGACGACGCAGCTTTTAGCAGCGCGGTCATTCAGTGCTGTATGGGAGGAAGAGGTGCGTTACGTGTGCACGGTTCACCCTTACTGCCGTGCAGTACATGTACCGGTATACGAAGACGTGCAGTAAAGCAGGCCTCCGCGGGAAATGGTGCGTCCAGCCTTCCACAAAATTGTCCCAAGCCAGAAACGTCGAAAGCAACCGAATCCGTTAACTGCACGGCATGGCTTACTAACATGAGTGTGCGATTCTGAAACAAAGCACGGCACAATTAGACACAACATGTACGGCAATAATGGGTGGAGTTCTCCAATCAACCGTGTACCAAGTGCGCTAGCGGGGCCGCCTGTCCCTTGCCTTCCTCGAAAGCCATCACCTTCAAGCCATCATCACCTCTAGCAATTGCGCTGCGCAAAGAGCCGTCTTCCGCCTTACCTCGCACGCTCGCATCCCCCTCCTTTTGAGCAATGAAAGGCCTCGTTCAGAGTCATTCGTTCGACGTTCCGAGATAACAAAGCGGGGCTCCAAGCAATGCTTACTTTCAGTCGCCTCCCATTCCTCCCCACCTAAGTACTCCGATTTGGGCACATCACATGACGTCCTACTAACACGTCACGTGCCGTGCACATCCCAAGTCGCAACGCATGTCAAACAGACACAGCGCAGGCCAGATGACGAATGCATACCGGTACCTCTCTTTCACCGGTGCACTGGTGCCCCTATACCCCTTCCAGCCGGCAAAATGAACAAATGTAAGCTTTCTTATGGCCTTACGGCTCTCAGCAAAGCAGGCAGGCACGCCGGCAGCAGCAGGTGGGGGAGAAAGAGCAGCGCACCGCAACTTAACCCCCTACCCGCGAGTTTCCCCAACACGCCTACCGCCCGGCAAAACAACAGCCTGGAAAAACCGACAGCTCGCAGTTAGAAAGAAGGCCTACGAGCACCAATTTCCTTGCCCCAACCATCCCCCATCTTACCCTTCCACGTTCCTCTTTCATTGAAACAACACGTAGTATAACATCTTATGATGCCTATTCAGGCGCCCCCGCGTTAAATTATTATTTAGATAAAATTGAGGGTTCTCGTTCGTTCGTGTTCGCTGCAATCACACGTGATGACAGTACCCGGCAAAGTTGTTAATTATTAGTCACAGCCTCATATCTTGAAAGCAGTAGTTGACAGTTGCGTTTTTCAGCACAAAAATGCACACGAGACAAGCATGGGAAATTCACCAGTCGTGTTTTTCCAGCATCGGCACCACAAACCGCATCCAATCATCACAAGCGCTATCCCCCCTACTCTGCCATTTTGCCCCTTGTTAAACACACATTCGGTGGAGTCGCCAGATTGCCAGTTTAGGACGCACGCCTCCAGCCGGGGGCAGCCCCCCCCCAGTCAACAGTGTTGCTACATAACAATGTTCAATGATACCCCCAAAACACGCACACGCACAAACACGCAAGAACCAGTTTTATCAACACGCACACAACTCAGCCGACTCAGTGCTTTCAACACACAACTCCTGACGCAGTAGCTGCTGCCAAGTGAGGGAAGGGAAACAACACACGGACACACAGACCCATGTTCCGAACTCGCGGCTAATTATGTGGGCACAGGTCATCGTCGAACGACGTAGCAGAGAAGGAAAGACACGGCACGGCACGGCACGGCAAGCAAGCTCACGGCATCAGATGGCTCCGGCACAATCCCGCTCGTTTACCCCTTCTCCGCCTCCGCTGCCGCCTCTCCATCTCCCCGTGACAGCCGCACAGCAACAAGGCCGTTCGACTGGCGCCCCTGCTGCCAATGCTGCTGCTGGCGTTGTTTCTGGTGCTGACTGCTTCTCATGCCCTTGCCGCTGTTTCTGCCGCTGCTGCTCTTCCAGCCGCAGCTGTTCTGTTTGCTGCCGCAGCTGTTGTGTTTGCTGCCGCAGCTGTTGTGTTTGCTGCCGCAGCTGTTGTGTTTGCTGCCGCAGCTGTTGTGTTTGCTGCCGCAGCTGTTGTGTTTGCTGCCGCAGCTGTTGATGTTACCACGTACGGCGGTTGCTCACAGGAGCTGGACTGCCTCAAGAGGACGAAGGGATCTCGGCTCACAGGATGTGGAGCGGGAAATCGCTGTCCGCGCCCTCCTGTGTTTGGCACACCGAGGGCAGGCAGCGGCGCCACAGCAGCAGCAGCGGTCAGCATCAGTCATGCCCCCACAGTCAGCATCAGTCATGCCCCCACAGTCAGCATCAGTCATGCCCCCACAGTCAGCATCAGTCATGCCCCACAGTCAGCATCAGTCATGCCCCCACAGTCAGCATCAGTCATGCCCCACAGTCAGCATCAGTCATGCCCCCACAGTCAGCATCAGTCATGCCCCACAGTCAGCATCAGTCATGCCCCCACAGTCAGCTTCACAGCTCTTCCTCTTAGCCCCTCTCCCTCCCCCCTCCCACTACACTCCACTTTACCCTAACCTCCCTGAACCCACTCCATTCGTTAATTTCGTTAATTATACCCCCTTCCCCGCCCCCTCCCCCTCTTCCCCCCACACACACCTGCAGATAGTCCGGATACAGCGGCAGCTTGGCCGCCGAGCTGCCGCTCATGGTGAGGCAGCTCTCGCGCCCCACCAGCTCCGCGTCCTTCAGCATCTCGTGCAGCCGCTCCATCACCAGGCGGAAGGTGGGTCGCAGCCGCCGGTCGCCCTGCCAGCAGCGCTGAGCCAACTCCCTGGAAGACGGCACGGAAAACAGACAGCAGCGGGAGGGAAGGGGGGAGGGAGGGGGGTACGTGGGGTGGGGCGGGGGTCAGAGATGGGCGAAGCAATTTGGATAGAGGAAAAAAGTTTATCACGAAACAGGGGGAGGGGTTAAGAGGAGATGGACAATTCGTGTGGGAGCAGGGGAGGGGGGAGATAAGGCGTGCCCGTGGCGCGTGTGAGAGGGCCGGCATGCGGTTCGGCAGCGTACGGGCCGCCAGCAGGTGGAGCGAGTACACACCAGCATGTGCGGCAGCACACATGCAACCCGCACTCCCGAGGAGGAGGAGGAGGAGGAGGAGACACCCGGCAGCTGAGGGTACGGCACATAATCGGTTTCCTCGCAGCTCGGTTCATCACCTCCCCGATACTCAACGGCCCAACGGTGCAGCGCACAGCACGGAAGGACAGCACAGAAGGACAGCACAGAAGGACAGCACAGCACGGCACCGCACACCGCCCCCTTCTGCCTCACTTGAAGGAGGGGTGGGTGCTTGATGGGAACTCGGGTCGCAGCCCCTCCTTGGACACCTTGACCGCCACGTCAATGGTACGGAAGCCGGTGTAGGGCCGCAGGCCGGTGTACAGCTCCCACATCATGATGCCGAACTGAGGGAGGGGGTGGAGGGAGGGAGGGAGGGTGGAGGGAGGGAAACAATGATAAGCAAGGGGGGGAGAGGAGGGAGGGGAGGGAGCCCGGGAGCCGGCTGGGAAGCTGCTGACCGCATCGCTCATTGGGAGACGTCATCTCCGGCCGACACGCCAGCCGACGCATGTGCGTGTGTTTGTGTTTGTGTCGTGCGTGACATGATGAGGCCAGCCGTGTACTTCAACGCGGCTCAGTTGCATTACCTCCCCCCACCTTCCCCCCCACCCTCTTCCCTGCCGCCTCCCCTCCCCATCGCTTTGCCCTAACCCGTTGCTCTCTTTTTATGGTGTGGTGCGGTCTCCCCCTCCCCCTCACCCCCCCTCACCGCATACACATCCACCGCCTTTGTCAGCTTCCCGTTGGGCTGCATGGCCTCGGGCGCGAGGTGCGTGATGGTTCCCTCCGCGTGCTTGTTAAAGTAGGAGTTGTCGGACACGATGTTGGACAGACCAAAGTCGGCAACCTGATCGGGGGGGGGATAATAGGGATACCTATTCCGTATTAGGCTGGAATATAGGATTGCGTGTGCTCAAATTTGAGTTGGGGGAGGCGGGGGGAGGAGCGATGGGGAGGGGCAAGTGAAGAAGGGAGAGGGAAAAGACGAGCAACCTGCACAGACAAATGTAATTCCTGTCAAGAGGGCCATGTGTATGTTGTTGTTGTTGTTGTTGTTGTTGTTGTGTACAAATTGTAAAATAACTGGCCGCGAGGCGAAACGTACTGAGATTGCCAGCTGGGTGGCTCATATAGTATAACCCTCCCTCCCTTCCCCCCTCTCCTGTCCCCCCAGTGTTTTGTCCTCTGGCAAGCAAGCCGACGACACCGACCCACGGGTCATCACAAGCCCTCCTACAAAGTATATGCCCTGAAAGCTGCACTGCGCACGACCCCGACCCACGGGTCACTCGCCTTGCAGTTGAAGCCCCTGCTGTCAATGGTTGACGACTTGAGCAGCACGTTCTCGGGCTTCAGGTCGTAGTGCACAATACCTTTGGGTGGGGGTAAGGAGGACAAACATACTGTAAGGCGGAAGCGAGGGAGAAGGTGGTGGAGTGGACGATGCCTTTGGCGGGGGGGAGGGGGAGAATAACACCCAATGTGTTGGGTGGGGGGGCATCAGAGATGTGTACCAAAACCACAAGTTAGGGCAAAGAAATGGGGACAGGAGATGGGCTGCGTGCACCCTCCATCCTGACATGCAGTCCCCCCTCCCCCCCACCACGCCCTTCCCCCCTTGCATGCATTGTCACATGGTTATCTCTTGCGCTTCGTCCCTCCCACCTCCACGCCACGCTCCCCTAACCCCCACCACCTCCACAGCCCGGTATTCCTCCCCTCCCCCCCCTCTGCCCCGTACTGCTGTCCTTCAACGCATGGGGGGGTTTCCCCTCCCCCTCCCCCCCCTACACCCCATGGTGAAGCCTCGTCGTACAGCTCGTTAGTTTCCTTTTTGTATCCCCCTCCCCAACACCTTGGGGTTCTTTTCCCCCTCCCCCCCCCCCACCAATGGAGTGCAGGTAGTGCAGCGCCGACGCCACCTCCAGCAGGCAGTGCAGGATGGCGGGCATGGCCACCCGCCCCGCGTGGTGCCGCAGCAGGCTGGTGTTGAGCACGTCAGCCAGGGAGCCCATGTCGCAGAAGTCCATGACCAGGACCTGGGGGGGGGAGGGGGGGGGGAAAGAGATTCCAAAGTGTGGTATGATAATGATACAAGTTGCTGACAATCCCTGGTGGGGGAGGGGGGAAATAATATAGATAAGTAAAGCAACGGAGTTCCAATCCCGAATCCCGACTCAAGCAGTGAGCGCACTTGGGGGGGGGGAGGGGGGAGGAGGTGGGGAAAAGGGGAGGGAAGGGGGGATTAGATACATTCAACCGCGGTGGGTATACCGGCGCGACCCCGATGTGCAAGTACTGTAATCAGGAGAGATGTGTGGAGGAGGTGGCTGGAGGGGTGTGGAGGTAGGTAGGTTTCTGTAAGCCGGGTCGACAGGCAACCCCTCCCATGCTTCCAAGAACCCCATCCTGCCCTTTACACCACCCGCCATGCGCGCTCCCCTCTCACCCCGCACCCCCTGCCCCCCCCCCCACCTGGCAGTTCTGCTCCCCCTGGCGCCCCGGCTTGCCGCTGCCATCCCTCCCCCCACAGCACCCTCCTCCTGCTCCTGCACCTCCCCCACCGCCCTCCTTCCTGCCACCGCTCCGCTGCCCTCCTCCTCCCACTTCTACGACAGCTCCTGCACCCGCTCCTCCCCCTCCTGCACCCGCTCCTCCCCCTCCTGCACCCGCTGCTGGCCCCCCTGCTGCCGGGTGGTTGTTGTTGTTGTTGTTGATGTTGTGGGGGCCCCCCGGGTGCGGCGGGTACTGGTGTCTGCGGGTGTGGGGAAAGGGAGGGGTGGGCAAAGACCACACACCAAACCATAGACAAGAGGGGGGAGCCAGGGCGGGAAGGCGGCAATCCTAAAACCATCCAAGTTAGGCCATCATGCTGCTGCTGCGCATGTGCGAGTCTGCTGCCAAGTATACGTGCCGAGATATGATGCCATGTAAAACCCAACCGTCCTCCCCTCCCCTCCCACCCCCCTTCCCATCCCCTCCCCCCACCTGCTGGGGTTGTTGTGTCCCCTCACAAACTTGATGCAGTTGAGCGGCACATCCGCATAGTAGGTGTGGATCTGGATGATGTTTGGGTGAGAGATGCTGGTCAGCAGCGCCAGCTCCAGCGCACCGTTGAGCGAGCCGTTGTCGCAGTCGCGGTCGCACACCACCTTGACAGCAGCCAGCTGGCCCTTGTAGAGCTGGGGGGGGGGCGGGGGAGGGAAAAAATTAAATAAGTGAAACAACGAGTCCGAATCCCATGTCCCGACTCATGCAGTGAGCGCATTCGGAGACACTATCCTAAAGACACGAGGGGGGAAAATTATATAAGAAATGCAAACAACTAAGTCCCAATCCCATATCCCGACTCATGCAGTGAGCGCATTCAGACACGAGGGGGAGGGAGGGGGAGGGGTGAAAATAAGGGAAAACTAACGAGGCGACTAACGATTTGGAGGAGGAGGAGGGAGGGAGATGGGGGAGGGAGCGAGGTGCATGCATGCCCCCAACCTGCAGCATGACCCCAACCTGCAGCATGCCCCCAACCTGCAGCATGCCCCTAGCGCTCTTTGCGCCATCCATATTGCAGGTTTCCTCTTTCTTCCTCTTCCTCGCTTCCGCCTCTCCTCCTCCCCGCCCCTGCCCCAGGCCCCCCCCCTCACCGCTCGATACACGGTGCCGTACCCGCCCCTGCCCAGTTCGTCGTACACCTCGAGGTCCTCCAGCATGTTGTTGGGACCCGGCTCGGGGTGTCCCTTGTACACCTGGGGGGGGGTGTCAAAGACAATACAATAGTATAGGAAGCCACATGTTGGGGCAAAGCAAAGGGGATAGGAGGCAGCAGGGTGCCATTGGGAGGGGGGCGGAGGGGAGGGGGCTGGTGATTAAGGCACGTGCATGAAGTCATCCCCCCCTGCGGCAAACCCCCTTGTCTCATCTTGACTTCTCACCCACCCCGCGCCCCCCGCTGCCCCCTTCCACGCCCCCCGCTGCCCCCTTCCACGCCCCCCGCTGCCCCCTTCCACGCCCCCCGCTGCCCCCTTCCACGCCCCCCGCTGCCCCCTTCCACGCCCCCCGCTGCCCCCTTCCACGCCCCCCGCTGCCCCCTTCCACGCCCCCCGCTGCCCCCTTCCACGCCCCCCGCTGCCCCCTTCCACGCCCCCCGCTGCCCCCTTCCACGCCCCCCGCTGCCCCCTCCCATTTCCCCGTCTACACCACACCGCACCGTACCCCCCCAACCCCTCCCCACCTGCTTTCTCACCCCTCCCGCGCCCCACCCACCTCCCTTCCTACTACTCCCTTCCCTCCGCCCTTGCCTTACGAATTTCCCCCCGGGGCTTGTCACCTATAGTTTACCACTCTCACGCAACACATTGGGCATTCTTCCCTTCCTTCCCCCCTCCTCCCCCTAACTTGTGGTCTCCTATGGTTTGGTACGGTCTTTGACCCCCCTCCCCCCACCTTGGCCAGCTGCCTGCGTATCTGCTCCTGCAGCTCCGCAATCAGCGCGTCCTTCTCCGGCCTGCTGCCCAGCACCAGGTCCCGACTGCTCTCCAGGGAGGCGCTGTCGCAGGTGGCCGCCTGCTGCTGCCCCTGACCCCCGGGGGCAGGGAGGCCTGGGTGGGCGCTGCATGCGCCGCCCGCCCTCCCGCCGCCTCCTGCTCCTCCTCCCGCTGCTGATGCTGCCCCAGCGGCAGGGGTGCCGGCAGTGGGGGTGGCGCCAGTGAGGGATTCGAACTTGCAGTTCTGTGGTGGGGGTTGTGGTGGTGGGGGGGGAAGGCGCGGGGGGAAGGCGCGGGGGAGGGAGATGGGTTCAAACAACCGTAGCGCATGAAAGTACACAGAGTGGCGGTTCAAGCGACGGGCGGCAGCAGGGTTGTTGCGGTCAGCCTCGTCCCCCCTGCGCTCCCCGCCCCCCCCCAACGACACGTCCTCCCTCCCTTCTCACCCTCCCAAACACACACCCCACACCATTATTCACCGCATGGGTTTCTTCCTTTCCCAAGCCCACCCCCCCACCCTTCCCTCCTTCGTCACACAGTTCGTCAGTTTCCTTAATTTCACCCTTCGCTCCTCACTCTCCCTCCACTCTCCACCCCCCAACCCTCTCCCCTCCCCTCCTCCCTCTTCCCCTCCCCTCCTCCCTCCCTCCCCCCTCACCCACCCCGCTTTGACCACCCACCCCGCTGTTGGCTATGCGCAATTCTAAAATCCAGCCTATTGCTCAATACCATCCCTATCCACCCACCCCGCTGACTTCAATCAGCTTCCTGTTCAGCTCCGAGTGCAGCTTCTGCTGCAGCGTGGGCACCATCAGCTTCACCAGGTCCATCACCTCGCGACGAACCATGCCAAAGTCGGTGGCGGTCCTGCAGGGGAGGGAGAGGGAAAGGGGGGGGAGCGGGAGGGAGAGTGAGGGCGGAGTGAGGAAAGGTGTATGTGGGGGAGGGGGGAGGGAAGTGAGGGCACGGTTGGTTCTTTCCCGGACCCAGCCCCCGGGCCCCAATCCCCCTGCCTCCCCCTCCCCTTCCCCATCCCGGGATGGGTCGGGTACCCTGCTTGCACCCCATGCTAATGCTGCAAAGGTGAAGCGCCACAGCTTGTCAGCTCTTCCTCGTTATCCCCCACCCGCTTCCCCGCCCCGCACCTGCTGATCGGCCCAATGCGGAAAATACATGTATCCCTATTTCCCCCCTCCCCCCCAACCTACAGATCAACACTTGGCTTGTGGCACCCTGCCGCTTCCTATCCCCTTTGCTCTGCTTCAACCTGTGGTTTCCTGGTATGGTTCGGAGCGGTCTTTGAAAACCCCCCGCCCCGCCGCACCTGCTGATCGCGTACAGCCCCCCAATCCTGGCCGCATCCGGCGCCACCAGCGGCAGCACCATCACACTGGCCGGCTGCCGCCCCTCGCTGCGGTACAGCAGCGCCACGTCAGCACCCGTCTTGTAGCGCCGCAGGTATCGGCGCATGTTGGAGACCTTGATCATCTGACCGGTGGCTAGCGCGTTTTCCAGCAGGGTTTCGGAGGTCACGAAACCATGCATGTCCTGGTGGGGTGGGGGGGGGGGAGGGAGGAGGGTGGGGGTGGGGAGGGGGGTAAAGAGGAAGGAAGGAGCTGAGCGTATGAAGTATAGGCTGCACCATGGGGGTTGGGGGAGCTGTGGGGACAGAGGGGGGGGCGGTGTTGGTAGACAGCTCCGCCTCGCGACCCTCAGCGAAGGGGTTGTTGATAACCCTAGGCTGCTGCCTCCTATCCTCAACATCCCGCCTTATCCCACACCCCCATGCCTCCTCTCCCGCTCTCCTGCACCCCCACACCCCCATGCCTCCTCACCCCCATGACCCCCGCTCTCCTGCACCTGCAACCCAAGCCGCCCCCCCCCGCCATAGCCTCCCTGCATGTCTGCTAACATAGCCTCCCGCATGGGCCCCTCATCACGAAACCCCTCCCCCCTTCCCTCCCTCCCTCCTCCCTTGTCGTCTTGTTTGCCATTCTCATTCAACATATTAGGTATTCTTCGCTTTACCCCTCCTCACCACATGCTCTTCGTAATTCGGCGACTTCCGCTCTCCACCCGCCCCCGCTCCCCCTCCTGCTGCTGCTGCTCCCGCCCCCTGCCCCCCGCCTCCTTCTCCTCCCCCTGCTGCTGCTGCTGCCGCCTCCATCATTTCCCTGCTCAGCGAGAGCATGATGGCGCAGGGGCGCCCCGGCAGCACCAGGGCAATGTAGAAGGAGAGGTCGCGGAGCGCTCCAAACATGCCCGTCAGGCCCTGGGTAGGAGGTAAGGAGAGGGAAGGGGGCGGGAGGTGAGGTGAGGAGAGGGAGAGATGCAGGCGGCACCTTAACTCCGGCGTTGCCCCCGTCCCGACCCACATCCCACCTTCCCTCTCTCAGCCTTCGCCGGGCCCTGCCGCCTGCACCCCCCTCCGCACAATCCCCCTCCCGCTCCCCTTCTTTCCATGGCCATCCCACAGCTGATCATATCTTTCCAGGAGACGGCTCCCAGGAGGGGATGCACTTGCGGCAGCCAGCCAGCCAGCTAGCAAGCATCGGCAGCCGGGCAGGGACAGGCTGGTCTGCTGGCTGGCTCTGGGGGGCGACCGCAAACCACCCTCCCCGCACCCTCCCCCGCACCCTCCCAGACCCCCCCACCCGCACCCGCCCCCCTTGCTAACCCACCTTGAGAGTGGCCATGCTGAGCTGCTCCACCGTCTCCTGCCGCGCCACCGCCTGCAGCCAACTGATCTTGGAGCGCAGGTGCGCATCGTGGAAGTGCTGCGCCAGTACGGCAGCCAGCAGCCGCAGCTGCAAACCCCACCTGCGGGCGGGGGGAAGGGGGGGAAGGGGGGGGGGACACCGTTCGGCAGGCACGGGGGGGAGGGGGGCGGGAGGGAGGGGGGAACATGCGGGTGGTGGGTTATCGGAGGCGGGCTTGTGGATGCAGAGAGGGGGAGTTGCGGAGAGAGGGTGGGTATGACTGCGCTGAAGACAAGTACAAGGACGAAGTTGGCTGTGGGTCGAGACCAGGGGGAAGGGGAGGAAGCCCGAGTACCCACCAGTGCTTTTGCTCATCCACTTCAATGACTAGCGCCACGTTCAGAACCCCGACGAGCTGTGTTCCGACTTTGATGGGCACCGCCAAGAAGGATTTGAGCTTCTGCATTTTGAAGAGGCATTTCCAATCCTCTGGGAGTTCATCCGCATTGTGTTCGCCTGCCGCCCAGAAGCAGGCAGTGCCCTCTGATACAACCCGCTGGACGGACCAGTGCGAACTGGCAACGTTTAGGAGGTAGTGCTTTGGGAGAAAGTCGGAGCCAACTCCTGACGCCGTGAGCACCATGAATACTTGCTCATCCTCGCTGACGACCGAGATACTGCGGAAGAGAAATATGTTAAGCCGCAGCTGCTTTCGACGTATCAAAGTGTGCAACACGCACCTTGCGAATTGTACATAGCTCTCGCCGACCAAAAGACTCGTGAAAGCTTCAACCTTTTCCACAGCAGTCCCCTCAATCGCGGAGAGCGATTCAATCAATTGAGTACCCTGGTAAAGCAGTCAGCGTCTTTTAGTGGCCATTCCTGGGAGAGAAGCGGCAGCACGGCCACCTGAAGCAAAGCCCGCAGCAAATGCACCTTGTCAACGGCCGATAGCGTACTCTTGTTAGTCGATGCCTTAATACTAGGAGCCCTTAATGGAGATTTCCTGGGCTGGCCCGTCGCTGTCCCATCCAGGCTGCTGCCCTTGCCGGAGTTACCTCCGCTGCTCGCCAAGGGGACTGGTGCTTGGCCAGTCTCTACAAGTGTAGGCACCCCAATTTCATTGTTTTCTAATCCTAGTTTCTGGGGTGCCTTGCTTGCTGCGTCGAGAAGCTCTTCAAACGCAACCGGCTGAGCAGGGCCAGCAGCAGGGCTTTCAGACGCCGGGGCTGTAGGTATACTTAAGAAGCAGCCCATGGGCTGTTTCGCTGAGGCTCACGTCGACATTCTCGTGTACAAGCTACCTGACTTCTTAAGTGCCATGTAACACTTTAGCAAATTCACTTAGGGTCTATGTATTTAGTACTGATACAGCAGTGCTAAATGTATGGAACAAGTGTTTTTGACGTGCGTGCCAACGATTTGCATGACACATACATAATAGGTAAAGCTTTATTGGCAGAGCTACACTTCTATGTCGCAAACTACAGGGTTGCTGCAATACTTTCCACTAATTCTCGTAATGGGACGAGAAAATAACATGTACGAACGATTAGTTAAAAGTACCGGTAGTAGCGGTGCTGGTAATGGCTTGGGGTTGAGCAGTACTATGCAGACCACCGCCAAGTAAAAAAATGTTGCTCCCTACTTGAAGAGGGACTATTGAAGTATTGATGTCAAGTTTGTGGCATGGTAATTCTCCTGGGTTGTGGCTCCTCCCGTGGCGGGGAATCCCTGTCCAAGACCTGCTTCAATCGAGGATGTGGGAGAGTGCAATGGTGCAGTACAAGATCCGTACGGCCGCTACATCCTGAACCAGATATAAGCCCCAAGTTGGGTACCTTGCCATCTCTAGTAAGCCTATTCGCGCTGCTACAATACCTTTCGTGCATGCATTTGCTTTATCCCATAGGCTGCAGGCGAATAGGATAAGTACGCACCTGCCCCTGTCCCTGAGTGGATTATGTACATAAAGGGGGCTCGCCCCCTTTTTAAAATCCGAACTCGCTGTGAAGCCTTGCCAATGACTTATATATGTGTGCCAGCTGGTGTTGAGCGGAGTGGAAGGAGGTCGTATCGTTGGGATGCGTAGTGCTATGCTTAGAAGCGTCAGTGCGGTCCGTGGGCGTGCCTGTGTGACCCTGCTTCCCTGTAAATCGACTCGAGCGTGGAAACGGGAACAAGGGTCGTCAAGAGCAAACCCCTAGCTGCACCGCCAGCCTCCTCTATCCCAACGTATGCATGCAGGCGCCCCACAGGACATTTGCTAAAACAGTCCGCCATGCTTGAAAACCTAGGTTGGCCCACCGTCATCAAAATACGAGGGCCGTGCGTCCAGTTAAATCTTGGGACGCATTACGAAAGACCGACTTTGCCCAAACCAATGTATACTAATATGTGGATCTAAACACCCATTGCCACAAAGCAGCAGGTACAGCGTGCTGGAGAAGCGCGCAGTTATGAAACCTGTCCCTATGAAACCCTCTGGGATCCCCTGCCCTGCTTTCCGTGGTAATCCCATAGCCCCCTTCCCGTTTCCCTCCTTCCCACGGCAATTTTACAATTGCTCCTTTCTTTCCAGAGGGCGGTTTGTCGTGACACAGCGCATGCTTGCCATATTGTGTGGCTTAGGGTTCCCAGGAGGGTCCTATTGGGACAGACATGGCAGCCAACCAGCATCGGCAGCCCTGAAGGGACTGGTTCAGGTGTGCCCATCACGGTCAGGGTCAGTGTTTCCGCGGCTCAGCTTATCCATTACCCTCTGCACTGCAAGGACTAACGTCATCGTTGCCTTTGCATATCATTGTGCCTGCCGTAACGCCAGCCTCTTCCCAGCGCCTCGACAGGTAGGATGGGTAGCTGGCAACTGGCAGTTACTTGAGGCAAGAAACAAATCAACTTTATACTCGAAGACATACATATGGTGCACAAGATAACTAAGTTTGCGATTGCTGGTGCCGTCACCACTGCTGTCCACGAACTCCAGGGAGCCTGATGATGATGATTATTGCCTAGTAGAGAACTCCCAACTGGCGTCTTGGTCCACCAGCAAAAGCAAGATGGATTGCACGAATTGATATACAATATTACATACCCTGCATAGTAAGTACCGGTATATGTACCCTTCCAACAAGGCTGGACGAGGTCATGAGGGAGGCGGGCATACGCGAGCTTAATTCTTCACACGGTAAGCAAAAAAGGAGGATGCGCAATGCGCGCTGGTACCCTGGAAGCCATTGTTAAAATGGGGGGACGGAATGATAGGTAGGTAGACCAAGCCCTAGCGCCAGACTAAACGGCACATGCACATGGATTAGGTCACCTACAGCTGATTGGTCTGTGCAAAATGTCGTTCATTGAATATGCGTATCACGTTACTGGGTTCGTGGCCCTGAGAGCTGGGCGGGAGATTAACCCGCTAAGGATACCCATTGCAGGTCCTTTATACCGGTATCTAGCTATATACGAAAAGCCTACTGCACTTTGACTTCGCATCCACTTATAGCATCAGCGTGAATTGACAAAATGTTTTATACACCCTGGACAAAATATACACATGTATACCCTTCCAACAGGGCTGGACGAGGTAATGAGGGAGGCCGAGGTGCCGCGCGTCGACAGGATTATGGATACCGGTACGCGCGGACCTAACTCTATACGCGGTAAGCTAAATAAGGATGCGCCGTCGTGCCATGCGGAAAGGGGTTGTTAGGTGGCCCAAGCCCCATGCCCGACTGAACGGTACATCCACATAGGGCACCTACCGGCTTTTCGGTCTCTGCAATAGGTTGTAATATGCCCATCACGGTATTGGGTTTGTGGCCATGAGGACCGGGCGGGGGAGTAATCCGCTAAAGGACACCCTATACGAAAAGCCTAACCGAACCTCGCTTCCGCTCATCGTAACAACGTGAACAGGCATACTACATTGTACAAATTACAAAGTGTGTATATTACCTTTTAACAGGGCCGGGCGAGGCCATGAAGGAGGCCGAGGTGCTGCGCGTCGAGCGGTTGATGGATACAGGTATGCGCGAACTTAACTTTTTGCAGGCAAGTATAATAAGGATGTTACCGTCGTATATTTAAGCCATGGGACCTGGGAAAGGGATGTTAGGTAGAAGCCAAGCCTTACAGAGGATAACGAGTCGCAACGGCACTCCCATATGCATTAGGTCACCTACAGGCTTTTCGGTCTGTGCATTACATGTGCCCATCATAGTACTGAATTTCTCGCCCTGAGTGCTGGGCGGCGGATTCATCAGGGTCGGCCTAAAGCCTGGGCGGGTTGAAGTTGGCCATATGGACGTGCACAACTGTCGCCGACAAAATCCTTCCAAGACGTTTTTTATTGCATTCCTTCTGCTAGCAAGTGATACGGATAATCAAGCCCAAGGATTCCCTTTTGTACTGCCTGTACGAAAAGCCTACGTGATCTTTGCTTCCGCTTATAGTGAGGTAAACCGCTTCCTTACAAGTGTTCATGGTCAACCCCAGCCTACACTTACTCCATATCGGCTGCGTGTATAGGAGTACAAACCGCGACAATCATGGCGGCAGAGGATAACGATACCGAGGCGGCTTTTATTGCTTCTGGCGACGAAGGAAGCGTTGATGAACATGTGCACTATTCACACCGTGCACCTTGGCTGCGGGCGTTCGTCCTTGGCGCAAACGATGGTCTGGTGGGTGCCGCCCTCCGAAGAGTTATCTAAAGCTGATGAATGCATATACCATTATAAAACCTTTCCTAATTGGAGGCACAGCTTTCCCGGCTGTCAATTGTGTAATGCTATCATAATATGCCCCAGCTATTCGCGCTGCCCTGATGTCCTGGATTTTACACCAAATTACATGTAAGGCTATAGACGGAAAAGCCTTCCCTGACGGCGGGTAATGCTTTAATCCCCTTTCTCCTTTCACCATTTTTCTTTCACCTAAAGGTCTCCGTTGCGGCCCTGATGCTTGGTGTGGGTGGTGGCAGCGAATCACTCTCAACCATGCGGCTTGCAGGTGGGGAAAGGCGGGGTTGTCTTGCGGTTATGTCCTTGCACATTGCCTACTATACGTTCGGGGTTTAGAGCCACTGAGGACAGCGGACTGTATAAGTATGCGATGCTGATGAGGGCAGGGTCGTAGGTGATATCTCAGAATGACCTAGCATATTCATAGGAAAGAATGTCACTATTGGCTTGTCGACTGGCATCTGACAATAGCGCGGAGTGAAGCCACACAACGGGTAGCGCTGAAAAGGTTTCTACGCTCTTCTTGAGAATGTTGTTTAGCGTGCGGCAGGAGAATCCTTGCCTTCCGTCTACACATTGCTGCTTGCCTGGCCTCCTTATCCTCCTGGCCGCCCTCCCCCCAGCTGACCGCCCCCCCTGCATGTGTTCCGTTTGCCTCCAGGCATTGCGTCATGGATTGCGGGAGCGCTCAGCATGGCTGTTGGGGAGTACATCTCCGTGGCGTCGCAGGTGCGGGGTGTTAGGAAACTGTCCGCAAAAACTGGGTTGTGTAGTTGAGTAGGACAAGAGCAAGCAATTGGGAGAGGTTCGCATGTGAACCGCGAGTACAGGCAAAACAGAGGTAACCAAACCTGAACCGTCATACAAAAACTGCTTAAATAGCTGGGGTGTGCATGTTAAAAACTGGGGTGTGTGTGTGTGTGTTAAAGTAACTTGGTCAGGTTGGGTGAGCAGGTAGCAGGTAGCAGTTGCCAGGGCCGCGCTGCAATGTGGGTACAGGTGGTGCCTCTCTGCCATGCAGGCAGGGGTGTCTGGGGCGGGCGAATGAGCCCGAGGACCCTCGCGGCTCTTGGGTTGGCTCGCTTGCCTTTGCTGGCGTGTGGTTTTCAGCCGACATGTACTCCGCGTGGCTAGACAGCTGCTGCTAGCCGCAACAGCGGGCTTCCTGCGCGCGGGTTGGGAGCCGCCTTTGCCCCACTTCATGCCCCCTAACACCACATGCGTCGTGTATCTGCACGGCTCTTGACTCTGCCTCTGGCTCTTGGCATTCCCCGGTGCATCTGTACGGCACTTGGCATCACCTCACCTCAAAAGTCCCTCTGAAGACGCTGCTGGCCCACTTACCCCCCCATACAGCGCGACACGGAGGAGGCGGACATTGAGAAGGAGCGGCAGCAGCAGCTCAAGGGGCCGGCGGCACGTGCGCGGGAGCTGGAGGTACGGAGTGGGGCCGGGGGTGGGGAGGGGCGGGTGGTGTGGGTGGTCAAGCGAGGCAGGTGGGCGCACGAGGGACAGAGGGACGGCGGCGGGGGAGCACGAGCGCTTTCAGGTTTTAGTTAGGGGTGTAGGAGGGGCCGGGGGTTTGGAGGCGAGGGAGGGAGGAGTGTGCAGGGCAGTTGAGCTGGGTAGGGGAGGCGGCTGGCAAGCCAGCCGGGCGAACGATGCGCATTGTGTTTTGTGTTTGCTTCTTCAGACCCACCTACCTGCTGTCTCCATACCTTCGGGGCCCCCACCTGCTCGTCTTGTTTGCCATCCTCATTCAACATAAGGGGTACTCTTCTTTCCCCTACCCCCCGCCCCCTGGCTCACATGTTGCAACCCCATGGCGACGCCTTATCACACGGTCATTTAGTTGCTTCCTCTTACCCCCCGTTCCCCCCCCCCTCCCTCGCCAGGAGCTGACCTGCATCTACATCCAGCGCGGTCTCACACGGGATCTGGCGCGGCAGGTGGCGGTGCAGCTGACGGAGAAGGATGTCATCCGCGCCCATGCACGTGACGAGCTGGGTATTGACATGGACGAGCTGTCTAATCCCATGCAGGCGGCGGTGGTGAGCGCGCTGGCGTTCACGGCAGGTGGGTGCGGGTGGGTTCCGTAAGCTGAGCCGCGAGGAAACCCTGACCCTGACCGGTGGGTATACCGAAGGATGATGGCGCGACCCAGATGTCGAAGTAATGTAATCAGCGGCCTAAGTATTACAACGGGGGTTGGGACTAGAAGATCAATTGTAGGCGGCTGAGGGGTATCTCGCAAACAAGACTAGCCGCGAATCAGCGTGAATGGGGTCTAATGGGTGGGCGGACATGCCACTCTTAAAGAACGGGGCGCATGTCTGCCCATCGACCAGTCGGCGTGAGTGCGCTCTTACCGGGGGAAGCGCGGCCTTGCATGCGGGCTTGCACGCACGAGGCGCCTACCCGCAGCTGAACCAACTCGCCCCTCCCTTCCCTCCCTCCGCGTTCCCCCGCACCTCCCCCACCACCCCTTTTGGGTATCCTTCTTTTTCCCCCTCCCCCTCCTCCAGGCGCCCTGATTCCGCTGCTGGCCGGTTCCTTCCTGTCTGATTTCAATCGGCGGCTGATTGCAGTGGCGGTTGCCTCGGTGGTGGGGCTGGCGGCGTTTGGGCTGACGGGTTCGCTGCTGGGGGGCGCCAAGCCGCTGGTGGGAGCTCTACGGGTGAGGAGAGTGGAGCGGAGGGTGGGAGACGGGGAGGGGGGAGGCGTGAGGGGATGTGAGGAATGGGAGGGCTGGGAGGTAAGGGGATTAGGTATACTGAGCCGCGGAGGTAAGAAGAGGGGTAAAGAGGAAACAACTAAGGGGGGGGGGTTCGATAATGAGACCCTCTCCACGCGGAAGGGTGAAGGGTGCGTCGATTGAGAGGGGGGGCGGTTTCCCAGCGGCCTCGGCTGTGATGCGCTGTTGGCTAGCTAGCTGGTTCCTTTGAGGGACATACACCCTGCTTACCCCCAGTACGTCCTTCCAAACGGCCAGTTTTTCTTAACACCCTGCTTCTCCCCTCACCGGCCGCCCTCCTCCCCACCCCGCTTGTTGTTTCATTTTTATATTTTTCTCCCCTCCTCCCCGCCCCTCCCTAACACCTCCTCCTCCCCCCCCCGCTCCAGGTGGTCATCGGCGGCTGTCTGGCGATGGCAATTACCTTTGGTGTGGGGCACCTGTTGGGGGCCAAGGCTGCAGCCTAGAGCAAGGCGGCCGTGAGTTGAACCGCCTCAGCCGCTTGTCGCCTGTCGCCTGCGTGGAGAGGGTCCAACATGGTGAAACCGGAGTGCCCGGCGCATTCTTGCTAGGGCGGAGGATGGAATAGGAGAGAACGAGGCAGCGCAAAATGACCCGTGTTTTCATAAAATGGATGAGACGAGAAAAAAGGCCAGAGGAGGTCGGTTAGTGTGCATCTCTGTACAGACTGTTATGTTAGTTAGCGCCAGAACGGCTATTACATTCACTTGCCGAACCACCGTCGCAAACGCGGCTTCAGCTGTTGTGGGTATGGGTGTGTCAATGCTCCGATCCTCCTCGGGTTCGCTCGTTAGCTATCGTTATTTGAACTGCTTACTTCGTTGCTGCATGGCTGATGAGTGGGCGAGCAGAGAGAGCTTAACGGGATAGTATTACAGCGTGGGGGGGTGGGGTGTTTGGATGATTTTGAATGTTTGTGTTTCCGTAAAGGGTGCACTTCTGCTCGGAATATAGCTCCTGCATAGTGGAAAGGGAGCTGACAACGTGTTAGATGAGAGGAATGAATGGGAGTTTGGTACGGCTGCGGTCACTGGCAGGCATGGCCACCGGTATTTCGGGCGGTGTGCAGAGGTCTTTAAACATCTCGGGGTTATTCGATTGCATACCACGCGTGCAAAGGCAGTAGCATTTGCGGCATGTGCTTTCATTGGGTGGGTTTGTGGGTACGTTGTCGTATACTACTTTACCATCGAGCAGCTAGGAGAGAGGCGGCGGAGGAGTGCGTGTGTTAAAATAACTGGCCGCGAGGCGAAACGTACTGTGTGCGTGTGCGGTCGTAAGGAGAGAGGAGACACACCAGAAGGCACTTTGAAAGCTAGTTTTCTGTGTGTCACTAGGAGCTCTAGAGATCTTCTGGGGCGCTAATGACCACGGCGGGGTCCCCATATACGTGCAAATTATGTGTGACGTTCAGAATGAAGAAGCGGTGGTGTTTTGGATCTGACTGGTGATGTGTCGGTTATGCAACCGATTTGTCGTGCACCGTTTACCGGCACGTGCATTTTACCGGCAGATGGATGGTGTGGTTTTGCGCATGTACGCGGTTGGAGATGTGGTTTCATGCTCTGGGTGTGATTCGTTCGCGGTCTGGTTGGTACGGCGTATCTGGCATCTGTGCCGTACAGCCATCAGTCCTCTTACGTCGCGCAGCCCCCAGGCTCGGGGCTGCGCTCTGCTCGCAACAGATGCAATGATGTAGGACGGTGTGCGGACGATGTGCGCTGCTTGCACTACCAAAGGAGCCTACCGGACGCCCTGTAACCGAATCCCCACCACTCGTGGGGACTAAAGGGCTGACCAGGTGCGCTCCGGGCCACGTAAACTCTCTTGCTCTGCTCCACGCAGAATGCTAAAGATTCTGGGTCAATATTCTGGTTGGGTATCACATACCATACTAAGCAAGGCTTGGCCTGGTGTGCTGATAGTCTTGTGTAAGCGTCGTATGCAATGGGTTTAAGAGCCGAGCGAGGGAGGAGCACTCCTACCATTCCAAAAGCCACCTTATCACAGGTTCGCTTGGATGATACGGATAGAAAGCGACAGGTGTGTCCATCTGCCCAAGTACAGCCAGTTCCGGTTACACACATTCTTGTAAATTGTAACCCCTTATGTAATTTCGATGCCCAAACATCGTCGGAGCGCAACGGCTTAGGAACGATCCAAATTTGGGGCGAACGACCGCTAGTGGCATTAGGCTATTGGTTAGCTTGCTGTAAGGAATGGCTGTTCATGGATCCTCTTATGGCGTAGAGTCCCTTTGTTTTGGTGACTGCAAAGCTGTGGAGTCCACAGGATGTCGGTGCCGTGCTTCCAGTCAGCAAACTTTTCATGTTAACTTTCGCAGTTGCAAACCTTTACAAATTTGCTTCATGGCCTTTTGTAAGGTACGTGATAGGTTGTCCTCGTTGCTAAACCGGCCATGGCAATGGGCATGCATGAAGGCTACCAGCCATGTTATGGGCTGCATTTTTCGAGGTTAGCCGTGTAAAGTCTAAGAGATACAGCTTAGAATAGTACCGCAAAGCAGGAATCCCGCCAGAATGGGCGGCGTTGGGGATTGGCTTGACGACATTATTATTAAGGCAGCGGCCATGCAAGCTCAGCATAAGTCCAACCTGTTTCACGCGAAGTTCGGAAAATTCACATTGTTATTGTGTGAATATGGTGTAAGCTAAAGCAACTTCAAGCTCGCTTAGCGGCGGTGTATGTCGCCATCTTACTACTGCATAGAGCTAAAGGACGACTTCTGTAGAGGGACAGTTATTATTATACCTAACTTCATATGCTGCATGTTTAGTATCATGCATATCAAAATGGTGCAGTTTTTCCTGTGACCCAACCGAAGTAACTGCCGGCACACGCTCAAGGGAAACGGCCACACGCCAGTCGCGCTTACTCGCACGCGCTGCGCACAGTGGGAAAGCTCTAGGGTGGCGGGATTATTATATAAGTTTCTCTTTATGAAATTGTACAAGGCAAGGCTTATCACAATTGCTGCCTCCAGCAAGTCGGAGCCAGCTTGCTTGCTTGGCTTACTTGCCATAATTAGCAGCGCGCTTGGTCCGTGACAACGAGTTCAGGCCGATTTCACTTATTATACTTGGTCATATTTTTCAGCTCTCTAAGCCTGTTCCCGACTAGTTAGTCACAGGCCGTAGCGTCACATCACTGCGCGCTCAGGAGTAACGGTGGCATATTCCGCATAGCGCCGCCTATACGTGCTCGCTATTCAACGTAATTTTATTTAGTTTTGAGTTTCTACTTTATTGATCGTGCGGAAGACGATCTCATAACCTTTCAAGCCCATCGCCGTTGCGCTGGTGACCATGGAACGCGCTTCTGTACTCCGGGCCGTCGCTACGGCCTTCCTGTGGCTCATCGCCGCCTGCGGAGCCGTGACCTTCGCTTTCTTCTTCGCCGTAACGCCGACCCGATGGAACAACGTCCGTGCTACCGAGCTCATCACCTGGAGAAACACCCTGATACTGCAGTACAATATGACTAACTCCACAACCGGCAGAGTCACGCCCCTCTTGTCGGGTTCTGTCAGCTTCATGGTAAGGCTGCTGCGTGGACTTCTCGTAGGTAACTAAAGCTTGGGATCCTCGTTAGGTTTATATAGGCTATGTATGATGGGGTTTTTCCTGGCTGTAGTATTGCATGTGATGTGCCCACCACCACTTGCTACATGACCCTTCTTACCGAGGAGGTAGCTTGAATGCCATGGCACCGGACAGCCCTCGACATCCGCGCCTCGACTCTGCCTGACTCCTCTCCTATCGCCACACACGGTCCCACTTACCCGTCCAATTGCATGATTATGATCCCCTCCCCTCCTCATCCCGCTGACTGCCACTGGACGCCTCGCTACCGCCACCTCCCACCACCTCCCACCACCTCCCAGCTCATCTGGCAAGGCTGCGGAACCCTAGCAGTGGCCCTCGCAGCCGCCGGGCTGCATTCGCTGCTGACAACCTCCTCGCCCAAACCGTCGCCCTCTTCGTCGCCTTCGGCAGTTTCGGACGCTACAGCCCATGAAGCCACAAAGAAAACCCGTCGTTTCACGTCGCCTGTTGCGCTTGCAAAGAAGGTGGGTTTGCTTGGCGCGTGGATTTACAACCGGCACCGGTAGTACCCGGGTGCCCTAAAGGTCTGACCTGTTTGGAGCCCCATACCTTCTGCCCCCTCTGCCCCTGACCTGCTTCCACTACATGCTTATACCGGTCGTACGACGTCGGGTCTATGCATGTAGTACGACGTCGGGCCCATGCATGTGGTAACTGCCCACCTGCACGCGCCCCTGACAAACCCGCACCCAGGCTGTCAACAAGGCCCGGCGGCTGCTTCGCACGCAAGTCCCTCCCCGCGGGCTGTGGCGCGCCCTGCTGGGCCCCGAGGGCCTTTCGCTGCTGGACCTGCTGCTCATCCTGCTGTGGTTCGGTCTGCACGCGATGTGGTTGCACGAGATGACGATGCGAGTGCTGGACAACCGCCGTACGGCTCCGCCGCCACCTAAAGGTATGATGTTTACCGGTAATGGGGGGTGGTAGATTTAGTCGTTGCCGTTCTATAGCTGCGGTTTTGCATGGCTTGTTCGGGGGCATGCGATACTATTCATTCTTCACCGGTAAGGGGGAAGGAAAACGTGTAGGGTAGGTCTTGGAAATGGGTCTTCGAGGGGGATCCGGAGCATGCCCATTCGTTTGCTCTCGCATGTGAGCGCATACTAGACCCGGTCGATGGTAGACCTGTGAGGACATTTTGCCTTAACTGTTCTAATCCGTAGCTGTTTAACTGCAACCGACTCGCCCCACCCCTCCCTCAACCCCGCCTTCGCATGCCCGCAGTCGTCGTCCGTAGCCCCCCACCGCCTGCTTCGCCCCCACCACCTGCCAACCTGAACAAACCCCCGCCCGTAAGCCGCCCCCCGCCGGCCTTCAAGCCCCCGCCGCAAGCCTCTCCACCTCCCCCGACTGTGAGGGTCCTCACGCCCCTCCCTCGAGTGGTCCAAACCAAGTACGTTGGGCGTTCTGTCCGTAGTCTGTTAATAAGGCCTGCAGGATACAACAGCAGCCGAGCTTCGTCTTTGTGTTCGCGACTTACTGTGTCGCACTCGTGTCTCTGCTGTTGCTGCATTTACGCGCAACTCTCGCTCCCTGTACATGGGCTTCCCGCCTTGCATACCTCCAAACAATTTGCTCATCAGGCCCCCCGCCCCTTCCATGCCCTGCCTGCACCTCCCCCCCCCGCCCCCAACCCTCCTCACCTCTCCAATCCCTACACACCGGCACCCCCAACGCCCAGTCTCGCAAAGTACTTCGGTTGGATCGTGCGGCTGGACATGCTGCTGCTGTTCTACCCGCTGCCCCGTTGCAACTTCCTGGGCTGGCTGCTGGGCTCGCACTTCGCCGAGCTGCTCAAGTACCACAGGTGAGTGCGATATCACAGAGCTGCTGCTGATACGACTACGTAGGTAGGGGGCATGCAGATGCACGCACGTTTCCTTCTACCTCCTCTATCCTTCGTTCCTTCCCTCATCCCCTTTTACCCTGCATGTTCTCTGCGGACTAACGCGCCTGCTTTGTTTGCGTTTATTACTACTCCATTCTTCCTGTCTTACCGTCGTCTCTCCCTCCCCCCCGCCCGCCCGCCCGCACGCCCGCTGCTGTCAGGTGGTTGGGTCACGGCACGCTGCTCATCACCTCCCTGCACGGCATCATGTACCTCGCCATCTGGACGCGTGATGGCATGTAAGTATCGCCGGTACGGCATGGCTGTTGGCTGTACGACACATGCATGCAGTTGCCGACGTACGGCACATCGTACGGCACATTGTAATTGTCGTTACCCTCCTTGCGTCATCTTCCTGCTTCGGCCATGTCTCAGCTGTTGCATGTTTCTAGCACGGCATCAATCCTCACGCATAAGTGCAACCATGCACGCATGCCGATGTAACCCCGCGAAGGCAACACAACCCCCCGCGCCCCAACTACCTAATCACTATCCCGCCTTATCACCTTCTTCCCACAGCATCGCCTCCAACCTAACCTGGGCTATGACCGGCGGCGTCAACAACTTAGCGGGTTTGGTTGCGCTGTCCGGCGGCTGGCTGTTGTGGATCACCAGCATCCCTCTCATCAGACGCCGCCTGTTCAACCTCTTCTACGCCTCCCACATCACCGGAGCGGTCGTGTTCTTCCTCTTCAGCTTCATGCACCGCAAGGATGTGGCCACATGGATAATGCCTGGTGAGGGGGCTGCGGCTGGATGGATGGGCTGCACGTGTGTTTTGAGCTGTGTACTTATTACGGTGTAGCGTAGGTGGGCTTTAGAGTATGTGCCGCGTGCTGTACGGTGTACGACATCTCGACATGCATCCTAGGCCAATTGTCGTACGAATTGCTTTACTTTGCGGAGCTGGGTGCGCTGGTGTAATGGTCTTTCTCCGTTTCACGTCCTTTGTGCAGGTATCTTCCTGTACCTACTCGACGTCGTGTTGCGCACCATTCAACAGAACTTCAACTCCACACAGCTCAGCGTGGCTGCTGAAGACCACTCCGCCGCCGCCGCCGCCGGCTCCCCAGCCTCCTCCTCCTCCCCGGCCTCCTCCTTCTCCTCCTCCGCTACTTCTGTGGCGTCTCTGTCCCCGGATGGCAACGTCCTCACCCTGTCGCTTGCTTGCCATGAGGTAGACCGGGAGCTACCGGTAGTTGCTGCTGCTGCTGCTGCTACTGTCACCGCGCTGTTACTGCGGCTGCGGCGCTGTTGCTACTGCTGCCGTTGTTGCTTCACCTAGTCCCGCTGTGCTGGTGCTGCATGTGCGGGTGCATGAGCTGCTGACTATCAACCACCACTGTTATCCTGATGGTGCCGTGCGTTTCTGCTTACCTGGTATCCAACCCCGCTCGCTTTCCTCGGCCAACTGCACTTCCTTCCCGCCAGTCGCTGACGTGGGTTGGCTCTGACATCGTCGTCCTGAACGTGCCGGCGGTCAGCTGGTGGCAATGGAAGCCCTTCACCATCGCCTCGGCACCCGGCGCAACTGCCCTGTCGGAGGGAGGCTGCTGCGAGGAGAGGAGGATAGTGTTGCACATCAAGAAGTGCGGCAGATGGACTCAGGTACGGCAGACTTGGCAGCCTACCGTGAAGATATGGTGGTGTACGGGGGGAAGCTGTGACATACCTATTACGTGATGTCGGCATGCATGGGTTCCGTAGCGCCCGTACCCACCCACCCTTTCCTCGCATTCCTTCCCCCCTGCAGCGCCTGATCAACCGCCTGGCAACGGACGCCACTCCAATTCAGTTGTACGTTAGCGGTCCGTACGGCAACATCAACCGCAAGTGGATGCACAGCTATGGCCGCTCTGTTTTTATCGCTGGCGGCATCGGGGTGAGTCCGTGCGCATGCATGCTCGCTTGATTGAATGAATGGCCCTTACAACGGTTTCCTAAAGGGAACACGGGTGATGAACCCAACCCTGACGTCTCACCCTGGCATCGCCGCCCCCAATTTAGTCCAGCTCGGACTAACCGCCTGCACCCATCCATGCATGCATGCATACCACTCAGGTCACCCCGGCGTTGGGCATGCTACAAGAGCTCATCTCATTCCGGCGCCGTACCGGACAACTGTCAACCGCCGGCGGTTGCAACGGTCCCAACGGTCGTGTCAACTTCATCTGGATCTGCCGTACCCGGGATGAGCTGAGCGTCATGCCTCCCGAGATCCTGCAGGAAGCCAGCAGGTGGGGGTAAATCAGGACCTACAAAGCGGTACTCACACCGGAGAGCTGCTGCGGCCCCTTTGCTGCTGGCCTTAGGTAGAAAACCCGTGTGAGCTTTTGCCTGCCATCTGTCATTAGAAGCATGCCACCCCTTGGCACATTTCCTTCAACCCACCATCTCTACAACCCTAAGAAGTAAGGCCCTACCCTCATCCCAACCCTCATCCCAACCCTCCACCCCTACGTACTTGACCTCAGGAATGACAAGCACGCCTGGCTGGACCTGCAGCTCTACCTCACCGCACCAGCCCCCACCGCCACAGACTCCGCTGCTGCTGCTGCCGCCGCCGGTGACAACAACAACAACAATGGCGGCGGCGGCAGCGGGGATGGCATGCCTAGCTGCGGTTCAGCCGCCATCGCTAAAGCGATGACCGCTGTTCGTATTGGTTGCCTGGGCGGTGGAGCTGCTGCTGCCGCCACTGATCGCCGCGCAAGGTATGGGTGCTGGGAAGGGCGCTTGGTGCATGTTACCCTTGATACGTAAGGCCCTTCGTGCTAAGGTGCAGACGGTGGCGTTCGATTGCCGTCGACTGCCACGCAGTAGACACTATCGGGAAGGCTGTCAAAGGGTATTGCCGTCATGCTGGGCTGCGGATCAATTAGTAATCATTGTTGTTCCCATGTTGTTGTTTCCTCCTCCTCCTCAGGCCGCTGGCGCACTCCTACTCCTTCGGCCCGCTGGTGTGGGCTGCAGCGCTGCTACTGAGCTTCGGTGGCGGCTTTCTGGGCCTCATCTGCGCGCAATCGTACGAAGGCTACATGGTGCGAACCGTCAAGACGCGATCCGACCTCGCTTACGTGGGCATGCTACAGTTCGCAGCTCTGGGAGTGGGTGCAGTGCTGCCACCTGCCATCATGATGCTGGCAGCGCACTTGTACCGGTGAGTTGGTTACCGGCAGCAACTGGTTGTTGTGCAGAGAATGCAGGCACACCCTGGGTGGTGCACGCCCACACTCATGTCAGTCAGTGTTGTGCTTCGATGCTCCGAGACATTAACGACCCATCCCTGAACTATTCTCACCTCTTGCCCTCTGCAGGCGTTTCATCACTGCCAGCAGCAGCAGCAACGCGACCTCTGGGGCCTGCACCCTCCCCTCCTTTGGGAAGAAGGCGACAAGAGCGGCCACCTCCACCACCCTCTCCTCCATCCCCGACTCCTCGCCCCCCTCCTCCTCCTCCTCCTCTTCGGCTCACGTTGCGGTGTCCATGTCCCCCGCACACAGCGGCCCTGATGCCCCCACCGGCGCCGCCATCTCCCTCACCGCCACCTCGGCTCTTGCAAAGGTGGCGGCAAAGGGCTGCAGCAGCAGCAACACCAGCCTGGGTTTGGACGCTTTCCTCATGTCCGGCCGCCCGGACCTGCACACACTGCTGAGCCAGGTAGCAGCAGCAGCCTCCTCGGTGGGTGCTGGCGGGGCGGAGGAGGAGAGCGTGGCGGTGTTTGTGGGCGGACCGACTCGGCTGGTGGCAGCGGTGACGGAGGCATGTGCGGGGCTGAACGGCGTGTGGGGCGGGTCGGGGCGGGCTTACCTGGAGGTCAGTGCGCTGACACACGAGTTGTGATGAGTGCGTTGGGTGCGGGGTATAGAGAGAGGGGGGATATAGGTGGGAGGTTAAGTGTGATTTGATGGTCTTGGGACTTGGAACTTGAAACTTGGAAGATTGATGGGAACTTGTTGAAGTGAGGGGGTGTGGGCAATACTGGAGGGGTTGCCAGGTGGCTGCCTGGTGCCAACCCATGCGCAGCGGCAGGCTAGGCAAGGGTAGCCGCCGATGTAGCCGCGCATGGGCTGCTGCATGGGGGTGCAACAGTTGCCGTTTGTTAAGCAAGAAACCTGCTGCCGGCTGCATGCGTGACTACAAGCTGCTGGGTGCTTGCAGCAGCTTGGTGTGGCAGTGCCGCCCTTGTGAATGAATTTTGTGGGCGTGTGGTAAAAGGCACATTGCGTGGCGCGGGTTACTAGCTGGCAACATGTATGCTATGGATCGTGATTGCGTGTGTACCTTTGTCCTTTGGTTGCACTGTGGTCTGGATGAATGTGCTGTCGTTAGCACTGCCTTGACCCATCATTTGGATTTTGGAGGTGGCCATGTATACTGGCCCACACGGGAATGTGACCACACGCGTGTGCGGTATGATGGCACGGCGGCATTTGCTGACTTGTGCTTTCGGTGACCTGTCGAGTTGGGCGTTAAGACGGTTATTGTGTGTATGTGGCCCAAAAAGTCCGCTGTATATGTAGGGCGTGCCCTAGCTAACTACCAGTGCCTATCTATGCTGCTGCAGCCAGTGGTGGCATGCAGAGAGGCATGATTGCGCGACCACGCCATGCATTACTTACTGCTGAGTCCACGGTGCGTTGTTTCTTCAAGACTATGACGTGTGCGTTCGAGTGCTTTGTGATCCTTCTTGCGCTGTTGCATGTCGTGTCGTACACCTTATGACACGATCAGCGTTCAATTGTGTCATGGTTTTGGCAGGATGTTGGAGTCTGGTGCGTGTATGGAAAACACAGAGGGTATGCTGGGGTATGCGCCTGAGTTACTGCATTATTAGGGAGGAGGGACGAATGTCGGTAGGACTCCGTCCAACAAGAGGGTAAGAGCTATAACCAAAGCTGGGCAATCGCCCTAGCTTCTACCGGAGGTTAACCTGGGTGGCCTTCTACTGCGTGCGAGCTGTAAATTACCAGATTGGAATCATCAAGAAGAGGTGCCGAGTTTGGGAAGAGTCCCAGCAGGAAGTTCGGTGGGGAGCTTTGAAGGACTTCAGAAAATGTGCATACGGTGTGACCAGACAAGCTGTGCTGCTGTGTCGTGGCAGTAATGCGACTTTGTGGCGTTCTCTAACGGCGCCGCTCACCCTGGGCCAAATTTGCAACATCTGGCAACATCCCCCACCGAAATCCCCGAACGCCAAAACCCCAGTAACAAAGTTATGTTGCTTAAGCAACGCCGTTAGGCTTTGTCTGTAATGTATTACCCGTTACTGCTATGTATGTGCTTAAATAGCGCCGTCAAGTATATGGCTACACTTCGCATTAACCATGACCGGAGACAAGGGTTGATAGTGGGGAGCATGCACTGCAGACTCAGTTAGATACTTGCGTCCACGCAGAACTTGGTGTACGCAAAAGCAGAGGCGACACAATCCTAGCTTCACGTGATTGGTACCCTCACGTGCTGAAATCGTGATCATGTCAGCTGTATATCGATGACAATCTAAATTGGAGTAGCTAGAGCGCTGGCATTTTGCGGCAATGAAAACAGTACAGGTGCCGCAGCAGGTTATCAACGGGCCAACTACCGTACCTTTGCTAAGGCAGCACGGCAGCTGTGTAGTGATGCTAACAGACACTTTATTTGCTGTAACAAAACTACTCCGTACCTGATAACACCAGCCATTTGCCAGCCATCGACCTCAACCTAGTACCGTTGCAAGACTATTGTGTATGGAAGCTCACCGTTGCGTAATGCCATTGCTTGAGAACAATACAATTAACAACCTTCATGACAATTTGCGTCTGCCAAAGCACTGTTGCAGACTTCAGACGTCCTCGACCTAACCCGGATAACGCGAAACGGCCGTGCTTTGCTTATACCGAGTTAATCTAGTTTGTCGTCTGTTACCGGTAGTGATCTCAGCGGCTAGCCGGTTACATCGGTCAGCGGTACTTGACTGATTGCCTACCTGGGTTGCGGGGGAGCCCTGTTTGCTTCCATACCGTGATGGATCCAGCCGTTGCATCAAGCTTACCATCAGGCGCATCGATTGAAGATGCTGGGGTCACGGCTTTGCCAGTACCTACTAGTCGCAAGAACATCCTTCCGCCCATCCCCGCTGTATCCAGCAGCCCACCCATTTCAAACTCAGCACTTCCTGGCAACCCCACCAACGTCGACTCCTCTGCTGAGACGTCCAAACCGGCGAGCGGCAGCTTAGCGAAAAACAGGTAGGGGGTCTGCATCGGGTAGTTGGTAGATTTACCGTTGATGTCCATGCCCTACCCAACCCTCTACCTAGTGAAGCGACCCAACCCATATCTGCGGACCCGTCTATCTTCCTGTGCCCTCCCGCAACCATTTCATCTTCCTTTTCTCCACCTTCTGCCCCGTACAGCCGACTCACTTTCAAAAATGCCGGCACCATGGTCAAGATGGGCCTCAAAGCCGCCAACGCCTTCTCCACCCTTCGTGACATGGGTGGCGCAACCATCCAACCCAGCGACCTGAAAACCATCCGGAAGCTGGGAGAGGGCGCCTTTGCGGTGGTGGAGGAAGCCGACTACATACCCTCCGCCACTGCCACCGTAAGCCCCGCCGCCGCTGCTACCTCCACTGCCGGCAGTGCTGCTGCTGCTGCTACCTCTCCCGCCGGCAAACAGGGGCCACAGCAACAGGGACAGCAGCAGCAGCAGCAGGGTCAAGGAGGCGCAGCAGGCTCAGCTCGGCGGGTTGCTGTGAAGCGTCTGAAGCCGGAGGTTGTGAGCCAGCAGGGCGACCTGGCGGCCTTCCTGACCGAGGTGGCGCTGCTGAGGAAGCTGGCGCACAAGTGGGTCCAGGGGGGGTCCAGGGGGGGAGGGAGGAAGAGAGGGAGGGAGACAGGGGGGAGGAGAAATGAAGCATTGGACCCCTCCTGGAGGGAGGGGGTGGGGACTCTGGAGGAGGGGGAGGGGGGTAAAGTACAAGTGGAAACAAGTGGGTCTCCAGAGCAGGGAAGGAAGGCAGGGGTTGGTAAGTAGGGCGCCAGGCAGCCAACCATGCAGCCATGATGCTGCAGCAACAACAGGTGGCTGCTCACCCTACTTCCTTCCGTTTCTGCTTTGTGCCGTACATGTTGTTCAAACTTCTCACGTCCGCCTGTCTGCCCCACCCCGGCTGCATGCCCCACCGCCCCGCCCGCCTGCATGCGAGCAGGCGTATCGTGCAGTACGTGGGAGTGGGCAGCAGCGATGCGAGCAGCGAGGAGGCCAAACGGCGCACCATGTTCCTGGTGCAAGGTGGGTGGCAGAGTGGGGGTGGGTAAAGAGGAAACAACGAACTGACTAACTGGTGGGAGTGGGGGTGGGGGTGTAGTGGGGCGGTGGGGGGGGGGTCAAAGACCATACCAAACCATGGGCGGTGGGGGGGGGGGTCAGCAAAGAGGAAACACGAACCATGCGGGTGGCTTGGTTTGGGTTTGGTTGGGGAGGCACGGGGCAGGGTGCATTGCTGGGTGCATGTTTCCCAACCCCCTTCCCTTCCCCACCTCCTCCTCCTCTCGTCGTCAACTCCCGCCTTCCCCCTAGCAATCAACGCATGGTGTTTCATTTCTCTTTCCCCCCAACACCCTCTCCCCCCCTCCCCCGCCTGGCTTGGGGCTCGGGCTGGGCGGGTCGGGGTGGCTTACATATTGCACACCATGATGATGCCTTATCACATGGTCAGTTAGTTGGTTCCTCTTCCCCCCCCCCCCCACCCCCCTTGTAGAGTTCATGGACGGCGGCACCCTCAAGCGGCTGCTCACTCGCCAGATGCTGAACATGTCCCGCCAGCTGTACACCTGCATGGACGCATTCCGCTGGGCGCTCCATGTGGCGGAGGGTGAGGCGGAGGGGGGAGGGGCCGGGGGGGAGGGGCGGAGGAGGGGCGGGGGCGGGAGGGGGGCGGAGGGTGAGGGGCGGGAGGGGGGAGGGGGGGAGGGGCGGAGGGGGAGGGGGGGAGGGGGAGGGGCGCTGCCCCTGTGGCGGAGGGTGAGGGGGTGGCTGGGCGGAGGAGGGTGAGGGGCGGGTAAAGAGGAAACGACTAACGGACCATGTGTGTGGGGTGGGGTGGGGAGCGGGAACGGTGGTGGCGGGGGCGGGAGGAGGGCCCGGGGGAGGGAGGAGGGCGGGGAGGGCGATGAGTGGGCACATGGCCGCGGATCGCTTGCATCTAGGTGCGGGGCGGAGCGCTGCAAGGCGCGATGGAGGGTGTGGGGCTGCCAAGGCGCCTGCTGCAGAGGGCCCCGTCGCCGCACCCTTGCATGCTTCGTTACAGCCCCTGCCTAGCCACCCTGCTTCGCTGCCTGCTTGCCAGACCGCTTCCTCCTGCTACCCTCCCCCTCCCCCGACCCCCCCCCCCAGGACTGGACTACCTGCACAGCGCCCGCCCCGTTGTGATACACCGGGACCTGAAGCTGGAGAACATCTTGCTGAGGGGGACGGAGCCGGCAACCGCGGAGGCCAAGATAGCGGACTTTGGTGAGGGGGGTGGTGATGAGGAGGCGGGTGGGGTTGGGGCGGATGGAGGAGCGGGGTGGAGGAGAGGAATGGGATGGGATGGCCTGGGAGGCGCTCCGCGCTTTAAAAATCGGGGCTGGTTGGTTTGCCCTAGCCATCCATCCTAGCTGCCCCAAGCCAACCCAACTCAAGTACCCAACCCAACCCAAGTCACACCACGCTTGTACGACGAAAAGGCAACCCGGATGGTTGGACAATACGTGACGCGGGTTACCGTTACCGTTACGGCCAACCCATACCGAATACCCAACCTACCGGTAACCCAATACCATACCCACCCCAACCTAACCCAAGTACCCATCCCAAATACCCACCCCTAACCACACCCCACGTGCCGCCGCAGGCCTGGTGGCGCTGGTCCGCCCTCGCGACCGGGGGCTGTACGAGCAGCTGCAAGCAGCGGAGGCGGCGCATGTAGCGGCGGGGGCGGCAGGGGCGGCGGGGGGCGGGCGGGGGGCGGTGCAACGCGTGCTGTCCTTCACGAGGAGGTCAAAGTGAGTGCGGGGGGAGGGGGTCAGGGGAGGGGAGGGGGGTGGAGGGAGGAGTGGGGGGTGTCATGAGGATACGGAAGCAAAGCCGAGCGGACAGGAGGAGGGAGAGGAAGGGAGAGTTTGTTTGCTTGGGTGGATGCAGCTGTGGGTTACGAGGGGGGGATAGATGCGTCCATGGCAGCCTCGCGCCCTCCAAGGCCAAGACCAAGGCGCCCTCCTCCCCTCCTCGCACCCTGCCGCCTCCTATACCCTTTGCTTCCCCTAACCTGTGGTTTCCTATAGTCTGGTATGGTGTCTGACCCCCCCTTCTCACCCCCCTCCCCTCCTCGCCCCCCTCCCCCCCCCAGGAGTCACGTCCAGACTGTGCAGCAGGTGTGGGACAGCGCCTTCCACCTGGCGGAGCTGTCGCAGCGGCAGCGGCACACCCCCCCGCAGCAGCTGTCGGGGCGGACAGGCAGCTACATGTACATGTGGGTGGGGGGGAGGTGGGGGGGGGGGGGTAAAAATAAAGAAACACTGGCAAACCGTTACGGACACACGGACGGACACACGGACAGGGGCAATCCTGGGGGGCGAAGCCCCCCCGAAGCCGCTTCGCGGCGGGGGCTCCGCCCAAAAAATATATATATGATGAGACACTGACAAAGCAACTGACGAGCTGGGGGGGGAGGGGGGGCGGGGGGGTGGGAGGTGGAGGGGGGAAAGGGGTTGTGGCGGGGAAGGGGAGGGGTTGCCCCCGCCCTGCATGGGGCTCACTTCCTCACTTGTAGCCCCCCTGCCACCCTCCATAAACCCTCGTCAGTTTCCTCTTTCTACCCTCTCTTAACCCCACCATTTCCGCATACCCCCCACCCCACCCACCCTCAACACATTGGGTATTCTCCCCCCTTTATGGTCTTTGACCCCCTCCCCATCCCTCCCCACCCCCCCCCCCCCCCCCCCCCTCAGGGCCCCCGAGGTATACCGGCAGGAGCAGTACAACGAGAAGGTCGACGTGTTCAGCTTCGGAGTCATCCTGTTCGAGGTAGGGTTGGGGGGGGGGAGGCGGGGGGAGCGGGGGCGGGATGGGGAGGGGGTGTGTGGTGTGTGTTAAGGAAACTGGCCGCGAGTCGGAACGTACTGTGATGGTGTGTGGGTGTGCGTGTGGGTGTGTGGGTGTGGAGAGCCAATAATACCAGGCGCCTTGGAAGCCTTGAAACCCCAGGCACGTCGTGCCGTCGGTGCTCGCAGCAAGCGAGCTTCGTGATGAACAGAATGCGCATATCACAGGCGCATGGCTAGCATTGTCATAAGGGAGGCCTCCCCTTCATGCCCCCCGGCCCCCCGAATGCATGCATGCATGGGTGTGCTGCGGCCACTCGGCCCAACATGCACCTACGTGCAAAGCGGTGTCGTTACGCCCCCCTTGTTGCGGCCTCTCTCTCGACCTGCCTAATAAACCCCGTCTCCCCCGCCCCCACCCCCGCCACCGCCGCCCCCACGCACCCGCACCCGCAGTTACTGAGTCGCTATCAGACGGTGAGCTGGGAACTGGGTTGGGTACTTGGTTTGGGAGCACTTGGGTTGGGCACACACGGTTCGTTAGGTGTTTCCTCTTTACCCTCTCCGTTACTGCCCACCCCCGCCCACTCACTCAATCACTCACGCCATGGTGCCTTGTCCTTCTCTTACCCCCTCTTTTACCCACTCCCCACCCCCCACCCACCCACCAGGTATGCGCCATCAGCCTGGCCGGCACGCAGGAGGAGATTGAGAGCTACGCGGCCCGGGTGGCTCAGGGCTACCGGCCGCCCCTGCCGCAGCGCTGGCCGGAGCCGGTGAAGCAGCTGCTGGCGGGGTGCTGGCACCAGGACCCGGTGAGGGGGGGCGGGGGGAGGGGGAAGGCGGGGGAGTGGGGTGGAGGACAGGAGGGAGGGAGGGAGTGGGGGTACCCGGACCCGGTGGGTGGTGGGTAAGGAGGAAGGAACAAAGCATAGGAAGGCGGGGAGGTGGGGAAGGGAAGGCGGGAGTGGTGTGTGGGTTAGGGTGGAGGACACAGGGGATAGAGGCAGCGGTTGCTTGCTGCTTGGGGTTAGTAGCTGTCCCGCCCCCCTCCTCCATAAAGGAAACAGCGCTGGCCCACCTCACCCAACCCCACCTCACCTGTCCCAACGTATGCCCACCCCCTCCTGCACCCCGCCCCCCACCCCTCAGGCCCAGCGACCCAGCATGGGCGAGGTCAAGGCCGAGCTGCAGCGGCAGCAGCGCGAGGGGGTGCCGCAGCAGATGCAGGAGCTGTGCCAGCCGCCACCCGCATGCGGCTGCGTGGTAAGCTAGGCAGCCTGGCCAGCACTGTTGATTGCCGGTTGCAGTACCTGTTGCATCGCGATGCCTGCATTTGGGGATTATGCTGCTGTCTTCTACGGTACCGGAACTAGGTACCGGTGACACTCTCACCTACCAGGACCTGCAGATGATGGGCCATGCTGACGTGCAGCAGCAGCAGCAGCAGCCGCAGCTGGGTATGCTGGTCCACGCAACAGCAGAAGGCATGCGTGTGCGTGCGTGGCTGTATGTGTTAAAAGAAATCTGGCATTGTGTGAATGTGTTAGTGTGTATCAACTGACGAGCTCAAGTTAACAAATGTGCTGTTATTAATAATACTGTGTGCGGTGTGCAAGTGTGGGTTCCAGGTTTGCTAGCATGCTGGGCGGGTGGCAGCGGGTTGGCTGCAGCCTCCAGCAGCGCGGGTGGCCTGGTCTGCCTGCGGGCTGGCCAGGGCGCTTGCCTAGTTGCCTTGCTGGCATGGCGTGAGGCTTTCCGTGTGGCTTTTCGACTGTCTGACCCCACCCGTCCCACGAGCTAATGTTTCAGACTGCCTGCATGCGGTATGTTGGTGCCGCGTCCGGTGATCGGTAGCTGCTTAATAAGGGGTATACATACGCATAGCGGGGACCACCATGAATAAGGTGTTTAGATGTCAAGTATTGGTTAAGCCTATTTCACAAGTTGAGATTCCTGATTAGGACCAACTGCTGCTACCTGCACGCTTACTATGGTACCGTTTACTACAATTATTGTTGTTGCCCGGATGGGAAGAGGGCTTTGGGACTGAACTGACGGAGTACAGCTCTTACGGTATCAGGTCCGGCTGCGATGGCCTGAGTTACGCTTAGCGGTATGCTATATATGTACGAGCAATACCCTCCGTACTAACCAGCTGGCTACGAACTATCATATGAGGTTATGAACTTGTGATGACGGCGGCCCTCCTCTCGGCGGCTGCATGAGCGCTATGCACCCTTGTAAGCTGCTCTATCTCTGCTACAAGCCACTTAGGCGGGGTGCCACCGCAGGCGCTGCTGCCAAGCGGCTCCCACGCACCCCGCCGATGTCCACCTGCCGGCCTTCGTGTGGTGACTCACAGTGCCAATGAAATGCCGACTGTTACAACACACTGTGGATGGTACCTCTTGCACCACCGCCACCACAGGGCGGTTCGAAGAACCTAAAACAAGAACGTATGTACTCCTCTGCGCTGTACCCCCGCATGTCTGCCCCCTAGCTCTCCCCCACTAGCCGGGTCCTCAGCTGGAGCCACCGCCCCGCTCGTCCGCACCTCCTCCTCACCACACCTCCACATGACCACACCTCCAGCTGCCGCAGTCCGCACCCCGTGGACCCCGCTCCCGTGGTGAGCTGTGGACTGGGGATGGTGCACTGAACACACACACACGTGCAATCCAGTCCGTTCCTAATCGCGGCCAGTTTTCTTAGCACACGTGCACATGCAGATACAAGGATACCAGTCAAAAGCTCACATACGTTGGCATGCATCTGCCAACCAACACCACTCACCATGCCCCTTCCAAAACCTGCTACCCCCAACCAAGCAAAGCCCTCTCCTCGCCCTCCCCCCTCTCAAGCAACCTCCACTTCCATTTGCGCCCCTCCCCGACCCCCCACTGGCCCTGACGCCCCGCTCCCTGCCTCCGCCTCCGCTGCTGCCTCCGCCTCTGCTGCCGCCGCTGCTGCCAGCCCCGCCAGCCGCTCCTCCGACAGCGGCAGCAGCAGCTTCAGACGGTAGGCGTCCACTCCGTTCAGGTAGTACCTGATGAGGCAAGTGGTCAGGTGTGGTATTCAGGTTGGTAAAATGTGATTGGTACTGGTAGTCTGGTATGGCGTAGCCATACAAGTGAGGAGAGAAGGGAGTCCGGTACGGCAGTGCAGAGGAGGGCGTTAGCTGGGTAAAATGTGTGTTATAATACAACCCATCCCTCCGTGTGTTATAATACAATCCTGCCCTCCGTCATTTCCCGCAGGTGAGGCAGCGCTGCGACAGCCACAGTTCTCCCTCCTTCCCTCCTTCCCAACCTCCTTCCCTTCCCACCCACCGGTGGAGGCGCTTGTCGCGCACGAAGCCCAGTCCCTGGTACAGCTTGAGCGCCCCCGTGTTGACCACCTCCGCCTCCAACACCACCTCCTCGCAGCCGCCCGCGATCATCTCGCGGATAGCCATCTTAACCAGCTCCGAGCCTGCAGCAGAAGCAGCAGCCCGGCAGCACGTCACAGGGCGGAGCAGTAACGTGCAGCTAGGTGTGATGAATGGAACTTCGCAGGGAAAGAGGAAATCGAGAAACATGAGATGGTTTTCTACTGTTCTGAGGCCAATGCATTTTACTCCACAGCTTCCCTATGTGGTATGGGGCATGTCCAGAAACAACAGGGTTCGCGATAGTTCAACGTTTTTTGGGTGGGGTCAAAAGACCGCCAGAAATTGCGGAAGGTCCCGAAGGACACGACCGCGGGGTTGGAAGTTAGTTTTCAACCAGCAATAGTCGCGACTCGGTTAGACCTCACAGTCTGCGACATTGCCCCAAGCGCAAAGATAATGATTCAAGGTTGCAATGGCACCCTAGTCTATTCTCTTGGTTACGCTTTATTCATGCAAGCGATGGTGGGTTAGGAACTGGCTGCCACCCTGACGCCTCCCGTCCCAACAACTGGTCCTGGTACTTCTAATCCTCTAAAACGTATACATTGTGTACTAATTTCTCTTTGCCAGCGGGCTCCGGTTCAGTAACCCGTCCCTTTCCACATCAGTCAAGGGCTACAGCCCACACAGGGCTCAACAAGGGCACGTTGGCTACACAGCTGCCTCTGTCCAGCGCTTGGGTAGATCCACTACCTAACATCTAACGTCTGTCGTTTTTACGGTGTGGAGCGGTTTCTATGAACCCACCGGTTCGGTTCACAAGAATGGACATGGACCAAGGCATGCCCGATGCCATCCATGAACAGGTTGGAAGGTTGGGTACAGTGCCTTTCTCAAGCAATTTTTGTCATCCCAACTCGTAGGTTATAAAGCCAACCTGAACGGAATTGCCCAAGTAATGCCCGCCTACGGGCTGCCCACTGCACACCACTGTTGCATCCATCCATCCATCGAAACGGAGTTCCGCCCCAGAAACGCTGGCGTTTCCTCAGACACCCCCTCCCGATCTATCGCTCTCGCGCACTTCCCCCCTCTCATACATCCCAGCAAGGACTCACCGACGCGCTTTCCACGGTAGGCCTTGTCGACCACAAGCATCGCCACGTAGCCACGCATACGCTCTCTGTGGAGGTCCATCTTGCATACGACTGTTCCAAATGGCTTGTCGCCATCGTATGCAATGAAGCATAGGTGTGGCCACTGGTGCAAAAAGTAGCGATAGGTAAAAATGGAGTACGGTTCGCTGAGCTCCTTATCCACCAAGTCCATGACTACTGGTAAGTCATTTTCGTCTTTATACTGCATGGTCAAAAAGATTGCAAAGGCGTTAGCATAGTTGACGTGCAAGTCCAATGCTTCATCGCCGCCGACCCATAAGGAATTTGCCATAGCTAGCTTGGCAGCATAGCTTACGAAACGATGCCGGGGAGTCCTTACTTGGACGTAGCGAATGCCACTGACAGAGGCTTCGGCACTGCTCTCCAGTCGCTCCGGCCCGCCTTCTGTCGCCATGGTTCCTTGCCTAAATACTTTAAAAAACGTGCTGCTAAGCAGTATGTGCCGCTATTCGTCGTAGCAATTTCCTCCTGGCATGCTTACCAATGGCTCCAGAACCCTGATTGATGACGAATTATGGTACTGTCCACAGCAAGCAGGGCTTAAGCCAGCACAGTCTTTTACAAATGGTATAGCACCACACATTTTAAATGATAGCTCTGCGTCCAAGGCCCCTTTCCTAACGCGGCCGCTCGACTAGTCAAGAGCCTAGAGAAGCTCGCCTGGAACTCTTCTAGACCATTCGTTACACTTCAACCATATTCAGCTAAAACGTGCTTGACATTGGAGTCAGCTGCTGGAGTTCGCTTGCACTGATTGGCCAGCAAGACCCTTGGGACGGTGACGGCAGCACCAGCCAGGGCCCAGTTCACTGTTCAGTCTGCTCGCTCTTTTAGAGAGATCTTTAGCTTTGCAACCATAACAAATGTACTACAACCGGGTGCCAAATGTTGCGGCCGGATTGGCTGCGGCAGCTTTGCCCTATGGACCGGTAAGGCATTGTAGTTGTTATAGCTGCCTTTAAGCACAGGCCAAGCGACGCATAATTTGTACTTTGCACTTTTTTATCGCCTTACCGAAGGATTTAGGTGCGCTACCAGCTCGGCATAAAAGTCATTGATGGCCTCCTCCTGGCATCTCGCTGCTATTCGCATCAAGCAGGCTGCTTGAAGCAATTATGATTCCTTACGCGCCTGCCCACTTCCTTCCGTGACTCTCTTCCTATTCCGATTCGAAACCAACCAACTTTATAACTGCAGGTTCAGACCGGTGTACGACAGCGCTGTGCTAAGCTGCTGCTGGCCTCCCTGCCGGTGCTATTCGCACTCGCATCCTTTGGTAAGTCGCCGAGCGACAATAATAACAACACCCGACACGCCATGCATGCATGGCCGCCACTTTCCCTCCCTCCCAGTATGTGATTAAGAACCCAAGCAACCGGAGCCAGCAGCCTGAGAAACGTCCAGCTCGTACACATGTTGCAAAGGCCAACAAGCAGCTGCACCGGTGCTGCTGCACCAGTGCTGCACCGGTAGTACTACGGTAAACACTCAACATCAGCCCCGGCTGTACGACCCCCCTGCTGGCACCTGCTGGCCCGCAGGCCCCGCGGATGTGCTGGTGGGAGCTCCACACACCCAAGGACACCCGGTAACCGCGATGCCGGTAGGTTAGTTGCATGAGGGCTGGCGGTTCGTCATGTCGTGACTTCGACGTGAGCAATCCTGTGATCCTGTGACCCTGTAATCCTGTAACCATTAGATCCGTGTCAATCCATGGCTTGGAAACCTTGTGGCCTGTGCGTACAGAGTGAAGTCTTTCGGCACTTTACCGGCGCTTCCTTCGAGCCGGGCGGAGACCACGGCATGACTCGCGGCCGACCGACAATAATGACTCAGCAGCAGCACGGCATGACCGTCTCAATGCCTCCCGGAGGAGCTGGAGCTGGCGGCGGTGGAGGGGGAGGAGGAGGTGGACAGCGCATTGTTGCGGCGCCCCCGCCGGCAGCTGCTCCAGTGAGACACGCGCCAGGCGGCCGCACGGGGGCTGCTGTGGGTCCGGCTCTCAGGGAGCAGCAGCAGCAGCAGCAGCAGCAGCAGCAGCAGCAGCGGGCTGCCGCTGCGGCGACGGCCTCACCCGCCGCCGGGACCAAACCGGCTGCCGCCGCCGCCAGGGAGCAAGTGACAACGGGCAGAGGGGAGCCGGCAGGGGCAACGCCGGCCGGGGCGGGTGCGGGTGCTGCCGGCAGGGAGAAGGAGGAGGAGAGGAGGGCGAAGAGGGAAGCCGCGGGTGCAGGGCCGGAGGCGCGACGTCAGCCGTCGGTGCGGGACCTGCAGGCATGCAGCATTAGCGAACTGGTGGAACCGGTTGTGCAGGTGAGAGCGGGGGGTGGTGAGGCGGGTAAGCCCTTGAGAAGGGGGCCGCGCTGGCATGGGTGCTGCTTTGCTGCTGCTGCTGTGGCGGCGGCGGGCGCATTGCAGCATTTGCAGGCCGCTCGCGATTTTGCTTGCCTTGCTTCTGTCTTATATGTCGTTTGCCATTATATCTCATGGCCTGTTGCATGGCACGCGTCTCGCTGCGCTCCTCATGCTTGCAGGCTCTCCAAACCCAGTCAGCAGTTCTGGAACGAGACCTCACCCGCAATGCCGAGTTCCAGGCTCGAGCACGGGATGCCATGCAGCCTGTACGGCAACAGATCGAACATCTAAGGTACGGCAGTGTAGTGCTCTCCTACGGATGGATGTTCTCCAAGGGCTACGATGTACGGCGCATACGATACGTGTCCTTATCCTTCACGATATACGTACTCCAATAGATGCTGTCCTGCTGATGACCCATGGGTCACTTACCGGCGTAACTCCGCACTTATGTGCATGTGTAGGTCAGAGCTGCAGACGCTAGATCAGGACCGCGCCGAGGCGGCGAATGGCGGCGACTACGCCGCTGCTGCCGTACTCCGCCGCCGCATGGACGAGATCTCATTCCGTACGGCAGCCCTGGAGTCAACCGCCGGGGAGCTGCAAGACCAGTTAGATGCGCTAACGGAGGCGGAGGGTGCTGTACGGCAGCAGCAGGTGCACTGCCGTACTCTGCACCGTATTGCTGTACCGCAATGAATTGCAGCACGGTGAAAGATCTACGTCGCCGATATCCATATAAACAGTGGTTTGTGCGCTTGTCGCCAACGAGTGCTTTCCTCCCTGCTTTCCTCAAGTATCAGTATTCTCCTTGTCCTCTTGTCCCAAGAGGAGAATTAACCAACACGAAAGGGCGTGTGGGGCTGCAACCCTGCTGCAACCAAACCTTGCATGCCTTGCATTGCACCTTGCATGCAGGCGGGTCAGCTGCTGTGGCTCAATACCGAGTTGCGGAGCCTGCTGGAGGCTGCGGAGCTCACCATAAGACGTCTGCAAGCCGAGCAACATCAACTGCAGGTATGGACGTTGTGTACCGGTAATGAGAGCACACTCGTTTGCACCTGCGGGCTGGGAAGTGTCGCACGTACCCGGCATGCCAGGGGCGCTCTGCCTAGCTAGGCCCTGACCCGCTACGCTGAACGGGGAAGGGGAGTGACGATGCGAAGTGATGAGCTGCTCACTGTTCATGATGGCGCAGGTAGTCTTCTGATGGGGTAATGGCACTCTTAACAACCGATTGCGACTGTTCCGTGTACGACACCGCATACCGTACACCCCGCCATCTGTGCAGGGTCGCGTGAAGACCGCCACGCAAGCGCGCGCGGCGCTAGGCCAGGTAGGTTGTGCCCTTGTGCTGGGAGGTGCCGGGAAGTGCTCTCCGGCTGGTGTGCAGCAATAGGCTTCCTTTTGCATTTGTGCCGTCCCTAATCGGACAGCCTATCCAGGGGTACCGTGAGCATGCCACTTTACCGTAGTCAAACCAAAGGCTAATCCTCCTTAAAGGTGCTCTATTTGAAAACAAAATGATAATCGCTGCGTTGCGTCACATGCAGGCTCTTTCCCAGCATGCCCAGTCACTGGATGTGCGGCGGGAGTTGCGGGATCTGGCGGAGGCGGCGTCGGCGGAGGAGCAGCGCGCAGCAGCGGATCTTGAGGCTGACAGGTGGGGCTGATGACCCATGGGTCACGATGGGGGCACCCACTCTTTGCAAGATATGCCTGTGACGGAGCGTTGCATTGACGCTGGCTATACCGCACTTATGCTTCCTAAAGCGCGCGGAAACACGACACCATGCACACCGGTTGCAAGGAGGTATCAACTTACCAAGGAGGCATCAACTTACCGTATCGGTTCTTGTACACTCCGGTGTCCATAAGGCCTGTGCCCTTCTGTGCCGCCCCCCCACCCCCAACTCACGGTTGGTTGCAGGGCCGCCAATCGAGCCGTGCTAGCGGACGCTGCCGCACTCATCGTCAATCTCACACGCGCCGACTCACTCACTCGAGCCGCGGCATTGGAACTGGCGCTGCTGCGGCGGCAGGTGGAGCTCGCATTGCAGCTGCAGGTGCGTGTACGTGTGTAGGCGTGGAGACGGGCTGTCGTGTCGTGTCGTGGGGGGGTGTAGGGAGGTTGGAACTTGGAGGGAGCTGATGCACGTGGATATGCAGACTGCATAGGGTTCATAGCTGGCAGAAAGCTCCATTCACAACTCAATGCAACAACACAAGGCGTGAAATAATAGCCTTTTGGATGTAGTTCCTGGTTCGTAACCGCGCCAACTGCTAACTGCCATCCAACCGCTAACCGTCACACACACACACACGCAGGATTACGAGCACGCTCAGCGGCTGACAGCGGCCGTGAAACGGCTCCAAGCGGCCGAGGAGGAGAGCGCGGACAGCGCCGTGAGCTTTGAGAAGCTGTTAGGGGCTGAGGAGGCTCTCGTACGGCAGTAAGTCGTACTGCTGCTAAGTGCTGATGAGTAGGATGGGTTGTCGTACATGTTGTCCTACATGATGTATGCCCTATTCTACCGGTATATAAGTTTGATCATGTTGTATCAGTAACGTGGCTTGTGCAGTTCTGGAAAAGATATCTTGTGTTTCTGTTGGTACCTCAACGCTATACGTGTCTGCGGACTACTGCCCCCCTGCGCATAGGCGGCTTGAGGATTTCAAGCACCACCTGAGTCGGTTCCAGCGCTCTTCGGAGCTCGTACGACATGTACGGGACCTCCGGGATATGTACGCTAGCGGCGAGGTGGGTTTGGGGAGTTTGGGAGGGAGGGAGACAGGGAGCGTGCAGGCGAGTGTGTGTGTGACCATGCATGGGACCAAGTCGGGCTTGAACACGCGGCGTGGGTGCATACAAGCCGATGTGACTGTTGGAAGGGGTGTAGACCACCGTACTGTGCAGGTGAATGGATGTAACGGCCATCCATTCATTGATCCAACCATTCACCCAATCATCCAACCACCCCGTTCAGGTGGACGAGGGTGAGGCCATGAGTCTGGCCGCCAAGCTGGGGTCGGCGCTGGAGCAGCTGGCAGCCGCTCAGGCGGCCCGGCTGCTGGACCGGGAAGAGGCGGAGGCGGCGCTGAAGGAGGTGTTGGCGTAGCCGGAGGGGCGGGGGGATGCGAGTGGTAATATTAAGGAAACTGACGAGGGTGGGGGGTGGTGAGAGAAAGCAAACGCTGGGGCGTGAGGGAGTGGGAGGTGGGAGGGAGCGGTATTTGCCGTACATGGGGTGTGCCATTGTTTGGTAATGGTATAGAGATACTCTGGGGGGATGATGAACGGTTGCATGACGGCGGGACGGCTTCAACGTGGCGGCATTACTGCTGCATACTCGTGTAAGAATGATGGCGGTGCGGAGGAGGTCGGGTGATTGCTGCTGTTGTTGGGGTCCCCTCTTGTTAGAGCCGGATGCCGCTACTGGGTTAATAGGATTCGATGAGCTAGACAGTGAGAAGGCGGGAAGGTGTTTCCGCGCCCCCCCCTCCCGGCCCAGGATGGCTACCCAGTGTTGCTGTTCACCCCTTGTACAGTTGTGCCCTTGGCAGGCTGGGGATGTTGCTACCGTTGGAGCCGTTCAGGGAGAAGACGTGCATGTGAGGAGGGTTGCAATGTGATACCGGTATACGTTGAAGGCGGTGTTCTCTGCCTGTTGTGAAGCCTGGAGCTCCTGAGAGTGTAACCCCGCCGCCGTGTGGCTCTCCGCGTGTCGTACACTTGTAGTACTGACAACTCCTGACAATCTTAATACCGGTAGCATCTATACTGCATTATCTTCCATGACGGGGGCAGCTGCTGACCAACGGCTGGTGGTCCCTGGCGTTTAAGCATGACGGGCCTGCATGACATGACGACTCGAATGCATATTCCCCTTACTGGAGAGGTTGCTTTTGAAGTCGGCGTTGCCAAAGGAGGAGGGGCTAAAGCGGCCAAGGGCGTTGCGCGCCCAACTCGAGCCTGCTTACAATACCTATACGCAAGCAATGCCTTGCAAGGCCCCTGAGGCCAATAAGCTAACCTTCCCACGCTCCCTCTCATTCTATGCACCGCAGAACATATAACCCATCCTGATTACCCCCATCCTGCACTGCACATTGCACCTGAAACTGCATCCGCGGTCTGGAACCAAGAACCAAACGTGTTCACGCGCCACGAGGAACGGGTTTTACCGTTACCCTGCAAGCCGCCGCACCGTCATCTGATGCTACTGATGCCTTTAATGTTCGGCGCTTCTTCTATGACGGTCACAGGCCCTGCTTTTGTACCTGCTGCTAGGTTACCCCTGTCGTGCCCGCCGATGACCCACGGGGCTGTTGTTGCTCCTCTGCTTTAGCCGTGCTGCGGCAGTTGCCGTTGCTGCCGCCGTCACGATGGTGCTACTGCAGCAGCTCATCTGCAAACATGAGCCTCCCAGAGGCACCAACTCCCGCAACTGCTGCTGCTGCACCTCCTGTTCCCACCGCTTCCGATCCTGCTGTCGCGACGTCGTCCCCACCTGCTCCTGTCCCAGACCCCAGCCCTGGCTGCTCAGGCTGCTGCACGGATGCGAGCGACTGCGGCCCCCCACCCAGCCCCACATCCTGCATACCTGACATCAGGTATTGCTGCTGTTCCTGCTGTTGCAGCAGCTGCAACTGTCCTGACTGCTGATGCTGGAACCCTAGCTGCTCCTGCTGCTGCTGCTGTTGTGGGTTTAGAAGAGGTTCCTCTTCATGTTGCCGCTGCTGCTGCTCGTCAGCTGCAGCCAGGGCGGCGAAGGGGCTGCCCCCGCTACCGCCCTTGCTGCCGCCGCCGGCTGCTGAACCAGCGGCGACAGGTGTGCTGACGGGGGCAGCGGAGCTGCTGCCATCGCCACCTCCACCGCCGCCGCTGCTGATACTGTTGCCAGCGGCTCCGATAGGCACACCATTCAACGTGGCAATCGTGAGACAGGGCACGCCGCCTGTGTCTGCCGTGGATAGCGTGGTGGGGCGGTCGGTTATGTTGACAGCAAAGGTAACACCCATGCCGGAGGTACCGATGGGCAGTAACGGTGGCGGTTGGCGTTGTACAACGTAAGCCTCGTACTGCCGTACTTGGGCCGCGCGGAAAACCTTCATTAGGGCTCCAAAATCGGCCCATGAGGACGAGGACGATGCAGCAGCAGCAGCAGCAGCAGCAGCAGTGGCGGGTTGCGAGTCTTCTGGCGCGCGTGGGGCAGGCGCTTGTGATGAGGAGGTGCCGAGGGAGGCACCAGGTGGGGGCTGCCCCAGACTGCTGGCCCCAAGACCGTTATCGAGCTGTAGCAGCTGAAGCGTGGGAACAGCCTGTTGGAGAGGGGGGAGGGGAGAGGGGGGGATGCGCAGCAGGGAATGTGGATATACGGTACTGAGCAGGGTGGAATCATGCGCCACCCCTGTTCCAGGCGGTCCGTGTGTTTCATCAGGTCATCACGGATCAGTTAAATCGCCATCCCTGCCGCGACCCTCGCACAACACCATAAGTCCCCCACCCATACCGGTAAGCAATTAACATTCAGCGGAATCTTAATCAATCAACTTGCAGCGGAATCACCCGGCCCCTCCCAACGGCCCCACCTACCCCCCCCCCCCCAACCGCGCCCCACCTGCAGCCGTGTATTGAGCATCCTGAATGCGTTGCACTGCGGCAGCAGCATCAGCAGCCCGTACAGCGCCCGCAGCAGCGCGGGGTGGCGCCGCGGCTCCAGCAGCTGCAGCCGCAGGAAGGTGAAGCAGGGCGTCTCAAGCAGCGCCACCAGCCGGTCGATCTGCGGTGGGCGGGAGCAGCGGGGCAGCGGGGTTCGGCAGGGAAGGACAGGGCAGCAGCGGGGTAGGGCAGGGCAGCATTTGTGGGGGGCGGAGTCAACATAGGAGAGAGCATCCGGCGAGGCTGGGGGGCGGGGGGTTTGGAAAGACATCAGGGCAGCAGGGCAGGGGCGGCTGCATGGACGGAGCAGGGCAGATAATAAGCAGAGGGCAGACGGAAGGGGGTTGGTAGGGTTGTTGTGGGTGTGAAGAGGGTTTACCATGCATGGGAAGGTTAAAGAGAGAGGGGACGGGAGCCCCGGTTGGCCAGCAGACTGTGGTGGGCTAATCCCAAGGAACGACATGGGGGGTGGGGGGTGCTGTGGGTTCAGTTAAAAGCCTCCCCCTTACAGAGCAGCAATCCCCACCATTACCCCCCCCCTGCCCCTTCGCTTCGTGACAAACTGCTTTCCTCTATCCCCATGCCTTTGCCCTTACCCGTAGTTTCGGTATATATCTCTGTCCCCCCTACCCCACCCCCACCAACCCCACCCCCCTCGCCCCACCTGCACCAGCAGCTCCGCCCCAAAGGGCAGCTCCGCGAATGCTCCCACCACCTCCACCGCGTGCTCGTACGCCTGCGCCACGAAACACAGGCTCAGCAGCGCGCCCGCGCTGGTGGCCCAGGAGGGGTATAGCACGCGGAAGAGCTGGGCGCCGGCGGGGTCCTGGGAGGCCCGGCGCAGCTGGTTGCGCAGCTCGGCGAGCTGGGGGCGTGGGGGGGGCGGGAGGAAGGAGGGTGGGGGGTGGGGAAGGGGGTAAGGAAGGGGAAAGTGGGTGAGAGGAGAGGGGATCGCGGAGTGGGAGATTTTACGTGCGACGAGCAGAGCCGCCGAATATTCGCTCGGTAAAAGGAGCAGCAAAAGGGCAGCAAAAGGGAGAGGGGAAGGCAAGCCGCGTAGCAGCAGCAACAGCAACACCACCAGCAAGAGCAGCAGCAGCAGCAGCAACGGCGGCAGCACTCACCTCCGGACCCGTCAGCAAGATGAGGTTCAGCACCTGCGGGGGGAGGACAGGCCGGGGAAGGGCGGAGGAGCAGCGAGGGGTCTGTGGGGCCATGCGCACAGCCCGACGTAGCCCGCTGTGCCACGAAACCATACCGGTGACCCAGTGCGGGTAACTGAGGGATGCTTTAAACGTGTAGTGAATTGTATCAGATGTCTCCACCTTTCCTCTTTCCCCCCTCTACCCTGCCGCTTCCTGTCCCAAAACTGTCTTTGCCCTAACCTGGTTCGGTACGACCTTTTGACACCCACCCACCCCCCAGTTGCTGCACTTCTCATTCACATGTTTTTTACCGCCGCCCCCCCATCACCACCCCCTGCCTCCTCCTCCTCCCCCCCCCGTGCCTCCGATTCTATCCCCATTGTCTTGCCCCAACCTGTGGCTTCCTATGGTTCGGTATGGTCTTTGACCCCCCGTGCCTCCTCTTCCCCCTCCTCACCGACACCATGGTCGCCGCGAAGCCCATGTCCCGCTCCGCCGCCAGGATGCCGCTCAGCTCCGTGAGCACCGCGCCCGCGCCCAGGTGCCCGCACAGCCGCCGCACCAGCGAGGAGCCGCTGCGCTGCAGCAACGAGAAGCCCGACTCGCCGCGGAAGCGGTCCAGCAGGGAGACCAGGACGGGGCTGGGGGGGCGGGATGGGGCAGTGGGAAAAATGAAATTCCAAAGTGTGGTGTGATAATGATACAAGTTGCTGACATCCTATGGGGTGGGGTGGCGCATGGGTGCATGAAGAGTCATCGAAACGCAAGCAGGGTAAGCAGCTTGGGCTCATGGTAGACTCATGGGTGTTGGGGTGAGCGACTCGACCCGACTCGGTTCACAAGGGGCTTGCTACCTGGGCACGTATCCGCAGGTACCGAGCAAGCACCAGCACACATACAGCCCGAGCCCCTTGCCCGCAGAGGCATGCATGCATGTGCTGACATACAGCACATCCAGCGCATTCCATTTGGGACGCGCCATCATCCTCCGGTACACAGACGAGGTCAGCGTCAGTGTTTCCGGGCGGCTACGTTTATCTAATAATCCCTCGCATTTGTGGCATGCATGTCGCATGTCCCCGCTAGGCATGCGGGGGTCTTACTTGAACTGCCCCGGGCAGTCCGCCAGCGCCGCCATCACCCCCAGCGCGCTGGTGACCACCGCGTCGGAGGGCGCGGAGAGGGAGTCCAGCAGCGGGGGCAGCAGCCGGCCAACCTAGGGAAGGAGGAGGAGGAGGAGGAGTGGTGGGAGGAGGGGATACCATTAAGAGCAGTTGGTTAGGGCTGTTGGTTAGCAGCAGGGTGTTTCGCTGTGACACCCCCCCCCAGCCCCAGCCACAACCCACCTGTGCTAGTACAAGGTCCTGCGCCCGCGCCAGCAGGAAGTGAAGCCAACGCAGCGCTTCAAGCCTGGGGAAGGGGAGGAGCAGGAGCAGCACGGGGAAGGGGGTACGGCATGGGAAAGGGGAGGAGCAGGAGCAGGGAGCAGGAAGGGTAGGAAAGGCGGCAGGGATAAGCGGCTGGTGGGGATGGGAGAGTTCAGCTGAGAAACCACTGCTGCAGGCATGCAGGGAGCATGAGTGTTGAGTCGCCATTCGCCCCATCCCCCCTTGTAGCAAGGTCCCTCCAACTCACCCTCCCGGGCGACCCACCAACCCACACACCCGCGCCCCCTCCCCATGATGACGCCTTACCACAGGGTCAGTTAGTTGTTTCTTCATTACCCACCTCCACCTTTGCATTTATTATATAATCCCCCCCCCGCCCTCACCTGGTCGCCTCCATCTCGCTCTTCATCTCCAGGATCACAGTCCCCAGAATCGCCGCCATGTCGATACTTCCACTGCTCCCGCTGCTGCTACCCACTGCTGCAGCTCCCCCGCCCACGGAGCTCTGCTGCAACGCCGTCATAGGTCCCCTCTGCCCCCCTTGCTGCTGCTGCTGTTGCATCCCCCCCTGCTGGATCACCCCCTGCTGCTGCTGCTGCGGGTCCGTCACCTCCACCTCCAGCCTCAACAACGCCGCATTCGCCTCCGCACACTCGCGCTGTATGTCGGCATTGTGGGAGGAGATGTTGAACAGCACCACCCCCAGGATGGCGGGCACATGGGGCAGGATGCGCGCGGGTGCAGCCCCCACGAAGGAGCGCAGCCAGTGGATGGCGGTGAGGCGGGTGAGCTCGTCGGGGGAGGAGGAGCGCTCCACAAGGGTGGAGGTCAGGCGGGAGAAGAAGTCCTGGGAGAGCTCGGCGGGCGGGCTGGCGCGGACCTCGGAAAGGAAGTCCTGGGGAAGGGGGGAGGGGAGGGACCGGTGAGGAGGAATGAGGTTACGGGGAGGGAGCGGTGGAGGAGAGGTGGCTGCCAATAACCTGCCAAAGACACAGGTGTATATCCTCTTCACCCCTTCTCAACCCCTGTTTCGCCTACCCAACCCAACCCAACCCAGCCCAACCCCTTTCCTCCTCCTTGAGGGCATATGGATCCCATTGTCCCGCCAACCTAGGGCCACCTCCTTGACTCCTTGGGGCAGGGCGGAATGGGCCGGCTACCCCACGGGTCCTCCTATGGTCACGGTCCGTGTTTCCTCGCGGCTCAGCTTATCTAACCCCCTCCCCCCTCACCTTGCTCCCATTGCTTTGCCCTAACTTGTGGTCTTCTATGGTTTGGTATGGTCTTTGACCCCCCCTCACCACACGTCATACAACCTAGGTCATACAGCCCCGTCCGTTTCCCTGTCAGTTTCCTCCTTGTTACCCCCTCCACCTCACCTTGAGGCAGTTTCCAACCCAACCCGCGCACCCCCCCCGTCTCGTCATGAGTTCGTCAGTTTCCTCACCTCTTCCCCCCCCCCCCCCCCCCCCCCCCTCACCTTGAGGCAGTTTGCCGCCTGCGTGCGCACCTCCCGCACCGGCTCCGCCAGCATGCCCAGCAGCCCGTCCAGCAGCGCGGGGAGGTGCCGCAGCATGCGCACGTGCGGCAGGCTGTCCAGCACCACCACCCAGCTCAGCAGGAACTGGCGCTTGTGCGGGTTGGTTACGCGCAGGTAGTCGCGCAGCTTGGGCACGAAGGCGGCCACGTCAAAGTGCGCGCAGTCGGCGGCGATGTCCTTGATGAGGGCGTCCAGGAATTGAACGGCGTTTTGGACGTTGGACTCGCTGTCGGCGCACAGCCTGTGGGGTGGTGGGGGTAAAAAAAGAAATGGGTGGGGGTGGGGGGGAAGGTTACTAGGGATGCGTAGTCCGCATTAGGCTGGCTTATAGGATTGCGTTTTAGTCAAACCGTGTGTGAGGGGTGGGGAGGAGGTAGGAGGGGAGAGTTGAAGGGTGAATGGGGAGGTAAAGGAGGAGGAGAAACCTGAGCTGCCATGCGTGGCATGGGATTGGGGTGCAGTGGTGATGTGGGTCGGAGGGGAAGAACAGGAGAACGGCTCTTCTTTAAGGGTATGGGTTACACACACCGAGACACTTCCCCATGGGTTTCATGGGGAAGTCAGGGTTGAGGAGGTGAACACATCCATTCCCGATCTGGGTCAGAGGGCATGTGGGTTCAGGGCGCATGCGAGAAGCGAGTACTATAAGAGTACTACCTCCCAAGGGGCTGCGACACCCATCTGTGCAAGTTCCGTCGGCTAACCTAGCACCCAACACCGGATTGGATCACACCGACAAAACATTTGACGACCAGACGGCCGCCGACAGGAATTATGAGATCCATAACCCCCCTGCCGCTGGGTGCACCTGAACATGGCGTCAAAGACCTCATTGAAGAACAAAATGAAGGTGCCCCGGGCAACCTGCAGCAAGCGCAGGTGAGAAGGGGAGTGATTCGTGGGAATACATGGAGGGGGGCTGCAGCAAAGGGGACCTAACAAACCGCACATGGCTCTTCAATCCATTGCATTTTGGGGTAACCTTCCCATTGTGTTGCACCGCAATGCCTTGGCACCGCTGATCAGTTTGACCGAAGGCTGCTGCGTACCTTTGCGATGTTGTAGAGCGCCTCGCATGCATAGTAGCGCACTCGGGCGTCTTGGTCCGTAAAGGACGCCAGCACCGGCGGCACAATTTGACGCAGGTGAACCTCTGTGGGGTCGGAGAGGCCCACCGCCGTGGCAGCCAGGCACAATAACGCGCCCTGGCAACGGGTGGAGTGGATGGAGGAGGCATGGGGGATGGGATGTGAGGCCAAGCATCGAGTTTGACATGCTTCGCTTTGACATACGTGCTTTGCCAGCATGCTAGTGTAGAAGGCATCTTCATAGATTCGCCCGTGGCAAACATAGGAAACGTCGCGCATCCCGCCCAGGCTTCTCTACCTTGCGGTGGTTCGCCTGACTAGAGAAGGCATACTCGCTGATCAGCTTGTCGATAATAAGTCGGATGCGATGTTGGTCGTTTTGCGCGGCCAAGCGCTTAATAAGCTGCTCAACATCTAACGCTGCAAGCTTGCGCTTTTCGTAGAGCTTATCGCCAATCTGCCTAAGCACAGTCGCCGGCAGGAGTTCCTCAGATGCCACCATATTGTCTATTTAATTGCAACAGCGACCTGCCGGTTAGGAAAGATGGTGTCTTCACGATGAGCTCATTTATATAGGCTTTGTCGATGCAGGTATGCAAGGTATTGATCCTTATCTTTAGCTTAACAAAGATATAAAGCACAATTGGAGCTGGAGCGGAATTTGTACCGACGGTGAGATTGCATGCTCTTGCCTGAAACATACGGTACGCTACCCGATGCTCCCGAGTACTGTACTAGTAACAAGATAAAATTCGTGTGCTTGTTACAGGACTCATTTTGCGTCGCACCGGCCCTTGCCCTATCATAGTCCCGCCGGGTCACAAGTGCAGGACTTGAACGTGGAAGCCGTCACTTAATACCGGTAGGCAAGCAAAGCCTACTCAAATTCACCTAGAAATAGCCCGGAACCGCGACCTAGCAAGGTCTTGCGCACCACTAAACGACCGCCCGAATCATAAGCTGCAGGAGTGAACAACAACACCCAAATCACGATTACAAATACCTGCTGGCGCCAGCAAATGCCGCGCGTATGAGCGTCGGCGCACATATCTAAACCTTCTTAAGTGACATGTCGGTACGACTGGGTCCGAGCCTCCGAAACCACACTTCTGGGCACAACTGCCCAGGCCTTCAGCAGCACACAGAGGAGAAAGGAGCCCACCGGCACACCAGCCCCTGTGCAGCTACCGGTAAGACCGCAGGTAACACACCGCAAGCTTCTTCTTCTCCCTGAAAGAAACAACTCGAGCAGCCACCTCCCACATGGCACATTTTCACCCATGGGTTATGCTCACGCAGCCACGACACCGCAGCAGCTGCACCGCAGCAGCACCTAATCTCCCGACCATCCAGTACGTTCCTACTCGCGGCCAGTTTTCTCTTAACACAAGCACGCGTGCGTGCGCAACTGCTTTGCACACGTGGAGCGCGGGATACCCTAATAATGACGTCTAAGCGTCATGCTGCAAGCGGGGGGCGCTCCATGATGGTGTTTTCTTACTGCTGTTAAGTGCCGTACTTTACTGCTTGGCGTACTTGAGGATGGGCGTTATGAGGTACGACAGTGCAACGGGCAGCGCATCCTCCGTACGCAGCCGCAGCGTGCCCAGGTGCGGCGTGGTGTTGAGGTAGAGGTTGAACACGTCCTGTGGGGACGGACCGAGCGAGCGAGCGAAAAAGCGACAGCGACATCAAAAGATTAAAACTAACCAGGCCCCAAAGCAGACTCTCTCTCTCCCGCCATTGTGTTAGCCATGTATGCGTGCATGCAGGGATAAAAGCAAGCCAGGCCAACGCCAGGTGCAGGCACCTGCTAGCCAAACGCACCGTCAGGAAGCCCCCCTCTCAGGTTCATCCAGCCACCCTAAGCCCCCGGGCCGCCCCAGCTCCCCCCCTTCACCCCTGCTTGTCTCGTCTTGTTTGCCATTCTCATTGAACGCATTGGGTATCCTCCGTTTCCCGCCTCCTGCGTGCGGCTGAGTTCCTGGCTGATTACCCACCTGCGGCGCCTTGTGGTCCCAGTCGGGCACTCGGCTTATCAGCTGGTCCAGATCCTGTGCGGGCTGCTGCTGGGAGGGAGCAGCAGCCGCACCCGCAGCAGCGGCAGCGGCGGCACCACCCTGCTTCTTGTCCTTCTTGCCCGCCCCGGCCCCGGCCCCGGCTCCAGAACCGCCTCCAAACACGATCAGCGCGTGTTTGAATCGCGGCAGCACCAGTTCGACGGGGTCGGTGGGCGCTCCTGCGCGGCTGCTGCCTGCAGCGGGTGGGCAGCGGGTGTGGAAACATGAATGAAAAGCGAATGAAAAGTGAAGCAACGGAGTGCAGCAGCGGGGAAGGAGGAGCAGCGGGGGGAGGAGCGGGGGCAGGAGAAGTGCCCAAGAGCATGCCCCCCACCCCTCGCAAAACCCCCACCTACCTGCTCTCATTCTTCCCCCGCTTCCCAGCCCCCCTCTCGCTAACCCATACGCTAAAGCGACCACCCGGTCTAACGCGGAATATGCATCCGCACCAATCCCCAGCTCCCCCGCCCCTCTCCCGCCCCACCAATGGTGAGGTCGTACTGTCCGCTGCTGCTGACCGCCCCCTCCTGGAACACGCGCTGCAGCCCCAGCGACAGCCGCACGCAGTAGCCCCAGTACAGACCCAGCCGCACACGGGGCTCGGAGGGGGGGACGGCCTGGGGGGAAGAAGGAGATGGAGAAGGGGAACGAGAAGACCCGATGCGTTGAATGGTAATAGTGACTCTAGCAACGGTAATGGTAATGGTAATGGTAGCTCCCTAGGTGACAAGCTGCTGGGGAATGGAATCGAGGCAAGTGTGTGTAAGCGGCCGTGTATGGCGGGAGACCCCAGAGGAGGCGGCGGTGGGGAACATCCGTGCCCAGGATCATGGTTTCGGAAACCTACCGTGCCGAGAATCATGGTTTCGGAGTAGGCCTCCATGAAGCGTGTGGCGGGCTCCGTGTCGCCCATGTGCACTGTGACGCGGGTGGACTGCGGAAGAGGAGGGAAGGAGAGGGGAAGAGAGGGTGGAAGGCATGGGAGGTCGAGAAGGACAGTTCGGCTTGTTTGTGAACAGGTTGGCTCCCGCATTTGCAGTAACCAACCACATCGGGGAAAAAACCAACCCACGTGGGCATGTGCAAGGCAGGCGGGCAATACAGTCCAAACCGCAGGCTTCATTCATTTCCCAAGTAAAACGAGATACCAGCAATAAAGAAGGCAAGGTGGTCAATAACAATAACAGCACCCACCTGCGGCAACTCATGCTCCAGCCACACCATCCGATCCATCCCCACATCTACGTAGCTGCCGGCGCCCGGCTCCGACTTCAGTACGACACCCTCCCGGTACGGAATCCACGCGGCGCTTGGCCTTGCGTGGTGCGGTGGATTGGGCGCCGGAAGCGCGGCCGCAATCCGGAGCTCGGGATGCGCTTGCATGATGTTGCTATCATACATGTTGGGTCGCAAGTGTGGCGGTGTGTCCAAGAACTGGAGCACACGCGCTAAAAGAGCTGTTCCTGTGCTGACGCTTGCGGAACGCTGTCCTGGCTGGTAAGCTGTTGCCGCAGGTGAATCGTCGTACACGACCACCTCATCGACCTGGAAGGCTGCGGCAGTGCGGGCAATCTGGGCGGCGACGAAGACTGCGTACTCCAGAGAGGGAGGGTTGTCTAAGAGGGTTCCAGGAAGCGCGATGCTGAGCGTCCATTTGCGGCCACTCGGCCCGGCATCATCGCCAACGGCTTCTGCGCCCTCAGTGTTGGCGGCGGCATCAGAAGGGGCAGCAGCCGAATCTGTTTCAGGTGCATGATCGCGTTTCTGCTTCTTGCTTTTCTTGTGCTTTTTGCTATCGTCTGCCATTACTACCCTGACGAGCAGCCGCCAAGCGAAGGCGCGCAGGTAGACTTAAAGGTGGAGGTACAACTAACACGGCAATAAGGACAACTTATACAAATTCGCACTTAATGCTTCCGCAACAACGCAAGCGCAATCAGTTAGAAGTGCCAAAACCTTTTTTCACCGAAAGTCCGATTTTATGCAAGCAACAAAGTTTCCAAGAGGCTGTAATGCGGCATGGTCGGCCATCGGCACATTTGTCTCTTGGTACGGCAGCTGAAGTTTCTCGGTCGTTTGCAGATGGATTGCTGTTACCCTTAAGGGTTAAGGTGTATAGTTGCAACCGTTGTTGGGGTTTACACCCCTTAATTGTGTCGAAGCTCTATGCTTGCATTACAATGACTAAGGCTATCTGTCGCGCGTTGGACCTTGTGTTTACACGCTTCACCCACCTTCTTGCAAACAGCCTAACAGGTGCGGTAATCGGCCTGCCTTCTAGATGCCTTGTCTACGGCCCACGGGACTCGTCGTGTGCCAATCCTTGGCTCCTTGAAGGTAGCAGCTATTCATCTAAGTAACCCAATTCCTAACTTCACTCTCCCCACCTGGGGCCCATCTCCTCGCCTCCCCTAGTTTGCCCGTTCCTACGAATCTAAGTGCAAAAGAAAGAGGGAGCATTGGCTGCATGCATGGCTTCATGCAGCGGACCTATGAAGTGTTTCTGGCTGAAGCAAGGGACGGTGAATGCGTAGAGATGAGTGTAGAAAGAGGAAGGTAGGTAGGTTGCAAGACACTGCCCAGAGTGTTACATGTTTCGCAGGACGCAGGTAGTATACGCAAATGCCGATATTGGGACATACCGGTATTCCAGGTTATGTACAATTGTCCCGAGCACATCCGGTTCTCGTACGCAACATCCCGCCCGCATGTACCCCCCCGCATCCGCATCCGCATGTGTGGCAACCCGCTGCCAACACAGCCGCCTGCACGCTTCATCGCACTCGCAACACCAACAAACGAGTGCTCATACGGTATAATACCCATTCGCAAGGCACGCAATGTGCTACTCCAGCACCCGCAAATCAAACTATTACTATTCCTATGGCTACAACTGCACTAAGCCCTGAACGCGCGCGCGCTTGGATAAAAGTACGGTACCCCGACTTTCCAATCAAAACAGGGCGTGTATCGCGAACCTCGCGTTCAAGCTCTCCACTTTGCCGTGCGGTAGCAAAATCCGCCCCACGATTCCCCTTTTTTCCTTCCCCCACTGCTAATATCACCCTCAAACACCAAGCTCAAGCTGCTCGCACATCAAGCGTCGGGCTTGAAGGTTGCGCGCCCCTCGCTGTGCTTCTCGTAGTGCGCCTTCACGCGCGGCTCGCTGGCGACCTTGTTGCGGAAGGCCTTCAGAGCGGGGTAGTTCTCCAGCAGGGTGGTGGGAATGCCTGTGGCAGTAGCAGTAGCAGTAGCAGTGGCAGTAGCATCAGCAGCGGGTGGTGGGTGGTGGGAAGGTGGAGGGGTTAAAGTTGGGGGTCAGAAGGGTAAGGTACCCCAACTAGTTATGACAAGGGCTCGAAAGCATGACCGCCATGACGCCGGGGTCAAGGTAGACCAGTAGCCATGAACCAAGTCAAAAGACCTTGGGCAGGCCTGCATGCAGGCCTGAGTGCTCGTGGACTTCCGACAGACAACAACCCCCCTGTATTGTTAGCCAAGACAAATTTAGCAACCGCAACGCAACGTAGCTAGCTACCATTCCACTACTACCATTCCACCACCACCCGCCACAGCAGCCCCCTGCAGCTGTCTACGTATTGCTCCTCGCAACGAAACGAGCCCACATGGCCTCGCCGGTAGTAGGGCCCGGTGGCGCCCCCTGCACCCCCACACCGCCCTGATGGGTGATGACCCAGCATCCAGCCATGCTCATCCCAGCCAGATACACACCCATCCCCCGCCCGCTGCCCTGCCCTCTGCCACCTGCCCCCTGCGCCCTGCCACCCACCATCGAGGAAGCCGTTGATGAGGCCGCTGAGCATGGTGAAGATGGTCAGGTCGGCGAAGCAGAGCTGCTCGCCGGCGATGAAGGCGGGGCCGGAGGCAACCGGCTCCTGCGCAAAACCAAGTGGGGAGCGCCGGTGGTAGTAACAGGAATGAGCGTCACAGACAAGGGTGAGAGGATACCGTGCAAACGGATACCGCGCGCGAGGGAATCTCACATCATGATGAGGAAAGGATTGAGAAATGAACTGATGAAGGGTATGAAACGGGGTACAAGCAAACCCCCAGCCGCCCACCCCAAACCAGCCACCACCTCTAGCCTCCTCTGATGACGCCTTACCACACGGCCAGTTAGTTGCTTCCTCTTTACCCCAAACACCACCCCCGCCTCGCCAGGGTATCAAACGTTCAACCCCTAGCCGCCCACCCAAAACCCAAACCACCCCAACTCCCACCACCCCCGTCTCACCAGCAGCTTGTTCAGCAGGCGCAGCTTCTCCCCTCCCTTGCCCGCCAGCAGCTCCTGACGTGCCGACACCTTGGCCTCCGTGGTGGGCAGGTACATGGTGGTCACCAGCAGCTGGGGAGAGGGGTGGGAGGGGTGGGAGGAGGGGAGCAACATGACCATGTTGGGGGAAGACAAATGAGGAAAGGGAAGCAATTCAAGTCCCAATCCAGCATCCCGGCTCATGCAGTGAGCGGGGGTTGGGGCTGGGGGGCCAAAGACACCGCACCGGAACCATAGGAAACCACAGGTTACGGCAAAGCAATGGCGCCCATTCCCATATCCCCACTCATGCAGTGGCGGGAAGGAGGACGACTGGAGGAGGAGGGTTGAGTTGCGTTCTTCCCTCCCTTCTGTCCCTCCCCGCCTGGCCCCCCCCCCCGACCTTACCTCCAGGAACTCGTTGGCCAGGAACACCGCCTGGTCAGCGAACGCGGCCTGCAGCGGGTCCTGGGGATACAGACCCGCCAGCTTGGCCACGTAGCGGTCTGGTGGAAGGTTGGAAGGAGGGAAGGAACGGGAGACAGATGCTGCGAGTTAATATTATGTGTGTCGTGATGTGTTGCGTTCTGTTGCGAGCGGGCGTAGTAGTGAAACGAAAATGTTGAAAGCTGCAGATGGTTCAACCGTCCAAATGTCTGAGCGTACATATCGCTTTAGCCATCGCATTACTACTTACCGATGGCACCGCTCTGAGCGAGCATCCTGCCGTCGGGTAGCTCTAGGACTGGGACCTGGCCGAAAGGCATCTTCGGCTTCGCCTCTGGAAACGTCTCTCCCGTGTAGTGGACATCCTATGCAGCGGCATGACGGGTCGTTGAGTTGCCGACATAGTTTACAATGTGCAAATGTACATGGTAACGTCGCCGCCCGGGCGGACAAAAGGAGCAATACACTAACGGTAGATGATCGGAACGCGTTCGGACCGGAGTTCTTCCTCCTAGCTTGCAATGGCCGACAGGCATTCGACGACAGGCATTCGACGACAGGCATTCGACGACTGGCGCTAGCCAGTTTGCCAGCTTGCCGTCATGGCGTCCATCGACGATCCTCACCTCATAAGGGATGCCACCAAAAGTGAGGCACAGGCGTGCAACCTCAGCACGCCCTGGGGCGTTGAAGTAGTGAATCTTGTAGCTCATGTTGGAGAGCTGGTAACTAGGTTAGAGCTTCAGCAAATAAAGTACGCAAACCAAACAGTGCGTGTTCAGGCGGAAGCGTTTTGAAAGTAAAAGTGAAGAGGACTTCAATATATACCGTGTACAGCAGCATCAGAAGCTTGTAGATCCGGGCACGCGCTAGAAGCCGTTGACACCGTTGCTTACCGACATTACGCACACGTAATGCCTAATGCCGTGACGCGTGATCCGTGACATGCTGCGCCTTCAGTCATTCTGTATATGCATTTAGGTAGTATATTGTTGTCATGAATTTTTAGCGTGTCGGAGGCTAGCCCTGGGACTGACCGACGAGGCGACGACCTTCTTGCCGGTAAGCTTTGTCGCCCAGCCTCTAGCTGGAATTCAAAACCTTTCACAGAATAAATGTTCAAACGCATTTCTGCAGCTCGTCCCGCATTTGCGGTTGCATTTGTTATTCTCGTCCTGTTCCATGGCATAGCATTCAGCACACCGGTTGAACAGCCCTCATCGAAGAGCCCCGGCGGTCAGCCAGAACTGGATGCTGGTCAGGACACTGCAGCCCTTATAGCTAATGGTGAGACGCGCTCGCTTCCTCCATCCGCTTATGTGGCTTGAGATATGTCGCCCATGCGCCAGCTTAGGCCTCTGCATAAGTGTTCGCCAAACATTCCTAGGACTTCTGTAAAGGCATCCTTACAAATCCTCGTCCTTGCACGCACGCATCATGACACACACGCGTGCGTTGTGTGTCCGCTGGCATTGACGATCGGAGATAATAAGACCACGTCTGGGCATCCGCCTTGTGCCCTGGACATTCGGTAAAATCAAGCCATTCACGAGGGCACTTTTTGTTACGAGCTTGCAACCTTGACAGCGTGCTCTACGTTTCCACGTTTTATTATTTCCTGCTGTGCTGTCCTGCAGCCTGGCAGGTGCTGCTGCACGAATTGGAGTTGCTGGCAGACCCCCCAGCAGCAGCAGCAGCATCCGTCCTCTCACAGCACCCCGCATCATCATCAGCAGCAGCAGCACCCGCTGACAAGGCTGGTGGTTTCAACAATGCCACGGCAAACAGCACCAACCCTAGAAACAGCAACAGCGGCAACACCGCTTCGGGTTCCTCCTCGGATACGACAAACCGCACTGCAACCGATAACATTGCTAACGGTTTTACAAATGCCTCAAGCCCGGTGCTTCTGTCGATGCTTGAGAGCCTGGATGACGTCAGCCTGCTCCTGGCGGAGGATCTGCTGGACCGCATGTCTCAACACTGGCGGCAACGACTGAAGCAGCAGCAGCAGCAGGAGCAGCAGCAAGACCAAGACCAAGAGCCACAACAGCAGCACGCGCAAACAGCAGGGCGGCAGCAGAATCAAGAATCTGAGCCGCAATCTGAGCAGGGGCAGCAGGGGCAGCCGGCTGGGCAGCAAGAGGCAGCTGCTGCGCTGCTAAAGGGTGACGATGGCGACGGAGACAGTGGCGGCACTAGCAGCAGCGGGGCCAGTGCTAAAAGCAGCAGCACCAGCACCACCACTACCACCAGCAGCAGTGACAGCGTCAACGGTAGACGCGGCAGGCAGCTGCTGCAGGATCCACAGGTTTCCGCCAACTACGCCAACGCTTTCCGGCTGGTGTTTGGCAACTTCTTTGACCTAGTGGGGGGCGGTAAGATTGCGAGAGGGGGGCGGGAAGATTGCAAGAAGGGGGGGCAAGAATCATATGAAAAGTGAAACAACGGAAGGGGGCGAGGATGACGTTGGTTTGGGTGCTCAGCTCCAATGCTACGTGTCCCTCTTTAGCGCATCCTCAACCGCACGCTGGCTCCCCAAGCATGCATTGTTTGATTCCCGGGTTTCTTACTTGTTCTGCTTCACTTCCTGCGGACATGTACCGGTGTGTTTCTTGGCCTCTCCGACCCGCCGGGATGCGGTCTGCCTTCCTGTCTGCTGCCGGGTAGCCTCCTTCGCCTCCTCGCTCGGGGCCCTCTCGCTGTTGTCCTCATTTATTACTTCTCCATGTTGCCTTGCCCTCAATCGTGTCTCCCTTGGAACGAGTGTTGAAACCGCCTCCCGCCCCGCATCACTCACAAACTAGTGTTCTTTGTTCTTTGCTTGTCTTGTTCCCCCCTCCCCGCCGCAGCTCTCCGCTACCTGGCTCTGCTGGCTGGGGAGGCCAACCTGGCGCTGCTGAACCTGCGCTGGATCCGAGATCTGTCGTACCTCGCCTCCGCACCGCTCGACAACATTGTCAACTCCAACTGGCTGCCGCTGCCGGGGGACAATAACGAGGTGCACAAAGCGTTGCTTTCAACTTTCCGACTGGACCTTACCAACCCTCCTCCACTGAACACAGAGAGGGAAAGAAAGATACGTTCCCTTGCCTTGCCTTCCTTGTCCGCCCCACCCAACATCTGCTTCACTCCTTCTTCTTCTCCTTCTGTAGCCACCACCCATCCCAACACCCCAACGCCACTGCTACCGGTAACGATACCCCACACCCTGGCGACGCCGGTTCCTCTTTGACCCCCACCCCCTGCCTGCCTGTCTTCCTATGGTCACGGTCAGTGTTTCCTTGCGGCTCAGCCTACCTAACCCCCTGCCTTACAGCCTGCCTGCCCGCCTGCCCGCCTGCCTGCCTAACCCCCTGCCTGCCCCAGCTCCGAGCTCTGTTGACAACGGCCCTCAACGACTACTGCGCACCCGAGCTGGTCGCCCCCACGCAGCTGCGGCTTGGCGAGTTCAGGGGTCCCATCTTCTCCCTGGCCATTACACCCGCCGTCTGCCCGATTCGGGTGGATGCGGACAGCGGGCGCCGCAGCATTAATTGGGACAACTGCATCCCAGCACGCCTCACCATCCTTCTGACGCCCAGTTGAGTGCGGTGTATGTAAAAAACTGGCCGCGAGTCGGAACGTACTGTGATTGAAGACCGGAAGGTGAAGTCCGTGCACCGGTATGAGCTGCTGGTGGATGGCCTTCCGGGTTCTGAGTTACTGTGGCTGCCTGCGGAAGGGGGGAAGGAGGCGGTACATAGGCTGGCTGCTTCCCACGCCAGTATCGGTACCAGTAGCTTCGACCTTTCAAATCCTTAACCCTCCTCCTCCGCCTCCGCCGCCTCCTCCTCGCCGCCCCGTCCTGCCGCAGACACCTACTCCACCCCCCGCTACACCGCGCCGTCGTACAGGGGACAGTCCTGCCGCTACAGCCGCGCATTCGGTACCGACTTCATCTTCAGTGAGGGAGGCGGCACCACCAGCTTCACCTTCAGGTAGCTGGGAGCGGTGTATATCACATATACGGTGCTTCCAATCCGTCAGTACGCGCGTGCATGCGTTAATCTTGATGTTGCCGTACACAGAGTGCCGTACAGCGGGCCCACGACAATGCAGCGCTCGGGTTGCTGTATGCGTGTGTATCACAATCATACCTGGTATATGAATACATGTCGGGGGGTGTTCTTGCTTCATGTATCCACCCTTTCTTTCTCAGGACCTCCGCTCGCCAGCTGGATATCGTGCCGGTCCTCAACCAGTACTTCTTTCAGGTGTGCAAAGAGGGGCTGAGGTGGATTGGCAGGTTGTGACCCATGGGTCACAGACCATGGGTTAGGTACACTGTTGGCGGCCGGCCTAACTATAGTCAAGCTGGAGTAAACCCATGAATTGAATCCGCAGCACTCTACGCTTCATATGGCCTGTGTTGATATAAGGACTTACATGCACACGTTTCATCAGCCTCCTGTGGCAACGCCGTCACGCTCCCAAGCTCCTCGCACTAGTCCCCCTCCCCCCTGCATTCCCAACCTCCCAACCATCACAACTCCCTTCATCTGCACGCACGCACACACACACAGGCTCGATTCTCACGGTTCAATGCGGAAAACACTGCGCTTTTCAACGTCACGGGAGGACCCTCGCTGGCCCGCAACAGCTTCGCAGCCCCCGCACCTGGCTCCGGAACCAACACAGCCATCGTGTTTCGAGCCGCCAATGAAACCACTACTGCATCCACATCCACATCCGCTTCGAGATCCTGGGCTTCGGAGCCAACAGATGGTGGTGGCGTGGCGGCGGACACCGGAGATCTGGAGGCAATTCGAGATGAGCCCCCCGAGGTGTACGACAGGGCTGCTAGTAGCGGAGTACGACAGCAGGGAATGGGTTTAGCAGCAGCCGGGCAACAACAGCAGGAGGGATGGAAGCAGCGACAGGAAGGCGGGGGGCTGGAGCGGGGCTCTGTTCTTGGCAGCCAGGAGCAGCGGCAGCAACAACAACAACAGGCTGAAGGGCATCGCTCACCACCATTAGCAACGGCACCGGCAGCAGCAGCAGCGGCACCGGCAGCGGATGCAGCGGCACCGGCAGCGGATGCAGAGGAATCAGCAGCACAGCCGCCACCAACGCTGTCGCCACCAGCACCCGGACCCCCACCGCAGCAACTGCAGCCCGTATCTCCATTTGGATTGCCTCAACTGCCACTTCCGTTACCTGCCGAATCACCCGCCGCTAACGCTAGTGGTTATGGCAGTTGGGATGGAGTACTGCCGTACATGGCTCGCAGCCGTACCCAATCGCAGCAGGTGGGGTCCACGCAGGTCAAACAGCCTCTGCAGCAGCAGCAGCATCAACCGCCGCGGCATTCCGGTAACGTTCCTGCACATGATCGCCCTATGACCCCGCTGCCGCCGCCTCCACCACCGCCACCATATGGTGGGGGTCAACTGACGTCTGACGTAATAACTGATGCGGTTGTGCCGTACAACCGCCACCACCGGGCAGTACCGGCAGTGCTAACGTCACCGCCGCCGCCGCCGTTGCTGCGTTTGACAACACCTCCGTCGTTAGCCTCAGCACCAGCATCAGCCCTCTTACCACCACCACCACAACCACAACCACCACTTGTTGCAGCAGAATCCTCGACTCCTCCTCCTTCTGCTGCTGCTGCTAGTGGGGGCGACGGTCAACAGGACCGTATCCTGCCGTACATTCCGGGCACCATCAGCTCCCGCGCTCATCAGTCATTATCAGCATCATCATTACCCTCCTCACGCCTAACGGAGGCGGAGGCGGACGTCGGTCCAGGAACACAGAAAGGGGAAGGAGACGCTAGAGGAGCAGGAGCAGGAGCAGGGAAAGACGGGAGCTTAACGACCGAGGCGGTGGAGTTGTACGAGGTAACGCACAACCGTAGATCTCCGCATCCGCCACCGCCGCCACCAGCAGCAGCAGCAACTTTACGGTCGCCGCCTTCCGTGCCTCCACCCAAGCGGCGAGGAAGTGAACCGTGAAGTACTGCGTCACAACCGCCGCAACGTCCTCATCTGGATATTGAGACTGTAGTGTTGAACGAGGGTCAAACGACTGTCCACGATAGCGATGAGGGGGCGGCTGCTGGTAATGTGACACCCGGTGCTCCTGGGAACGGAAGCACTACTACTGGGTGAGGCGATGAAGTCGTCGCCAAGCTGTTTCTGCGCGTGCATGCGTTGGTGGGGGTTGCAGCGGGTGTCGAGTCACGGGTAAGCACGTGTTGCGTTTCATGCTGTTTCGTGTACGGGCGTGTGACAAGGCTGCAGTTGTAAGTTACAAGTTGTAGCCGGGCGCGACACACGTTCAGGTCGTTTACCAGTGTTGGTATGGGTGCGCGGGAGCTGTTACTATTCAGGCAGGGTATTGCTTACGTGTTAAGAAAACTGGCCGCAAATCGGGACGTACTGTGATTGCCTGAAGGTGAAGTTCCCACAGAAGCGCCACAGGAGCGGAGGAGCTTCGTTGTGTCACGCGGTTCTGTGTGACAGGCCCGCCAGCCAACATTTCCAGGCAGGCAGGCAGGCAGATGAGCTGTGCAGTGCTATTTGATACACCGTGGGTCCGGGTGACCCACGGGTCATGAACAACCCTGCCGCGCGTATGAAAGCGGAGAAAGTCGGCGTGGGTCATGCTCGCGAGGCCATGTAAACGCGCAAAACATCCCCTGGCGGCACTCTACATCGAGTCGAGTACCGTACCTTTTGCAGCCACCAAGCGATGTTATTCTTGTTACTACACATGTACGACACCCGTCAGCTGCCAACCGCCGCCACTACCGTACCATCACAACTTCCCACCGCGAACGGCGCCCATCCATCCCCCCAACCCGTCCCTGTGCCAACAAGAACAATGCGTTACATGAACATTGGTTTCTTCCGCCGCTTGTTCCTTGCCGCACTAGCCGCCCTATCCTCCTCCTCCTCCTCACTATCCTCCTTCGGCGCTGGCCGCCCCTTGCCCCCCGCCGTAACCCCCACCACCCCAGCACCACCACCCGCACCTCCGCCTCTCCCCTTCACCTGCACCCCACCACCCGCACCCCCGCCTCCTCTTCTCCCGTCTCCCCTCTCTCCCTCCTCCTCATCATCTTCCTCGCCGTCGCCCATTTGTCTGCCTCCCCGCATTTGCGCTGCCCGGGCCGCCGCCTGAGCTCGCCGCTTGGCCTCCTCCTGCCGCTTGCGCATCTGCTCCAAGATATGCGCTTGGAGCCCTTGACCCTGAGGGACGAGACGGCGGAGGCGAGGGGGGGAAGGGAAGGTGCTGAGGTAGGATTGAAGGGTCGGTAGGGGGCTGGCACATCTGTCATCCCAGCCCCCACCCGCTACCTGGTTCATTAGCCGTGTACCCACCTTTTACCTCCTCTGCCCACACACACATAACCCCCCCCTCCATCTCCCACCCGCTCCCTCGCTCCCCACCTCCGCCTTCCGCAGCTCCCGCGCCCTCTCGTTCTTGGCCGCATGCAGCTGCACGCGGGTGGCCAGGTCCGCACCCGCCTCCTGAGCCTCGCGACGTCGCCGGGCCTTGTCAGCGGCGCCGCGCAACACATCCTCCTGCAGGGAGCATGGGAGGGGTAAAAATAAGGAAAGCTGACGAACTGGATGACGAGGTGAAGGAAAGGGTGGGGAGAAGACCCCCGAGATGAAGCTTTGTCATACAGGTTACTTAGTTTCTCCCTCTCTACTCCTCCCTCAGCTCCCTCACCCTGCCCCTCACCCATCCCCTCCCTCAGCTCCCTCACCCCACCCCTCACCCTCCTACCCGGGAGGTTGGGTCCTTCAGCAGCCGGTGTGCCTGATTAAGCACCTCGAACGCGCGTCGCGCCTCTTCGTCTCCCGGGTTTTTGTCGGGGTGTACGACAATGGAGAGCTTGCGGTAGGCCTTGCTGACCTCCACCTCGCTGCAGGACCACACGGGGCGACCCAACTCGTCCGCCTCGGGCTCGGGCAGGCCTAGCAGGCTGGGAGGAGGGGTTGGGAAGAAAAAGAGGAAGAGGAGGAGAGGACCAAGTTGGCGGCAACGGGAGGAGGGGAATGGGAAGGAGGGCAGGGGGCGCTAGGAAAGGGTGGGCGGGATGCGGTGCGGGAATCCGCAGGTGAGGTGAGTGGGGGCAGCGAGGGTGGGTTAGAAAGGGAGATGCCGGACTTCGGCATCTCAGGCACACAAAACACCCACATGGGGTTGTAGCATTGATGATCAAGGGTATAAGGTCATCTAGCAAGCTGTACCGGTAAGCTGCTGATTGTGAATATGGCAGTACGGTAGGGTTGCGCAGTGGTCGTTGGGCCAACGAACCGAACCCCGGGATACCCCGGGATACCAGTCCAAGTTGCCCCCGGACCCACCCGAAGTAGTCCTTGCTCTCCCATGCCTTGAGGATGCGCTGAGCAGTCGTCAGAGCCGGCTTAGCTTCCTCCCGAGCCCCAGCGTTAGGACCTTTGTCACCATCCTCACAAGCTACAGTTGCCGCAAGACGTTCAAACGATGCCTTAGACATTTACCACTGGCGGCAGGAATGTTAGCGAACTGCTAACGTACGGTCAAAGTACCATCTCGCAGTTATTTCAATGGTGTAAGTATACCGATTATGCATATAAATTGGAAATGCCTGCTGCCATGGACGTATACGTTGGTTTGAACCAGGGAGTTAAGTACGGCTAATGTTGCGCATGTTTGTCACCGAGTGCTGAGCCATATCCACAGTTTCCGTGTATACACGGTACTTGACGCCATTTTGTTACAAACTATGCGCGCCGTTCCACACAAAGGGCTGACGCGCTTGCACTGGAATTGTGACAAGGACTCTTCTTTTCCTTTATGAACGTACTATAGGGTTGATGTTTCCATCATACAAATCAACTGACTTTCCTATAAAATTCTAGCGACAAGGCGCGATGGCTTGATACAATGAGTAGCCCAGGCAACATGTTCCTTGGGGACGCAGTGAGCTCCTGCGTCATCGCAGCCGTCTTCGGCGCATGCGTTATCCTCGCGCTACGCTACGTCTATTATGTTGCCTTTTACGAGCGCATCCGGCTCTTCCTTCGACGGCGTGGGCAGGGGTATGAGATGTACACGCCACTGATTGCCGAGGAGTCATGGGAGGTAGGCTGGGCTAAGGGCCCAACCGCTTACTCCTACGCCTTACGCCCTCTCTGTATCCGACGTGACCCGTCATCCGGCTCCATCCAAGCCTCACGCTCCTCGTTATCATCCATCCATCCCCTCTCCTGCAGGGCTTGGTCTCTGCAGCCATCGTGGGCCTAGTCTCCTGGGCCCTACTCGCCGGCCACAACGACAACTGTCACCTAACCGACACCACCGCTTGCCTGCGCGATTGGCCTCAGCACAGGACGGCTCCCTGGGCCCTACACGCCCTCTTCCTGCTCCTGCTAGCCTGGCACTCCCACTGCACAACCAAACACTGGGTCGGGCTGGGGCGGGTGCAGGGCTGGGATGCCGTACTGCATCATGCGGCAACGCTTGCACTGCTTGGATTGTCGTACACACAAGGCCTGTTGCGCATCGGTTTGCTGGCACACTGGTTGTTCGTGGTTACCAACCCCTTGCTAAGCGTCAGCAAGCTCATGCATTGCCTGGATGCAAGATTGTTCGTGGTAAGTAAGAAGGTCGCTTTCGGGCTCTTCGCGGCTTGCTACTTTGCAACACGCGTGGTTTTGGTGCCGCTGGTGCTGCTGCGGGTAACGCTGCAGGAGCTGCCGCGAATGCCGTTCGATTGGCGGTTAGCGGCGGTTGCCAACGGTGGGTTGTTGCTGTTGTACGGCATTAGTTTATTCTGGTTCGGGCGGTTGCTTGGGATCTTGTTTACAGGAAAGCTGGATGCCTCCCCGAGGCTTGTGATGAGGGGTGAGGCACGGCGCTGGCAAAAGAAACTTTGACGGATGTTCGGATCGTGGACTGCTCGGCTGCCGGAGGCAGTAGGAGAGGCAGTGAGGAAGGCGCGAGCCTGCCGGTACCGTGACGCGCGCATGATGGTAGGCTGAAGGAGGGAAAGAAATGTCTAACAAGTTAAATTCCCGGTAGTTGGTGCAACGGGACATGTGTGTATGTGTTTGCTGCATTCGCCTGTTGAGCTGTCGACTGACCGGCAGTCCCATAACCGCCGCATACAGCTTTAGACACTGCTGCCGGTGCGGGTTGGAATGGCGAGTCCTGCCGAGAGGGAAGATCGTTTTGTTTGAACCGCTTAACGGTGCTTTGAGTCGGCGGGGGGGCTGCCTGCCATGCCTTTGCAGGCTGCCTTTGCAGGCTGCCTTTGCTAGGCTGGTCTGCTAGGCTGGTCTGGCTCGATGCGATTCAAACGAGATGGTACTTGCACATCGTACATCCTCGTCGTGACGTGATGAGCGCGCGCGGGTTTGGCTTGTTTCCAGGTTTTTAGCAAGCCGCGCGGGTGTTGCAGGGGCAGCATGCATACGCCCTTTTGCGCTTGGCATGGGTAGGCCGGGCGGGCGCTGCAGTTGTCAGCGTGCATGTTAAGGTGGCGGTGTTTTGGTGGTGGGGGGGGGGATTAGATAAACTGAGCCGCGGAAACACTGACCCTGACCGTAGATTACCGGGGGGGTGCACGACAGCGTGAGCCGCCTCGGTCCCCCTCCTCCCGACGTGCGCTGTGTGCCCTGTGACGTGTGCGTACGGAGCCGGGCTGGATTGGTGTTTCAGCAGCATGCGGCGGTTGCTGCTTTAGCGCGGGGCTGGTCGAGGGCAGTGAGCTGCCGAGGGTTTACCACATAACAGGCGGTGCAAGTGTGTGGGGTAGGGCGTCTTGCAGTAAAACGAGGGCAGGTATGTTTACTGCCGCGGGAGCGGCGGGTCGGCAGTGTGTCCAACTAGCGAGGAGAGGAGGGAAGCCGCGAGGGGAAATGGAGGGTCTCATTGCTACCGAGCAATTATAGTAACATCACCCCGTATACTTGCGCTTGCTAGATGTAAGAGTCGCCGCTCGACAGTGTGAATCAAGAAGGAAGAAGTTCAGGTGGGTGCGTGCATGCGTGATTGTTATCGCCTGCATTAGCACGACCATGCGCGGTTTGCGTAGGAGAACGTGACGGACTAAGTAGCAGGGGAGACATAGTAGCAGGAAAGCATTGCATGGATGGACGTCGCTCCTGTGGAACGAAATGGCTGAGAGGGCATTGCAATTCACTTTGAAAAGTTGCGGGATCCCTGTCCCGACCCGTGGGCCCACGTGACAATAAATCTTTGCCGTGATGAGAATAGGCTAAAAAAGGCTAAGATGGATGCCAAAGCCACTTCAAAACACTAGGTTTCCTACCTTGTCCCGTTTTTTCCCTATCTAGCTGCCTTTGAATTGTGCTCTCAACCGCCGCTCGGCCAAGGTGTCAGGTCGCCTCAGCCCCAGCTCGCCCGACGCTCACAACGTCAAGGGCATCGAGGATTGCCCACGACAGAGCCCGAGAGGCTGAAGTTTTGCTGTGAGTCCATTACAAGACTCGTTTAACAAAGACAGCAGCTTTTCCCCAACCTTGGAGAAGCCCTAAGCCCCTGATCAACCCTGATAGGTGTCCCTTCGTCGCCCTTTTTAATTTACCTGCCCCTCTCAAGCTAACATTCAAGGCTAGGATGTTCAGTATGGCTGCAGCTGAGGGCGCACCGCCGGGCGGAGGCGGCGAGGAGGCTGCAGACGACTTCACAGTAGTGGAACCGCCCTGCGTGGTGAGCGAGGTTTAGCTTGAGTGCGAAATACCGGCGGTAGGGCCTTCGTCCTGGTGCCAGCAGTTCAAGGTTATTAATGTATTCTTGAAGCGTGTTGCGCAGCGCTGCGGTCTGTTCGCACTTCACCTCGCAGCTGTCCTCAGCGCCCTTTTTGCGGCAGTGGATTGTGTGCCGCGACCCAGATTGTTGCTTGAGCGTATAGCTAGCGAAGACCGTGACCTTCCTTTGAGCAGCAGCAGCTGCTATGTGACACGCTTGAAGCCGATAATCAGCTTTGAAGGCGAAATAGATACAACCTTTTGATCGACAATATGATGTTGCGCTACGGTATTGATGAGGAGCGATAAACGCAGAGTCGAAGCGCTCCCATCCTCTTGTTAGCCATCGCCCGCTCCCACTCCAAACTGAATCCCTTCTCCCTCCGCAGCTCTCTTTCCTGGGGCCCCCCTTCAACCAGCGACCACTCCACCCCCTTCACCCAGCCACGCCCTCCACCTCCTCTCCTACCACCACCGCCCCCGCCTCTCCCTCCCAAATGGCTACCCCTGCAACCCCCGCCGCCAAGCCCACCACCGCCGCCACCACCACCAGCAACACCGTCAAGACCGGCATCAAGACCGCCCCCGCTGCCACCGGGCCCGCTTCCGTCGCAGCACCGCCCACACCCGGACCTCCCTCCAAGACCTCCCAGCAGGGCAGACCCCCAGCGGCAGCAGCCCCCTCCTCCTCTTCCCCCGGCTCCCCCCCGCTGACCCCGCCGGCCCCAGCTAGCGGACCAAGCAAGGGTGCTGTTACGACAGGTGCACGGACGCAGCAGCAGCAGCAGCAGCCCCCAGATGTCTATGCCGGCACCGGCGGGGGCGACAACAAGGGCAAGGGCCGAGGCAGCGGCGGAGGCGGCGGAGAGGGTTCCACGCATGCTCCTCCTCCTTTGGAAAAGGCGGCGGTGCCGCCGTCACAGCAGCAGCAGCATCGCGTCTGCCTCACCGCCCCGGGGGGACATCAGCGGCGCCAGCAGCAGCAGCTGAAGGAGGAGGAGGAGGCGGAGGAGGAGCAGGGTCAACAGCAGCACGAGGAGCACCCCGCGCACGGCGCCACCGCCCGGCTGTTGTCGCTGATCAACACCGCCCTGGAGCAGTGGGTCAACCGGTGGGTCGGTCGGTGCTGTGTGTGGTTGGGGTTGGCGACCCGTGGGTCGGTCCTGTGTGTTTGGGGGTGGTGACCCGCGGGTCGGTGATATGTGCTTGGTGCTTGGGGGTCGGTGCGGGTGCAGGTGATGCTCAGAAGCTCGCTCACACATGAAACGCCGGGATCCATGTGACCCGCCGTTATTCGTATAAGAACCAGTGTAAGCACACCCGTGCCGTGGGTAAAAGCGTGCATGAGGGCTTGCTGTCACACCCAGGCTCCTGACATGCACGGTGCCCCTCACCCTTCTACACCCTCCCCCTCCCCACCCGCAACCCCCCCCCCCCCAACCCAGCGAGGAGGCAGCCCGCCGCCAGCTGCTTGCTGAGCTGCACCGCGCGCGCGGGTGGGTGCGGCGGTGGGTGCTGCTGCTGGCGGGGCTGTCGCTGTCGTCGGCACTGGCAGGTAAGGGGGGGGAGGGGGGGGGTCAAAGACCATACCAAACCATAGGAAACCACAGGGGGTTGGGGGTGTGGAGAAGGGAGGTTGGGGAGGTGACTGTCGGTTTTGTGCCAATCGCTCATGCATACCGTAGCTTCAGGTAGGCAGTGCGAGTCGCCCATGCATGGCTTCAAAAGGCTGGCTCCCCTGGCTAGGCATTAGGGGCATGCATGCTAGCTCCTCCTCCTCCTCTTGCGGATCTGGGGCTCCCTGCACGCATGCAGTCCCCGTTCGCGGCTGCTAGGTCGTGTCATCCTCTTTTCATCCCACACTCGCCCCTCCCTGACGCTCCTTCCTCCCGCCCCCCCATATAACAATTACTAATATATGCTAACCCAACTATCCAGCCTAATACGGAGTATGAACTCCTACTTACCCCTCCCTCCTCCGCAGCCGGTGCCGCCTGGCTTGCCGTCACGCTGGCCCGCCTGCAAGCCGACCTGGCTGACACGCGGGCGCAGCTGGGGGCGGTGCGGGAGGAGTGTGTGCGGGCGGAGGCGAGGTGGCAGGAGGCGCAGTTCGCTGTGGCCCTGCCACGGGCGGTGGGGGGAGGGGTCTTGGGAGGGGGAGGAGGAGGCGGGCAGGAGGGGTTTGGAGGGCAGCGGGGGGTCCGGGAGGAGGTGGGGTGTGTGATTAGTTAAAGTGGGGAAGGAGATGCGTCGGGATACGAGGGAGTGGGGGGAAGATGGGGAGAAGAGGGCAGAGGGAGTAGGTAGGAGGCAGCTACCGGGATGTGGGATAAGGCGGCGGGAGGTCAGGGTTGCTAGCGACAGCAGAAGGCCGGCTTTAAGCGTGTACGGTAGCTTCTCGAGAGTTGAACAATTGATGGAATAGTGTTGGACAGCTGGCGATTGTTGCGACCGATTGCTCTAATAGAGCACACCGCTACGGTACCGCTAATGCATCGCAGGGAATAGAAACCGTAAGCCAAACACCAACGGCTTTTAGCACTGCTCCTCGCATGCCAGGGTTGATGAGCGATGGTTTCTTTGCGTAGGCGTCTTTTGCTTGGTTGAGCAGGCTGCTGAGGATACCGGTGGCACCCCTGGGATATCACTGTTCTGCTGCCCTAGCTGCGGCTCTATAGCTACAAAGTGTCTTCAATAGTGCTACCGTTATCTGGGTTCCAAGTTGAGGCACGGGAACGTCTTCGGTAGGTAGGTACATACCGTTGGGTGTTGCGGTTCCTCGGGCTGCCTTGTGGTTGGCGTTGCCTCCTTCGGGCGTGCAGCAGTGCGTTTGGGATGTTGTTGTTTTGGCTGCTTTGTCCGCTATGGAGGAGGGTCGGCGGTTGTTACGGGCTCGTGTCCGTGAGTCCGGTTCTGCGGGTGTTGTGCCTGGGCTTGCTGATGTGGTGGCCCTGTCTGCTGTTTCCTGGTTCTGGGGTCAGCTTCGGGGTTTTGCTTGTTTGGGTGTTCCCCGTCGGGGATGGGCTGGGGTTGGCCCTTCTCATCCTTTCTTACGTATTGTTGGCGGGCGGTTTTCTGTGGGCCGTTGAGCGTCCTGTTTTTGGCCCTGATGTCTTTGGGGTGGTGTGTTCGTGGCTTCCGGTTTGGGTTGTCTTCTGCCCTAGATGAGGTTTGTCAAGGTTTGCTGAGGGGCCTTTTTTGGCTTCTACCCTCTTGTTTCCCTCCTGAGGTTTCTTTTAGGGCTATGTCTCCCATCTTGTTGGCCCGTTGTGGTGCTGTCTCTACGTTTTGTTCCGTTTCTTTTGCACTGTAGGGTTGGGTTCCTCACCCGTGTTCCCTTGTAGGGCACCATTGTAACGGTCATTCATTCAGGTAGCGTTTTAGGTAGGTAGGCAGGCAGGTAGGGCATTAAAAATATAGTGATACAGCGATAGAGTGAGATACAGTGCAAGAAAATTGGGATCATGTTGAAGCCTTATTGAGCAACATGATGCTGAGTGTGTGTGTTTCGCTGATGCTGCTGTTGTAGACTATAACGTGCAATCCGTACTAGGTCGTCGCAGGTCATACTGCAGTGTGTGGTTGTGGCCGTGTGCATGTATGTACACGTTTGCCCCGTTTATTCGACTGGGGAAACGGCAGGTTGGGAGCTCGTCATCAGGAAGCCCACCATCCCGACGACGATGACTGCATGCCATGCCATGTCGTACAGGCATACCGCTTGTAATAACACTGCCAATACCGGTACGCGCGCGCGCCTCACGTCTCCCCCTTTTATCCTCCATCACGTACTACACTGTACGGCAACATGTAAGAAAGCGCCGCATCCGTACTATACACTCATGGGGTCCGACACCCAGTAGCGCCTCACTCGCCACCCCACCCTTCACACACCGCACCGCTCCTACGCGCGGCCAGTCTTCATAACACACACACCTTGTACACATCGGCAATCACAGTACGTTCCGCCTCGCGGCCAGTTTGCATAACACACATACCTTGCCGCACGCGTCACGGAAGTCCTCAAGTCAAAACCCAACCTCTTTTGCCTCCTCCCAGCTCCTTCACACGCCCCGTGACGTTGCTGTCACAGTCCAGCTGCTGCCTCCGCTGCTGCCACCTCCACTTCCCCCTCCCATAAACTGCTTCACCCTATCCCCATTGCCCTGCCCTAACCTGTGGTTCTGGCCCATCTCTGACCCCTCCCATACAATCCAGCAAAATGCGGAATGTCCAACAACCCCTTCCCACTACCGATGACGCCTTATCACACAGACAGTTAGTTGTTTCCTCTCCACCTCCCACCTACCGCCGCCCCTTGAACGCCACCTCCCGCGGCACGGGGAAGCTAAGGCACAGCATGAGCTTGTTGGGCGCCACGTCACGCACGGTGTGTATTGACACGCTGCCGGGCTCCAGGGGCCCCCCCAGGTAGCGCTCGGCCTTGGCCAGGATGTCTGGGAGCCGGGTGAAAGGGTTTTGAGGTGGGGATAAAAGTGAGGGACGAGCCGTACGACAAGGCTTAAGAGTCGGGGGGGGCGGGGAGGAGGAGGAGGGGCTTGTTAGGCAAGAGGGGAACGGCGGAGGCCCCCCACCCCACCCCAACAGTGGTACACATGACCACACCTCCACTACACCTCCCGCTCGCCACCCTGTGTCCCGCCCGCCTGCCCAACACATGCTTGCTACTTCTTCCTGCAACCCCGCAAAACCCCAACTGCGCCAACAGCCTCCAACCCCCATCCCAACCCCTACTTCCCCCCTACTGCTTTGCCCTAACCTGTGGGTTTGGCACCGTACATTTCTGAACCCACCGCCCCCTCCCACACCCCTACTCCTCCTTCCTCCTCGCTTCCCCCCAACTACACCCACTCACCCGCCTCGCTCTCCACGCCTCGTTTGAAGCAGTAGCAGTGCACCGTCGGCAGCTGCCGCTCCCCCCACACAGCCGGGTCGAACGCCCCCGAGAACGCATCCAGGAACTCCAGCGCACTGGCGGGCAGGTTCATGACCACATGGTCGAATAGCAGCCCCCCGGGGGGAGGCAGGAAGCCGGCGGGGACGGGGGGAGGCGGGGGGAGCGAGGCGAGGGAGGTGGGCGCAGCTTCGGACTTTTGTTGGGCCCGTTTTTGACGTTTGGCGGGGTGTTGCGAGGGGGTGGGCGAGGCAGTGGTGGTGTTGTCAGCTGCTGGGGGCGGTGGTGCTGATGCCCCATCCTCCCCTCGTTCCCCATTGGCCGCTGCTGTTGACGCCGTTGCCTCTGCGGCAGCCTCCGCCTGCTGTTGTCCTTGCTGCTGCTGGTCCCGCTGGGTCTCCGCGAGCTGGTCTTGCCCCTCCGCTTGCTGCAGCCCTGTTCCCTCCTGTCCCTGCTGCCCTGCCTGCCCCTCTTGCTGGCCCCCCTCCTGCTGCCTCCTCAGCTCCCCCGCCAGCCCCCCCGGCGTGTCGCACAGCAGCCGCAGGAAGGCCCTCGCGTCCAGGTTGAACACATGCAGCGGCGCGGAGGAGGCGGAGCAGGGGGCGGCAAGCTGCTGCTGCTGCGATTGCCCCTGCCCCTGCTGCTGCTGCCCTTGCTGCTGCTGCTGGGATTTGGGTTGGGAGGCAGTGCTAGGGTTCGCTGCCGCCCCTGCTGCTGCCCCCGCGCCCAGGCGGTTGAGTCGCGCGTTGAGTGCGAGGTAGTGCGCGGAGCGGGGGTTGAGGTCGTTGGCATACACCTGCATGCATGCATGGGCGGATGGGGAGACATAATGCGGAGTCATCAGGACGCGCGCGGAAGACACAACAGCATATGGGTTTCTCCTCTCTCCCCTCCCTCTTCCCTTCCCCTCTCCTCCTCCCCCCCCTCTCTCCCCCCTCCCTCTCCCCTCACCTCCACGCCCCTCTGTGCCGCGGGAATGGCGAAGGGCCCTATGCCCGCCATCATATCCACCAGCACCTGCCCCGCCCGCAGCTGCCCCACAAGCCGCGAGTGCTCGCTCTCCAGACGGGAGTTCCAATAGACCTGAGGGGGGAGGGGGGGGTCAAAGACCATACCGAACCATAGGGAACCACAGGTTATGGCAAAGCAATGGGAATAGGGCGGGGGGGGAGGGGGAGTAAACGAGCACGTAGTTAGCAATAGTGGGGGCCGTGGCCCGCGGGCTTATGCGATCCGAGGGAATGCACGGGAGAGCATGTGTCCGATCCCCCCACTGCGCTTGGTATAAGCACAGCGTGCAATGCGCACCCACCCCTCCCACCCCCTCCCACCCCACTCGTCAGTTTCTTCCTCCTTAACCCCCACCCGCCCCCACCCGCCCCCCTCACACCCCCCACCCGCCCCCCTCACACCCCCCACCCGCCCCCCTCACACCCCCCACCCGCCCCCCTCACACCCCCCACCCGCCCCCCTCACACCCCCCACCCGCCCCCCTCACACCCCCCACCCGGCCCCATCCGCCCCCACCACACACCTGTGAGAAGTCCAGTCGGAAGCGCGCCCCGTGCTGCGTCACCTCCGTCTCCAGCCGCTGCTCGCCCGCAATCACCTCCATCGCAAACACCCGGAACTCGTTCTCGATGGAGCCAACCTGACGAGGGGAGGCAGGCAGGCAGGCAGGGAGGGAGGGACAAAGGTTGAGACCATGCATGCAAGACCACATAAGGTACATACAAGTGCATGCACAGATGTGGGCCTATACAGGCAGATGCAGCATATACAGGCAGATGTAGTAGCCTATACAACCAGGTGTGGCCTCACACCTTGTTTACGATGGTTCTTAGGTGCGGGTTCTTGTCCAGCAGTACGGCGCCGATGAGGGCCCTGTACGGCAGCTGCTCCTCCCGCAGGTTGAGGTGCGCAATGTGGCCGATGGTTTCGAAGGAGCTGGGCGCGTCCACACCGGGGGGCAGCAGGCGCTGGGGAGGTGGGGGGTGGTGGGGCCCCGGGGGTAAGGAGGGAACAACTAACCGTGTGATAAGGAGAGGAGATGGGCAACCCAGGGCAGGATAGGGTAGGATGGGGGGTCAAGAGAAAGGACCAAACCACAGGAAAGCATGAATGGGGGAATGAGGATGGGGTGGTGCACATCTTGGCGTCCTACCAACCGTGCCTAAGCTGGCCAGAGTGGCATGTCCTCATGCACATGCAAAGCAGGATTTGTAAACCAGAAGCAGCCAGTATTGGAAAACCCTAACCCTGTCTATGCACACTGTGAAACCGCATGTACAGCGGAGCCTTAGGGACATACGGAACAGTAATAAAGCAGCCTGCCGGTATCAGATGACAAAAGCCATATGTTTCTGTACATTTGGCTTAAATGCGTATGGAATATCACATTCGTAGTGTTGGTGACGGGCTCGTCTGTTCATGCATCCCAACTTGGCTTTCATACCGGCAGGCTGCTTTATTACTGTTCCGTATGTCCCTAAGGCTCCGCTGTACATGAGGTTTCACAGTGTGCATAGGCAGGGTTTTAGGGTTTTTCACCAATACTGGCTGCTTCTGGTTTACAAATCCTGCTTTGCATGCGCATGAGGACATGCCACTCTGGCCAGCTTAGGCACGGTTGGTTGGACGCCACGATGTGCCTGTTTGGAGGGGTGCAGGGCGGGTGTGAGCCCGGATGTGGGCGGAGGAGCTTCAGGTCACAGGGGTGCTTCCTGTCCGCCGCCCCCGCATATGCAATGAACCACTCCCATCATTACTGGCTTGGCTAATCCGGACTGGGGGGCGTTATGTAAACCGGGCAACCTTGGTGAATCCTTGTCGGTCAGTTCGTTTCTTCCTTTTTTGGCCTGCCCTCGATTCCAGGTGGTGGTAGTTGTTTAAACCCTCGCGGCCTCCAGTATGCAGCTCGTCAGTTCCTTCCCCTGTGGCCTCTTCGCCCCGCCGTGGCCCCCACCACACCCCCCCCCCAGGCAGCACCCCCCCAACCCCCGTGTGCCCACCCCAGCACCCCCCCACACACCCCCTACCTTGAGCACCGCATCCGCTGGCAGGCTGGAGTAGCCGAGTGTGAGGGAGTGCGGCAGGCAGACCAGCCCCTCGGAGGACACTCGCGCCTGCAGCTCCGGGGGAAGGACTGGGGGGGGGGGGGACAGGAGGGGGCAGGAGGGGGGGAGGGAGGGAAGGAGGACGTTGCTGCTCGGGTGGTGTGTCACGGCTTTGTCGCAGAGGGAAGGAGAGAGCGAGGAGGAGGAGGAGGTCGAGCGCGCCAACCAGGCTCCCTCGTCCCCTCGTTCCTTCCCAGCAGCAATCCTTCCTGTGTCCGCCATAACCCCCCACCGCCCTCTCATCATCATCATCATCATCCGCCTCAACCTGCGCACCCTCGCACCTTCAAGTGAGGTGACTTTCTCATCCAGCAGCAGCAGCTTGGTTTCGGAGCTGGATCCATCGGAAACAATGCAGCGCAGTTTGGGACGGTCCAGCGTGTACCTGAGTGGTGCAGTGAAGCGTGTGTCAGAGGATGTGTGTCAGCTCTGTTAGCCGGTCGTACTACTTCGTACAGGGTTAAGTCCGGCGCATCCCTCCTCTGAGAAATGAATGGAAAAAGCAACTTGGATTTGGGTCAGCATGGAAAGCGAGCTGTCTCCTTGTGTGTTACCATGCCATACATTGGGAGCCTCAGTATGGAGACTCCTTGCCTGTTATCGAATACCCAACGGCTGCATGGGATGTCATCCCGCCCACCCAAGGCCCCTCCTCCCCTCACCCTCGAAACGCCTTCATGAGCTCGGAGCACTTGCGGTTGGGCACCCGCAGCGCCAACACGTTAAGAATTTGCTTGAAGGAGTCCCGGTCAAGGATAGGCACTTCGCGCCCTGATGTGGAGGCGACATCGGCGCCGTTCAACGGCGGTTGTGTCGCTGTCGCTGCAGCAGCTTCAGCCTCCATTTTGCAGTGGGGCAGAGTTGTTGCTGAGAGGTCTAAACTGCGGTGCTGGACACGACGTCTGGCAGCCGCGGTGACGCAAACTGGCGGCCTAAGCGCGAGAGTGATAGGCCTAAAAGCGATAGCCGTAGTCAAAGTGCTTAGAAGGCGTGGGCACAGATTAAGGCTCTGCGGCGAAATACTGTTGACGAATACCCGCATGAGCTGCTGTCGCAGCCTAAATCCGCGGGAACTTCAGGAGAACAGATAACGAATTTCCGTATCAAGGGATTTCCATATTATATAATAGCGCTAAAGGTGTCTATAGTTGGCGAAAGGTGGTGGGAGTTGATCATCCATCGCACATCACTCGGTTGCCGTGCACGATGAGCGCCCGTGCGAAGACCCGAACTGAACCCTTTGGCTATATGCATACTAGCTTTCTCACCCGAGTATATCCTTGTAAGTTGAAGTTGTCCGAACCCGTTGGTAAACCTAGAGTATCCTAGTACCTCTTATCTTTGCGAGCCTATTCACGACATCCTTTCATGCTTTCCGTTGATTGGTAGATTACTTGCTCCTTAATCCTTACATAGAGGCTCATCCAGGGTCATAACCGGCCTGTTTTCTGTCGTGTTACGAGACGAGGAGCGCTTCTCCGCCGGCTCCGGGCGATAGAGCGGCTGCCAAGCGGCGCCGGCTCAGGAGCATGGCAAAAGCAGGCATCGGTCCTCCTGCGGGCTTTGCCGAAATCAAGGAGAAAAGTGAAGCAAACTCATTACCGGAAGGTCCCCTTATTGCCGGTCGCGTTGGCGGATTGAAGTCTGCTATTATACATATTGTGCCGGGCGAGGATCATACTGTGGTGAGCAGGGTCCCGAGGACAGCTTCTGTCCAGCACTTGAAAGGCCTACCTCAATGTTCGGTCCCCTCAACTCCCTGCGCTCTTTCCTTCTTCTATTTCCTTGCCTGCAGCACTCTAGTGAAGGCGGGAATGACCATTTTACGTATGGTCTGGCCTGTACGCAAGGACACCGCACGGGCATGGTGCGTTACTCATGGGGCCGAGCGCGGCACACCTTATTAACTCTCTGCTCAGAATGTGTCTTGGGCTGTATATCGTATAAACAGATACCTTACGGCCATGGAAACCGTGGTATTGGCTGTCGGAGAGCCATACCGTAATGGGCCACATTCCGTCACATCCTGTCCACCGGAAAGTGCTGTCCTCGCGGTCTCAACCCTTTACCCGTATGCTTATTTGCCGTACAGGAGGATGCTCACGCGGTAGAGCTGGACCTCGACCCCGCTACCGGCACCGCCCTCTTCAGCGTGTTCGATGGCCATGGGGGTGGGTCTGCGGTGTCACAGCGGGGCGCCCCGGGTTGTCCCTGGTCGAGGCGGGCTTGGTTGCTGGCTCCACATGCCACGAGAGCCCTTAACCTTGGACGTAATTAAGGGGATATCGGCCCGGGGGCTATCGGATGGGGGCTGCCATGCTGCAGGCGTGACCACCCACTCTGCTCCCCTCCCTATTAAAACACACACTCTTCCCCTACCCTACCCCACCCACCCGCAGGTCGCCAGGTGGCTGACTTGTGCGCCGCAAACGTGGTGGGTAGCCGGGGCGGGGGTGAAGGGGGGATGGGGGGTGGTGGCGGGGCGGGGGTGAAGGGGGGGTGGGGGGTGGTGGCGGGGCGGGGGTGCATGGGGGTGTGCCATGTATGGGTAAACATCTACCAACTAGGGTGACTTGGGTTATCCTCTCTGAAAGGGGAAGATGGGCGGGCAGTAAGTGCATGATGAAACGCCCGTTCCCATGCTGCCTGCTTTGCACACCGTGCCACGCCGTCCTTCCTTTCCTGCCATTTCAAACCCTCCTACTCTTCGCGCTGCCCCCTTAATACCCGCTCCCCAACCCCTTCCTTCCCCATCCTGTTGCCCCCCTCCCCCCCCCCCCAGGTTGACGCTGTCCGCTCCTCCCCCGCCTACCGCTCCGGCGACCTAGCGGAGGGGCTGCGGGAGGCGTTCTTCGACCTGGATGCGCGGGCGCTGGCGTGTGCGGAGGCGCACCTGGCGGGTGGGAGGGGGAGGGGGAGGGGAGGGGAGGGGAGGGAGCGGGAGGGGAGGGAGTGGGAAGGGGGGAGGCAGGACCAGGCAGGGAGGGAGGCGGGCGCTGGTGTGTGCGGAGGGGCTCTTGGCGGGAGCGGGGGAGAAGATGAACCATGCTTGAATGATGAGGAATGAGAGTGACCAGGGAGGGGTAGGAGGTCACCGGGGGACCCAACCGAGTGACCCCGAGCTTCATCCCCCTCCCTCCCTTCTCCCTCCCTGCCCCCCCAGGCGCCACCGCTACCGTTGCGCTGGTCCGCGGCGAGCAGCTGGCGGTGGCGGGGGTGGGCGACTCGCGCTGCGTGCTCAGTCACGCGGGAACCGCACAGGTGCTCACCAACGACCACAAGCCGGATGACCCCAAGGAGCGGGCCAGGATACAAAACGTGAGGGGGGAGGCAAAGTAGACCAAACCATAGGAAGCCACACGAATGAAGAACGTGAGGGGAGGCGTGAAGGCAGGCTTTCAGAGGAAGCGGAGGTGGAGGGGAGAGGGTAAGGACGTGACGCAAGAGGGGGGCGTGTGGGAGCGTGGGGCATGTGGGTTGCACAGCCCGGTTGCCCCGGGCACCCCCACAAGCCCCTGTACCAGGGATGCAAGCCGCCTGATCTGCCTCGCTGTCCCTGTCCCTGGGCCTCCTCACCCAACCTCCCTCTCCTCCCCCTCCCTACCCCACCACTACCCAGCCTAACGCGATATTTGTAACCCTCTAAAAGCTTCCCCCCCCACACACACAGGCTGGCGGGTTCGTGGTGTGGGGCCGCGTGAACGCCAACCTGAACATCAGTCGGGCGCTGGGGGACGCGTCCTTCAAGCAGGTGTGCTGTGCTGCTTGCTTGGGCTGACTGTGGTGTGTATGGGTGTGTTAAGGATGCTGGCCGCGAGTCTGGGTGTATGTATGGTTGGGGGGCTGCAGGAGAGCACTCGGCACCCCCCTCCTGGCCCCCCTTCCCCTGGCCTGCTACCCTCCCTCCCCCGGCCTTGCCACACCCCCTCCCCCACTTATAGCTACTTCATCAAAGTCATTGCGTTAAAAACCCAATACGAACTGCCCTCCCCCCCCGCGCATGTGCCGCAGGACAAGTCGCTCTCCGCGGCGCTGCAGCAGGTGTCCCCCGACCCGGATGTGCGCTGCGTCACCCTCACCCGCCACGACACCTTCATGGTGCTCGCGTGCGACGGACTGTGGAACGCGCTGCCGGAGCAGCAGGTGTGTGTGGGAGGGTCTAGTAGGGAGACATCTTCCAACAGGTGGGGGAGGAGGGGGGCAAGGGCTGAAGAGAGGTCCCTTGGCTTCCTACGGCTTGGATGGTCTTTTACCCCTCGCCCCCCTGTTCAGGTTGTTGCCTACGTGCAGCGGCGGCTGAACCTGCGCCACACGCTGGGTGCGGTGGCGGAGGGGCTGGTGGCTGAGGCCATGCAGCCGCAGCGGTGCGCGCATGACAACGTGACGGTGGTGGTGGTGCAGGTGGGGGGGGGAGGAAACAACTAACTGACTGAGGGATAAGGCGTCAACATGGGTTGCAACATGTGAGCCAGCCCGAGGGGCTGTATGACGGGGTCCGCGGACTTGGGTAGGTACTGGGGTGCGATGCATGGTGTGGGCGGGACGTGCTAACGGACGAGTGCTAAATCTCGGGACCCCCCTCCGGTACAAGCCTCAATGTTGGCCTTCGAACACTTCTCATGTGTTTGAATGGGCATTCCTTGTTTGTACCCCATGCGTGCATGTACCGCACGCTTGCAGTTCAACGACGCGGTCAAGGCTAGTAGGATGACGGTCAGTGGCGGCAGCTCTGAGGCTCTCGCCGGCAGCAGCAGCAACTGCAACGCGGCTGGTGCACCCGCGACCGCTGCTGCCGCTGCCCCCGCCGGGGCTGCTGGCAATGGCAGCAGTGCTGCCGGTGCTGTTGACGGCAGCCCGGACAACGCGAACAACAGCTCGACTGCCGTCCCGGCTGATGCGTCGGTTGGAGGAGGAAGCGGAGGCGGCAGCAGTAGCGGCGGCATTAGCAGCGGCGCCAGCGGGGCATCCGCCGGCGGCGGCGGCAGCAGCAATGGCGGCGGGACGGAGGATGTGGCGACGCCGGCGGTGGCGCCCACTGCTTCAGCTGAGGCTGCTCCCGCTTGAGGGGCTTGTATAGAGGAGCTTGTAAAGGAGAGTGGAGGAAGGGAAGAGGCGATTGTAGGCGCTTTGAAAGATCACTTTCAGAAGTCTACATGGGCCTCCCCTGCCTGAGGAGAACGCCATGTCCAGACGAGGCTTGGGAGGAGGGCGGAAAAGAGGACTCCGAAAAAGGACTTCCTTCCTACAGGAGCTGTGAATCTGTCCCTCACGGTGCATCCTTTGGCGAGAGTGGTATGTGCGGGAGGGATTTGCAGCAAGGCGAGCCGGTGCTGGTTGGTTTGGCTGCTGGCTGGAGGGCACCTAGCTAGTGGATGGAAAGCGTCCGTCAACCCCCCGCCCACGGCAGGAGACTGCGGTTGGCGGGGTGCTGGTGGTGGTAGGAGCGGAAGTAGGCATGCTCGCAGCCCTTGGTCCGATTGAGAAAACAGCGGCCGCGTGTGGGAAGAAGTCATTTGGGGGAGGGATGCGGAAGTACCGATATCAGGCTCGTTGGCTGGCGTTACATACCGTAATGACGTGGCGTTTTTTGGAGTCTCAGGCTCCAAAGGCGGGTGGGGCTTACGTTACCCATGACGAGAGCGGATGCCATGCGGAGCGGATGCGCGGATGTGACGGGAGGCTCGGAGGCCCCTGGAGGGCTGGCTTGGGTGCAGAGGGTTAGGGTTTGAGAACTGAAACCTCATCAAGGTGGGTTGGGGGCTTTTTGCTGTTATGGAGGCGCACATCGGTTCACCCGAATCTGAGAGGCATACCGTAACGTGAGGGGGATGCAGTGGTTGCGCAGCGTTGGGTGGTGTGGCGGTGGTGGCGGTAACGGCGCAACAGGCGGGGGAGCGTGGTGGGGCATTGGTCCATTGTGAAAACGGTGGCACTTCACGCGTCGACCCACCCACAACGAACGTGGGGCTGGGGGAGTTTCGGGCGGGTCTGTTTGTGGGATTAGGTTAACTGAGCCGCGTAAACACTGACCCTGACCGTAGTTTGTGGGAGTTGTGTGTGTGGGGGGTTACTTGGCGGTGGTGGTAGGGGGGTTGAACTTGGGGGTCCCTTTTTGGCTCGAGGCCGTTGGAGGATGCGCGGGGGGGTGGTATGGGTCATAAGCATGCACTGGGGTTGCTGCATGTGTGTGGGTTGCTGCTGTTATTGCTGCAACTCGTCGGAAAGGTTCGTCCAGGATTCTGTTTGTGGTGGTGGCGGTGGTGGTGTGCGTTCTTAATTATGCTAATTGCTCGGTTGGTGGATGGGTTGGGTGTTTCTGCGCATGCGCTTATTGTTGGTGTTGGTGTTGTTGTGCTGCCAGCGGTGGTCGCGGTGGCAATAATAAATACTACGGTGATGAAGGGGGGTGGTGGGGGGCGCGGCTTTTACTGGTTGCGAGTTTCTGGTTCATGGTTGGTAGCTCGCAATATGGTTCTCGAACCTATAAAAGGGTCAGCGAACGAAGCATAATCCTGTGGTGGGGGTTGGTGACGGCGTTCGCATTTTCGGCGACTGCGGCACTAACGGAACTGTTGTTGTCGGGTGGGGGCTTGTTGTGCAGCAAACGTTGGCGGTTAGTGGATTGCTCGGCGCTGGTATATAGCTGGTGGGCGTGATGGGGAGGGCAGGAGGCGGAAGAGAGCGGTGGTGAGCGTGGCGGATCATGGATTTGTTGTATGCTTGTATTCCTTACCTCACGACGTACGAAGAAATTTCCTCCGTTAACCCTAAAATCCACACATACCGGTACACATACCGGTACACGGTACACATGCACACGCAGCCCAACTGCGTGTGGCGAGAAGCGCTCCCCTGCCCACAAGCCCCCCGCTCCCACTCGCACCATCATATACACAGCTGACGTCTGCACCCCCATGTTGCACTAAGCAGCTACACCCCTAAGCTTTGCGTCATCAACAGTCCCCAGCCCTCCTGCATATCCTACCCCAATGCTACATCAAGGCTGGCGTCCCAGTCCACACCCTTACAATGCTCCTGACCACGAAGCAGCTCTGCGTCCTATCTACCCTCTTACACAGCCCCCGAGTCCTCCCATCTTACGAATCCTCCCCAGGGAAGGTTGAAACACTGGCTAGTGCACGCACGTCATGATGTCTGTTCACAGTGTTTCCGGCCTCCTCGCGGCCGCCATTCCTCCATCTCTCCCTCCCTCGAGTCGGGATATGGGATTGGGACTTCAGTTGCTCCACTTATCATGTATGGTTTCCCTCCCTCGCTCTCACTCTCGCTCCCTCCCCTACTCCTCCCACTCGTTTACAGTATCCTCGCCAGCTCAGCTCGTATCTTGTCCACCTCCTGCTGCCGCTCCCGGTGCTGCGCCTCCAGCTGCTCTAGCTCGGACAGGGGGGGAGGCGCGTCGGCCTGGAGGGGGGAGGAGGTGGGACGGAAAGAAGGAACCGTGCATTGAATGGCAGTGGCATACTGAGTCACAAGCTTGGCTGCTGGTAAGTTAATAGAGCCGAACGTGGCTATAAGAAGAGGAAGAAGAAGGAAAAGCGAGGCACTTCGAGTTCCAATCTCATGGCCGCTGTGTATGGTGTTCGCAGCCGCTTGGTTCCTCCCTTTCCCCACCCTTCCTCCCTTCCTGGGTATCCTTCTTCCCCCCTCCCAACTCCCCTCCCTTTCCCCCCAAAATAACCACCCACCTGCTCCCCTCCTCCCGCCGGCGCCGCCGCCTTCTTCTGTGGCTTGGGCTCCGGTCGCGGGATGTTCTTCGCGAACTGCAGCGCCCTCTCCCGCGCGCTGATCTCCTTATCCCCCTTCTCACTCCGCTCCGACCGTTCCTTCGCGGCAGCGCCGCTGGGGCTGCTAGCCACGCCACCGCCACCGCCACCGCCGCTTTCCGCAGCGCTGCTACCACCGCCGCCCTGCCCGCCTGCAGGGCCTGCTGCCGCAGGTGCAGCGGTGGTGGCCTCCCCCGGTCGCTGCTTTACGCGGCTGTTGGCTTTGCGCGCGTTCTCCTCACGCACCTGCTCCGCCATCTTCTTGATGCGCTCCTTTGCCTCACGCTGGGGGGGGGAGGAAAAGATGGGGGAGAAGAGCAACTAAGCCGCGAGAAATACTTACCCTGACCGTAGAGGGGGGCTGGCGCGAGATTCCAACTCAAACCCAACATCGCGGTCCGCAGCCCTCACCTTCCCACCCTCACCATGCCTCCTTCCCTCCCTCCCTCCCCTCCTTGACTCCAGTTGCCGCACATTTACATTTACACCCCACCCCCACCCCTACCTTGGCCTGCAGCTCCTCCGTCTCCAAGTCGGGCCCCAGCTTGCCGAGCTGCCAGTAGGCGCGACCGCCCTTCACGTTGTAGGACTTCTCCTCAAAGTCCTAGGAAATCGACAGGAAGAAGACAATACGGGGAAACATAAATGATAAGGGTAGGCATGGGATGGGCGGTGGGGTAGGAAAAGCAAAGCAGGGAGTGCGAGGGGCACACAGGTTTGTTGGGACGGCGCAAAGCCCCTCACGTGTTGCAAGCCCGTATAACCCCGAGCCAAGGCACCCCCAGCCGCCCTCCGCTTACCTTTATGTCGTACGGTTTGAAATCAACGGGGCGCGGCTTTCGACTGTACGGCAACCCTTCCCGATCCGGGGAACCTTCTTGGCCCTTGTTGTTAGCCCCGTTTGCACCGTTGCCGTAGCCCCCGCTGTCCTCGGGCACACCTCCCGCCAGCTGCGCCGCTGCTGCCGCCTGCAACAGTACGGCAATCTGGTTCAGCGCTCCCTCCGTACGTACCGGACACCTACATGACACCCTCACTCGCACGGCCGCAGCTGTGCTGCTCCATGCAAGTCAGCTGCACACACATACCCACACCCCTCAACTCCGGACACTGCCTCAACGGTACACCCCACATAGCACCATGCGATTTTTCAAACTTCTAACAGCACCATGGCCCAGCGCGTATGCCTTGCCATAAAAGTGCTGTGCAACATGCCGACTGGTACCGGTAACTAACTCCATGCTGGCAACACCCGCTCAATGCCCCCCCTCTTGTGCTACGGTGTAGTGCTTAGTGCTTCCCAGGCCCCGTCCCGTCCATAACCACCAACCGCTGCAATAGCTCCCTCATCCCTTCGCGGAACCCCCCCAACGCTCCAAGGCGTACCCGGTACCCCTCAGCAGCGACCTAAGCCCCCTCCCACGCCCCTAACCTGCCCTAACTGTGGTTTCCTACGGTATGGTATGGTCTAGACCCCCCCTGCGGCGTCCTCTTCCCCACCTGCTGCTGGTACTGGTACAGCGCCTGCTGGTACACCAGCTGCTGCTGGTCGGGACTGTAGCCCACCGCCGCCGCCTGCTGCCGCATCTGCTCCGCGTACGAGAGCGCATACGCCGCCGCATAGCCCCCGCCCGCAGCAGTGGGTGCAGCAGCTGATGCCATGCCTGGCGCCGCCGCTACCGCCTCTTGATATTGTTGCTGTTGTTGTTGTTGTTGTTGTTGGGGTCGGGAGCCGTTGGATTGCGTCCGTCTGCTAGCAGCAGCTGCTGGTGCTGCTGAGCCGGCCCCGCCGCCACCAGCGGCACTTCTCCCAGGCGAACTTCGTTGCTGCGGCTGCTGCTGCTGCATGGAGGGCTGCTGCTGCTGCATGGGCCCGGCAGCAGAAGCAGCAGACGGAGGTACGGATGCCGTATAGTAGCCGTACCCATACCCGTACCCCATCGTAGCAGCCGCTGTGGCTGCCGCTGCATATCCACTCATTTGCTGCTGTTGCTGTTGTTGTTGCTGCAATTGCTGTAGCTGTTGTTGCTGCATGGCTGCGTATGCGAGCTGCTGTTGCTGTTGCTGCTGCTGCTGTTGGTACATGGCGGAATTCTGCGCTTGTAGGAGCGCTTGCTGCTGCTGTTGCTGCTGTTGGCCCATTCCGCTGTAGCCGCCCCCGCTCCCGCTCCCGCCTCCGCCACCTCCGCTACCAAAGTACATGGCATTGGCCATCTGCGCAGTCAGCAACAACAACACACCGCATCACGTCCTTGTTCCCCCTGGCTCGTATGGACACACTGTACACGTGTACAGACTGTAACCGTAACTGTAACAAAGGCATCAATCACTATCACTCGCCGGCTTCCTCCTCAGTACGGCCGCCCGGGCTGCTGTCCGGCGTCGCTCAGGAGGTTCGTCAGCCCGACCCATATCAGATCTCATCCCCCGCGCCCATACGAACATGATCCCCAGGTGGCAAACCCAAAGCCCAAACCGTTTCGCTCCGTTTCCAGAGCCCCCAGGCCCCAGGATTTGTCCCGCCCCACTACCGTATGCACGAAGTGCCGCTGGGCACATTGACGTCCCATGGCCCATGTCCCAGGTCCCATGTCACAAATGTCGCTGGAATGTGAAAACCATGCTGCTGCTAGTGCTGCTTGCCGTACCTGTCCTCCGTACATCTGCATCTGTTGGTGCTGCAACTGCTCGTACGGATTTGGACCTCCCGGCAGCGGTACGAAGTCCGGTTGTTGCTGTTGCAGCTGGCCACCGCCACCGCCACCGCCGCCTCCGCTAGTGGAGGCATCGTGCCCGCGATCCCGTTGTTGCGCGGATGCGGCCTCCGCTAGGTTGTTGCTGCTTGCGTTGGCAGACTTGGAAGCCCTGTTGGACGAAGGCAGATGGAAAGATGATGCAAGTTGTTGGGGGCTTCAGGAGAGGTGGTTTGGACCGCCTGATTGAAGGGGAACGGATAGGATTATGAGCAATAGCTGTACGAAAGGGCCTGGCCGGACACATGCACAGAGGACGCTTGAAGAGGTAGCCTTCTTGCCCGCCCTGCCCGCTTACTCGTAGCTGGGGCTATGGATGAAGCTGAAGATTGCTTGAAGTACCTCAACGGCTGCGTCACCCTCCGCAGCGATCACCGCTTCGATCTGCGAGCGCTCGATGGGGATGCGCTTGCGCTGCGACAAGGAGATATCATGCGTGTCAGCGTGCCATGACCCACATGCCCCAAACCCACAAACCCGTAACCCTTGTTACTTCGTACTCACTTTAATGACCTTTTCCAGCAGCGCCCAATTCGATTTCTTGCGTTCCATACTGGCAACGTTTTCAAAGGAATGCATTTGGACATCCGCTGGGTAGTATCGCGACAAGATTTCAGCGTACAGAAAGCCATTTGCGAAGTCCCTGAGTAGATCAATGCATGGGGCCTGTTATATTGGGTTCCATGACCGTCCAGTTTCCTTAAGACAGCCATGGGCATGCTCGTTGGCTGATGAGCTTACCTCTTTGGGTTCTTAACTGCGTATGATAGATCTAAGCTTAGAATCCATTTCAGGACTTCCCGGGGGAATCCACAAGACATCCGCGGTGAGGGATATGGGAAAATGGGGCGCGAGCAGTAACCCGTTTTGATATTATAGCGATGGTGTTTCAGAGAAGCGGGCTTCGTCAAAGGAAATAACCTCGAACTAGCGAGCCACAGCTGGAAGTGCAACCTTCCTTGCGCCGTACAGGTTCTTCCTCATTAGGTCCTACGCCTCACTTCTACGCCCACGCTGAGCGTTTGAAAGCACGTACGTAACAGTAAGCAGACTATAGCTACCCAAGTGCTGCCAGAGTATACCTTTATTTGGTCGCTACCACCTACAACTGCAACGCCGCTTGCGTCTTTCCTTACGGCTGGTCTTGGGGCTTAGTAAGTTGCATCACCCGGGTTATAGTAAGGCATATGAGCTAACAATGTAATAATTGTGGTATCCACTTGTGTGGTGCGTCCCCATGCCAGGGCCAATGCCCGCCTTGCTCGGACTTGTCCTCGTCCTTCCCCTCCTGCCCTTTTTCTACTGCACCTGCCCCACCCTGAGCCTCCGCTGAAGCTGCTGCTGCCTCCACCTCCCCTGTCCTTACTTCGCCCCCAACCACCGCCAGCTTGCAATACCAGAAACATCATTTTTTCCGCAAGTCGGCCAACTACCGTACATCCCTGGCACAGCAGCCCCAACCCACCAACCCCATTACCAGCAGCAGCGCACTGGGCTGCACTGGGGCCTCTGCTGCCACCCGCAGACGCGGCTGCTGCGGCTGCTGCACAGCTGCTGTTGCCGGTGCTATAGGGCAGCGGAGCTCTCTGTGTGACGTATCTCCGGTAGTATTTACCGGCTAATCCCCCGAGATAGAGGACGAGGAGGAGGAGAAGCAGCAGGAGGTATACCGTAATATACGTTCCACCGCCGTACGGGCTGTACGGCAGGTATCACTAAGGAGGAGAAGGAGCTCGAGGAGGAGAGGGAGAAGGCGCTCGGGCTCGGAAACGGAAGGGAAAGAAGATAACCTCTACATCTGTTCCATCCATCCAGCCAGCCAAAATGATGGCCGAACCCTCCACCCCCTCCGCCCCCACCACCACCACCGCTGGCCCCACCACCACCAACCCCAACCCCACCACCACCGATCAAGACCCCCTCTCCCTGCACTTCCAGCGCCTCTCCGCCGCCGTGGAAGCCCGCATGGCCTCCCTCACGCAGCAAGAGGCGCAGCTCAAGGCGGCCGAGGGCGCCCTGGCCGCCGCAGCCTCCCGCATGTCTGCCCGCCTCGCCCCCCGCCTGGGCTCCGACCTCATCTCCCTCAACGTGGGGGGCACCTGCCTGGCCACCACCCGCCGCACTCTGACACTGCTTCCGGACTCGCTGCTGGGGACCATGTTTAGCGGGGCGTGGGACGAGCACTTGCAGCGGTGGGGCAGGGGGGGAGGGGAAGGAGGGAGGGAAGGACGGAGGGAGGGAGGTGGGAGGGAAAGATGGAGGGATAAAGAGGAAACAACTAGCTGACCGTGTGATAAGGCATCATCATGGTTTGCAACATGTGAGCCAGCCCGACCCGCCCAGCCCGAATTAGCCAAGCCAGTACGTAAGGATGGAGGGAGGGTAGGACGGAGGGGGGTGGGGAGCGTATAGTAGGAGAGAAGCACCTTTTGAGTTTCAATCCAGTGGGTGCATGTGGGAGGGAGGCGGGGAAATAAGAATTGAATACGGCAAATACCATGTTGTGAACGGTAGTAGGCGGGGAGGTTGGTATGCCCCCTCCACCACCATCGTTACCACAGCTTGGTCACTTCCCTCTGTACCCCCACCCGCGTCCGCACCCTAACCCTCACCCTCACCCCAACCCCCCCGCTTGCCTCCCCCCAGGGACGAGTGCGGCCGCGTGTTTCTGGACTACGACCCCTCCCTCTTCCGCAGCCTGCTCAACTGGCTGCGCGCACAGGACCTGGGGGGGCCCGAGGCGCCGCTGGGGGAGCTGCATGCGGAGGGGGGCGGGGCGGGGGCGGGGGAGGAGCTGCTGGTGCTGGTGGATTTCCTGCAGCTGCAGAGATACGTGCCGTGCAGGTGGGTGTTAAGAAAACTGGCCGCGAGTGTGTTGTTGGGGGGAGGGGGGACAATAAATAAGAAGTGCAGCAACTGGAGTCCCAATCCCATATCTCGACACATGCAGCGAGCGCATACGGAGGCATTAGTCTAGAACCACAGGTGGGGGGTAGGGGGTGGACCACACATCACAGGTGGGGGCGAAACGTAGAGGGGTTAGGGAGCTTGACGGCTTGTCTGCCATCCTCATTCGATGCATGAGGTAAAATACATCTTTTTCCTCCTGGTTCGGTGTGGTCTTCGAACCCCTCTCACACCACAGGTTCACGGAGACCTTCTGTCGCTCCCTCTCCTCGCCGCACCTCTCCCTGGACGCCGCCTCCGCCTGGCGCACCGCTGCGGGCGGGCAGGTGGGGGGCGTACCGTACCGTACCGTACCCGACGAACGTCCCCCATTGCAATGGGGTACCCTGCTCGGCCGCCACCACCCACCCTACCCGCCATCTGGCCTTCCATGCCTCTGGCGCCTTGCGAGGTGGTGCATGCATCTCCCGCACAACCAGCCCAACCCAAACCACGTGGATCAAACAACCCAACCCTCACCCTCACCCCACCACCAGTATGTTTTCACACGGTTCGTTAGTCCTTTCCATCCAACCTTCCACACACACACGTACAATTACGATTGCAGTCACAGTACGTTCCGCCTCGCGGCCAGTTTTCTTAACAAACGCCCCCCCCACCACCACCATGGTATGGTATGATCTTTATACCCCCCCCCCCCATGTCAGGGTGCCTACGCGGTAGCCGCCAGCAGCCACACCTACTTCGATGTGGATGTGGAGCTGCTGCTGGAGGTGATAAGGTTCGGAGCCACCAGCACAGCAGCGGCAGCGGGGGGAGGCAGGTGGGGGGGAGGCAGGTGGGGGGCTGGTTACAGGGCAAAGCGGGAGGGATGGAGGGAGGGTGTATGAAGGGGGCAGCAGAGGCGCAGTGGCAGGGACCTTCCATCGGCCACCCATCTTCCCGCTCTCTCTTCGTTGCCTCGTCATGAACTCCTACTCGCCCCGCCACCGCCTCGTTCCAACCCGCATGGTGCCGCTCCACCCCTCTCTCTCCCCCCTCCGCCTCTCGTCTACCTCCCTGCTGCCGCCTGCTTCACATGCTCAGCCGCGGCAGGGGTGCCGCCGTCGCCGCCAGCCGCCACAGCAGCAGGCGCCGGGGTGGTGGGGTGGGGGCTGCTGCTGGAGCGGGTGGAGACGGTGATGGCGGCAGCGAGGAGGATGAGGAGGGCGGCGGGGGCGGCCTGCATGGTCAGCTGCAGCTGCCCAACCACCCCATGTTCGTGGGAGTGATGGCGCGGGGGCAGCTGGCGGGGGTGGACCAGGCGCGCAAGAAGAGCAACGCAACATGGTGGGGGTGGGGGTGGGGGGTGGAGGGGGGGAAGAGGAACCGACTAACTGACCGCATAATAAAACAACATGGTGGGGGTGGGGGTGGGGGAAGAGCAACGCAACATGGTGGGGTCGTGGGGTCGTCAGGGAGTGTAATTCTGTTCCTTCCCTCCAGTTGCTGCACTTCTCAATTATAACCCCCGCACAACCCCCGCGCAGGCAGTCCAGCTGTCACGGCTGGTGGACCAGTGGGCGGGGCGGAGGGCAGGTGGTGGGCGGCGGGAGCAAGCAGCTGCAGAAGCAGGTGGGGGGAAGGGGAAGCGGAGGGGAGGGGAAAGGCGGAGGGGAGGTGTGTGTGTGTGGGGGGAATTAAATATGTGAAACAACGAGTCTCGATCCCATATCCCGACTCATGCAGTGAGCGCATTCGGAGACACTATCCTATAAACACGCATCTCAAATTACTTACCGAAGCGTTGCTTACCGTAAACCGAGACGACTTGAGGAAGAAGCCGCCTTGCGTGGGGGGGAAGGCGAGTCAGGAAAGGAAGAGGGAGGTAAGGAAGGCAGCATGCCTCTCTTCGCTCCCCACACTTCTCATCGCTGTACCTGCCCGCCTCTCCCCGCTCCACCCCGCCCCGCCCCTTCTATCCTCACCAACTTCATCTTCTTCCCCACCCCGCTCGGTCCCGCCCCGCCCCGCCCCTCCCTCCCAGCCGCTGTGGTGCGAGGGCGACAGTCTGCTGCTCACCCTGGAGGCAGCCAAGCACCCGCACAGGGCCACCAGGGGGCAGCAGCAGCAGCAGCAGCACCCGCAGCAGCGGTCGCATGCAAGCACCAGCACCAGCGCTACCGGCACTCCACAGCAGCAACCACAGCAGCAGCAGCCTAACGCTGCTGCTGGTGCTGTTGGTGCTGGAGGAGGAGCAGGGGCAGCAGCAGGAGCCGACCCAGGTGGTCAGCGGCAGCAGCAGCAGCAGCAACAGGCGGTGCCGGGAGGAGGGGGCGGGGGCAGAGGGCGGGGGCGGGGCCAGGGTAGCGCAGCAGGCGGTGGAGGTGGGGGTGCAGGTGGGGATGGCGCCCCGCCTGCTCCCGCCCCCTCCCCCTCCGCCCCGCCCTGTGCCCGGCTGCTGCTGACCAACACACGCACCGCCGCCCGGCTGCAACTGGACATATCGCCAGAGTGCCTGGGGGAGTGCGAGGTAGGCTAGGGTGGGGGGCGGGAGGGGGGCAGTGCGAGGTAGGCTGGGGGCGGGGTGGGGGTAGGCTGGGGGCGGGAGGGGGGCATCGGGACATGCGGGACCGAGCATCTCTGGTGGCCTTCCAGGCATATGAAAAGTGCTCCGTTGAGTTGAGTCCGGTACGCTACCGCCTGTGTACGGCGTAGTTCCCAGGTTCCCTCACTTCTCTTCTATGCGTAACCATCCTGATGTTTTCACGTACAATATCCCTTTCGTTACCGTACACTTCCCGGCTGGCTACTGCTGCCGCTGCTGCTGCTGGTGTGCCCTCCGCAGGAGCAGTGGGTGCTGGTGGTGGGGCTGGCGGGGCGGGGGGACGAGGTGCGCATCAACGCAGCGAGGAGGAAGGGAATGAAGCCGCAGCAGGCGGCAGCGGGGGCCGCAGCAGCGGCGGGGGCAGCAGGCGGGGGTGCTGAGGGTGCTGCCAATCCTATTTGAAGAGGAGCGGGCGGGGGAGGAAGGTACCTGAGGGGTGCAAGCGAAGGTGGTGGTTGTAGCTGTGGACTGGTGGGTAGACTAGCTGTAGTCTACATAGGAGTTCAGTCGCTTTGTGGTTGCCAACTATGGCTTGGCCTTGAAGAGCGTTTCATATCCGTATGCGCATACGAGAAATTTCGGCACCGTAACGCTCTGCGGGTTAAGAGCATCCACCGCTTCGGCGACAACGGTGAGCCAAGATGGCTGTCTAAAAGGGTTGTGCGTAGCCGTGGCAACTAAAGTAACAGTAAATCCCTTTCGCAAATTTTGCGTCAACAAGCCAGAAGAGGATGCACGGCCTGACACTGACTAAGATCTTATTAGCACTGCGCCTGCGCGAAAACATAACTTCTGACCCGAGGACCTTCAAGATGAAATGAATCTATTTACAACCCATAGAAAATCACGCTATACGTGATACCTTCCCTGCAGACCCTTCTCCATGCGTATGTTTTCTGTGCAAAATGCCCGGAGCAGTCTCTTAAGTTCATCACGTTACATCATTTTGTAAATCCTGGAGTAATAGCCGTTAAACATGTGCCATATACTAACCCCTGTCAACCCGCCTTGATCTCGTTATGCTGGTCCTTTCCACTTCCAACGCCGTGTACACCCAGAATCCTGGGAGCTGGGATCACCGACAGCCTGTGGCACCACCCTAAGCCGTCCGAGCTGAAGTGCGTCAGCACAACACTCCATGATACGCTAGAATGTACAATCCCACACAGCACGGCACATGCACACAGGTCCTCTGCTGGGGACCCAACCCTGCAACGGGAGTGAACAACTGAGCGCGTTCGCTCGGCCAAGTCCTGTACGGTACTGGTTGCTATGATAGGTGGAGTGCGTGTTGTTTTCACGTTAGGGGGATGGTTTTTTCGGTGGCGCGCGCCTCAATTTAACTCGTTGGGAAGGTCGACGGCTGCCCGTGGCTCCAACCCAGTCCTAGCCTCAGCAAAAGGGAAGTGAGGTGTTAGGTTGCATGGAACCGTGAGAAGTTTGCAGAGGAGGGGGACCACGCGTGGGCAGAGAACCTGACAGGATGACAGGTTGGGAGGATGTTGCTCCATGCACAACCGAAAGCAATTCTTGACAAGTTTTGTTTGTGATGGCCTAGCGTTACTTTCCTGCGTAGCTTAAAGTTGCAAGTGCAATTCTCCATGTGACAGAGGGTTGGAGTGACATGAGTTGCGGGTATGCGGTGGGTAACAGCATCCGCAGGCGAAGGACAATTCATGGTCGCCATGAAACTAACCCACCGATACGATGAAAACTTAAGCAGAGGGGGCAAGTCGGCCAATTCATCGACTTACCAGCAACGCTATGCTCCGAGCTATGCATGGAATCGGCCAACGGGTCGGTCAAAACCAGGATTCAAGAAGTAGATTGTTCTTGGCATACATATGTGTGCTTGCTATATGCCCAAGCCACAGTAGCGAGCATGCTTCAGTCATCGTGTCGTTGCTGAAGGGGTCGAAGTATTGGTAAGACCAACTAAGCTTACCGCGGCCTGTGCTCAGAAGAGCGCATCCATGTTAACCAATTATATTGGTGTTGTTTTAGCTACGCGACATGGGCGGTATAGACCGTACTCGTCACAAATCCGCCTTCACAAATCCCTGACTTCGTCTCATCTACCGCAACAAAGTGACTAATATTAAATACATCAGTAACACAGTAGGAATCGCACAGATCACAAAGTTGCATAGGCTGACTTGTCGCTTACTAGTGCCCAATGGAGGACGTCCTTAAGCTCCTTGCGGCAGGTGTCAACCCTGCCGATGTCACTCCCTTTACATTTCCAGCTGGGCTTCTTGGTGGTGGACCAGGACCTGCTTTGGGCGCGGCCAACCTTGTAAGCATCATTTCGGTCGCTGGGCTGGTACAGGCCTGTGTCCTTGTTCGCCTGGCATGTCTGCCGTCGCTCGCCCCCAATGATTTACAAGGATGAAATGCTTTATTCAGAAATGCACGCCTTTCTTAGAAGCCCGAGCTTATTACTCACTTCACGTGTGCCTTCAGTCATTTACCTCGGCGACTAATTTTGCTTGCAGGACCTGGCTTTGGCCCTGCAAGCCGGAAGCTTTCCTTCTTTCCTCATGGGCTCGCTTGGCTCGGGAGGCGGCCCACCACTTCCGCTACCACAAGCGCTAGCCCTCCCGTCATTAGAGCTCCCTAAGGTGCGTAAGGCGAGCCGTGAAGCAGTGCTAGGGATTTGAACCAAATAATGATACCTATAAACTTTCATATCTACATGTTCATCGCGCAGCTTTTGAGCCTGGACGTGGGCGGGGATGCCGGAGCAGGACCCATGGCGAGAGCAGCAGCCGCTGCTGCTGCCTCATACGAGAACGGAGAGGCGTCCGATGGCTCGGGTGACAATCCACCGCTACCTCCACACAGGAGCAGAGCGCAAGGTCGCCAGTTGCAACAGCTTCAACAGCAATTGCCACAGTTTGAGCCACCACCATCACGCCAGGCTGCTTCCAGCAAGCGCGACTTGGATCAGCCCTCACCCTTGTCCAAGAGCAAGCGGCAAGCTCTATCAGCAGCGGAGGCCATGGTGGACTTAAAGGCGGATGCCTTGCAATCGGCAGCTGCCGCGGCAGCGATAGCAGCAGCCGCTGCGGAGGCCGAACGCGCGGAAGCACGAGCGGAAGCCTGGCGGAACGAAGCACGGCGGGCAGACAACAACAAGCAACAACAGCAGCAACACGCGGACGGCTCAAACTCGGACGGGTCGGACACGACCTCAGGTACGCTCGCTGTCACATCAGCCCTGAGAGTGCTCACGTATCCGGGTATCCTACTCCCAGTTCAACATGGACGTGCCCACCCGACCCAGATTGATCTTTCTTCTTCATCCTTGAACCCCGTAACCCACATTTTTTCCGTTTCCCTCCCCCTTCCTTCTCCACCCTTCGCTTCCCCTCCCTTCCCTCTCCTCCCCCAGAATCCGCGGGCGCCGCTCCCCCCCGTTCCGCCCCCGGCCGCGCCCGCCGCCCCTCCGGCAACAAGGACCCCGTGGCTCGGGCGCAGATGCGACAGCTCAAGAAGCGAGACCTGAACCGCGAAGCGCAGCGGCGGTTCCGCGACCGGCAGAAGGCGGCCCTGGCCCTGCTGGAGAGCACCACTCAGAGCCAGCAGCGGGAGATCGAGGCGCTGCGGCTGACCAACAAGCTGCTGGAGGAGCAATATCGGGTGAGCAAGGGGGTAAGGAGGAAGTTGCATGGGCGGCGATTGAAGTGGGTCGGAAGCGGGGTAGGTTGTGTAGGCAACACTGGGGCTGCTCTGCTGCCTGGTGGTGACCGTACTTCGTACCCGTCGCTTGATTGCCGTACTCCTCACACGCACCCACCACGTACCCGACCCCCTCGCCCAAACTGCCGTACCGCTACCACCCCGCCCCGCCCCCCAGGTTCTGATGGAGCAGTACAAGGCGCTGCAGCTGCGCTTCGTTACCATGCAGATGAAGTCGCAATCCAAGGTTTAGGTGTGTTAGGTTCTCATGTGTCTTTGACACACCCCTTGGGTTGGAGACCAGCAAATGGGAGCGAAGCGATGGGGGAGGCAGGGGGGTTGGAAGGGAGGGCGTTCGTGCAGCCCCAACCAGTCCCCCATTGCTGGGCCGGTCCCAATGATACGCATTGCCCCCCTTGTACCGGAATGGAGGTGGTCGCATGAACGCATGCTTACTCCGCTGGACTTCCTGGCTGGCACCCGAGCTGCTGCCGTCGCTGCTGCTGCCGCCGGTTGCTGCGGGGCTTTCCTCTTGACGGTGCCCGAGTGCATGGTTGTCGTGCAGCTTGCTGGCTGGAGTCGTGCCGTAAAGGGTGACGAGGTGCTGGAGTGACGAGGTGGCTGTGGCTGGTGGTTGCAGCGGGGAGGGAGGGGCAGGGGCACCACACCAGCAGCGGCTGCGATGCATTACGAAAGAGGGGCGAGTAGCTGGTGTTGTGGTTGAGGAGGCGGGGAGAACTTCAGGAGGGAGGGGGCTAAGGGCTAACAGAAGCAAGCAGCCAAGCATGCCACGTATGAAGGAACTGAACTTTCATCACTATAGTCCGCGTTTAGAAATCCGTTGTTGTCGTAGCGAACCTGTTTGTGCATGGGCAGCATGGCTGCAGCCTCCAGCGGAGGTGCACCCTGGTTGTTCTTAACCTCTGACGGGGCGCCCCCTGGGTAGGCGCCTCCCGAATAATGAGATGTCGGATGTGGTGTGATGGCATGTCATGGAGTGGGTGGTGGAAGGAAGACGGGTTTTCTTGCGGTTTGTTGCGTCTCTATATGACACGAAGGGCTTTCCCCCGCGCATGGCTTTGAGCTGTAGGTGAGGTGTTGCGGTAGGTATGGGCCACATGGAGGAGAGGGCGGCGCCTTGGCTACCGGTACTGCTGTTGTTTGCCTTGGCGGAGGGAGGAGCGCCGCGGAGGTTGGGGATGGTGGTGGGGGTGAGGACGACGGGAGGGGAGGGGAAATGTCGCGGCGCTGCAGATGTGTCGGCAAAAGGTGTTCCTCCCCTTTCCCCCCGGGAGCATGGGATAGGTGATAGGTACCACTGTTTGTTGCTAGGAGTAGATTGGGTGATGGCGGCAGAAGGAGTGAAGAAGTTGTTGATGCGGTATGATGTTTCTCCTTGTGTAACTTCTGCACTGCAGCGCTCGACACGCTAGCGGTTGTAGGAGAGGGTATAGCAGCTGGTTTCCCCTGATGTACGGGCGTAAGGTCGGACGCGATGAGACCTACCGTATATTATGAAGTGCTTTTTGCTGGCCCTGCCTCAGTTTGTCTTCCCGTGTCTTTTGTTCTTTTTGTGAGTGATGGGCGAGTTCGCCACATATTTTGACAAAGTTTCGGACGCAAATGAGACCCATGGGTCAGAGGCCAGGAGCCGCAAGAGTTTGGGCACAGTTGAAGGTGTGGGGGTGAGATGTTGGGGGCGATGGTACCGGTACAGCAAGGTTGCGGGATAAGGAGGTTAGGATTGGAGCTTCTGTTGATCGGATGCGACAGAACCAACGGTCATTAACGGCTGTCCCTCCTCTGGCTTATTACAACAACATTTACAAGATGATGCGCGATATGTTTCTAACGTATGTGTGCTGCGGACAGCTTTCCTGTAGAGTCACGGTTGCAAGCGGAACGGAAGAAGAAAGAAAGTAATCGGTTTGCAAATGCAGCTGGTTTATGTGCAGTGTTAGGTGCCGTTTGTTTTGGCTGTCAGGGAGGCTCAAGAAGAGCATGTACGTAGGAGGGTACGTTGGGAGTTGTCAACGCGGCGCATTTTGGAATCAGGGTGGCTCGCGTTACCCCTGTGCAGGCGTTGTTAAAGCTTTTTTGTGAGCATGTGACACGTAAAAGCAACAGCGGTAGCAACGGCACCGCTATTTTGCATGCATGTCGAATACCGAAGATGCATATTTGCGCAACAGGCATTCCTGCGGACCTTCGGACCCGCGGGTCGTCCGGCCAGTGCACGTGCCGGGGTGTTTCTATCACCCGTTTTTCTTTACCAACTGTAAACCATTCATCCATGTGCACAGCCATGTTACAGAGGTGCCGTCTAGATACCGGTATGGTCTACGTTAGGGTTGTGCGTCGTGTGCTTCTGCAGATTACACCCAGCGAGGACTGGCCTGGTATTACAACCCAACGTGTATGCAAAACCGGAAAACAAGAGGAGCTGCAATTATGTAAAGTCAACACTCCTTGCATACCCAGGAGCTTACCCGAGACGGTAAAAGGGACAACCCCCCTGGTACGACAAATCACACCAAACACCTGCTCTGCCGTACATGCCACATTCGTTTTGGCACAACAAACCAAATATAAGGGCATGACATGTTAGCAGAAGCAGAGCAAGAAGCTGTACAGAAGCAGAAAGACACAAACGTACATCCACTCATCCTGACAGGATGTTGAGACTACGTTAATAAACCCCCACAGTCAAGTGCAGGAGCACACAGATACGCCCCCATCGCGTGTTACCACGTCTCGTGTCTCCTCCTCCAACCCATTTCAGTTAAAAGAGACCAATAGGTCCAACCTGTCACTTCTTAAGAAACCTCCATTCGCAAATTCAACTCCTAAAATGCGCCCGTGTCCCAGCGCCTCTAAGAAAAGCACTGACACTGGCAAAGCTACTTAACTCCAACCTGCTAAGACAGGAAGACCTGACAGCCTCCCAGCCCTGCAAGCCTCCCTCCCTAACACCTTTTGCTTACAGCCGCTCCCTGACGGTGCACCTCGCTGTCGGTGCTTCCCTACCCTCCTTCCTGGATTCACTCCCCTCCCCCCGTGTGTTGTTGCACTTTATAATTTTCCCCCGCCTCCGCAGGCAGCAACACCACGCGCACGTCGGGCCTTCCCCAATCGCTCCCTTCCCTTCCCTTTCCTCTCCCTCTCCAAAACCCCAATCACTTCTTTACAGCTCAATACCCCCCAACCCGCACCAGCCCGCCCTTCTTGCCATGCACCAACCCCGCCCCATCGTACCCTCCCTCCGCCCGCAGCTGCCCTCGGTCACCCTTGCTGCGAGCAGCCTTCTTGTTAAACTTGTAGTCCGGCCGCTTCTGTTTGGCCTCCTTGGGACCCAGACCCAGATCCTGCAGCAGGTCTAGGTCCGCCGCATCCAGGTCATCCGCCGGGACCGCCCGCGCCGCTACTGCTCCTGACCGCGGCCGCTGCGAGGGCGCTGTTGCTGTCGCTCCCGATGCCAAGGGCGCAGCCTCGCCGCCATCCTCCCCCTGCTCCTCAGCCTCTTCCCCGTCCTCACCCTCCTCATCCTCCGTATCCTCTCCATCAGCTGGCTCATCAGCCTGCGGTGCTTGCGCTGCCGACGGCGGCGGCGCAGCCGCCGCCGCCGCCTCCCCCGGCACCCAGCCCACGTGGGCGCTCCCGGGCGGCATCAGGCAGTACACCAGCTTGCCATTGGTGTAGTCACGCAGGAACTGCCGACCCGCGCGTGTCTCATCCGGCAGACCCGACCCCGCAGTCCAGCCACGCAGCACCGCATACGCACGTAACGCCTGCTCGGCGGTCGGCGGGGTGTCCGGCGGCAGGTGCCGCGGCGCCGGCGGCAACTTAATGCCGTACACTGCCGTCAGCTGCGCCCGGCCGACACGGCTCGTCACCACCTCCACTGGCTGCCGAATGTCGGTGAGCCGGTCGATCGGAACCACGCCCGCCGCCACCATCTCCGCACGGCTACGAGCGAATTTGGGCATGACGAGACCCGGGCAGTCGCACAGAACGACGTTGGGGCTGACATGGAGGGTTTGGAAGTGCTTGGTCTTGCCGGGAGTGGGCGCCACAGCGGTCTTTTTGGCGCCAAACAGTGCGTTAATGGTGGACGATTTGCCCACGTTGGGATAGCCCACAAGGCCCACCATGAAGCGCCGGTCGGGGCCCTCAGCGACCCGTGGGTCATCTGGGCCACCCGCCGCCACAGCAGCCGCGCATTTGCGCTCGAACAACTCCAACAGCTCGTCCACATCCAGGATCTTAATCCGCGGATCTTCCTTCTCCGCCTCCACTGCTGCCTCCGGCAGCCCCGCAGCTCGTTGCCGCTGTCGAAGGTACTGCTGCTGCCGCTCCGCCTCCTCCTGTTGCTGCTGCTGCAGCAACTTCTTCAGAACCGCAGGCTCCACTCCCAACGCGGAGGCCTCCGACCGTAGCGCCTGCTGCTCCTGAATGACCGAGAAGGCCGACCAGAAGGCGTAGTCCACGCCCGCCGTGTCCAGGAAGTTCGCCCAAGCGGTCCTCACGTGGGGAGGCAGCAGGTCTGCCTTGTTCAGCAGCAGCAGCGAGCTCTTAGAGGCCGCCAGCTCGCGGCAGTAGGCCTCCAGATCGTCACTGCGGTACAGCAGCGGGTCGCGCGCGTCCACAACCTGCATGCGTGCGTGCATGGGGCGGGGTGGGGTGGGTGGGGTTCTGGGTTTCCATCAGGGCTCCCACTCCCCCACCGCCCCGTCATGTCAACGCACCTAGCAATACCCAACACTCCCGCCCCCGCTCCGCAACCGCCCCCGCACCCCCCCCCAACCTGCACCCCTCACCTGCACCACGATGTCCGATCGCTCCAGCACGCGCCACAGCTGCCTCCACACCTCCAGGTTCTTCTCAAAGGGCGTCAGCAGCAGCTTCTCCTCCTCCTCCAGCTGGGCAAGGTTGCGCCGCCAGGCCAGGAAGCTGGTGCGCTCCTGCAGGGTGGGGTGGGAGGGTGTGCAGAGCGTTGTTCAGGGACTACCACTACCGTATTGTTCATTACTTGGTTTCTTCGTTTTCCCTCTCCTCCCTCCCCGTCAGCATGGGATATGGACTCGAGAAGTGCTTCACTTCTCGAATCCTCTCCCCCGTCTGTGCCACCTACTTTGCCACAACATCATCCAACGCACCGGATCTACTTCCTTTTCTTTTCCCTTTCACCCTCGTCACTGCCCCACCCTTTCCCCCCCTCACTGCCCCACCTGCAGGTCCAGCTGCTCAGCCGTCATCTCCGGGCTCCAAGCGGGACGCCGCGGCAGCGCCAGTCGGTGTGCGTTGCGCGCCTCCGCCTCCGCACGCGCCTCCGCCGCCGCCGCCTCCTCCCGCGGGTCCACCACCCCGCTGGCGCCCATGCTGATCACCACCGCCTGACCTCGCTCGGCGGTGAAGTCGCGGTCAGCTAGGTCGGCCTGGTGGTAGGGTGGGGGGGAGGGGTTTGGGAGGGGTTGGGAAGGGGTTGGGGAGGGACGATGAGGAACGTACGGCTTGGGGGAGGTGACATGCGGTGGGCACGAAGGAGTGCAGTGCTGCATGCCCCAGCAACGCCCCAGTAGTAGCTTTTAAATGCCGTACAGAGGACATGGAAAGGTACTGCTGGGTCGTTGCTGGTCAGGGCGCCCAGCAATGCACCTCTCCGTGTCACCTATCCGCATACGCCATCGCCCTTCGCTTCCTTATGTCGTACGACATGCCGTACGACAACAACGAACTAGGCTTGCAACGCTCGTACCAAGGCCATGAGTTCGTCCAGGTCGTTGCGGTCTAGCACACTCTGCATGTTGCGACCAGGTCCGGCATCGGTGGTGTGCTTGAAAGCGGCACTGATGGCGGCCTGGGTGGTGGGGGCGGTCTGAGGGGGCAACAGGAAGAGGAGAGGGAAGGATGAGGGGAAGAGGTCAGGAGGCGATGTGCAGATGTGAGGTTAGGGTCGGGGCGCCAACGTTGCTCGCGCCTTCGGCATCCAATGCCCAAACGGCGGACGCCAAGAATGGGTTGTTTAGATGTCTGTTCGCTGGGCCGGATTCAATGTAAACATATCCACCACAGTGGTTGGCTGGGATGGAACTGAATCGACGGAGGTGCGCGTGGGAGCGCAGCGTCAACGACACCTTCCGTAACTCCTTAAGCGGATGGGACTATACTGGATTGCACAGCGACGCCATCCCATCCCTTACCTTCTTGTTCTTCGCCGCCAGCAAAGCGCCGACGCGCTCTCCGCCTTTGCGGGCCTTCCCGTTGTGACGGCCCATTACTGCTTAAGCCCTATGTTGTCGTCTTACAAGTTCATACAGTTCCACGTTCAGGAAAGGAAGCGCAACTCAGACTTATCGGGGCTTTATACAATGTCAGAATGACGTTGAGACTGTAATAAACGTAAGAACGGCTTAACACCAAACAAAAAGGTCTACTTGGACGCAGATACTCGCTGCGGTTGGGTCATCACTCTGTTGCCGTGCAGCAAAACGTAATACTCTGTTTCGAGGCGTTGCCCTCCTCGTGTTTCTAACAATCAATTAGCGACAACATAGCACCATTACGTACGCTGTTCTACCCTACACGAGCTTGAGGAGCGTTCGCTTTACATGCACATCGTTTCCACCAGTCCTTACAGATGACATCCCAGGGCCTCTCCTGGCATAGATGAAACGATATGCTGATCTAGGTATAAGGGTAGGCACGCGTATTAAGCTAGCGCGGCCTTGATGCCTCATGCATTCCCTGCCTGGTTAGCTAGTGGATAACAAGTATGGCCAGCACCACATATGTCGAAAACCAGGACGACGATTTCCCGATCCCATCGCATCGCGTCGTGGACAACTACCTAGCGACGTACGCAGCCACGACCATCCAGCGATGGTTCCGCGGTTACCGCGTAAGAAAGGAGTACCTTGCAAGGGTAAGTCTACCTACAGATCATCCAGGCTACGGTGGTGGACATGACATGGCATTTGGCCTCCTATCTGTCAAACATCACCTCCATGCTTGTTGCGCTGCATGCCATAATCGCAACCTCTCCTGTTGGCCGCCGCGAGCACATCCGACACGGTCACACCCGCGCTTCCTTGCCCCCTCCAAAACATCCCGTCCCTTCCCCTGCCTCCTGCGCATCTATGCAGCGCGCCCGCATCCGCAAGGTGGAGTTGGAATGGGCCACCCACCACGACGCCACCTACCGCGTCCACATGGCTGCTCGGGTCATCCAGACCGCCTGGCGCGGCTTTCGAAACCGCCGCATCTTCGATTACTACCGCGACCTCATCCGCTTCAGGTGATTGGGTGATTACCTTCAGCCAGGGCACCATCTGGGTCGCTCGGAAGCAGGCCGCTCCCCCGCGCGCTCCCTTCCCCTCCCCAGGGCACAGCAGTTACGGACTAGCAACACTTGGTCAGTTACGGACTAGCAACACAAACTACCAACTACGGTACACCCCATGATACGACTTATTCGACCGTTACTCTGCGAGTCAGTACCGGTACAGTAACCAGCCGGCCTCTCCCCCTCGTGGCACCCCCCGCCTCTCTCCCCCCAGGGAGCGCGGTGATCCTCGTGAGCTGCTCCGAGTCATCAACCCACGTGAGGCAGGTCTGGTGGACGCAGCTTCGGGCATCCACGTGCGCTTCCGACTGGGCGGCACCACCTTCCCGCCGCTGGTCTTCTACAAGATCTTCACACACCGACCCGTCACGGATATCGGCGCGTTCGGGCCGCGCGACTACGCGCATGAGATGCGGCTGACGGCGGCGGAGATACATAACAAGCCGACGGCAGGAGGAGCAGCAGCGACAGGAGGGGGTGCAGGGAGCATGGCGGCGGCGGTGGCGGCGGGTGCGGCGCGGCGGGAGAAGAAGCGGCATGACTTTAAGGAAGGGAACTTTGAGATTGAGGCTTCGTTCAGGTGGGGTGGCTGGTTGGGTGGGGTGGTGGTGGTATGGGACCAGGGGAAACACGTGTCTTAGGTGAGGTGTTGGGCGGGATGAATTTAGCGCCGGGTTTGTGGGTTGCTGCACATGCAGTAGCTTCCACTTGGAGACGTGCGGGCTACGGAGATCGCTATAGACAAACACCTCGGTATAGACCGACGCAACATCGCTCCTGCTCCTGCCCTGCGCCAGTGGCTCCGCGGCTCAAATTACCTATTCCCCAACCCCGCAGGGAGTACATCAAGCCCGACGGCAGTATCGGCCTGCGTGACGTGTCGGGCTGGTACGAGCGTTACGAGAACAACGGCTGGCGGCCGGTGGCGGAGCGGGTGCTGCTGGACGAGGACCCCGTGACCACCATGACGCGACTCAAGCGGCAACCCATGTTCCACTACAACCCGGCCGTGCGCAGGTGGGGGCGGGCACTGTCAGGGGCCGGCTGTCAGGGATTGGTATATCTCATTAATGTCTACCGCCGATTGGTTGAGGCTGGCGAGAGCTGTAGGGGAGTGTGCCTGCAAGGTAAAGCTGTGTTTGGCTGCACTGCTTTCTTTAAGAGAGGAATGTATGACCCGTGGGTCGCAGGGAGCATCGGGCACGGGTGGCCAAGCAACGCAAGCGCGACTGGCTGCGGAAGATGTACGCAGAGGGAGGCTTCAACTTCGCTAATGCCGGCGGCGACGCCACCGGTGCCGCCTCCGCTGCCTCCTCCGATCCCGACGCTGCCGCCTCCGGTTCCTTAACCCCACACGGCATGCTGGGCTTCGACTTAGATGAGCTGGACGAGGGGCAATTGGACCAGAAGGCAGAGGAACTGCTCGCCTGGAGCCAGCACCTGGACTACGGCTCCTACTTTGACGACTGGACCAGCCTGGCGTGCACGTTGGCTTCGGAGGCGTTCGTGCCCGAGGAGGAGGCGCCCTTCCTGGAGGAGATTCCCGGGCCGCATGGGAGCCTGGCGGCGGTGCTGGCGGCGGCGGGGGTGCCGCAGGAGCCGTTCAAGGCGGGGGCAACACCTGCCAGTGGCTCGGTGGTGGCGCTCAGGTCGTGAAGGGGGTAAAAGATATGCCAGAACCACAGGTTAGGGCAAAGCAATTGGGGGAATCGTGAAGTTTGGGGAAAAGGGTTGCGGGATGTGCATGTAGGTCCTTGTGGGTTAAGGGGCTTAAGGCACAGGATGGCGTGCAAGCAGGTAGCTGTTCTGTGCATGTCGATTTGTGGCGTAAGTGGTTATAAATTCAAAAAATCGTGGCGAGGGTTGGAAAGGTATTAGGGGTACCGGTATAGGGGAGGAAAGGGCCCCCGCAGACACATCGCGAGCTGCTCGTGACCTTCAAAATCGTCGTGCTGCATGCCGGCTCATTAAATACATGTTATAGGACGCCACACATTGCACGTTTCTGTGTTGCAGCTTGCAGGTGTTTGGTGTCCTTGGTTCAGCTTAGCTAGGGGTCCTCTTAGGTTCGCGGCCATGCAGGTGCTCTAGGATACAGTTCAGTTGTTAGAGACTGACTAATACTTTATTTATCGCCCTGACGTGATACGGCATGGCAGTGCGCATTCCGAAGTGCATGGGGGCTGGGGCGGCTGCGTACCAACCCCCATCAGCCCGATCTGATATGGGTGAAAGGCGTGATAGCGGTAGAGCCACGCAGCAGGTGTCACTCGGGGATGCGCATGGAAGGCTGCAGTGTGAGGGCAGTACGGGCAGGCGTCTGTGCCCCTGCCCCACGTGTGAGAGGCGTGATAGGGTTGCCCTGGCAGCCCAGTGACTATTTGCGTCAGGCTTCATTGCCGTCTTTATGTTTGGGATGTTTCTGGTGCTGTTGTATTGGGTGATTCGGATCATGTGGTCGCATGGGGCGTTGCCGTACCCTATGTATCGGGATTATACACATAAGGTTTCGCATCGGGTCTCCGCAGCAAGCATTACACTCAGCCAGGGTAACCCCCTGCGCACGATGTGCCCAATTGGGTCAGTACGTCCTTCCGGTGGTGAGAAAACTGCTGTCATGGTCATACTCCTCTCGACATTCGAGCAGTGCCTCAGTCGCAATCCCAACTTCGCCGGTGCTCCTTCTTGCCCCAGCCATTAAGGACACGCATGCACACCAACTTTCCCATTACCAACACGCCCCCATACGGCACCTACTCCACCGATGGAACACGCCTGTCTGCCCGCAACTCGCGTCGCACCAGCTGCCCCCCTCTTCTCCCCAGCCAACACGCCGACAAGACCGCAGCATGGACTTCTCTTCTCACACTTCAGCACTCACATCTACTGTTTTAACCATCCCTGCCCTAACTCTCCAACCAGCGCCCAATGACAAAGCAAACCAACGCCAGAGTGGTTTGCTTTGTCAGAGGTGCACCCGAAGTGTGCCCGCCAATCCGCAGCCGACCACCGCCCTGCGAGCACGCAGATTGCCGGCTCCGACCCCCCTCTCCTAAGCATCTGCAGCACCGCCGCGGAAGCAGCGGCCGCAGAGCAGCAGGGCACGCAGGTCGACCATGAGCGGATCCGGCTAATGACCTCATGCGCCCACGCCCCAGTAGACATAGGGCACGTGGAGGAGCTCTGCATGCGGGGTCGGGGCTTAGCCTTGCTGCTGGCTGTCACGTCAGGCAGTCTCTTTCCTGACAGGTAGGGAATGGAGAGGGATACGCGAGAGGACGAGGGTAAGAACCATAAGTTGGGTTACGACCACCTTGCTGGAGGCGAGTTAGCGATACCACGCCGCCCCACACCGGGCACATGCGTGCAAGCAGTAACTCCGGCCCACACCCACCATAGTACCAATAGAACAGCCGTGTCTCCCGGGCAACCCACCCGGTGCCTCACCTGAAGGGGGAAAGAGCCGCCCCACGTGAGGCCAGGCAGCCGTCCCGTCGCACCGACGCCGGCCACATAACGGTAACACAGAACATAACGGTTGTTGCAGCGCTGGTGTTTCCACCCAGAAACGGCTGTTTACAAGCCAAACTTGGGAGCAGTCGCGTCACTAAAGGATCCACGTTATCAGTGAACCACCAGCACGCCCACGCTAGTCAGTCTGCTGCTGCGTTCGACCCTTAATATCTCTAAACGCGTGTGCGTATGCACTGCAGAGGCTATACCCCTTCGGCGCCCCTCCAACAGTCCTGCTGTTTTCCCCCGACCGCGCAACATACCATCCTACGACTACAGCACCTTTACCGGGCGCTGGACTCTGCCCCATATACACACAAAGGCTAGACGCTGTTTAGCACACAAAGTGAGGGGTGTAGGAAGCTAGCTAGCATAGTTTGTGGGTTCATTACCTTAACGCTCACGTACAATTTACCGCATGACTACAAGTTGCCAGTAGCAACAGTGCAGCAGCGACTGCGTACAAACACTCCAGCATACAGCTCCGCAGCAATGTACACACTGTCAACACTCAAAGGCTCACAAAATGGCGCGTTTCGGCGTGAAACGCAGTATCTGGCCCCTTCCTACGAGCACTCCTGAAACCCTACATGTCGCCTCCCTGCCGTGCCTACCCCCCTGCCGGTCCAAATATGCATGCCGGTGCCACCCCTAGCCAAACCCACTCCCCTAACGTTCAGCCACAGAGCGTGGCGATGCAAGATGCAGCCTAGCAACTGCTTAGAACAGCTTCATCGTGCTGGCAGCAGCCTCGGCCGCCTTCTCGTCCATTGTCTTCTTTGCCTTGGCCTCAAACGCCGGGTGCTCCATGATGGCCTGGAAGAGCTGAGTTCCCCGAAGCGCGTTTGTAAGTGGCAAGTGCCCACGAGACGCGTTGAGGCTGTAGTTGAACTCCATTGGCCATTTCCGGTAGTTGTTGTTCTCGCCGGTAGTCCAGTCTATCTGCTTGAAAAACTTTGGCCAGCGCTTTGACTGCTGTGTCCAGATCTCCTTCTGCACGCTGTAGCCAAACTTGTTGTTGCTGCCCGCCCTCCAAAGGTTGTCGATGGTTTGAAGGTCGACGGCTGGAATGTCCTTGACCTCCGTGAAATAAACCCAGTCCCGCTTCTTAGCGCCTTCCCCTGCCAGCTTAATTAGCAGGGCGCGAGTCTCGTCGTCGGCCTTCCTGAAGTCGCCCTCGGCAAGGGAGTTGCGCAAGTCCGTGTAGTCCATTCCAGCCTGACCGGGGGATGCCATGGATGGCATGCATAATTAATGATTATGCGTCAAGTAGCGTTCAGTTCCGTGTGTTTATATGGCTCACCTCGGACTGGAGCTGCACCGCCATAACTGCATCCTTGACGGGGACCTTCTTCTCGACAACAGGAGCACCACCCAAAAGGCTGCTGGTGCTTGAGCCGAAAAGGGAGAGGCCATCAAGCTTGCTGGCTGAGACTTTGGCTGACGAGCGGACAAATTGTGCGGGCGGCGTATGAGACTGAACAAAGGGTCGTTGCGAGGAAAGTGGTCGAAGGCAGATGCTACTTTGCATATGCTGTTGCGTAGAACCGCGGCAAGCAGCACCACGGCCAGAAGCCTTAACTTGGGCCTGCATTCTTATCACGCTTAACAAATATCCACTAAAGCTACAATAAGAGTTGCTGTGAAGTGGATCTTAGCGAAGGTGTATCAAAATTGTCTATCAGCTCGGCGGGACAAGAGGGCTTCATGGTAATCTTTGTCAAGGATCTATGGTACGACATCGCGTCGGGTCTGTAATTCGCCGCAGAGTAAATGCGATGAACAGGCCCCATGGTTTAGTTATCTATCATCTACATAAAAGTCTGTTGAAATGTAAGGATCGGCACAGGTTGAGGTGTCCCTTATGGTTTCGCCCCAGCAGGTAACACCTGCTGCTCTAGCCATGCCAACTCCTCGCAGACCGCAGGGTCAGCTGGGCTATGTTGTGTAAGGCCGTTGATGGCTTAGAATGGGCTCGGCGTTGTGTGTAACCCCCCCGCCGCTGAAGGCATGTACCCCACATCACGCAAAACCGAGCATGCTTTCCCTTTGTGTAACGAGGCCCTTCCCTTGTGTCATACTGGTACTGAGACTGCCCACCGGGTAGCGGATTGCCGTGTTGCATTGGGGCCCGTCCTGAACTCCTGGCTGCAGGGGGACTGCTGTTGTGGGTGTTGACCCATTTGTGAGATGGAGCAGGACCAAACCTTTGGCCTAGGGAGATCTACGGTGGGCTTTTCAGTTTGCCTGTGGGTTTCAGCACGCGTGAGCCGTGGCTTGTTAGCCAGCACTCAAAGAGGTATCTAGGTACCGGTATTGCCTTACCAGCGATTCAAAAGATAGGAATGGCAGCCTCGTCATATCATATGGCCTTGCCTTCAGGCACATGTAAGAAGGTACCGGTAAGGAGGGCAACAGAGAACATCCATGGACTACGGTACGCCATTACCCAAAGCCGATGTTAATGCCAAAGAATGGCAGTGTTATCGCCTTAATGTTAAAGGCTATAGTTTTTGATAACGCGATGACATGAGAAGAGATCGTCTGCTGGGCTGCCGTAGTGCAAGCCTGTGACACGCATGCTTCCGATGTACAACCATCCATGGCGTGGTGTGCGTGGCATGCTCCTGCTTAGTGAAAGCTGCCCTCTCTGTTGCTGTCTCTATACACCATTGAGTACTAGATACAGACACGCCTTTCGAACTAAGTCATTTTGCGCTAATAAAGCCGAAAGCGCATATGATGGTAGGAGCCCCTCAGCACGTCGTCAGCTACGAGCTTGCCGTGTGGCATTAGAGTACTTAACAAAGTATATTGAAATGCCACATTAAGATGCTGCATTTGTCTTTCTAAGTTGTGAAGCAGAACCAATGTTACATGCGAGTCCGAAAGAGCAATGCCCAGCACCTGTGCGGCTCCGTCGCGTTGGTCTTTAGTAACGACCCGTACTAATGAGCAGCACAAGCATCTCAAGCTAGAACGGGCCTCACATACAGCGACTGTTGTGGATGGCTCCATCTACGTAGTGGCAGGGCGTAAGGGGTAAGCCTCCCCTCTCTCGTTGTCGCGACCTCCCATCACAACGCCTCCTCCTCTATACTTGCTTCTGCCTGGCAGGAACCTACTCCATGATCCGCCGTCCAGGCACCTCAGCAACCCCAACACGCTTCCCTCCTCTTCTCACTTATTTCACCCTCCCCACCTCCCCCCCACTACTTCCTCCCAGCAACACCTTCTACGCCGACGTGCTCCGCCTCGACCTCTCCACCCTCTCCTGGTCGCTGCTCTTCGCGTCCATCCCCAACAGCTTCCGCCCTCGCGCCAACCACACCGCAACGCTGGTGGGCGGCAGGCAGCTGTGGCTGGTGGCGGGCAGCGACCAGCAGGCGGTGCTGGACGATGTGCACGTGCTGGACATCCCCTCGCTCACCTGGAGCAAGCCGCGGCTCAGGTAGGGAGGGGGCTGGGGGCGGTAAGGTGTGGGCTTTACGGACCCTGTCCCGCTGGCATGGGGCTGAGCCAGGGGGCCAACCTTGGGCATGTTCGTTCGCTGTAGAGCTCTTGACTTAGGGGCGGCTGTGAGACTGTGGAAGGGGGGTAAAAAATATAATGAGACACTGACTGGAGGGGGGGGGGAGTTAGACCAAACCATATGAAACCGCGAAGGGCGGAATTGAAAAATGAGGCGGTAACTGGTTGATGCTTCCTCTCCTTCATGTTCAAACATGTTAGGCCTGAAGAGCTCCCACCGTCCCACGGCCCAGTTCACATCTCCCCACACAACCACTCCTCCTTTCTAACGGTATGTCCCCAGGGGCGAGACCTCCCTGCTGCTCCGCACCGCCCACGCCGCCGACCTCCACCCAACCGACCCAACCGCCATCCTCGTCTTCGGCGGCTACGGCGCCAACGCCGCCTTCCACAACGACCTGTACGTCATTCGTACGACAGCGCTGTCGGTGGAGCGGCTCGCCACGTTCGGCGGCCTGCCGCCTCCCTCGCCTCGCGGCTACCACAGCTGCACCACGCTGGGGAGCAGGTGGGGTGGGTGGGGTGGGGTGGGCAGCAGCTTGGGGTGGGGTAAAGAGGATAAGGAAACTGACCCCTGGGGTGGGGTGGGGGAATTAGGTAAACTGAGCCCGGTGGGGGGGGGGCCGCAGTTCAGGAGTCCAGGGCAGGCCAGGGACGGTTTTTGAATGGGACGGAGAGGGACGCTGGGTGTCCCAGGATGTTCACAGGTATGCTGTAAGTTAGGTAACTAGGTATATGGCTTGCATGATCTTCCATTGGGCAGGTCAACACATGCGGAGGTAAATTCGCTACCCATACCCTCTCCCTTCTACACCCGGTTTGGATTCCCTCCCTGCCCCGCCCCCCCCCCGCCTTCCGCAGGTGTTACGTGTACGGCGGGCGCACGGAGGAGGGGGTGGTGGAGGCGGACCAGCAGCTGGCGGTGTTTGACGGTGCCGCGGGCAGCTGGGTGGCGCCCAGGGTGCTGCCGGCGGGGACAGCGGCAGGCGGGGGAGGCGGGGGTGACGGGGGCGGTGGCAGCAGCGGCTGGCCGCCTGCTAGGTCCAGCCATCGGGCTGTAGCACTGGGGGACAGGTGCGGGGAGTGGGGGACAGGCGGGGAAAACGCCATGTCGTCAAGATTGGTTGGTTTTCCTCCTTAGGTCCTTACCCCACCCCTCTTCCCGCCCTTCCCCTCTTTCTCCCCTCCCCTCCACCTTGCAGGCTGCTGATACACGGCGGCGCTGCTGCCGGCTCGCAGTCCAGCCGTCTGGCGGACGTGCACTCGCTGCACGTGTGCCCCCGGTCCGGCACCCTCAGCTGGAGCAGGCGGGACGAGCCGCCACAGCCCATCGTGGCACCGGCGGGGGAAGGCATGGAGGGGGGCAGGCCGCAGGGTAAGAGGCGGTGGTGGGCTGGTGCGAGGACTAGGACGAGGACCTTTAGCCTGTTACCTAACCAGCGCCTCGGCTTTTGCTTCTACCGCACACCTGGGCTTTTCCAGCAGCTTCTGAGCATGCTCGCTCGTCTTTTGCGTCCTGCCTTCTGCTCCCTGCTCGCCTCCCTGCCTGGGCCCTCAGGTCGCGCCGCCCACAGCGTGAGTCTGGTGGGGCGCGACCGGCTGTACGTCATATCGGGCTACGTGGGGGCGCACCTGGGGCCGCACAGGTGGGTGGGTGAGTAGGCAGGACACACGCGGCGCTTACCTGCCCCCAACGTGATTAGGAGTAGGAGGTGCTGCACAACGCCCTCCTGACACCCCGCCCCCGTAACACCCCACCCCCCGCAGGTACTCCTCCGACGTCTTCCTGCTGCACCTGGGCACCCCCGCCGCGGAGCCGCCACCCGCACCCGCCCTCATGCCGCCTCGCTCCCCACCGCACCAGCAGCACCAGCCACATCACCAGCCACATCATCCGGAGCCGCCACAACAACAGCAGCAGCAGCAGCAACGCAGGAAGAAGCCCTCTCCGCAACCCTCCCCTGCCGCCCGCAGCCCGCAGCGTCCTTTTCCTCCACCTCCGTCACCCCAGCATCAGCCTTCGCAACGCTCGGACGCCGCCGCCGCCGTCGTCACCCCTACTCGGCTGGGAGCCACACGACGCCTGTCGGGTGGGGCTGCTGCTGCGGGTGCGGGTGCGGGAGCTGTAGCCGACAACACCGCTGCGCCGGTGGTCGCGGCGGGGACTCCGCCCAGGCTGCAGGAGCAGGCGGCCACTCGCGGGTGTCGTACACCTGCTGATGCTTGCGGTGGCGGTGGCGGCGGCCGGTGTCGTACACCTCCGCATGGAGCCGCTGCTGCTGCTGCTGCTGGTGCTCTTGGCGGGGGTGGTGGTGGAGATGAAGACCCAATAGATCTTACCATGGACAACGCGGCGCCATCACCCGTCGAGACGGCAGCGGCGGCGGCGGCAGCGGCGGCAGCGGCGGCAGCGGCGGCAGCGGCGGCAGCGGTGGGTCCCTCCACACGGAGAACGCCACCAAGGGAGCAGGGGGCCGGCGGAGGCGAGGGCGGGGAGATTGTTGCAGCGGCGGCGGCGGCTGGCCCGTCGGAAGGGACATGGTTGGGCATCTCCCGACGACCACTCACGAAGGGCGGCGTTGTCGTACCGCCGCCGCAAGAGCGTCAGCAGCCACAGCGTCAGCAGCCACAGCGCCAGCAGCAGCAGCAGCCGCATGACCAGACGGCCGCGGCAGCAGCAGGAGCTGCGGGGAAGTCCCTGACAGCAGCAGGAGGAGGTGGTCGCGCTGCTAAGCGACAGGCAACTGACGCTGCCGTGGCGGCGGCAGCGGCGGCGGCGACGGCGCAGCCGCTGCAGAACCCAGCACGTGGCAGGCTACAGCTCCAAGAACAACACCCGCTGGCGCTTCCGCCGCCGCCGTCAGCGGCAGCGGCGGCGGCGCCGACACATACCGCCGCCGCTAATGCCTCCGCCGCTGCCGGCGGTGGTAATGGCGGCAGCGTACCACGAACACTGCAGCCGGTCTTCGTCACGGGGCCAGGACAAGTTACGACCCGGCAGCAGCAACATCCTCAGCAGCAGCAACATCCTCAGCAGCAGCAGCAGGTAGAGGTGTACGGCTTGCCCGAGCCTCCGAACCCCGCGGCTGCGACCATCGCCGCCGCCGCCACGGCGGCCGCGACGGCGGCGATAGCAGCGGCTGCGGCTGGGGAGTTGGGTCCCGGCGGAGGTGCTTGCAATGGCGGAGGCGGAGGCGGGCTTCACATCTGTCGGCCACCGTCGCCGGGGCATTGCGGAATCTCGGGGGCAACCTCGCAAGAAACACTGTTGGCGGTGAGACGCGGGTGTGGATGGCACGGTTGTGGTGTGGATGTGGGTTCTCAGCGTGTGTGTTTTGCTCCACGCTGCTCCAACTTCCCCCCGCACCTCCCTTACCTGCCATTCAACACACTGGGTACGGGTATTCCTCTTTTCCCCCCTCCCCCCCCCCACCGCCTGTCCAGTTGTTCCAGCGGCTGCAGGACGACAACGCGTCGCTGCGGCGGGAGCTGGGGGCGGCGCAGGAGGAGGCGCGGCGGAGCCAGCAGCAGATGCAGGTGATGAGGTCCCCCTGATAACCCCTCATAAGGTCCGGGAGGGAACAAAGAAGAATACCGGTACCCAATGTGTCAATCAGGGAGGTCGCATGCGTCGGTACCAACCGCCCCCTGTCCGAACACCCGCGCCCGTGCGCGGCAGGACGTCTGTGACAGGAGTCCTGTCCTGCCGCTGACTCCCTCCCTCCTCCTCCTTTCATTAGGAATCACCGGTATCCTTCATTCTATTCATTTTATTCCCTCTTCTCCCAGGCTCAGCTGTCCCAGCAGCGGCGCACGGAGGAGGAGCTGGCCACACTGCGCCGCAGCTGCGAGATGACGCAGACGGCGCTGCGGAGCGCTAACAAGGAGCTGGAGGAGGCGAGGGTGAGGGGCGGGGGACGAGGGTGAAAGGGGCGGGAGACGCGGGTGAGGGGCTGGAGACGAGGGTTGGGGGGCAGGAGCTGTATGGCAGCCGCTGGGGAGGGGGGCCGCACTGCAGGGAGGGGTGAAGAGCAGCGCGAAGGACTACGTACAGATTCGCCTTCAGCATCAAGGAGACAGCGGATTATTGGGATCGAGTGCTTTCCAGTAGCGTGCAGTCGGAAGCAGCGATACGTACGGTATCAAGCTCGCTGTTGCTTGGAACGTTGGAAGGTTGGCTAGCTCTCCTCCTGATCTGCGCTATTGTTACTTGGCCATTTGGTCAGCTCTCCGTGTGGTTGGTTGCTCTCTCTTGCTCACAGAAACGAGGGCAATGATGCTGCTGGCTCAAGACCCTTCACACATGCTCCCCATTGCCCTCCAACCCCTACTCTACATCCCGCCCCCGCCCAACCACACGCGCACATCCATTCCCCACCTACCGTATTATACTCCTACCGGTGTAAAATACACAGGACCAGCGGCACCGCGAGCAGGCGGCTGTACGACAGCAGCTATCCACGCTGCAACAGCAATGTACGACAGCGGCTCAGCTAGCGGCGGAACGAGACGGCGCGCTGCAGGCCGAGCGGGCGGCGCGGAATGCGGCGGCGGCGCAGGCGGCTGAGGAGCGTCAGTGCTGGCAGGAGCGCGTCAAGTGAGAGGGCAGGGTGCGGTGCGGTGTGGCATAGCTGACCTAGCTGACCGGAGGGAAGAGGTTGCGAGGGCGCCGTAGGAGGGATGGAAATAAGCACGTATACCGTATTCCTGCTGCTAGGCCGGAGCCCGCTGCCCCTAGTTACATCGACGGTAGAGGCGCCAACCCCCTTTCCTCAATCCCTTTCCTCAAACCTTTTCCACAATACCTTTCCCTACCCTACATCGCCAACCCCGCCCCAGCTCGCTGGAGGCAGCTGCCGCCCGTGCCCAGGCGGACCACGCGGCGGCGCTGCGGGAGGCTGCCGAGCGGTGTCGCGAGGAGGTGGCGGCGGTGGGGAAGCGGCTGCAGCAGCGGGAGGAGGAGGCGGAGGGGCTGCGGGAGCAGCTGAGGGTGGCGGCGGCACGCAATCAGGAGTGAGTGGGAGAAGCGGGAGCGGTATGAGCGGTGTGGTTAGGAGGAGTAGGGGGCCCCTCCTCTGCCGCATCCTTCATCCTGCCATGTCCCCTTTGCTCTTGCTCCCGCCATCCACTACCCTTCCCTCATTGTTTCACCGCTGTTGCAAGTTGCGTTACTGCCATCCTCTCTCCCTCTGGAGCTTGTCGTCTGGTTTGCCATTCTCACATTCAACACGTTGGGTATTTGTCTTTGTTCTTTCCCTCCCTCAGGCAGCAAGAGGCTCTGTCTCGCGGCCAGGAGGACAGGCAGCGGTTGGAGCGGACGGTGGGGGAGGCGCGGGAGCAGCTGCAGCGGCAGGTGCGGCAGGCGGACGAGGCGGCGGCGGCGGCGAGCAGGCAGCGGGAGGCACTGACGGGGCAGCTGGCGGAGGCCAATAGCAGGTGTGTAGTTGAGTAGAAACAAGAGCAAGCAGTTGGTGTGTGGGTGGTAAAGAGGAAACAACGAACTGACTGAGGGATAAGGCGTCAACATGGGTTGCAACATGTGAGCCAGCCCATGTGGGTGGGGGGGGGGTGGAGCAGCTGGGGCTGCACGCATTGGGGCCAGACAGGGAGAAGGTATTCACGTTGCGGTTGGGTATGTGGACACAGGTACAGGGGTGGCGCGTTCTCCGTGTTGTGCTTTTTGATCTGGGTCAACCCTTAGCCCATGTGCGTGCCTTCTTCTCCTAACCTTTCATGATGCCCAATTGGCTTGGGTCTACTTTTGCTTAACACATGCGGAGGGGTGCTCTCAAGTACCCTGACCCCTCCTCCGTCTGTTCCACCCAATCACCCACATTACCATACACTGCGGTTCACATGCGAACCTATCCCAACTGCTTGCTCTTGTTCTACTCAACTATACACTGCCACTCGTAAGTCACTCCTCTCTCCGTCTCCTGGCGCACTCCCCTCTTTACACCCCTCATTACACTCCTCAGAATCGCCAACCTGGAGTCCGAGCTGCGCCGCCTCAGGGACGACCTAGCGCACCGGGAAGCCCAGCACGCCGCGCTGCTCAAGTCCCACACCGACCTGGCCGCGGAGGCCGCCGCCGCGCGCGACACGCTGCGCAGCGCCCAGCAGCGTCTGGAGCTGTCGCGGCAGCAGGCGGCGGTGCTGCTGTCGCACGTGCAGAGCATTGCGGGCAGCGCGCAGACGGCGGCGGCGGTGGCGCAGGCGATGCAGGCGGGCAGCGGCGGAGGTACGTGATTCGTGAGAGGGCGGGCTGGTGACAAATGTCGTTAAGAGGGCGGTTGGAGATATTTTGTGAGTCGCGTGTGAGGGCGTGCGCGTGAGGAGCTGTGCGGAGGTTGGTGGTGGTGATGGGCTGTGGTTAAGGGGGTTAGTATCGATGGTAGCATCCTAGCTGGGGTGTGGTTGGCTGGTGGTGTAATGTGCGTGGTGTTGTTGGTGGGGTAAATAGCGAGGGAAAGGGGCTGCTTCCTTCCGTACATGGGGTGCTGGGAGTGGCGACTGGAGGCAAGGCCGTGTTCCTGCCGTAGCCGGCGGAGCGGAGGGATAAAGACGCGAGGTGTTGGGTGGCAGGCCCATCTGTAGCCTGACCTCCAAGCATTGCTGGATGTGGAGTCAGCGCACGTGCATGTGCTAATGGCATGTACATGCAGCAGGAGAGAGCTATCGAGACGTACCACTTTTGAAACATGTAACATAGTCCGAGCAGAGGCCCGGCATTTCCTTGTTGACAGCAAACGTGCCTCAACGTCGGGCCAAGCACCGCCAATTGCAACCCTTGTTGCAACCCTCCCATCACCTAAAAAGACCCCGGTCATCCCCAATCTCACTGTGGACAAACTGTACGGCACGTCCTCACATACTCGTCGTGCACTACGGCAGTAGCGGTCATCCCACAGTGAGTGGTACCACGTAGAGCGCCTGGATTAAAAAAAGCGGCGCCCTTCGTGTTGGCATGTAACACGCATCACAATCTCCACCTAGCTGCAACGCGGCTGTCGACACCTACAGCGCTCGATAACCCCGAGTGGTTTGGGGCGGAGACCACCTACGGTCAGCACACTAAGCCAAATCCTGCGTGTCTCTCCTTTATAGCCTCCGACCGGAAGCAGTGTGAGTATAACTATGTATGCTGCCGCTGCCGGCGGCAGCGTTCGTTACCAGAGCGGTGAGCCTATCTACCCGAACCCATAGCCAACTGTGTACTATGTATGCACCCCAAGACACGCAAACGTTAGGAGGCCTGGCCCTGTACACAATAACCCGATCCCGGTTCCCCTATGCCCGAATTTCCGACCACCAAACGTCTGGAAATCGGTAACCCAACCTGAAAGGGACCAATTCTCTGTCGCACACCCCATTCCACCCCTGCCTCCTTCCCATCCCCATGAGGTCCCTTGCCCGCCTCAACTACCTTGACAGGCTGAATGACAGCCGCTCCAAAGGAGTGCCCCTAGCTCTGAAACCACAGAGAGCAACCTCTTCAGCCCTCTGTCTGCACTCCTCCTCCCTAGCAGTCCACCCCGGCCCTACTCCTTGCCCTCCCTACACAATCCCCACCCCCAACATGCAACCAGGGGAATTGATAGCCCCTTACATGTTGGCCTTCTGCATGCTCTCCATGAGGAAGAGCTTTTGGATGGCCTCGCTGGCGGCCGAGTTGACCTGGTCGCAGTAGGTTGCGATCTGGTTGGTGATCAGGTAGTTATCCAACATGGACGGCTCCGGGATGGGCTTGAACAGCGTGGGGTCCTCCTCCGGCAGAGCCTCCAGGTTGTCCTGCAACCGCTGCGTGTTCTCCTGTCGCCGCTTCTGCAGCCACTGCGCGTACGCCTGCTGCTGCCGCGCCACATTCTTGTGGTACATCGTCACCTTCTGCTGCTCCTGCACAATGTCGTCAACGCACTCCACCAGGCTCTGGATGTTGCGCTCCAGGAAGGGAGCAAAGGAGAGGTTCAGGCGGTCCACGTCGGCCTGCGTGGCGGTGGGAGCGGGCGCGAGGTCCGCGACCAGCGCCTGCACCAGGTTGGAGTTGCGGACCTTGATGGGGAGCTCCACAAAGATGTCGCGCCAGGAGAGGTTCGCCTCGCGGAAGCCCTTGAGCGTGAGCTTTTGCTCCTTGGACAGCTCGATGAAGGAGTCCTTGAGCCGGATGGCCTTGAGCGCGAGGTTGCCGCGCGAGGAGCGCTGCGGGTCGTAGATGATGCAGACGCACTTCTTGATGTTTTCGTGGTAGTTGATGAAGGTCTCTATGAGCTCCACGGTTTGGAAGGTGCCCATGTTGGCGGACTGGTACCTGCGGGGCGAGGGATAGGGAGAGGGGATGGGTGAGAGGGTGAGGAGGGGTACAGAAGAGGGAGGCTGTAAGGGAAGGGAGAGAGCAGGCGGGGCCGTTGGGGTGGCTTAACGGGGAGGAGCGGCTGTGCTTTCGGACGCGGAGAGCTGCTGCGGTGGGTGAGGGGCGCTGCTGACAGGACCTCATGCGACAATGCGTGCGTATGCTACATCATGGGCCACATGGGCGGGTCAGAGAGTCATGAACTTCCTGTGCAAGCGCGTCAAAAGATCGAACCCATATCCCAACCCTTGCAGAGTCCCACCCAGTACAGCCGCGGGGCATGGGCGCGGGGTGGGCTGTGCTGTTCACCCCGGCCTACCCCTCCAACCTCGCTGCTGGCCCCTGGGCTGCACGGCATGCTACATAGCCCACCCCTGCTCGCGCAAGGCCTACCCACCAGCCAACGGTGTTGTTATCCACGTTCACTTCGCGCAGACAGCGCATCATCTCCAGCTGATAGTTGGCGCCAGCCGACTCAGCCTCATCCTCCTCCGCAACCGCAGCCTAACAGCAGGATGCGTCACAAAGGGCAGATCATACGCTATAATCCAGTTCTGAGCCATCGCCAGAAAGAGTCACGTGCAATTGAGCCCGAGCGGGCGCATTAAAAGAACGCGCGAAGATGCATCGCTCCATCCTGCTTGAGGAGCCGCCTCCCATAAACCGACTTCTCACCGGGAACGCAAAGCAGTCAGTAACCTCCAGCTGCTGCCCAACGTCCAAGCCCAGCAGCTGACCCGTCACTAATTGCGGCAGCGCCTCATTGCAGTGCTGAATGATTTTTAGCAGCACTTGGCCCTCAAGCTGCACTGTCTTCACAAGCTCCTTGTGCGGCTTGGGCGCACCGCCCTCGTGAGCGGAGGCCATCGTATACAGGCGGCGGCGGGAAGTGGCTTTCCTTAGGTAAAAGTAACTGACCGTAGATCAGCTATCACCTAATGTAATGTAGAAAATACCGTGTGGGCAGGTGGTGAACCTGGGACAGTTGCACGTACTTTGCAATTGGGGGGGATCGCGCTGTCGTGCACCTCGGCACATGCAGGCATTCCTGCGACTAAAACTAGCCCAAACGGTGTGATCTATTATAGAGTATTAGAAACATTCTTTCTTGCCTTATGGCAACCTGAACCGTGTCAAGTTTCACTAGCTAACTGTTGCAATCCAGTGGCTTGCTAAGGAAGCCAGCCTTGCTGCGGAGCGTCATATAAGCACTATGGCGCGGTGGCAGGCGGTCGTCCTGCTCGCCCTGGCGTTTGGAGCTGTTGCCAGTGCAGCTGCTGAACGGACCCTCCTCGGGGCGGGAGACCACAAGTACAAGCAGGGAGATGGCATAATGCTCTACGCTAACAAAGTTGGCCCATTCCAAAATCCAACGTGCGTTCCAGGGGCGGGTGGCTCCGTTGCTGTCGGGGACGGTGCCCATCGGCCGCGTTTGTTATTGCAGGGAAACTTATCAATACTACAACCTTCCGTTCTGCCAACCTACGGATGGAAAGGAGTATAAGACTGAGTACTTGGGCGAGGTGCTGGAGGGGGACCGGTTGGTCACGACTCCCTACAAGCTGCAGTTCCGCGTGGACGTGGAGAACGCAGTTCTCTGCAACAAGTCCTTGTCAGGGGAGGACCTTAAGAAGTTCCGCGATGCTGTTAAGCAGGATTACTATTTCCAGGCGAGCAGCTGCGGGTTTGGGGACTATGTGTCCTCTCAAATGGATGGCCTTCGTCGCAGTTCCATTTTACCAAGCCTCACGCTTTGCTGTGCAGATGTACTTTGATGAGCTTCCAGTTTGGGGCTTCATTGGCAAGGTTGAGACCGTGCCAAAGGGGTACTTCTTGTTCACACATTTCCACTTCGACCTTTCTTACAACGATGACCGCGTAATTGAAATCAATGTCTCCAGCGATCCTGATCGCACTGTTAACATCACGTCAGCGGAGAGCTTGAACATCCAGTTCTCGTACTCCGTCAAGTGGAAGCAGTCGTCGGTGACCTTTGATCACCGTCTGGATCGCTATGCACGCTATTCTTTCCTGCCCCAGCATCTCGAGGTATGGGGGGGGAGGCGGTGGTGTGAGAATGGGGTGTGCCCAGGTGGCTGGTATGGCCTGATTGTGGGGACTCTTAACTGCACCGCACGGGTTGCCACGGCTACTGCTAACGGTTGACTGCCATGTGCTGCGCCTGTACCCCGCCATTCTTCTTCCCACCCGCATTCCCGTCCGCAGATTCACTGGTTTGCCATCATCAACTCCTGCGTGACCGTGCTGTTGCTGACCGGCTTCCTGGCTACCATCCTGCTGCGTGTCTTGAAGAACGATTTCATGAAGTACAGCCGTGATGATGAGATGGGAGAGGACCAGGAGGAGACGGGCTGGAAGTACCTGCATGGGGACGTCTTCCGCTTCCCTCCGCAGTCCAACCTGTTCTCAGCCATGCTCGGCGTTGGCGCTCAGATTTTGGTTATGGCCATGTGCATCTTTGCTCTGGCACTGGTGGGCTTCTACCACCCCTACAACCGCGGCGGGCTGCTGTCGGCGTGCGTGGTGCTCTACGCGTTGACGGCTGGTATCTCAGGTAGGCCCCCGGTTGCAATGTGATAAATGTATTTGAGAGGGGATAGCTTTGGAGGTGCGGGAGCACAGGGCGCTTTGCTGAGGGTGGTGACGGCCATCCTTGCCTTATGCTGAAGAGCTCGCATACCTGCACATGCCTACACGACATGGCACTGAGGGGCACACGCCACACGTTAGTCGCACTTTTGGGGTGGGTAGGACGGGTGGTATGCGTTTCTAGGGGAAGGGCTACGGCCGTGCGCACCGGGTTAGGGGGTCGGCCGTGGTTTCCTAGCCACGCGAGCTACTACCACCGAGGGCCAGTATGGTATGCACGCGTTAGCTAGCCGTACGTCAACACTCTTCCGTCGATCCGTCGATGATTCGCAGGCTACGTGAGCGGCCTGCACTACAAGATGTTCGGAGGCACCAACTGGGTGTCCAACGTCCTGCTCTGCACGGGGCTGTACTGCGGCCCGGTGCTGGCGGTGTTCTCCTTCCTCAACACCGTCGCCATCTTCTACCGCTCCACCGCCGCGCTGCCCTTCGGCACCATCGTCATCATCATCCTGCTTTGGGCGCTCATCACCTTCCCGCTCACCGTGATGGGTGGCATTGCGGCGAAGAACTCCAAGGTCGAGTTTAACGCCCCATGCAGGCGAGTGCGATTGCTGCTTCTTTGCACCGAAGGATACTGTATAGTGAATCTCTGCGTCAAGCTGGGATGAACTAGGATGATTAAAGCAATCTCCGAGTCATGCTGCATGTCGCTGCATCGGGTTTCCAAAAGCAACCCTGCTTAAGTCGAACACGTAACGTCCCGTGGGTCACTTCACTCCTTCCCCTTATCCCAACCACAGGACCACCAAGTTCCCGAGGGACATCCCGACGCTGCCCTGGTACCGCTCCACCGTTCCCCAGATGCTCATGGCCGGCTTCCTGCCCTTCTCCGCCATCTACATTGAGCTGTACTACATCTTCGCCAGCATCTGGGGCCACAAGGTCTACACCATCTACTCCATCCTCTTCATCGTCTTCATTATCCTGCTCATCGTCACCGCGTTCATCACCGTGGCGCTCACCTACTTCCAGCTCGCCGTGGAGGACCACAGGTGCGCGCGTGCGGCAACAAGTTTGCTAGATTCCTGGACATGATCTGACAAGAAGCACGCGTCTCTGGGGGGGAACTGGCAACATTGGCAAGAAACACCACGTGGCCTTCCCCTGTTCCTCCCCACTCTCCTGCGCGCAGGTGGTGGTGGCGCTCGCTCCTGTGCGGTGGCTCCACGGGTATCTTTGTGTACGGCTACTGCTTCTACTACTACTACGCTCGTTCCGACATGAGCGGCTTCATGCAGACGTCGTTCTTCTTCGGCTATAACGCCGTCGTCTGCTACGCCTTCTTCCTCATGCTGGGGTCGGTCGGCTTCCGCGCCTCGCTGCTCTTCGTGCGGCACATCTACAGGTTCGTACGGTTCGGCCTGTTTTACTTCATAAGAATGGATTGCATGCTGTCTTTACAATCCTTTACGTTCGTCATCTCTGTACGCGCAGGGCGATCAAGTGCGAGTAAGCAACTCTCGGCGTTGGATTCGGGGCTTAAACTGCAGCTGACAAGGACTGTACTAGGCGGTTGCTTCTTAGCGACGCCCCCTTAGCTTGGCACAGGAATTTTGTTCCTAAGTGATCGGTGTTGGTATAGGATGTGGCATCTTATCTATAGTCTTGTCGCATACTGAAGGCTATACGGCGGGGTTTAGGGCCACATGTTTGTTGTGCTACAGGCGGTGCACGCTGTGGCATACTCTAGCAATACGTCGCTGGTAGTTCTTATCTAGTATGATGGGCCTAAAGGGGCTCGTGGCTTCAGGCTTACTGCAAACCTCGATAACATGACGTCTAAGACCTTACCCTAGCTGACAAGTCGAGGCTTTCCTGCAAATACTTTGAAGCATCTGTGGTTGATGGCCAAGAGACTGCGTTCAATATTGTCCTGTGTCTTCCAACGCAGCCTCGCCCTGCTTGGTCCATGCATTGCATTAGCGCTGGCATGACACAGTCCTAGTATTTCATTGCACATGCAATTCATCTGCGATGCTGTAAGGTTCCGCCTATGCCAAAAGCCTAGGCGTATCCTGTGCCCTTCTTCCCCCCTAAAGACCCCTTCTAGGACTCTGGATGTAGCAAACGTGCGTTCGTGGTGGCGTTACAGCCTAAGAACCAGCCGCACAACCTCCTTGACCTGCACATCTCTACGCCTTTCCGAAACCCTGCACCAAATCACAGACAATTCCGTAGCCAGAGCCGTCTAACGGAGGGCTGCGCCCGCTCAGAAGTAGAACACATGTTTGTAGCCGGTCTTCATGGTCCAGAGCGTGAACGTCTGGTACACGGAGCCCGCCGCCATCAGCGCCCCCAGCAGGCTAAGCAGGTTGCGCAGGGGGGCGGAGGCGATGCGCGGTGCCAGGTAGGTCACGAAGGCCAGGCCGCAGGACGCCACCAGGTAGAGGGTGCCCAGCGTGAAGCCCTCGGCGCCCAGCTGGCCCTGCCGCCCGGTCATGAAGAACTGCCAGAAGAGGAGGAAGCGGAGTGGGCGTGAATGGAGCGAAGACAGGGACGAAGAAATCGCACGGTGGATACGAGGGCTGGGCTTCAACTCCTACTAGCAGAAGCTTTCATACCAGAGACGCACCTCATGGTCTTAGCCAAACCCTTGCTGTCCTGGAGCCCATACCAATGACTCCATAATTACACGCCCAAACCAGCCCCACCTGGATCTTGCCGTTGCGGTCCCGAATAAAGAACGGCACGCCGCGGATGATGTTGTACATCCCACCGCTCGCGGAGAACCAAAACACCGCCAGGGACAGCACCGCCCACAGCACGGGGCTGCGCAGTAGCGCCATCTGCGTGGTCAGGGCCTTGTAGGCCAGGTACAGCACCGTCACCACCGCGCCGAGCACCACGAACGGGAACATCGGGCTCTTGACGAAGCTGGGCCGGTCCACGGCTGCGGCCGTGACGCCGTGACGCGTGCCAATGAAGTCCACAAAGGTTTCCGCAGGCCAGGGATAGTCGCGCGTGCCGATGGTGTCGGGCAGCATCTTCTCGCTGCGGGGCAGCTCCAGCGGTGCTTTGGTGGAGGTAATCGCGAGACCCGGCGGAATTCGCACGACGCAGGGCAGGGCATTGACCTGTGTGTAAGGATGGGTACAAGGAGGTGAGTACGGGTGGGCAAGGAAAGCATGCGGCGGCGGAGTGAAAAAAGAAGTGTAACACAGGGGGTAAGTGCGGAAGGCACATGGTTGAGCGCGACAACAAGAGATACGCCAGTGTGATTCTGAATGCGTACGTGACATTGAAGGTGCGGCGGTGCAGGGGAAAAAACCCACCCAGGCGCCACCGCTAACCCACCTCTAGGACATAAAGGGAGCTCGAGGCCAGTCACATAGCGTTTGGGGTGCCAGCAAAGCAGCACCAGCTGCATACATGATGATTACCCATAAACCCCGGCTGTTCCTGGATCCCTCCGCCCCTCCTAACACAGTACGGCATGCGGTTGGTTACCCCACCTGCAGCATGCCGAAGGGTGTCTGCGAGACCTCCAGGCCCGCCTCAAAGAAGAACACCTTGTCCGCATCCGGGCCGGACGCGAAGGCCTTAGCCGCCAGGCCGTACTCTCGCCTCAAGTCGTCAAGCCGCAACCCGGGGTTGGAGTCCACCACCTGTGTAGGAAGGGAGGCACAGGGCGTGGTCGTGTGAAGCATCAAGGACATAACCCCGCTTGACGATGAATGGCAGGTTAGAGCTATGGAGGAGAGAGGTGGTGGCGAAGAACGTAGAGATGCCATTTGGCATGGAATGGGAGGAGGAAGAGGACGCTGGATGAGCCCTTGTCCTGCAGATCATACCGCAAGGCTTGCTGCACCCATAACCCGGGGTCCACAACAACCCCGGGCCAATCTGCGTATTGCTTCAGCCTGACTGTGTGCTATGCATGTTCCTGCGCCGTCGTGCATGCCATGCCTTCCCATGCCTATTTGCAGTCCACGGGTTCCCTCTCCTTGCCCTACAACACACACCCCGAGCTGTACCCTGCCCCACTGCATGACACCCCACCTGCTGCGCTGTGAAGAAGATGGCAACGGCGTATGGCCTGCTGCGACCCACAACAAAGCGTTGCAGCAAATCGTCTGTCAGCGGAATGACAGCGTCGCGGAATTGGTGCCGCATGCTTGCTAGTTCGGAGGCAAGCTCTGAGGGGGCCTGGGGGCACGAGAGGACGGGAGGGGTACGTTGCACTCACTCCCTACAGGACCCAAACCGCACCATGGCACATTAGGCTTGCTGCGTGCGAAGGTGGAAGGTGCGGCTAAGCCAGAATACCCATGCCTTGTGTCAAGGTATAAGCAGCTTCCTAAGCAAATATACGGATGCGTAGCTCGACTTAGCTTACCATAGTCGCCGAGACAGAGGCCGATAAGGCGACCAGCGCCATCATGCACAAGATCAGCGTAGCTTTCATTGTGGTGCTCTTCTTGTCGACGCAAGGCATGCGGCGATCGGTGAAGTCGTCTTAACAAATCAGCTGGTTGGGTTGTCGAGACATACTTGCGTTACGTGATCGCAGCTTATCACGCAACGATTTACTATAGAAGGAAAAGTAAAAACTTTCAACAGCCCTGTTTCCATGGGCTCGTAGGAATTTTGGTTTCTGGTCGTACCGCTGCCTATCCTGCGAACTCCTACGAGGCTGTTTCCATGGCGTAGAGAAACCAAGGCTGAGACCATCGTACCTGACCAGTATATAGTGACTTGAGGCATTCAGAATTTGCTTTTCTTCAGCAAGTGAGCCTTAAAATGGACCCGTCGCGGGAAGATCTTATCAAGGTCCTATTCTTCGCTGCACAGCATTACAGACAATCATGCCTTGTAGTTATGGCGTTAGCTTATTTTATGGTGACTATACTGTTTCCTGCCGTTGCGAGCTTTATCATGGACAGCAGCGATGACGACAGCGAGGATGGCAGGGTAGTCAGAGGTCTTGGCAGGGCACTACCCAGGGTACGCTACTATCCTCGGAACAGAGCCAAGCGCCAGCGTACTGAAGCTACTTTTAATTCACTTGACTCCTGGGACGATGCACGTTTCAAGTATGAGCTACATGTCAGCAAGAGAGTTTTCTATGCCATAGTTGATGCGTGCCGTATAGACCTTTCACCAAGAGGCAATCGTGGCATGAGCGTGGAGGAGAAGGTTTACATCGCACTATCTTTCCTTGCCAGTGGCGGCTCATATGGAGGTCTCAGTCGTCAGGCACAGCGTGGCAGAACAACTGTACATAGGTGTGTAGGTCATGTCGCGCAGTCTATATGTTATCGGCTTCAACATCTTGTCTCCGGTCCACCACGCACCCAAGCGGAGATGGCAGAAATCGTCGCAGCATTTGAGGAGTTAGGTCGCTCTGAGAACACACCCGGTATCCCTAACATTTTTGCTGTCATGGACGGATCTCACATTCCTATCAAGAGGTTTCACAACATGGGCGAGGCCTACTACAACTACAAGGGGTTTAACTCAGGTTAGTTATATCTGTGCCCAAGAGTATGCCCAATATACACATGTGGTTTGAGTATGTATAGCTGTTAGGTGACATGAAGGGCTTTTGGGTTTGAAGTATGCGGAGGGGTGGGTTACATCACTAGCATGAGTTGACATTAGGGAAACCATGCGTACACAACGACTTCCTTCTGTACCCCTTGTCCCCACAGTTCTTATGCATGGCGTCATGGACAACAAGGGGAGATTCATGGACGTCCTTGTAGGCTTCAGTGGGCGTAACAACGACTCCACACAGTTCCGTCACACCCAGATTTACAAGGACCTAGTTGATGGCTCAGATCTACGTGAGCGGCTAATTGCATGGGGTCAACCTATTAACGGTGTGAAGGCGCCGTTACTTATCCTTGCTGATGGTGCTTATGAGGCTAGTGGATTCATCTTGCCGCCCTTTAAACAGCCTGAGATCCAGGGCAACCCTCAGCGTTCTAAGTACAATACCAAGCATGCCAAGGCCCGTGTGGTTGTTGAGCATGGGTATGGGGCGTTGAAGAACAGGTTTCGCGTGTTGTTGAAGGGAATGGAGCTTAGTGAGCCCAATGTCAACAATGTCATCTTAGCATGCACTATTCTGCACAATATGTGTATTGATGACCAAGTGGCGGAGCCTGATCATGATGAGATGTATTACGAAATCCTTCGGTCTTATGAGCGGTGGAATACGGGAAGGCGTAATGCCACGAGGCAGGCTGTGAGGTTGAACCAAAATCAAGTAGACCACGGAGCAAATGATGACGTGTGGGATGCGGAACATATCCGGGATGCCATTGTTTTGCACGTAAACCGTCGGTTTGGGTAGTTTGTGTATTGGAAATGACTAAGAGACTTAACTTCTCTAACACAGTTTGTGGCTTAACTGTAAGGAACAAGCGCAATATTTTCCAAGGGCATTCGTCGTCTCGGGTTACAATCTACAAGAATAGCCATGCAACAACTAACAGCCATGCAGCGTCTATTCAGCTGCAATCTCTAATAACCATCCTGCCTAACATCCGTCCCCTTACGAACGCACGCTGCATGCTGAATAACTACTCTCCTTACCGCACTCCTGCCTAACATCCGTCCCCTTACGAACGCACGCTGCATGCTGAATAGCTACTCTCCTTACCGCACTCCTGCCTAACATCCGTCCCCTTACGAACGCACGCTGCATGCTGAATAGCTACTCTCCTTACCGCACTCCTGCCTAACATCCGTCCCCTTACGAACGCACGCTGCATGCTGAATAACTACTCTCCTTACCGCACTCCTGCCTAACATCCGTCCCCTTACGAACGCACGCTGCATGCTGAATAACTACTCTCCTTACCGCACTCCTGCCTAACATCCGTCCCCTTACGAACGCACGCTGCATGCTGAATAACTACTCTCCTTACCGCACTCCTGCCTAACATCCGTCCCCTTACGAACGCACGCTGCATGCTGAATAACTACTCTCCTTACCGCACTCCTGCCTAACATCCGTCCCCTTACGAACGCACGCTGCATGCTGAATAACTACTCTCCTTGCGCGAGCAATGGGCTTGCGAGGCTCTTCTCAGAAGCGTAGGAGAGCTTGTCCCGCTGGACAGGAGCAATATGAACGGCCGCGCCTGGGGCCACTTCACGGATCGCCGCTTCCAGTTCCGCCTGGATGTCACGCCGGCATACAACCTCGAAGAACGGCTGGCTGCGTCCCGAGTACACGCGTGTGAATCCATTTACGTCGTCTGGCTCCACCTCCGCCTTTTTGCAGGCCTCCTCTGTAGCCACGATTAAGGCGTCATCCAGCTTCTCATACGCGTCGCAATCAAGTGACACCCCATGCACAGATGCAACGATGAAGCCGGGTGCCCCAGGTGCCGTACCCTAACTCAGCATCTGGATGCGCTTGTACCTCTAGCTCCAAGCTTGCGTACACCGTAGCAGCGTCTTATTTTAGGTGTTTGCATATACGCAGGACGTGGTACATCGCGCTGCACGGCTGTCCTTTTTAAATTAGCAGCCACCTGATACCATATTAGAGGTGTGCAACTTGTGTCGTAGTTGTTATAGTAATGCAAATTACAGGGAGCAACCCTTTCCTTTGATGAATGCGGATGACCAGTCACCTCGGGGATGCCGCCTAAGCGCAAGGATTTGACCTCAGTTGTGCATATTGGCCAAGAGTATAAAGTTGGAGACTGCATCCTTATCAACCCAGATGCGGACGCACCGGCCTATGTGAGTGCGCGAGTTCATCCAACAACGGTAACCATCATGGGTTAAAGCACAGAACCCTTGTGTCACACAGATTGGGCGCATTAGGAGGATGGTGCAGCGGAGCTCCATTCCTAACGATGTGGAGCTGGAGGTGACCTGGTTCTACCGGCCCGAGGAGGTTATCGGTGGCCGGAAGGTGCGCTGCGTCTGTGCATGCAACATGCGTGCTAGGGGTTGACGGGGTGGAAGGCCACCCAACGAAAAACCTTATAGCTGCCAGATGGCTGCTTCAGTAGCCACCGTCATACTTTGAGGTCAAGGACCCCGTAAGAGGGTTCGCCGCACGTACAGTACGCCGCCTAAGGCTTCAACCCAAGCTACGGGCTCCATGCGTAGTCCGCCAGGCCTCATTGCGGCGGTCATGGAAGATCCTCATGTGCTCAGAGAAGGGCTTCCGCCACGCCTTCCCGCCCACCTCGTATGGCAGATCTTCCATGGCGAGGCGGAGGTGTTCGATTCGGACCACCAGGACAAGGTTCCGTTGGGGTCCGTTCTGGGCCGCTGCTTCATCCACACCCTGGAGCGATACGAGGTAAGGCAGCCGCAGATGCAGCTGGGCTAACCATGCGACTGGGCGCAGGGCCACGGCCGCGAATGGACGCCTTTGTGGCTTGGGGTTATGTGTGTATGCACCTCGTGTTGCTTTGGCGTTGCTTGCAAACGGACAAAGGGACTCACCTGGGATTGCGAGCAACATAGCCACGGAGCTAGCCAGGGCGTCAAGCTGTCAGGGGCCGCTGGTTGCTGGCTTTGGAAGTCCAGACATCAGGGCCAGAACAAAGCACGCCCAGCAGTTGCCGGGTCGCAGGATTGAAACCATACCTGTAATACGCCGCATTCGCGTCTAGGGTGCTATGTCGCTAGCTTTGCTGCTTTCCATAACGCACACAACTCGCCCGGGTCCGTGTGCCGCAGATGCTGCAGGAGCACAAGGAGAACGACTTCTACAGCCGCATGAAGTACAGGGTGAGGTCCTTGGGGGGCCGTGGTGGTGGACGTGGAGCGGTGTCGACACAGCCTAAAGGGATGGGTGATGGCATGCGTCCAGGGCTAATGGTACCAGTGCAACCTCATTGGAGCGGCACCGGAGCTGGTTGAGAGCTGATGCTGTGTTCTGCGTGCAAGTGCCAGGGCAGGGTCTCGTTGCATAGCTGCTGATCGCTGGTTTGTCCAGTCGGGACGTGCCACGTCACCAGGGAAGCGTTGCCGCGCTGGCAGTTGCTGCACCCTAGTGCACTCCTCGCCGCTGCTTTGTACCCTTGTTCCTGTAATAAGACGTCCGTGCTTCCTTTCCACGCGCCCTCCCATGCGACACTCCAGTCGCGGACGCAGCAGTTTGAGCCGGACCAGGTGCCCATGTAAGTTGCGACCTAGACGTCAGGCCACATGGGTGCCGGTTACGGTGTGGAATGCTTGCCTTCCTTTGTAATTACCACACCAAGTTCTCGGGGTTACGCCTGCAACCCTGCTTGTATAGACCATGCTACCTTTCCTGGCTGACTTTGTCTGTATGTGACCTCCCTTACGCACGACCGCCTTTTGGCCTGCCGCAGTTACTGCACATGTGAAATGCCGTACAACCCGGACCGGCCCATGGTGATGTGCACCGCCTGCGAGGACTGGTACGTGCGATGTGGTGGTGTGGGCGTGCATGGAGGCCGCTGAAGCTGGCATGACAGCACGCCGGGGCCCGGCTTGCAGCGGGCTGGGTGGGAGGTTACGTAACAAGAAGGCTGCGGGACTAGCGGTAATGCGACCGTCATGCATCCCTGCACGACCCGTTGAAACCCACTGTTCTGCTCAAAAGCAATGCGCTAGGTATATGCTATGCATGAGATTTCGTGAGGTTACGAAAGTCTTTGGCTACCGCCCTGACTTTCGCTCATGCCATCAACCTTTCTCTACCCATTGCTTTTGCCCGCAGGTTCCACCCGAAGTGCCTTCGGCTGGGCCCGGAGGTGTTCCAGGATGCTCACTTCACGTGCCCAACCTGTGCGGAGCGGTCAGCGGGCAGCCGGGCGGTTGCGGAGTAGCAGTAGCCCAGGGAGCTGGTAAATTGAAGTATTCGCTTACTGCGAGACCCCTTACTGCAGTCTATGAGATTTAGGAGGGATTACTATCGTTATCGGACGGGGTTGTGCGGGTTAAACTGGATGGATCCCTGGTTTAGAGCAGTTTAACAGTTCCTATCAGTTTCTCCACTCTAATTTAATTCGCTTGCCTAAAATCTAGTAAATTCTGGCAGGACGGCGATGTCGGCAACAGCATTTTGATTCGGAGTCGTTGTGGGGCGGGTGGGTAGCGTGCGCCTTCGATGTCCCAGGAGTGCCCATGTCGCTAATGCAGTTTGCAGGTGCGCTTGTAGTTCACTTTTAGATGCGCTTTACGTTTCGCTTACTGGTTCCGACGTCTCAAAACGATTGCCTAGTAGGATGGACAAGGGTTTACGTTGCTTAAACCAAGGGCACGAGCATTTTCTTGCGCAAGACCTCTGTATTAGGTGTTGGGAGTGTGGCCCAAAAGGCACAGAACCACAAAGTGACATGGAGTTGGGAAGTCAAGAAGAGTTTCTCCTCTATTCTTAGCAAGCGCATCATGCTTGTGATAGTATGTATGCAATGTGCTTGTAACGCTCTGCACGAGTGTCAGATGAATGAAAAGTACGAAGGTTTGCCCGCCGGTTGGTTTGGCAGGCCGACGAGTCAGATTCCCAATCGATCAAACAATGGTGACGTCTCAAAATACTCACAGTGACATGTCAAAACACATGGGCATGGAATTCGAACTCGATCGAAACGTCTCATAGCCAATCATTTCTGACCTTCCAGCGTCAAGGCGGTCGCTTTAGCTCCTGGCTTTCTTGCGGTGGCAGCTGTGAAAGAGTCCGATCGAGCAGGTTGCATCAGGCGCGGCTTTCTTTGCCTCGGTAAGCAAGTAGCTGTTCGGCAAAGCCGTCGCGCGGGCATATGGACACACGCTTTTCCCGCATGTCCTTTCCAGCATACTTACGGCTTTAGGGGTTGGGGGGTAATCTATTGGGCAAGATATTTTGCCAGAAGAGGCGCTACACGTCACTTGGATAGTTCTCGGGTGCAGACCGGTTGGCGCTGGCGCTCGAGGCCGCCCCAGAACCTTGCTTGCTGCCTTCGACAGTTCAAGCGTTTCACTTGTGTGTCAAGTTTCGCGATCTTTCGCTTATCTGTCCTTCGTTAATGCTGAACACGTGGCTGCTGCGGTGTACCTGCGGCCTTTCTGCAGATGCAGCCAGCCGCTTATAGAGGCAACTTATTAAGAAGAAGGATGCTGTGGACCTTCCACCTTTGGAAGATGCTATGTTGTTAATATTCTCCTTAATTGGCCGCCCGCGGCTTACCTTCCTCGTTCGTCTTCCCCCTTTGTTGGAAAACCCTTACTGCAGACTCGCGTAGCGATGATGCTGGACGCTAAAGCGAAGCACAATCTTCTCTCGCTGGACGCGGCCAGCCTTGGATTGCAATTGCCAGGTGCGACCGATGACTGGTTTTTCCTCTGCCTAGCAACTCGCGCGAGCATAGGTACCTCTAACATTTAGCTAGCATAAATTGAACACTCTGCCACCGGATCTGCGCGACCCCAACAGGGACATCTCCTCCAGCAGCCGGAGTTGGCGCTTCCCGAACAGCAGCGACCGGGGTACCTTCTCTGCTGCTTGGCGCTGGTGGCTGGAACGGCGCGCTTCAAAACGGCCAGATCCCCCTGCTTGGTTCCATGCAGTTTGCCGGGCACGGGGTCCTTCCACAGGCCATGCCAGGACTGCCTCCGCTTCCACCAGCTGCTGCTGCTGCGGTAGCCGCCAAGACACTGCTCCCTTCGGGCAACATCGCAGCCAGCGTTGCTCCAGCACAAGCAGCAGCAGATCCCAGCTTGGCAGTGCCAACACCACCGCTGGCCGCGTCACCCCCGGCTGAGCCCAGCGATGGCTCCAGCCCCTCGACCTCCCAAGCAAGCCACGAGGCTGCTGCCGGTGGGGGCAGCCCGCCACCTGCAGCAGCAGCAACAGGTGCTGCCCTCGACATGTCGCTCGTAGGGCCGCCCCCGACCTCTCTCGCGCATGCGGCCTTTGCAGTCCTGAGCAGCAACGGCGGTGTTAAGGCAGGGCTGGGACTGCCGCCGGCCATGCCCGGCGTTGGCGTCGGCGCTATCGCAGCCGCCGCACAAGCAGCAGCCTCCGCCAGCGGTGTCAACACGCCCAGCCTTTGGCTGCACCCCTCTCCAGGCGGCGCGTTCAACCCTGCCGGCCATCCCGCCTGCCCCAAGCCACCGCAGCCTCCCACCTTCAACCGAACTAGCGGAGGAGGAGGAGGCGGGGGCCTAAACCTTACCTCAGCAGATGGCTCAGACCCTGTAGCTGCTGCTGCTGCGCTGGACGCCTCCATGTGTGCTCTTTTTCCCATGGGTCGGCCGCCGCTGGCACCCGGCGGGCCGGCTCTGTTCCCCTCCAGCCTCGCAGACCACCCTGCAGCGGGCATTGGCTGCAGCACCAGCTTTGGCGGCAGCGGCAGCGGGCACTTTGGAGGCGTAGGGCTGCCGGGCGGGACACCGCTGGGCGTCAGCCCGTCTAGCCTGGGCACGTCCCCTGCGGCCGGCAGGTGTGTTGGGATGGGGAGTTGGGGACATGGGGAGTTGGGATGGACTCCAGCCAGGAGGGCGGTCAGGACATAGTGGTGTGGGATAGTTCTGTTCGGTCGGGGCAGTGGGCCGCGAATCTGCTGTCATGTGAGGTTGTCGTGCACTATCGTATCGAGGGCGGGTCATGCATGGGGGAAGGAGGCGTCCTGGCAGAGATGTGCTCCACTGCGCTGTCCGCCCTCTTGGGACAAGGTGGGTGTGTTTCAGACCGCACTCTGACATATACGTCAAGTTAACCTCCTCTCATAACCGCCTCCGCTGCTGCTGTGTACGTCATGCCGTACGCCGTACGACAGGCTATCCTCCCGGCGCCGTACCAGCGGCACCAACGTGCTGAGCTCCTCCGTGGGCGCCAAGGCCAGCTCCTCGGCGCCCGCTCTGTCCGTGAAGCCGGACAAGTCGGGAGCCACCAAGTACCGGGGGGTGCGGCAGCGGCCCTGGGGGAAGTTCGCGGCGGAGATCCGCGACCCGCACAAGGTAACACCGGGACATCATGGTGCAGGGATCGGTGTGCATGTGCACTGTTTGGATGTATAGACGGCTTGGGCGGAAGACGGGGTTCCGTGTGGTGGCGGTGAAGCGGTTTTAGGTATTACGCAAGACTGCCGCGGTTGTGCCTGGGTATACCTGTTTTCCCGCAGGATTGCGTGAGGGTACGGAAAAGGCGCTGACTAACATCTAACGATAACAGCTAACAATATGCTTCTGATGTCCCCTGGCTGCAGGGCTGCCGGTTATGGCTTGGAACGTACGACACGGCGGAGGAGGCTGCACTGGCGTACGACAAGGCCGCCCGGGAGATCCGAGGGCCTCGCGCTGTCGTGAACTTCCCCAACATTAACCACACCGCAACCACCATGGTGAGCGCTCCACGCCGCCGTACACTATCCATAACATTCCACTCCTGTCTCCATATGCGCATTCTAGACTGTGCCTTGACGGCTCGCACGCCGCCATGCCAATCGGTACACCTGCCTACCGCCCGGGTCAGCCACGTACCGTAACTGGTGTCCTTTGCTCCTCACTTCCATGCCCTAAAACGTTGTTTTCCTCCATTTTGTCCTCCTTCATACCTCCCTCCATTCTGCCACCTGCCCTCCAGCCTCACGAGGAGGAGAGCGGGCAGTGGGACCATCACCTGGTCAGCTCCTCCCTCGGCACCTCACCCGTCTCATCCAGCTTCGCAGCCGGCACGCCTCCCCTAATGGGCGGGTCCGCTCCCGGAGGCCGCCACAGCAACCCGGGCGCGCACCCCCACCACCAACCAGGCATGCCGCATGGCCTGATGCCACACCGGAACACCTTTGGCGGCTTTTCCAATGGTTACAAACGGGGAGGAGGAGGCGTTGGAGGTGACCCGGAGACGATTGCGGAGGGCGAGTCGGATGTGGATATGGACGAGGGGATGATGGATGAGGCCGACGGCATGGCGGAGGAGGGGGGCTTGTACGGCAACGCCGGTCGCAGCAGCGGCGGAGGCGGCGGCGCCGCTCGCACCCGCTTGAATGTCGTGACGGGCGTTGCGACGACGGTACGACCGTCACGTCCGGCGGCTGCGGCGGCCGTGGCGGCGGCAACGGCGGCGGCGGCGCGGGGCGGTTTGGATGAGGATTTTGACGGAGAGTTTGAGGATGATGGGGACATGGTCCCAAGAGCAGCGGCGGCGGCTCATCCGCCCATGCGTGCTGGCAGCGGCAGGCGGCAGGCGGCGACCATGGATGTTGAAGACGAGTTGGCGGAACTGGCGGACGCGCTGTTGCTGCTGCATGAGAGCGCGTAATCCCGGCTTGTGGATGTCCCCCTTGGGAAGAGGCTTTGGTCTCCGTTTTCTCCTCCGTTTGCATGAATAACGCGGGTAAACCCTATAGACACTGTGCTGCTTACTGTACGGTTCGCGAGGTGTCGTGGCCCCCCCTGTGCCCCTCCGGTCGGCATTCCTTGTGTTGTTGCAGCCCTCTCGTTGGCCCTCCTGCGCGGTGCCGCGCAACGGGTTGCAACAATGCCTCGTGTAGTATTATGAAGTGATGGCCAAGCGGTTATGCCAACGATAAAGGCACAGGGCACGGCAGGCGCATGATGTTTAGATATGCAGAGTCATCTTTCTTCTCGCTTTGCATAAAAGGTTCGCTTTGTCGGGATCGGTTCATTTGCCTCTTATCTCTCCTTGTACGTTTGCGTGCCCCTGGGGGTTATTAGATTCGCTGCTGATGTGGGGCTTGCTTGATGGTATGCTGGGTGGGATGGCGCGGAGCAGAGACATGGGTCTTTCGTAGTTTGCAGCTGTGATGTGGGTTGTTTGGATACACTGTCCTTATCCATAATATTTAGGATTTGCATAGGCTTTATTCTTGGCCGCCTCTGCAGCCGGTTACAGTCGTAAGGGTTCGTACTTGGCTTCTGATGGTTCTAAAGGATGTGGGTTGCAGCCTGGGCTGTTGCTCGCGCCGGCAGCCTCCGCAGTCGGGTCTGTGTCAAGCTGATAACAGTCGTGGGGGCGGACGGATTGATGTTGCGGGTTTCGGTGTCGGTCCCCAGTGCTGGTGCGCTGCAACGGGGCGGCTCAGGGGCTGAGGACTTCACGCGTGGAAAGGAACGGATTGGATTGGAATTGGCTTATTCACTATGGATGTGTGGGCTTATGGAGAAAGGCAAGGAGCCAGAAGAAGAAGAAGCAGTAGGTAGGTTTGCCGTGTGTTGAATTGGAGGTTCAGACCTGTGCCAAGACTCCGTTAGTTTCTTACTTGATAGCTTGTTGTTGTTGTTGAGGCGCAAATATCCTGGGCTCGCATACGGTTGCGGCTTGCTGCGCCGGCGGCTGTGTCGCAGTTGTGGGTCGCTAAGGCGCCAGCGGTTGGGGCGCTGTAGCTTGTCCCTGTGTGTGCGAGTTGGCCCCGAGCTTGGTTGCGAAGGAGGGCCTGTCGGGCCGCAGCCACAGCCACAATTTTGCTAAAATTTGCGGTTTGAGGGTTCCGCCTGGTCCAATTTTGGATTATACCGTATCTGCAGAGCGCTTCTTTACCCATGGATGAGTTTATTGGAACCATGCAAGGTGCACGTAACCGTGCGGATGGGGATTTTCCGTGTCCCAGACGCGAGGTTGCTTGACGGTGCGAACGGGCGCCGAGTGCGTCATATGTCTGACTGACAGCCGCATCCGCACCACATGTTGGATTGCAGAAGAAGAAGAAGTTGAGAGGGGTCCTCCGTTGAAGAAGCAAGCGAGGGTGGCAAATGACGGTGGTTAGTTGAAGGAGTGTTGTGGTCGTGTGGGGGTCGAGAAGATACATAGGCGAGGCGATTGGGCCGAGGGGCAGGTAGGCTGGTCTGGTAGGGCCTTGTGACCGTGCGTTAGGCAGCTGCGTGCTTTGGCGGATTGACGCATACCTACATTTAGACGAGCAAGGGCGAGGAAGGGGAGTTACGAGGAAAGGGGACAGGAGGACGGCAGAGGGTGTAGACAACATGCCGTACCTCGGCGGTTGTTGTCAAACACAGGCGGGTCTTTGGAGGCCCCCTGTGCCGTGTACTTGTACCGCAAGCAGCGGGGGCGGGAGGATGTGGGATGTCAAGTGGGTTTCGAAAGAGATTGGTGGGTTGCAGCGCCAATCAAGATGGGCTTTCTTGTCCCCACACATTTGTGCATTGACATTGTATAACGTCGGAAGGGGCATCTTGCGTGTTGCTCGGGGTTTGCCTGATTGCGGCTGAAGTGCGGTGTTAGCGCGTGCAGTGGTGGTCGCAGCTGCTGTGGTTAAGCGGCCAGCAGGGTATGCAGGGGGGCTCGGTACTGAGGTGTGGAGTAGCAGCTCCAAGCGGGAAACGGCAAACCCGTTGCAGAACACCGGTTTGCGCTTTCCTTCATCTTAAAGCCCGACATGCTGCGGACGGTTGTGGTGGGAGATGTATCAGGGGTCGTTGGAATGCCGTGAAACCCCAGCTGGATTACACGCAAGGAGGCACGAGGCCCGCTCGCCCGCCCGCCACAGGCGAGGCGTCATTCTTTGGCTTAACTTTTTCTGCACATGTATTTTATGTTTCGTATTGTGAAGGGGGTGCGGACACGATTGCCTGCCATGCAGTCGCCATTGCGTGTGCGCCGGTATGTGTGTGTTATGGTGCTGTCGTGGTCAACGATTACGGGTACTAAGCCGCCTCGTATAGCAAGTGATGTTTATTACGTGTCATGTTCAGTCGTGTCATGCAAATGGCTCGCGGTCTCCTCACATCTGTAACTTTATCATTAAAGGTCACGGTAAAGAAGACCTCCAATCACAGGTGGTGCAAAAGCATGGGCCCTGGAAGTTCATTGGGGGCATGGGGCTGTCGAATGGGTTACGTGTCGTACCTCGAGCGTGCGTTCCCGTTACCGCTGCCTCAATTGAAAAGCATGAGGATCTTCCGTGGAGCTGCGGAAACGACCAGGAAGACTTTTACCCTTTCCTTGCGCTGCAATGCTGGTGGTTCCGTTTCACAACCCATGCATGCAGCCCAGCGTGCGTGCCAAACGGTGATCCTTACGCTCGCCTTTTGCTTGCCAGCCCAGGCAATCCCGGGAATCAGAAGGTAAGGCAACCGTCTCCCAAGGTTGGCCAATGCCGCAATGAAGGGGATTGGTGGCAATGCGCCCTAGTTGTTGTCCGTTTCTCCAAGTAGACGGCCAAAAAGGAACATTAAGCAAAACGCTACCATTGTTTGGTAAGGTTTGAAGAACAGGGACAGATGAGAGCAGACATCGGCAAACGCTTCGGAGAGTTCGGGTCGTACCGAAGTTCCCGAAACAGAAATTCGGTATCCGAAGCTACCCATGCGACAGAAATAGGCCCTCGTGCTCAGGCGGGCAGCCCCTTACAAGCCCCAGAGACCATTTTGACCCCCACCGAAGCACTGCGGACACACAATTACTGCAAAAAGGGTGCAATTTCTGTTCCCTAAGCCCTTCAATTCCAAAATTTTCTCCGGGGGCTTCGCCCCCGGACCCCCAATCAAGGAAAATAGGACAAGTACATGGATTGGTCAGTCAAGGAATAGGCGCAACGCCCAAAAGCGTTTTTTCAGAGCGCTTAGAGGGCATGCAGAAATAGGACCTTCCCGAAGCCGAAATTCCGTCTTTGCCGACGTCTGGATGAGAGGGCTTTTAATAACTAAGAACCTGAAGTTGTTGCTCCGAACCCGAATCTCCCGGCTTCCGAAGATCCGGACCTTCTCTTTTCAACAAGTCGTCAAGCTCAGTATGACTACCCCAATTGGCGTTAACGTGAAGACGAATTCCCCGGCGTTATAAACTTTAGCCACACGATGTCGTCTTCAGCGTTCGCAAGCCGGCCACAGCGGTTAGGCTGTCGTAAGCTGCTATGCCAAGGAAATACCTGCTATGAATTACGCATATGCACTAATCGTACGTGCAAGCGGCAAGGCTCAGAGCAGGTAATGACCAACATTGGTAGCGACGCACGGAATTGGCCCAAGCCTTTACTGCGGTGCTTGCTCTATTCAGGTGCTTAAATTTGCGAATGACTTGGGTCTTCCGGGCGTTAAGGCTACTCCGACCGGCTGTTTGGGTGCGTTCTCTGTTTGCTTGCGCTTTAAATAACACGGACGCAAGCCACCGAGTTTAGTTGAATGGGACCGCAGGCAACTGTGGTAGCGGTCCAAACGTGGTTCTCCTTCCAAATAAACAGCTTTTTAAACACGTGGCGACACCAAACGACGTGGTGCAGGTACGCTGCATCGCATGCCATCGAGTCTGTACACATGGACGCGCACACGACCGCAAAACAACAACAACTTGCAAGCATGTTCACGTCTTCTTGTCATCGGCTTCGTGTTCCCTCCTCTTGCCGCAAGGTTCACCGCATCCAGTCATCTGTCCGCTCAATGTGAGCCCTCCGCACAACATCCCAACCGTCCATGGCTGATTCCTTCGGCTATTACTGCCGCTGCTGCTGCTGCTTACGCAGGTCATCCAGACCTTTTGCGGCTCGAGCGTCGATGACACCGTCTTACAGGCCACACAGGTGGGCGTATCACACGGAGGAATATTTGGAGGACGGGGCACATGCCTGCTTGACCCGTGGGCCTTGTCCGCCATGACAAAGATTGCGACTGCCAACAATCTAACCACCCATCCAACCTTCGTCTGCTGGCTAAAGTAAGCGTGTTAGCCCTCTTGGCCCAGTCTAGCTACATCCAGCGAGAAATGCCCAATGATGTTGTAAAAGGCGCATTTCTCATAGCGTCGTACCCTTTGCGCCTACCCATTCCCTCCCTCCCTCCTCCTTGCCCCCTACCTCCCCGCCCAACACTCTACCGTAGCTCCGCCTAGCCGGCAATGCCGCCGCCTCCCAGAGCGACCTACCCCAAGCGCTACAATGCTACAGCGCCGCGATAGACCTCCGCCCTCTCCACGGACTACACCTGCTGTACTGCAATCGGAGCGCCGTACAGCTGCAGGTGAGTGAGTACCCAAAGTGAAACGTCCTCTTCATCATACCGGTATGGGGGATTAAGTGAGCAGGGTTGTCTTACTTCCAGGATGCAACTTTGCATGCCCTCTTGGAAGCCATGCTGCTTCCCTTTCACGCTCCAAAAGTCTTGCATAGTGGTTCCTGCTTGATGGCTCAGCACGCAATGCAGCACTCTTGTCTCCTTGCCTACCCAACCCTGCCCACCCGCCCCCCAGATGGGCGACGTAGGAGCGGCGCTGGAGGACGCGCGGCGAGCAGCGGAGTTGGCACCCGCTGGGTTTCACACTGTGCGTGGGTTGCATGGACGGTTCGGCATGCGTAACGTACACAGTTCCGGTACTGCTGCGTGTGGCTAGTTGCTAGTTGCATGCCTGCCTCACCTCCCTACCGGTATGCCTAGCACATGCGGGCGTACCCTACACGATACACAACATACACGTCGAAGCCCAACACAGTCCTCCATAGTGTCTCCTATCAGGGATACTACCATTTTTACCATTTATCCCTCCCTGCTGCCCGCCCTGCCGCCCTCCCTGCGGCCCCCCTGCTGCCCCCTCCCTCATCTGTATTGCGTGTTTCCAGGACAAAGTCTCCGTATGCGCTCAGTACGTGAGTCCGGATATATATGGGATTGGACTCCAGTTGCTGCACTTACCTTCTATTCTTCCTCCCTCCCTGCTGCTGCCCTCCACCCCACAGGCGATCGTCCGGCTGGTGGATGCGCTGTACGCCGCGGGGCGGTACGGCGAGGCAGCGGAGGAGTGCCGGGGCGCCGTACAACGAGACAGCTCCTTCGCCTTCCGAGACGAATATCGGGTGGGGCTGCGAGCTGGCGGATACCGGTAGCCAACCTGCAGGCAGACCCACGGGTCGCTTACATTTACATCCATGTGGGGCTGGCCGCCTTGCGTGTCATGTCATCTACTTCGCCTTACTGATTATTTTTCCTACCCCCATGCTGCGCCACGCTGAGTCCCGGTGCTGGCCGCATCCCCCTTTCCTGCCTCTCACTTTCGCCGCTTCGTGCCTGGACGCTCCCATGCCCCGGTGTGGTGGCACGGCACCCCGCAGGTCATCAAGAGGGCGTTGCAGAGCGCAGGACAGCCCGTGTAGGAACCATTCAGGGGGGAGGCTGTATCTAGGAACCACCTGGGGGAAGGCAATACCTAGGACTCCCAAAAGTGAGGCTCGGAAAGGGGACTGCCACAATGACGGCCTCGGGGTCTCCTGCCTTGTGACCTTCAACAGCCGCGTGTGTACAGCACAGCCGCGCAACCGTATATGTGTTCCTTGCAGCCCTGGTGTGGGTGGGCGGTGTGTGGTTTTTCTGTGTGTGCATCTTTCATCTGTCTATATAAGGAGGCAACATGTCCTTGGCCTCTATGGCTCGTACGGACATCCTGTACACGCGTACGGACTGAAATTGTGTACCATGTAGCGGAACTTGACAAACTGTGACTTCTTATGAACAGACGCATCCTCCTCTATGTGCTGCTGCGAGCGCGCAACAAGCAAACTGGGGAGGAGGCGAACGCGCATCGGCAGGTTTGGTGTACTTCTTACATGGCCTCATAGGTAAGGCACCCATGTGTCGTGCCGTAAAGTTGGGCGGAACACGCAACATAGTACCGTGTCTCAGCCATTCCTGTCGACGGTTTACGCATTCCTGAAAGTTTCATTGTTCCTAGTCCACAAGGGCCCAAACCGCTCCTCCTTCCTTTGACGCACATAACAGTTGCAGTCGGGGGTCGAGCACCCAAAACGCACCCAAATATGGCACCTTGAACAGTATAATGTATAAACGTACGCAGCATGACTGTTTTTCCAATGTGGAATATTATTAGAGAGAAAACCGGAAGATGAAAAACCAGCGTCACGAAAAAACTCTGGCAAAAACCTGCCTGAAAATCAAATGAAAGGAGAGAGAAAAGTGCAATAAAACAAATAGGCACCATCTCGCCGACGAGACAGCACGATGCCCGCAAGGCAAACAAAAAACCCTGAGACAAACGCAACCGCACGACCGAAGGCCGGCATGAGCCATAGCTGTGCAACAACCGGAGCCAACCCGCGCACTCAAACTGGGTCAGCGCACATGCGGCCCTAGGCCGCGGGAGGCATGACTCGCGCTGCCCACGACGCCCACACGAGCGACCGCACCCCTTCCCTCTCTCCTCCCGGCCATGGCCCCTACTTCTAGGTCTCTGCTCCCTTATCGCAAAAGGATTGCCGCAGGCGCTAGCATCTGTCGCGGGAGGTTAATAACCTCTTGTGGTTGCCGCGCCTTGCTGTACTCCTGCAGCATGTCCACTATCCAGTAGAATGTGAAAGGGATGACTAGGAAGAGGATAACCAGGCCCAGCAGCGGGGCTTGCTTGGGAAATGCCCACATCTTGAGCGCCTGCACCGTGCCGACGCTGCCGCTCCGGATCATCGTGATCAGGATCAGTAGCGGCGCAATTGAAGGAATCAGGGGCAGCTTCAGGACGTAGATGGTGACCGCTGCGTTCAGCGCCATCAGAGCCAACGAGAAGTTTAGTATCTTCTTGGTTTCCTCTGCGAGCTCCAGACAGCAAGGGCGTGCCGTCGGATGTTAGCCATCGGAAGGTTTACATCAGCAGTAGCAACGATGTCAGCAACTTACCTTCGAGGATTAAGGACTTTATTGCTTCCGCAGCTGGACTGCTACCAAGGAATATGCCATCGATAACGTCTTGAGACGCACGGGATAGTACGCGCTTTGCGCACGCCTCTTCCTCAACAGACAGCCCGCTGATGCTGGCCAACGCCACCTTCCAGTCAGTCGGAGTGCCGTTCGGCAAAGCCATAAGCTTGCGTTGCTGTAGAAACGGGTCTAAAATACAGTCTGTTTGCAACTCGCGGCACACATGTAAAGTTGAGCCTGCACCCCTAAGAATTATTAAGTTGTAATTAAGGCCAGCAAAGGGAACTTGCCCCGCATCTTCGAGTTAGACAAGCTTCTGAGCACAGGGAGCACACAGCACAGCATGCTCCCTGTGTACGACACATGCTCCCTGTGTACGACACCATTTAGGGTCGTCGCACCCCGGGTACGAGCGGTAACTGCTGGGCCCTTTGCGGCAAGTTTCCGCATTCCATGGCCCTTTTCGGAAACCTGGCGAAACCGGCGAAACATGGCGAAACCTCAAAATGCTATTTTATAGCCAAGAAATCCGTCCTATTGCATTGTTATACAATCCTTATGATACCTTTACGCCCTCCTAGCAATGCTCCCCACAAAACGCCGGTCAATTCAGCCCCAAACTGATAGAGAACTGGGGAGGGTTGTGCATGTAAGTGCTCTGGGAGGTGTCGGTTGCATGGCCGTTACCTAGCGATCGCAGAGACTCCCCATTTCTTAATGTGGTAAGCAGTCCAACCTAATTCCAACCTAATATCAGACACCGCATGCTTGCCTCCTAGCGGTCTCCTTGTTTGACTTTCCGCCGTACAGCCTGTGCGGAAAGTGGCGGAACCGGTTCCGCCTTTCCGCAAAACTGGGACCGCTGATGCGGATACTGCGGATACCATTTCCGCAGGTTTCCGTTTCCGCACGTTTCCGTTACCGCTCGTACCCTGGTCGCACCGGCCGAGCACCGGATGTCCGGAACTCCGGATCGCCTTCCATGCCGATTTGACCCCGACTCCCCAAGACATAAGTCATAAACTCTACAGAAACCTAGTTCAATTGGGTTAAAGCCATGAGGCCTTCTGGACTCCATCGGCTTCCGAAAGCTCATAAGAGCCACTTGAGCTCCACCAGCATAGCCCTTCACCCCAGACTAGCAATTGACTCAACACACAGTCCAGGCATGATACGGTATCCAGTCAGCTATGGTCCGTACCAGTACTCCAGGTACACGACTGGAGTACACGAGTAAAAGGTGTTTTCCAGAATAGGTGATAGCTTATCCAGAAAATGTTGTAAATCATCATCATTTGCATTTGATCGTTTCTTCTATATCCACTCTACCCCATCGAATTCCATGCTTGCGGTACTGCAATGCCAATCCCCTCCCTAGCAGCCCTAGTAACCCGCTCCTCATGCGCTGACAATGTGCTAGAACCCCTCCTCCATGCTGGGGAATTACGGTCCCTGCAGGTGTGGAAGGGCCTCATTCCGTCGAAATCCCTGACTTCCAGCCAATCCTCCAATCCGCATCACCTGGCAGCGACTAATGCGCATTTTAGGGGACAGAAGGGGTACGGCAGGATACGGCTAAGGTGCTAAGTGTAATCATACGCATTGCATAGCATAAATTGCTTCTCCGAGGTGCTCGAACCAGTCCAAGCCTGTCTGTTTGTTTCCAGTGAAGTGGAAAAGCTGACTGTTACAACAAACCGAAGCCCCCCACTTGCCCTGGTAAATTTAACCTGCCTATCTACGCATAACCGAATAGCATAGGTTTGACGGCACCTCGTAATGCGGCGCGGCATGCTACTCCAATGCGGCGACCCACATGGAGGGACCCATGGGTCGCTCCACGTGGCTACCCAGTCGAATCAGTTTGCATCACTGCCACTACGCAGTAACCACCGCCCTAACAACGCAGCTCCCGGCGCTAAAACCGAGATTGACAGGTCCAACGCCGGAACATACCGTTGGCTAACGGCAGAAGTACGGACGGACCGCAAAATAATCCCAGTCACCAAATACAGATGCGCCACGCCTGTAGTAACCCAGCTATGCCCGACTGACAAACCCAACAGCCGCAATTCCCGACTACAATAACAGCTCAGGTAGTAGTGTCTCCTGATGAGACGGGCAGTCCCCTAGATCACGAAGGTTACATACATCTCGCGCATACACTGACCTATCTCTCCCTATGCTGCTTGTTTCTCACGTCTGCCTTGTGTAAGTACCCTATCTTGTACGCTCTCTCGAAACCATTTGAATTTCCCCAACACTCTGATAAAGCGCGACGGGTAACCAGGCATACTGTTCCTCACGTTCCCAGGTGTCCGGGTCGCAGCATACCCACCTAACTACCTGACTATGTCACCTCACGTGGAGGTAGTAATCACCTGAGCCAATCCATCACGTGGGTTATAGACCCGCTGCTGCTGCTGCTCCCGTACACCGCTAAATAGTTCACACAACCAGCATGGGAGCATGTCCCTGACAATCAATAACCTCACGCAGGGGAGGTACAAGCACCCGGGCTCACGGTCAGTATTCCTCACAGGGACAGCGCTCATGCCTAGCTGATGGAAAGGAACCCCCTTCCAGGTCGCGCACAACGCCAAACCCCTCCCTAGCAGCCCTAGGAACCCCCCCCCCATGCGCTCAACAAAATGCTAGATCCCGCCCTCCTGTCCAAAGCCTAGCCTACTTTAGGACCACAACTGTACCCCTCCAGCGTTCCCTTAGGCGCTGAACTGACACACCCCCAGCAGGCTCAAAGCGAACAACCTGTAGTCCTGTACTCAAAGCATTCATTCAGACAGGAAGGAGGAAACGGCCAACAGCCACGACCAACAGCAGGTTGTTCACGATAGGTACAATAGGCCAGGAAGCAGATAAGCGGTTGGGGGCACATAAGTGTCTGCGGATGGTTTGGCTCACAGTACACGGCGCAGGAAGACAGCCACCCCCGAACACACACACACACACAAACACATGGCAAACGGTCTGGGTTGTATGAGTGTGTTTCCTTGCCAGTCGCTACGTCATCAGATGAGGGACTGCGAGGGCGGTCGCGGCGGGCGTGGCGTCTGCGGTGAGGATGCGGGCGAGGGAGCCGACTGCATGCGGATACGTCGCCGCTGATCCTCCTCCAGGGAGGCGGCGATGGCGGCATCCAGCGCCGCCTGCTCCGCATCCGCAACTGCTCGAGCCGCCTTCAGCCTCTCAGCCTGCGACCACAGCAGACGAGCAGCGCACGCAGGGGAAGCAGGAAGAGGGATTAGGCGAGTGGCCAACAACCAAGGGCCATGAGAAAGCCTACCGGTAAAATTAAGCATATAAGGTCCCTCTGGCATCTGAACACCCCCTGAAACCCCTCCCCCCTCCTACCTCCTCCAGGCTAGCCTGCATGGCTCTCCGCATGTTCTCCTCCTCCAGGGAAGCCGCAATGGCTATCCGCACGCGCTCCTGCTCATACGCTGCCGCCGCAGCTGCAGCGGCATCCACTTGCATGCCTGCTCCCCCACCTACACCGCCACCGCTACCCCCCGGCGCCCCTGCCACAGGAACCTGGTAGTATGCCGGCGGTGCCACCACACCCGTAACCACACCACCCGGCCCCGGAGGCACCACCGCCGCCCCCGCCGCCGGCACGCCCGGTGCCGGCACATACCCTCCTCCACCTCCCATTCCTCCTCCAGATCCCGCCCCGGCAACAGGCCCCGTCACACCGCCGTACATGGGCACATACCCTCCTCCTGACCCCACTCCTCCTCCTCCTCCACTACCGGGCGGAGGAACCAACGCGAGCCCCTGCATCTCCACGCTGCCCGAGGGCGGCAGCGCAGGAGGCGGGTTGTAACGCTTGCGTAGAGCCCTCCGCCGGGCCCACACCACCCCCACAATCACTGCGACGCCAATCACGCCGCCTACCAGGACCACCAGACCCGCAACTAGGGCGCGATTGTGACTGCTGAGCCCCTGGGTGCCCTGCGGGGTGATGGTTTCGGAGCCGTCGTCAGGCAGGCTTGAGTCCACGGCGAAGAAGTAGGGGGGCGTGGGCAGGCCGGTGTTGCCCGCGAGGTCTACGGCGCGGACGCTGAAGGTGTAGAAGCCGGTGCTGGGGGGGGGAGGAAGTGTTTAGGGGAGTGAGGGTAAAAGGGGTGAAGAGATTGGGGGGAGTATGCTGATAAGTCCATGAAGCTTGCATACACACACACCCCACACAACATTGATAACAACGCCAGCAAGCCCCCGCTTTTGGGGTCCATGGCAGCTCAGCTCAGCCCACACAGCCCCCCGCGTTAAACCCCTCAGCAAGCCAGTCAACCCCTCCTTTCCCCTTGCCCGCCGCGTACCTCAGGCCCTGATACGTCACATTGGAGCCAGACCCGGTTGCATCGCAGACCTGCCACACCCCCAGCTGCACCTGGGTGCCACCCAGCAAGGTGGGACCAGCAGCAGCAGCTGTGTTAGCCAGCTGCCTCCTGCCAGTAACGGTGGAGGAAGATGAAGAGGAGGTGGAAGATGAAGAGGGCGAGGAGGAATACGAGCTGCTAGAGGCGGCAGGCGGCGGTGGGGGCGGCCGGGAGGAGGCAGGCGGTGAGGGCGGCGAGGGCGGGCGAGGCGGGGGTGATGCGGGCGGGGGTGCGGAGGTCTGGCTGAGCAGGCAGAGCTGCTGGGCCACCCCGCTGGGGGAGTCGTCGGGCTTGTCGGTGGACATGAAGTCGATGGTGACCTGAGGGGGGGGAGGTTTGAAGGAAAGAGCGTATTAAGGAAGGGGGAAGGCAAGGTGGGGGAGGGTAAGGGGTAGGCGGGGATACCTTTGCCGGCATCTGCCATCTTGCCCCAACCGTAAAGCGCCTGTGAACACTCTTCCGTCCCCTGCCTCTCCCTCCCCTCCCCCCCACTGCCTCTGCACTCTCTCTCTCCTCCCACCTTTGCCGGCAGCGTCCTCCCCGCCGGCAGCGCACTCGCAAACACCCTGCTGACGGGCGGCGTGAAGTCCACCACCAGCTGGTAGTCTGCGGTGGTGCGCAAACCCGCGTTGTCGGAGGCGGCAAGAGACCACACGTAGGAGCCCTCCTGCACTGTGTACCTGGGGGGGGGGTGGGGGGATGGGGGGGGGTAAAAATAAACAAACACTGACAAACTGTATGATGGGGGGGGTGAGTGAAGAGGAAGCAACTGAGGAGCTGTGTGACGTATAAGTTTGACCATGGGGTGCAAGCATGGGTGTATGCTGTGCTCCTCTGCTGCTTACTTTGCCGGGTGGGGCAGTAGGCGGATGGCAGGGCAGGCTGTGTGGCCTACTAGTACCTACTTTGCGGGGTTGGGGCAGGGGTTGGTCCAGCCCGCCATGCGGGTTCCTGCCGGGTACTCGCTGTCGCCCTGGCTCAGGTTGGCCATGGCCACCAGGTGCGTGTAGCGGAAGGAGCAGCTCACGTTGGCGATGCCTGGGGGGCGGGGGGAATTAATAGGGATTCCGCATTAGGCTGGATACCGGTAGTTGGGATTGCGTAACATTGCGGAAAGGGACATGGGCGGGGGCGGGAGGAGAGAAGATGTTCCACCGTTCCCACCTTCCCCCTACCCCACCCCACCTGTGCCGCTGGGTCCATCATCCACACTGAAGTTCCAGGCCACCCGTGTGGCGGCCACTGCGGGGGGCATGTTGGTGCTGATGGCGGGCGGGGTGAGGTCGGTGCGGAAGAGCACGTTGGTGGGGGGGCCCAGGTTGCCCGCGGCGTCGCGGCCCTGATGGGGGGGAGGGGGGGAGGGGGAGGTGTACCGAAACCACAGGTAAGGGCACAAAGCAATGAGGATGATAGAGGGAAGCAGTTTGTCACGAAAGGAAAGAGGGTTAGTGGCCCTGATGGGGGTGGAAGGGGAGGAGCCGCGTTGGTGGTTGGGAGGGAGGGGTGCTGGGGAACGCGAAATGCAGCAGCAGAAGAGAGCTATAGGTAGGAAGGTTGCGGTATCCCACCTATACAGAAATTACGGATACTAACCCCAACCCCAACCAACCCAGCAGCCCCCCACCTTGACTTGGAACAGCCAGTACCCCTCCGTCACGTTATCGTGGGTGGAGCTGCCACTGCAGCTGACGAACGGGGCAGCAGCCGTGTTGGGGGTGTCGGCATCTGGCGGGCTGGCGGAGGGGCCCAGCCAGCGGCAGTAGTAGGCGCGGATCTCACCCTCGGGGCCGGCGTCCCCAAAGGGAATGGTGACCCGTGGGTCACTCTGGATGGCGGAGATGTTCCGAAGGATGGCTACCACGGGCGGGGTGGTGTCCACCTGCACAAGTGAGACGCAATGACTAATGACTTAATGGCGTACGATAAGGCACATACGAAAGATAAGGGTTAGTGGAGGTAATATAAGGATTAGCGGAAACGTACCACAACAGGAATCAGGCAGTACGGCTAACGGCAGCTCCTGAGACCGACCCAGGTCACCGTCACCGCTCAACATACGCCCACACCCCTCACACCGCCTGAACTCTGAGATACCCCCTGCCCCCCTCCGTCCCCACCCACCACCACAGCCGCCAGCGCCCAAGTGGTGGCGTCCGTGCTGCCCTGCGGCCGCACCACCACCACGTAGCTGCCGTCGGAGGACACGGAGAACTGGGGGGGTGGAGGGGGTGGAGGGGGCGAGAGGGAAGAGGGGGTGGAGATGGCGAGAGGTGGAGCGAGGCACACGATAGGGAAACGTTAACAGGCGTACTGTACCAGTATGCCCGAAGCGACCCAGTGAAAAGCCTCAAGAGCGGTTTTGTGAAAAAAAACTTCCTGTACACTCTTCCTTCACCACCCCCGCCCTGCCCCAGAAGCATAGTCACATAGCAATCCCCTCCTCTTCACCCCCAGCCTTAACCCCGCCCCCTCCCAGCCTCATGCCCTCATTATCCCGCCCTAATTCGTGGTTTCCTAAGGTTTTGTCTATCATGACCCCTCCCCCCCCCACCTGGCAGCTCTGCGTGGTCAGCAGGTTCCAAGCGGGCGCCCGCGCCACCAGCGCCGCCACACTTGCACTGCCCTCCGTTGTGTTGAAGATGGCGGACTCGAACTTCTGCTGCTGCTGGCCGCCGGGGGGCAGGTCGGTGGGGGCGGTGTCGGTCTGCGCTGCGCCCCTGAAGCCCGTCACAGTGAACTCCAGGGAGCGGTTGGCGACCAGGCCGGAGGGGCCGCGGGAGATGCGGGCGTAGGCCAGGCCGGGGGTGTACCTGAGGGGCGGGGCGGGGAGGGGCGGGTGGAAAATTAAATAAGAAGTGAAGCAACGGACGGCGGGGGAGGGGAGCAAGAGGGGCGGGTAGCAGGGCCGGAAGGGGGAAGAAGGCAAGCGGCATGCTTACGGAAGGTGTTGGAGGCTGTGAATGTTAGGAGAGGAGAGAGAAGCACATGGTTAAGTACCCGCATCCCCTTCCGCACACACGGATACGGATACCGTACCCTACCTTGCACCAATACCTACATCCCCCCTCTCCCCTCGCACGCACGCGCACGCATGCACGCACCTGATCTTCCAGTCAATGGACTTGGGCTGTGTCTCCGGGTTGTTTACCGCATCGTAGGCCATCACCTGCGACCAGCCAGCAGGGCCCACCGTGCATGACGGATGCAGCATCATGACTTCATGAGCGCTCATGGACGCATGGGGAGCGAGAACTGCCGTACGGAACTGCCTCTACTGCCTTCCCACCGTACCTAGGAGGGTACTGCCGGTGGCCTGGAGGCAGCAGCAGCTGCTGCTGCTGCTGCATTTTAACACGCCACTACTGGAAGAGCACTAGAGGAGGCGCACAACGCAGCGCATGGAGGAGCCCCCCGCACGCCACTACCGTACTTCTAAGTCGTTACCCACTTTTGGGAAGTTCGGACCTTTCTCCGTCCTTCTACTGCCCACCCCACCCCACCCCATGCCACCCCACCTGGAAAGTGTAGTCCCCAAAGCTCAAGCCCGCCAGCCCCAGCGGACTCTGGCAGTCAAACACCGCACCCGGCGTCACCGCGCCGCCATCCGCCACCCGCCGCAACCAAGCAGGGCTCCTGGCGCCCGACCCCGCAGGCGCGCTGAACTGCAGTGAGCACTTGAAGTTGACCGAGGTGGAGACATCGCTGGCGGTGAAGGTGAAGGTGACGTTGTCGGCGGTGGTGGTGATGGAGGAGGAGGAGGAGGAGGGGTCGGGGAGGGAGGAGGTGAGGGTGGTGACGGGCGGGGTGGTGTCCACGGTGAGGGAGCGGATGGTGGCCACGTTCTCGTTCAGCACGCGGACCTGGGGGCAGGGGGGGATGGGCGGGTGAGGGCCGGGGGAGGGAGAGAAAAAAGAAAGACATGCGTTGAATGCGGTTTGTTTAGGAAAGCTGCGTGGTGTGTGTTAAAATAACTGGCGTGGTGTGTGTGGGGGGCGGGTGTGAGGGATTGACGTGGCGCGCATCGAGGGGCAAAATGTACGGCATAGAGTAGGACGGATCTAACATCCATCGCCCAAAACCCCACCCTCCCTGCCTAGCACCGCCTGCCCCACTCTCCCTCCTCCCCAATGATGCATTTATCTATACCCCCCCCCCACCTGGAAGCTGTACTTCCCATCCGCCAGGTTGGAGTACTTGGCGGGGTTGCTGCATGTGGCCCAGCTGGCGAAGGAGGAGGTGGCGGCGGGGGAGGAGGAGTCGGGCAGCAGGCGGCACTCGAAGCCGTCATGCGGGCTGGAGCCGTCCTGGGTGCTGAAGTAGAACACGGCACTCCTGCGGGGGGGGGGGGGGTAGGGAGGGAGGTCAGTGGTACCACAGGCAGGCAGCCAGGCAGATGGTGCAGCCCCCTCGTCATACAGCTTGTCAGTTTCCTCTTTTTTACCCACCCCCCACCCCCACCCCCACCTCTGGCTGGTGAGCAGTGTGGTGGACATGTTGCCGTCAATCACCGCCAGCTGCAGCACGCAGGCGGAGGCGGAGTCGTCGGCGCTGGGGGCGCTCAGGTAGCCGCTGAACTTACCCTGGGGGGGGGGAGAGGGAGGAGGGGGGAGGAGGGGGAAGGAGGGAAAAGGAGGGAGGAGGGGAGGAGGGTAAAAAGAGGAAACTTACGAGGTGTATGACAAGGGAGGAGGGAGGAGGGGCGTGGGAGCACAGGAGGGTCAGCAGTAAGCTATAGAGCACGAGATGCGTAACAAAGCAAGCTAGGTACCGGTATTCCCACGGCTATTCCCACGGCGTCTCAACCTCATCATGTCAACCCCGCCGCAACACCTCACCTGTACGACAAGCGCGTACGGCTGCTTGCCCGCCGCCGCATACACCACGGGGGCTGACACCGTGACCGCCACCTCGCCAGACGCCAGGTCGTCGTACCAGACCTGAGGCGGTACGACAGGGGGGTGTTGCAGGGCAACGGACAGTGGCGGACTGCTAGTACCGGCACTGGGTGTGGGTCCAGAGGAGCCGAGGACCTGGGGATAAGGTAAGGTAGCTGAACACACGCCACATATTACACCGCCTGTCGTTTACCGTCAACAAGCAGCATCAGGATTGCCTCCGATGCTGCATGCTAGCTGCCGTCTATTACGGAAAATTACGACCCCGAAAGGCACAAGCAGGCAGAGCTCCCCTCTCCCCTCCCAGACACACGCACCCTGACCAGGATACCCATCACCACCTCCTCTCCAACCCCTCTCTATCCCCACCCTGCCCAATAATCTCCCCCCTCCCACAAGGCCCCCTCATACCTAACCACCCCCCCACTCCCCCCCAAAGTCCCCCACCTGCTCCACCGTGTTGACGCTGTCCTGCAATCCGTTGCCGTACTCCACGAGCCCCGGCCGCCCCGCCGCCCGCACCTGCAGGTCCAGGTTGTTGACCAGCGCCTTGGATACGGCAGGATTGCCCGGGTAGTCGTACCTGCACGGGTGTCGTACGGGTGTGGCATGTCGTACGGTGGACGAATGATGAATTGAGTTGACCGTTATAGGGGCTCCCAAGAAAAAAGGATGCATGTGATGTAAATGCTGCATATCACCCAGGCAAACTCACAACCCCCCATTAGGGTTCGTTTGACCCCTATATCGTCGGTATAGCTGGCTTTCTCCAGCCCAAGCCAAGCCAACCCCGACCCAACCCCCTCCCCCCCCCACACACACACCATGCCAGTGTGATGCGCAGCGGCCCCCCCGCCGCCCGCACGCAGAAGCGGTGCTGCTCGCCCTGGGCCAGACTGGCCCCGTCAACCACCTGCATGCAGGCAAGGGGGGGGCAGGGGGAGGGGATGAATGAAATGAAGCTCACCATGTGGCAGTTGTTTCACCAGGGAAGGAGCCGGGTTGTGGGAGGGTACCGGTACTGTGCGGGCTTCCACTGCATGTCATGTCATGACGAATGGTAAGAAGCACGGAAGGATGCAGCTAAGATGCAGCTGCCGGTGTGGCGGTATGGAGGCGGTGGAGTGCACCACCCAGCAGCAACAACAGTAGCACCCCAGGCGTGAGATAGCGGCTTTGGGCACAGCCCTCCACAACCCCCTCTCCTGCAGTAAGTCACCCTCACCCCTCCTCCGCCCCCTCCCCGCCCACATCCCTGAGTCGTTTCTGTGGGGACTTCACCTTCCGGCAATCGCAGTACGTTCCGACTCGCGGTCAGTTCCCCCACCCCCCACCTGCAGCTTCCAGCCCGGGCTGATGCTGCTGCCCGCCAGCGGCAGCGAGTGCAGCAGGCTGAGCCGCCCGAAGCCCTGTCGGTAGGAGGGCGGCTCCTCCAGCGGCATACCCGTGCCGGACACGGAACCCTGTGTGTGTATGGGGGGGGGGGTGTAGCGGGGGGATTGAGGGGGGAGCGAGGGGAAGAAAAGAGAATACGGAGTAAGACCCAGAAGGTCCATATAGACCTAAACATATGACGTCCAAGAGAAAACGCGAAAGACCTTCAATAGATGGGGAAGGATGTGGGCGGCGCAGTTCGGCATATACCCGATATGTGGGCAGCAGCAGCAGCAGCAGCGGGTAATTGGCAACACACGCATTGTGATACGAGGGCGGCAGGCCGAGCCCTTCCCTCCAACAGCCCCCGTCCCCCCCCCATCCCCACCCCCCCAGCTCCCTCACCCCCATGTGCACCGTGCCCCCCAGCAGCACCGCCTTCACCAGCGCCCCACTGGGGCTGAAGCCCGCGGTGGCGTTGGGTCGCCCCTCGGGGTAGTACCCGTCAGTGAAGTACTGCCGCACCAGCAGCGCGGAACCGGCAACCACGGGGGTGGCCATGGAGGTGCCCTGGGGGGTGGGGGGAGGTAAAGAGGAAACAACTTAACGGACCGTGTGATAGGAGGAAGGAGGGGGAGGTAGAGTGGAAACCTTGCGGGCAAGGGGCATGCGAGGAGGGATGTAGCATATGTGTGCCAAGAAATCTGGCCGCGAGTCGGGACGTACTGTGTAGCATGTGGGAGGGTGCCTGGCCTACACACATGGCAACGGGTAACCCCACGCCCCCCTCCCAACCTCCTCCCCCTCCCCCCCCACGGCCCCCACCTGCAGCCACTTGAGTGCTGTCCCCGAGCCGCACTGCGGCTGGGTGCTGTCGGCGGCGAGGGTGGCAGAGGAGGCGGCGGAGAGGAGGTAGCCTGCGTGGGTGGGGGGGGGTGAAGAAGGGGGGGTTGACAGAAGGGGGATTATTGAAGGTCTGGGTACCGGTACTAGCAACGTGGAGTAAGGGAGGGAGGGAGGGTGAGCAAGAGGGGGGAAAGAAAAGAGGGGAAGGTGCCTGGCAACCCGAACCGGGAATTCACGGCTGAGGGGGCTGAAGTGACTCCCGGGCGGAGGGACAAGGACAGCGAACATGCTCCCACGCACCCCTTCACCACCTCCCTCCCTCCCTCCCCCCCTCACCACCTCCCCTTCCCACCCCTCCCCCCCGCTCCCCCGCCCCCACCCCCCCACCCGGTGCCACGATGTCGGGCTTGATGCGCCCGTCCGCGGTGGGACCGAAGGAGCTGTAGGAGGCCACGTCCTCGAAGCCCGGGGGCGCGTCCGAGGGGGTGCGCTTGAAGCTGAGGGCAACAGAACCTGCATGCATGCGGGGGGGGGGCGGGGTGTGCATGCGGGAGGTCAAATACCATACCATCGGGAAACCACAGGTTGGGCAAAACAATGGGCATGCGGGGGAAGGGGATGAGGAAGTAGGAGAGAGGAGAGGAGCACGTCACGCAGCCTTTTGTTTGGTAGCGGGATGGCACTACAAGAGTATGAAGGTAGCGAGGGAGGGAGAGGGTAGAGCGACGCATGCGGGCAATTGGCCGGGAGCTGTATACCCCCTCTCCCCCCCGTACCTGCCCCCAGTGCCGCCAGCAGCCATCTGCCGGTGGACTGCGGCACCCCCCCCATGGGCAGTGTAAGGGAGCCCGCGGACACGCCATCGGGGACCTGCATCAGGAAGTAGCCGTCCTGCGCGTGCGTGTGAGTGTGTTCGGGGGAGGGGGGTGGAGGGAAGGGGAGGATGGGGGGGGTTAAGAAAACCAAGGAGGGGGTGGAAAGAAGGATACCCAATTATGTGTTGGGAGGGGGGAGGGAGAGGATGGAGGGGGGAGGGGGGAGGGAGAGCTTTTTTTCCGAAGAGCTGCTTAACGGGCTTCTAGTGCGGCGGCCTTGCAACACCCATCTACCGGCATCAACAGCATCCTCGAGAGAGAGAGAGAGACACTGCGCGCTGCCTCCCCAGCCCCCCTCCCTGCAACACCGCACTTCCCACCCCTCTCCTTCCTCCTCCCGCACCCTCTCCTCCTCCCCAGCCTTCCTCGCCACGCCCCTCTCCCACTCCCACCCCCCCTCCCGCCTCCCACCACCCACCAGGCGATCGTTATACACCAGCACCCCCACCGCCCCCGCCGCCACCGCGTTGCGCATCTTGTCGGAGAAGTAGCAGCCGCCGCGCTTGACAAGCACCACCCGACCCGACACACTGCCTGTGGGGGGGCATGGGGGAGGGGAAGAAGAATACCCAATGTGTTGGTTGGGAGGGGGGGGGGGTAAACATAGGACCATGTTGAAGGAAGGAAAAAAGGGCAGTGGGAACTGAAGCAACTGAAGTACCAATAATCCCATATCCCGACTCGTGCAGTGAGCGTTTACTGAGACACACTCTTCTGTGAACACGCAGCGGGAGGACCATGTTTTGGGGGGAGGGAGGGGAAGAGGTGCCGGCCGGTAGCAGGTGCGGATGGCGGGAGACAGGAGCGGTACCGGTACCAGAGAGCAACACCAGGCGGGAAGGGGGGCGCTAGGCGGGTCCCGGTTGTCAGCAGAGTTATACGCAGGGAGCGCGGCAGGTCCAGGGCACCACTCGCAGGCACTACCGGTACCGGTACTCTAGGGTAGACGGTAATGAGACACACTAGGCACACACCACACATGGGGGCGACACGGGCGCCTCCAGCCCTCCACGCCCCGCCGCCCCACCTGCGTTCGTGAGGGGTGTGCATGCGTCCTGCGGCGCCCCCGCCAGCAGGGGGGTGTTGGCGGGCAGCCCCGCCAGGTCGCCCCCGAAGTTGGCACCCACCACCCGCACGCTGCGGGAGCCGCCCTGGGGGGGGGAGGGGGAGGGAGGTGGGATACATGTTCCGCATTAGGCTAGTTTGTAGGATGTGTATGGATTATATGTAGGGATTATAAGCAATCCCCCTTCCCTCCCTCCCACCCCCAGCCCTCACCTGCCCTCCCGCCAGGTTCAGCACCGCCGTCATGTTGTACACGGTGGCCGTCAGGGTGGGCTTGTCGCCGCTGACCTGCGGGGCGGGGAGGGGAGGGCAGCGGGGGGACACGAGACGCGAGGTACACGGGGTGAGAAGGAAGAGGGAGAAACCGAGACGAGTTGTACGGCATGAAGGCTTCAACATACACCATACCCACCAACACGGGGCACGCCAACAACACGGGGCACGCGAGCAGCATGGGCCACCGTAACCCCTTCCTCCCTCCTCCCTCCCGCACCCCCCATCCCCCCTCCCTCCCCCATCCCGCACCCCCCATCCCCCCCTCCCTCGCCCCCACCGGCCATGACAGTGTGGCCCCCGCCGCAATGCAGTTCTTGGCGACTGCGGGCGAGGTGACGGTGGTGGACTGCCCGCTGTTGGTGCCGTAGTTGCCTGGGAGCGGGGGACACAGCAGCGGTAACAACAGGGGGCACAACACCGGCCCGGGGGCACAGGAACAACAGGCAGGCGGGCGGGGGGCGCAGAGGGGGGGGCGGTCCGCAGATCATGACGACGAATCGAGAGCCCCTGCAACAACCAACCTCGCCCCTACTCTTACATCATTTTACCCCCCACCCCGCACCCCACCCCATCCCTTTCCTCCATCTTCCCCACCTGCCGCAAACACCGACACAAAGTCCGGGTTGTCCCATGTGAAGCGGTCCAGCGCTGCCGCCATGCTGTCGTACGCGGTCAGCTCGGATCCCCACGAGTCGCTGTGCACCCGCGCACCCACGCTGTAGGTCAGGTTAAAGTAGGACTTAGCCAGGTCGCCGGGGGTCCATACCTGGGGGGGAGGGGGGGACCATACCAGGGGGGGGAAGACCATACCAGACCGTAGGAAGCCACAGGTTAGGGCAAAGCAAAATGGATAGGAGAAGGGGCCGCAGGCAGGGACCACAGGCAGGGGCCGCATGCAGGGACGAGGTGAAGCGGGCAGGCAGTTGGTCGGTCCACATCCCCGTTACCGCCAGTGCACCACCCCCCACCACCCCTCCCCACCCCTCTCCTCACCCCGTCCTGCTTGTCCCTGCTGAGGTCCATGAAGGCGATCTTGGCCCCCGGCGCCTGCCCCGTGCCCACATCCAGCGGGTCGGTGGCGGTGGCGTTGGGCCGGTCGAACCTGGAGTGGGGTGGGGTGGGGTGGGCGGTTGGGGAGACAGTGAGGGGGACAACAACAAGTAGGTGGTGGGCGGTTGGGAAGACATCACACGGGTTTGGGAAGCATCACGGGCCTTGGCGCTGGTCTCCAAAGAGCAGCCAGGCCCCTTGCTGGGCGCGATACCCGCATGACCTCACGTTTCCCAGGGCCCAGCCAGGTTGGGTTTCCCCTCCATGATGGTTGCTTCCCCCCCTCCGCAGTTCCTCTCCATGAGCTCTTTCCAGCCACCCAGAGCCCTGCCGCATGCGAGGTCCCTCCCCACCTGCTCCCAATGAGTGTGCCCGACACGTGGGTGCCGTGCCCCACTCCGTCGTACAGGTCCTGCACTGCCAGGTAGTAGCGCAGCTTGCGGTGGGTGGCGCTCAGGAAGAACTGGGGGGGGGGAGGTGGGGAGGGTGGGGGGGGGAAGGGCACGGGCGGAATATGCCACGTTTGGTAGGCGATGGTAGCGACTCATGGTGAAGGCCCCATTTGGGGAAGGGAGTGGGAGGGAGGGTTAGTGAAGAGGCCCCTCCCCGGCCGTTTCTAGGCCCCGACGCCACCCCTCCCACGCACTGCCTCCCCCGCACCCCCACCCCCACCCGCTCACGCTCACCTGTTGTCCGTTGGTGTCTGTTTGCACGTTCTGCATGAAGGGCACGGAGGGGTCCCAGAAGAAGCAGTTGCCAACGTCCAACCCGCTGTCGCCGCAACCCACCGTCTGCGGGATTGCGGGGGGGGGGGATTAGGATGAGAAGTGAAGCAACGGGAGGGGGTGGTTAGCATGGGGGGCGACATGGGGGGCGAAGTTCAGATTGCCGGCCGGAGGCAGTGGCGAGCAGGGATCCAAGCAGGGATCCAAGCGGGGGCTGCTGCTCCTTCCCTCCCTCCCACCTCCCTCTCTTCTTCCCTCTTTCACTCCCCGGCCCTGTGCCCTGCGGGACACATTCAGCACATTCTCATTCAGCCCCCCTCCCTCCAGCCCACCTGGTTCCTGCCGTCCCCCCCACCCCACCTGGTTCCTCCCCCCTCCCTCCAGCCCACCTGGTTCCTGCCATCCAGCCCCGCCATCCAGAAGGGGTGTGCCGCGGGCGAGGTGGCCGCCCCCACCAGCGCCGTGTTGCCCCCCGTCTGCAGGGTGGCACCCGACACCAGGTTGTGCAGCCGGGACACCATGCGGGGAGCCACCCAGCTGACCTGGGGGGGGTGTGGGGTGGGGTGGGGTGGGGGGGGGGGTAATAGGGATACATACTCCGCATTAGTCTGGATAGTTGGAGGGGGGAGGGAAGACCGCATACCAGACCACAGGAGGCCATCACAGGTTAGGGCAAAGCAAAGGGGCTAGGAGACGGCAGGTGCCTTTGGGCTGGACTGGTCGGGCTGGCTCGCATGTTGCAAACCATGTGATGACGCCGTAACACACGATCAGTAAGTTGTTTCCCCTTCACTCAACCCCCGTGTGTACCTGCTGCGCCCCACCCCTACCCATTCCCACCCACCCACCCCCGTGCACACCTGCTGCGCCCCCGCCAGCCAGCCCACCACCCCCTCCAGCGCCGCGGGGCACACCGCCAGCAGCAGCAGCTCGGGGGCCGCCGGGTCCGCCTCCAGGACAGGCGGGCAGTCGGGGGGCGACAGCGCGGACAGGGGGGCGGACCAGTCGGAGGCGGCAGCGGAGGCGGGGTGGTAGGGGGCTGCTGCTGCTGCTGCTGCTCCTCCCGCTGACCCACCCGCCAGGTGTTGCAAGTCCTCGGGCGCCAGGGAGGGGAAGTGCACCTCCAGCAGCAACCGAGCGGGGGGCGGGGACCGGGCAGAGGCGCCCTCAGCACTGCCGCTGCTGCCCCGACGCCCTCTTCCTCCTCCGCGGGCTGGCTCATGCAACCGGACAGCACCTAGAAGCCATTCAGCCTGGGCAGGGGATGGGTGGGTGGGTGAAGGGAGGCGGTATGAGTGTAACAGGGGGAAGGAGGAAAAGGACCAGGGCAGCATCCTCTCCCACGATGCAAGCATGCCACCCTTGGTGGAGTCGTGTCACATGGTAGGCTCTTCCTCTCCTAGCACCCCACACCCCACACGGCTAATGCTGAGCCGGCACAGCACCCCCCCTCCTCACTCCTCACCGCGCCCTGCGACACGCCTCCTCCTCCTCCTGCTGCAGCTGTCATCAACAGTTCATCCAGCCTGGCCCCTCCCGCCAGCTGCTGCGCCGCCTGCGGCCCTCCCTCCCGCAGCACCGCCAGTGCTGCAGCCAGCTCGGGAGAGATACGCAGCTCCGGGGGCCCGTAGGGAGCCTGCAAGGAGAAGGAAGGGATAGGGTGAGAGTGAGAGCAGGGGAATGAAGAAGGAGGCGAGGAAGGATGATGGAGGGGCCGCCGTGTGACGGGCGCAGAGCCCGGCCGCAGGGGATGGATGGATGTGGACAGGATGGATGTCAACATCACATCACCGAGTCCGAACAAACCCACCAGCCGGATGTCCGGAAAGGCCGCCGTGACGGGCGCTAGGTCCGCATGCTCGCCCACCGCCAGTAACCAACCCGCGGGCGGCAGGAAGGACACAAGCGCACATCCCGCCTGATGCAATTGCTCCAGCAGCTCCGCTTGTCGGTCCGCAAACCGAGGCAGCGGTTGGTGTTTTGAAGCGGTTTCGGAAGCAAAAGTGTTGAGAGCTGAGCTGGTGTCGGCTGCATAAGCAGCGGAGACCGCGTGCTGCGATTTCAGGAATTTAGTCACATGGTGCTGAGGTTGAGGGAAGTAATGGAGCTCTGGGCCCATGGTTAGCAGCCATAGCTGCGCTCCTGCGAGAGGTCCCCATTCTGGTGAGGCTGCGGGTGCGGGCGTGGGCTGCTGTAGCAGTCGCCGGGCACGGGGCGTCAGCGATGGCAGCCTATGGGGCGGGAGGCGGGCGGGCAGGGGTCAAAGCGACAGTGACGCAACAGAGGGACCTCACGCCGCAGTCCGAGTCCTGGTGGGATAGGCAAGCTGGCTGAGCTGTTTGGAGAGCCCTGTCGATGAATGCGTAGCCCCGCAATACGGGAGTTGAACCGCACCTCCGGTGCTCGGCGTCCACATCCACGACTCCAGTCCTCAAATGCACCTCATGGACTCCCTCATAGGATGCTGAAGGCCCACTTAAGAACGCACCAAGGTCACTTAGTATAGGCTCCGCCTTTGAAAGTGATATTACGCAAACAGCAAGAGAAGTGCATAATAATAATAAGGAGCCCATTGTTTATGGTATCTAGTCACTGTATATTCTAGACAAGCCTCATATTTTAAAGAGAACCGGCGGCAAGCTATCAACGGAATACTTATTAGGCAATATAAAGAGCTAATGGATGCATAGTAGAAGTATGCTTAACAGGATAGACAAGTCCAAACTAAAGGATGTCTGGAGGGAAGAAGTATGCAAGCAGGTTCTTTCAGATCCTGCCATCGTATACTGGTATGCGGTAGCCGGACTCTGATCGGTTTTGCCTTTCCCTTAGATGCATTATGAGAGATAAAATGGGAAGCACAAGACATGCCTTATCCGTGCCCTTTCAGGCAATAGAGAAGGCTTCAGCACCAGGGCTGTTGCATGGCCGTAAGCGAGTCAACGGCTACCAGTTTGGAAACCAAAAAGCGCCATGTCACATGATATGCCTTTCGATAAATAAAGGCCAAAAACACCAGTTGTTACAACAGCTTCCATTTACCCAGCATTACCTGCACGTTATCTTGCCGTACCACGGCGGACTCGTTCCTCATGCCCCACACACCAATTTTCGCAAATGTCGATTGGAATGACGGAGGCGCCACACTGGTGTCCGAGGTGTATATCAATTGCCGTATGCGTTGCATGGCCGTTATAGCACAGGGCGTAGGCAGCCCTACCGTACCATGGTTTCCGCACGAAGGCGCAGGAAGCAGTTCGAATACCCTCCAGGCCCCCATGGAACCTGTGGCGCAGGTAGTTGAAGTCAACACTGCTAACTGAAACACCGTGCTAGACTAGTCAGTGTGTTGCGGACTCGAAATGGGTTAACTGGCGGAAGGGTTTCACCTTGCTTCCGGCCCCCATATTCCTACCATATACACAAGGCACGAACCGATACTTGCTTTGCAAGTGCTCCATGTGCTAACGGACCTTAGGGAGCAAAGCCGCGGCCCACCACCACCCTGTCACAACTGCTGCTGCACTTCTCTAACAACGACACGGTGACACAGCTCCCGCACAACGCTTAATGCCACTGAACCAACGGAGAACGGACTCAACGGAAGCTCCGCTGAGCCTAGTTTTCCAGCGACCCTAACCGCCAACTGACGCGCGGGATACCTATTCAACCGCTACCTCACGCAAGACATGCATAGTTGTTGCAAACATTACGGCGGGCAACACTTGTGTTTCTATTGCCAGGATCACCGCAGTCTTCCATGGATGCTTCCATACTCCAAGATAACCGCTCAAGAAAATGCGACGTCTCCACGGCTGACCAGGACACAAGCAACCAATATCCCGCATCAACATAGGACGAAACCTTCTTATCCTCGTACCTCACGCGCAGTCCAGTTAACCTTTGCTTGCATGGCTGCTGCATCACCGTTTGCACCGTTCGCAAGCCATTAACACAGTGAAGGCATGAGATGCAGTACCGTGCAGGTCCAAGATTCTCCCAAAACAACAAATGCGCCGAACAGAATTACCACCATGAAACACAACCGTCGAAGCAGCAACTGCGCTGTCTGTTTCAGCAACATTATAACGAAACCGATGCCTCATTCGGCTGCATAGATTCAACAAATCGGACCTGGATGTCAACATATGCCCACCACATCTCTGATTAGCTACGAAGTGTACTCCCCTCTGTACACACTGACGTCATCGAGTAGGGGCAATGCGCATGAATAGTTAGGAATGCTACCGAGCTCTACAGGCTAAAGGGAAAAGGGCGCGAGAAAGAAAGATGTTGTTAACTATAGTCGTACGACACGTCATGACATTATGATTAGCACACTATATGTCGGATATGTGCCGTAAAACAGCAATCTCCTTTAAGCCCCCTGCAGGAACCGTGGCCGCCACCGCCGCTCCTGCCCCGCCAATACCGCGAGTATCGAACATTACTCTCTCATGATGCCCCCGCTGTTATCAACATGGCCGTGCTGCCGCTGCTGCTGCGGCAGTTGGCTGGCGGTGCTACCAGTGCTGATGCTACCACTGCTGGTCCCCTGCTCGCCCCGCGGGCTTAGAATCAGGTCCGGGTGCATCTCAGTTGCGGAGATGGCGGTAGTGCACGCTAGTAAGGTCACCGCGTCGCCTTAGAAAGATATTAGCGACTTGTCCACGACACTCCCCACCTCGCACACCTCCACACTGACCGCCGCCTCCGCCTCCGCGGTCTCTGCCTTCGCTGTCGCCTCTGCTGCTGCAGACAGCCCCTCCCCAACCCTAACAGCGCTACCGGTGGGTGAGGAGGGCGTCTCCGTCGCCGTCTCAACTGGAGGGGTAGCCAGCAGTGCTGGGTTCTCTGCCTCTGCTGCCGTCATCTCCACTGCTAGCTTGTATGCGCTCTGGGATGAGAAATAGGTACGCAGGAGGCCACCGATGACTCGAAAGACGGGCATGAGCTGAAGGGAGGCGAGCGGGAAGAGGAGGAGGAACAATGAGCACTAGGGTTTGGGTTGGCAGTTGAAACGCCCGCTCTGAGACGGTGCGGGGTGCGGAGACATGGCTTAGTCAAGAAACAGAAAAGCAACAGCTGAAGCGGGTTTGGAGACAGCGGCAGGGCACGGCGCCATCACTTTGCTATCCACCAATGGAATCCATCCGAGATGCAACCAGCTAGGCTATTAGAGACGAACACCACAGCAGACTGGATTTGATAAACCTAACGCTGTTGTGGGCTGGAACCTCCACTGTGGCAACCAAACCGGTTCCAATCCACTGTAGCGTTCGGTATGTCAGAAGCCGCGGATCCGTTTATAGCTGGGTGTTTATGTCTAGCCTAGCTGGTTGTATTAAGGATCAGGCATGTTTGCACTAAACTGGAAAACCGTTCGCGCACCTTGAGCGCCGCCCACACGCTAAACATGGTAACATTGCCGCTCGCCGCCAGCCACGACATCAAGCCGTACTGTACGACAGCTGCGGATACCTGTACGGCAGAAAAGTAGTTGGACTGCTTAGCCGCCAGCAGCGAGCCGTCTAGGATGGAGGCGGCGGCGTCGAGCGGGAAGAGCAGACAGATCATGGGCAGCACCGTCATAACCTGTTGCGGGGAATGGACGGGCAGGTTGCTCTATTGTTAATGGGGCGGGGCCTCACAAGGCTCCCCATTCAAACCAGCCATTGCGTGCGGGCTCACCGGGACTGTATATATGACTGGCAATGACACGTAAGCTGTTGAGCCAGAACAAACCATTAGCATGCCTACATGCCCGCCAGCTGGCAACAGGGACACCAGCAGCGACCTCCGCATCCGCCAACCAAGTGCACCCCCACACGCCCCCTCCTCACCAGCGCCACCACCGCCGTGTCCCTCGTGAACACCGCGATGAGGGCGGGGTGCAGCAGCCACACCACCGCACCCGCACACCCGCCCACAAAGGTGCCCAGCACCAGCAGACGACGGAGCAGCAGCGCCGCGGTGCGAACGTCCTGAGGCCGTGGTGCGGCAGGTGAGGAGTCGGGGTGAGTATCGGTACGACGTGCATGCAGGAAAGACAATGAGGAGGATTAAGCGAAGAAGGGCCTCCAAGCTAACCCTTGACATACAAGCGGCAGCGTGAAACACGCGCCGCAATATTTTCACACGATTTCCATTGGTGGACCATGGATCATGCCAAACAGCCCCGTTCTCGCCCCAAAGCCCCAGAGCAGGTCCCGAAAGGTCCCCTAGTATGTCCCTAACCTCCTTCACATCCAGCAGCTACCCGCCCTTACCTCCTTGCCCAGGTAGGACGCGCAGAGGGACTGTGTGGCCACGTTTAGGCATTCGAAGAATTGGATGGTGAGCATCCAGAGCTGGAAGCAAGGGGTTTGGGGAACGGAGGGGTAGGGTTTCTGCACCGCGGAGCGTTGGGAGGGGCACTGATCGACGCGACTCATTCGCTTGCGTTCACCTTTACCGCATCCACCTAGTCCTTGTCCTTTTCTCTGTGCACAGCACGTGTTACGTCGCTAGCGTCCATGGGCAGTCTCATGCCCGTGGGACTAAAACAGCAAAGAACAGGTAGTAAGCTGCCTCGCTCCCAACCCGTTTCAGCCTACCTGCCGTACCACCTCGAAAGACGCCTGGTAGGCAGCCCCTAGTCGGGTTATCATGGTGGAGGCGTACATCACCGTGCCTGGAGGCGTGTACGACACATCAGGGAGGACAGGAGGAGGCGAAAGGAGTTGACGAAAAAACGACGACATACGGCGGTATCCAAAGTCTGATTCCGTTAACGAATGACAAACCGCCGCTTGTGTGCGTCTCGGACGCATGCAAGTTCCTCCTCACTTAAATCCCATGCGAGCCCAAATGAAATAGCAATCTGCGCAACAACAAATCAGGCTGCAAGCCCGTACATGCGCCCGCCCCTCATCCCAAGTCCATGCGTGCACAGCCACCCGACCCACCAAACCAGGTCCTATTTTCACCCACCAAATGATATGACATTGCGCATGGCCAGCACGACCCCCAGCTGCAGGCTCGGCAGTACCTCCCGCAGCGGCGGCGGTGTCAGCAGGTCGCGCAGCCGCAGTCGGCCGCCCGCTGCCAGGGCCGCCAGCAGCAGCACCGCGGAGACCAGCTGTCCGCCGGCGGTAGCCGCAGCGGCACCCAACACACCCAGATTGAGAACTGCAGGGAGCCGGGGGTCAAAGAACCGGGGGATGGAGAAGGGACACGAGCTAAGCGGTGGGGATAGGGTGGGAATATAAGAAAGAAAAGCGGTGGGGAAAGACGGGTTGGTTATCAGGAAAAAGAGGAGGTGCGGAGAGACAGAGGGAAGGGACTTACAGCAATGGGGATGATGAGGGGGACTGGAGGAGGGAGGAGGATCAGCACGTCTAGGTTGGGAGGGCTCGGGAGGGGTCACAGGGGGGGCACGGGGCTGACAGCCATCGGGGTGCAAGGACAGGTTTTGGGGAGCTAGGTAGAATAGCTTAGGCAGAAGGTTTGAAGACGGTCAAGAGAACGGGGAAGGGGTTAGCAGTGGAGGTGCTGATGAGGAGGGAGAGGGCTACCGTATACGCGCGCATGCTCACCATACAAGAAGAGCATGTTGAGGCCCAGACTAGCGGCTGCTGACACCGCTGCCCCCGCCAGCGGAGTGCGTGTGTCCTTGAAACCGCGGAATACACCGGTGGCCGCGTAGCCTAGCAGCGCTGCCACGATACCCAGGGAGCGAACCTGGGAAAAAAGAATTCCAATGTGTGGTGTGATAGTGGTACAACCTGGGAACCTGGGAAAGGAGACGAGGACGGCGGGACGAGGGTTGGGGTTGCGGAGGAAGTGGAGGAAGGAGGGGAGGTGCGGGACGAGGAGGGAGGAACAGCATGCCTTGCAACATGCTTGCCGTACACGCAGTCACGCACGTCGTACCCGCATGTAGTCGGTAGTGTAGGCTGCAACGGCGGGCTCTGCCGGGTGGAGAGCTGTAGGCGGTGTTGAGATTAGGGGACGGGAGGTACCACGGGAGACAGAAGGGTGAGGTTTATTGTGAGCAATTCCGACTCAACACGCGGGTAACTAGAGGACAAAGGCAGAATGGTCGAAAACAACATATGGTGGAGGCACGAAAGGGCGGGGCAGGTGAGAGCATCTGCTGTACGACAGTATGAGTGTAGGTGCTGTGGTAAGGTGCTTGGAAGGAATGCTGGGTTGGAAACAATGCCAAAATCCGAGCACAGGCATTTGGCAACCCAACTAGATTCTACTTCCACGCGATATTATTGCCTATCCTTGGCAGCGTGCACTTCCCGGAACTGCACGTTTCGGCAACGGTCCCTAGCGCAGCAACCTGCTGTGGCGTCCTACCTTCCACAATGGAACCGGCCCCGAGGTACAGAGCAGCCGCACTCACAACCCCGCAAACGCCTGCAACCCAGATGGTCCTGGCAGCGATACGTGACACCTGCGACGCCAAAGTTTGATGACAATCCGGTTCAGCGTGTATGGTAAAAGCGGAGAATATCCGTACAGATTAAAAATCTTACTCTACAGTGTACGGCAGCAGGAGATTTCGCTAATATGCCAACGCGCCGTGCTCGGCCTTGCTGCACGTAACATTATTACGAATGACGACAATGTTCTCACCTTCTCGTCGTCGTTCTTGCCCACGGCTGTGGCGATTTCGGGTCCCGTGAGAAGGTACAGGAAGGAGAAGAGGTAGGTCACGAAGGACACTGCTAGGCCGCCTAGCGACACAGCGCCCAGCTGCTGCGTGCCCAGGTGCCCCACCATGCCTGGGATGATGAGGTGGGGTTGGGGTTGCAATGCTACTTGTTAAAGGTGCAACGCCAAGTGCCAACGCGACGGTGCTCCCAGCAGCTACAATTTTGCTAGTGGTAGAGGGCCTGAATGTTATGCACACAGCGGGCATTATACTCGCGGCGTAGATGAAACCGCAGTGCCGTTTGGGATAGGGCAGACCCATGCCATCGGGACTGCCCCCAAGCACACCTGCGTTTATAGCGTTCAAAACAGGCTCTAGCAGCATCGTAACGAGGGCTGGGAACGCGACGTGCCATATTTCCTTGTCGTGAGGCGAAACGAACAGCTCCTCTGCACGTCGCCGGAGCCATGCGTGCGTACGCAAGCTTGGACCCCTCAAGGTGGCAGGTCGCTTCCGTGTAGCCCGCGGAGACCCTTGCGAACAGGTAGCAGGAACTATAGTATAAGGCTTATTAGTTATGGTCCACTAAGGAAAGACCATTGAGAAGCTAGCACGCCATACAGAGTCCTTGCCTTGTGCACTCCTCTTCATTGGTGAGTCGCTGGGCTGCTTTCATATATGAAATCTAGTCGCTGAAGGACCCCGGGGCTAGGCCTTCGCTTTCCTATCGACACCTGAGATATGAGTGGATGCAACGTATGTATACAAAGTATAACGCCTTCGATAAGGAACGCACGGAGAACTTCATATTACCCGTAAGGTCTTGTTGCTGCTTATCCCTCGTGTCGTCCGCATTACGCTTACGCATCGCGCTGTCCAACCGTCGACGTCGTTGAGCTCACCCTCACCTCGTCTGCAGTCCAGCACTGATGTCCTTCATAGTTAAGGCATGTACAGGTACCTCCAAAACACAAGCACGTACAGGCACTTGCCATGCAAATTGCTGCCCTCCATGCGCGCGAGCGCAAAGCATAGTACAATCAAGGCAAAGCTGTACCCGTATCAACCGTATCCGTAAGAACCAGGGGTGTATAGCGGTCGTAGCGATTAAAGGTAATGCCTTACAGTCGTGGTGCGCACACCCTCCTCTACGTTATCTCCCATCCTCCGACACTGACGCTCCTTACTTCAATTCTAGGAAGGTACCAATCTGGGGGGCTGCTGACCTTAGGCTGAAGCTGGATGAAGCCCCGGCCCGCAACTACCCTGCCACCACAGCTGCTGCACCGTTAGTGACACACCTCTCTTGTGAAAGAGCTCATTCGGCATCATGCAAAAAAACATGAATAGCCACCCGCGAACCACCGCATCAAATCCCTACTGTCTATTAACTGCATGCTGCTTACTACCCCCTGCCCCTTTTCCAAATCCCCGCCCGACGACACAGGCCCCATGGGAATAACCTCCCACGAGGAAAAAACAGTACTGCACATGAAGTAATAGTACCGATATAACCTAACGCGGTTTGTCCTTGTCGTGCTGCGACACCACTGGCACAATAAACCTAGCAGTAGCCGCCACCACCTGTCGACTCCCTTGACCCCCGCTCCGCCGCCAAGACAATCGAGAGCTTCAGCGCCCGCTGCGCCGCCATGCAAACCTGCTTGTATCCGCATACATCCCACTACCAATAAACATACCGCAGCCGAAAAAGTTCAGCACATCCGCAAGCGTCTGTAGCGCATGGGGACGCATCGTACGACCCCGCAAACGAACCCGTAACCCTCACTCCACCGCATGCTCATGGGCCCTGTCCGCACGGGTGTTCAATGACTCCGCCTCCCCTACCTCCCTCCCCCTCCGCGCCTTGGCTCCAGCCTGCTCCTAGCAACCGAGTAATAGCCATCCGTCTGGCAGCAGCCCTTTTGGGCCTTCTACTCGTCTACTCGGGTACGTTACCGGCCATGAAGCCCTGGTAGCTGGCTTGTTGCTTGGCGTTGAAGGTCGACAACACCGAGGAGATCGCTTCCGCCGGCACCGCGCTCTGCAACCGCAGCAGCAGTTGCGCCATGCGCAGACCCACGGGTCCGGACACGTACGACTTGCCGCCTCCCAGCACCTCTGCAAACACCGAGGCAACCTTGGCGGCGTGCGGCACGATGCGCGGGTCCTGCGCCTCACACATCTGCACCAGCTGCTCGTGCATGGCCTGGGGAAGCGGGAGGGAGGGGCAGGGGTCAGGGGGCAAACAGGAGAGAGGTTGCTCAGAGATTTAGCAATCTCGGTATCTCGGTACGCGTCAGCTCAGCAACTAGTCATATGCCGCTGGCATAGCAAAGCCCTCCCCTTTCCCCTTTGAGACAGTCCGGTGGTGTCTGGGTTGGGTTTCAAACACTGAGGACTCCAGTTTAATCCTCCACAATATAACCCTCTTCCACAACCCCCCTCCTCCTCCTCACCGTCGCCTCCACCAGGTCAACCTTGAGCGGCAAGTTGCCCACCCACAGCGCCGCCAGAGCCGCGCCTCCGTCCGCCCCCAGCGCCTCCCCGTGGTGCGCCAGGATGCGACCCAGCGCTGACACCGCATTGTCAGTGGCCATGTCGTTATCCTCGTTCCTGTGTTGCAGGGCAGGACGAGGGGCGAGACAAGGGGGTGGTGAAATGGGGCAGGAAAAGCCCTAATTGCGCTGATCACATACGCATATAGCTGCACACGAACTCAAAAGCAGGAGGCGCAAATGTGGACTTGATCCATTCCTTCCCTTCCTTCCCAGCTGCTACAGTACCGGTACTCACTTGGCGTCTGGCTGTCGAACGATGTTTGCGAGGAGCTCCGCAATGGCAGCTGCATGCGGCCGGAAGGCCTCCACCGGCCCCTTGGCAGCCATCACGCCCAGCCCGTACACCGCGCATTGCCGCAGGTCAGCGTGGTCGGTGCAGCGAGCAGACTCCAGCAGCATGGGCAGCACCTGCGGAAAGGCATACGTGGAGAGCAGAAAGTGAAGACGACAATGGCGGTCAGGCCAGATCAGAGTACTGCATCCTTTACTGCGCCCTGTAAGCTTTGTGACCCACAAGCCCAACAATGCACCAGTGCACCGCAAATTAGAACTCAAACTCACATTGTTGAAGTGCTTGATCATGCCGGCGGGGGAGTTCTCCAGCAGGTCGTCCACCAAGCAGATGGCGATACGGCGCTCCTCCGAGCTCCGGCTCTTGTCCTGAAGGGGAGCAAGGAAACGCAAGAAACAAGGAGGGCAAGCAAGCGGTTGGAAGAGAGCTTCGGAGGCCGGTGGGTCCAACGTTCGTTTGTCTTGTACGCGGTGGGTCCCAAAACCAATTGTTCGCAGCCTGTCGTAGCCTCACACAGTTTCACGGGACCCCTGTGGTGCGTGCAGCCCAGGGTAGGCCAAGGGGTTGAATGGGCGCACGCATGGACGCATCCAGTGGCAAGCAATGACCCATGAAGCTGATTCAACCAGCGCCCTTCCTTCCATCGTCTGTTCATTCCGCCCTCACCGTGAGCATGGCTCCGTATCGCGTCACCAGCAGCGACTCCACCAGCGGCAAAACGTCGTCACCAAACTTCTTCAGGAAGGCGCCCACGGCCGTGGAAACCTGGGGGATGGGTAAGGGATGTTAAGGACGTAAGTGTGGAGTTATACGCTTGCGTTAGGGTGGGTTTATTCTTCCCATCATGCTTGATAACGGGAACCCCCCACCACCAACCTCCCTCCAACTTCCGTTAAGACACATTCACACCGCATATTCGCGTTTCACTCCTAGTCGCGGCCAGACCTGTCTACACCCACCCCCTCCCACCCCACCTGGTCAAACAGCTCCTCCTCCAGCTCGTTCTCCGCCTCAATCGCCTCCGCCTCCTCAGCGTCAAAGTCCTCGGTGGCGCGGCGGGACACACGCTCGGCGCGCCGCTTGTCAGCCTGGCAGGGGAGGGGGAGTGAAGCGGTATAGCAGGAATGGGAGTGAGGCGGTATAGCAGGGGGATGGAGAGGCATGCGGATAGGGCCGCTTCTCGCAGGTCCATTGCTGGTAGAGGAATAACACAAATGTGCAACTTGGAACCATCCGAGATGATACCGGTACACCGGGGGAGCGCTGCCGTACCTTTTCAAGCACGACATCAAACACCTTGAAAGCCGCCTGGATGGCATCAGCTGGCAGCAGAGCCTTGTCCACCTGAGACAGGAAACACAAAGCGAGATGGCGGCAACAACAAAGCAAGATGGTGTTAAGCTAATAACAACCCTAGATAGAACCCGAACAGCAAACGGCAGACATGCAGGGTCGCAATTAAAGAGTTGCACCCTTAGTCCATTCATCCATCGGCACGATGTAAAGCCCATGGCAGGAAACCCTCTAGCTCATGGACCCGCCATAACCAGCAACACGCATACACCACTCCGTCACCTCCCTACTGTGTTCACTCACCATCTCAACAATTTCCGAAATGGCGTCCAGCTGCACCGCCTGGATGTCACCCTCCGGCTCCTGTTGGGCAACATGCGGGGTGGGGGGGAGGGGTTTGCAGCGGGTTTGCGCCTCCCTCCCTTCCGTATCCCCATTGTTTTGCCCCAACCTGTGGTTTCCTATGGTTCAGTATGGCCCTTGTCTCCCTTTGTTTCCTCTTTACACCCCTCCGTACCTTGCGCAGCGCCTCCAGCAGCGGCCCCCACGCAGCCCGCAGGAACTCCCCGGTGGCGGCCGGCGAGGCGCCCGGCACCCCCCGCTCAGCAGCCGCGATGCAGCACCGCAGCAGGCTAGGCAGCAGCGCGGCAGCGGACCGCCGGATCTGGAGGCGGCATGACAGACGAAGTGGGAAACCGGGGGAGTGAGAAGGGCAAGGTGCTTGACGCGAAAGAAGATAGCGAGAGAGGCAAGCCTGGAGGCTGTCGGATACGGATGTGAGAACCAATGGAATACCGATAGTTGTTCTAAGAGGCCCCGCCGCCTCCCTTCCTCCCCACACTCGCGGGCAGGGTCCTCAACCCACCTCCTCATTGAGGTAGAACTTGATGAGCGGCGACTGCCCCTCAACTCCGTCCAGCACCAGCTTCAGCACCTGTCGGGGAGGGTTGGGGTTGGGAGGGTGGGGTTCAGAGGGCAGTTTGGGTATAGCCCAGTTTGTAAATTAGTTAGTACCCTGGTTGGTAGGGCCCACATGACACAGGGACAGCTCTTCCATTCTGGACGCGTTACGGTTGACAGTTACGGTTGACAGTTACGGTTGTCTCCCCTTGCGACACGTCCGGAGCCCCCGCGGACTTCCACGCCCCCGGCCCCGCCCCCTTCAGAGCAGCCTCCGGAACCACCGCGTCACGCCGGGCCCAACCCAACCCTGCCCCCTCGTGCCCCTCCATGCTGCTCACCGGTCCCACGTAGGCCCAGAAGCCCTCCTTGAGCTCCTCCGCATAGCAGCTGAGCATGTTGACAGCGGTGGCCTTCTCCTGAGGGGGGAGGGACGACAGGAGAGAGCGGAGGGGTGGCAGGGGGGAAAATTATATAAGAAATGCAAACAAGGGGGGGTGGCGATTGAGGTTGGCATGGGTGCCGTACTATGGCCTTACTACAGAAGCACTTGTGGAAAGGCACTCCTCCTTTTGCAACCCAAGGTAAAGCCCTGTCACATAGCTCGTTAGTTGCCTCGTCGGTTTCCTTAAACTTATCCCCCGTCTGCGGCCCCCCCCCCGGTCAGTTGCTCCCTCTTTACCCCCCCCCCACCTCCAGGATGCTAGAGCGGTACATGAGGCACTTATCGCCCATGGGAATGGCCTCCATGTCATCCGGCAGGTCGTCCGCATCCAAGTCGTCCTCGTCAACAACCTGGAGTGGGGGGTGAGGGGGGGGGAGCGGTGAAGTTAGAGGAGGGTTGAGGAGGTTAGGAATGGGGTACCATTGGGGTTGGGAGGCCCTTTGGAGTGGGGGTGTTTTCAACCTGTCCACAAGCATGACGCTGGAAAAAGAAAAGAGGGGTTGAGGATGGAGGTGAGGCATGCTTTGACAAAGTACCCCACCATTCTGGGCAACCTTTCCCTTTCCTGGACCCATTTCTCCACGCCACCGACCCATGGGTCGATCCCTCCCCTTCCTCGCAGCACCCCGTCCCCCCGCACAAGCCGCACCAGGTACCACCCACCCACCTGCACATCTGGGTCGGCTGATGCCGAGTTGAGCAGCGAGGGCAGCACCAGGGGCAGGTACTCCATGAACTCGGAACCCAGGCACTTGCACAGCCGGGCGCCAGCCTGCAGCATGTACGACGCCAGCGGGTCGTCGGCCTCCATCCCCGCCGCCTGCACCTGCTGCATGTAGCCCATCACGTTGCGTGCATCCGCCCGGAACCGGTCCTTGCCCACAGCCATGCCCACCAGGCTGATGCACTCCAGCGCCTTGGCGCGCATCAGCCGCAGCTCCTTGGCGTTGGCGGTGGTGAGGATTTGCGTGAGCAGCGGCATCACGGTGTCGTAGTACTTGTTGAAGAGCTCCTGGGGGGGGGGTTCAAAGATGCACCAGAACCACAGGTAGGGAGTGGTGAGTGGGAATGGAGGTGGAGGGTGTAGGTTGAGAGGAGGTGCAAGGGTTGGAAAACCGTGCGGGATAGAAGGGCCTGGGTGTCAAAGATGTGCCAGAACTACAGGTGGGGAGGGTGAAGGAAAGGGGGGAGGGTGGGGGGGAGTGGAGGTGGAGAGTGGATGCGGTGGGGGTGGAGAGGAGACGGAAGGTGGGTGGAGGCAAAGGCGAGGATGGGGATGGCAAGGAAAGGGAGTGGGCTTGGTAGGATAGGGCCTCTGACCTATGCAACATTGTGACCTTGTTCGTCCTCTCCTCCGATCCTCCCGGCCCCAACCCTACGAGATATTACACTCCCGCGTCCTGCGCCTCAGCCTGCGCCCCCCAACAAGCCCCCCCCCTACCTGGCTGCTATCCGCCACCGACGCCAGCGCCGTGAGCGCCCCCTCCTGCACCAGCTTGGCTCCGTGCTGCAGCAGGTTGAGCAGCTTGAGGATGAGGGAGTCCAGGTAGGGCGGCAGCACCTCGCTCTCCACACCCTCGCTGAAGTTGACAATGGCGGCGCAGGCGTGGGCCTGGACGGGAGGAATGGGGGGGGTGAGGGGGGGGGGAGGTGGGAGAGGAGGAATGGGAAGGCAGAGGAGGCGTAAGTGGCGGAACTTGAGGAGGGGTGGAAAAACTGTGGGTGTCATGCGGGTCACTCTTTCTCAATCGAGCTGGTGCAAAGCCAACGCTCGACCGTGAAAAACACAATGGCATATGCCATGCTTCCATCCCGGGCGGACCGGCATTTGGCAACACCCCTGCCAGCCCAAGAGCTCCCCCCCCCCCACACACGCAATCACAGTACGTTACGACTTGCGGCCAGTTTCTTTAACAAACACGCACTCCCACCTGCACACGCGGGCTGCTAAAGTTCTCCATGATGGCCATCAGCGCCGGCAGGATGGTGGCGTGGTGCTTGGCCTGCGGGGGAAGGGGGCGCAACAGGAATGTGGGTTTGGGGAGGTGAACAGAGAGGCACCCTCCTCGACACATTCAGCCCCAAGCCCTTTTCCCCCGGCAGCATTCTTTGTCCCCCTTCCCCCCCACCTGCAGCTCCGGGCCCAGGTCGGTGCACATCTGCCCCAGCGCCTGGCATGCCGCCCAGCGCACGTGCGGCTCGGAGTCGTTCAGCCCCATCACACACATGCGGGCAAGCTGCTCCAGGTAGGAGGCGGAGGACATAATCTGCGGGGGAAAGGAGGAATCAACATCATGGTAACAACACCAGGAAAACAACAGGCTTCTCTTATGACGGTTTTTGTTTATTTAACCGTGGGTTGGTTCCATACCCGAGCGGCCAGCCGTAATACAACAGAACCCCTTAGGGCAGCATTCACCGCCCCACGCACGCCATGCGCCCATTGCCATCACGGCCGCCTCCCTTCTGGCACCCCCCGCCTCCCCCCCCCGCCCCGCCCTCCGCCACCCCTCACCTTGGTGCATCCCTCCGCAATCTGCGCCAGGCAGATAAACACAGCCGCGCGCTTCTGCCAGCTGGCATCCGTGATCCAACTGCCCAGCAGCGGCGCGGCGGCATCCGACACCGCCTTGCCGCCCAGACTGAGCGCCAGGCGGTCCAGGTACTCCTGCCCCGAGTCGTACAGCTCGCCCGCACCCGCGTCCTCGTTGGAGTCGTCCGCGGCGTTGTGCCAGGCGGGGTCGTCCTGCATGCATAAGGAGGACGGGGGGGTCAGGGATGTACCGGTTCCAAAACCACAGGTTAGGGCAATGCAATGGTGATAGGAATGGGGCCAGGACGACACATGTGTAGTGTTAAGTTTGGCGGAATCCTCGCTAGTTGGAATCCCTCATGCCAGCTCTCGCGTGACGGTAAGCAACGTCAGGGCATTCTTCCATGCAATCTGCGCTGAGAGCCACGCAACGCTTACACAGAGCCGCAATGTGCACATCCCCAAGGCTGCCCCTCCCCCTCTTGTCCCGCTCACCACAATATCCAGCAGGAATCCCATCACCAGCTCAAACAGGCTACGTGCCAGATTAGGCACCTTGCGCATCATGCCGGGGCAATGCTCCCTGGCCTCGCACAGCGACACCAGGAACTCCACCGCCAGCTGCCGCGTGTTTGCATCCAGGTTGTCCCCCGCACCCGCCACACGCATCATGGCGTCCACCAGGGCAATCAGGTGCGGGCGCAGGAAGCGAGCAGAGGACTCGGCGAGCTGTGGGGGAGAGAGGAGGGAGGAGGGAGGGAGGGAGGTTGTTGGTGGTGGTTAAGGTGTGTGGATACGGCGTACCAAAGGGTTTGATAGCGGGGCAGAGGGCTAGAGTTCGATAGGGGGCTCCTTTTGCTGTGTCCCCAAGGGGCGTGCTGCTCCTGCTACGCCCTGTCTGTACTGCTTCCTGCCACTTATTCACACCTTGTGGTGGCCGCGCCACCCCTGGACTCCATCTAGCCCCATGGGGCTCGACCCAAAACAGAGAACCCAAGCCTTCATACCACGACAGGCCGCTCGTCAACCGGCGACGCCTCTCCTTTCGCCAGTACCGTCCCAACGCACCCCAGCGCACAACCACTACCGTCCCCAAGGCCCCACCCACCCCACCACCACCACCAGCTCGTAATTTGCCTCGTAAGTTTCCTTATTTTTTACCCCCACCCACCCCCCGCTACCACTCCAGCAAGCCCCCACCCACCGAGATGAACATCTCCAGCACGTTGCGCGCCTCCTCCTCGTCCCCGCTGCTGAGCAGCTGCCCCAACACCGCCAGCATGGGCTGCACGAGGGGCGACATCATCTGCCGGCTGCCGTTGTCCTCGTAGGCCTGGGGAGGAGGAGGAGCAGCAGCGGGGGAGGCGGTGGTGGTGTTGAGGGGAGATTGTGATGAGAAGAGTGAGGAGAGGCGTTTCTTTCACGGGATTACTGCGGAGTAAGGCAGGAGCTTTGTCCTTGAAGCTCTTGGGGTAGCGTTACTGTGCCTCGTGTTATGTGGTTTAACATGTCCCATGACGGCATTCAAAATTAGTCGGCAACCTCTCCTTTTTGTCAACCCCTTCCCCCCTTCCCTCACCTCGATGAACGCTGTGGCTGCATTGGCTGCGGCCACCGTCACGTCCTTGTTGCCGCACGCCAGGAACCGCACCAACATGTTGACAATGTCCTGCGAGCGGGTCAGCGGGAGGAGAGGGTCAGCTAGATGTTGGTTGCCCGGTAGCGGGTAGTCGCTACCCCACCGGCAAAGGCCGTCTAAACCCTGTTGTCACCCATCCGGTGCTACCCACCCACCCAAAACCTCGCCCTTGACCCCTCTCGCTGATCCCGCACCACCGCCATTAACCGCTCTCCTACCTCCATCCTCTCCCTCCCCCCTCCCTTCTCATTCAACACATTGGGTATTCCTCGCTTCCCCCTCTTCCCCCTCCCACCCCCCCCACCTGCAGCTGCGCCTTGAGGTGCTCCGCCAGGTAGGACGCCACGTCACCAAGCACACTCAGGCCGTTGGCAATCTGCGAGTGTGTGCGGAATGGAGGAGAGGGACGAGAGGAAGGGGCAAGGTCAGAGGTAGGGTAAGAACATGGCCGTAAAGCTACATGCAGCAGCTGCAGCGGAATTCCGGCAAAACGGGGTCAGGGTCCACGTTACCAGGCCGGCTTAAAGAGTCGGTCCAGGCTCACGACAGGCAGGCCGCCTACCGGTATTCAGCACGACTGTCCCTCCCCTTTCCAACGGGATCGGCCGGCTCACATGTTGCAAGCCATGGTGACGCCTAATCATACGGTTTTATCCCTCTTCCCCCTTTGTTGCCTCTCCTTTATCCCTTTCGTTGCTTCCCCTTAATCACCTCCTGCCTCACCCATCCACCACCCGCCCACCCGCCCACCTGCGGCTGCTGGTTGCTGTTGAGCATGGTCAGCAGAGTGGGCATCAGCTCAGTCCAGCCGGACTTGCTGTAGATGAGGTTGGCCAGGTCCGACACGGCGGCGCAAACCTGTGAGCAGGGGGAAGGCAGTGGGGGCGGGAAGGTACGAGGATGGGGACTCGGGAAAGTGGCTGAAGAAGCTATCCATGCATACGGTATGCCGGAGGCCCTCGCAGCGCTGGTTCCTCAGCTGACCCACATCAGGAATACTTGCAATCATCGTAAATCATACCGTAAAGCGTGACCTGATGTGACACCCAGAGTGCGTAACGTTGTAAAGTACAGCACATGGCTGCTTTGGCGTGCAACGGTAAGAAGCGATCAACCCCCTCCCATGGCTCCCCAACCTGTGTGCTCCCCTCTACTACTCCTAGCAATGTCCAGTCACCTAGCAAGGCCCAGTCGCTTAATACCCGTAAGGCCCAGCAAAACCCGAGGGCCCAGTCACCTTGCTGGTGACATTGCGGTCGGGCTCCTGCACGAGAGCCTCCAGCAGGGCCTGCTTGGTGACGGCCTGTGATGTGATGAAAAAGGTGGTGCCGCGGGAGGCACAGAGGGGTGTTACACTTTGCACGCTGCCAGGTGCTAGTTGTTGCTAGGGAGAGTCGTGAGGGGATCTGGGTCGCGACAGGACCGCCTCTCGGTGCATGGATTTAGATCCCCCGGTAGCGGCGGAGTCCATCAAGTCAGCTGTCGTGCGTAACCCGCAACTAGCAGGTAAGGCAACGACCAACTTGGGCGAGATGCAGAAATTCTTATAGGATAATGTCGCGAGATTTAGAGTTATAGTCGATACTTCGCATCCACAGTCAGCGCAGGGCGCTGAGCGTGTGTTTAGGGAAAGCCGCCAGACAATTGCGTTTGAAAAGCAAAAGGTATATGCTAAAACCCAGATGCCAACCTCATCTGTATCAATACTAACCTGGACGTGCTGGCTACACTTGTCCCAGAGCACCGGCGACTTCAGGTCTGTGTCCGAGCGATAGTAAATGACCTGCAGCCCCCAGGTGGCGGCGTCAGCAATATCGCGCCGGCTTACAACAATTGATCAGGAGTACTTAACACGGGAACCCGTGGGATTAAGTCACCAATTTGTAGACAAGCATCACCTTGCGTATCATTACGCTGCAGAACAAGCGCGCCTCAACAGCAGAGCATGTCCGCAACGTCTGCACCAGGCAGGTAATGCAGAGGTCTGGCTGCTCCTTCAAAGCGTCGAAAATTGCCTCGGCCGCCTTGCGTCGATCGTTGTCAGCATCCTGCAGCTGAGCTACCAGCTCCGCAAAGCTTGCTGGATTTGCGCCTATCGCAGCAACTGCACTAGCCGGGTCCATGGTGTTCAGCGGCACAGAGCACCTAAAGGGTTTTACGCGCGAAGATCAGCAGTATCTGCCGCTAAACACCTAACAGTCACCGTTTCCTATACTCCAGGTTGAGAGTAAGCCGGTACTTAGCCGGCATCAACGAAATTTTCCAGTCTGCACCACTGTAGAGCCGCCGCACGGGGGCTGTACGGAACTTGTAATACAAACCTTTTATCGCAGCCAACGCGGCTAGCTAGGCAGAGCTAAATATGCGTGCTAAAGCACTTTATAGTGTGCGACTGATAAGTATGCGGAAACTTGATTCGAAGTGGCATCGCTAACTGCCAGGCAGCAGTCCACAGACGCTAAAAGGGCTACGGGGCAAGGCAGAGAGGTCCTACCTTGCCAATCCAGCCAGAAAGGAGACGTCCAAAGGAGCTAGAGGGATGGCAGTTACAAGTATTGGGGTTAAGGCGTAGACAAGCAAGTGCTATAGCCTACAGGTGCAACAGTCCTATAAGAACGGCTGTCAACATGCCTTACCTACAGTGCGCCCACGCCAGGGCCGCCATTGTAGCCTTAACAGGCAAACGCCACAAACCAACACAGCCCTAAAATGCAACACCCTACATCGCTGGAAGTTCAATCCCGCGGAACTTAAGCAACAAACATCCGAGCACCGTGAGGCATACTCAGCAAGCCCCAATGCCCCAGCCTGGGAACTGTACAAGACCAATACTATACACGTCCTTGCGGTTGGGTCGGGTGGGGACAACTATGTACAATGCGGAATTACGATGCACGCAGATCGTACCTATCGTACACAGTGCTTCACAGCACATAAAACAGCAACACCTGCAGGACATCGATTTTGACAGCTGCGTCCAAGTACTTGCGCTGGCACCGGCACACCCTAACCTGCCTCTAATTCCCTGGACTGTTTCTTGCTCCATGCAGAAAACAGCGGCTGGCAACGCGCAACACTGGCAACACCGGCACGTCACACAACGTCGGCTGCTGCTGGAACACCCCCACACCCTAGCTACCATGCGCACAGTTGACTACCGGTATGTTCACCGCAGCACCTTTAGCAGCGGCATACTATGATACATGATGCGAACTACAATACACCCTAACCGGCAACACACAGCAGCACATTACCAACACATCACCAAGCTCCGCCTATACATCCCTCGCTCCACGCCAGTCCGCCGCGCAGTACGTGTTGACTTCAGGCAGCGACCCCCGAACCCGCACCCTCCCCCACTTCAGCAATGCCAGCACCAACAGCAGCAGCGGCAGCACCAACATCAGCACCAGCAGCAGCCACCCCCTTGTACACTTCCGTCCCCTCGCCGCTGCTGCTCCAGGGGCCGTACGGCTTGGCGTCCCGCAGCTCAAATGTCGTACGACCGTGGCGTTTGTGAGAGGGGTGCCGTACATCGCACACAATGGGCGCACCGTGCTTGGAGGGCTTGGGGGCGCAGTACCTGTTGAGTTCAGGGATTGGGGCGAGGGGGCGAGGGGACGATGAGGGGCGGGGCGCAGCACAGCAACACAGCGTGGCGAGGCGTAATGGTTTCCTCATTTTACCAATGAGGAACCAGACAGATGATGCCAACCTCCTCCTGATCACCTCCAGCTTTGAGGCTCCGCTTGGGGGCCACACCTCGGAATGGTGACCGGATGAGACGGTGGCGAATGCAAAGCGATTAACGCTCCTGTTCCCCGTACGTCACGGTACTACCGTAGCTTACCGCATGTCATGGGTGGGCGCGCGCAGGCGAACCAACACGGAGCCCCCCTCCCCGCGCCCGCCGCCACCACTCGGCCAGTCGCCGCCGCCGCCACTCGGCCAGTCGCCGCCACCGCCACTCGGCCAGTCGCCGCCGCCACCACTCGGCCAGTCCTCATCGTCGACTCCAGCTGACAAGCGGCCCCCACGCACCGCCTTCAGACCTGCAGCAGCAGCACCTGCTGTTGCGGCCGATTGCGCCATCTGACGCCGCTCCTTTGCCTCCTCCACCTCCACCTCCTCCTCCTCCCCCTGCCGTGGCCCTGCGTAGTCCCCTCCCTTCCCCGCCGCTCCCAGCATCTCCACCACCAGCGCCACCCCCTCCCCGCTGCGCATCTGGTCGCACACCAGCTGCCCCTCCGCCAGCCCCGCGGACAGCTCCGCATGCGGCCCGCCGGACACCACCCGGCAGAACCTGGGAGCAGGGAGCACAGGTTTCGGGGCGGGGGGGACGCCACGCAGTTCATCAGTTCAGTGAGTGCCACGAACCTGGGAGCAAGGAAGCGTCATCAACTGAATCCCACGAATGTGGGGCAGGGCTGGGTTGGGTAGGACGTTAGGGAGTATAGGGCAGTTCGACACACATATAAGTACAAGTACTCGTGGAAACGCCGGCGCTGGCGCAATATGTATGTAACTATGTATGCATGCTGGCTGGCATGTGTGTGCAGGCTCGTCAGCCCCGCAGCGACCCGCGGGTCGGTGTGCGGCCGCCTGGACACACCCACTTGCGTGTGTTTTGGTTCTTCAGGAAGACGCGGCCGCCCGAGTAGATGTCGGCGGTGGAGAAGTCCTCTCCCAGCAGCAGGAAGCCGGACTGGTTTGGGGGGAGTGTGTGGGATGGAAGGGTGTGGCGGATCACGGGAGGGGACGGGAGGTAGCGCTAAGCTACAATACGCCCGATCCCATGCATGCGCCCCTGCACATCGCCATGCAAAGCGGGCATGGGTTGAATACGAAGCAGCAGCAGGCAGCAGGCAGCAGGCAGCAGGCAGCAGGCAGCGAAGCTCATTACCTACCCTTACCGCCCACCCACTCTCTCCACTTACCATATCCCACCAAGACCCCGGACCGCCCTTTTCCACCCCATCGCCCTCCTCGCCAGTCCACATGCGCTCGCTAGACCCCTCACCACCACCGCTGCCACCGCCGCCTAGGGCAGCAGCGGCGGCAGCGCCTGCACCCTCGGCTGTCGTACGGCGATGCTGGCGACGGCAATGCTTGAGACCCGCAGCATCAGCCAAGCCGCGCAGCCAGGCTGCCGCCGCGGTCGGCCACCAGAGGGACTGCTGCTGCTGCTGTTGCTGCTGCTGTTGCTGCTGTAACACCTCCTTCTCCTCCGTCACCGCCGCAGCCGCTCCGTCTACAGGCGCCGCAGGATCGTCGGCTGCTGCTGTTGCTGCTGCGGTTGTCACCATCATACCACCATCAACGCTGTCCGCGGCATCAGCGGGGTTACGCCACCACCCCGAGTCGTCGTCATCGTCATCATCGTGTTCTGGGATGTCGGCGTTGCATTTGACTACCGCGTCCTTCAAATCACCACCACCGCCGCCGCCGCCGCCCGGATAGTGGCCGCCACCGCCGTCGCCGCGGCCGCTGCTGCTGCTGCCGCCTCGGCGGCCCAGGGACAGTGAGGCATCAACCGGGCCCCCACTAGAGGCTGAGGTGGAGGACAACAGGCCACTAGAGAGGAGGCGCTGTTCGCCCGGGAGGTTGCTGTCCCGTACAGATGGGATGTACGGCAGCCCGTACGGCGAGGATCCTGCCTTCGTATCGCATGCCGTGCCCAGGTGCGGTGAGATGAGGGTGACTGTGGCGCCTGTGCCGAAGGGGAGCTTGCCTGCGGTAGGATGTGTGTGTGTGTGTGTGTTGGAGGGGAAGGGGGGGGGAGGGTGGAAGTCGGGGTTGGGGCCGTGGTCGGGGGTGTGTAGGGGCCGGAGAGCCGGGATGGGCGGAGCTGGAGGGGCTGTACGGCGGTTTGCATTGCATGCCTACCCTTTGTGCCCTTGCCGTGCCCCTTTGTGACGGCGGTATCTCCTGCCAAGGCGGCAGGGAAGCAGGTGAGGGCGCCTGGGGCCGTGGGGAGGGCAAAGGAGGAAACGGTGAAGGTGTTATGAGTTGGTTATTGAAACAAAGAGCAAGCCATGCTTATTTCGCAAAAGCAGGGCACCGGGTGAGCTTGATGGCTCAAGTGGAGGGCCAACGCAACCTGCAACGCCTGCACCACATCCATCCATTTTCCATCCGCGCGACGTAAAGCCCCAAGTTCGCTGCGCGACAAAACACCAAAGACGGAAAGCACACGGATCCTACATACAAGCTCGGCAGGATCACAAGTTAACACTGCGGCCCCCGACGCCTTTCCTCCCTCGATAAGCATGGCTCGGGCTCACCTAGTAAGCACAGCGCAAACGCCGCTATTAGGAACTTTGCCATTGAATTCGGATGAAAGGCGCCAGCAGCACTGTCATGCATAAGCGCTGCACAGGTGGCCGAAGGGTTACCGGGGACCAAAGAGAGATGTTGCACTGTGTCCGCAGAAGGAAAATATGGCACCTTATGAAATCTTCTACTTTAATCATAGCACCGTGCAAATCGAAACGCTTGCGGTCACTCTCGGCATCTTGTGCCGCACTTGCGAGATGTTCGTCGTCCGTCGGCCGCGCTGTACGTCATCTGTAACGGACTGGACTGAGTGCATATTTTCCGCGCCCCGAATAACCCGTACTAGTGGCGCAGCGTGTTGCCACACCAGGGAATGCTGCCCGGGGTTGCTTCATTTTTGTTAGTAGCATCTTGGACCAAAGTGCTTTACACGGCCAACAATTGCTTTCTCATCGCGTGTAAACACGTTTGCGAATACTAGAAGTAATACCTGGGGACCCCAAGCGGGTCCTGGTTTGCTCTGTCTTGCCTCTGAAGGGCAATCTGGCCCTGGTTGGACGCTAGACCGGCGGCTTCGTTAGCACAAATATTATAATCGTTGTTTAGTTTGCCAAGAAGCAGCAAAAATGACTCGTGAGGACACCCTTCCTACTCGGCCTATGCCGAAGGCCCCCACCACCAAGGTGGACTTCAACAGCCTTAAGGCTCCAGCTGGTTACGTACCGGGTCTTGGTCGTGGCGCGGCTGGCTTCACGACTCGATCAGATATCGGTCCAGCCCGAGCGGGTGGCTTGGATGCATTAAAAGCAGGGGTAAGCGGCCATGGTTCGGGCACCACGCAGTCTTATGGCGTTGACAGGTCAAATTATGGAATTAAGGTGTGGATAACACTCCTGATAGGATGTACACCCCTTCTATACACGGGCTGTTAGGGGTTGGCGAGATGGGTGTTCCATCTGGCCTAGTCGAGCCACGCTCTTAGCGGGACCATTTGGGTCATATCGACGTTCGCTGTGCAGCCCTCATGGCAGGACTGTCAAATCCCCATGCAGCACGTCTTTCTGACCCCTGACCTTCTTCCCTCACCACAATCACCCCATCCCCTGCAACCCGACCCAACCCTCTCCCCCTCCCTGAAGGCTTCCCGCACTCCTTCCTAACTTATCTCTCCTCCCCCTCCCTCCCCTCCTCCTCTTTCCCTCCCCTCCTCCTCCTCCTTCGTGGGTTCCTATGGCCTTTCTGACTCCCCTCCCTCCCCTCTCCCAGTTTCACATATTTAATTTTTCCTCCCCTCTCCCTCCCCTCCTCCTCCCTTCCCCTTCAGGCCCCCGGCTCCAAGGCGGGCGGCGACGAGGAGTCGGCGCTGGACGACACCAAGTTCGACGAGTTCATGGGCAACGACGCGGGCGTGTTCGCCACGGGCGAGTACGACGAGGACGACAAGGAGGCGGACGCGGTGTGGGAATCAGTGGACAACTTCATGGATGAGCGGAGGAGGGTGAGGGGGCGGGGGGGGGGTAAAGAGCATACCATAGGGCATACCACAGGAAGCCACAGGTTAGGGCAAAGCAAAGGGGTAAGGAGGCGGCAGGGAAAAAAAGCAGCAGCAGAATGCCCCACGCGCCGCGTTCTTCACACGGCGCGAACACCAACACCATCATTGCGCACGGTGCCAGATACAGAGCTGCATGTGCGACCCCTCTCGTGTGAGGGAACAGGCATCCATGCATGCACGCGTGCTTGCATGTGGGGGTTGTCCATGCTACTGCATACCAACCGGCGCCGGCGCGCCGCCCTATGATGACATGATTTAGTAAGCCGAGACGAGAGAGCCGCCGCGATCTGGGTCGGGCGGGCAGCGGCGGCAGCAGCAGCAGCGGCAGGGGTGGCAGGTGTGCGGCAGCAGCGGCAGGGGTGGTACAGTGGCGGTGTGTGCGGCGACGGAGAGCTGCAGCCGGGGAGCCAGGGAGGAAGGTTGAGGGCCGCATGCATGCGACTGCCCTTACACGACCGGACCTGGAACTCAAGGAGGAGGCAGCGGGGGTGCGCGACCACCGAGAGACCCACGGGTCTCAGCGGGGGTCGCCGCCCTCGAGACCTTGCTGCCACCGCCATTGCCACCCCTAGCCAGCCAGCCTACTGCTGCTGCTGCTGTTGCCGCAGCTGCCGCCGGCCAGTGGTTGCAGCGGTTGCGCCCCCATCCAGCAGGGCCCAGCGGGACTGCCACAGGGGGGGGGCGACTTAACATGCAGAGGCTAAGGCGAATCTGAGGGCAGCGCCGGGTACCGCGGGATGGCACACCATTACTTCACCTCATCTCATCCCTACAGTCATGCATTCGCTCCCATAATGCTGCATGCGCCCTTGATGCCGCATTGGCGACGCATGAGCACCTCTCCGGGAGCATACACACGCGCGCTGCATCCCACGGCAGCTCCCATGCATGCAGCCGCCTCGGCGCACGTCCCTCGACACGCCTACTCTCGCCTGCACACGTACGGATGTGTACCGGTACTACTTGCACCTTATCGTGCTTGGTGCGTGCCAACATGACCCTGAACGCCAGTATTCGCTTGGATCCGCCTCCCCTCGAGCCCGCCCCCCCCCATTTTTCTCCCCACCACCACCCTTCCCTCCCGCCCCCCTCCCCCCCGCAGGAGGCGCGTGAGAAGCGGCTGAAGGAGGAGCTGGAGCGGTACCGCGCGGAGAACCCCAAGATCACGGAGCAGTTCGCGGACCTGAAGCGCAAGCTGGCGGACGTGTCGGTGGACGAGTGGGAGGTGAGGGGGGAGAGAGGAGGGGAGAGGGAGGGGTAAGGCATGGTGGGGGTGGTGGGGGGTTCCTCTCCAGTCTTCACTTCACCCCTCAATGCCTGGCCCCGGCTCTGTTGTCTTCCTTGTCCCAGCAGCACTGTGGGGCCTTCACTACCACGGTAGTTCCACTACCTTGCTGCCAACAACCTGGTCTTACATGTGGTCGGGTTCCCTGCCATGTTCCCATGGAGACGCTCCTGTATAGTGTCTCCGTATGCGCTCACTGCATGAGTCGGGATACGGGATCGGGACTCGTTGTTTCACTTATATAATTATTTCCCCCCTCCCGTCCCTCCCCTCCCCTCCCCCTCTCCCCCCACCCGCAGGCCATCCCCGACATCGGCGACTACACGCTGAAGAAGCCCCGCCGCATGGAGCGCTTCGCACCCGTGCCCGACTCGCTGCTGGCGCGGGCGGCGGCGGATGCGGCGGCGGCCACTGGCGGCGCGGCGGGCAGTGCGCGGGCGCTGGACCCGAACAGCGGTCTGGCGAGTGTGGGCGGGCTGGGCGGCCTGGCGACTCCCATGGGGGGGGCGGCCAGCACGGTGTCGGATCTGACAGCCATCGGTGAGTTGTATCGGGGGTTGGGGGTGGGGATGGGGATTGGGGAGAGAGTTGGGTATCGCCGCCGTGCGAAGAGATAACCAGATGAGGAAAGAGGGCGCGGGTTCAGGAATCCATGGGGGGTGGTAAAGACGGAGAGAAGAACACGGGGTGCATATGTATGGTGTATTGGCATTGCTTGGGGACTAGGGGCCAGTCTGTTAACTCTGCATGGCGGGAACCCCGTGTGACACCTCTGGTCTGGCCCCCAGGTACGGGTCGCGGCGCGATGAGGGATCGGCACGGATTACCGACACCCCCCTTTCCCCCTCCCCTCCCCTCCTGCCTCCCCTCCCCTCCCCTCCTCCCGCCCCCCAGGTACGGGTCGCGGCACTGTGTTGGGCCTCAAGCTGGACCGCATGGCGGACAGCGTGAGCGGCCAGACGGTGGTCGACCCCAAGGGCTACCTCACCGACCTCAAATCAATCAAGATCTCCACGGATGCGGAGATCTCCGACATCAAGAAGGCGCGCCACCTGCTGAAGAGCGTCATCCAAACCAACCCGCGACACGCGCCCGGCTGGATTGCGGCGGCACGGTAGGAGCCTGTGGGGGGAGGGGGTAAAGAAGAGGACGTAATAAGTGACGAGCTGCATGACAAGGCTAGGCTAGGGCGGGGGAAGCGTTCGTTGTGAAGGAAGGAAGGAAGAAAGGACCTGTCGAGGCAGGGATTGTGCTTAATGTCCGAGGGACCTCCTCTCCTGTGCTGTGCCTGGTGTGTGCGGGTGTACATACTCCTACCGTACTTACTAACCCGCCATCCCATGCGCATGCCCCTGCGGTAGGCTTCCTCCTTCTTACCCCCGCTGACCTGTGCTCTAAACCCGCCCCATCCCCTCCTCCCGACCCCTCCCCTCCTTCCCCTTCCTCCCTCCTCCCCCCAGCCTGGAGGAGGTTGCCGGCAAGGTGGCTGACGCTCGCAAGCTGGTAATGCAGGGCTGCGAGCTGTGCCCCAACAGCGAGGACATATGGCTGGAGGCGGCACGGCTGCAGGTGGGGAGGGGGAGGAGGGACATGAGGGGGGGTGAGGGAGCTGTCGACTGCGGGCGCCTCCCTCCCCACCATGACTCCGCATGTCCACAGCCCCGTCCAAATGCCACCCGCCCGCCCCGCCCGACGAAACACCTCCTCCTCCTAACCCCTTCTCCCCCCCTCCTCCCTCCCCTCCCCCTCCCGCTCCTAACCCCCCAGACCCCTGAGAACGCCAAGGCGCTGCTAGCCCGCGGGGTGGCCCAGCTGCCGGAGAGCACCAAGCTGTGGATGGCGGCCGCAAAGCTGGAGACGGATGACACGGCCAAGGCGCGGGTGCTCAGGAAGGTGAGGAGGGGAGGGGGAAGGGGAGGGGGAAGGGGAGGGGGATGATGAGGGGAGGGGGATGATGAAGGGAGGGGGTTAGGTAAACTGAGCCGCGGAAACACTGATCCTGACCTAGAGGAAGGGGGGTGCAAGGAGGGAGGGAGGGGGTGCAAGGGGAAGGAAGGGAGGTGGTAACTAGTTCCCAGGATTTCCCCCCCCTCCAACGGCATGGTCTTCGTGCTAGACGGCGCTTTCCCCTCCTAACAGCCAAGGCCTCCTCTTCTGCTACCCCTTATCACCTAGTTCGTTCCTTCCTCACTATTCCTTCTCCTCCCCTCTCCCTCCCCCTCCCCCCCTAACCTCCCCCCCCCTCCCCACCAAAAGGCCCTGGAGCGCATCCCCACCAGCGTGCGGCTGTGGAAGGCGGCGGTGGAGCTGGCGGAGGAGGACGATGCGCGCATCCTGCTGAGCAGGGCGGTGGAGTGCTGCCCGCAGGTGGGGGGGTGGGTGGTGGGGTGGGGGGGGGACCTGTAGGCGTGCAGGGAACAGGACGGGGGAGGCAGGAGGGGCCCCCTTGCTAAGCCTCGTATCAGAGTGCTGCCCTATGGTGGCAGTGTGGGTGGGAGTCGAGGGCGGTGTGAGGACCGGGGCACCGCCGCCGGCTGCATTCTGCATTCTGCTGCTGCTGCTGCTGCTGCCGGTCGGGCCCTCTCTCTCTGCTCCTCTTCTTTACCCAAACCTTCTCCTCTTCACCCTCCCCCTCCCCCCTGCAACTCTGCCCCCAGGCTGTTGAGCTGTGGCTGGCACTGGCCCGCCTGGAGACGTACGACAACGCGCGCAAGGTGCTCAACAACGCGCGCAAGGCGGTACCCACGGAGCCCGCCATCTGGATCACCGCGGCCAAGCTGGAGGAGGCAAACGGGGCGGACCAGGCGCAGGTGGGGGGGAGGGGGGGTCAGGATATACCAGAACCATAGGTGTTGATGGTGCCGCCGATACCGCCTTCCATCTAATCTCGTTCAGTGCCCGCCTCATTGCTCGTCTCATTGCTCGTCTCATTGCTCGTCTCATTGCTCGACTCGTTAATCCTCCTTCCTCGACGGACATGCACGCCCGCACGCTCGCAGGTGGACAAGATCGTGGGTCGCGCCATCAAGAGTCTGTCCACCAACGGTGTCGTGATCCACCGAGATGCGTGGATCAAGGTAGGTCTGGGAAGGGGGGGGATCAAAGTGGGAGGAGTGGGAGGTGGCGCCACACACGGGGTTTGTGACACATGACACACACGGCAAGGAGCTGCAAGGGAGGGGGGTTTGGGGAACGCCGCCTCGTGAACAACAACCGCGTTCAGCTGCTGGTACTGCCCCTCTCAAACCCCTCCTCCCCTGACCACCTCCTCTTCCTCCTCACCCCTACCCAGGAAGCCGAGAACGCGGAGCGCTCCCAGCCCGCCCCCCACACCGCCACCTGCCGCGCCATCGTGCGCTCCGTGTGCGGGCTGGGTGTGGACGCGGCGGACCTGGAGGCCACCCTGGTGGCGGATGCGGAGGAGGCGGGCAAGCGGGGCAGCGTGGAGACGGCGAGGGCGCTGTATGCGCAGGCGCTGGCGTCCTTCCCGTCGCAGGTGGGGGGTGGGTGGGTGGGAGGAGGGAGGAGGAGGTGGGGCTGGTTGGGGTGTGGGGATGCGTGTGGGTTTTGGGGTTTGGGCACGCTTAGCATGATGGGGAGTTGTTCGAGGGGGGCAGCTGACATGCGAACCTCAAACAGGCTCGTTGTTGAACGCCGTTGATCGTGAGCCGTAACAGCCCGCAAGTTACACCTTCCTCCTAACATTCCTCCCTGCTTTCCTCACCGCCCCGCACCCCACCTCACGCACCCCACCTCACGCACCCCACCGCCCCGCACCCCACCTCACGCACCCCACCCAGGCGCACATTTGGCGTCAAGCGGCGCAGCTGGAGAAGGCCCACGGCAGTCGGGCTCAGCTGGACGAGCTGCTCCGGAGAGCGGTTCAGTTCTGTCCGCAAGCCGAGGTGCTGTGGCTGATGGCGGCCAAGGAGGCGTGGCTGGGCGGGGATGTGGACGGCGCGAGGGCCATCCTGGCGCGGGCCTTCGCGGCCAACCCCGACAGCGAGCAGATTTGGCTGGCGGCGTTTAAACTGGAGTTTGAGAACAATGAGCCGGAGCGAGCGAGGTAGGGAGGAGGAGGAGGAGGGAGGAGAGCTGGGCAGGGAGGGAGTGAAGGATCCGTTAACTGACCCAGTTGCAGTTGCAATTGGACCGCATGAGCTGCTGCTGCTGCTGCTGCTGCTGCTGCCGGAAGGCGGTTGCTGGTCTGGTCACCCTACTTACACTTACAGGGCCCTTACTCTTGTCGCCCTCGGCATCTCCTCGCCAACTGCCCACCGACCAAGTTCTACCCAACCCCCGACCCACACCTCAACGCCACTGCTGCCCCCCGCTGCTCCTCTCCCCCCTGCTGCAGGGCTCTGCTGGCCAAGGCTCGTGAGAACGAGGCCGCCTCCTCCTACCCGCGCGTGTGGATGAAGAGCGCCATTGTGGAGCGGGAGCTGGGGGACACGGCGAGGGAGAAGAGCTTGCTGGAGGTGAGGACTGCGGAGGGGGGTGGCGGAGGGGTTATCGAGGGTCTTTTGGGGGCCTTGAACGACACGGCGGCAATGGGGGTCTTGTGGTTGGGTTGGGGTGGGAGGGAGAGGATGAGCAGGGTGCGCGTTGCACCTCGCCCAAGCAACCTCAACCCATGCAACATCGCCCACGCCATCACCTCGTCATTGCAACCTCGCCCTCACAACCTCTCCCTGACCACACAGGAGGGCATTCGTCGCTTCCCCGCCTTCGAGAAGTTCTACCTCATGCTGGGCCAGCTGGAGCAGCGGGCGGGCAACACAGACGCAGCACGGGCGGCCTTCCGAAACGGCCTGGCGCGCTGCCCCAACTCCATACCCCTCTGGCGCTCCGCAGCTAGACTGGAGGAGGAAGGCGGAGGAGGCGGGGCTGCTGCAGGGGCCGCTGCTGCAGGACCTAGCGGCACCTCCACAACACCAGCAACAGCAACACCAGCAGCAGCTCCCAGCGGTAACGTGGCGCGGGCGCGTGCGTTGTTGGAGCAGGCGCGGCTGCGCAACCCGCACACGCCCGAGCTGTGGCTGGCGGCCATTCGCACGGAGCAGCGGGCGGGTAACGAGAAGGCGGCGGACAGCGTGCTGGCGAAGGCGCTACAGGTGTGTGTTGGGTGGGGGGTGGGGGGTAAATTATAAAGAAATGTGGGGTGGGGGGTGGGGGTTGGTAAGGCGCTGCAGGTGCGGATGCGTGAGGGGTGTTGAGGAAACTGGCCGGGTTCTTGGTTGGGCAGGGTGGAGGAGGGGTGTATGGGTGAGGACGGGGTCTGCACTGTGCCGCAGCGGCTGCGGCAATTGCTGTCCGACCCGGTGTCATAACGTCATGTCAGCAGCTCACCACGTGCCCTAATGCCCACGTGTAATACGTGTCGTGGAGGTTGCGGACTCGTGGACAGTTCATGCAGACGCCTAAAGTTGAAGTGTTTAGCCCCCTTGTCATGTGAGTTGTTTAGCGCCGTTTCTGCCCACTCCCTCCGCCCCTTCCCCACCCACTCTCTCACCCCCCCGGGTCCAATCTCCATTTGCTCACCCCCCAGGACTGCCCCACCAGCGGCATCCTGTGGGCCGAGGCCATCTCCCTGGCACCCCGCCCCGCCCGCCGCACCAAGGCCACGGACGCGCTCAAACGCTGCGACAACGACCCGCATGTGGTGGCGGCGGTGGCGCAGCTGTTCTGGGCGGACCGAAAGGTGGGGGTGTTGCTTGTTAAAATAAAAAGCAACAAAGACTGCAGCATGTGGTTGCATGTTTCCTGTTTCCTAAGTTAAACGTTCTTCCTAACCCTCCAACCCAATCCCGCTCTCCCCCCGCCCACCCCCCAGGTTGACAAGGCCCGCTCCTGGTTCAACCGCGCCGTCACCCTCAATCCCGACATCGGCGACCATTGGGCGCTGTACTACAAGTTCGAGTGCCAGTTCGGCTCGCCCGAGCAGCAGGCGCAGGTGTCGCAGCGCTGTGTGACCGCGGAGCCACATCACGGGGAGCGGTGGTGCCGCGTGAGCAAGGACGTGCGGAACGCGCACCAGCCGGTGGAGGTGCTGCTGCGGAGGTGTGTGGCGGATTTGGATGCGCTGCCGCCGCCGTGAGAGGGTTTGGGCGGAGGGAGGGGATGGGGAGGTGGTTTTACCGTGTGTTAAGAAAGCTGGCCGCGGTTTTACTGTGTGCGTGTGTGACGAACGAGTGTGTGTGTGGTCTACCGAGGTGGGTCATGACAGGAGGTAACGAACGTGTTTGAGGACCGGTCTAGGATGAAAGTGACCCGTGGGTCACTTAACGGTGGGGACTTCGACTGCTAGGGTGGCTATAGTTGACTGACTGGAAGGGGAAGAGACCGCAGGAATCTCTGGGCGATGGGGGCTCACATGACAACCACAGCAGGAACACGACGCGGGTTTGGTGTAGCTGGGTAGGCAGTTTACTACCGTATTGAGTTGTGACTCTAGCATAGGCCTAGGGGGTGGCATCATGCAACAACGCTTTGACCTGCTCCTCCAGGAATGTCATTCTGACTCTTGAAAGGGTTATCGGAGGGTACTTCCACTGCTAGGTAGCACAGCCTCTCATGCAAGGGGATGCACGAGCGCAATTGCAGCTGCAGGAGGCAGGTGTGGTATGGCTGTTGCGGTTGGCGTGCATACGGCATGCTGGATGCCGCAACAATAGCTAGTTGTGCCAGGAAGGCGGTTGTGAAGAATTTGTGGTGAAGGATTTGTGGCGGGGCGAAGAGGTTAGCAGCTGCTACGTTGCAGCCATGTAATGAGGAATCATACAGCCGATCCCGCATCCCGCAAAATCCTACTTTCCTACTTGTTGAGGTGTAATGGAAAGAGCTACGAGGCGCAACAGTTCAGACTGGACGCTGTTGGGCCTAATAAGTTCCCAATGTGCGTGCAGGTAAGTCTAGTCGAGTTCACCTACAAAGATGCTTGGGCCCTGTCCGTGTGATCATCCAAGCCATCAACTTGAAATGTCATCCTTGCGGATGCCGGCATTCTCGCGGCATTGTAAAACGCAATGCTAGGTCGATCGCCACACGGACACACCTTGACAGATATAGGCGAGATGTTAAAACTGCAAGTATACCTATAAATATGTAGGTTTGCGCAAGGCGCGCCTGGTTTGGGGTAAAGCAGTTTTGCCGTAAAGAGCCGTTTTCGGGGCGTGACGCAGACAACGGCACACCGGCCATTTGATACAAACGCCTGCCCAACAATCCGTTGCAAGGTCTTATAGCTGTGATCGAGTCCTTTTTCAGCTTCTAATTATCGCGACCGCTGCAGCTGTCGTTGTTGTAGTTTATTTCTTCCTCGGTCGAACCACATGTCTTCGTTTTCTAGCCCACTCCTCGTGCGCGCTGCCACAGCAGCGGCGGCTAACAAGGCTTCCACGCCGTTGCTGCAACAGCTGGGCAAGTCGTTGGAGGCTGAGGGCCCTGCACTCGCAAACAGGATAAAGGTTGGTTCGCAGCAAATGAAACGTCCCGGCAGCGCAATTTCAAAAGATGCACTCTCGCTAGCACAGTTAGGAAGCTGTCCAAGTTCCACCCAATCCGTTTCATGTGCCTCCTCACCTAGACTGATCCTCACCTAGAAAGTCAACCTAGGTCTCACGAGCTGGTACTTCTGTTTGGCACATTCCCACCGCCCTTTTAGTACCGTCAGCGGTCATCGCGTCAACTGCAGTTTAACCCATTTCAATTTCTATATCTTCTTCGCCCCACCAAAACGCGTGCTGCGGCTATCACCTTAACACCACGATTCAACCCTGCCCTCCCTCTTACTCTCCCTCCCCTCCCCATCCTCCAACCCCCGGACATCCTACAATCCTCCTCAACAGGGAGTGGTTGTGTTTAAAATCGACGACGAGGAGTGGACTCTCGACCTGACGGAGGGCACCCAAGGCCAGCTCTACCCCGGACCCCCCAAGAGCGGTGACAAGCCCGACCTCACCCTCACCATCTCCGATGCGCACTTTGCGCAGCTCGTCATGGGAAAGCTCAACCCTCAAAACGTAGGTGGTCGTCAGGGTGCCGGGGTGGTGGTGGTAGCGGGGTGGTGGTGGTGGAGGGAAGGGAGGGGGGCAAAATGTGGGCCTTGGAGGCGAGAGGTTGGCGGGAGGATGTGCTGCTGCTACGGGAGTGGGTGCGCACGGGTGGGGTGTCGCAGCTGCAAAGGTACGGTGCTGTCCTTTCGCTCTCCATCGCCCTTGGACCCGTATACCCTTCCCATCACCCTCTTCCCTCCGCCCCATGCGCAGGCCTTCCTGATGCGCAAGCTCAAGATCAACGGCTCCATGGGAATGGCCATGAAGCTGCAACCCATCCTGGACGCAGCGCAGCCGCAGTCCAAGCTGTAAACATCAGGAGAGGACAGGAGAGGGAGGCGGGTCAGGAGGCTCGAGCAGAGGGTTTTGAGGCTGGGTCGTGAGCTGGGCATGCTTTTGTGATGAGTCTGGGTCAGGAGGCTCGAGCTGGGTGTGCTTTTGTTGGTTTCGGGGTGGTGGGTTTTGCAGAGGATGGCGGGATGGGGTGGGGGCGTCGAATGGGTGTGCGGCCTTGATGCCTTGATGTCAGGTGGGTTCCATGCAGAGCGGAGCAGAGGAGCTTATGCCTCGTTTGAGTGCAGTATCATCTTGCCGCTTCGAATCATGTCAGGATTGGGGTCTCGGACGTGCGGTTTGCTTTTTGCTTGGTTTGCCCTTTCTTGGTAACTTTTGGAATCGTTTGTGAGAGAGGTGCAGGTGTGGAGGTGCTGCTGGCTTTTCGCAATACGAAAACGAAGAGAGCAATGCGCTTGTTCCCGAAAGCTTCCCGAAGTCGAGCCATGTCGGCGGCAACCGGGGCACCATCAACAGCTTTTAAGGAGTAGTGGATCAGGCAGTTCGCACCCATGTCGGACCCATGGGTCAGTCCTTCCCGAATGACATGTACCGGTGTACTCCTTTCCATCAGAAGCCTTGCCACGTCTTCATCAGCAGCGCATTTCAAACTCAAAATCAAGATGCAAAAGCCTACGAATCCTGCACTCGTCACGACAATATCTGCATTTCCCTGTCGCATCTCTCGTGCACAGCAGGTGATCAATTGCTCGTTCAAACACTCTTTCAGTCCCTGCCTCTACCCGCCGCACGCATACCTGTGCTCGTATAGCACCACCATCGACCGCGGTTGATGTACCCATCCACCTAACAAGCAAGTTTCCTAACCGCGTAGCCTGAAAAAGCTCATCTCGCCGCCCTACAACAATGCACCGTGGTTCTGCTCCTTCCGTAGTTGTGCGCCTCCCATGCGGTACCGTCCATGTCCTCTGCCTCTCCAAGCACCTCTCCTACCTTGGAAAAGCCTCCCCTGCATACAACAAGCAGTTGGCCCACCCCCCCGCTTCTCTGCTCCTCCTCGCCTCTACACCTACCCCTTACCTGCCTACGCCGCACCTCCCCCAGTGTTGCACCCAACCTTCCCTGCCCTCTTCACACGTGATACCGGTACCTCAATCCCCCCTCGAGGGACCCCCCTCGAGCCCTCTGCTGCTGCTGCTGCCCGCCATAACCCCTGCCCTGTGCCTCGCCTCGTGTACCGCACCACCACCCACTACCGCACTTCCCCGGCCCTGCCTCTCCTACCCACCCACCCAACCCCCGCCTCCCGTCTCGCCTCGCCTCTGAGCAACAGCATGTCTTGAGGTGAGGAGGGGGTGATCCCCTCATCTCACCTCACTTCGCTGCTCTCCTGTCGCCCAGGGGTCGCGCGCAGGCTACTCGGAGCCCACCTGCGGGTCAACAGCAGTGGCACAGCCGCACGAACAGTTCAGCAGCAGCGGTATCTGAAGTATCGAACACCGCACATAGATCATCCGCCTCAGCAGCAGCAGCAGAAGAAGAAGAAGGCAGGCCATCTGGGTCGGTGGTGCTTTGGGCGACAACATAAAGTATGGTATACCTGAACGTGTTGCAACGAGGAAGGCCGCACCAGCAAGGTGACCCATGGGTCACCACCCGCAACCAAACACCACCTGCAGCGACTTTGCGCGTGCAGCGCCCGCCCCATTTACCGGTAAACCCATTGCAGCCATCGTGAGCCTATCTCTTCCCCTCCTCTAACCCCACTCCCTCCCCCCATCCTCTTCCCCTCCCTCCTCCCCCGCCTCACCCCCAGCATCTCCATCAGCTGCCCCAACCGCGCCGCCTGCCCCGCCTGCATGCGCAGCCCCCCCAGCAGCGCCCGCCTAGCCGGGCTGGACACGCAGGTCAGCTGCAGCTCCTCCGGCATGCCGAAGAACAGCAGCAGCAGCTCTCCAGACAGGCGGGCCACGGAGGCAGCCGCCTCGTCGCCGGCGTCGGGGGAGGCGGCCTCGGCCTTTGTTGGGGGGTCAATTGGGGAGGGGGGTCAAATTAGACCAAACCACATGAAACCATAAAGGGCAAGACAAGGGGGGGGGGGTAACGGTTGGAAAGGTGTGCGGATGGGGAAAGAGCAGCATAGCGCTGGCACAAAGAGTGCAAGAGCACTGGGGCGTGTGTGCAGGAGCAGCCCCTCCCGACCCATGGGTCACTCTCCGCCCTCCCGGGGCCCCCCCCACCTGCGCCTCCATGAGTTGCTGCTCCACTGAAAAGAACATTCCGATCAGCTTCACCTCGTCCAGGTGCTGGGGGGGGAGGGGGGAGGACGGGGAGGAAGGGGGGGCCAGATTTATACCCACAGGTTAGGGCAAAGCAATGGGGATATAGACCGGTAGAGGGGAGCAGTTCGTCATCGAACATAGTATGGTGGATGGAGCCAGGGAGGGAGGGATGGAGGATGACGACTAGCAGCAGTAGCAGCAGCAAGGGGGATCGGTCCAAGCGTCCAACCAAGGGTATCTTGCCTGACGCGTCCCTCCCCGTCCCCCTCCGGGCGCGGTCCCCCCCCCCTTCACCCGCATACCCCCATCTGCCGTACCTTCGCCGCACTGGTGAACCAGGACGAGATGCCGCCCTCCTCCTCCTCCTCCTCCTCCTCCTCGCCTACACCCCGAGCCCCCCCTGCCCCTCCTCCCCCTCCTCCCCCTGCTGCTGCAGCCGGTGGCAGCAGCGGTGCGGTGAGGTGCGGCGGCAGGAGGCGGCGCCGCGCGGCGAACCAGGCGGCGAAGTTGAGGCAGGCGGTGAAGCGCGCGTAGAGCTCCAGAGCGGCGGCGGGACTGCCCACCCTGAGGGGGCAGGGGAAGGGGATTTGCTAGGGATACGGTGAATGGGTTGTGGGGGTCGCAGGCGTCCAGTTGGGTCCAGCCAACCAACAACTGGGTATTCCTCTTTCCCCCCCTCCTCGGGATTCGGGATTGGGATTGTGTTGTTGCACTTATTTAAAAGCCCCCCCCCCTCCCTCCCCCCCCCGCCCCCCATACCTGTCCAGCAGCTGCTGCGGAATGGCCAGCTCCCCGCTCCGCAGTGCGAAGGTGAACTCGCTGCTGTTCCACCCAGGTACCCGCCCGCTGCCGCCCTCCGCCTCGAAGTAGCGGTTGAAGGGGGAGAGGAAGGCGGTGGTGAGCTCGGAGAAGTGCCTGGGGGGGAAGGAGGGGGGGGGAGGGGAGAGGGGGGGAGCGGGGCGAGAGGGAGGAGGAGGAGTTAAGGGCGAGAGCGCGGAAAGACGAAAGAGGCAAACCAAGCTAACCCCGCCAGGTGCCATACCCGCCGCTATGGCACCTGCCTGCGCCGCTATGGCACCTGCCTGCGAATGGCGTCGCTGTTGACCAGGGCGATCCGTGCCACCTTGCTCTTCACGTCGCCCGGCTTGGGCTGCAGCAGCCTGGGGGGAGAGGAGGAGGAGGGCAGGGGAGTAGGAGGAGGGCAGGGGAGTAGGAGAAGGAGGAGGGCAGGGGAGTAGGAGGAGGGCAGGGGAGTAGGAGAAGGAGGAGGGCAGGGGAGGAGGGCAGGGGAGGAGGAGGAGCGGGATAGTGTGTGTGTTTTACATTGCGCAGAAAGAAGAGAGTGCAACCTCCTTCCAAACCCCATGCCAACCCCCTCCTCCGGACCCACGGGTCACCCTCTCCCTCCCGCCCGCCCCCCCACCTCTGCAGCAGTGCCTGGTCGGGTCTGCACAGCGGCTTGTACGCGGCCCACAGCGCCTCCGTGTGGCCCGACAGCAGCACCGCGGCGCCCTGGGTGCGCTGGCGGAGGGCCTGATGAGGGGTGAAGGGGGAGTGAATACGGCTTGCCTTTGTCCTATACTCGGCAGCTCTGCTAAACCCCACTCTTGATATGCCGGTATCTCTTGTCAAGAGATACCTCTTCCTCCCCCTTCTTGCTTCCTTCCTTTCCCCCACTCACATCCACAACGAGAGCAATGGGCGTTCGGGCAGCCCGGATGCTTCCCTCCTCCCCCTCACACCTCTCACACATCACCTTCCCCTCCCCCCTCCCCCTCCCACCTGCACGGCTGCGTTGGCTCGGAACATGTTCGCCGCCGCCGCCAGCGAGCCCCCAGCTGCGGAGGCGGCGGAGGAGGAGCCGGAGAAGGAGGACTGCGAGGCCCCCCCCGGGCCGCCCCCGCAGCCCCCCGCCCCCGCAGCCGCCTCGCGCTTGCCGATGGACAGGATGTTGGGCCAGTGGGGCAGAGCCTGGGGGGGGGGATGAGGGGGCATGGGGGGGGGGGGCAGAGGATTGTTAAAGAGCCCCACCCACCTACACATTATCGTAGGGTTCATAGTCACAGCCCCGCCTCCCCTCCCAACCCCCAACATGTGTGAGGAGCCACATCGCCGACTCCTCACAACCACCACCACCACCACCACCACCATCACCACCCTCCCCTCAAAAGCCCCTTCACACACTCTATACTCCGACATCCGGGACGCGCCATCAACCTCAGGTCATCAAACTACGGTCAGGGTCAGTGTTTCAGGGCGGCTCCGTTTACCGGGTTCTCCCCCTCAGGAAGTACAGATGTTTGTCCTCCTTACCCCCCCCTCACCCTCACCCCCCCCCTCCCTCCCCTCAACAGCCCCTCCCTCGCACACACACCCACCCACCCTCAGGAAGTACAGATTGGTCACCCCCATCAACGTGGGCACATCCCGCGCCTCCGGCCCCGGCAGCACCCCCGCCGCCAGCCGACCGAACGCCGCGTCATGGATGCAGTAGTACGGCCGGAAGTCCGGGGCGTACGGCAGCGGCGCGATGAGCGACAGCAGCGCCGCCACCCCCGCGGAGGCCTCCCCGGGGGTGGGGGCGACCAGCAGCAGCGCGCGACCCAGCAGCGTCATCTCCCACAGCTGCCACAGGCGGGGCAGGTGGCCGGAGAGGGGCGTGTAGATGTCCATCTGGGAGGGGGGGGGTTGGGGTGTGTGTTAGGGGTGGAGCGGCAGGGGGTTACGCTGTCACAACATGATGTCTTCCCGGCCAGCCAGCCAGTGACGTGCCCCCACCCACCCCCCGGCCCCCACCTCATGGAACACCCCATGCACCGGTGCGCCCTCCCCCGGGGCCATCTGGTGGTTGGAGGGGATGCGGCGGTAGGGCTGCGGGAGGGTGGGTGGGTGGGTGGGAGGGAGGGGTGGAAGGAGGGGCAGGAGGGAGGGGTGGGAGGAGGGGCAGGAGGGAGGTGGGTGCTGTTAGATGGGGAGTGGGGGGTGCATATGCGCCCAAGTGGGGGGCCCGCCGCAGCTGGTCGCCGCGCCCCCACCTCACACCTGCCTGGTCACGCCTGCCTGACTTCCCCCTGTCATCCCATGGCCGGGCTGTCAACGCCGCCACTTCCTCGCGACTCCTGTTACACACCTCAGCCCTTCGGGACCCGCTTCGTTCCCACCACCACCACCTCACCCCCTACCTGCATGCCAGACCGGCCTGATGCGGAGGCGGCGGAGGCGGAGGGAGGTGCGCCCCCCGCCGAGTCGTCCCCCCAGCCGGAGCCCCCGAGCGGGTCACTGGGCTGTGCGGGGGGAGGGGAGGGAGGCAGGAGGCAGGAGCTGTTCAATGGCGGCGGGCACTGGACAACCACGTGCCAGCCGCGGCCTGCAGATCCCCTAATGGCTTGGAGCGCCGCCACTGGCTGCCCTACCCCCGGCGGCCGTAACTGCGATAACGCCCTCTCCTCCCCTCAGCCCTCACCTGTCCTGCCAGCCCTATCCGGCTGCCCCCTGCCGAGGGGCCTGCTGCTGAGGTGGAGGAGTCTTCCGCCCCCGGGTGGCTGCAGGTCCGACTGCGGGAGGGCATGGTGCATGCGGGAAGGGAGCCCCCCCGGGGGGAAGCCAGGAGGCGCAGAGGCGTCGTGGCGTGGTGAGGGGTGGGGTTGGAGGGCCCCCTTCACTGCTCTCAGCCCACCTCCCACCCTCCTTTACCACCTAGCAACCCCCCACCTGCCGCCGCCGACGCATCCAACTCCTCCTCACACCTCCTCCATCCCATCAGCAGGCTACCCCCCTTCCCTCGGCCCCCCCACCTCTCCATTCCCCCTCTCCCCCACCCACCTGGGCACCTGGATGCACGACCTGCTCCGCTGCTGCTGCAGCGACCCGCCCGCCCCCAACCCCGCCCCCAACCCCGCAGCCAGCGGCACCGCAGCAGCGGGCAGCGAGCAGCCCACATCCGCATCCCCCATACCCAGCAGACCCGACAACCCCCGCAGGGAGCTCTCCCGGGAGGGACCTCCCAGGAACCCGCCCGCGACGCCGGCCAACATGCCGGAGGATGATGACCCATGGGTCACCCCGCCATGGTTGCTGCTATTATGATCTACTGCTGCTACGGGTGCTGGTAGGACTCCGCCCACTACCATAGCGGGGCTGCTGACTGCCGCCAGTGGATCGAGACCGGTGTTGAAACTCAGCTCGCCGCTGTCGAAGCCTGATGTTGCTGATGCTGCGGATGCGCCCGAGAGGGGTGCATGGCGCAGCGGGGGAGACCGCAACGCCCCGGATGCAGCAGCAGCGGCAGCAGCTTGCCCCTGCGGTCCTGCTGCTGCTCCTGCTTGCGTTGCCGCACCCTCGAAGGAGCCGAGGGAGGGTTCGAGTGAGGAGGAGCTCCCACGGTGGAGCTGCTGCTGCGCGGGCGGGACAACCCCGGGGGGCTGTTGTTGCTGCTGCTGGCCGCTAGCAGTACTAAAAGGCGATGCAGCTGCAGCAGCTGCTGCTGCTACCGTCGCGGCAGCAGCAGTTAGAGCCGCAGTCGTCGTCCCGTGACCCATGGGTCCGCTGGCGGCGGCGCCGCCGCCACTGCTGCTGCCGAGACTGAGGCCGCTGAGGGTTCGGGAGACGGATCGTGAGGAGGCGGCGGCGGTGGGGGTGGCGGCGGTGCTGCCGTCCTCCCCCACTTGCAGTCGGCGCGCGGAGGGGCCGGCGGGCAGTGTGAGGGAGCGAGCGGAGGAGGAGGAGCGCATGTGGGGCAGCTGGGGAGGGGGAAAGAAGAGGATACCCAGTGCGTTTGTTGTTTAACATCACATTGGGGAAGGGGGGACGGGAGAGGGAAAGGAAGGGCAAACACGTTAGGGCGTGGACCGCTAAGCACGCGCGCGTGTGTGTAGCTCAACTCCCAACACCAAGCAGCGACCCTCACACCACCCACCCACCTCCCCCCCCCCCCGCCCCCCCCTGCTCACCGTGTTGCCGCCGTACTGCTCGGGCGCTGACGTGGTGGAGGGTGCGGGCAGGGTGCCCCATGCGGGCAGGCGGGCGGACAGCGCCGTGAAGCCCACCGTCAGCTGCAGCTGTGCACCTGCCACCGGGGGGGGCCAGCGGAGCACCTCGTCGTACACCTGCAGGGTTGTAGGGAGGGGGGGGGAGGAGGGGGCAAAGACCATACCAAACCATAAGGAACCACAGGACCCAGGGACCTGGTGGTAAAAAGGAGGCTGCGAGGAGGAGGCAAGGGGATGAAGAGGAGCCCGCTAACCAACCAGGTGCGGTGTGCTAACCAAGCAGCCGTGCAGCCGTCCAGGCCGACGCCCAGGTGAGTCTGAGCCAAAGCTGGAGGCCGGGCAGGACTGCTTGCTCCCCAACTGCTGCACCAGCGGCTCAGTTCAGTTACCCCCTCCTCCCCCCCCCCACCTGCTGCAGCGGCTGCCTGCTGCCCGGCGCCGCGAAGTAGCTGTGCCCCGCCACCGCCGCCAGCGGCCCCAGTGCGGCGCTGAGCGGGTGCTCCGACAGCACCACCACTCCCGCCTGCTCGCCGCCGCGGCGCAGGGAGGCGTCCTGGCGCTGCCGGCAAAACACAAACCTGGGTTTGTGGGGGGAGTCGGGGTGAGGGAAGGGAAGGAGGGGTTAGGAGGTGGTGAGGAAGGAGGGCTAGGGAGAGGGTATATGCGTGCGGGTGCGGGCGCAGCCCTGTCCAGACCCCGTGCGGTCCCCCTGTGTGTCCCAACCTACCCGTACAAGAAGCGTTCCTGCCGGTCGCGCGGCTCAGCAGCAGCAGTTGCATCCGCCGATGCCCCCTTTGACACCGGCGCCGCACCCGACCCCACACTCCCGCCTCCTGGCGTCTCCCGCTCCTCGCTCCCGCCTACTGCTGCAGCTGCTGCTGCTGCTGGTGATGATGACGGCATCGCAGCATTGCAATGGGGTTCACAGCCATTGCCACTGACATTGCAGGCGGCAGCTGTTTCGGAAGCTGTGGCTGCTGCTGCTGCTGCTTCTGGTGGAGTCAGCCCACCCGGGACGCCTCGTCGCCTCACGCGGAAGAAGAAGGTGCTGCGATGGAGAAGAGTCATGGGAAGAAGGGGAAAGGAAGGAGGAGCCAGAGAAGAGGGGTCAAGGTTGTCAGCAACATGGGAAATTGAACATTTCGTTGACTGCTGGAATGGTGCTCCGCCCCCTACCGTCATCCTGTTTCCCTGCTTGGGCTCTGGCACAAATCCATGCCACATGTGATGCCGCGAGTTCCCCAACCGTTCTCTCACAAAATGCAGCATTACCTGTCCTTAATAGAGGTCCTCGCATATAATTCCATGGACATGGAATCCTGCAGCATCGCGAACCCGCATTGGTAGCCTGGGTGGGTCAGTTGATCTTGCAAATGGAAACGCTGTGCTTCAACACCTACCGGGAATGAGTGAAAAGCCACATCCTGCTTCTCTTCTGTTGATAGGCAATTCGCTGGCACAAGGTGTTCCACACGCTGCCCGACATCGATATCAAAGACAACTGAGCATAGGCCAACTACCCACTGGTGTGAAGGCGAAACGTTCGTCATGTAGTAAGGTAGGATGGCAATGTTTTCGGGTGAAGGAAAGCTCTAGCTTGTCCAACTCAAGCGCAAGCTGTCTTAAGGGAAGGACGTCCCTAAGTTTGCCATGTTACAGAGCAACAGGAACGTTTATTTAGCATCCTCAGCTAACGAAGGGAACTGCTATGCGTGCTCCTTTGCGATGATCCTAGGAGTACTTCGGGTACTAGGGTCGTCAACGGGAAGACGGTCTCGTATTCATGCTAAAAAATTAATTCCAATTATTACAGAGTGCATTTACAGCTTCTGTTCCAAGTACATTTCTCAGGAGCTGGCTAGCAACCAACCGTCGTGTACGTGCACCCCAGCACCTCGCTCTATGGCAACCTACATGCGTACGCACGTCACCCACTTGCCAGGCGTAATCTATATTTACAATTCCTTGCCTTACGCGCGCCTTTGGGCGGTTGGTGACCCCCGGACCGCTGCGGTACCAGCCCTAATCACAGCAACCGCCGGAACAGGAGCAGCCGTACATGTAACATTAAACCTACAGCGCCCTACCTTCTTCTTGTCGGGCCAGGCGATGGCAGCGACAGCAGCCATTTCATGGCGTGGACTATGAGCCGCGGACATGCCGCCAAACAATGGTCGAGCTTGCTACCCGGTAAGCTGGACCAGGCGGCAGGGGGTGCAATCATGATGTGCTTTGCAGTCCTATGTTGTGAATGTATGGGCAGGTGTGTGGATGGTCATGCGGACTTCGGTCAAAGTGTTGATGTACAAATCTTTGTGTACGGCTGGCTCGTCAAACGGTGGCGTATCAAGCGGTGCTGCGTTGAGCTATAGCTTGTTGCTGTTGTCATGTTGTCCTATGGGGCGTTGTGAACCCTTTGGGGCTTTCTGATTTGGATCGGGTGCTCAGTGTGAAATGTGGTAACGTGACACTGTGTATGGGGGGGACGCTATAAAAGGTGAAGGGTTGCAAGCCTAAGGAAGACTATGGCAGCTTTGGGGCGGAGCCTGGTGAAACCTGTGTTCCGGTATAAAAGTAATTTTGAGTAAAAATCTAGCATAACATGTCACTGCGGCTGCTTTATGCCTCGAGGCCCCCGATTTAGCCGAGTTAGGAAACTACTCTTATGCAACACGTGCCATGCAGAGAAGGTGCACGAAAGGTGCCCTCCCCTCCTGCGCAAGGAGGGGAGGGAGGAAAGCATTTGCAGGTATCCAGCAGATAGACAGCGGCTACACGCCAAAATTACACGCCAAATGATCTAATAATAGCACGATAGCCACCTCCTCCAACTACCCGTATAGCACGATAGCCGCCCAAACATGCCTATCGCAATCAATACCTTCAGACACGAGCCCACAAAACATGACCCGTGGGTCGCACACGTGTAGTACACGTCACCGGAACACCGAAAGCCATGAATAAAGCCGCGTACGAGAAAAAAGAACGCATGAGGTGACCGCATGCCTATCCTTCTCAGCCCCACCATGCACCCGCACATGTGCCTCCTGAGGCGCCCCATCTGCCGCGGATTGGGCCGTACGGCTGACATCTGCGCTGCAGGGCGCCTCTACTGCTCTTCGGTTCCTGAGGGAGTCAAACCCTCCAGCTGCCCAGGCCTTCCTAGGCAGCAACCGGAGGCTCAATCCGTCTCCAGAAGGGGGTGAGTCTTGGTCTTGGTCTCTGCCGCCTTGAAAGAGCTGTCGTATCTTTTAGGATGCGGTTTTCTTTTGGATCTTAGCGGGACTGGTTCTACACAGTTCTGTCGTATTGTCGTATCTTTGGCGGTAGATAAGAGTGCGGGTCATCCTCCATCATGTAGCTGGCGACCGCCACCGTGATGGCGAGCGTGTGGAGGCGGCCCAGCGCGACCACCGGGCAGCCGATGATGACGGAAAACGGTCGCAGGACGGAATGGAGCGTGTCCTGGTTAAAGCCGAATGGTACACGGCTGTGTCGGATAGATCACAAGTCAGCAGTAAGCTCCGGTGTCCTGTCGTAAGAAGTGCGGCCGTCCAGCGTGACGAGGGGCCGTGGTGCATGGCTGACGTGGTCGTGCCGTGGGTCCGCTATGTATCCGTCAGAGCGCCGAGCAGATACGCACTCTGCACTGATTGCAAGGTATTGGCACGTTACGCGCCATCTGCGTCCTTACCCTGTGATTTAGTCCTAGTGTTTATTTCAGGTGTAGTTGCGTGTTTCCTTGAGTACGTGTGTGTAGTGATTGCCGCGGCTACCGCAGAGCCACTTTATTACAGACTTTGCGCACGGTTCTATATGCGATTGGTTGAGGGTGGATGTGGGGGTTATGCATGCACGGTTGCGTGTCTTCTTGGCATTTGGCATTTGGCATCCTACCGGTAGCTATGTAAGCCGACTGTCAGATAATACGAGAATGCGCACACGTCGGGTATCAATGCCCCAAGTTATCTTCATGAACTTTGGCCAGGCACATAGGTAAGCCGACGGCACCCAATGTAGGATGCCGTCACGTCGCGCACACGTTCCAAAAGCACTCCCTCAGAGGCTGCTACCGGTATAATAGCGGACACCATGTTTACAAGTTAGGGAGTGCCACTTCGGGTTCGGACAGGATGTTTCCAATAGGCGCCATCATAAGAGGTCCATAATTAACTCCACCAGGCACTGTGCCGCACTCAGCAAAACGCGTAGTGGAAAGGTTGTGGTTCGGCTTAAGAGTACAGTAGCGCCGGCAAGGTATGGAGAAGTGGAGCTCGAGGTCACGGTGGAGGAGAGGGCCCTGCTGGATCACTTTCACAAAACACAAACCCAAAATCACCTTACCACTACTCAGCGCGTTACATTAACACACCCGCTCCTAATCCTTGCGGCTCCGCTTCGCAGCCTTTCCACCTTTACCGCCCTTGCCTTGACCGGACGAGCCAGCAGCCAGTCCTCCTCCTCCTCCTCCTCCCGCACCACTTCCCTCTTCTCCCTCCACACCACTGTCCCGCTCCCGCCTTCTGCTGGCCCCCTTGCCCTCCTTCTTACTCCCCTTGCCTTTCCTCTTGCCCTCCGCTCCTCCATCCCCCTTCTCACCGCCGTCCTTATCACGCCCACCCCTCTCCTTGGTGCCAGATGACATCGACAATGATGATGACGTCACCCCCGGCAGCGAGCACCATTCCTCCAGGACACTGCCGTACGATGCCAGGTAGTGCCGTACTCCGGCTAGCGGGGAGACGACAACAGCAGGAGCAACACCTCCTGGCCCTGTTCCTACCCCTCCGGCTCCGGCTCCCGCCCCTTCTCCTGTTTCTGCTGCTCCTGTTGCTCCGCCGCCTGACACATCTGCTGCCGCTGCCGCTGCTGCTGTGAGTCGGGCCACCAGCCGCTGTGAGCCCAGCAGCCGCTTCCGCGCGTCCTGCAGCTCCCGACGGAGGGCCTTCCTGTGGTGGACAACAACCGACCAGGGGTCCGCAACGCAGCCTTAACTCACAACATGGGGCACATGGGTGATAGGTGACATACCCGCCCCCTTCCTCCCCGCACAACAGCGCCTCATTGGCACAACATTAACAACATCAACACATACGTGGACATGCTTGACATCTGACATGCAAGTCGGAGTGCAAGTAGACCGCAGGAGATGTGTGACCCAGAGCAGGTGTTGGTGCTCCCAGAAACGTACGCCTTTCGTTCCCCTGTCTTCCTTCCTTCCCATCGCGCCCCGCGCCCTTCATGCACCCCATGCCGCCCCGCTCCCCCCACCCACCCACCTGGCTTCCTTGCTGGCCTGCCCCTCCTCCGCCAGGGAACCCAGCCAGCCCACCACACGCCGCGCTGAAGCCAGCAGAGCCGCGTCCGAGTGGACTGCAGCAGCAGCGGGAGGAGGAGGAGGAGCAGGGCAGGCGCCGGGGCTGCCAGCGCAACCGCCCTCCTGCTGCTGCTGCTGCTGCTGCTGCTGCTGCTGCCTGCCGTCAGGCGGTGCGGGTGCTCCCGACAGCAGCAGCCGCAGCTGTCTCCGCAGTCCCTGCCCCTCCTTCCCAGCGCCACCACCAGCGCCCTCCTCCTCCTCTCCCTCCTCCTCTTCCTCCTCCGACAGTAGCAGCAGCCGCAGCGCCGCGAGCAACAGCCCCCGCCCCCGGCCGCCTGGGGGCAGCAGCAGCAACAGCAGGCGGCGATGAGAGTCGCGTGGCACGACCCAGGCAGCAGGGGGGGTCAAAGACCATACCAAACCACAGGAGACCACAGGTTGGGGGGGGGAAGGTAACTGGCATCAGCAGCAGCAGCGGCACCGCCGCATGCAGCTGCGGCACCTGGGAGTAGCACAACACACCCTGTGTCCCCCACTGTCCTCCCCAGTGTGCAAGACGGCATTGCCCTTTCATTCCCCTGTCCCTCATCCCTCATCCCTCATCCCCCCACCCGCCTCACCCGGCCCCATGTAGTGCTCCACTCCCAGGCCGCAACTCCGAAGCAGCGCCACCTTCTCCCCCCGAGCAGCATCCCCCTCCCCAGGCAGCAACTCCAAACTGTGAGCACCTGCAGCCACACCACCCGCCGCACCCGCCGTGCTGCCACACCGCTGCTGCCGTCTTCCCCGCATTGCGATGCTGCCGCCTGATCCCCCCTGCTCCTCCTCCTCCGCCCCGGCCGCTGCTGCCGCAACAACAGCTGCCGCCGCCGCCAGCCCCTCAGCTCCTTCCGCCAGCACCGCCGCCTCGCCCTCCCGGCACCCGGGCAGCAGGCAGGCGGGGTGCAGCAGCAAACCCCCGGCCAGCGGACACGTGCAGCGGACCACCAACTCGGCAGCCGGATGAGGCTTCTCGCTCTGTCTCTGAGCCTGAGCCTGAGCCTGGTCCGCGTTTGAGTCCTGCCCGTGCCCCTGCCCCTGCCCCTGATCCATGTCAATGTCCGGGGCGTCCACAGCGGTGCAGCAGGCAGGGCTGACACTGCTGCTGCCGCCAGGAGCTATGAAGTGCCGCCGCCGCCCTGCCACCTCCACCCGGCAGCGAAACACCGCAGCACGCATCTCAGGCGGCACCGCCCACAACTCCGCAGGCAGCAACACAGCCAGCCGACCCCGCCTGCTGCTGCTGCTGACAACATCACCCGCAGCTGCAGGTGCAGGTGCTGCCTCCTGCTCCTCCTCCAGCTCTCCCACCTCCTGCTGCTGCTCCTGTTGGGTTGCTGCGACCTCCTCCCGCCCCTCCTCCTGCTCCCGCTCCTGCTCCCGCTCCTGCTCCCGCTCCTTCACCACCTCCACTTCCTGCACGCAGCGCGCCACCACCTGCCGGCCCCAACAGTACAGCCAGAAGCACCGGTCGGGAGGAGCAGCCTGGAAGGCAGCTGCGGCCGCCCGCAGCCATTCCACATGCTGCTGCTGCTGCTCATGTCCCGCTACCCCCCCTAGCGCTGCGGGCAGATGCTGCAGTCGAAAGGAGTTGAAGCCGTCCTGTTGTAATGAGGGAAGGGAGAGGCGGGGGGGCACGGTTACGCCGGTGGCCTGGATGGCCTGGTTGAAATGTCTGCACAATGCCTGCCACTGTGAGCACCTGCAGTAGTACGGTAGTTAGACTGCACCCACAAGCTTTAACCCGTGCCTGCTACCCCGCGCACCTGCAGCTCGAGTGCCGCCTGCTCCAACTCCGCGTTGACCGGGGTGCCCTGCATGGAGGGAAGGAGCGGGTGTAAAAAACATGAGAAGTGCAGCAACCGGAGTCTACGGTAAATCCCATATCCCAAATCCCGACGCAGCGTGTGATCTCATAACAAGTTTACATACACCTACACGCTCGCGGCCAACCCTGTTAGTACCACTTCACGGCACACGTACCAGATTTTTCAACAGGTTGCGGTCGCCCTACACTCCCACCTACCTCTAGCAGCGGCAGCAGCTGCGGCGCCTGCTGCTGCTGCTGCCCCCTGCCTCCGTCTGCCCCTACCCCTCCCGCCGTTCCCGCCCCACCAGTACCGGTGCTAGGGCAGCCGCCCGGGAACATCATGCGAATGACCGGCGGTGGCGGCACGTGACGCAGCAGTCGCGTTACCACGCGGGCCGCCAACTGCTGCTGCAGCTGATGGCTGCTGCGGCACTGCTGTTGTTGTTGCGCCGGCTGCTGCTGCTGCATCTCCTGCCCAGGAGCCTCCTGCTGCTGCCCCTGCTCCCCCTCCTGCTCCTGCTGCTGCTGCCCCGTGAGCAGTACCGAGTGGGCCGCCAGCACCAGACACAGCAGCAGCTGCTCGGAGCTGGGGGCGACCAACAGCCCTGATAGCGGGGACTGCCGCTGCTCCTGCTTCCCGCCCTGCTGCTGCTCATTACGCTGCTGCTGCTGCCCCTCCTCAGCACCACCACCCTCAACACCGCCACCCCCAACAGCACCCCCACTGCCACAGCTCCCCCACCCCCACCCGCATCCCGGACCCGATGCCGGCAGCGGCAGCGGCAGCCGCAGCACCTCCCCTCCTGCCGCCAGGGAGTGCCGTACTCGCACAGCCACATGGTACGGCAGGGTGGACGAAGAGGAAGGAGGGAAAGGGGAGGAACGAGTGCTACTAGTGCGAATACCATTACAGCTGAGGTCATGGAGCCCATCGCTGCTGCTATCTTGCTTGCTCTCCAGCAGTTGAAGGCAGCAATGGCAGGAGCGGGAGCCGTAGTAGCCGCAGGTGCTGTGGCTGCAGCCGTGCGGGTTGTTCAACCCCCCGGGGTTGGCAGGAGCTGCAGCTGCAGCGGTCGTCGCAGCAGCAGCCTCCTCCTCGGATGGTGGAGGTGCCGGCGGTGGTGGCTGCTGGGGGGTGGCTAGGGAGCAGAGGAGGGGGGAGGCGGCGGCCCTGCAGACGTCCTGGGGGAAGAGGATGAAGAGGAGGAGGTGATGAGGCGGGGAGGAATCCGGTGTCTGCAAATAGACTAGCGAAGAGGATGAAAAAGGCTGCAGCTCCATCCGTCACGTTGCCGCCCCCCAAAAAACATCAAGTAGGAGTAAAACCAGCTGACCGGTGCGTTCCTTACTAGTCCTCCTCACGTCCTCAGTTCTCCCTCCCCGACTCTTACCACCCCCCTTACCTCCACCACCGCCCCCAGCCGCCCCCGGACCTCCTCCAGCGCTGCCGTCAGAATGGCCCGCTGTCCGTTCACCACCGCCAGAGCGGCCACCGCATGCCGCCCCAGCCCCAGTGCGGCGCAGGCAGCAGTCTGGCGGGCCAGCCAGCGGGCTAGCAGCGTGCTTCGGAGCCGACCTGCTGCTGCTGCTGCGGCGGCGGCGGAGTCAGCTGCGGAGATCCCTTCCGCGTTCTCCTCCTGCTGCTGTCCTCCTGCGTCGCCCTTGTCATCATCCCCCGCAGACTCGTCGTCTAGCCCGGCGGATCGCTGTAACCAGTCCTCAGGCAGCAGCAACAACAACTCCTCCTCGGCATCTTGCTGCTCACCCTGCCCCTGCCCCTCCGGCTGCTGCTGCTGCTGCTCCCCCTGCCGCTGCTGCCGCCCCAGCCCCACTCCTCCTCCTGCTCCTGCTCCTCCTCCTGCCACTGCCGGCAGCCCCAGCAGCTGTCGTACCTCCTCCTCGCTACTCACCATGCTGCCCAGTCGTACCTCCAACTGCTGCAGTACGGCAGAAAGCACACGGAGCTCCGAAACCGTGTCGTACGGCTGCAGCAGCTCTTGTACGGCAGATGTTGTTGATGTTGTAGTACAGGTTGTAGCAGCAGCTGCATGTGTTTCCGTTGCGGCGGCTGTTGCATTTGTTTGGTGTGCTGCTGCCGCAGCTGCTGTTGCTGCTGCTGTTGCTGCTTCCGTGGGTGTTGCTGACAGGGCCTCCGAGGCGGCGAAGTAGAGGCGGGGCCCGGAGGCGAGCGCCACCCGGGTGGCCTGTGAGAGGGAGGGGGCGACGACAGCAGGGACAGGAGCACGTCGCGTGCGTTGAAAAAGCAACGGAACCGTGTAGCTGTACGGTTGTACCGTTCCGTAACTGCACCGATATACGTGGAGGGACGTCAACGGGTCCGGCAGTTACCTCCTGGCTCAAAGCAATCGGGATGTGGGAAGTAACCAACTGCACACATCGCCCTTCCTCCCTCCCTTCCAGTGCTTTGCCCTAACCTGTGGCTCTGGTATAGCTCTGACCCCACCCTTCCTTCCGCACCTGCAGCAGCTGTTCCGGCAGCGGATCCGCTAGCGTGAGCCTCAGCTCGCCGGTACCCAGCCCCGCAGCTGCCGCCACCAGCCGCCGCTGAACCGCCTCCGCGGCAGCCTGAATGCTGTCGTCCTCCTCCTCCTCACCACCTCCGTCCTCACCACCCTCCTCACCGTCCCCTTCCTGCTGCTCCTCGGCCACCGCAGGTGCGCCGCCGCCGCTGCCACAACCGCTGTCGTCAACACCGTCGGCAGCAGCAGCATTACCACCACCACCAGCATTGTTGCTGCTTGAGGAGAGGCTGAGGGACACGTAGTCGTACGGATTGGGTTGCAGTACGAATCCGTACGCGAGCAGCAACTCCTGGTTGTCCTTGGAGCCGTAGTTGTTGGTCAGCAGCTCTCCCTGGGAGGGTAAAAAAAATATAATGAGACGCTGACGATGCAACTGACTGGGAGGGGGGGGGGGTGTCAGCGTGTCTCGGGTAGGAAAGCATCCGTCGGATGTGTATGTCAGCATGGCACAAGCGGATGGGTGGACGGAGCATGCAGCAACCACCTCCCAATTAAGGGTACCGGTAGCAATGACCTGTCCTGCAAGTCAATGCGGCAAGTGCCGTTTTCTACCCAGTCGACGGCCCTGCGGCCCCTCATCCACTATCCCCCCCCGCCTGCCTCACCTGCGCCGCGGGTTGCAGCCGCAGCCACGTGAAGTGCCCCGCCCCGTCCGGCCCTGTGTGCCACACGGCCCGGCAGCTCGGTGCATGGTCTATCATGTCGAGTACTGCGTGGGTTGGGGTGGGGTGGGTGCGAGGGGTAATGTGTGCTGCCGGTTACCGGTGGTAATCGCAATGACCCCCAAATTAGTGGCTAAGCGCTGGGGCTGGGGCGGACTCATACACATGGAGGCTCGAGGAGTCACACAAGGGTCTCCCATTACCGCAAGTGACCCACGGGTCTTTCCCCTCCACCATAATAAGGACCCCTGCCTGCGCGCCACTGAGCCGAGGACGCACCTGGCACCTGGCACACCGTCAGCGTCCGACCTCCACCCGTTGCCGCCTGCTCCTCCTGCTGCTGCTGCTGCTGTGGCTGCTGTCCCGCTTCCTGCCCTTCCGCTGCTGCTGCTGCCCCTGCCGTTTCCTGCTGCGCTGCTGCCCCCGGCTGCACCCCCACCCCGCCGCCGCTCCCCCGCACGCCCCGCCGCACGCTGAAGGACCGAGACCACACCGCGGATCGGGCCCAGCGAGCCGCTCCCTCACTCAGCACCCAGCCGCCTCGCAGCAGCAGTGGGTCCTCGGACACAACAGCAGCAGGAGGGGGGACGGCAGACGCGGCGGCAGTCGAGGTGCCGCACTGCCGCTCCGGTTGCTGCCCCGGCTGCTGCTGCTGCTGCTGCGGCTGCTGGTCATCATGATCCATCATCCCCACTGCTGCTGCTCCTGCTGCTGCTGCTGCATCACCCGCCAGCCTGCCATGTACGGCAGCCAATCTCGCCATCAGACCCGCCAGTCGCCTCAGTCCTGGCTGGTAGGCTGCCACCGCTCGCAGCAGTCGAGTGCCCCGCAGTAACCGCAACGCAGCGGCGCCGCCACCATCCTTAGCACCGCTGCCCCTGCCGCCTTGCTCTCCCGCGGACGCTGCTGCTGCTGTGACAACTGTCGTACCATCTACCTCCTCCTCATCTAGGCAGTCCCTTACTAGCTCATCCCGGTCTTGCTGCTCGTCCCACCAGGCAGGGTCGTCGTACTGCCGCGGCAGTACGGCAATGTACGGCGCCCAGGCTGATGCTTCCCCCCTCGCCCGCTCCAGGATGAGGAGCATACACAGCACGTCACGATCACTCAGACCGCCGTCATCCCAGTACGATAGCGGTATGGCATTGGCACTTTGCTCTGCAGCATTGGTGGCGCCGTTAGCTGTACCAGTCTTAGCTGCTACCGCTGCTGCAGCCGCTTCTGCTGCCATTTCCTCGCGTAAGGCCCGAAAAGCTGGGCCGTACACAGGGTCTGAGAATGCCGTGCCGGCGTGCATTAGCAGGCTTTGGGGCAGGGTGATGATGGGTTGGTGGGCGGGGATGGGCGCTGCGGCCAGGAATTGGCGAGGATGGGCGGGGTCTAGCGCGAGGAGGGGAGCCACGGCTCCGCGTTCTGCGGCCCATTGTAGAAGTCGCACGAGGGGTGCGTGAGCTGCGGTGGGCGGCGATGCAGCGCTGGGATGGAGCGCTCCTGGTGTTGGTGGAGACGTGATGCTCATGGCTGGATGATGACGACGACGGCAAAAGTCTTCAGAGTTTGGGAGCCAGGATCAAGGTGACCGTCCTGGCGACTGTAGCAGGTTGGCGTATGTGGTGTTGCGTGATACGCTATACTCACGCTTGCACTAGCGATGCGGCGGCTAGCACTGATAGCAGTTGAGTTCACTAAAGTGGTAAAGAGACATCGTGAGCACAGCGGGGAAACGAGCTAATGCCACTAGGTTGCTTGCGCGGCTCAATCCCGGCATCGGAAAGCATCAGATGAGCGTGAATAAGAATGGTGTACGACGTTCCGTTAAGCTGTGCCTCGCGGCTCTGGGAAGCGTGTTGCAAGTTGAAGTGTTAGTACACTAGCAATGCTGCTGCCTTAGTAAGAAAATGACAGTTCGGCTGTTTGTTGGCGGCTTGCCGCAAGACATTTCCGCCGCCGACTTGCGTTCGCGCTTCAGTCCCTTCGGCAGGATAGAGAACATAGAGCTTGTTCCACCCAAAGATAATGCGTTAGGTAACACTCCCAGCGGTGTTGCGGCTCAGGCGCAACACGCTTGCAGAGGATTCGCTTACGTTGAACTTGACCCAAAGGTGCGAAACCAATTGCCGCTAAAGTGCTTTCATTTTATCGCTGCAAGGAGCAACCTTTGCGCTTCTCTTGGCAATTGTTGCCGTAACTTCCATTCTACCCTTCCCGCTCTTCCGTATGCTGCTGCCTTCCTTAGGACGACGTAGCTGTGAAGAAGTGCTTGAGCGTCTACAACAACAGCAAATGGCGCGGCCACGTGCTCCGCGTCGAGGTAGCCAAACCCAGTTACCTCGCCCGATTGTACGTGGATTGGGTCGAACAAGCACGTGCCGATCACAACCAGCTGCAAAAGCAGCAACCACAACAACAGCAAGATCAGCCTGCCTCTGATCCAGCTAGCGGCCCCTCACTCCCACCGCCTCCACCATCCCTATCCACCGCCTCCCTCTCCTCTGCCGAGGCCGCAGCAGCAGCCGTAGCAGCCAAACGCGCCAAAGCCGCTGCTCGCAGCTCCCGACCTGGCCCGGTACCTCCTCCCGCCCCCGCAGACCTCACCCAGCCCCTCTCCCTCACCAATCCCCGCAACCGCTGGCACCCCGTTGAAGTGGACCTGGCGAAACCCGACAAGCCGCCGCGACGCAGCTTCCCTGTCGTACAGCCCCTGCCGCTGACTCGGCTCGAGTGGCGGCGGGAGGACGTACCCGAGGAGGAGCGGCAGGATGATGACGTGGACGCCTCGTCATCATCTTCCGAGGAGGAGTACGACAGCGACGTTGCTGACGTCAGCGGCGGCGGCGATGCAGCTGGTGGCGGCGATAAGGGTGGCGATAAGGCTGGCGGCGGAGGTGATGATGATGATGATGATGACATGGACCTGAACATCTTCATGGATGGTGGTGAGGGGGGTGACGGTGAAACACGAGACACAGCGGCGAAAAGCGCCAGGGGGACTGCTGCTGCTGCTGCTGTCAAAGTCACCAACACCAGCAGCAAGCCCGCTCCTGCACCCGCACGCGCACCAGCACCCGCACCGCGCCTGACCGGACCCGCACCCGGCGGCATCAGTGCCATGTACTACCTGAACCGCGTCTGGTCGCTGCCCATGCGCCCCTACGCGCCGTCAACTGCTGCTGCCACTGCCACTGCTGGTGTTGCTGCTGCTGGCGGCGCTGCCGCTGTGCCGCCGCCACGCAGCCTGGCGACGGTGGCAGATCACCTTCATCGTGCGGTGGGTGGCAGCAGTGAGGACGCGGAGGATGAGGTTGGTGCTGACGCTGGTGCTGGCGGTGCAGCGGCGGATGGTGGTGGCGTTGAGGGGGTTGCTGGGGGGGAGCAGCCGCAGCAGCCGGCGAACAAGCCCGCAGCAGCAGCAGGACCTGCCGCTGCCGCCGCCGCTGCTGCAGCTGCTGCGGTCCCCAAGCGGGAGGTCCGAGGGGAGGTGTTGTCCATGTTTAAAGTGCTGAAAGCAATCGACCATGAGACTCGCAAGCGGGCAGCAGAAGAGGATGCGGAACGCGCCGTGGCGGCAGCCAAGGCGAAAGCGACGTCACGGGGAGGTAGGCAGCAGCAGCAGCGGCAGCAGCAGCACCAGCAGTGGGCGCCGGCGGGCGCAGTGGCGGAGGTTGGCGGTGATGGGGATGGAGTGGTGGATTTCATGGATGTGGAGGAGGGCGGTGCTGGGGCGGGGGGTGCGGATGATGCGGCCATGTTGTCGCGTTTCGATGATGATTCGGATGAGGAAGGGGCCGCACCACAGCGGCAGCAGGTGGATGAGGAGGAGGAGGAAGAACAGCCGCGGCTGCAGAAGCAGCAGCAGCTCCAGAAGCAACAGCAACAGGTGGTGGCGAAGCCGGGCCCTCCCGCTGCCGCTGCTGCTACCTTGCTAGCAGGCCGGGGCGCTGCAGGAAAGCAACCGGTTGCCGCACCGTCGTCTCCTGCCGCCGCTGCTACTGCGGCTGCTGCTGTCTCCCCTGCAGCAGCTGCGGTGAGGGCGAAGAGCGTCGTCAAACAGGCTGCCGCAACCCCGGGAATTGCTGCTGCTGCTGCTGCGGCGGCGGCGGCTGCAACCCCCAAAGCACCGGCAATAGCAGCAGCAGCGCCCAAAGCAGCAGCGGCAGCACGGAGCACACCGCAGCAGCCGCAGAAGCGGCAGCAACAGCCCCAGCAGCAGCAGCAGGCGGCAGCGGCAACGGTGGTCAGCAGCTCTCCCGCGGCGGCGGCAGGTGTAGCCGAGGAGCGGCCTGCCAAGAAGATCAAGATGGCGGAGGAGGAGAAGAAGGCGGAGACGAAGGCGGAGGAGAAGAAGGCGGCGGAGGATGAGGGAGAGGCACCCGCACGCACTGGTATTACCGCCGGCGCTAACCGTGCAGCTGCCACGACTCCTGCAGCCCTTCAAACCAGGGCCATCACCACCACTCCATCTACCGCCGCCGCCACCACTACCCTCACCACCACTCCCGCAGCTGCCCGGAAAACAGCTGTCCCAGGACGCGTGACGACCCATGGGTCAGCCGGTCGTGACCCTCTTGTTACCAGCGCTGCTGCCAGGGGGAGCGGCTTGCTGATCCCTGCGAGGAAGCCGCAGGGTGGCGGCAGCAGTGGCCTTGGCGACCCGCTGGCTCGCTTCGGTGGCGTGGACAGTGACAGCGACGGGGAGGAGGTGTTCCGTGACGTGGACTCATCAGAAGACGAGGGAGAAGGAGGGGGCAGCGGTGGTGGCGGCAGTGGCAGCCAAAGGAGGAGGAGCAGTGCAGGGCGCGGAGGCGATTGGTTCCTGCCTGTGTCGGCGTCACGGGGCGTCGCAGCCGTCAAGAGTCCTGTGGGACAGCAGCAGCAGGTGGCTGGGGCAGCAGGAGCAGGGGCAGGGGCAGAAGCGGGAGCAGGGAGCGGCGGTGGTGGCGGTGCTAGCGCTAGTCCGGGTGTGGTGAGCTTCATGGATGATGAGGAGGATGGAGAGGGTGCGGGTGCGGGTGGGGGTGGGGTCAGGGGGAGAGGGAGAGGGAGGGGGCCAGCAGGGTCTGGAGGCAGGGGTCGAGGAGGCGGTGGTAATGGAAGAGGAAGAGCGGGTGGCAGGGGTGGCGGACGGGGGGGTCAGCAGGGTCGGGGGCTGGGTCGAGGAGGGGGAGGCAGGTCACCGCGCGGCAGGGGAGGAGGCGGGCGGTCGCCGCGAGGATAGGGCTGGTGTTTGACGAGAGGGGGTGTTGATTTTGAGGGACAAAGACAGGACAGGGAGGGGCTGAGGCAGAGGCTGGGACGCGGCAAGGGTTCTCTTTGTTGCCTGGTTGCTGTTTTGTGTTCTTATCGTTGCCGGAAGAGCTTGTGAGCAGGTCTGCGTTAGGTGTATGCTGCTGAAGTTGGTTTTCGTAGCTAGGATAGCGCCTTGCTGAGGCATGGGCAAATGTGTTGACTGAGTCGTTTCGGTTTCTTCTTCGAGCTGTGCGGTGAGACAGTCGGAAAACCACGGCTGTGAACATACGTCTTGTTGCCCTAAGGCTTCCGTCGCTCTTAATGTAGGAATTGCTCAACCGGTATGTGTAAAGTATCGCTACATGAGTAAGTCAGTTCAGAGTTTACCTAAATGTGTGATTGGACGAGCATACATACAGTCAGCAGAAGGGTGACTCAGCCGCCGTTTCCGCAGCAGGGCTTTCGCCCGCGGGTCGTTTCATTCCATACGCTTCTTCTATCCTTGGCATTTCAAAGTCATACTTGCCAGCAGCAATTTACTTCCTACCTGAATAGAACAGCAGCAGCAGCAAGACGGATGCTTAACAAGGAAAGCGCCGCCACGCGATTACCCACAGCGGAAGCATGTTAGTTGGGGATCATCGACCGCCCTCTCAAGCATGCTGTCCTCAAGCTTAAGCCCGCTTTCCAAGCCTTCGCAACCCAACCACCAACAGCGCCATCAACTCATTCATTACAGCAGCAGCAAAGCACCTGGCTGCTGCTTACAGCCGAGGCCGCGCTTCCAGTCCGCATCACGCTCCATCGCGCGCCTTGTTTGCCTCACCGCCTGCACCAGTCCACGTCGTTCCACCTCCTTCTTCCGTAATACTTACAGCAATCTTTGCGGCGCGTTCAGCAGCGCTCCCTGCCGACTTCAACCCCTTCCGCATCAACCTCTTCTCTACCCAAATCCGGGACCTCCTCCTCCTCCTCTTTCTCCTCCGCCCCAGCCACCGAGCTTCCCTCCTAGTTCCCCCATCCGGCCCGTCACCTGCCGTTTCAAGGTCTCGCCCACCGACCAAGACCTCTCCCACCTAGCCGCCCGCCTCAAGCAAACCGACCGACGTAACCTCTTCCGCCGACGACCCACAACACAAGGCGCCCCCGACCAGGAACCCCAACAACCCCAACAAGAGCACAACCAACAACAAACGCCTCCCCACGTCGATAGCAGCATCGGCAGTAGTGCTAGCAGCCCCGGCGACCGCGCCAGCTCCGTCCGACACGCACCCGGCCAAATCGACACGGTTTTGCTCCCCGGCAGTCTCCCCGCGCCCTCCTGGGCCCACAGCTGGTTTCCCCGCCGCCTGTGGTGGGCCTACCTGGGTTGGTTGTGCAGCAGTTGGTTGCAGCTGCATGTGTACGGAGCCATGCCGTTGGGGCGGTTGGCGGAGGAGTGGGCGGCGGGGGCGGGGGTGGGGGCGGCGGGAGCGGCGTCAGCAGCAGGGGAGGCGGCGGCAGCAGGAAGGGGGGGCATAGGAGCGGCTGCGGCGGCTGCGGATATCAATAGTGGCAGCAAAGACAGCAGTAACAGCGGCGCGGGTGTGGGTGTGTTGGTGGTTGCCAATCACATCTCCCAGCTGGATGCGCCGGTGGTGTGTGAGGCGCTGAGGGTGCTGGGGCTGCAAGAGGTGCTGCTGCTGGGGGATAAGGTGGGTGGGGATGGGGAGGGGTGAGGGGGGAGGGGAGGAAAAGGGGAGGAAAAGGGGAGGAAAAGGGGGAAGGGGGCGTGTGAGTGGTGGTGAGGAGGGGGAAGAGAAGGCCGCCACGCCACGCCGCCAGTCCCAATACACACACCCTGCCCCCAACACAGCCCCCGAGCGCCTGTTTGCCCTTCTCAGCCCCTCTCCAAACCTCTCTTAACCCCCTCCTCCCCCTCCTCCCTCCCCCCCCCAGCATGTGGCTCCCAGCCTGACCTCGGCGCTGCTGGGCAATGTGCTGCCGGTGCTGCCGGCTGAGGGGGGAACAGCAGCAGGGGGAGGAGGCGTAGGGGGAGGAGGGGGAGGTGGCGGGGGAGGAGGCGGAGGGGTTTTGACGGAGGCAGCGCTTCAGGAGATTGTAGCGGCGCTCAGGGGTAAGGGGGGGGAATATAGATAAGTGCACCAACGGAGTCCCAAGGGGGGGAGGGGGGATGAGGGAGCGTGTGTGTTTTGGGTGTGTATGCGTGTCAAAATAGCTGGCCGCGAGGCGGAACGTACTGTGAAACCTACGGTACCCGTGATTGCCTATCTGTCCCACGTCTGCCTTGTTGTCTGGTTGTGCGTCGCCAGCTGCTCATACCACAAACCCCGCATCCCCGACCCCTTCTCTCCCTTCTCTCCCTCCACCTCCTCCCGCCCGCCCCCAGCCCACCACAACGCAACCACCACCACCTTCACCCCCACCACCCCCTCCTCCTCGTCAGCTGCAGCGGCTCCTCCCCCGGTCCCCTCCTCCTCCTCCCCCGCTTCCCCCCCTCCTGCTCCTGCCGCTCCACCTCCTGCCCCTCCACGTCGTGCTCTGGTGTTGTTCCCCGAGCGCTCAGTGGGTGGTCGCGAGGGCGCACTGCGGCCCTGGCGTCTGGGGCCGGGCGGGGTGGGGCGGCTGGCGGCGAGGCTGGGGTGCCCCGTGGTGCCCGCATACATCGCAGGTGAGGGGCAGGGGGGCGGTGGGGGGCGGGGGGAGGGTCAAAGACCATAGCATGCCTTAGGGAACCACAGGGCAGGGCAAAGCAATGGGGATAGGGGCGGGGCGGGGGCGGGGCCGGGGGGGGGAGAAGGAGGAGGAGGAGGGAGGAGCAGCTGCAGCAGGCCGCAAGTACACAATGCCCCTCAGCTTTCTTCCGCTTTCCCCATGGTTACGTCGGTGTCTCGCCGCGACGCCCTTGCAACACTCCAGCCAGTTCCCTCCGGTGTGACTTCAACCCCCCCGCCCCTCTCCCCCCCCCGACCACCCACCCCCGCACCCCTCCCAACAGGCACCCGCGGCTGCCTGCCACCGCACTTCAGTATCCCCAGTCGGGGCCGGGTGGCGGTTGAGGTGGGGCTGCCGCTGCCGCCGCCGCAGGTGGGGGGTTAGGGGGGGGGGAGCGTGTGTGTAGTTGAGTAGAAACAAGAGCAAGCAGTTGGGATAGGTTCGCATGTGAACCGCGAGTATAGTCAAAACAGAGGCAAAGCAGAGATTAACAAACCTGAAACGTAACTCAATAACTGCTTAAAACGCGGGTGCTGGATGTAAGAAGAGTGGCGGGTTGACGACGCATGTCGGTGATGCTGATGGTGTCGGGAAAAACTAATTACTGCTGAGTACCTAGCCCGCTGACCAACTCGACGCCGGGAGCCCCCGCTCTGGTCACGCAGACGAGACACCACAATGCTGTGCATGCGTGCGTGCAAACGCGCATTGCGTACCTGCGAGCAAAAGCGCCGTAGTCAGCACCAGTACCAGCAGCTGCAGTAATGCGAGTAATGCCATGCGCAGGAACATGAACCAGAGCGAGGAAAAGGGGGACAGAGTTAGAGACAAAATGGACCTAGATCGAAGTGCGAAATGTACGGCAAAGCAGGATGGCATGTGAGACAGGACGAACGCAAGCACAACACAACATGAATGCAAATGCAGAAAACAAAGACAACACAACCGGCGCGAGTGGTCGAGCAGGCACTGAGCTGTGGCTGCAGCGGTCAGCTGAACCGCACTGAGAAGTAGCGTTGTCTAAGAGCAAGACGACTGTAGCGTTGTCTAAGAGCAAGACGACGGTGCAATGGGATGCGTGCAACGAACAGGCAAAGGCCAGCAGAGGGGCACGGCCGTGTGTGATGTGGTGCAGTGCAGTGGTGAGTGACCGGGCTCGAAGGAGAGCGCCCCAGATGCTGACATGCAACAGGGCAAGGCAAGGCGGCAGGGCCACAACAACCTCCCCAAAAAAAAAAGAAAAAAACCGAGCGCCACGACAAAAACCAACGACCACAACGACCACAAAAACAGGGGAGACGAAAAAAGCACAAACAAAACCCGCCCTTCCCCCACGCCCGTACGCCACCGAAACGAGACGGCCTATATAGTCCCGACCCTGCTCAGCCTGCCCGGCTGCAGAAGAGACAACCTAAAACCCAAAAACACGCGACCACGCAACCACACCGTCGGGGGGGAGCGTGTGTGTATGGGGAAGCGTGTGTTTAGGAAAGTGGCCGAGAGTAGGAAAGTACTGTGATTGGGAGCGTGGTTTATGGGGGACGAGCGGGGGCGGGGGAGGTCAGGGGAACGGCGGCCTGGGCTGCTGGGCTCAGGCCTGGGAATCCGGCTGGTCCTGAATCCGCCTCGTCTGAAGATACAGCAATACACATGCCATCACCACCACCATCCTCCTTCATCCCCTTCCCGCCCCCCACCCGCCACCCCACCACCCCACCATGGCCCCTGCAGGACCCCGGCCCCCACCCCACCCCCGCCTCCCTGCACGCCCTCTCCGGCTTCGACTCCCGCCTGCGGCAGGCCCAGTCCCTGCTGCGAGCCTCCCTGAGGGCCAGGAGGGCGACTGGGTGGAGAGCGCGACCCATGAACCGCCGCCCGCCGCCCCTGCCGTCGCTGCTGTCACTACTTTCCCGCTCCTCCTCCTCCGCCGCCTCCTCCTCCTCCGCCTCCGCCCGGCAACAACAGCAACAACAGCAGCAGATGCGACTCTCGCCCTCGTCCTCATCATCATCCCGCTCGGCTGCTGATTCTCAACCGCCACAACAACAACAACAGCAACAGCAACAGCAACAGCAACAGCAGCAGCAGCAGCAGCAGCAGCAGCCGCTGCCGTTCATGTTGTTCCTGCACGCCGTGGCTCAGCAGTTGTCGTACCGCGCGAGGCGGTTGGCGAGTGAGGCGAGTGTGGTGCTGGCGGCGGGGTTGATGTGGGGCCTGCGGTGGCTGGATTGGGTCAAGGTGGGGCTCATGTGGGGCCTGGGGCTGCTGGGGGGGAGGTGAGGTGAGGGGAGCGGAGGTGGCGGGGAGCGGGGGAGGTGACGGAAAACCGTGAGGATAACGCCCAGGCGAGGACGTAAAAGGTGTGTTTCACGTGTGGTGCGGGAGAGGAAGCCAGCAGAGCTGAGGTGGGTGGGATGGAGTGGGCGCTAGATGGATGTGCTGGTGGGGAGGAGGAAGTGTTAGGGATGGCGCAAGTCGGGGAAAGGGAGGTCAGGTACGCAACTTTGATTGAGTGGGTCCGCGAGTTGAGCTGTGTGCCTGTGTCGGCGGGATGTGTTTGGGTTTGGGGGGGTAGCAATGTGCGACAGACGGCTGGAGATACGTTTGTGCGTGTCGTAATTGTAATTGTGTGTCGTGAATGAGTACAGAGGGCAAGGGCGTGCATGCGTGAGGTGTGCGAGCGCACGGCGGCTCTCCTCCCTCCTGATGTGGCATTCATTGCGGATGAGGAATGACCCACGGGTCGGTGGTGATGTCGGAGGTACTGTACATTCATGTGTGGTGGTGGTGGTGCACATGTGTGCATGCATGTTAGCACATCGGGGGCGGCGGCGGCGGGCATGGAGGCTTCTGCTGCTGCTGCAGTGGTGTGATTTTAAGGGCGTGAAATAAGAGTTTCAGACTCTCAGAGTTTCAGGGAGTCCACGTAACGCGCCCCGGTGGTGTGTACGGTGGCGTGTTTGGGCGGCGCCGGCATTGGATTGGCATATGCAGTTGCTTGCAGGTTGTGGTTGCTGCTGTTGTGGTTATATCCTGCGGGCTGCTGCGGGGATGGTTTTGTTTGCCGTATAGTAGGTTGTTGGGTCTTGGAATCTTGGAAGGCATGGAGGATATGTTGGGTATGCAAGGAGAACAGAGCTCGCTCGCCAGAGGTTCGCCGAGCACACTGGTTACATGTGTGCCATTAAGGATGAAGATGTATACCGCCGTACTCTGCTGGGTTCGTAATCGTATTGGCTTCGTTCATACAACCGCCAACCCTGCCTCATCACACCCCGCCTCACAAGGTCTATCTCAACCTGCTGTTCGAATAACCACTTCACACAGCTGCACGGGACGCAACCCTCACCTCTCCCCCACCTTGCGTCAACCATGGTGACGCCCGCCCGCCTTATTACACGGTCAGTTAGATGTTTACCCCCGCCCATGGTTCAAACCATCTCGGGACGCTTACCCCTACCTCGCTAGGATAACACCTACCCATGCACAGCGGCATCCTTTTCAAACTAACACATACAAGCATGCAGAAGCGCAGCAGCACATAGGATGAAACCCGATGAATGCAACTATGAATCCTGTTGGGAAATACCGGTACACGGACGACCAGGATAGCAGGCCTAAGCACGTGTCCTCCATCCCCCCTCGTCCCCACAACGGTGCAACTTAAGTAGTTTCCATCCTTCATGGACATCCCCACCCCAGGCCTCCCGCCACTAGTCCTACTATGCCTACCTCACCAACCCATGTTGACTCCCCAGGCGCTTACTTCCCTCTTCCCTCTTCCTTGCCTCCTTTGCCCCCCTTGGGTTCCCCGCCTACCCGCTCCCTGCTCCCCACCGCTCCCCCCTCCTCACTCCGAACGTACTGGCCTGGCTAGATCGGGCTGAGGGGGTCGGGCTGGCTCACATGTTGCAAACCATGATGACGCCTTACCACACGGTTCGTTAGTCCTTTCCTCTTTACCCCACCGCTCCTCACTTCTCCAGCGCCATCTCAATCGCCAGGAAGTGTGCCCCCTGCGGCCCCGCAGTCAGTTGCAGCGGGCAGGTGCCCTCCGCCCGCCCCACCACTCGGCAGCCGTCCCGCGTGTCCAGCGGCACCTCGTTCACCTGCAGGCTGCCTGTGGGGGGGGAGGAGGGGGGAGAGGGGGGAGTGAGAGGGGGAATGTTAGTGAAGGGGAGGATGCGGAGGGAAGGCGGCTACGAGAGGGGTTCAGCGGGGGAAGTGGCAACAGGCGGTGACAGCAACACACGCACCTTCAATGCAGGTGATGTAGGCTTGTCTGCCGGCTGCAAGGCTCAGGTCGAAGGTGACCCCTGGGTCACTCTCCGACACCACCACATTCGCATCCTGAGGGAGGGGAGTGTTGGGATTACGGGGTATAAGGTGGGGAAGAGCTAGTGCCTACGCGAGCCAAACGGTTGGGGTTAGGTGTGTGTGTGACGGTACCCAAAAGGTTCCGTAGGAAGGCTGCTGGCTGCAACACCGTTAGGCAGTCCAATTCAGCTCACCTGGTGCAACCGTACCAGCTCCTCTCCTGCTGCTGCTGCTGCTGCCGCTGCCCCCGCCGCCCCCTGCCGCTGCTGCTGCTCCTGCATCAGTCCCGGCCAGGCGGGTGTGGGTCCGGTGCCTCCCAGCAGCTGAAGCAGCCGGTTGTGTCGCTGGGCGGGCTCGAACCTGGGACGGGAAGGGAAGGGAAGGGACAGGAGCCGGATGAGCAAGGAGCATCCGGCGGAAGACAAAGACATGCGGGTGTGGGCTAAGGAAAGGCAGGCGCAGAGCCGGAGGAGGTTCGGGCACGCCGAGATCACACATATCTTCGGGACAGGATGGACATTCGTACGGCCTTCCGTACCTCCTGCTGCCGTACTGCGGCTTGTGTCCCCGCCGGTCCGGGCTGATCCAGACCTGCAGGAAGCGGCACACGTGCGCCCCCTCGTTCATCTCCGAGTGGCTCACTCCGCTGCCGGCGCTCATGTACTGCAGGCAGCCGCGGGGCAGGGACTCGCGGTTGCCCAGCGAGTCGGAGTGGCTGAGCTGCCCGTCAACAACTGCAGGGGGGCAGGCAGGGGGCACATGCAGAATAAAAATGTCAAAACACGTTACACAGGTTAGGCAGGTAAAACAGGTAACACATGCCCCCACCTCCACCCCACCTCCCTAGCTTCTACCCACCGTAGCTGAAGATCTCCGCGTCTCGGTGCGGGTGGGTGCTGCCAGGTGGCAGCCGGACAGGGCAGTGGGAGGGCAGTGGGAGGGCAGTGGGAGGGGAAAGTCGTCAGGGAGGCGGCGGCGGAGCAGGCGGTGTAAGGAATCGGGAAGCGAGTGGGAGGCAGTCCCCCCCCAACCCCATACACTCGGCTGCGCCTGCCTCCCTGCCCCTCCCTCCCTAACTTGCATGTCTTCTCTTCCCCAACCCCGCCCCACCCACCCCCTTGCGACCCCAAAATCCCTCCCACTCCTCTCGCCACCCCCCCCCAGCCTCACCCGAACCCCGCCCTGGGTTGCACCAGGTCGTCATTCAGCACCCGCAGCACACCGAACCGCTCCCGCCGGGGGTCCCAGTAGTCGCTGGGAGGGAGGAGGAGGAGGAGGAGCGGGGGGCAAAGTAAGTAGAAATTGAAGCCACGGAGTCCCACTTCGGAGGAGAGGGACGCGGAGGCGGGGGCAGCGTGGCAGGGAAGGAGAATTTTAAAAGTGGTTGGAGGAGGAGGGACGGTGCGCAGGTGTGCAACATGCACCCCTGGCAGGCACTGCTGGCAGGCACTCCTTCGTGGTTCCCCTCATGCGACCAACCTGGTGGTGCCTCCCGTAATACCCTTTTTACCCTAAAGGTAATTCCCAAGGGCGGCTCCCTCGCGAAATTCTTCCCCTCGCAAACTACTCACGCGAAGCAGAAGTGGAAGCGGCTCTCCAGCCACCAAGTGGGCTTGGACACGTGCAGGCTGCCTGGGAGGGGAGGAGTGGGAGCGAGGAACGGGGGGATGTGTTTGTCGACGTCGTCTTTTGTAATTAGAATGGTGGAACAGAGTGAGGTCAGGGGCGGGAAAGCCGCAGGAGTAGGACTTACTGTGTGGAACGCGAGTGATGGTGGCCATTGGTGGGATGGTGCCGGCGCTGGTCGTGGAAGCAGCAGAAGCTCTGACGCAGCGCAGCGAAGACGCTCTGTGTGGATTGAGAATTGGATTGAGAAGGTTGAGTAGGTGCAGTGGATGGTTTAGGGACCGTCCGCAGCGACTAATTGAGGCTCGACGACTAACCCAGGCAAGGTGAGCAGATACTGTCATCTTCATGAATATGGATACACTTGGTATTCACCTCTGGGTTATGCGCTTGGCGCGACTAGGAATTCCGCTGTAGGCGACGTCACGTATTAATGCTTGCATGAATCTGAGTATTCACCGGGCGAGTCTGAAAATCGGTAGGTACCAGGTATTTTATTCTGAATTTTAGCATGACTTGGCTCTCTTAGTCGCACCTTCGGGGCATGACAGTTTTTACCGGCAAGATTACATTTGGGTGCAGTTGATTTACGCAGTTGCATGTACATGCCGAGGACCACTCTAGCTGCTTGTTAGTTTAAGTCTGGCAGATTATCATGACTTCGCTCGTTAGTAGTCATGGCGAACCCCAGCTTACTCAGCTGCCATCGCAGCTCCTTCTGTTAGTTCATACAGCAAATCCAAAGCATAGATATCTGCGTGATAAATCACACCGTCTTCGCTTTAAGGCCGGAAGTCTGGCTCGCTCGTGACATGGCACCGCACGCTATTCGGAGCGACCGCAAGGCGAAGCTAGGCCCCGGTCACGGAAAGCATTTAACAGCATAGCAAGACAACCAGCGATAAACGTTGGCAAGCTCGCATGGCTTGCTTTCAATTATGAAAATTCCTGTGACACATGCCAGCCTGGATGGCATGCAGGTATTCATGATAGCATGCTTTCGATTATGAAGAGCCACCGCAGCATTCAGCCATCCATATACCTACGATACCGCTGAACGAGACCACCGCGCCATGCGGCATAGTCTGGCAATCCACTTGTGCCCACGCACGTAATCAGCCACCGCCAAGCATGCCTCACTCATCATCACAAGCCCCTCTCATGCTTCACGGCCGTCATGACGCAAGGCTGATGTCGTACACCGCGATTCGCATTTCCGGGAAGAGATCCGTAAGCGGTGGCGGCGAGGGCGGCGGGGACGCCACACAGGGCTCGTGCACCTCCCGGCATACCAGCCCGCACGCGGCGAGCTGCTCTTGGAACTGTGAGGTGGGAGGGAGAATAGGTTGAGAGAAAGTTGTGAGAAAAGAGCTGTAGGGAGGTGAGAGGAGAAGGGGGACGATTGTATAACAAGAAGAAGCGTGATGCCTGAGGCGTTGGATCTGTGCCACATGCGCCGTATGCCGTACACTCCACCCACGTGTACCCTCTCTGCCGTACACCCATTCGTACTATCCCCGACCTGTCCCCTGCCGTACAACCCATTCCCCCACATGTCGTACCTGCATGTCAAACGTGTCGAATCTGTGTTTCGTGTGGCAGTACAGCAAGCGGGTGTGGGGGTGCGCCAGGGCGCGGAGCACCTGTGTGCATGGGAGGCAGGGGCGGGTGGGAGGGTGGTAAGGAATACCACTTACCCAGTTGCCCGGTCAGAGCATGAGATCATGTGCGAGGGAGAAAGGGGCAGTCGGTCACAACACAGCAAACACAGCACAGACCCCATTAGACCACATATCCCACTACCGGTAACACTCTCCCCTCCCCCGACTTTCCCCATCATCCTCACCCTCGACGTCCCCCCCTTGCCTCGCCCGTTTCCTTTCCATTACCCCCCCCCCCATCCCTCCCCCCCCCTCACCCTGGGCAGGTACACCGCCCCTATCTCGTTGTACACCAGGTCGCTGCCCAGCACCAGGTCCCACCGCTCCGACAGCAGCGGCAGGGGGCAGTGGGAGGGGGCAGGGGGGTGGGAGGGGGGCGACGATTGGGGGAGCGGTGGGCAGCAGCTGGAAGAGGCGGCGGCAGTGACAGCCGCAGCGGGACATGCACTACTGCTGCCACCGCCTCCGCTGCTGCCGCTGGTGGTGCCAGGGGGGCCGCAGCCGCCGCTGTTTCCGCTGCCGCCGCTGCCTGCTCTTCTATCGCCGCCACAACCGCTACTGGCATTGGCTGTCGTGGTTGCAGCGGGTTCCATGCCAGGAGACGTCAATGCCGCTGCTGTTGTCGGGTGAGCGTCAGGTGTCGGCGCTGACCCGTGGGTCGCACCTGCCAGCTGCTGCTGCTGCTGCTCAACTTCCCCTCCTCCTCCTCCGGGGCTGCTGCCGCTGCTGCTGCCACACGCCAGCTTCCGCCTTCTCCCTTCACCCTCATCCTGCTCCTCCTCCTCCTCCTCCACCTCCCCATTAAGCACCTCCTCCTCCTCCTTTATCCCCAGAGGCGGTTGCTGCTCTCCCTCTACCACCCCCGCTCCTGCCACGCCCCCGTACTCCAGCCAGTCGCACGCCGCCACCTGCACCGCCCGCCCCACCCCGGGCAGGTGGGAGTTGAGGGAGACGTTGTGAGCCAGCCAGGCTAGGCCGCCGCCCGCCTCCTGCTCGGTGAGGACAACCTGCATGGGTGCGTGTATGTTGAGAAAACTGACAGCGAGTCGGAATGCACTGCGATTGCCGGAAGATGAAGTCCCCCCCAAAACGCCACGGGAGACGTGGTGGTGGTGGTGGTAGTGGTGGTGGTGTGTTTGTGTGTTGGGGGGCGCAGGGGGGCGCAGGGGGGTGGCTAGCTGTGCAGGGCTGACACTGGTAGCCAGGCACACCACCGTAGCTGCGATGGTGGTTAGCTGTGATGGTGGTGCAGATGAGCAATATCGACTGACTGACAACATCTTCGTTCCGACATCGCCTCTTCCTGCCTTCACATGCAGACTACCCACCCCAGGCCCCACCTCACCTTGCCTGCATGCGGCAGGTTGCGGGCCAGGGTCATGCCCAGCCAGCCCAGACCCGAACCCAGCTCAAGCACCCGCAGGCCGGGCCGGTGCAGCTGCAACTCATCAGACATCTCCTCGAGGAAGGAAGCCAGTCTGTGGGCGGGAAGCGTAAACGGCAATCGCAGCTTGGGGTTGGTCGGTGTTGGGGGAGGGGTCTGCAATGGAAGGGATGGGTTGATTGGAACGCGCCTGCGTGCAGCATCCCAGACGCGGCCTCCTGTCGTTGTCAGCGCAGCATGCTGGGTGACTATGTCGTAAACCCAATACTGAGTCTGCTTGTTTTCGCGTTCGGAGCCTTCTGCGCAGTCCATCTAGCCCAACGAAAAGAAGTGTAAAACGAATTGTAAGCTGCGAAGTAGGATAATGGGATCACGACTGTAAAGTTCGATAAAACGCCGTTGTAACTAGACCGACCGACGGCACCGACCTGCTGCGGCTCCGTACGTCTACAAGCAGAGTACGGAACACGCGGTCTGTGCAATCGGTGCTGCACCAGCGACGCGCAAAATCGGTTTCGTTAGAAAGCGTTGGAACTTAAACACGTGGCGTATTTCAATTGCAGCACATTGTCAAGTGCCTTACTACTTTGCTTGCCGTTTGTCGTTAGAGGCCGTGTCGAATTCATATACGTAGCCCAACGACTAAGTATTCTTCTGCTATGTCAGACGACTAACTGTGGCAGAGCTGGGTTAGAGGTGCCAGGATGGGCAGATGAGGGGCCGTGCCCATGAGAACCCACCAGCAGCAATAAATCTGTAGCCTTACAAAAAGAGTAGAAGGATTGCTGGTGCGCCATGCATTATAAGCGCCGTCTAGCGCGACTCATCGCGCTGTTGCTGTTCGCTCGGCTTGCAGCTAGCTCTGGAAACAGGCTGCAGGCAGTTGCAGCAGCTAATAAACAACGTTTTCTATCGGCACCGGCGGCTGATCAGGGGCGCCTTACAAGGGCTGTAAGGCGACATGTGCTTGCACATCGCAGTAGCGATGGGCAACGTGCGCTGCTTTACTGGGACACCCAAGGCAACCTGACCGTACATGGCGCTGGGAGACAGCTGACACTCAACACCAGCACCCATCCTGATGTGCGGCTGGACCACCTGTTTGTACCACTCAATCGCAGCTGTCATCCCGACTGCACCAAGCGTGGGAACTGCAATGCTGAGGAGGGCCGATGCGAGTAAGTGGCGAGCACAACTCCAATACTTCCATTAGAAAGCTCCCATCCTTGGCATGTGGGAGATCTTTCCGTTTTTAAGTGTTGGAAACAGCTCTCCGTAAAAGCCACTCCTTCCTTCCCATCGCTCCTGATCACCATTGCTCCCCGCTCCCCTCTCCCCTTGCTTTCCCCTCCGACAGGTGCCCTTTCGGCTACACAGGTGAGGGGCTGGTGGGGAACGCGTCGCAGCAGGGGCAAAGGGAGGATTTCGGGCAGCAGACGACCCTGCAAGACACATGCGGGGAACTATCCCAAGAGCAGCAGCTAAGCAGGCGGTTGGCACGTGGTGCCTCACTTCTCATCCTCTCCCCTTCCCCTTGCCCTCCTCCTCCCTCGCTCCCTCGCTCCCTCCCTCCCACTTCCCCCCGCCCCCGCCCCCGCCCCCCCAGGCCCCACCTGCTCCGACCCCCTCATGCCCGCCTGCCAGCTGGGCCCCCTGCTCGAGCCCTTCTTCGGCTTTACCGTCCCGCGCAGCTGCGAGTGTGTACGGCAGGCGCGCACCTTCTTCGGCTGCAGCGATGGCGGGGACACGTGCACCCTGAGCAGCTTCGGATTCCGGGACGTCTTCTGCTACCAGGTGGGTAAAAAATATATAAGGAGACACTGACGAAGCAACTGACGAGCTACCAGGTGGGGGGGAGGGAGGGGTGAAAAGAAGGAAACTGACGTGTGTGGGGGGTGATGAGGAGGGAGGGAGGGGGGATGATGGAGTGGGGGGGGGGTGCGGTGGATATGGCCATGGCCCCTCCACCACCCTTTCCCGCCCTCGCCTTCCCATGTGCCCACCCGCCCACCTGCCCCTACTTACCTCCCTGCCCCGCCATGCCCCCACCTTGCCCCCCCACACCCACCCCCACCCCCACCCCATGCAGTACCCCGACCGGCCCCCCGGCGAGCAGTGGAGCCTCATGCCCGAGCTGACCACCCCGGGGGTGGAGTACTTCCGGGGGAACGTACGGCAGGCGGTGGCGCTGCGGCCGCTGGCTGCGGTGGAGGGGGTGGCGGGGGAGGACTTGTGGGGCAAGTGAGTTTGGGGGGAGGGGGGGAAGGAAACGACTAACAAACCGTGTGTTGGGAGGGAGGGGTGTCAAAGTAAGGAAACTGACGAACTGTATGACGAGTTGGGAGGGGGGGTCAAAGTAAACCAAACCATAGGGAACCACGAATTTGGGCAAAACAGCAGGGGAAAGAGGCGGCAGGGTGCCACAGTGCAAAGGGAGGTTAGCGGGGAGGGGTAAGGGAGGCTTGCATGAGAGGGATGGGCTGCTGGGGCTTGGAAAGGGGAGGGAAGGAAGGAGGGCCGACACACCCTACACCCCTCTGTTCTTGTTGTTGCGCTCACCGCCGCCCTCTGCCCCCACGCCCCCGGCACCTGAACTCCTCTCCCCTCCTCTCCCCTCCGCCCCGCCTCACACCAACCCCCTCCTGCTAGCAATCATGTACTCATGCTGTGACCTCCCCCATCCCAATCACCCCACCTCCTTTGCCACTGCCGCCTCCTCCGCCGCCTCGTCCACTGCCGCCCCCTCCGCCGCCTCCGCCTCCAGCCACATCCTGAGCCTCCCTCTGGAGCGGTGCGGGGAGTCCAAGTGTCACGGCAGGGGGGCCTGCATCGTGCCATTGAAGGTGGGGGGTGGTGGTGGTGCGGGGGGTGAGGTTGAACATGGGTGTGCTGGGGTGAGGTGAGGTGGAGTGGGCTTGGGTAAGGTGGAGGAGGGGGGCTCCTACCCTCCTGCCCCTGACCCATGGGTTAGCTAGAGGCCACAAAGGTGCCGCACCTTCTCCTCCCACTCCCACTCCTCCCACTCCCACTCCCCCACCTCCTCCACTCCTCCCACTCCTAACATGGGGGGTCTAGATGTGTGCATGCATGTGTACATACATGTTATCACACCGCTCCTCCTCCGCACCCTTATTGCTCATCACTGCCAGTTCATGTTACAGCAGGAGGGTCGATCTATGGCCAGCACTCAGATCCCAGCCACCCATCCTGTAAGGAAGCGCCTTATAAAAAACCCTCGGCGAAACCCGCCCCCCGTCGAAGCCCCAATGTTTAAATTGCACTAGTGGCCGGAAGTGCAGACAGTCCTGCGTTGTTGCACCACGAGAAACCAACACCTCCTCAAGTAAAACTAGGCAAGAGAAAGTGGGCCCGGCTGGACACCATCCCAACACAAACCAACCACGGCCCGCCATGTAGGGTGGGTGGGCGGGTAGTAGGGCCACGTCCCGGCAGAGGGACGCACCTCATCAACAGGATTCTCTACGCAACGGCGGCACAGTTAGGGAAACAAGCGAGTGCAGCCGGTGAACAGACTGGGACCACAGGTTGCCGTACCACGCAAGCAGCGATGCCGTGCGTCCTGCTGTAAGCATTCCTGGCAGGTTCTTCGCAATAAGTGGACTTTGCTTTATCTCCGCCTCGTCAGGACTTAACCTCGACTACGAAATAAAAGTCAGCACATGTGCACCCCTCTTCCTCCTCCCCTCCTCCCTTCCCTCCCCCTCCTGCGGATTCTGTTTCCAAATTAACCCCCCCCTCCCCTGTCACACAACACGTTGGATATCCTCCTTTCCCCCCTCCCCTCCCCTCCCCCCCCCTCCCCTCCCTTGTTTCACTTATATAATTTCCCCCCCCCCCCCCCCCCCCGTCAGAGCACCTCTGGCACTGCCGTCCAGGAGGCCTCCTCGCAGTCGCCGCACTGCATGTGCTACAAGGGATACAAGGGGCACACGTGCGGGTGGGTTGGGGGGGGGCGAGGGGGGAGTGGGGGGGGAGAGGCCGAGAGGGGGCCCTCATGACCCCTTCCCTCCGCATGGGGTGCCGGTGTCGTTACCAGTGTCAGGGGTCTGCCTCCCCTGCCCCCCCTTCTCCTCCTCCTCCACCCTGACCTGTCCCGGCCCTCTCCCTCCCTCCCCGCATCCGCAGTGAGAGCATGGACTACCTGTGTCCGGGCGAGTGCAGGGGGCGGGGCAGGTGCAGTCGCGGCTTCTGCCACTGCGAGTGAGTCGGGGGGGGGGGGGTGGGGGGAGGCACAAAACACACACGCGGGTGGAGGGACACGCACACCGCGGGTTTTCGCAGCACCCGGGAGGAGGGGTGGGTGGGGGGTAAGGGGCAGAGGGAGAAAGCCCTGAGAGAGGAGGGGACGTCCCCGAAGATAGGGAGAACGTTGTGGTGGTCGGGTGGGGGGGGGTTAAGGGGAGAAGAGCGAGGTAAGGGGTAAGGGGGTTCTGCTGCCCCTCCTCCTCCTGCCCATCGTTTCCCTCCCCCGTGCCTCCATCCGCCTTAGCCGCCTCAGCAGTGTCCTTTCTTCCCCATAACCCCGTCCCCCCTCCTCCTAGCCCCTACCCTACCTCCCCCTACCTCCCCCTCTCCGCCCCCTCCCAGCCCCCCCTACTGGGGTTTGGACTGCAGTCGCGAGCACGCCTGGCAGCTCGCCCCCGGGGTGGCACCCGTACCCAACCGAGTGAGGCTGCGGATATACGTGTGAGTGGCGGGGAAGTAGCGGGGAGGAGGAGGGGCGGGGCGGGAGAGGGGAGGTGGGGAGGGGTGGTGTAAAGGGTGTGTATGTGGCATGTGCGTGCGCGCATGCGTGTGCCAGGGCTGTGGGCATGGGCTCCCTGCATTCATCTTTCCTCTTCCTTACCGCTGAACGGCTTTCCTCTCTCTCTCTCCCCCCCCCATCTTCCTCCTCCCGCCCCCCCCCCCCTCTCTCCCCCACACAGCTACGACCTGCCAGCCAATGTGGCCGCCCATGTGTCCCTGGTGGGTGGGGGGTGGGGTGGGGTGGGGGGTGGGACGAGGGAGGAGGAGGGGGAGGGAGGGAGGGCTGTGTTAGCACGGAACTGGCCTCGCGGCCTGTTCGCGGCCTCCCCTGTATGTGTGTGTGGTGTGTTTCGTGTCAGGGTGGGGTGTGGTGTGTTCCCACGGGGCCCTTTGCCTCCTCCTCCTGACCTCCTGACCTCTTGTCTGAAGCACACATCGGCAGTGCCCCCACCCCCCATTCCACTACCGCCCTGTCCTGCCCCAACTCAACATGCAACAACCTCCCTCCCCCCCTGCCCCCCCTTCCCCCCTGTCCCCGGCCCCCTGCCACCCTCACACGCCTGCAGGATGACAACATCCACGACCTGAACGAGGGCTTCTACCAGACCCACCGCAAGTTCCTGGTGCGCTAGCAGGGGGGGGGAAGAGGGGGGGAAGGGAGGGAGGGAGGAGGGAAGGGAGGGAGGGGGGGTGAACAGGAAGAATGTGACGAGCTGTGTGTGAGGGGCTTGGGGGGGGGTGGCCTGTGGGGGGCTGGGGGGAGGAGGCGGTGGTGCCCGGGGGTGGTGGCAGTGGTGGGTGTTGGTAAGGAAGAGGGAACTACCCGGTCACTGTGTGACCCCTAGCAACCCTAGCCACCAGGGGAGCCTCCTCTCCTAACTCGCTGCCTCTCCCGCTGCCTTCGTGGCCCCGTCTTCACACACCCCCTTCACTCCCTTCTTGCCCCCTCCCCCCCTCCCTCCCCCCCTCCCCCCCCCCCTCCCCCCCCCCTCCCCCCTCCCTCCCCCCCTCCCTCCCCCCCTCCCTCCCCCCCTCCCTCCCCCCCCTCCCTCCCCATCGCTCAGGAAATGCTGCTAATGGACCCGGACGTGCGGACTGGTGAGGCGGGAGGACCGGGAGGGGGGCCGAGCAGGGCAGGGTAGGGCAGGGCAGGGCAGGGCAGGCCAGGGGGAGGGGTCACAAAGGAGAGCGAGCACCCAGCCGACGGCACATCCCGCAACTCCTCGTCCCCCCTACCCCTCCCTCTTTTACCGTCCTTCTCACACCCTTCCCCCTCCCTCCCCCCCCCCCCGTCCCCCTCTCCCCCTTATTCCCCCCTTTTCCCCTCCCCCAACCCCCCCTCCCCCCCAGAGAACCCCCATGAGGCCAACCTCTTCCTGGTGCCCGCCAACGCCTACTCCTACTCCTCCAACACCAACCCGCCCGCCAACCAGGTGGGGCGGGGATAGGGGGGCGGGAGGCGTGTTCAAAACAGACCAAACCTTGTGGATTCATGAGTTATGGCAAAATAATGGGGGCAGGCCGGGGAAAGGGAGGGCGGGCGCGCTTGAGGGGGGGAGTAAGCTGGGGACCTGGCAAGAGCACAACACACAGCGCGGGAGAGGGGGGCGGGCGCACACGAGTGCTTCCACAGCCGCTACCCCAGCTACCCCGGGACATCCCTCCAACCCCTCTCCTCCACCTCCTCTCCCGCCCGCCCCTCCTCCACCTGCCCCCTCCCCTCCCCCCTCCACCTCCCCTCCCCCCCATCAGATCGCCTCCGCGCTGACCTACGTGGCGCACAACTACCCCTGGTTCAACGCCAGTGGGGGCCGGGATCATGTGGTGTGGACCACAGGTGGGGTGGGGGGCGGGTGCGGGGGAGGGGGAAGGAAAGGGAGGTGGGGCACCGTTAACAGGCGGGGGCGGCCGTGGAAGGCGTGTAGCGGCGTGGAGGCGTGTATAGGTGTGCCTGCACGTCGTGCAAGGCCCTTCGCTCGCCTTGCCTTGTCTTGCCCTGTTGTCTTTCTCCGTCCGACCGTACCGGTACCCAGCAAACGTCCGGGGCTCGCCTCACGCCCCACTCTGCACGTACGGTCAATGCACCGGGGCGCCCTAACCTTTGCCGTAAACCTAACCCCTACCGTGGACCACAGGTGGGGGGGTGAAAACAGACCAAACCATAGTAAACCACGAATTAGGGCAGAGGAATGGAGGAGCGGCGTGGAGGGGTGTGTAGAGGGGTGTGCCTGCATGGCATGAAAGCGCTGCGCCGCTGTGCCCTTCGCTCTCCTTGATTTGCCTTATTGTCTTTGTCCGTCTGGCCGGCTGTACCAAACGTCCGAGACCCGCCGCCTCCCCACGCCGTACGGTCATGCCGCCATGGCACCCTAAGCTTGGCGGTTGGGGCACCCAACCCCGACCCCGACCTCTAACCCCCGCCCTGGTCTCCTTGCTTTTACCCCTTTCCTTTCCTCCCCCTACCCCCACCCGATCCAACACCTCCCCACCCCCCCACCCCTACCGCCCAGGCGACCGCGGCTCCTGCTACACTCACAAGAATGTGGGTGCTGTTGGGGCAGGGGGAGGTGGAGACTAATCTGTCGCTGCTGTTAAAAACGGCGTGTTAGGGCACATGGGTGCGCTTTCTCCGGACATTGCCGTGGATTGTCCCAATTTCTCTCGCCCTCCCCACCTCCCTCTCCTCCTCCCCCCACTCCCCCGCTCTCCCCCCTCCCACCCCCGCAGCTCTCCCACGTCATCTTCGTGACGCTGTTCGGGCTGCATGCGGACCTGCGTGAGGGCGGCAGCACCTTCCTGCACCCGCTGCCCACCCACCCCGGACACGGCTGCTACCACCCCATGAAGGACGTGCTGGCGGCGCCGCTGTGAGGCTGGGCGGGGGGAAGGATGGCGGGGGGGGGGGTGTGCAAAAAGAGGGAAACTGACGAGCTGTATGACGCGGCTTCACGCCACCGGGGTTGGTATTTGGGCCCGGCCCATCCCACCCCTCCCAGGGCGCCTCTGTGGGGACTTCATCTTCCGGCAATCACAATACGCCCCGACTCGTGGCCCAGTTTCCTTCCGGAAACACGCGCGCACATGCACCCACATGTCTCACCAACCCGCCCCCATGCAATGCCCCCGTGTGTCCGCCTCCCAACGCAATGTCGTACATCGTACTGCTGCAGGTACGACTACTTCATGGACAACAAGGATGCTGTCAAGCTGTACAACGGAGTGCGGCTGGCGGGCGGGGAGGACGCCAAGAGGGACCTGCTGTTCTTCTTCGCAGGTGAGGTGTGCGTGTGTGTTGTGAAGGAAACTGTCCGCGAGTCGGAACGTACTGTGATTGTGTGTGTTGTGAAGGAAACTGGCCGCGAGTCGGAACGTACTGTGATTGTGTGTGGGGGGGGATGGGGGGGTGGGAATCAGGTAAGGGGACTACCGGTGGCCTGCATGCATGCAGACCACCCGACGTCCCCCTGCAGCCCCTCGCCACCACCCGTCTAGTGAGCACCGCCGCCCTCCTCACCTCATCTCGTGTCACCACCCTCACCTCACCCTCACGCGTTGCTACCCCTCCCCCCCCGGGTCGGGCTGGCTCACATGTTGCAACCCATGTTGACGCCTTATCCCTCAGTCAGTTAGTTGTTTCCTCTTTACCCCCCTCCCCCCCCCCACCACCACACCCACAGGTTCCGTACGCCCCAATGATAAGGTGTACAGCGGCGGAGTACGGCAGTCCCTTTCCGTACACCTCAAGGAGCTGGTGACGGGGCCCCATGCGGCCAACTACTCGGACGTGCTGTTCATTGAGGGTGAGGAGAGGGCTTCGGGGGGGTGCTGCTGCTGGGGAGGGTGCTGCTGCTGGGGGGGTGCTGCTGCTGGGGAGGGTGCTGCTGCTGGGGGGGGTGCTGCTGCTGGGGAGGGTGCTGCTGCTGGGGGGGGTGCTGCTGCTGGGGAGGGTGCTGCTGCTGGGGGGGTGCTGCTGCTGGGGAGGGTGCTGCTGCTGGGGGGGGTGCTGCTGCTGGGGAGGGTGCTGCTGCTGGGGGGGGTGCTGCTGCTGGGGAGGGTGCTGCTGCTGGGGGGGGTGCTGCTGCTGGGGAGGGTGCTGCTGCTGGGGGGGGTGCTGCTGCTGGGGAGGGTGCTGCTGCTGGGGGGGGTGCTGCTGCTGGGGAGGGTGCTGCTGCTGGGGGGGGTGCTGCTGCTGGGGAGGGTGCTGCTGCTGGGGGGGGTGCTGCTGCTGGGGAGGGTGCTGCTGCTGGGGGGGGTGCTGCTGCTGGGGAGGGTGCTGCTGCTGGGGGGGGTGCTGCTGCTGGGGAGGGTGCTGCTAGGAAGTCCTCTGGAAGGGGAGAGAGGGGATGGGTGCTGCGACTGTTGTGTCCCCGTCTGTCCAATCCTCTAAACACCTGCACCCCGCTCCCCCTGCCCCACCCTCCTCTCAGTCCCTGTCCCACCTGAACATGATATGCATTGCTGCACACCCATTACGGCCCTACACCCGCCCTGTACTCCCAACCCGACATTGCCCCCCCTTCCTCAACACCCTCTCTCCTCCCTCCCTGCCCTCCCACCCACCCACCCTCGCCAGGCTTCACCCCCGACTACGAGTCGCTGCACCGGCGCTCCAAGTTCTGTCTGGCGCCCCACGGAGCTGGTTTCGGAGTGCGGCTCACCACCGCCATGACACACGCCTGCGTGCCCGTCATCATTCAGGTACCCCCGGGGGGTTGGGGCCAGGGAGGGATCGCAGACCATACCAAAACCACAGGTTAGGGCAAAGCAATGGGGATAATAGAGGGAAGCAGTTTGTCACGACAGAAAAGAGGGTTACAGGTACGGGGGAGGGCAGGGCAGGGCAGCCTGCCGCTGCTTGTAGCACCCGAAAGTTCCCTACAACCCTCCTAACCCTGTCCTTCGTCACCACCCACCATACCAGCCATCCCCTTCTAACCCCCGCTCGTCCCCCCCCTCCCGCCCAATACACACGCACACGCACACCCTCCTCCCCCCCCCAGGACCAGGTGTACCAGCCGTACGAGAGCGAGGGGGTGCTGCCGTACCACGAGTTCTCCCTGCGCCTGGGTCGGGCGGACATCCCGAACATTGTGCACATCCTGCGCAGCGTCACCCCGGAGCGCATGAAGGCCATGCGGCTGGCCATGGCCAACTATTACAGGTGGGTAGGGGGGTCAAAGACCAGGTACCAAACCATAGGAAGCCACAGGTTAGGGCAAAGCAGTGGTGGTAGGAGGCGGCAGGGTGCCACAAGACAAAGTGGTGGTTAGTATTCCCCACCGACACCCGCCTCCCTCCTCTCACCCCCTCCCTCTCCTCCCCTCCCTCCCAGGGCGTTCCTGTGGGACCCCCGCTCCGGCGGCCTGGCCTACAACTACACGGTGCTGGCACTGGAGCGGCGGCTGCACGGGGTGTGGGGCAGGCTGTGGCCGGGAGGGGAGCAGGGGCAGGGGCAGGGGGGACATGCAGGGCAGCAGCAGGTGGGGCGGCGGAGGGGGCTGATGCACCTGTGGCAGCACGGACAGCAGCAGCAGGATTAGGAGTAGTGGCAATAGTAGTAGTAGTGGTGGTGTTCGGGTAAGGGTTTAGGGTTTAGGATACGGAGCTTTTGCAATGAGGTAGCGACTCGTAGGCTTGGCGGCTGGGGGTTAGCAGTAGCATAGCTAGCACACTCGGTGGTGCGCCTAGAACGGGGCAGGCTAGCAGTCGGCAGCAGCAGCAGCAGCGAGCGGGTAGTGACATTTTTCTAAACGTATGGAAACGATGGCTGAAGGTGGCTATTTTGGCGGTTTTGTTGGCAATTGTGTGGATCTGCCGTCTGCCGTCTGCGCCACGTAGGAGCGGAGCGGGTAGGAGGAATAGCGGATGATGAGGTTTGACGGTGAGGAGACAGGAAGGTAACGGTCATTCACGATGGTATGTGTTGACACAACTGGCCGCAAACCCAATACTCGGCTTCAGAGTGGCGACTCAGGTGTGCACCTAGCTGTGTTGCGCGCAGACTGCTGTAGAGCCTGTCGTGTCAGAGTTGGGGCGAGAAGGAGGAGGAGGTGTGAAGTTGCAATGTGGAGGCCGCCTTGAGGATGGAAGGCAGGGGAAGGGAAGGAAGAGAGAAGGGAAAGGAGAGGGGGAAGAAGGGGTAGGGGTATAAGGGAGGGACAGTGTCGGCTGATGAGACGTTGGGCTCTCTCTCTCCCGTCACCTGAGGGGCTGGCGCATGGCCGCTTGCCTCTTTGCGTGCGCCCGTAATATAGCGGTATAATACAACTGGCAATGCACGAGCTGGTGCCCGGGTACTGCCGTACTACTTGAAAAGGGCGCTCAAGGTGCTCATTATTGATGTGGTGTGGCTGTAGTAGCGTGTAGGGCTCTGCTCGTCACGCAATGTGACAGCTGACGATGACCAAACGCGTGTGACCGGAAGCTGCTTTTGCTGCGCAGCTGCGGAGGGGTGTGTCTTGCGGTGGGCTGACAGGACGTGGCTGCTGCGTGTGCGGTGTTCGTGTGCTGCTGGAGGACAGGGGCGGGCGCAATCCGGTCTTGCTTTTTGATCCGCTGCAAGCTGCAAGGCAGCACAAAGCTGAGGTGGGGTTTGCAGAGCTGCACCAGCCGCACCAACCGGCACAGCCGCGTTCGCGTGTGCCCTCGTGGTTGGCCCGCCTGCATCCAGGCATGTTGCCCATAACCCAGAATCAAGCAGTGACCAAAACTCAAGTTAAATCCAGGACTACCTCTCAGAATTGTAAACAGGATCGTCCCTTTGCAACCCAGGTCACAACTACCAGATGACTGAGCTTATATCATTGTCTATGCGCAATTGACACTTCCCCTTGCTTCGTTACTCTCTATTGCAGTTGGAAGGAACGCACGCTATCGTATGAACAGCAAACTTGTCGCAAGAAGGGCACTCAAAAGGAGAAAAATAAAATGACTACTCGTATTGGATCGTTAGTTTATGAATAAGTATAGAGGAGTGCGCCCCGTCTTTGATGCTGGTGACGTACGCGCAACACCTGTACGGCGGCCCGGAGTGCCCTTCACGGCAGGGGCCATGTGACAAAGCAGTCCACACCAACTTGACGAAATCTGGGTTCATGCTGACGCCTTGGTATATACGCCTTATATACTAAAATTGACTGCTTCGTTTGTGTGCTGCTTGTGTTCTCCCGCTTTACTTGCAACGAATGCGGAGATAGAAACATTACTCCTGTCTTGGCCATGCCTCATCTGTAGTACATTGAAGCATCATGAAATCGAACGAAGCGACACCGACGTCTCCGGCTCTCGTCAGCGCTACTAAAGCTGGCATTACAGGAGTAGGGAGCAATGGCAAGCTAAAGCATAGTCCATCTCTTTTGTTCGACATCTTGGTAAGTGTAGTATTACAACTAAAGCATTGCCTTGGAACTGCTGTCAATGCACCACCGTATCCTTGCGCCTCACGACACAAACCGAATGCATTTTGTATCATAGCCATCGTCATAGCCATCGTTCACTGCGTTATTTTGATGACCGTTTTACCCCTCATTAATTCCTGTCCTGTATCCGGCATTGCCTAGTGTAAGCGCTATCATGAACCCTAGCTGAGAGCTGCTTGTCCATGTCAATTACTCTTCCACCACCCGGTGACCTATAACAACCCTTCCAGATTGCTATGCCAAAAAGATAATCCTATCAATAGTCCCACATCTTCTTGGCGAGAATTATTCCCTTACCTTCCTCCATCTCTAGCGACCAACCAGCCTTAAGTCGTAAACCGAGATGCTACCGGTACCAACTTGCCATCATACCCGCATGACGCAATTCCCCCCAGCCCTCAACCCCCACCCCAACCTCCCTTTTCCCCAACCACCCTCCAGACTGAGGCTGACAAATCCAAGCAGCAACTGAAGATCCAGGGGGCTGCCAGATTAGGCACCATCAGCACACCCCTGGCGCACTCCTGTTTGAAACACCTTAACAACAGCAGCAACACCACCACCAACAACAACAACAGCGGCAACACCACCACCACCAACAACAACAACAGCGGCAACACCACCACCACCAACAACAACAGCGGCAACAGCAACAGATATGACTTTGAGCAACGTCGTCAAGACGAATCGCAACAACACCAGCAGCCACACCGACAGTCCCCACAGCCCGCTTCCTCCACGTCCCCACCAGCGGTTACCGCAGCAGCAGCAGCACTACCAGCAACAGCAACAACAGCAACCTCATCAGGTCAGCTGGATACAACCGCCGCCGCTGCTGCTGCCGCACCTGCCCCGCTAGCCATATCCCCTGCCACCACCCCCACCGCTACCACGACCCAAGGCAGCGCCAGCAGCACCAACCTGCCTCCCGGGGACTCTTACCCTGGAGCCAGCAGGGGCACCCACCCCTCCTTCCCCCAGGGCTCCGCCCTCCCCCCGAGTGCCTCCTACCACCCAACAACAACCACCACCACCACCACTGGTACCTACACCGCCGCCATCACCGCGGCCAGCGCCAACAGCATCAGTGCTACGCTTGCGGCGGTAGGCGGCACCGCAACTGCAACCGCAACCACCGCAACCGCAACCGGTCAACTATACGGCGTCGTCGGCGGGGGTGTTGGCGGCGGCGGCGCTTGCAGCAGCGGGGTGGGTACTGCCCGGGGCGAGGACAGCAGTGCTGCTGCGACGGCGGCGGTGGTGGGTGATGCGACAGAAAGGGGGCAGGTTACGGGGATAGAGGAGGAGGAGGAGGAGGCTGCTGGGGAGCGGACTCAGCAGCAGCAGCAAGCCGCTCCTGTGTCGGGAGGAGCAGGGGCGGCGGGGTTGTTGGAGGAGGCGGGCGGTGATCCTGCTGCTGGGGCTGCTGGGGCTGGCACTGCCGTTGCCGCCCCTGCTGCTGGGGCTGCTGCCCCTGCTGCTGGGGCTGTGGGAAGCAGCGGTGAGGGCCCTATGGAGGAAGAGGCGGGCGGGGGTGAGGACCCGCTAGCGGAGTTCACTCCCCGAGTGATTCTGCAGGTGATCGGGATTGGGATCGGGAAAGGAGGAGAGTTGAGAGGAAACGGAAGGGAGAGAGACCGTGCGTGTCCCGTGGTTATCTGGGCCTTTTTCGCAAGGATGGCTCCTTTTGTGCTATGGTTACAGCCCGCTCTGTTACGTAAGGACGGTTGTAAAGCCCCGGCTCGCCCCTGCCGCCGGCAGCAACAGCAACAGCGGCACTGCTGCCCCCGTTCGTGACTGGCCGGCTATCCGCTGTTTCTGGAGTTACGTTGGCGGTTTGCTAGCAACGCCCATCCAAAATGCCTTTCCCCGTCTCTCCCCCTCCTTTCCCGCCCCCTTCCTCCCCCCCCAGGAGCTGCTAGGCGAGTTGTTCATCCCGCCCGAGCAGCTCACCGCGCAGGGCACCTTTGGGCAGGGGGCCTTCGCCACCGTGCAAAGCTGCAGGTGGGGTGGGTGGGTGGGGGTGGGGGTGCGGGTGTGGGGATGTGGCAGCGTGAAGGGGGTGCCGCTCATAGCTGGCTGCTCGTGACCCTCACTGGTACGAGCCGCGTGCCTGCTCAAGTGCCCATCCCCGGCCCTACCTTCTCCCCTCCTCCCATCCCCCTCCCCTCCCACCCTGTACGCGCCCCCAGTCTTGACGACCCCTCCGGCGGCCCCCGGCAGCTGGTGGCGGTCAAGTCGCTAAAGCCGGAGGTGCTGGCGGACCTGGATGACCTGAGGCGCTTCCTGCTGGAGGTGGGGGGGGGATTGACATTGAGAAGGGGGGGGGAGGGGGGGGTGACAACATAAATGAAAAGTGCAGCAGCTGTAAGTCCCAGTCCCATTGGAGGGATGGGGTGGGGTGGGGTGGGGGGGTTGAGAGGGGTTGTACGGCAAACCAAAAACACCCAACGTGCATGCAGTCCTTCGCAACCGCTGCGCCTAGCCGCCATCACTGTTACCCTTCCCATGCACTGCCCCGTGTAAACTGCCCCGCTTAGCCCCGCTGTCGCTGTCGCTGCCGCTGCCGCCGCTGTTGGGTCATGTTTCTGACGCTGCCCCCACCCCTGCCGCTTTGTCCTCCCGCTGCTGCTGCTGTTGCAATGCTGCACCTCCCTCCCTCCCTCCCACTGCACTCACACGGCTGCAGGCCAACCTGGTGCGCAAGCTGAGACACCCGTGAGTGCGGCGAGGGGGGGGGGCTGCGGGGACAACAGCCTGCATCGGGGGAGGGGTTAGCAAGTGGGGGTGCACGCAATGAGTTACCTACGGCTACCATGGTTGGGTGCGCATTGGTTAGGTACCTCCTCTACTTCGGGTCTAATGCAGTAAGACAGTAAGAGCTACCAGGCTAGGCCTACGGGGGCCCTTCCCTGCCCTCCCTCCAAACCTCCCTCCCTCCCTCTCACCCCCCCCTACCCACCCACTGTTGCCGTACATGCCGTACATACACACACATACACGCCCACCCAGCCACATCGTGTCGCTCCGCGGCATTGGCGCCCACGACCTGACCTCCCTGGAGTCGCTCCGCCGCTCCGCCTACGTGGTGATGGAGGGGCTGCAGGGGGGCGACCTGCGCATGATGGTGCTGAGACAGGTGGGGGTGGGGAGGGGGAGGGGGGGGAAAAGAAGAACACCCATTGTGTTTGAATGAGACTGACAAACAAGCCAGGTGGGGGGGGGTCAGAGGTACCGGTATACGAACCAGAACCACAGGTTAGGGCAAAGCAATGGGGATAGAAGGAAGCAGCGTGTCACTCTTTGCTTCACTTCTCATTTCATCCCCCCCTCCCCCAGATGACATGTCGCTCCCCCGCCTACTCCCGCCTGGATGCCCTCCGCTGGTGCTCCCACATCGCAGCCGCCGCCGCCTACCTGCACCACACCTGCAGGCCGCTCGTCATTCACCGCGACCTGAAACTGGAGAATGTGCTGTTGACGGGCGGACCCACGGACCGACGAGTGGTGAGTGGGGAGCGAGGGAGGTGGAGCGAGCGAGTGGGATAACCCTCCTAACAGCTGTGCATTGCAGTGCGAGTAGTGCGTGGTAGGTGCTATGTCAGCTTCTTCCCAACTATAACTGCCCCGCCGCTGCAACTACACTCCAAATGCCAATCAGGCCAAGATCACGGACTTTGGGCTCCACAAACGAGCCCGCTACAGCCGAACGGAGGACGTGTTGATTGCGGTGACTAACGAATGGAGCGTACGAGCGGGCAGCGTGTACCGGCAACAGCAGCTAGCGGCGGCGGCAATGCAAGGGGGACAGCAAGGGGGACAACAACAGCTAAACCCGCAGCAGCAGCAGCATAACCGGTTTTCGCAGCAGCAGGGGGGTTATTTCACAGGCGGAGGCTGCGGAGGCTGGGGCGGTGGTAACGCTATGCAAGATGTCAGCGGTAGCGGCAGGGCGGGGGAGAGATCTGTGTACGACGGAGGCAAGGACGTGTCGTACTATGGTGGCAGTGTGTATGCGGGTGAGATGAAGGGGGTGGGCAGTGGGGCGGTCGTGACCCGTGGGTCACCTCTGCCAGCGACCCAGGAAGCAGGGATCTTTTGCCATGAGCAACCTGCTTTGGAGAGCAAACCGTTGCCTGAAACGATATATATAAAATATATGCCCACGATTCTTTATCATTCGTGCCTTTTGCTCCCTGTCATGCGCTCCGTAGGGAACATGTTCTCAGGGGCCGCAGGAGGACCCTCCAACCATCGCGCAGGCAGTGGCCCCGCCGCCACTGCCAGCAGTCACCACCACCACCACAGCCAAGGCAGCAACCACCACCACCCTCATACCCAGCATTTCACCAGCAATAATCCGAGCCATCGCTCCCATCAGCAGCAGCAGGCCAACCGCAGCACAAGTGCGCATTACGCCGCACTAGCAGCGGCAGGCATGGCAGCGGCAGCGGCGACGGCGACGTCATCGGCGGCGTCGGCGGCAGACCCTTCTCTTGGGCGCGTCAGGGGCGGCGGCGCCGCCGCCAGCGCACTCGCCGCCGCCGCCGCCGCTGCTAATGCCAATGCCAACGCCGGCGGCGGCAGCCTTTCTCGAGTGCAGTCCAGGGAAGGTTTGGCAGCAATGGCGGAAAGCGGCCGTACGTCATTGTACGGCAACAACGGCAGCGGCGGCTTTGGCGACCGAGAGCGGCCGTACCTCCTCGCGTACGATAGAAGGTACGACATGCTCGAAAAGCTCGGAAGCAACGTCAAGAAGATAAGCAGCGTCAACAGCCTTACCGACTTGCATGAGGCCGCCGCCGTCGCCACTACCTCCGAGCCAACTTCTTCTTCAGCAGCAGCAGTAGCGGTGCCGTCGCCGCCGTCATTGCCGTACGGTCAGCCGCCTCCGTCGCCCCCAGGTTTGTCGACTCGACCGCCTAACGGCTGGGCGCCGCCGAATGTCGTACCTCCCGCCGCCGCCGCCGCCGGCATGGAGGAATCCGTACATCGTAAGATGATGGCGTTAATGGCGCTGGAGGCGGCGGCGGCGGCGACAGCGACGTCGTCGGGAATATCGGCGGCGGAGGGCACGATGACGGCGATTCGGAGCTCTCCGAGCTGTTGTGAGGGCAGTGTTGGTGGTGGCGGTAGTGTTGGGATGCAAGCTGGAATGGGAGGTGAAGGAAACGATGCGACGGTGGCGGGCCGCGGGGGCGAAGATGAGGCGCCGTTTTCAGTTACGGAGTATGTACGAGCAGCAACTGCTGCGGCGGCGGCGGTGGCGGCGGCGGCGGAGGGAGGAGGAGGAGGAAGAGCCGATGGTGATACGACAGGTCAGGACCGGCCGTCCGCTGTCATGATCATGCGGTCTATGAACCTTGCATTACAGCAGCAACAACAACAACAACAGCAACAACAACAACAACAGCAGGAGGCACAGGAGAGGAGCTACCACGGCGGCGGCGGCAGTGCTGCTGAGCACCAGCAGCAGCAGCAGCTATCGCTACCGCCGGCAGCGCCTGCAGCAGCAGCACCCCCCTGCCTACCTCCACCTCCTCCTCGCCCCACTTCTACCTCCACCTCCTCCTCGCACTCCCACCACCATCACCACCATCCTTCTCACATGAAGACCGTTCCGGAACACAACCGAATGAGTATGGATGTAGCCTCCCTGCCCAAATTTAGAGCTGGCGGCGGTGGCGGTGATGGTGGCGTCAGAGGCGGTGTCGGCGGCAGCAGCAGCCATGGAGGCGGCTCCGGAACCCCACCTTCAACGCTGGTGGGTCGTGCGGAGGCTGTGACGGCTGCCCCCACTGCGACTGCTGCTGGCTCAAACAGCAAGGCGACGACGGCGGCGGCGCCAGCGACAGTGACAGCTGCGGTGGCGGCGGCAGCGGCGGCAGGCGGCGGTTCTGTCCGGAGGGATGCAGGGGGGGTGAAGGGGCAGCGGGAGGCGTACGCTTCTGCGGCGGCTCGGTTGGCGGACGCAACTCGGCAGGTGTGGTGGAGGGGCGGGGGCGGGTGCCCGACCAGGTCCCTCTCCCACGCCCGCCTGCCCCGTAGCCCTCCAGCTGTTGTTGCCTACTTGGTCGTATCCTTCCCCTTCTCCACCTCCACCTATCTCTTTCCATCCTATGTTCATGTCCCCATTGCTTTGCCCCAACCTGTGGTTTCCCGTGGTTTGGTATGGTCTTTGATCCCTGCTTCCCTTCATCCCTATGAATCCCCCCCCCCGCCCTCTCCCCCTCCCCCCGACAGGTGGGCAGCCTCATCTACATGGCTCCCGAGCTCGTGCTATCCGGGAACTACAACGAAAAGGTGGGTGAAAGTAAGGAAACTGACGAATTGTACGACTGGGCGGGAGGGGGGGGATGCAGATGAGCTACAGCAGGGCGGGGAGCAGCAGCAGAGGGAGCAGCAGCAGGAGAGGGAGAGGGTGGGAAGCAGAGCAGCAGGAGGAGGAGGCTGCGAACCTCGCGTGTTCCCGCCTCCCATCTGGCCTTGACAACAGCTTCAACCCCCATGCTCCTCCCTGCTGCACGCTGCCACCCACAGGCAGATGTGTTTTGCTCCCCGTGACAACTCCTTCTAATCCCCCCCACCGCATTGAGTAATCCCTTCCCTCCCACTGGCTTAGCTAATTCGGGCTGGGCGGGTCGGGCTGGCTCACATGGTGCAACCCATGTTGACGCCTCATCCCTCAGTCAGTTAGATGTTTCCTCTTTACACCCCCACCGCATTTCGTGTTCTTCTTTCCCCACCACCTCACCACATTGGGTCTTCTTCTTTCCCCACCACCCCACCCCAGGTTGATGTGTTTTCCTTTGCCATCATGGCCTACGAACTCTTCACGGGCAAGCTGCTGGCGATCAAGGTAAGGGTGCCTTTAGCGGGTCAGCGGGGGTGTGGCGAGGGCGTGTGTGGCGAGGAAGTGTGCTGGAAGTGTGCTGGCGGGTTAGGAGGTGGGTTTAGGAAGAGGCACGCAGCAGCATACCGGCACCTGGTAAGGGCGGTTCTGATGCACACCCCGCCCAGTCTTCGCCCATTGCGCCCGTCTGACCGTCGGGGGGTATTGTCCTTTTGTCCATCATTCCAGCTCCGATGCTCATACCCCTCTTCTCACGCTCCCCCGCAGGTCGCCCATGAATTCGCTTTCCGCCAAATGAAGTCACAATCCCAACACCGCCGCGACAACAACAACAACAACAAGAACAACAGCAGCAACCCGCAGCAGCAGCAGCACCACCCCAGCAGCTCCCCCCTGCCCCCTGCGGAGTCGGACGCCGAGGCGGGAGTCATGGCGTACGTCATGCGTCGAAGGTACGGCAACTACTCTCACGCAGCATGTGTCCTCCACGATACCGTCACTCCGTGTACCGGTATCATGCATGCTGCTCAAAACCCATATACCGCATGCTGCGAGGGTTGCCCGGGCGCCCGACCCGCCACACCACGTCTGCGCGGCATGCATGCCGGTATGCCGTACGTTCACTGTGCACATCTCGTCTCGTCACGCTTTTACCGGCTGGGCGCCGTACACTGCCGTACAAGCATATGTCATTTACTGGTATAATGCCGTACAATCGTACATACACATCCCAGTTGCGGTGGCGAGCGGGAGGTGCTGCCGGGTTGGTGGCCGGAGGAGCTGCGGGGGCTGCTGGGCCGCTGCTGGGCGCATGACCCCGCGGAGCGGCCCAGCTTTAAAGCGGTGAGGAGGAGGAGGAGGAGGAGGTGGGGAAAAAGAGGGAACTGACGAGAGCTGTTGTCATGGGGGCCTCGCCATGGGGTTGGCTACATTGGACCCCCCGGCCCGTGGGGGAAAAGGGGAAGGGGTTGTTTCACCGCTAAAGACAGCAGGGGCAGGGGTGAGAGTGGTGCCCGTGGAGGCCGGTCATGCGGGTCCTTCCGTCCTTTGCTCACACCCTTCAAAACCCTCAAGCCCTGTCATGTCTGTAAGGTGTGTTTGTTTGCCTGCCGTACAACCTCCTCCTCCGTGCGTCCCGTACCGGTACTCCCCTTCATGTCACCCTCCGCCTCCTCCTCTCCTTTCCTTGTATCTCTCCTTTTCGGGTCGGGCTGGCTCACACATGTTGCTGCAAACCGTGATGACGCCTTACCACACGTTCAGTTAGTTGTTTCCTCTCCTGCTCCTGCTCCTCCTCCTCCCCATCCTCTCCTCCTCCTCCTCCTCCTCCCCTAATCCCTCAGTCAGTCAGTTGTTTCCTCTTTACCTCCCCTCCTCCTCCTCCTCCGCAGATCCACTCCGAGCTGCTGCGCATGCAGTCGGAGGGCGCCCTAGCTGGCATGGACTCCAGGGACCCCGCGAGGGCACCCGGGTGCGGCTGCTGCATCAGCTAGGGGGGGGGTGCATGCGTCAGCTAGGGGGGGGGGGAGTGCATGCATCAGCTAGGGGGGGGTGCATGCGTCAGCTAGGGCGGGGATATAAGGAAGCTGACGAACTCCTTCAGGGGGGTCCAGCGGGGGGGAGTGCATGCGTCAGCTTCTCAGGTAGCGGATGTTGCTACTACTAGGTGTGCCATTTTAGGTGCCGTTTAGGTGCCATTTCAGGTGCCGTTTTACAGTGGGGCTGGTTGAATGCTGTACGACACACACCGGTGAACACATGTACATGTATACGACAGAAGCTTCACCCTGTGGTAGGGGGAAAGGTCTCGAAAGTTACTGTTGTAAAACGTTTTTAGGGTGCTGTCGCGAACTAATTAGCAGTGTTGTGGATACTGCATCCTCTCGAATACGTACATCGCTGTTACTTTGGAGTTGCGTGGCTCGGCTTTTGTCTTCCACGGACTGTGTCATGGACGTTTTCGAATTTGGTTCGGTGGTATCCTCCCATGGTGGCAACGTGGACAGCAATGTGGATGGATGTCGTTTCACTTGTCCGGTAGCCGTGCATGGCTTAATCCAGCAAAGTCGGGCACGTATGCTGTGATAGGCATGGAGTAGGACCTGGAGAGTTGGGGAGGTGGTAGCATAACCAGGCCAATAAGAGGCAAGTTAAGCAGTGTGGGGCATTTGGGTCACATTGGGCACTCCTGAGTTGCGTTGTGGCGCATTAGGCACCTAAACCAAGAGGCGGCATTTACCGAACCCACCATTGTACCAAGTCAAGTTAGCAGCCTTGGTGTGATCAACCGTGGTCCAAGTTAGGAGGCGCATGTGCATGTGTTTGTTAGGGCTTCGGGTTTTCGGAAGCGGTGTGGGGCGATGCAAGGTGAGGCGGTGCGAAACTACGCCCCAGAGATATCAAGCTGCGTTTCCCGAAACGAGATAGGGGCTTTGAAACTGTGGTAGGCAACGAAAGCAGTAGGCGTCGCCGAACATCGGTGTCAAAGGGTAAGCCAAAGAAGGCATGCAGACCAGGCTAAATCGTAGGGCAGAATTTGGGCACATGTAGGGGAATGGAGCGGCATAAAGAATGGTATACCAGCAGGCGGGAAGCGGTATTGTGGTCGGCAGCACCCACTAAAAGCGTCAGGCCCTTCCCAATATTTATTAGCAATGGCACGTCGCACATACAGCAGATCGCGAGTGTGTGCCGTGGCAGGGGAGCCGTGACTGGGTTATTTCGGGTCACTTTGTGAACGACGTGACGTACAGAAGTTCAAAGCATGGCGAGGACCCAAAACCATGAGAACTAGAGCGATGTTGCTTCTCAGATATGGGAAATAAACATCTAGAATTTGTCCCAATGAAACTGAAGATGTCGTACAAAACAAGAGGCCTTTCCCGTCGCAGCTAGCTGCTCCTGCCCACTCGCACACGGCAATTGTCTGCCACTAGACGTAGTTGTTAAGTGTGTGGGGCCATGTGGCCTTCGCTGCATGCAGCCGCGCACCAAACGGTGCCCGCACACAAGTGCGCAGCCCAGGCGGGCTGCGAAATAGGGCTTGCCAGTGTTCTGTAAGCCTACTCTACCTTTAGAAGGACGATGACTGACTGAGGACCTTGCGTTCTGTGCTCCTGGTCCCGCTTTTCCTTGACCTTAACGCTGTCTGCCATTTCGGTATTGAAGCACCTTCTGGCAACAACTATAATAGATAGGAGACGCACGTGTGGAGCCAGCAAGGTGTGCAATCTGGAGCTTGGCCGGCAAGATCGTGTATGGGCCATTTCACCGCGCCACTTAGTTTCAATCCTTGCCCAAATTTGTCCCAGACAGTCGCTCAGATAGGTGGCATGCAATTTTTAATCTTCCGTTTCGTGGGCTGATTGGAATTTGTGGCACCCCCTGCAGGCTCGCAATCGTGTCCTTTGCCTCCTGGCGGGGTAAAGAGGGAGTGGCGCTCCTTTTTAAGCAAAAACTCCGCTCCGTATATTGTGGAGTCCTCGTATCGATTCTGCGCTGTGGAACCTGCAGTTTGGCGACTGTCATTCGCGTAGCAGATCCTTCAGCCACTAGCGCCAAGCAGATCTCCCGAAATCTTGGCGCTCCTTAGCAGTTAGTAAATATATAGACACCAGCCCATTCCCTAACCAGATATCGCCTCAGCATGGCTGCCGCAGCCGCCGGTGCTGCAGCAGCGCAGAGCTTCCTGGCTGGCCATGAGAACAGTCTCGCGGGGTTGATGCAAGAGCTCGGCTATGGTGTCTCTGCGGATGAGGCTTGCTTCAAGGCTCTGCTGCGAAACCTGCCGGAGCCCCCATCGGAGCAGACCATAGCCGATGTGCTGCTTCTTATGGCCCGCACGCACACCGGCCTCAAGGAGCCTCAGCCCGGACTGCAATCCGCACTATGGATGGCTCTCGTACTGGGAACTCCACCTCCCGAGGCAGCTGCGTTGACCACATGGAACTGGCCGCTGGTCGTTGACTGCCTGAAGTCCAGCCTCCCAGGCAGGATCAGCTGGTCAAAGGTAGCCGAATGCCTCGACACCGAGCGCTGCGTGCTGCCGGATGCGCCCGCCTTCACGCTTCTGGCCTCCGCCTACCGTCGCGGTGCGGGTGAGCAGCTACCCATAGCCGCCCTCACGGGTCGGCTGTGGAAGTTTCCCGCCTGCCAGCTATCGTTGCTGAAGCTGGCTGCGGCCGCGCCTCCGGACGTGTACAGCTTTGAGGGCTCGAAGCGCATCGTGAGTCCGCTGGAGGGCATGAACATTGCGGCTCTCAGTCCCAACCGAGCTTGGGCGTCCATCGATCTGCTGCAGGTATGAGTGGGCGTGTGTTAAGAACACTGGCCGCGAGTCGGAACGTATTGTGATTGGTATGTGTGCGTGTGTGTGTTTGGGGGGAGGGGAAGAAGGGCAGGGCCATGTGGGCGCTTGAAGGCACGTTCATGCGCACACCGGGATCGTTCATTGAGAGCAACATTTTTGCTAGAGGAGGTGCTTACTGCGTGTCTAGAGTTCGAGCTGGACTTCCGTTAGGGCCGTCCTCTGTTGAGCTGATGGCTTCCACTAGCTCCCGTACAAAGAGTTACCTCTCTCAAGGCTTACCAACTTACCAGAATGCTAAGCGCTGTCCTCTCTTCTCCCTCCTAATCCCCCCACACAGGCCCTATGTCTCCTCATGGAGGCCGCAGCGCTGGTGGGTCCCGCTCGTGACGTGCTGCAGTACCCCGCCTCCGCCTGCCCCGACCTGCTGCTCGTTTGTATTGCGGAGACGCGCACCACCTGGAACCTCCTGATGCGCGACGTCTTCGCGGCGCTGCTGCCGCCACACGTCAGCATGGCCGCGCAGCCACCCCCGCCCTCGGGCGCAGGTGCCGGAGCCGGCGCGGGAGCCAACGGTGGGCCGAAGTCGCGCAGTCGGGAGATCATTGCGCGCATCTGGGCTGCCGCGCCGCCGGAGGTGCTGCTGGATCTGCTCATTGAGCTGTACCAGCAGGATCCGACCCACATGACGCCGCGCATCGCCAAAGTGTGCTTTGATCTGGGCATGCTGCCGAATGTGGGTGCGAGGGAGGGAGAAAGGAGGCTGGAAGGGGGGGGGCGCGTGTTAATTTGCTGTTGCGATTAGCGGTTGGGATGCATAGGCAGGCGCGCCCACAAAGGAGAATGCACGTGAGGAGATGGGCGATAGAGGACTCGAAACGAGCGCCTCCTGCTTCAGTACTGGCTAAGATAGCCAGTGGCTTTTCCGTAATAACCTTTTGTCCCATGAGGTCTGCTCTAGTTTGCGCTCGATTGCAAAGCCGTCCATACTTCCCTTTCCTCCCTCCCTCACCTGCCCATTTCTGCTTCCACCCCGATGAATCCCACACCCGCAGGTGCTGGCCTCTGTCCCGGTTCTAGTCGCGCTGGAGCTGGCCTCCTACGCTGCGGGTGCCGGCATGCTCAACATGGAGGCCTGGCTCGCCGAGTACTGCACCCGCGACTCCATGACCGCCATCCCCAACATGCTGCGTTACGTGATGGACAAGACGGCGGACCTGGGGACGGGGGCGGATGGCCAGCAGCAGCAGCAGGGAGGGCAGGGGGGACAAGGCGCAGCAGGGGGGGCTGGAGGAGCAGCAGGTGGTGGTGGTGATGCGAGGCGGGGTGTGCCGCTGAGTGTGGATGCGGCGAGGGCGTTCCTCAAGGTGTTGCAGGCGTCGGCGCAGGGGCTGCCTGTGGAGTTTGTGCGCGAGCTGCAGGTGGGGAGGAGAATGAGGAGGAGGAGGCGGGTGGGGGGAAAGTGGGTTCCGAGGGGGTGCCGTACAATGTCACTGGGGGAATAGAGCATAAAGACCTTGCACTTTTTTTTATCAATTCTCACCATAACCTTTCCTTTCCCCCTCATCCATCAACTTGGTCTTCTAAACCCCCCTCCCCCCTCCTCCTAAACCGCCTGCCTGCCTGCCTGCCAGGTTGTCCAGGGCTCGCTGGCCAAGCAGTTCCCCTCCCTGGCGCCGCACATCACCGCTGTGAGCACCCCCGACACCTTTGCCAGCGATGTGGAGGAGGAGGCCAACAGCTACTTCCAGGTGGGTGGGTTGAGGGTGGGTTGGTGGATGGGTGTTAGGGAAACTGTCCGCGAGTAGGAACGTACTGGGTTGTCGGAAAATGAAGTACGACAATCCAGAGTGTCTGTGAGCGGGGGGTGTTGACACACGTGTCTAGCTCGCTCCATGTGGGCCCTTATGCGTCTGTCGCTCCCACCTTGCTTCGCCTCCGCGCAGGCCATCTACAACGAGTCGCGGCCAATCGAGGAGATCATTCGGCGCATGCAGGCGTACAAGTCCTCGCACAACCCCCGCGAGCAGGTGGGGCAGGTCGGCGTGTGGGTCGTCTTCCACTCTCCGTGCTTCATAAATATTTGCCAGGTTTTGCCAATTCTACACAACATATCTGCTTTCAGAATGAGCCAGTTGCAGTGCACATGACCTTACAGCCCGGCAGAGACGCCATACCTCGACCCACACTCTCACACCCCCATGTTGCGAACCTATCCCAACTGCTTGCTCTTGTTCTACTCAACTACACACTCTCACACCCCCATGTTCTCCGCCTCCCCCTCTGCTCTGTTCCCCTCTGCGCAGGAGGTGTTTGCCTGCATGATCCACAACCTCTTTGACGAGTACCGCTTCTTTGCGCGCTACCCCGACCGTGAACTCCACATCACCGCCGCCCTGTTCGGCTCGCTCATCAAGCACGGCCTGGTCAGCAGCATCACACTCGGCATGGCGCTGCGCTACGTGCTGGATGCGCTGCGCAAGCCCGCGCCTTCCAAGATGTTTACGTTTGGGTTGGAGGCGCTGCGGCAGTTTGTGCACATGATTGCGCCCTGGCCGCAGTTTTGCGTGGGGTTGTTGGCGAATCCGCAGCTACGAGAGGCGGATCCGGAGCTCTATGCGCGCGTTGAGCAGGTGCATCAGCAGGCGGCAGCCGCGGCTGCGGCAGCGGGCGGCGCCCCGCCGCCGAACAATGGAGCCGGTCTGCCGCCGCCGCCCGCGGGAGCAGGAGGGATGCCGGTGGGTGCTGCGGCGGAGCAGTCCCGGCAGCAGCAACAGCAGTCGGGACCGCTACCCAGCGGTGGTAGTGGTGCGGTCGAGGCTGCTGGTAATAACAGTAGCAACACCAACAACGCCGCTCAAGGCTCCTCGCGCTTCCTGAACCTTCAGCCGGCGGACGGAACGGGAGCAGCTGCCTCTGCTGCTGCTTCGGGTGCTGCTGCTGGTCCCGGTTCCGGAGCGGATGCGGAGCAGCAACAGCCGCAGCCGCCCGCCAGCACGGCCACTAACACTGCTGCTCCCGCTTCGTCTTCGGGTGCTGCAACAGCAGCAGCTTCATCGGCAGCTGGCCGTAATGGCGGCGGGAAGGAGGTGGCGGGTCCGGCAGGACGTCACCCGCCCGGGGTCGCTGCGACTGCAGCTGCAGCGGGTGGTGGCGTTGAGGGCCCCGCTGGTGGCCCTGGTCCTGCTGCTGCTGCTGGCGGTGGTGGGGGTGCAGGAGGAGGTGTTGGGAAGGCGGTGGGCAGTGCGACTGGAGGTGGAGGAGGTGGTCTGCAGGCAGGAGGGGCGGCTGCTGTGTCGTCGCTCGCGGCGGCGGGTGGTGCAGGTGCCCAGCCCAGCAACACCAGCCTGTCTATGGGTGGGTAGCCTTGGCGGTGTGGCTATTGTTTCGTTGTATATTCTACTCTCCTCGCCCCCTGCATGTGTCGTGTCATGGGGTGTCATGTCATGGGGTTGGAAAGCCAGTGCTTCACTTTTACCACAATGTACCTCCCCCATCATGGCTCATCGTGCCGCGCCCCATCCTCGCACTGAACCCCGACACCCCTTCATGCACTCCCAAACCCTTCCCCCCCAGGCGAGGGCGATACGGTGGGCATGAACCTGGCCGCCCAGGTCGCCGCTGCCTCGCTGGCCGCCCCCATGGGCCCCTCCCTGGCGGCGCTGGTGAACACGGAGAGCCTGGAGAGCGCGGCGGAGAAGTACCGCGACTTCCAGGAGCCGCCCGAGCTGGTGGCGGACAAGTGGGTGCCGGGGGGGGCGGGGTTGGGGGGGTTCGGGGTTCTGGCTTGACGAGGATGGGAGTGAAGAGGATGGGGACGGCGGTGAGATTTTCAGACGGAGACACTGTGTGTAAAAGCAACGGAGCCGCAAAACGGCCGTTTGCGTTGGCCTCATTACCTCCACCCCCGCAGGGCCTCACATGCGTTCCCTACATGCTCTTCTCGTAAGCCCGGCCCCTCAATCCCTCGATCCCTCCCCTCCCTCCCCCGCACCGCCTCCCTCCCCCGCGCCCTCACAGGATCCACTTTGTAATGAACAACATCACCAAGGACAACATGGAGTCGCGCAGTGTGGAGATCCGCGACCGCGTGTTCCCCGACTTCCTGCCCTGGTTCGCCAACTACATGGTGGTCAAGCGAGCGGCGCAGGTGGGAGAGGGGGTGGGAGGGGGTGGGTGGGGGGCGGAGAAAATTGGCCACGTGTGGTGAGTAGGAACGCACTGTGATTGCCGGAAGATGATGTTCCCACCAACACGAGTGTGTGTGCTAAGACAACTGGCGGCGTGTGGCGCACGCGGGTGTGTAAGGACGGCCCGGGCGACCAGGGGGAAACCCCCATGCTGAGCTGAGGAGGGTGGCGTCGACATGCAGAGCCTGGAGTGCTCGTGGTGCAGAGCGTGTTGTCCCGCATGTCTTTCCCGCATGTGCTACCTTCCCCGGTTGCTCCTCTTCAACAACCCGCCTGCCATACTCCCCCCCATGCCTGCGAATGCGCTCACTGCATGAGTCGGGATTCGGGATTGGGATTGTGTTGTTGCACTTATTTATAATTCCCCCCCCCCCCCCCATGCCTGCGTGCAGGAGGCCAACTTCCACACGCTGTACATGTCGCTGCTGGAGCACCTGGGGGACAAGGAGCTGCTGCGGCTGATGGTCAAGACAACCATGTACTACGTCAAGGTAAGAAATGGAAAAGGGGAGAGGAGCCGTGTCATCCTGCTTTAGGCGGCCTCTAGATGCTTCACCACCTCCTCACCGCCTCTCACCTACCACCAACTCACCGTCTCCCCACACCTCCTATCTCTCCTCTCCCCACACCCCAATGCGCTCACTGCATGAGTCGGGATGAGGGATTGGGACTCCACTTGCTGCTCTTATCACTTACCTTTCTCCCCACCCACCCTGCCCCCACCCTACCCGCACCTCCAGGTGCTGCTCTACTCGGAGCGCATCCTCAAGGAGTCCAACGACCGAGCGCTGCTCAAGAACCTGGGCACCTGGCTGGGCCTGCTCACCTTTGCGCGCAACAAGCCCGTCCTCAGTCGCGACCTGGAGCTCAAGGCGGTCATCTGCGAGGCCTACCAGCGCGGGCGGCTGATCGCGGTGCTGCCCTTTGTTCAGAAGCTGCTGGAGGGCTGCCGGCACTCGCGTGTGTTCAAGCCCACCAACCCCATGGTTGCTGGTATACTGTCGCTGCTGGCGGAGCTGCATGCAATGAAGGTGTGGGGGTGTGGAGGGGAAGGGGAATAAACGATAAGTGCAGCAACGGTGGGCGGGGGGAGGGGGGAGGAGGTGGCCGGGACATGAGGAGGGAGTTGGGAGCGGACCGACTGGCCCGCCTACGGTTAGGGGTTCTGTTGCGTTTTCGCGTATTGCCCCATGAACCCTCAGTGCTTGGGTATTCACCATTCCATGGGGTGTGCCGTGTTTCGTGCCTGTGCAGGGCCTCAAGATGAACAACGCGTTCTCCATTGAGCTCATCTTCAAGGCCTTTGGTCTCAGCCCGCACGACGTGAAGCCCTCGGAGACGCTCAAGACCCTGCCCCGCGAGCGCATCACCAACCCCGACTGGCAGCTGGAGCAGCTCCCCTCGGAGATGCAGGCCCAGGGCGTCACCGACGCAGCCGCCGTTGCCGCCACGCCCACCGCCGGCGGTGCTGCCTCCGCCGGCACCGCCAAGCCCAGCGTCCCCTCCTCTCCCGCGCCCCCGCCGGCGCCCTCACCCTCCATGCCGCCCTCCTCCCCCAGTGCCATGTCTGCATCCGGCGTCCGATCCACCGGAAGTACCCATCTGCCGCAGGGCGCCGCCGCGGCAGCGGCGGCGGCAGCAGCCGCCGCCGCCCCCGGCTTCCTGGACGCCTCCGGCCCCAAGGCTCCCGGTGCTCCGGACCAGCAGCAGCAGCAGCCCCAGCAGCAACAGCCCATGCCGTACGGCATGCCCGGCGCGTTGCAGATGGGCGGCATGCCACCCGCCGGCGTCACGCCCGCTGCTGCCGCTGTGGCGGCGGCTGCCGCCGCCGCCCGCGCGCCTGGTCTCTCCGGCGCCCCCGGCCTGCCCCCCGACGCCGGCCTCTTCGCCAACCTGCACCAACACGTCATTATCAACCCCTCTCTGGGCGACATTGGGGAGCGGTTGGTGCTCAAACGCCACGTGCCTGCTGCCGTGGACCGCGCCATTGGCGAGATCATCACGCCCGTTGTGGAACGCAGCGTCACCATTGCCTGCTACACCACGTACGAGCTGGTGCTCAAGGACTTTGCGGGTGACAGCGATGAGTCGCGTCTGCGCAAGGCGGCGCACCTTATGGTGTCGTCGCTGGCGGGGTCGCTGAGCCTGGTGACGGCCAAGGACCCGCTGCGCATCTCGCTGACCAACCAGCTGCGCCAGATGCTGCAGGTGGGAGGGGACTGAGGAGGTGACTGAGGAGGGGGGCGGGGGCAGAAATTGGATGGGAGCCTGCTGGAAGCCTGCCTGATTCGGGTTTTTACATCTTTTCGTTTATCGAACACGTGGTACCGGTACCCCCCTACCATCTTCTTATGCCTTGCGCGCATTTCCTAACGCCCCACAAACATTTACCCCTCCCCGTTGCAAACCATGATGACGCCTTACACGGACAGTTAGTTGTTTCCTCTTAACACCCCTCCCCCCCCTGCCCCCTCAGGCCCAGGTCGCCGACACCGCCATGCTAGACCAGATCATCAGCGTGCTCGTCAACGACAACCTGGACCTGGGCTGCACGCTCATTGAGCGGGCCGCGACGGACAAGGCGGTGCGGGACATTGACAAGAGCCTGCAGGTAGGGGCAGGGGGGGGAACAGTGTTGTGGGGGATGGAAAGGGTCCTGACGGTGGGGGCAGCCTTTTTTGGTAGATATTTCTGTTATGGGTCATTTTACCTACATAGTGCGCAGAGGCAGAGGGCAAGGTGCGTACAAGTGGAGGTCGAGAGGCTAGTGTCATCGCGCCGCTAAGCCCGAAGCATTTCCCTGGTTCTGACTAAGCCTCGCATGCCGCATTTCTTCCCCCACTCCACAGGCCGCTTATGAGGAGCGCGCCAAGGCTCGTGCGGCCGGCAAGCCCTGGGTGGACTCCGCCGCCTTCCACTCCGCCGGCTCCCGCTTCCCAGGCAGCCTCCCGGAGAGCCTGCGCCCCCGCCCCGGCGGCATCCAGCCCCACCACCTGCGTGTGTATGAGGACTTTACCCGCATCCCTCGTACGGCACCTGCCGTACCGCCTGCCGGCCCGCCCGTACCCGGCGGTGCTGCCCCCCCTGGCGCCGCCCCCCCGGCCCCGGGAGGTGTGGTAACCTCGGCGGGTGGTGTGCCCCAGCCCCCGGGGGTGGCGCCCCGGCCGCCGGCTGGTTACCCTGGTGGCGCGGTGGGAGGAGCTCCCCCCGGCTCCTTCCAGGTGAGAGGGGCATCTTCCTGGCCCCCGCATTGTGTGTTGAGCTGCCGTTGACAGAACCCTATGCTCGCCTGGACGCCCCCTGCCCTTCCATGCATCCCCATGTACCCCCCCCCTCCATGCATGCGCCTCCCCCCCGTTCCCGACATGCATGGTGATACATGCCTTATCATACGGCTAGTTAGTTGCTTCCTCCTTACCGCCCTCCCCCCACACGCAGGGTCTGGACGCACTGGTGGCTGCCTCGGGTGGCGCCTCCGACAAGCCCTCTGTCGTGGTGGGCGCGCTCGAGGTGCGCTCCGACGCCGCAGCCGCCGCAGCCCTCCTCGACCGCTACCTCCTCTGGCAGCAAGCCGTGGACGCCGCAGTCGCCACCAAGGAAGCCAACCCCACCGCCGACCAATCCGACCTACAAGCCCTTCTCGCCGAACTCTCCGAGGCCCTCGGCTCCGGCGCGGCGCCTCCTGAAGACGCGGCGGCGTTCTTTGCTCGCCGTATTCTGAAGCACCTGTACGACAGCGCGGCCTCCGCTGGATCCAAGCTGTCGCTGTCATTCCATGCGGCCTGTCTGGAGCTGCTGAGCGGTGCCAGTCCGAGCGGGCGGGTGGTGGGCGAGATGACTGTGGGCTACCTGTCTGCGGATGATGAGCGGAAGTTCAGTCCGGTGCTGCTGGAGATGCTGCTGCGGCTGCGGCTGCTGAGCCTGCCCGACCTGGACGCGTACCTGTGCAAGCTGCTGCAGACGCCGGCGTCGCGCACACAGGTGGGCTTGGGGTGGGATGGGTAGGTGGTTGCACGGCCGGGACAGTGCGACCGGTCGGCTGGGGTTTAACACTGGCAAGAGGTATGTAGCTTGGTTGCTTCCCCTCACTTGCCGCCTGTGACATCTGGGACGCCATCATCCTCCGGTATACCACGGTCAGGGTCAATGTTTCTGCGACTCAACAGTCTACCCAATCCCGCCTGCGTTTCACCTCGTGTGCGTTACTCCCCTGCTGGCGCCACTTACATGTTACGCCCCATGCCCCCCCCTCCAGGCTGTATCCGACATGGTGTTCTTCCTGCTGCGCTCCATGGCTCTGCGTGACGGTGTGGTGTCCTTCACCGACCTGCCGGCCACCATGGAGCTGCTGGGGCGCATGGCGGTGGGCAATGTGCCGCTGGCGGGCATGGTGGAGGCGGCGAGGAAGGTGAGGAGGGAGGGGGGGAGGAAACGGCTAATGAGGGGACTGGGGTGTGAAGACAAGCGGAGGGCGGATGCGAGTGCATGGTGGTGGTGATCGCATGGGGCGTTGCGGTTGGGAAAGGATGTAGCTGGATTGCGTGTGTGGGGCTTGGCATGTGTAGGCACTCCCTGACCCGGCGTGCCCTGCTCTCCCCTCACGCAGGCCGCGGTGGCCCCTGCGCTGAGTCGCTCTCCCGCGGAGATCCCTGCGGTGGTGCGCGACAAGGCGGCCGACCCGCCGGGTCTGCGCGACCAGAGCCTGAAGCTGTTCGAGGAGTGGGTGCACCTGATCAACATGCACGCGGACGATAAGGTGGGTTGCTCGCCCGCATGTGTGCGTTTGTCGCTTCTCTCGCCGGGTTGCCCGGGGTCACGGGTGTTTGCCCCGTTCCTCTTTGTCAACACCGGTTACCTGCCGGCAAACCATGCACTGCTGGCGACCCTTGTTTAGGACCCCCCTGCTGCTGCTACCACCCATCCTCCACCTCACCTGCTGTACTGCTCCCTCCTTCCCCCTCCTGCCCAGGCGCTGTACGGCTTCCTCACCGGCCAGGTCCGAGCCGCCGGCGTGCTCAAGATGGACGACACCACCGACCGCTTCCTGCGCACCCTCACCGAGCTGGCGGTGGCGCACTGCCTGGCCTCCGCGGAGGCAGCCGCGGCGGCGGCGGCAGCGGGAGGCACCGCGGGCGCTCGGCCGGAGGCGGCTGGTTCCGGTCCGCTGAGCTTCATCGCCACGGATGCGCTGGTGTCGCTGGTGGCGGCGCTGGTGGTGCAGCTGAATGGAGGAGAGACGCTGCTGAACAGGTGGGGGGAGAGGGAGGAATGGAGAGGTGTGCGTCGTGGTAGGAGCGAAGAAAAGGAACAATGATGCGGCGTTCTAGCACACATCATGCGTTGGACTCCCCCAGCTACCGGACCCGTTAGTTTCCTCATTTGGAAACCCACGCTGTCGGAAACTCCCGACAACTTTGTTAAGCAAAGATCAACACGTACGCGTACGCTCACGCAGGTATCTGGCGTTGCTGGTGGGCCTCATCAAGCGCGACGCGGACGAGGCAACCATCAAGTTCAACGCACGCCCCTACCTGCGCATCTGGGTGGGACTCATGTCGGAACTGGGAGCCATGCCGGGATCCCACGCCTCCGCTGCCGCCTCCGCCACAAGCACCACCGCTTCCGGCGGCAGCCCCAACCCTGCAGCGGCTGACGGCGGCTTGCCGCCCGCCGCCGCCGACACCGCCAGTCAGCTCCGCTACCTGCGCGCCTGCGGCGTGGCGCTTCACGCGCTGCAGCCCCTGTCCGTCCCTGGCTTTGCGTTTGGCTGGTTGGAGCTCATTTCGCACCGTTCCTTCATGCCGCGGGTGCTGACGGCGCCGCTGGCTAGCGGCTGGCCGCTGTTTGCCTCGCTGCTGATTGCGCTGCTGCGCTTCCTGGAGCCCTACCTGCGCGGTGCGGACCTGTCTGAGTCGGTGAAGCAGCTGTACAAGGGCTGCTTGCGGCTGCTGCTGGTGCTGCTGCATGACTTCCCAGAGTGAGTGCGGTTCGGAGCGACTTGGGAGTTGTGTGTTGGGTTGGGGTCATCTGGGTTGGGGTGTGGGATGCGGCTTTGAGCCGAGCAGGGCTTCCGCCACATGGACTTAGAGCGCAGACTGTGTCCTGCTAGGCTGTCTTCCACTCATTGCTTTAATGTTAACATTGCTTTAACACCTCCCCCGCCCCTCTGCCTCCCCTCCTCCCCCCAGGTTCCTCTGCGAGCACCACTTCAGCTTGTGTGAGGCCATCCCGCCCCCCGCGGTGCAGATGCGCAACCTGGTGCTGTCGGCCTTCCCGCGCAACATGCGGCTGCCCGACCCCTTCACACCCAACCTCAAGGTACGCCTGCGTGTGCTGCGCGTGTGTGTTGCTTTCCGCTTCTGCCTCTTCCAAGTAGTGGCGTACACACAGTTTTCGAGCACACTCTTCCCGTGTTGTGCTCGAGCAATCGTCGCCCCGTGAAACGGGATCCTTCATGCAGGAGGCGCTTGTGCGGTCTTTGCCTCCTCTCCCTTGCCACTCCCCACCTCTTACCTTCCCCACTCTTCACCACCCCGCCTCCGCTCCCCCCTCCACCCAGGTGGACCTGCTCCCTGAGATCCAGCAGCTCCCCCGCATCGTGCCCGACCCCGAGCAGCTGCTGCCCGAGGGCCTGAGGCAGCAGGTGGACGCCTTCCTGCGCTCCCGCGCGCCAGCCAACCTGCCGCAGGAGCTGGCCAAGCGGTGCAGCATGCAGCAGGGCGCGGACAAGGCGGGCAGCCCGGGAGGCACCGCGGGAGGTGCTGGAAGTGGCTCGGCGTACAATGTGCCGCTGATTAATGCGCTGGTGCTGTATATTGGCTCGCAGGTGAGGGGTATTGGGGTTGAGTTACGGTGGGTCCGGGTTGTTGGGCTGTGATGCCGGGAGATGGGCTGGTTTGGGTATTTCTGAGGGATCCGTGGGGATGGTTGGTACCGCAGGGGGAGGGTATCCTTCCTTCTAAGAGACACGCTGCTAGCACGCCATGAGGGATTCTGTGATGTTGTTTGTCCACGTTTCCCTATATCACCTCTTAACACCGCCGCGGCCAGTCTTTTTAACACCGACTTCCGTCGCAATCTGCGCAACCCATCCACCCACCCTCCCACCAGGCCAAGACGGTGTCCAGTCCGCTGCACCCGGGGGCCCAGGAGATGTTTGTGCGCATGGCGGGCGAGCTGGACGCCGAGGGGCGCTACCTGCTGCTCAACGCCATGGCCAACCAGCTGCGCTACCCCAACGCCCACACCTACTACTTCTCCTGCACGCTGCTCACGCTGTTCCTAGAGTCCAAGAGCGAGGGGCTCAAGGAGCAGATCACGCGCACGCTGCTGGAGAGGCTGATTGTGAACCGGCCGCATCCGTGGGGGCTGCTCATTACGTTTATTGAGCTCATCAAGAACAGGTGGGTGTGTTGGGGTGGGGTGGGGTGTGTCGGGGGAAGCAGGGTGGGAGCAGGATTAGGGGTGTCGGCCGGATGGGCATTGTTGACCAAGTCGAAACGTGCGTGGTGCACGGCGTATGGCATGTGAGCTGCTCTGCGACATTCGCAGTAATCATTGCTCCGCGGGCCTCGCAATACTACTCGACCCCCTTTCCGCAGGCGCTACAACTTCTGGGCACACAGCTTCACCAAGTGCGCTCCGGAGATTGAGAACCTGTTTACCTCGGTGTCTCGGAGTTGCCTGGGAACCAACCGCGCGGAGGAGGAGGCGGCAGCCGCGGCGCATGCGAAGGAGGGCGTTGCGGTGCGGGTTTGAGGGGGGGTTGGTCTAATCAGCTCTCGGCACGATATGCAGTCAGCCAGGGACGTGGGCTGGAGGGTTAAAATGAGGAAACCCGGGCTGTGTGGTGGGGTGGTGGGTGAGACACACCCTGTGCAGAGCGTGCGCGACTGGCATGAGAAGGAGCAGCGGCGGAAGCAGCGTCCTTCGTGGGGAGGGCCTGTTTGCCTTTTGTACGCGTAATGTTGTATCTGTATACGTCTCTTGCGTGTTTTCCTGCGCATGGGGAGTGCTTTTGTGGTGCGGAGTGTAGGCGCTAGTGACATTTGCCAAGCTTTTGCGTTAAGGTCTTACACCAGACGCGTTATCCCAGTATAAACGTTTTTGCAGTTTAGTCCCAATTACCGACAAGGTATAACATCTCACAGTGCATTGTATCTCTGGTGATGTGCGTACTACCAGTAAGGGGTCGCGTTTTGAAGGAGGGGATTTTGCCGGCCTGGGACGATGGGAAGCTATACCGGTAGTCGGCCTTTTGCTTTGGGCCAGATGGGTCCTGTAGGACTGCCGGGAGGGGATGCACGCGGCAGTTGCGGGTTTGCAGTTTGCAGAAACGCGGGGGATGAGGGCGGCGGAAGCGGGGGCTACCGTTGTCTTTTCCCCTTGACTGCACCGCTGATTGCCGATGTGTAGCCGGTAGAACCTGCGGGATCCCTGGAACGAGGCATTGGTCGCTGCTTCTTGTGGCGTTTCCATGGTCGGCTTTTGCAGCTGTAGCTAGTACGGTATCGGATAGTCGTACGTGTGGGTATGTGCTATGGGTCGGCTATTAAACGCGAATGAATGAGGAGTGGGTGCGTGTGTGTAGGTGTGTTTTGCTAAAGAGACATCAGCCAAAGGGAAAATAAAGAACTGAGAACTGTAAGGTTGAAAACTTGTACGCCAAACTGTCATCGGCTCTCCTCACGTCCTCTAGGCATTACGCCTGTGGCAAACATTCTTAGTTCTTACTCCTAGCCTGGCGGCAGGCGGCTGCCTTAAGCCTCCCCTGCCTCTCTCCCACATTTCCACTACGTTCCCAGCGCATGTGGGCCCGCAGCACATGGCTCGGCCTGGGAGCGCACCCGACAACGACAGTGTCATGGAACTCGTGCGTTCAGGTGCTCTCTTAGGAGTATTGCCGAAATTGGACAGTTGCTTTCCCAAGTGCACCCTTCAGGCTGCAAGCTTACCATGGTACCGGTACGGCAACCCGGGCGTGACCCTTGGACCGCTGGCCCCAAAACTGCAGCGTTCTTACCAGGTTATGCTGTAAAATAGTAGGCAAAAACGCGATTGAAGGTTTGCAAGCATCTGCTTTTTGTTAGGGGCGTTTTTAGCGTATACTTCTGACAGCGTCTAGAAGTTGCGAGGAGGCGCGACAGTGCCTCAGGCGCATCCTGTCATATCAGTTATTTGACATATTATCCTTCTAAAGGGTTGATAGAAACCGATCAAGAAGTAGTCTGCCACATCCATCGCGACACAACCTTGAGAGCAGCGACCGCTATGTTTATCCTAGACTACCTTACAAGCCGGCGGCCAAGCCCTACCCAAAACTCGGATGTTCCTCATAGCTTTGCCAACGAGACCGTTGAAGCGCAGCATCAGCAAGCTCCTTCTCAGAAGCAGCTCGCTGCGCAGCGATCAAACTTGCCTCCTTATCTACAACTTTATGAGGCTCCTGCGCATGTCAGGTCGCGCCCACCCCCAGCGCAAGGCGTGTCTCCAGCCGGAGGCATCCCATCGGGTGATGCTACAGGAACATCAACCCAGTCGAGCCCTCAGGCCATCCCCGTATCCGAACCACAGCAAGCAGCAGCTCCGATGTCCGCTCTTTCAGCGGTTGAAGCGTCGGTGCCAGAGGATGCTGTCGCTGCTGCTGCCGCTCCAGCAGGCCCTGTGGGCCTCAAAGACTGCCGCTCTCGCGCCTGCGCGGGCGTGCTAGATACCTTCAAGCGCGCAGTCGTCAAAGGTGGCGTTAGCACCAGCAGTAGCAGTAGCAGTATCCCTGCGGTAGCGGCTGCTTCTGCCTTAGAAAACGCCAGCCCTAGCCCCGCTTCTGCTTCTGCTTCATCGGATACGACAAGCACCACCAGCAACAAGTCCGCTAGCACCAGCACCACCACCACCATCAGCACCAGCAGCAGCGAAGAGGAGTGGCCTCGCAACGTGGAGTGCCCGCCCGACACCTGGCAGCTGGGTCGGGCCTCCTGGACCTTCCTGCACAGTGTTGCGGCGCACTATCCGCAGCAGCCCACGGACCGGCAGCAGCAGCTGATGCGGGGCTTCATGGAGGCGCTTGCGGAGTTCTACCCGTGTGAGGTCTGCGCGGAGCACCTGAGGTGGGGGTAAAGAGGGAACACCCAACTGACCGTGGGTGGGTGGGTGATGCTATGGGAAAGAGGAAGAAAGGGTGGGTGGGTAGGTGTTACGAGGGCTGTTTTACCCTGCTGCTGCTGCTACTGCCTGCTCCTTTGCTTCTTGCGCGCGCGTCCCGGTAACGCCTCTTCCACACCGGGGCACCCACCGACTGCTGCACCACCCTGACCGACGCGGCCGCCCAACCCCTCGCCAGGGAGCAATTTCGCGCCAGTCCGCCTCGCGTGGCGACGTCTCAGGAGCTCAACCTGTGGCTGTGCGGCATACACAATGAGGTACGGGAAGTTGGGGGGGCGCTGCGCGGGGTATATGGGTAGAGGAGGGTCGGAGGGAGGAGCGGTCGTGTTTGGGTACACACCCTGCGGATTTTAAGTAATATCTATTACTACTACTCCAATTTAATATTTAAAAATCTAACAATTCAACTAGGACTCCTCCCAAGCTTGTCGTTTGCTATTGTTTGCTATTCTCATTCAACACATTGGATAATCCCTTTCCCATGATGTCCAAGGGGCCGATGCTCGCTGATGTGCTCCCCAACCATCGGCACACCTCCACCACCACCACCAGCCCCTTTTCATGCGGTCAGTCAATTGTTTCCCCTTTACCCACCCCCACCCCCACCCACCCAGGTGAATGAGATGCTCGGCAAGCCGCGGTTCGACTGCTCACGGGTCATGGAGCGCTGGCGGGACGGCCCGGCGGACGGCTGGTGCGACTAGGCCGTGTACGGCGTAGCAGAGCAGGGCAGCGGGCTGGGTGGCGGGTGGTGCTAGGAGAGGAGAGTCGACATGATAGCAGCGTGGCGGGTGCTAAAGGGGGGGGGTGGCACGGCAGAATGTTAGGATGCGCGGACACACGGGGGAGGGGGCTGGTGGGCTTGCTGGTGGAATTGGCTCTGGGTGCGGGTACTACGGTAGACAGGCCTGCCTGCCTGCCTTCAGGGGAAACTAGTGATTGCGTGGGGGGTCCCGGCTGCTGCCTTTTCCTTTGCTTCCGGAAAGCCCGGCGGATTATAGAGTGCAGCGAGGCTGCCGGTGAGCTGCCGGTGGTGTTCTGTGCGGCGCCCCAAGGGTTATAACAAACTGTGAGAGGGGATTAGGTCTGACGCCGTTGATGCGGGAAGACTGATATATGCAGGCCGTAACGTCGGCTTGCAGCTTTGCCCCGCCTTGGCAGGGGTATGGTGCGCTGCACTGCGCTGCTGCTACTGCCAATGCTGCTGCCGCCCCCGGGCACGCTGTTACATTACTGTGCAGGTCATACCCTCACCCTTCAATACTGCAACTACCGGTAGGCTCTGCAGCATTGCACTCATCCTGCGTCTTTCGCTACAACACATCACCCGGTCTCACACGTCAACCCCGTCCTTCCTGGCTCCTAAAAAACATGCTTCTCGTTCTACGTCCCGTTCGCCGTACTCACATCCATGCTTTGCGTCTGTCCCATTAACATATCCTTAGTCGCAGATACAGCGCTATAAAGCGCAAGTAGCAGTGCCGTGCAGGGGGGCTCCAAACACACCCGCCGCCGCCTCCTTTAAACGTCTTACTGGCGTATCCGCAACATTTGGCTTACCCCCCTTTCCACGTCATAGGTCACACACCCTAGAGCTCAAACCCGGTTCGAATGTGGAAACCAGCGCAGCGGGCTGTCGTGGTGTCGTCCTAGGTCCTACAAAAAGCCCTAACGGCCTGCCAAGACATCAACACATGCGCATGCTAGACGGGGCTGGAGTTGATGCATGCCTACCATTCACGAATGCACTTGTACAATGGCTGTGAGAGGGCCTCCTGAACAGTAAAGGGGCTACGCGTCCCCACGGCGACCCCCCCCCCCCGCCACAACGCTTCCACAATCCACCTGCTGCCTAAGGGTTCAACCTGTCTAGATTACCGTTTCTTCCCTTTTGCTGCGGAGCTCGGTCCTGAAAACACACCGTACGGCTCAGTCCAAGCTTTGTGATGCTGCCACATTTGCGTAAGCAGACGACTCTTCAGCCGCGCCCCCGCGCTCTTTCCTAAACCTGTTCAGAGGGGCCTCCACTCACGCACCCCAAGCTAATAACGTTGGCCGGCGACATGAGGGGTCCTGAAGATAACACATCGACAACGCCACAACCAACACCAACACTGCACATGCATACTACTACTTGCCTAACGGTTTCGCTCCTCCAACCGCTAACCTCCCAACGGTTGCGCTCCTCCAACCGCCAACCTCAGCAACCGAACCTCCCCGTCTAATCCAGCCATGACCCCCGGCGCCGCCCGTCTAGCCGCTGCACGCAACGCCCGCCGCCCCTCCTCACTCCTCACCTGCCACCGCAACCTGCCCTGCACCGCATCCTCCCCGCTTCCCTCCCTGCTGACCCCTCGGTCCCCTCCTCCTCGCTCACGTGCGCTCCCCATTCGCCTCCGCAGCACCCACACCGCGACCAGTGAACCCACAGCCCCACAGCAGCGACACACCAACCGCTCGTCCCAATCATCTTCCCCCAGCAAATCGGTCGCTACCGGCACTGCCGTGGCGTCGGCGGCGCCGTTAGTACGCCGTACAGCCGCCGCCGTCGCTGCTGCTGTCGTACGCATGCGTCGCAGCAGCACCCGAGCCAGCCTGGGGTCCATCTCCCCTCCCAGGGCTAGTAGCTGCCCCAGGCAACATGCAAGGCTGTAGTACGGCATCTCATTGCAATGCCGTACGACCGCGATTACAAGCAACTGCAGCAGTGACGGCGGCAGCGGCGACAGTCGGCACCATGCAAGGCCCTGGACGAGCTGCAGTACATCCTCGGCGGTGAGTGCCGTACGGCGTACGACAGGCGCTTGCAGCTGTTGCAGGAGCGCCGCTAGCAAGGCGCTGCGGATTGTCGCTATGCGGGGCCGCTGTAGCAACCCGGACCAGCGCTCTAGCACAACCCCTGAAGCGGCTGTCGACTCCTTCGCTGCCTTAGCAACCTTGCCTTGCTCATCCTGACTCAGCCGCTGCTCTAATGTACCCACACCTGTCTCTGCAGCCTCCCGCTGCTCCCGTTTCCGAAGCACACGCAGCAGCCGTCCCATGCTGCAAAGCACCAGCGGCAAGCCGCCGCCTCCTGCCGCCAAGGCCCCTGTCGTACATAGCTCTGTCGTACGCACCAGCGCCGCTACCAGCAGACCACTCATTGGCACCGATGCCCGCATGTCCGCTAACGCTCCCAGCATGATTGCCAGATCAGGACCGTTGGCGTACGGCAATACGGCTCGTACGGCATCAACTACAGCGCCCGCTAGGCCTCGATTGTGCCGTTGTCGCTTGTTCCTGCTGGCGCTCCTTTTACCCATACCCTTGCGGGCCGTTGTCGCCGCCGCCAGTGAAGTGGGCTGTGACGTCCAGGTCTCCAAGCAGCACCCTAGTGCGGCTGCGGAATGCAGCATCAGCGCTACCTGACGAGCAGCTGCAGCTGCCTTTGTCTGGGCCGCCGCCACGACTGCTGCTGCCGGTGCTGCTGACGTGTCAGCATCTGCGCTACTTGACGGCTCCGATGACCCATTACTAGCTCCCCCTGCAGTTCGGTTGGAGGTCGCAACGCCGGTCGCTGAGGCAATAACAGCGGCGGTCGACTCAGCCAAATGCCTCAGCGATCGCTCCAGCGCCGATTCCACGGCACTAAGCTGGGAGGTAGCGCCCATGGCTGCTAGTGCACGCAGCAGCGTGACGAGTGTCTCAGGAGGAACAGGCGGAAGTGACCCATGGGTCTGGGTCGGTCGTCGGGGGTGACCCGTGGGTCGGCTGGGGACTTCTTCCGCAGCTTCTGCTGCGTCAGGAGCTTGATTGGAATGCGGTTGTGGGCCATCCTCGTCGTTTTGATGAAGGGACAACTGCTGCGGCTGCTGAGGAGACATTTGCGACTGTGGCAGTTGCCCTTGCTGTTCGCTGTGCACGCAAGCCGCCGCTGCCCGCCCCTCCGCCGCCGGTTGTGCAGCATCGCACTGATTGAGCCGTTCTGACTCCCGCCCTGTAACGTTTGCGGCCTCCGCCCGACCCATGCGAAGTGTAACGCTCACCAGCTTGTCTAGTAGCTCCTGTGGGATGAGGTGGGGTGGGTTGGAGTACGGTTGGAGGTTGGAGGGTGAGGTGGAGTGAGGTGAGGTGAAGTGAGGTGGAATGAGGTGGGGTGAGGTGAGGTGGGGCAGGGTAACAGGTCACATCAGGCAGCGACGGAGGGGCCATGTGGCACACCTTGTTGCCCACTCTTCCGCTACCCCCCCCCCCCCATACCGTACGACACAACACGCCGAACACACCGAACATACCTTTGGCGGCTTCACTCCCAGCCTCGCCAGCCCCCCCAACGTCATCGCCAGCTCGCCGCTCCTCAGGTCCCTCGCCGCCGCCAGCCCCAGTGTACGACTCAGCAGCTCCAACGCCACGTCAGCAGCGGGCGCCCAGCGCAGCCGCCCCATCGCCCACCACACGTTGGCCACCTCCTGCGGCCCCACCTCCTCATCATCCTCCAAACACTCCATGAAGCGCCCCACCGCCGCCGCCACCCACCACCCCGGCGGCCGCCAGCCCAGCCGCGCAGCAGCCCAGAGGCAGTTGCCCACCGCCTGACCCCCCACACCCGTCATCCGGGGGCCGCCTAGACCCTGCATGGTGGCCTCTAGCAGAGCTGGTGACAGCAGTAGTGCGGGCGGCGGCGAGGACCCCGACGACGCGGCGTCTGCATGGGCAGCCGCAGCAGCAGCTGACAGCGGCGGCGGTGGCGGGGAGGGTGACGCAACGTCCACTCGGAGCCGCATGTGTGCCGCCGCCACCATGCACGCGGAGAGCTGCTGTGGCTGCATGGAGGGGGCGCAGCGGAGCCAGGCGGACAGCAGCGCAGCTAGCGGAAGGGGAGCCGCAGCAGTAGCAGCAGCGCCAGCAGGAGCAGCGGGGTTGTAACCCAGGGCTGCTAGCGCCCACATCACGTTTGCTACATCCTGTCCGTTCATGTACGGCGCTGTAGCAGCTGCCGCCTCCGCTAGCGCCGCCACCCAGTCCGCCGACGGCGCCAATCTCAGCCGAGCTACAGCCCACGCCGTCGCCGCTATGGAATGCGTCGGCACCGCCGGCTGCTGCATTCGTCTTCTCGGCTCAGCTGCATGCCGTACATTGGCAACCTCCACCTCCGCCGCCTCCGCCGCTGTCGTCCTCCTCCACATGTCGAGGCATGCCGCCAGAAAGGCCTCCCGCCACTCCGGCTGCAGCGGCTGTAGCTCCCAGGCAGCTAGCGCCGCTGCGGTGTTGGCGAGCGCCTGCGGGCTGAAGAGGGGGAGCTGCGGTGCGGAGGCGGAACAGACCGCCAGTAGCCAGGGGCGTGGTGGGCGGTAGCGTAGTCGAGCTAGGGCCCAAAGCATGTTGGAGATGGCCTGTGTGTTGGGTGCGAGGCGGGTGCGAGGGGTGCGAGGGGTGTGAGCAGAGATTATGGAATGCATGGCGGTGGAAGGAGGACACCTGGACACCTTTACACCTGGACAGTCTATCAGGTGGGTGCGTGGGGAGCAGCCTAGAGCCAACAACCGTGGCTGTGGCTGGCAACGGCCACAGCCAGAAGCGCGAAGAAGTTACGGCACTACTACCGGCAGCAATACCCGTGGAAGGAGGGGGATACGTGGCCCCTGAATGGCAGCAGTATCGCAACAATCCCAGCAGCCACAAGCGCGCCAAAGTGGGCATAGTAAGAGCATAGTAACAGTCGTAACAGCAGTCCCAAGCTCACCTGAGGTTCGAAGGCGCCTAGCCGCAGCTCCGCCGCCCCCACCACTTCATGCAGAAACCCAGAGGGCAGCGGTCCGCAGCAATCCAGGGTGGCTGCTGCCCACAGCAGTTGGCTGAGGTCCCGAGGCGGGAAGGAGCGAAGCAGCGGTCGACAGCACTGCAGCATGGCCAGCGCCCAGCGCTGCCGCTCGCTGCCGACCCGTGGGTCACGAGGAGGCGGCTGCTGGTGCTGCTGGGGCCGGTGCTGAGAAGGTAATTGCAGGGGATGCTGCTGCGGTTGTGGTTGTTGCGGTTGATGAGGCGGCGGCTGCAGGTGCTGTTGCGCTTGCGGTGAGGGCAGCGGAAACCGTTGGTGGGGTTGTTGTTGTAGTAACGGTTCGCGGCTTGAAGGCGGGAGGTTTCCGCGAAACCATGGGGGTGGCGAGGGCGAGGATGACAGCAGGTGTTGCTGCGGCGGAAAGGGCAGATCTGCCGGCAGCTTGGCGACCGCCCACAGCGCTGTCGACAGACTCCGCGGCGGTAACTCCCGCGAGCGAGCCAACCGCAACGCACTAACGGCAAGATCCCAGATGTACGACAGCTGCTCGGCGACCTGGTTGTCGTCATCGTCGTCGTCGACATCGCCACTGACATTTAACGACGCGTCCGCCGCCGCCGACGTCCTGACGTCCGCGCCCATGCTACCGCCCAAGCCGCCGCCATTCCGGGTGCTGCTGCTACTGCTGCTAATGTCGCGCCTCCTACTGCTGCAGTAGCGGTTGTTGCTGTTGTCGCTACCGTTCAAGATCTTAACCGCTGCCGCCATGAGTGCGGGTATGTGCTGCGGCTTGAGGCTGCCGCTCATAGAGCGCTGCAAGTCGAGGAGCTCACGCCAGCCGCGGCAGCCGTTGATCAACCCGTACATGTCCACACTACCGCCGCCGCCGCCGCGCGCGTCGCAGAAACCAACACCATTACCACCAATGACGTCGGTACGATACGAACTGCCGTCGCTTGCAACAGCGCTGCTGCCGGGAAAGGCGGAAACGCCAGTGCCGCCGTTGGGAGCCCACACGCCTACATGTGCTCGCTCGCCAGCCCCTGCATGTCCCGCTGCCGCATTCCATGCAGGGGGTGGTGATGGCGACCACGGCCGCTGGGGCGTCAGCGACCCCTGCTGCCTGAACCCCTGCACCTCCTCAGCATGCGGGCCTTGACGCGGCGGAGGACTGGTCCGGAATGCGGTGGTATGATGGTAACCCACAGACGGCGGCGGCGGCGGCAACTGTGTCGGCAACTGCTGCGGCGGTAGAGAAGGCCCTCGTTCACGGTGCTGCCCTCCCATGGCACCCTCCCGGCTGCTGCGCCCGTCCCAGACCGAGGAGGACAACGATCGGGAGCGTCGGCGCAAGCCGGATGACGTCACACCGCCGCCGCCGCCGCCACCACCACCACCATTCGACCAGGCGGCGACCAACCTGGAAGTTGCTGCGACATGAGCCAATGCGGCGCCGGCAGCTGCAGCCGAACTCCCGCCATGCGCCAGCTGTTGCGGTCCTGAAAGGCGACCCGCGTGGGACGGCGGGTGCGGGGAAGGAGCTCTGCTGCTGTGATGGTGAGGAGGTTGTGGTGAAGAGGGTGGGTGCGGAGGGTTTCGACGGGAGGTCCAGACCCGACGATGGGATGTGGCGGGGCTGCTGCTGTTGCTGCTGCCGCCGCCGCTGTTGCCGGCGCTGCTGCTGCCCACATGTGTTGTTCGACGCAGCGGCGGCTGCTGTAGGGAAACGCGAGGCCGGCTTTCAGGGTGCGGGAGGGAGCTATCTAGGTGGGAGCTCAGGAGGTGGTCAGGGGCGGCCAACTCCGGAGCTGTACCGGTGATGTCTGTGATGGATGTCGCCAGGGATGGCGCAGCAGCTGCTGAACTCCTGGCAACCTGAACTCCTAATTTTCTCTCCACTAAAGCATTGATGAGCCGTTGATGTGGCCGTGGCACAGGGAGTAGGGCGCTGTAGACGGGCGCCTGGGCTGGGGATGGATTGCTCGATGGCCCCCCGCACGCGGCGAAAGCGCGGGGGGCTGTCACGGCCTCCTGAAGCCGCATGCGGCTGACGGGTTGGTGTTTACATGTAAAAGTGTTGCTGCGTTGAAAGCAGTTAGTGCGACCTGACCTACAGGTTCGATTCGCCTGCGGCAGTAATGTTAACCATTTTGACGTATTAGAGGTCCCGTTACAAAGTCATGGACATATGCTACATACTGAAGCAACCGGTGGGGCACCCATATGAGTACTATGTTCTAAAGCGCATATGAGGCAGCAACACCATGGAACCACATACACCCAAACGCTGCAGCCGATGCTGAAACGAGCATCTTCGGTCAAAACGTACCTTTCGCAAGACACGATGAATTACTTCAACGTGTGCTCTTGGGAAACGACGGTTTGCATCCGGCCTGTCCACAAAATAGGGTACCAATTAGTTACGAAACTCACAGAGGCCTGCAATTATCATCGATATGATATACCATGTTGCAATTGTGCTGCTAGGCCCTGCGGGAGACAGAATTGTCAGCCAGCCTCCGCTGGCAAGCAGTATTCGCTCCAGGCTTACAGCTGTTTATTTCGTTTCCGAAGGCTGTCGGGTAAACCAATAGTCAATATGATTTGGGGTGCAAGGCAAGCATATCTTTCATTGTTGTACAATTTGCTTCACGAAAGCTACAGTAACACCCCGCATAGTTTCCAATAGGAAGCCCCGAAAGGCCAAACCATCTTGTTCCGGCAATTGTTAGGACGATCGGCCGCCAACCTCTGATTAATTGTAGTACAGTAAGGTGCAACACTCCCGATGCCATTCTCCATTGCAGCAAAATAGCCTTTGCACGTTAAGCGTTCATTGAAGGTTAGGGATAGTCACAAGCTTAACCGATTCTGAAAGACGTTTGGCAGGAGGACCCTTCCCGTCTGCCGATCGATTTGCAGAGAATGGATAAACAACTCCAGATCACGAAGCAGCAGTTCCAGGCCTTGTTAGATCGGGCCAACAAGCGCTTTGGCAAGTTGCGTGACCTACAGACTCGTGGCGACCACTCTTGGAGCGTAGCGCAAGCATCCTTCCATAAGACATTTGACTCCTTCTCGAGGCTGTGGCAGTATCAACTTAGCAACAGGTGATCACGGACGCGCCATACTAGCTTCTCAGTCCACAAGGGTTTGGTAGGCATCTCATCGGCCAGCGGAACGCGCAAACACGTTGTACGCCCTCATCGGTTGGGCTTTACATTGTATATACCTGCTCCGCAATCGTTATATCACGAGCCTCTGTCGCTACGTTTGGAGCACAGAGCTTTGCATTTCGCGCTACAGCCTCAGGACCATCGATATGCCCGGCCTGGCTTCAATCCTCACAACGGACCCCGCGCATCTGTGTGCTTGCAAATCAAGCAACCACCGGGAGAATGCAAGAATCCTTTAGCTCCTCCCGGTCTAAACGCCGTACCGCACCGTACTTTAACCTAAATCCATCACCGTACCAACCGTTGCTCGCGCCGTTACCTAACCGCAGGCCCGCGCTGCTAGAAACCGGCTTGCAACGCTCCGATCTCGGCTGCATCGCCAGCAAAATCGGACAGCTCTACTACAACTACTATCTCCGGTCCGGCGACACGAGCGCCCTGCTCGAGAGCTACACCTTTTACGACGCAATCCACACGCGCCAGTACTTCGCATCGGCCGTTACTACCTCGCCGGCCACCGGGTCAACGACCTCAACGGCCAACAACCCACCAACCGCCTCATCCCCCAGCTCCTGCGGTGATCCAGCTGCTGCTGTCGCGTCTGCTGCTGCGGCTCGTGAGATGCGGTTCTACGTGCGCTTCATCGTGGTGTGTCTGTTCCTGAACCGCAAGGAGGAGGCCATGCAGCTGCTGCAGGAGTTGCAGGTGCGGGGGAGTGGGGGGAGATATAGATAAGTGCGGGGGGGGACGTGTGTGTGTGTATTGGGTGCGGGGGGTAAATCCTTAGCCAACTATGATGGCCAGGTAACCCTCCTTTCCCCAATCCCTGTTCCTGCGACGTCCTCCGCCTCCTACCCACCCACCACCACCCCTCCCATTCGCCTCCTCCCGATGACACGGGGATACCAGCGTACGAGCAGGTATCTAAACCTGCTCCCCCCCCCTCCCATTCGCCTCCCCTGTAGGCCTCCGTGAGTGCCTACCAGCTGCAGTTCGGGGCTCCGGATGCGCGGGACTGGCAGGTGAGGGGTGAGGTGGGTGGGTGGGTGGGGTGTAGGAAGCTGGCAGGTGAGGGGTGAGGCGGGTGGGTGGGGTGTAGGAAGCTGGCAGGTGAGGGGTGAGGTGGGTGGGTGGGTGGGGTGTAGGAAGCTGGCAGGTGAGGGGTGAGGCGGGTGGGTGGGGTGTAGGAAGCTGGCAGGTGAGGGGTGAGGTGGGTGGGTGGGGTGTAGGAAGCTGGCAGGTGAGGGGTGAGGCGGGTGGGTGGGGTGTAGGAAGCTGGCAGGTGAGGGGTGAGGCGGGTGGGTGGGGTGTAGGAAGCTGGCAGGTGAGGGGTGAGGTGGGTGGGTGGGGTGTAGGAAGCTGGCAGGTGAGGGGTGAGGTGGGTGGGTGGGGTGTAGGAAGCTGGCAGACATAACACCGTCCCCCAACACAGCTTCCCGCCCCCTTCCCCTACCCTCGCCCTCCTTCCCCTACCCCCGCCCCCCTTCTCCTACCCCCGCCACCCTGCCGCCCCCCCTCCTCCCTGCCAGGCTGTTGTGAACGAGGTGACGGGGCTGATGGCGGCGGAGGTGGCGGCCCCGCTGCCCCGCCGCCCCGGCAGCACGGAGGCGCTGTTCAGGCCGCAGCTGAGGTGCAGGTGGGGGCGGGGGGTTTGGAAGAGAGGAAGAAGAAGGGGGAGAAGGGCAAAAGATGCAGGAAGCTAAGCTGGTAACGATAGTGGCAACCCGGGATGAGGTATGACTCATGTATGAGGGGCTTGAGGGGTAGTGGGAGGAGCAAGCTGTTAGGAAGTAACTGGCGGGGCGAATTAGAGGCAGGGTGGCTCTGCTCCCCTGTTGCGGTCGAGGTGGCTGCAACTGAGGATGTGCTACCTGGGTTGGCGAGCTGGGAGCTGGGAGAAGGGAGGGCCTTGCTTTTCTTAGCCGGAGGGAGGCGGTCCGATTCCGTCATAGGCACGGAAACTCCTGCAACTCCTCTGCAAACAACCTCCCCCGGCTGGACACCCTCTCCTCATGTGTGTGAAAGCAACTCATGCTTGTACTACACTGCTTTCCTAACGTCCCCCCAACAGACCCACGGGTCCAGCTGCCGCCTGCGCGCCGCACCGCCCCCGGCTGCGGGAAGCCCTGCTTGTGTCGTACCGCCCGCGCCAGGTGTGTGTGTGTGTGTGTGTTAAGAAAACTGGCCGCGAGTAGGAACGTGTGTGCGTGTTCGTGTCGGCCCATGGGTTGGACCATAGGGGGTAGGAGCGGTTAGCGGTTGGGTTTGGAGGGGAGCGTGTCTGCGGTGGCTATGGGGACTAGGACTGCATGCCTTTGGCTTGCTGTCGAGTGCATAGTCAGATTTCTGTTCCCCCCTACCCTCACCTCTCTTTTACTGTCCCTATACACACCCTACCCCTTTGCTTCACCTCCATCCCCTCACGCTCCCCCCTCTCGTTGCCTCCCCACCTCCCATCCTCCCATCCTACCGGTACCCTTAACCCCATTGCCCTGCCCTGACTTGTGGTTACATTTTGCTTGGCCACTCTCTGACCCCTCCCCTCTGCCCCTCCCCTCTGCCCCTCCCCCCCCCAGATCCGGGTCGCGGAGCTGCCCCTGGAGCTCTACCGCATGACTCAGGCGCTGGAGTGGCAGGACGTACGGATCGGGGGAGCAGGAGCGGGAGCAGGAGGGGGACTGACCCATGGGTCAGGGCAGCAACAAACAACCACGCCACCACAGCAGCGGCAACAACAGCAGCAACAACAGCAACAGCAAGGCGCAGCCGGGCAAGGGTCAGCGCATGATACCCCTTCCCAACAACAACCCACCAGCAGCACCGTAGCGCCCACGTCCTCCACCTCATCCGCCGCAGCACCCGCACCCGCTCCCCAACGCAGCCCGCCAAGCTACCAAGCCCCGCCTTCTCCCTCCTCCGCCTCCTGCGCCCCTCCTCCTCCTCCTCCTCGCAACCCTCCACGGCAGCTCCTGCACAAGCCCACCGCACAGCAGCTGCTCTCCGCACTGCTGGCAATCACAGGCGCCTGCGCGCCCCCCCAATCCCAGCAGCAGCAGCCCTCCTCCCTTACGGTAGGACCTCCTCCTCACCACGGCGGTGGTGCTGCCGCCGACTCGGCCGAGGACTTTGTGCTGCTATACCTGGCGGCGGATGCAGCCCCTGCTCCTGCACCTGCACCTGCAACCGCACCTGCAACCGCGGCCCAGCAGCAGCGGCAGCAGTTGGTCCCGAGTGAACCCACGGAAAGCAGCAGCAGCCGAGGGGGCGGCAGCGTCGCGCCAACCACCGCAACCACCACAACCACCGCAACCACCGAGGAGGCAGCCGCCGTTGCCGCCGTCGCTCAGGGTGCAGTGTTCGTGCCCGCCGGCAGCCAGGCGGCACCGGACCGTCACCTGCCCGCCCTGGCAGCACCCCCCGCGTCCCGACAGCAGCGGCAGCTGCTGCTGTGCCCTCCTCCGCCGGGCCCCCATGCCATAACCTCGCAAAGCAGCCACAACAACAACCACCACCACCACCAAACCCATGCGCCCTCGCCGCTTGGTCCTCCGGGCTCCTCGCTAGGGAGTGCCACTGCTACTGCCACTGCTACTGCTACTGCTACTGCCACTGCCACTGCTACTGCTACTGCTACTGCTACTGCTACTGCTACTGCCGGCAGCAGCAGCGCGGGCTCCTCCCCTGCATGCGCGGACGGGCTGTTGTGGCCGGAGGAGCTGCTGGTGGGCAGCAGGCGGCGGATGCTGCTGGTAGTGGACTCGGACATGAGCGGGGAGTTCGGCAGGCTGCAGGTGGGGCAGCCGGGGTGCAGGTTACCCGATTTTGGTTTTGGTTGCCTCGTGCTTGGTTACCGGTACCTTGAGTTTTGGTGACCTCTTAGGTTTTGGTTTCTTTTGAAGTGGGGAGGGGGGTTAGTCTGCATCCTTGTTTAGGGCGCATGGGTGCATGAGAGCGACGCCACCCATGGGGCTATGGGTCATCTGAGGGTGTGCTGGTGAGTGTGGGTTCTGTGCGGAGGGAATGGGGATCGTACAACTGTTGTACGGCCATTACCCACGAATCAGCGAGCCAGCCAGCCAAAACACCATCACACGTTATTGATGTTAACCCGCTTGGCGCGGTTGTATGTGGCCGCAGGGTCAGCAACGGGGCACAGCGCCGCTGCTGTGCCTCATGTCTCCCGCCCGAACGACCCACGGGTCATTCCTGCCGCCTGACGTGGCGGCGCGGGTCGGCTCGCTCACCACCATGGCACTCGCGTGCCCCGCCCAGGCGCTGTGTGTGCTGTGCGGGGAGCCCGACCCGGCGCCCGCCACCCTGCAGCGGCTGCAGGACGTATTGGATGGGGAGCTCCTAAGACTGGGGAAGGCCTTGGCGGATCAGTTGGGGGCCGCGGCGAGCATTGCTGCCGCCACCGCCACGGCTGCAGCTACGGCAGCCGGTTCCTCCTCCTCCTCATCATCATCATTATCATCATCGCCAGCAGCAGCACCGCTAGCAGCAGCAGCAGCAGCCCCTGCCTTTGCGGCCTGGGGCCCCGTGTTCCAAGATGCGTTAGCTCGCCGGCTGCTGCTGCACTTTGCGTTTTTCAGGTGGGTGGCAGTCTGGGGACTGGGAGGGCAGTGATAAGATTAAAGATGAACCGGCCTGGGAGGGGGAGAGGGGAGCCGAGGGAGGTGGGCAGCTGCATGGTCATGTTCCGGTCATGCGTGATCTGGTCTGGTTGCTGCTGCTGCTGCTGCTGCTACTTCTGCTGCATTTCGAGTATGTCCCCCTGCCCGCCCGCCCGCCCTGCTTTCCCTGCTTCCTCAGGTGCTGCATGTCCATGCTTGCGAACCCGGGAGGAGCTAGCAGCAGCAGCAGCAGCAGCAGCAGCAGCAGCAGCAGCAGCAGCAGCACCAGCGGTGGCGGTGGCGGTGCGGCAGCGGAGTACCTGCCGACCTGCTTTCCGCCGCTGCCGCCCGCCGCTGACGTCGCTAGCGAGGGGCTGCGACAGGGGGTGCTGCGGGCGGCGGAGGCGCTGGGGCGGCGGGGGGTGTTTGCGCGGGGAGAATGAAGAGGAAGGGGGGAGGTGGAGAAGGAAGCAGGGCAGGAGGGGAGGAAGGTGGGCGGGCAGGTGGACTGCGCCGGCTGTTGATGCAAAGGGTTTGGAGGCGGCTGTGGAGGGTTTTCCGGTATGTATAGGTATCCAATTAAAGCCCGCGATGAAACGTGTATCGAGCGAGGATGTCGCTGGTTGAGGACGGTTGAGGAGGGCCGAGGAGGAAGGTAGTTGGGGTTAGAAAGGACGTGGGGTTGAGGAGATGAGCGGGGTTGTAAGGGAAGGGAGTAGATGAGGGGTTCGGCCCTGAGGTCGCCTGGGCGGATTGAAGTGGGGGTTGATCGTTGATGCATGCTGCTGGTGGAGCTGGTGCTGAGGCACACTTGTCATTGGTGAAGGTGGGATTCATTTGGAACAAGCGTTAAAGCCGCCCCCTGTGCACGCGCTAAGTTGCACTTTGTTGTTTCTTGAAGATGCAAGAAAGTGTGGGTTGCGGACTTTTGCAGGACTTCTCATGGTAGGCTTGCTTAGGTTGGGGCCATACTTACGCTTCATTATTGTAAGAAAACGTGCCCTGGTCGCCCTGGCGGCCTTACTCATTGCGTTCCTTCGCGTACAGGTACATCGAGGCACTTGCAACCTGTGTAAGGTTGGCGCGCAGCAGGCTAAGCCTTATTTAAATCGAGACGTGTTAGGAAGCCTGCCATGGACCCGGCACAATTCCAAGTGCTAACCCGGTGCGAGCAAACAACTTGCGTTCATATTGTCGCTACAGTGCCTACATACACGCGATTACTGCCGCGATGTGCAAGATGGATGCTTCTTATAACTATGATTGCGCTTCCGGTTACTATCAAACTTTTGCATCCGATAAAGGCAAGGTTCGTCCTGGCTGGTCCTGCAGTTCGTACAGAACTAGATTTTTTGTTCCTTTTTGTTGTCTTGGGCGCACAACATGATCTCCAGTGACGCATGATTTCACCACTACTGAAAGCCCAAATGGACGAACGTACTGCTGGGCTTTCATGTGTCAGCCGCAGTTCTCGCCCTGTGCCTTTCCATCCTGTTATATATTTCAACTTCAATCTTGATTAGATGCACATTTAACTGCGTTCCTCACAAGTTACCGAAAAGAGCTCGTAAAGAGCTCGTTAGTAATTTGCTAAGATTCGTTACCAGACTGGGCTACGAAGTTACTCCGATCCCTGCAAAGTCTATGTACGCATATCACAAATGTGTATTTAACATCCTACAACTGCTTTTAGCATTGCTTTTCGAGGGCCTCGCCTACAGTATCTCTAGTCACCTTCCTTGTAGGGATGCGCAGTATGCAATTTGTTGAGCTATACAATCAGGATTCCGTACACATGGTTATAGCTCTGGACTAATATCCTTTAAACACCTCTGGAGGAGGAAAGGGTCCAAGCGTCTCGTGCGCAAGCGGTGAGTTACTTGTACTCAAATTGCTTAGCCATAACTATGCCCATTATAGGATGTAATTATATTAAGGCCTTGTCCGAAGCCCTTGGTTGGCGGAAAACGTCACGTCACGCACGTTGTCCCTTCGCTTGTGAATGACACTCGGGCGTTTTTCCCCTGGCCTTAGCAGGTTGGTTTGCACAACTCCAGCGACCCTCGGCCGTTGCTGTGAGCAGGGGCACAAGCAATTTCGCGTTGTTGGTTCTCTTGGCTGCCTCGGGCATCCTTCCTATCCATTTCATTCTGGTTAGGCTACATCCTACTTCAGTCTCAGACTTATCGCGCTGCAGCCGGCGGGCCAGGGCCCGGCGCATAGGCACTGGCCCATGCTCGACGCCGAAAGCGCCTGCCTTTCACTGAGGCCGGCTACCGGCGCACACCTCTCATAACGGCACATGGCGGCGTCTTTGGCGCAAACTATCGCGCAGCAAAGGAGCATCGGTGGCAGTCACTATCTCGTCCATGGCTCCAACGATTTGCAGGAAGCCCCGTCCCTGGGGCCTCGCAATGAACCACAACTGCGCGTCGGAAGCAGCGTGCACGCTTGCTTGGTCGAATCTAGCAGCCTCTGTAACGAGTCAACGGTAAACCTAGGTCCCCTTCCATCCCAACAACCCAACAACGACCGCGTCCCATGCAGCTGTGCGGGCGACGCTGCCCTCCTGCCCGACTCCCTCCCATCTCACCTCTGCCGCTGCAACAGCGGAAACCACGTCAACCCCTCGCGTTCAGAGACGTCGGGGCTCGCGCCCGGGTCGGAAGGGAGCGGTGCGGACGTGCGATTGGCAGCGGCGGCCGGGGCGGCTTGGGAGCAGCAGCAGCGGCAGGACGCTGGCAGGGCGGGAGCAGCAGCGGCAGAGGGAGGGAGACAGCAGCGGTTTCAGGACGGGGAGCGTCCTAGCCAAAGGTCTACGGCGGATAGGGCAGCGGGGGAAAGTACGGCGGTATTGGGACCCGCAGCTGCTGCTGGGGCTGCGGCTGGCACCTCCTCCGGGGAAGTGGGGAGCCGCGGTCGCTGTCCGGGAATTGCCCGACACGGCGCCACGGAGGGAGCGGAGTCCGCTTGGATGAGGGAGGACAAGCAGCAGGTGCAGCTGCAGCCATTGCGGCGGCAGCAGCGGCAGCAACAGCAGCAGCTGGAAGGGGGTTGTGGAGCCACGAACGGGGATGCGTTGCCAGCTAACGGCATGCCCGCAGCACCCATGGGCCTTGACCTCCCTTCCCGGAATCCCTCGTCGTCATCTCAGCAGCAGCAGCATCACCATTACCATCGCCACCACCATGCTAGCCTGCAAGCTAACCAACAACAAGAAGTGGAGCAGCAACGGCACCACCAGCAGCAGCAGCAGCAGCAACTGGGGCGACGACAAACAGAGCCGCAGCAGCAGCGGCATGACGAGTCTGGGGCCCAGCCGGCGGCACCAATAGCCCACCCGCATCCGGACACGTCCAACCGCAATCAAACCCAAGTTAGCAGCGGCCGCCGCCGCGACGGCGCCGGCAGCACTGCCACCGCCAGTAGCATTGGCAGTAACGGGAACAGCAACAGCCGTAGCCGTAGCCGGGCCGGCAGCAGCATCAGCAGCCGCCACTCCAGTGGCCGAAGCCTCCTGGTTGCTTCCCGCACCGACCTTTCCTCTGCTCCCGGCTCCCAAACCTTCCAAAGCCCTAAGCTGACCGAGGCAGGCGGCAGCAGCTGCAGCAACAGCGTCATGCCACAAGGAGCTCCTAGCTCTCTCCTCACCGCCTCCTCCACCACAATCACAACCGTAGCGGGTAATACCGTTAGTGCCGTTGACATCATGTTGAACACTGCTACAACCACCGCAGCAACAACGGCCAACAGCGCCACTACCGCTACCACCACGCCCACAGCCTGCATCACCAGCGGCCACGGCGACAGCGGTTTCAACAGCACCACCAGCAGCTTCCAGGGCGCTGCGGCGGCGGCTGCTGCTACTGCTGCTAACAACCCCCTCGTCGCCGCCACGACAGACCTCCGAACCGCTCGTTCACTCCCCGCACGACTCCAAATCGCCTCCAAATCCGACAGCTCCGCCCTAGAGTCCATATCCGCCGCCGCCGCCGCAGGCGTCGCCATTGCCCCCTCCGCCAACCGCTTCCCTCTCCGTGCCCCGGGTATCTTCAGCAGCAAAAGCGCGGGCAGCGCCCTCACGACCGCTCCCGGGGGTTCCGGCGGTTCCGGCATCGGCCTGGGAGGAGGTCTGACCGCAGCTACATCCGCAGCAGCAGCACTACATGGAGGAGCAGCAGGAGGAGGAGGAGGAGGCCTCTTCAACCGCACCTCGCTCAGCACCACACCCTCTCCCTCCACCGCCTCTCCGGTGTATGAAAACGAACCCGCGCTGCGTATGATCTCATGCACCCTGCGCGCGTCCAACATCTCGCGCCCGCCGGGTTCCCGCGCCCGAGGCCGCGTGTGCACACCCGAGGAGCTAAGTAAGAAGCTCCTTGCGGAATCGGGCGGTGCTGCGACCAAGGTGCTGCTTACCAGGGCTGCAGGGGGGCTGGCGGATCTGCCGCCGCCGCCGCCCAAGGCACCCTGGGGCTCCTTCCCGCCCATTGCGGAAGACGAAGCGGCGCAACAGCAGCAGCAGCAACAGCTGCATGGTGGTGGTTATGGAGGGGGAGAGGGGGCAGGGCATGGGGAGGGGGTGCTGTTGCGTCGGGTGAAGACGTGTGGGTGCGTGATATCGTGATGGGATGGTGGTGGTGTTGATAATTGATGATGATGAAAGCCTGGGGTTGGATTGCCGTACACATGGGTTAGGACCGTATATGTGAGGGAACCAAGCGGAAGTGGGTGTGGGGGGTAGGGGGTTGCTGTACCGTGCGTTGAAGGGGGTGGGGTTAAGGAGGGCATGAGGGCGAAGGAAGGAGATCCAAGAAAGCCCGTGGCTTGTGGGGTGGGGGTAATGTGTTTTTGATGCGGCTGCGGCTGTAGAGGATGTTACAGAAGCAAGTGGGGGTGTGTCTATTGTCCGGATGTTTTTTTGATGTACGACTACAAAGAAGGCGTGATTGGTGAAGGCGCTGTCTTTAGGTTTCGTCTCACACGAAGAACGTTTGGCTTCGACGCCTTCGAGGTGTGGCGGGGGGGGGGGCTGGATTCCGTTGAAACGTGGGAGCCGCTGGTTGCATGCCGCCTGCCAGCATGCGCAGCGTGTTCATGCTGGGATCCATCGCCTGTTGGTTGGGCCGTTGCTTGTTGGGGCCGTTACCTGGGGACCGGTGCGGGGGAGGATGAGAGGTGTATGTAGGGGGCCGAGAGAGGTTTGTGGGCTAGACAGGGCCGCTGTTGAAGATGCGCGTAGGGCTGCTGTGCAAAAGGGAAAGTTAAAAAGAAGAGCAACAAGGAAAAGAAGATAGCGAACGAGCTCGGAGGTAGGATGACGGGAGTAGCGGTGTGAGCATGTGGCCTTGGAAGAAGCCGTGGGTTACGGCCCTAGTCGGATTGGCTAGGGACAGGTAGAGGAGCCAACAAGGAGGAAGGGAGGCGGCGGATGGCAGCTGCTTGAGGCTTTGGTTTGCTTTGACGCGCCTGGGCAGTGATACTGCTGTTGCGTTGTTGCGGGCTGGTAGCGTTGTTTTCGGACCCCAGGCTGCTCTCCTCAACGAGAGCACACGAGAGCATTCATACTGGCGAAGGGTACCTGTTATGCGGTCAAGTTCGGATTCATGTGTGTGAGGAGTCTGGTAAGGAGGCCAGTGTGTGGAGCCAGGTGGTTGGAGTCAGGTGGTTGGAGGTGAGCTCAGGTGAGGAGGTGAGCTTGTAGACGCGAGGGGAGCGAGACGGCATGTGTGCGCCGTGTGCCTCCTCTCGATCGACCGCGTGTGCGTGCCTGTACCGGTTACTGCACGTGCAAGCGTGCGTGTTTGGTTGTGTGGGAGGTATAGGGCTTAGGGGAGGAGAAACTAGCAACTGGGGACCCAGATCCAGCTTCTTTATCAGGAAGGGTCGTCAGGAGCACACCCGGCGGTAGCGGTAGCGGTGGCTGGCGCGGGCGGTTTTGGTGGGTGTGAAGAATTTGGGTTGTCCTTGTTGTTGTTGGTGGTGGTGGTGGTGGGGTTGCGATGGATGGAGTTGTGCGGACTGCAGTAGACACGTATCGTTAGTTGGATGGGAGGGTTCATGCCAATGGATGTCATGGCAGCGTTCCCATTGCTCCCATTGAAGTTGGCGGCGCTTCAAAGGGAAAGGGAAGGGGTTCTTGTTGAGTATAAGGCTAGTCTCCGGATTTTGCGGATCTCGTGAGTTCTTATGAAGAGATTCTTGAATAGACTTGATTCCCCCTGGTGGGTTTATGGATTGGGTAGTTGTTTCAGCCAATTGGATTCATGGTTTGTACGTTTGCGAATATGCGTCATTGGGCCCCTTAGGACAGTTGGCGGTATGCCGGAAAGGATGAAGCTTTACCCCAACGCCTGATCCGTTTGGTTTCCCTTCCAACGAAATGCTTCCTGTGGCCTTTGACGTTCACTTATGGTCGCGATTTGGGTTCATTTAGCACGCAGGAGACTCAATAGTCACCTTAACGTTTGGGGTGCGTCGTTTGAGCTCGACTGACCCATGGGTCACTGCACCAGGGCAGGTTTATTGTTGTCGTAGGATATGGAACGTACGACGATCGCGTAGCAGGAGGGAAGCTTGGGGGTTGCAGAATGCGCAACTTTGGAACAGGAGGACGTTGGTTTAACGAGGTTTTTGTGCATACTTGCAGCGTCGAACTCGACGCACGTTTTCTTATCAAGGCCACCGAAAACGCAATTGCTTGCTCTGGGTATGCAATCGTAGCGACGTAGAGTGTGTTATTGCGTGTGTATGTTATTTTGAGAAAAATAATTACGGAATGTCGTACGTTCTTTAACCCGTTGACCCGTACACCTGTAAACGTTTTATGTCATCGCAGGCCTGTTCATAACCCGTTCAGGGCCATGTAACAACGGTATTGGGATTCCAGGCTCATTACACGGTACCGGTACCGTGTGAATGAACGGAGTGCATGGGTTCCTGTTTTCACCAGATCATGCATACGGGCCAACTACCGGTAGGCTGCGCATGCTTTGCCGTACCACACATGCGCATGCTTTGTCGTACCACACATGCGCATGCTTTGCCGTACCACACATGCGCAAGGCTGCCCGGGGCTGCCCAGGCCCCAGGTTCACAACAGACGACCCCCAACGGACTTCCCTATGTTTCCACAACTCTTACCATACATGTCATGCTGGCGGCCGCACTCACAGTGCTAACAGTGCAACAGAACACCATACACGTGGGTGGACGCGTGACCCATGGGTCATGTGTAGGCCTTACAATGACATGGCAATCTTGCTGAGCTTCCCGCTGGGGTTCCACTACGACCACTACCACCCCCCCCCCCCCCCCGCACGAACGTCCGGCTCATCACCCCCCACCCGCGTTACTCCACACTCCCCCCAGTCCCCTACCCACCCGTTCACACAACACCCCTTCCAGCTTACGCCCCCCAGCACGACCATCTCAGCTCGTTCGTTCGCAACCCTCCCTACGTCCGGGGCCGCAGAAGCGCCGGAAGCACCCGAGCCACTCTCCGAACCGTCAACGAGATGCGCTCGCCGCCCCGCGGTACCATTGACCCATGGGTCAGTCCCTCATACGCGCTACCGCGCATGCTTTCACCAAGATTGACAACCGACTCGTCTAACCGTTCTTCGTGCACCTCCTCGATGGAGTGTAAACAATGCGTGAAAGCTTGATCTCGAAAGACCACCAAACTACGAGGTGCAAGGAACACGGAGGCAATGTAGGGACTGCTCATGCTGTGACCTCCGCTGCTGTTGCTACCGACGTTGCTACAGCCGTTGCCATTGCCGTTACCGTTGTTGGTAAGCAGGGCACCACCGCAGCTGCTTCTGCAGCTGCTGCTGCAGCCTGGCCCATCACCCGCACTGCCACCATCATCTCCGGAGGCCGAGGAGGGAGCGGAGGGAGCGGAGCGGAGATCACCTACAGGAACGGCAGCAGGGCGAGATGAGGAGGAGGAAGGGAGGGAGGAGGGACACAAGTAGGACCCCTGACTGGCGGCTTCTGCATGCCGGTTCCGGTGGGCTGCTGATGCCGGTGGTGCTGCGGTGGTGGTGGTGTCGGTATGGCCGTCCGGCGCTGCCGGAGCGTTACCGTTGGGGCCATGGCCGTTGTTGGTGCCCATGCTACCGGTGTCGGCGCCCCCGCTGTTATCATCGTGGCCGTCTCCTGAGGCGATGGCAGCAAACCCGGGGCGGCAATGTTGCAGGGGCACACACGGGGGCGGGCACATGGGGCCCAAGAAGAAGAAGAAGAAGGAGGAGAAGAAGAACTCAGACAAATCGTGATCAGCGGTCAACAACAAGGCCCCTCCCCCTACCGGTACCCTCCACCTCACATCCAGCGTAGCCAAACCCTCCTTCACCCGCGGGGGCTGCTTCATCACCGGGTTGTTGTTGTTGTTTCCCCCCGTCTCCCTCCCTCCCTCTCACCCTCCCTCAGCGCTTTCCTCCTGAACCTCAGTACGGCAGGAGACCCAAGCGACACGATCGCCACCACTGGGTGGTAGGCGGGGCCGTCCTCGTGGGGCTGTGGGGGGGATTAGATAAACTGAGCCGCGGAGAAGAAGTTCCAATGTGTGGTGTGATAGTGGCAAACTAGCGGACAAACCCTGATGGAGAAAACCGTGAGTCGAGCCGAACTGGTGGTTGGGGGTGGGAGGGATGGGGTGGTGGTGGGGTGGGAGGGGCGAAACAAGGACGCCTGAAAGCGAAGCATCGGACCACCCAAGCCACAATGGATCGCGATAGGTCTTTTCCTCCCTAGTTCTTTTCCTCCCATTTTTACCTAGCACCTTGACTCAGCAACCGGGTTATTTTGGCCACCCAACCCAACCTTTGCACTTCTTACCCGTCCCTCCTCCCCCCTACCGGGCCACTTCTCCTCCTTCCTTCAGCCATCATGACCCCCCATCCCCAGTTCCATTGTCAGTGTCTCTACATCAAAAATCCCCCCACCACACACACACCTACACCTACACGGGAGGACTTCATCTTTCAGCAATCACAGTACGTTTCGCCTCGCGGCCAGTTATTTTAACACACGCCTACCATGATGCCCTCCCCGGGGAGGTACGAGTTGACGAGCACATGGTTGGGCGGTTGGCCGCCGTACAGCCCCCTCCCGCCTCCTCCTGTCCCTGCCGCTGCTGCTGCTCCTCCTCCTGCTCCTCCTCCTGCCGAGCTCACCCCTGCTGCTCTCACACCCTCGCCTCCTGCTCCTCCGCTGACGCAACCGCTCTGATCCCCTCCTCCCGCTCTTGCTCCTCCCCCCGCTCCCGCTCCCGCTCCCGCTCCCGCTCCCGCTCCCGCTCCCGCTCCTCTCTCCTCTTCCCCGCCGCCTGCTCCCTCCGCCGCCAGCCTCCTCAGCAGGGGTTGCAGCCAGGAGGGCAGCGGGGCGGGGATAAGGCCCTTGGCGTGAACCACCCCTCCGTGGTTCTGGAGCCGTCGACCGGAGAGCTGTGTGTGTGGGGGGGGGAGGGCCGGGGTGAGGAAGGGTCAAGGGGGCAAGGATGGGGAGGACGGGATGGGGAAAAAATAAGAATTGCAAACAACTAGAGTCCCAATCCCATATCCCGACTCATGCAGTGAGTGCATTCGGGATGGGGGGAAAATTATATAAGTGAAACAACGAGTCCCAATCGGGATGGGGGGAGGGGGGCAGAACAGGAACGAGAGGAGGGATTGGGAAAGGAAGGGAATCAGATGAAGGTTTCTTGATGGATTTATACACGTCGTCCTGGTTCATGTGTTCCCAGCGGAGGAGTGAAACACACACGCGGCAGGACAATCAACCCGTCCTAGATCGGTCCTGGGGGTGCCGGTTCTTGATTGAGTCATGGCATGGCGCGCACCTGCACCCATTTGGCTTTTGACGCGTGTACCTCCCGAAGCAACCGCTCCTCCTCAGCTGGGCTGATGTAGTCGGGGACCTGTGAGCAGGCAGGTGAGGAGAGGAAGAGGGCACAAGATGTTCGAGAGGGGGGAGTAGCTTGCCTGTCCCTGTTGGTGAGGGGAACATGGATGCAGCGCGCGGTTGTGCGGGCTGGTAAACCAAAAGGTAAACGTGGAAGTTAGACTTTGCAGAAGTGCGAGGACTCTCTACACCGAGAACTGTTTACCGACGCTCAAGTGTTGCGCGCATGCACAGGTTGTGGACCGACCACTTGTGCTACGATATCCAGACTTTCCGCAGCAAAATACAATTAATAGTTTGATGTTAGCGGACTTACGTAAAAAAGGCTAGATAGCTGCGGCGCAACTTGGTATCGATGTACCCATTTCGTGCTTAGGCCAGACGGGGCGTTGCCGGCTTCAGACATACTGCTCTTGGCGGCTAGAAATGATATTGGCGCAGACGCTTAGACTGGTCAAAGGATACCGAGCTTAAAGCAAAAGACGCGCGAGAACACTGAAGTCCTGTTGTGTCATGCATTACTCCTGCAGGGAATGTTGCCATGCATGCAGGCGCTAGCCGCTTAAGCCTCAGGTACAAAGGAGCTGCCAGATGTCGCATTATAAATGGTTGAAAGACAGTGCCCTATTACCACAACAATTCCTTTTCATAAGCGAATGGCTTAGGTCATAGGCAAACCTCAGAAGCGAGAGAAGTCTCGGCACTGCGACGTGTAGCCGGGACCAGGTTTCAAAGTAAGTCTTCTTCTGCAAACAATTGCAGGCTGTCTGGCTGCGCTGTCTATTACTGGTAGACTAAGCTAATTGCCACTTCTCGCTGTTTTGCTTCCTATTGTACTGCAGGTTTACATCCAACCCTTTGCTCAACCAGTTCAAGAGCTTTAGTCCGACAATATATGTAAAACTATAGTAAGCTAGGTAAGTTAAGTAAGGTTGAGAATGCTGAGCTTTGCCGCATCCTATCAACTGACCGACTTTGTTCACCTTCCGTCTGCGTGCAGTCATTGACTGTAAGACTACCCCCAAGGCCACTTCAAGAAATTATATGCCGGTACGAAGCGTTGGGCAATTTCTTGCGTCAGAAGTTTTAGCTTCAAGCATAGCGCTTTATCGCTTTTTATCTATTGCGTATTCTTATATACGAAAAAGGGACATTCCTTGGTAGCTTGTTTGTTAGTGGCGCGTCAGGCATACGCCGATTGAAATCCTTCCGCTCCGGTAATGCTTATGTCAGTGACGTTCCAAGCCTACTGCACCACGCCACTTGCTCGCACTGCGTTATCAAGTGATCACAGTTCTAACCATAAGTTTGTCGCCCGCCCTCCTTGTGCCACAGAACCGTGACAACAAGATGAACCCCGGCTGGCGTTACTCGGGAGCTGTAGCTCCATCCTCCAAGGACAAGCCCTCCTGAGCCCACGACAAGACCCGCACACGGCTGCAACCTCCAAGGAGACATCGACCTCGTCCCGCCTCGCTGCCTCCTCCGCCTCCCCCTCCCCTACTCGGCTTGGTACTCTCTTCTCTCCGACCGACCTGAAGCTTTGGTCAAGCCCAGCAGCCAAGCGGCCCGGAATCGCTTTCCCTTCCGTCGCTGACCCGTGCTTCTTAAAGGCACGTCTAGACATGCGGAGCACTTCATGCGTGCGTGTAGAGATGACACTGGTTGGGGGTTTGCTTGCAATGTATAGGGTCATTGCACATGCATCTCTAGGCATGGCATGGCATCTGTCAACCGCAATCACACTGGCTCGATATCGTGACCCTGTCGCTGAACCCGCCCTTTCTTGGTTTTCGCAGGTACGACAAGGGCTTATTTTAAGGCGGCGTGCTAGACTTAGACCAAGACTACGTCAAGACCAGCAGCGACGTTTCATCCCGCCTGCAATACGGCTCGTTGAAGGTACGTCCATTTACGTAGAGCACTGCATGCTTGTTCCTTGCAAGGTTGCCGACATGCCGGCCCCCTCTGCCCCTCCGCATGACCCTGTCATTGAACCCGCGCTTTCTTGGCCTTCGCAGGTACGACAAGGGCTCTTTCAAGGCGGCATGCTAGACTAAGACCAAGATTCACGCCAAGACCAGGACCGCAAGTGTAGCCGTACAGAGGGGGCCGTACGGCCCAATTCATGGCAGAGGGGGACGCCTCAGAAGGCGAATGTGTGGGTGCATGGTGGTGCTGAGAGGGATAGGCTTATGTGCGTCCTTTTTTCTCGTACGCGGCTTTATTCATGGCTTTCGGTGTTCCGGTGACGTGTACTACACGTGTGCGACCCACGGGTCATGTTTTGCATGCTCCTTATTTTGCTAGTTTTCGTTAGGCATGTTTCTGTGGCTATCGAGCTATCACTGAAGAAGATGGCTATCGTGCTGTACGGGTACCGGGTAGTTGGAGGAGGCGGCTATCGTGCTGTACGGGTAGTTGGAGGAGGCGGCTATCGTGCTGTACGGGTAGTTGGAGGAGGCGGCTATCGTGCTATAATTAAATAATGGAGGTAACCGCAGAGATGTTGATGCAGCTGTAGATCAGTTGGCTGTCAACCTGCTGGATGCTTGCAAAATGTAAGGTGCCTTCCTCCTTCCCCTCCTTGCGCAGGAGGGGAGGGAACCTTTCGTGCGCCTTCTCTGCATGGCACGTGTTGCATAAATGTAGTTCCCTAACTCAGCAAAACCGGCGGCCTCGAGGCATAAAGCAGTATACTGTGACACAAACTTGGCAGTATCGGGCTTCATCCCAAGCTGCTATACTCAACCTTAGGAAGCGAGGACCACACACCACATCAGGAGTCCGTACTGGCCAATCGTTAAGACGTACTCTAACAGAGCGTATACAGCCATGCCCGACAAAAAAGGCCGCAAACTATCTTGGAGCCTTTCCCCTTTCTAGCGACCAATCGTACATACTCGTAGAACCAACGCTTACAACCACCAATCCAAATCGATCCCACTAGACGTCCAATCCAAATCAGGTAGCCCCGAAGGGATTCGCAACGCCCCATAACATAGCATAACAGCAACGCACCACCGTTTGACGCGCCGTACACAAGCAATGTTGACCAATGTCAGACCCACCCATGTCATCAAACTGCAAAAACACAACTGGTTGCAACGATGGAACACCACCTGAGCTCACACGTACGTCCAGGGTGCAACAAAGTCTTTTGTTGCTTTCGTACGCATGTTAAATGCCTGCGGATTGCTGTGATGAGTTCGTGTGTGGCATGGGTTGAGTGTGCCGTTTGCCCCGACGCCACCTAACTTCGCTTGGAAGCAAGAAACCCGCCGTACAAGACCTTGTCGTACAAGAGACATGCGCTGTCGCCATCAGTCCAGCCCCGACCCACACCACATACACTACTCGGGCCCAAACACCTGCTCGTACTCCCACAGGGCCCTGTCGTACTCCTGCGTCACCTGGCAGCCGCACCCGTACCCCGGAAGACGCATGCGGCTGAAGGCCGGCAGCCGTGTGTGGCCCTGCAGACCGCTCCAGTCAAAGTCCACGAACCTGGGCCTCGCTGCTGCTGCTGCTGACGCCGACCCCGCCCGCCGCGTCCGCCCCACCGCCATCGCTGCCGCCCATGCCGCTGCCCACCGCCACCTCGCCGCCGCCGCCTGCAGCTCCCCTGCCGCCGCCGCCGCTGCCCGCCGCCGTGTCCGCGCGCGGCAGCCGCACCATGACGTTGGCCTGCCGCAGGTCGGCGTGTACGCCCGGGAGGCCGCGGGACTCGTCCACGACGATGCTGTGCGCCCGACCCAGCGCCTCCACCACTGCGTCGTTCAGCTGATTCTTCAGATCGGGCGGCAAGCTGTAGAACATGACCCAGCCGTCCGCGGGCGGCAGCTGCTCCATCACCAGCATCACCAGGCCGCACGGCAGCAGCTCCTCCAGCACCACCTTCGGCGCCAAGTCAGCCGCCGCCCAGGCGCGGTGCACACGGATCGCATCCGCGCTCATGTGGGCAAACTTCACTGCCACGGCCCTGCGCGGCAAAAGGCAAGCAAATGCAGAGCAGAGAGGGATAGGAGAGAGCGTCGCTAACCAATGAGTGCATGCTGCCCGCAAAGGCACCATGAAAGACAAAGGGACGTCCAACAGGAGGCAGGTGACCGGATCAGGAGCAGATGCCGAGCGAGGATTTCCCGAGGTCCCATCGTGCACCCAACCGAGCTATCACCCGGGCGGTGCCGCGCCCTGCCGTACCCACGCACCTGCCCTCGTACATAGCGAAGTACAGCGGGTTGTACACGCCAGCTCCAACAGGCTGCACGTCCTGGAAGCCCTTCTCCGGGCGCAGCGGGTACGGCAGCTGCAGGGACGGGTCGCGCAGCGGCACTACTGCCACGCGCGGCACCGCCACGCGCGGCACCGCCGTCGCCGCGGCCTCCCCGCCTGCCGACGCCGCTGACGATGATGACGCCCCTGGCGCCGGCCCCGCCGAAGAAGCCGACGCAGCCGAGGCCGAGGCTGAGCACGCCGCCGCGGGCGAGGCAGCAATGGGCTGCTGCAGCTGGCCGCACGCGTTCTTCAGAAGCCCGATGCCGATCTTGAGAGCCCGCAGCACAAGCGCCACGCAGATCATGTGGTCTGGTGGGGCAGTGGGGCACGGCGTCCGGCGGGTGCGTGCGTGCGTGTTCCCCGTCACCAGGGCGCAGGAAGGCGTTGGGCAATCGTTGGACAGCTACTGCGCAATGCAACTAAACGGCTGCGTAAACGGGTGGGTGGGTAGGTGGGCGGATGACTAGGTGGCGCGCTAAGAAGGAGGAGTATGCGCGAGCGCGCTCGCTGCGCTTACTCACCCGGCCGGTGCCGGTGCATGCTGAACAGGTGCAGGTAGGGCGTGAGCGGCTCGCACACCACGGTAACGTCCGCCGGAGACGCCAGCGCCGACACGCGGAGGTACGGCCCCACCAGCTCCACGAACAGCACAGGCAGCACCGTGCCCTGCACCAGCGCTGCCACCTCGGGATTCGCCAGGTACAGCTGGTAGTAGCGCTGGCCTTGGAAGTAGGGGTCGCCCTCTGTGCCAATCTGCAGGGCGGGGGCAGCAGGGTTGGTGATGAGCGCATGCGTGTGCGAGGCTGCGTGTGGGCTTGCAAGCAGCTGCAGCACGGCGGCTTGGCTCGGGCACGAAGGGAAGACAGAGGGCAGGAACACACACAGGTACCCTGACCCATTCTACCTGTTCCCGCCGTTCCTGGCCGTTCGGCCGACCCACCTCCAACTTGACCTGCTGGATGTACACAGGTAGCCTCTTTGAAGACGCTGGCCCGCCGGCCCGGCAGAGCAGGCTCCCGTCGGTCACAAACCCCAGGCCGCAGATCGGATAGTGGGGCTCGATGCGCTCGCCGAGGTAATCTTGGAGCAATTCGCTGAATTCTGCCATGCGCGCCTCCTCGTTGGCAAAGCTCTTGGCCATGGCCGCGCACAGCCTGCAATCGGGCACCCGTACGCGGGCAGTGCACAGTTCTTGCACAGGCCTGCACAGCTGCATGTCCGACTTGATACCCCCTCCGACCCGCAGCCAGGCGGCGAGGATGCTCTAGTTGACTCTCCCTCTCCGATCTTTCCGCCCCCGCCCCTTGATGACCCCCTCCTCCAACATGGCCCCGAAGTCCACTGCTACGTTACCTGCTCGCCATCTCGCAGTCCGCGTTTGATGGGGGCACGCTGTCAGCGCCGCCGCCACCACTGCTGCTGCCGCAGCCGCCGCTGCTACCGCCGCCGCCACCGCTGCTGCCGTCGTCGCCGCCAACACCAACGCCCTTCAGCGCCGCGCCGAACAACGCCACCAGCTTATCTAGAACTGGGTCGTACAGCGCCACCGGCAGAGCTCTGGTCGACCCAACGCCAGCGGTTGGCCGAAAGCACCGGAAGAAGGCGTGGTTCTCTGTTTGCGACCACTGATCGCTGTAGGCCATGTCCGAGGGCTCTGGCAACGCCTCGAGCTGCTGCTGCAGTTGGGACCCTGTGAGTCAACAGCGAGCGATTAAAGCTACTCTCACGCAGGGCCCATTCAATTTCACGAGGTTGTGGCAGTAGCAAGTGGGGCTAGGCCCATCATGACCCATCACGCACAAGACTCTGCACTCGCGTCCGCGGCCTTGGCTGCAGTTGCAATGCCAGCAGCAGGCAGAGGGTGTTCGAATAACACGGAAGCGCGGACAGGAGGAAGACAGAACAGGGGGCCGCTGTCATCGTTGGCCCGCCGCAGCGACATTGCGCTTGACAGGAATCACCATCACGAAGGTCGCGAATTGCGCAAGACAAGAGCCCTTGAGGCAGGGTAGGAAGAAAGACAGGCTTTGGGAAACGCGAAAACTCCGACTCCAACCTGTGATGAGGACCCTCACCGTTCGAGTGCGCTTGCTCCGCTCGCAGATCCTTCTCCTCCTTGAGCAGCAGGAGCTCCTCATCGCGCAGCTGCTCCAGGTTCTTGCGCAGCTGCTCCTCCTTCTTGCGCAGCAGGAGCTTATCATTGCGCACTGCGTCCAGCTGCTTGTCCAAATCTTGCTTCGAGGCGAGTCGCTGCTGCTTGACCACCAGCAGCCCAGCTTTCTCCCCCTCACTGAGAGCTGGGTTTGCGAGCTTAGCCTGCACGTCGCAGAGCTCCTCGTCGATCTTCCCCGCGCGACGCTCGAGGTCGTCTTCCTTCGCCTCTTTTATCTCTATTTTCTTCACGACATTGTCAATCTCAGACGCGGTCTTTTCAATTTCTCTAGCGACCGTTTCTATTTCTCTTGCGTGTTCTTGTAGCCTGGAGCGAGAACGCTTCGTCATGATACAGGGAGTTGCAAAGTGATTGGCTACATTGGCAGTTTTCCAATTGCGCCCCGATTGACACCGCGGAATTTGCGCAAAAAAATTGGCGACAATTTCAATGCCGTACGCCATTACCGACAAAACTGTCAGGCCTTACCAGGCCTTGTAACTTTCGCATTCTTACCAGCTCTCGAGTGCTGCCAGCGGTCCAGGCAAGCATTTGCACGCACGTAGGCAGGCATTTGCAGCGTTACCATCGTTGCGGGAGGGTCTGGGAGGGCTTTTCGGCTCCGTGACGTCGCCATGTTAGACCGCGCAACCGCAGAAGGGCCATTCCAGGCAGTTAAAATCAACATCAGCATAGAGGAATGCCTGAAAGAGAAGGAATGCTAAGGGGTAGCTATTGTAGCAGAGGCGCGCAGCACTTCCAAAAATGAAACCGCCCGGCCCGGAACCGCGATTGCAAAATGCGGCCCGATTGCAATCGCGCGGCTGGCGGGGGCCATCTACTTAACAACTTTCTGTAATTTCTAAGCACTCAAAGCTCGAGAGCTATGTTGCAGCTGGTGTTTAAATGAAAAGATCTAGCGCTCTGCCAGGGTGCCACCGACACACCAGCGATGAACGACCAGCGCTGCACACACGCAATACTGGACATCACGGTTTGAGCCGAAACCCTGCAAGGACCCCCCCACCCTGCAAGGACGGGCGGGTCGGGCTGGCTCACATGTTACAACCCATGTTGACGCCTTATCCCTCAGTCAGTTAGTTGTTTCCTCTTTACCCCCACCCTGCAAGGACCCCCCCCCACTGTACCACCCCCACCCCGCCCCGAGCAAGGACCCCCTCTCCCCCAACCCCGCAAGAAGGTGTGTCTCACCCCTACACGCGTGGGTCTGTTGGCCCTGTCCCCGCAAGAAGGGTAAACCACCCCCGCACGCGTGGGACGTGTCTCATCCGTGTGCTCTGTGTATTGTGTGTGAACTAGCAAGCTCTGCTGTACCCCCTTCTAGGTGTGTCTGTACATGCAAGAAGGCGTGTCTCACCCTATAGCGTGGGCGTGTCTAGGTTTGTGGTGTGCTGCTAACAGGGAGAAGGAGAGGGAGAGAGGAGAGAGGGAGCCGGAGAGATATATGTTGCAGCTTGGCGTGTAGAGCCTTTGCTAGCGTATATGCTAATGTATACCTGCATGCGTAGACGTGTGTGAAGTTGAAGTGCGTGTCGTATTGCTAGAGTGCGTGTCAATTGAAAGAGGCTGCTGACAGTCGTTGTGAGCAAAGTCAACAGGTAGGGGTGGTGTGTACATACTGGAAACCGGGGAGAAGGGGAGAGTGTACATAGTTTGTGTGTAGTGTGTTCGTGAGAAGACGTATTGTAGGGGTGTGTGTGTAATGGTAAGAGTGTGTCAACGACTGTTACATACAGATTTAGCTGGGGTGGGGGGGGGTCGTGTGTCAATACCCGGCAAGATTATGCCGTACCATGGATGCACCTTATGATGCGTTGCGTTACTTGCGTATGCCCCTGTCCTGTTGCGTCTGTCGTAGAAGACCCCTCACCAGCGCTTCCACCACCCATGATGGAGGAAACCCTTACCAGCACTACACCACATTACTAAACCAACAAACCAAAACACTTTACGTCCCAGTCCCCTCCAAACGCCTCAGGAGAAGCTGCAACCCACCTCCAGAAAGCACCCCACAAACAGCCCCACAGCAAACGCGGGACGTACAACGTACACGGCGATGCCCACCGTTGGTGAGCGCGCCATATCCGTAAACACACTACCGGTATAACCAACAACACGAGCACTCCCAAGTTCCCACCCGCCCTAGGGTTCCGAGTTCCCACACCTGAGACGCAAGTGCTGAGACCTCTCGGGCACCTCCCGTGTCTCTCAGGGACGTCCAGGGGAGACGCCTGCAGGGTTGTTCCCAGGCCACTCGTCATAGCTATTCCATTTGGCCGCCGCCACAACTCTCGCCTCTGCGGCGGAGCCTGCCTCACGCCATCTTGCGGCTCTGTAACGTGCACCCGTCTCTTCTTGGTCGTCAGGTTCTGAAAACGGATTGAAAGCGTTGTTGACCTGCTTAATGGCCGCAACCCAGGAGGGAGTGGCAGCCATAACGGTAGTCATCCTCCTCAGTCATCTCACCACCGCTGTCGCTACTGGCGCCCCTGTGAAGCCGCTCAAAGCCGCATCAAGATACACCCCGCAGCTCCCCCCGCATGCCATACGCACATACACATACACGGTCCGTTGAGTCAACACACACACGTTCCTACTCGCCGCCAGTTATTTTAACACACGTTCCTACTCGCGGCCAGTTTTCTTAACACACACACACAGACACAGACACGCACAACCAGTTGTCGCGGCCAGTTATTTTAACACACGACACATGTTACCGCATGTAAACAGCACACACCGCGCTACCGCGCCATCACCACCGCGCCGTCACCACCGCCGTCACTACCACCACCGCCACCGCACTGCACTCCTTTCCTTTTCCCCTCATGTTTGCGCCTGCAGTGGGCTCCCCTCACAGGTAGGCGGTTGCCGCCGCCGCCACCCACTTCTTGCTGAGCGCGGTGCGGTTGGGCGGCAGCGCCCAGGCGGGTTGGCGCGGGCGGTGCGACTCCACTGCCACATCGTAGCTGCGAGGGGGGCGGGGAGGGAGGAGGAGGGGAGGAGGGGGGAAGAAGGGGGAGAAGGTAAGAAAGTACAGAAAGGAGGATATGGAGGGGGTTGAAAGCAGGCGGTTCCGACCACTGCATGTTTCCCCCCGTTCCAGTCCTGTGACAAGCTTGGGTTGGGTTGGGTGTTGATGGGTGGTGCTGCCGTACTGGCACTCGTGGTATGCCGTACGACATGTTTTGGACAGCAGGCACCGCGCACTGCCGTATACTCACTTGTAGGTGAGGTCGTTGAGGTCCCGTACCGCCACCGAGCTGGGTGGGATGACGTTGGATTGCGACATGGCGCGCAGGCTCTTGGCCTGAAGCGGAGGGGGGGAAATTATATAAGTGAAACAACGAGTCCCAATCCCATATCCCGACTCATGCAGTGAGCGCATGAGGGGGGGAGGGGACGGGGACGGGGACGGAGGGAGGGATAGGGGAACTGTTACTAAGCGGATGTGAGGTCGGGTCGCAGTGGGGGGTGTGGGGCGTGAGAGGTGCAGAGCGCTAGTGTGTGCAGTACAGGCACCTTTCGATCACATATAACCACATCGGCGCAACAACTCACATCCTCCACGCCTACAGCAGCACCCTCCTCCCCCCATCAGACCCAGGCAGTGTTAACTGCCCCTCAACCCCCGTACCAGGCAACCATACAACAGCAACACGCCCCCCTCTCCCCTCTCCCCCCTCCCCACTCTCACCGCCGCCTGCCGTGTGGCCTGCCCGAACGCCCCCCCAGGCACCCGCGGCGCGAGGCCCGAGGACCCCAGCTCCCCGTGCCGTGCCGGGTCCACATAAACGAGCGGCCGCGTGTCCCCCCAGCGACCTGGCTCCCCTGGGTAGTCTGCAAGACCCGCAGGCAGCGGCTGCTGGGGGTGCTGCTGCTGGGGGTGGTGTTGGGGGTGGTGCTGCTGCTGGGGGTGGTGTTGGGGGTGCGGTTGGAGGTGGTGTGGGTTAGGGTGGTGGGGGGAACATGAGATGGAGGAGGTGGAGGAGGCGGCAACAGCGGCGGCGATGGCGCCCGTGGCTGAGGAAGGGGGTGCTGCGGAGGTGGTGGAGGTGGTTGGGCGAGCGGATTGGGGACGGGATCTGGAGGGGGAGAAGGAGGTCTGCGGACGGGATTTGGTGGGGGTTTTGGAGGAGGCGGTGGTGGAGGAGTGGGAGTGGGAGCGAGCGGATTGTGGTCTGCCTGGGGAAGCAAAGGAAGAGGAGGAGCGGGGCGTGGAGGAGGTGGCGTGCTGGTGGCGAGGGTGTTTGGCGGCGGAGTGGGAGCGAGCGCGGGACGGGGACTGCTGCTGCTGCGGTTGCTGAGGAGGAGCAGGAGGGGGAGGGGGTTGTTGTTGGCTCCGGTGTTGGTCGTGCTGCATGCGCGCCTGTGGGGAGGAAGGGTGGGAGGAGGCGGGGGCGGCCGCGGAAAGGTGTCTCAGCGAAAGAGGTTGGCGGGTGGCAGCAGGCGGCGGGCTGGGAGGAAGACAAGGTGTTGTGGAGAGAGTTGGGGGAGAGCGAGAGAGCAAGTGCCTCAAGGGGGGGAGAGAGAGGTTGCGGAGAGAGAGAGGGCGAGCCAGGTAGACTGATGCGAGCGCGCTGGGTAAGGGGAGAAGGGTACACGACAAGCGGGGCGTTGACATGGAGCCGCTGCTTTGTGCAAGTGTACAACTCCGAGAGCGTGCGGATTGCCGTACAGTTTGCGGCACAAAGCCAGGTGTGCCATTCACCCCCCTCCTCCCCCCCCCCGCACGGTCAGTTAGTTGTTTCCTCTTCTCTTCCCCCCCCACATTTTGGAATTTCTCCCCCCCCCACCTGCAGGGCTTGCAGTGCCACCAGGTCGCTGTAGGCCGGGTCGTCGGGGTCCTCGGGGCCCTGGTAAAGGGCAGGGGGGGGGAGGAGGAGGGAGGGGGAGGGAGGGGGAGGGGTCAAAGACATAGGACCAAAACAGAGGAAACCACAGGTAAAGCAATGGAAGTACCCTGTATCCCCGTGAGTCCCCTACCTTCCCCGTTAGTCCCCTTCCCACTCCTCACCCAATACGCAGGCTGAGCGGCGCCTGCTGATGTGGGTCGGGCGGGGGGAGCGGAGGTGGGGCGCGGGGTGGTGCGGCTCCAATCGGGGGTGCGAGCGAGCGGGGGGTGGCCTGCAGGGAGGGGGGAGGGGAGGTCAAGAGGAAACAACTAACTGACTGAGGGATAAGGCGTCAACATGGAGGGGAGGGGAGCGGGAGGAGGAGGACAGCAGGAGGAGGGAAAGGGGAATTGCAACTGGGGGGCCTGAGAGGGGGAACCAGAGGACCGGAGGATGCGAGCGCCAGACCGAAAAGGTGATAAGAGAGCATCCAATGGAAGGTGGAGGCTGGAGGCGGGCGGGTGGTGGGGTGAGTAAGCATGTGTGTGTTTGCTCAGATGTGTAACCCCCCCCCCCCACACACACACACACAACACAACACACAACACACAACACACAACACACAACACACAACACACGGCCAGTTCCTACTCGCGGCCAGTTTTCTTAACACACAACACAACACACCAAGCCGTGCAAACACACATAAGGGGACTTCACCTTCCGGCAATCACAGTAGTACGTTTCGCCTCGCGGCCAGTTTTTCTCAACACACGCACGCACCTGCCGTGACGTGTTGTCCGGTGTAGGTCGCGGGCACGGCCTTCGGGTTGTATGCCCCTGGCCCCAGCGCGGGTCCGGTACCGCCCGCGGGAGCCGCCTGGCGCATGGCGCTCTGGGGAATCTCGGCGGGGATGTGGAAGGCGGAGGAGGGGCGCTTGGGGGTCTTGTAGGTCAGCCTGGAGGGGGAGGGGAGCCGTAAGAGCGGGGGAGGGGAGCTTCAGAGGAATCCTGGAGACTGCTGCAACAGAGGGTGCGCTAGGGGGAAAGTTACTCAAGGGGAGTCGGAAGTGCCCTTTACGAATTGGTACCGAGGCCTAAGTCCCAAAAAACATTTGGTACCGGTATTCTTTCTAAAGTTTAAACCCGTCACCCGATTGCTGTACTGGGTACTGGCGGGTTTAGAGGGACTGTACTGCACTACTGTTTAATCCCCCTCCCCGCTTATGACGAATATGTATCCCTACTGATCCCCACTTACTTGTCATAGCCGTCCCAGTAGTACTCCCCAAACAGGGGCCCAGCCTCCGTCATGCCCGATCGCGGCTTGCGGGGCGCCACAAGGAAGGCGCTGCTGCCGGGAGGCTTCTCATGCTTGGGAGGGTGTACTCGGTGGGCCCCCGCGAACATCTCCGCATGCCGTTGTTGCCGTTGGGCCTTCCCGTCTAACGGCAGTCCATGCTGAATACCGTTGGCGTTTCCGTTGGGATGGGGTTGGTGACTGCTGATGCTGCGGCTACGGCTCGGCGAGTCGTGATGGTGTTGGGACTGACCCATGGGTCCTTCGTCTGACGCCCGATGATGGTGATGACCGGAGACGTTGCCTACAATGGAGCCCGATGTGGGTCGCGTGATGGAAGCTGAACGGCCGCCGGCCGGTGCCGAGCCGGGCCGTCTGAGGTTGATGCTGCCGGAACCGCCAACCGCCGCCGCTCCGTCAGATCCCATCGACGGCCGTTTGCCCCAACTAACCACGTGGGGTACCTTCCCAGTGACGTTGTACTGCGGAGTGTACCGTCCGGGGGCTGGTACGTCGACCGGACCGCAGTACACGAAATAACCCGCACGTTGTGCTTGATCACGTGATGTCGTACTGAATGACGCCGAAGGCGGACGTGGCGGCCGATGCCCGTGTCCCGACATCGGTCGCGACGGGTGATCCGACGTTCCGGCTTCTGCACTCACCATCGCGGCGGCCGCGGCGGCGGCGACACCCGACGCCATTCGCGCGGCTTTGGAGGCAGCGGCTGCAGTGGCTGCAGCCGACGCGGGTCGAATGTGCTGATTTATGCCGTACTTCTTCGCAATGTGCGGCGAAATGTACTTCATGGTAACCGCCGACGAAGCTTGCTGTTGGTACTCGGCGTCGAGTGCGGGTTGTTTGACGAGCGACCCCGCCGCCGCAATGACGACCGCCATGCTTGGTGACGGCGGCGGCGGCGCTCGGTCGCCAGAGTCAATGGACGGTGCGCGAGAGACGGCAGCGACGGAACCCGCCGCAGAGACGACAGCAACGGAGGCCGCGCCGCCGCCATCCGCCGAGACACTGCATTGGGGTTGGGGTGGGAATAAGTATAAGGAAACTGACGAGGGGGGTGGGGGGATCGACATCCTAACTAAAGCCCAGCTGTCTACTACCGGTAGCAGCCATTAGGACCCATGTCGCGGGGCGATTCGCACCTGCAACACGATGACGCGTTAGGGTACCCCAAGCCCGTAACCCAGCCCTATGACTGACGCACTAGCGGCCGTGTGGCCTGGAACCCTGCTGTTGGTGTACAGCTTGCAACACGTTGCGCACGACCCATGCACCCGGTGTTTCTTCCTGGTTGCGTTCCCACGATGCAATTTTCCTGGCTCTATAATCCCCAGCTCCTAACAACGCACCTGCTTTGAATTGAACGGCTGCGTTCGTGTTGCTCTTGACGGACTGCAGCGTTCCCAAGGCTGCCCGGCCCAACAAACTTGTCGTACATGAGGCCCATTTCGGTATCGTTGATGCCCCGCCCGATAGGGCGCTTTGACCGTACCGAGAAGAGGGTGCTGGTGCTGTGGGGGGGGGAGTAGTTGCGGTGCAGCAGGGGCGTTGATAGGGGTTAGGCCGACCGGGGGTTGGGGACTGTGGGGTTACTAAGCGCTATAGGAACATGGCTTGGCAACGTGCTTAATGCACAAAAAGAATAGATATTCCACCTTAGAGTTTCCATCTTGCGCACTCCCGCTCATGAAATGACTTGCCTGATACCCCGCTTGGAGACGCAATGCACAGGCACCAGCGCCTCGCGATCGATTTTCATGCATGACGTCTGTGTAATGAAATCGATGGGCAGTAAGTAAGTAAGGCCGTGTATCGCGATTGCGGTAGAAAATAAACTGCCTACCCTGGCTTTTAACGCTTCCTCTAGCTCCGCGCTAGTAACATAAACATCGACTGCTTGCGCCATATTTAAGGGTAATATATACTAGATATAGGCTCGGCAGCCAGCTTGTAAAAAGTTAGACTATGTCCATCGAAGTGTGCAACCTATCGATTTGCAGTAGAGCGTCGTGAGCAATATGGGTGGTGTCTATAACGATGCTTGCTTTTGGCACATATTCATTTCTTTATGTTGCTCATCACCGACAGTCGAAGGTAGACAATACGGGAGGCGGTTTTTCTGCAGTCGCCAGTCGGCAACATTTTTAGGTGCGCACAGGTACATTCACCAATGCATAAAACAAGAGGTATTACATATATATCCGTCTGAGTTTACTGTCCTGCGGGTTCCACACCTAAATGTTGCCAACCGCAACCTGCAGGCACCGAGGGAAAGCTAGACAGCCGCAACAACGCAAGGGAGCAATCCCTAACCTTATGCGACATAACGTATAGTCCCTGTCGTCTCCCAAAGGCGTGGTCCAAGGGTCTGAAGCCATCCATCCCGACAGACATGCTTTCCGACCGGTTGTTTAATGACAGCTGCAAACACAGATATGTATCAAGGCAATGCGAAGTGAACACTATATGTGAGTAGACGAATGGTTAGGTCCTTTAGTTGGGTTGCAGGGAGACGCCCAAACGTTATGTCGCATGGCCAACAGGATGACTGCCCATGCGGCCTGGTCACTGCGTGCCTGGTTTGCAAAGTTTGCCCATGGTCACGTATGCACGTATTTTTAAGTAAGCATGTGCGGTCACGGTAAGGACTGCCATGTCAGTACTTCCGAAGCATGGACAGGCCAGACATGTTGCCGCCATGTCCCGCAATTCAGCAAGCGACACCTGCAGCTTCCCAACACAGGCCTTTGGCAAGTCCCATCCAGATATGCCTCGCCCACCACCGCCGCAAACACATTACCAACAGAATCCCATTCATGGCCAGTCACCGAGTCACGCCATTTCAGTCCACCGACCGCCAGGCCCCACAAAAATGTACAGCCGGCATACCGGTAGCTTCCGCAGCCTCTTTAAACCCCTACAGCCCCTCCTCGGATCACCACTACCGGTATCGACACTAACTTGGCCTTCTTCTTCCCCCTCTTACCCTCCCCTCCCCTCACCGCCTCCTCCCCCCCCCACTTAGCCAAACCGGATCAGCCCTTCTCCTCCTGCCCTCCCCCAGCTGAATATGTATCCCTATTTATCGTTCTATCCCCTAGCTGAAGCTGAACAGCCGCAGTGCCAGCATGGTATCCGCCAGCGTCGCCGTGAAGAGCGGTGAGGTGGTGCGCACCAGGTCCAGGCTGGAGGGCAGCGCGGACAGGCGCAGTGTGAGGGGCGACTCGGAGGCGCCGGGCACTGCGAACTGGCCGCGGAGCAGCGTGAGCACGCTGGCGTGGACCTGGGGGAGGAGGGAGGAGGGAGGGAGGGAGGAGGGAGGAGGGAGGGAGGGGGTCGCGGCTGGAGGTTAGGGCTGGTACAGGGATAAAGACATGACCCATAGGGGTTCAGGGTCCTGAGGTGTACGAGCCGCACTTCCTCGGCGTTGTGTGTTCGCGTTTCGTACCGTGTACGCATGCAGGTGTTTTGCGTTACGAGGTGCGCTCACATGTTGCATCCCTCCCTCTCCCCTAACCCTCCCCTGAGCCTCTCTCCGTGCCTCCTTCCCTCCCTCGGCCCTCCCCCCCTCACCTCCCCGAATATGCTGACCCCGCACTCCCGCACCGCCTCCACGCTGTCCACCCCCGGCAGCCGCGGGAAGTCCTCGCGCCGGTCCAGCGCGTCGCAGAAGGCAACACCCTTAGTGCCCTGCAGCGCAGTGTAGCACATGGGGGAAAGGGGGGTCAAAGACCATACCGAACCATAGGAAGCCACAGGTTGGGGCAAGACAATGGGGATAGGAGCGGAAGGGTCAAGGGGGAAGGGGGGGGCGGGGAGGGGGTCAGGGAAATACAGTACCGACAGGTACACGTGAGGGCATGGAGGGAGGGGATCAGAGAAACGCCAACAGCCACAAGTGAGGACACCCTCCCAAGGTGGGGCATGGGGGATGGAGGGTGAGGTAAACGGAGCCGCGGTGCATGCTGCTCGCCACCATGACCGTGGCCACATGCTGGGACAGGCAAAGGAAGACACAGGATAAAGTGTAGATCCAGACAACTCCCTGGGCCAACAAGCGAATTGAAAAGAGGGGGGGGGGGAGCCAGGACCAGCAGACCAGCAGACCTTACTGGACCCTAACCCGGCGCGCATCGCACCTGCATGCTCCCCGCCCACCCTTGCTCCCCCCTTGCGTCTCCCACCCGCATGCTTACTCACCCTCCGCACCGCCCTCCCCCCTCGTGGCACCGCCCCCCCTCCTGGCACCTCCCCCCTTGCACCGCCCAGCCGGCCCCCTGCCTGCCCCCCGGTACTCTCACCCTCCGCACCACCACCAGCACCCGCCGATCCCCGTCCTCCTTCTCCTTGTCGAAGATGCGCGCCACGTGGTGCGGCTGCGTGCGGCCGCCCTCCTCCCAGTCAACCACCTCGGATATGCGGGCCAGCGCCTCACCCGGGTCGGCGGTCTGGTTCCAGCGTGAGGAGGCCAGCAGGAACACACCACTGCAGGGGGGAGGGGGCGGGGAGGTGCGGGGGTAAGGAGGAAACACCTAACTGAGAGTATGGTAAGGCGTCATCATGGTTTGCAGCAACATGCGAGCCAGCCCGACCCGCCCAGCCCGAGTTAGCCAAGCCAGGGAGAGAGCACGTATGGGTGGAAAGTGCGGTAAGGGAGGGAGCGTATAGGAGGGAGTATGGAGACGAAGGGCGTATGGGAGGGCACGTAAAGGGCACTTGAAGGAGAGAAGGTTAGCAGACACCCGCGTCGCGCCCCACCACTCCTACACACACACACAAACCCTCAACCCCTCCCCTCTCGTTCTCCATGTAGCAACCCATAGTGAAGCCTCGTCACACGGCTGGTCAAATTCTCCTTTTCTACCCCGTCTCCCCCTCCCCTTCCCCGCCCTGCCTCACCCCAGCAGCGCCAGGTCCTTGCACATGGCCGCCTCCGTGCCCCGCTCCTTGGCCACCACCCCCGCCACCTCGGCGTCCCGGTCCTCGGGCAGCAGGTGCACGCCGCGGTCGGATAGGGCCTTGGGGGGGGGGAGAGGGAGGTGGGGGGGGGGGCAGGGGGAGGGGGGGGGAGGAAAAATAAATGAAACTTGAAGCAACGGAGTCCCAATTCCATATCCAGGCTCATGGAGTAGGGAGAAGACTCATGGGGGAAAGAGGGGTGAGGAGGTAAGGTAAGGGCCGTGCTAATCGAAGAAGAAGAGAGGGGGGATTGGGGGCTGGGGGACGACCATGGGCACTCGCCCCATGCAGCCTGCCATGTGACCTGCCCCCAACATCCCCCACACACATCCGCCGGACCTCCTACTACCACCACCACCCCCAATCTCTCGGTAGCCCTATACCTGCCTATATCGTATATCCTAAACCCTCCCACCCTCCTCCCTCCCAACCCCTCCCAACTTATCCCGGCTCCTTATTTTTTCCCTCCCTGCCCCCCTGCCACCCGCATCTCCCCCACCCCCCACCTGCAGCAGGTCCAGCGGCTGCATGGCCACCCCCAGCAGCGACTGCAGCTGCGGCCAGGGGGGCGAGGTGAGGGTGGCGCTGCTGGTGCCCACCTGCATGCATGCGGGGGGGGAGAGGGGTCAAGAGTAGACCAAACCATAGGGGACAACGAGAATTAAGGACAGAGTAATTGGGGCATGAGACGTAACGGGGACTTCACCTTCCATCACAACATTGCTCCTACTCGCGGCCAGTTTTCTTAACACACCCCTACCCCCTTAGCTCACCACACCCCTACCCCCTCCCACCCACCTCAATTATGATGGGCGCGTCCAGGCCGCAGTTGAGGGTGATGGCCGCGGAGGCACCGTTACGACCCCCCGTGGGCCGTATGTTCCACGACTTGTACGGCAGCAGTCGAGTACGGGACATGACGAGTGCTAGGGGCGCCAGGTGGGTGGTGTGGAAGGAGAAGTGGTTGGTGGCGGAGTCGTAGGAGACGTTGCTGAAGGGTGGTGGTGGTGGTGGGGTGGGGTTTGGGGGGGGGGTACGGAAGGGGAAGGGGAGGGGGTTGGCGTCGGTTGGTGAGGAGGGTTACTCGTGCTATGGAGCGGGCATGCAGCAGCAGCAGCAGCAGCGGCAGCAGCACCATTTAACTTTCCCCCTCACCTGACTCCGTCCGTGTTCCACATCTGGTGCGCCTCGTCCCACCAGGCCACTTGCAGCGGGTCCTGGGGGTAGCAATGGGTGCGTGGGAGAAAGAGGGGTGATCAGAGAGGGGTGATCAGAGAGGGGTGATCAGAGAGGGGTGATCAGAGAGGGGTGATCAGAGAGGGGTGATCAGAGAGGGGTGATCAGAGAGGGGTGATCAGAGAGGGGTGATCAGAGAGGGGTGATCAGAGAGGGGTGATCAGAGAGGGGTGATCAGAGAGGGGTGATCAGAGAGGGGTGATCAGAGAGGGGTGTTACACGAGGAGGGTTAGGACTGGGTGTAGGGGAAGAGGGGCACTACGGCTGCAAGGCAGTAAGAAGGGAGAGGAGGATAGGAGGAAGCGGGTAGAGGCGACCCCATGCGGAAGCCACAGGAAATTGGCATGGAAATTGGTCCGCGAAGCACCCCGCGACCCACGGGTCATCCTGCCTCTCCCTCGCCCCCATACACCCCACCAGCCCTCCCCCTCCCACCTGCAGCAGCACTATCTCGGGCGGCAGGGGCGCAGTGACCCCCAGCGGCGGCGGCTCCTCCTCGCTTTGCCAGGTGAGTGGGTCGGCACCGGCGGGCGGGATGGGGTAGGGTACCCGCTGCACGTTGGAGGCGAGGGGGGTCACCTGGCGCAGCGTCCAGCCGCGAACCTAGGAGAGGGGGGGGGGTCAGAGATATACCGGTACCAGAGATTTAGGGCAGAACAAGTTAAGGCAAAGCAACGGGGATAGGGTGAAGCACTTTGCCATAAGACAACAAAGTTGTTGGCGCGAACGGGGGTGGGAGGCGGGGACGGGGTGGGAGGCGAGCAAGAGGATGAAGAGGAGGAGAGGCGGGCGGGTAGGATTTGATGAGAGGTTCATGTCCATGCAACGGAGGAGGTGAGCAGGAGGATGAAGAGGAGGAGGGCTATAGATCGGACCCTAACCTGTGATTTCCTGTGGTCTGGTGCGGTCTTTGACTGCCCCCCTCACCTTTGGGGATTCGCCTTTTTTCCCCCTCACCTCCCCGCGTCAGTTTACTTATTATTACCCCCCTCCCCCCCCCCCCCCTCTTCATCCCTAAAATCCCTAGTTCGGATTACGTCTCCAAATTAACCCCCCTCTTCATCCCTCTTCATCCCCCCCCTCACCTTCTTGGCCCCCGGCGGCAGCGCCAGTAGGTCCACCACCAGCACCCCGCCCACCGCCATCCACTTGTTGGAGGCGCGGAGGAAGAACTCGTCGGAGGCGGGGCCGGAGCGAGCCTGCACGCGCAGAGCCACGTTGGCCAGCGCGATCTGCTTTGGGATGTCCAGCGTGACACCCAGCTGGGGCATCTCCACAACCTGGGGGGGAAGGAGGGAGGGAGGAAAATTATAAATTGCAACAACACACTCCCAATCTCGAATCCCGACTCATGCAGTGAGCGCATTCGGAGACACTATTCTAGAAACACGCAACTGAGGGAGGGGGAGAGGGGGGGAGGGGGAAATTATAGGAGGTGGATAATCCGCGCAAGCTGGCAGCGAGGATTGCATACGGCATGGTCATACTTGTTGGGTTAGCGGAATAAGCGGAGTGCAAGCCGGATCAGAGCTCCATCTGCTGGCGGCTGTGCTGCTATCGAGGAATGAAACTAGGCAGCCCCGCCACAAGCACATGGCCACTGTCAGTTTTCCGGCCAGTTGATGTAACACACGTGCCGCCCCCCGCACTGCCCAAAGGCCCGCGCCCCCGCACGCACCTTGAGTCGCGGGTTCTTGGCAGTGTTGACCCAGATGCCCCACTTGAAGCTGCCCGCCACGTGGCCCAGCTGGATCTCGTTCTTCTCATTCGCGTACTCGTCACCGTGCTGTGAATGCACAGGGGGGGAGGGGAAGAAGAATATCCAATTTGGGGGGAGGGGGAGGGGGCAGGACTAGAGGGTGAGGTGGGTGGTGAGTGTGGTCGGGGTTGGTAACCACCTGTCAACCACTCGTCAGGATGTGCACCCCCTGCCTCCTCCAGCCTCACACCCAGCCACCCTAGTCCCCCCTCTCTCCCTCTCCCTCTTACCCTCCCCGTTCCCCCATTCACCCCCCCGGTCCTCCCTCCCGCCCCCATGTCCTCCTCACATGCAGCACCACCGCGGTGAGCCGGTCGATGCGGCTGTTGATGATGCCATGCAGACCCCGCAGGTCGCCCTCCAGCGCCGCCGCGCGCTCCCCCGCCGCCCGACCCGCAGCCGCCACCACCGCATCCTCCCCGCCGCTGCAGCCGCCCCCGCTGGCCGCCAGCCCCTCCGCATGCCGCGCCACCAGCAGCGCCTGACGTGCCTCCAGCAACATGGTGCGACACTCCTGAAGGGTAGCGGCACCGGTAACGGAAAGATGGGGGGGGTGGAAGGCGGGTAAGGTAAGGGAGGGCTATCCCTCTTCATCCTTCTCCTCTCGCTGCAGCCCCCCGCCCCCACTCGCTCCCCTCCTTTTAACCCCACCTCGCACGCCACGAACGCCTCCCCCAGGTCCCTGCTGTCCGCCTCCTTGGCCGCCTCCGCCATGCGGCTGAGGAACTCCGCCACCGCCACTCGCTGTCCGGGCGCCGGCACCTGCACGCAGCGCAGGAAGCGCTCCCATTCGGAGGCCTCGGAGGCGGCGGTGCGGGAGCGCACCCGCTCGTGCTCAAACTGCCGCAGCAGCGGGTCGATGTCGGCACTGGGAGGGGTCGAAGACGAGGGGGAGGAGGGGTGGAGAGGATTAAGGAGGCGTGAAGTGGGGGAAGACGGAAGGGTCCTCCCGTGTCGCTCCTGCTGGACCCTATCACACCCCCACCTCTACCATGCCCCCTAGCTGCACTTCGGTTCGTTGTAGGTCGCATCGACGCCCCACCATCCCATGAGGGTCCCGTGGCTCCTGGGCCTTAGGGTTTGAGCATAGGGAACGGGCATAGGTTTCATCTCCCTTGCCAGCCCCCACACTGCCAAGCCCCCCCCCTCAGGCCTCCTCAGCCCCCACCCTCATTTGCATCGTCAGTGTCTCATTATATTTTTTACCCTCTCAGGCCCCATGCCAAGCCTCCAGCCCCCAGCCACTCACTGCTCGATGTCTAGCCGTGCCTTCTCCGCCTCAAGGAACTGGCCCAGCAGCTCCAGCCGCTGCCGCTCCAACTCAGCCAAACGCTGCCGCTCCGCCTCCTCAGCACGCAGCCGCTCTGGTGGAGGCAGGAAGGGCGAGAGAGGAAGGGAGGAAGTGTTGTACACCAGTGATGTACACCATGGGGAAACGTGATGTTGGAAAGGAGGGCTGTTAGGGCATGTCTCTTGTACAAGTTTATAGTTGCCTGAACGCGTGCTCAAGGAGGAAAATTCCGGGGGAAAAGCCCGTTTGGGAAGATGGCTTTAAAGCTCACAGTTCTGTAGATGACCACTTTGTGCAAGTGGTTTGCAATGCCCAGTAGCCTTGCAGAGTACATCAAGCTTTCAACACACTTGTGCGTGCAAGGCCATGGATACGGACACACAGCTGCTTTAGAACATACTTCACAAGCTTGGGGCAACACATGCACGGTCGCTGACCTTCTTCTGCAAGCCGTGCCGCTTCCTCCGCTAGTCGCCGCTCTTCCTCTAACTCCTCCTTTGACTTCTTCTTCTTCTTTGTTGTCTTCTTGGGTGCCATTCTGTCCCGCGCGGCCTTCGGCCTCTAAGTCGTAAATATATTTATTGTACACGTCTATGCTAGTTCTAACCAAGTTACGCACGATATGCCTATATACAAATAATTGCAAAATCCACGAAGTATCCTTTTAAAGAGGTTTGCAACCTTTTCGTGACACAAAGCACCAGCTCCGGTGATGGAGGGAAATCTGAGAAACTTTAAAGTCTCTCCGCAAGCGTCAAGAACATTCAACCAGCGTTGGCCACTGGGAGCGACTGTGTTCGCTCGCTCCGGAACCCTCTGCCAACCGATGGTAACTTTTCTCGGCAGTTGCTGGCAGTAAAGCCAGGGGTAATTTCACGAGTACAATCAGCGTCATTGTTTCTTCCATACTCTGCAGTTAAGTTGCTCCAGTGTCGAACTCGAGGCAGGCCAACCTTCAGGGAGGCCATTATTTATAGCCTCGTCGAGGCAGCGCCAGCTGCAGGATGACGGATGCGTATGAAGATGTATTATTACCACCGAACGTAGCGAAGGGACAGGAGGGCAGGCAGGAAGATGGCAACGTTGTAGCTGCTTCTGCGTGCGAACCAGCGATTGATACAGTAGGCGAGCCCAAGGCGTTGGAGACTCAGCTTAGCGCTGCCGAGCAGCGTAGGCAGGTGAGTCTGAAGTCCTGCTGCATGGAGCTTGGCTGCTGTTGCGAGGGGTTGCACATACATCAAGTAACTGGGATGCGAAGCGTTAGATATGGCATCCTGCTATGTACAGCCGAAATGAACATATAACGCTATGTAACTGTTTGTGCAAGCTTGTCCTGAGCAGCTAAAGCCCTAACGGCATGTCGCGTCATGTGCGCTAGTACCATATGTGTTACACTCTTGCTACGTCGTTGTTCTCAGGAAGGATAAACGTTTCCGGCTACCGCCTCCCTTGACAGGAATTTGGCTCTTGGCTGCGCCATCGCACGGGCGGAGGACGTATGACAGTCCGTGACTCGCACTCCGCCAATCCTGGCGGTGCCTCGCCGCCTAACGCCGGTGCTAGAGCTGTGGTGGTCTGCACCAGCGTTACCGAGCCAACCGCCGCAGGCGCAGACATTCCATCTGCATCGACCATTGACCAGTCCGAGGCCGCCGCAACTGAGGATGCTGTCGCAGCAGCCTCCGCGAAGCTAGAGGGCCTGCGCCGCTCCATCAGCAGTCGCCGCTTGCAACGCGGCTGGCGGGCATTCGTACAATCTAAACGTACGACAAAGGCGCTAGCGGAAGCGTTTGTCGCACAAGGTGTCACTAATGTACGACAGGCGGCGTCACCACCTCCGTCACCTCCATCAGCGGCGGCCGCTGGGGCTTCTAAAGGCATTGCCGTACCGCAGCCGCGGTCGCGATTGGGATCCAACTGCAACGGCAACAGCGGAGGCGGAGCTGTACCGATTTTGATCGGCCTTGGTAGCCCTCGTAGACCGTCGTCCTTATCGCCTGGCGGCAGAAGTGGTGGTGGTGGGCATTGCGCTTATGAGGAGGAGGAGGAGGCGGGTGGTGACGGCTTTGACCGCTTCGCTGCGGCTCTTCGGTCGCCTGCTACCCTGAAAGCCGCTCAGGTACGACAAGGGGTACGACAAAGGGACGACGGGGAAGGAGGTGGGGGGGGGGTTAGTGCGAGAAGGGCTAGGGGAGCAGGGGGGCGTACGGGAACCCTGCCTCCTCTTTAATATCCACCGTCTGCCCCCTTCCTCCTGACAGGCGCTGATGCGACGTCTAGAGCAGCGTCTGGCTCTTCGCGAGTCCCGACCCACATCGCAAGACCAACCTCCATCTGGGTCATATGGGTCGCCTCCCTCACCGTCCCAACCGTCACCGCAGCCAACGGTCGCAACCGCCAGCGACGTGAGTCGGTTGCTGCGGCGGTTGCACCCCCGGGCTGCGAAAGACGCGCCCCTGGAGCGCTACCCGCCCCGAGTGCTGCTGTGCGCCTTCATGATTGTACGACACCCGGAGGTCGTGTTTTCGGGAGCAGGTGAGGAGCTCGGCATGTAGAGAGATCCAACTGGGTTTTGGTCGGATGGTTGGATTTGTACGGTAAGTTGAGCATCGGGCTGGTACTTCAAGCCTTTCTTCTGGTGGATGCAAACCCTCATTGCCCCCCAAACAGACTCTGATGCGGTACAGCAGACCTGAAGCCTCGCCTGCAAACCCATGTTCCCATGCTAACCCAAACGCATATTACCATGCTAACCCAAACCCATGTTACCGGTAAACAACTCGCTCCGCTCCCTCCCTGTGCCCCTCCCGGCAGGTGAGCGCGAGGCGGCTCTGGCGACTGCCGCCTCCGACCTGGTTGTACGACTGGAGGCCCTGCTGTACAAGATCATAACCACAACTGCCACGTCGACAACTGCTGCTGACACACCCTCGGATGCCGTACAACAGCCGCAGCCACAACAGCAGCACCAGCAGCGCCAACATGCTGCTTCTGCGGGTGCTGCTGCTACTGGTACTGGCAGCGCCTCCTCCTCCTCCGTCCTGCAGCCCCCTCCATCGCCGCCTCCTTCGCTGCTGCTGCTATCCTGCGGTTCGCCTGTGGCTCGGGGAATGGAGGAACTCATGCGCAGGCGCCGGGCGGAGGCAACGGCGGCAGCGGCTGCTTCGACGGCAGCATCTGAAGTGGGGATGATGTCAGCATTGTACGGCCCCCATGATGGCCCCAATGGCAGCGGAGCACCTCCTCCATCGCCTTCTTCGACTCAGTACATGACCATTGGTGAGAGAAGCCCCTCCTTCCTGCCCTCCTTCCTGCCTCGCTAGCTTCTTTTACGTCTCTTCTGCCCACCGCACCTGTGCAGCTTGCGCTCACTATCGATACTCCAAACCCATCCTAGCTCCCCCGTCCCTCCTTTCCCTCCTGTCTTGTCGATCCCTGCCGGCTTTTTCATTTTTACCCTTTATGTTTACATATGTTTTCACTTGGTCTAATTTGACCCCCTCCCGCTCCAGGCTCCCTGCTGGTGTCCTTCGACGCCGCCTGGTGTCGCTACCTGGACCAGTTCGTGGCGTGGAAGGGGGCGGATGCGGCGGCGCTGGAGGTAGGGGGGCAGGGGCAGGGGATATGGGAAAGGGGCACCATCATCCTCTGCCTCTTCGTCTTGTCGGTCTTCCATCGGCGGGCTTGCTGGGGTTTCCCGTAACCCTCCTTCGTTTCCGTGCTGTGCGTCCCATTCCCTGCCCTTCCCCCTTCCTCTTTTTACCCTTCCTCCTTTCCTGCACCTCCCTTCCTTCCTCCCTGCCCCCCCCCCCCACAGTCCGAGTTGGTTCGCTGCGCGGTGGCGCTGGAGAGCTCCATGATGCGCAAGTGCCGGGGGGAGCCGGGGTCGGAGCGGGTGCGGGGCAGCAGCGACCTGCAGGTGGGGTTGGGGGGGTCAAAGACCGTACCAAACCATGTGAGACCACAGGTTAGGACAAAGCAGGTGGGGGGGGGGGTGAGGAGGTTGGGACTGGGATTATGTACGGTAATGGGTTACATAACGTGCGGTGTTTGGGGGTGCCTGTACAACAAGAACCCCCCTTGTCTCTACCCCTCTCGTTCTCCCTCCCCCATGCATCCGCTCCCCCCCTTCCCCCCCTCCCTCCTCCCTCCTCCCCCCCTCCCCTCTCCAGGCCGTCATCGCGCAGGTGTCTCACGACCAGCAGCTGCTGCGGGAGCGGGTGGCGGGGCTGGGCGGGGCGGCGGGGCTGGGGCGGCTGGAGGTGAGGGGGCGCGGTGAACTTGCAGTCTTGTCAGGGAGGGAGGGGCAGAGGGGCTGGAGGTGGAGCCAGCGGGGGCTCGAACCTGTCAACCAGGCCCAGGCCGCGAACGCAGGCTTGGTTGGAAAGAGCCTATCCACGTTCCCAACGCTCGTTATGACGTTGCTGTATGTTTAGACGTGAAGAGTTTGACGCATTGCTTCCTGCATGTGAGGTTGGGTGTTGTGAGTGTTGGTCGCATGGCGCGGAATCGGGGGCTTCCTCGGGCAAAACAGAAGTCTTGCGGTGTACAAGGAATCGTGCCACACCCCCTTCTTTGCGGCACCCCACCTCACAACATGCCGGTCACCGCCCTCACCGCGCATCCTCCCACCCTGCCCCTCCCTCCTCTCCCTCCTCTGCCCTCCTCTGCCCTCCTCTCCCTCCTCTCCCTCCTCTCCCTCCTCTCCCTCCTCTCCCTCCTCTGCCCTCCTCTGCCCTCCTCTGCCCTCCTCTCCCTCCTCTCCCTCCTCTGCCCTCCTCTGCCCTCCTCTGCCCTCCTCTGCCCTCCTCTCCCTCCTCTGCCCCCCCCCCCGCGCAGGCTGCACTGGAGGCCGCGCGACGTGCCGTGTTGGAGGAGATCGCTGCGGGAGGAGGGGGAGGTGGCAGCCGGAGGGAGAGCGGCACCGGCAGTGGCGGCAGCAGCAGGCGGACGAGTGCCACAGGGGGCGGTGGAGGCGGGGGCGGCGGAGGCAGCCGGAGGGAGAGCGGCAGCGGAGGCGGGCTGGGGCTGGAGAGCCCTCTGCTGCAATCCCCCACCAGGTGCGTGTGGGGAGGGCGTGTGTTAAGGAACTGGCTGCCTGCCCCAAACCCCATGAACCTGTGCTCTGTGCCCCCTCTTCGTCCCGGCTTCCGCTCCTCCCTGAGAAGCATGAAGCCCATCCCTGCACCACACTTCTCCTTGAACTCCCTACATTGCTGTTCCGCCACCTCACCTCCGCCACCTCCCCTCCGCCCACCCACCCACCCTCAGGCCCGGCCGGAGCAGCTTCCTGCGCCGCAGCGGCGACGGCAGCTACAGCCCTCCTGGCAGCTACAGCCCCCCTGGTATGAGGGGTAGCGGCAGCAGCAACCGCATCAGCAGCAGCAACCGCATCAGCAGCAGCGGCAGCAGCAGCAACAGCAGCGTCCTGGACACCCCTCCGACCACTCCGTCTCGTCCCGCAGTCAGCCCCACGACTGCTGCTGGTGCTGGCGGTGCTGTCACCGGTGGTGCTGCTGCCGGTGCTGCTGCCGCCGTGTCGCCTGCAGCAGCTGCTACCCCTGCCACACCTCAACACCAGCAGCAACAGCCGCCGGTGGTGCTGGATGCAGCGGTGTACGGCAACTCAGCTCTGGTGTACGACATGCTGCTGAGTGCGACCCAGGGGGAGACGTACAGGTGTGGGTTGGGGTGTGGGTGTGGGTGGGGGTGTTAGGGAGAGACTGGCCTGGGTGTATGTATCTGTACGCATGGAAAGTAAGCGAGCCGTGAGGTATCCGTGTGCATACGTATGTTAAGAGAACTGGCCGCGAGTTTGATAGTCCCCACAGAAACTCCACAAGTGTGTGAGCTGAACCCGCAGAGCTTCGGAACTGTTTCAGCCCCTGCCCCTGCCTGTCCCATATTCCTTTCTCCCCTCCTTCTCCTCCTCCTCCCCCTCCCCCTCCAGGTTGTCCGCAGCGGATGCGGAGGCGGCTTGGAGCCGAGCAGTGACAGCGGTGGAGCAGGTACGGTACATGGGGGCCTTGAACATGCAAGGAAGGAGGGGCGCTGGGATTGACATCATGAACGTCCCGTACAACGCTTAGGCACCTCGCTCTCCAACCTGCCACCTTCTCCCAACCCCTCCTCAACTACACACACGCAACGCACCCGTTTGCTCCTTGTCAGGACCTCTCGCGGTACGTTCCGTACGATGGTACTCGCTGCACCACCTCCTACCCCTCACCCCCCCCCACATGCAACCCCATCCCCCGGGCCCCATCAGGACCTCTCTGGTGTGGCGTTGCTGCCCCCCAGCCCCCTCCCGGACTCCCCCGAGCTGCAGTCGCTGGGGCAGGAGCAGCTCATACGGGAGCTGCGGAGCAGGTGGGAGGGGGGTGGCGGGGAGGGGGCGGGGAGGGGTGTCTAAGCGGGGAGGGTGGCGGGTGTGTTAAAATAACTGGCCGCGAGGCGAAACGTGTGTGTCTAGGAAGGCCGGGGTGGCGGGAGAGGGTCCGAGGGCAGAGCATGAGAGAGCGCGAGGGGGTCTGCGGGTTGGATTGTAGGCAGGCGGCTCGTCTGGGGTTTCGGAGCTAGGCAGAAATGCAGGAGCGCATGCCACTTGGTACGGTAGTACTACATTATACACATCAGCCCGTGTGCCTCCCAACCGCTGTCAAACACTCCACAGGACCGCTGCGATCGCTGAGTGCGCCTTCTGGGACAATGTCACCGCCGCCCTTGCCGCCGCACTGCGACCGCCGCACCAAAACGAAGCAACAGCGGCCAACGGCAGCGGAGATGTGGGGATGACCCATGGGTCGCTGACCCATGGGTCATCGGCACCAACAGCGAGCGCTACTCCTGCTGCTGAAGCGTCCGCCGGCAGTCGTCTGGCGGCTATGTTGGCCCCGCTGCTGAGCGGAGTGGCGGAGGAGGTGGCGGGGCTGGTGGGCGGCGGGCAGCAGGTGGGGGGAAGGGTGAGGAGGCGGTAAGGGAGGAGGGTGGGGGCAGACTCACGTGAGGGATGAACATGCTGTTCACTCCCTCTGTCTCTCACCCTCTCTCCCTTTGCTTCCCCTCCTCTCGCCAGCAGGCTGCCGCCCTCCGATCGGAGTTCTCGGAAGCTGCTCTGAGAGCCCACATGGTGCCTCCGTCGGCGCCATCGCCGTCACTGCCGCCAGCAACGCCAACCGCCGCCGCCGCCGCAGTCAGCGCCGCCGTCGCTGACACCGTACGACGAGCCCTGAGCATCCTAGAGCGGCTAGCGGCGGTGGTGGTGGCGGCGGGGGCGCCGGCGCGGGAGGCGGCGGCACTGGCGGCGCATGCTGCCGTACGACAACAGCTTGTTGCCGCCGTCACGACGGCAGCGGAGGCGGAGGCGTTGACGGAGGCGGCGGCGCCGCCAGCGCTAGCTGTCGCCTTGGCTCGCGCTGCTCGGTTGCTGACGGCTCAAGTGAAGCTCATGCGTGTGGATGCAGCGAATGGACGGCTGCAGGTACGGCAGCGGCGCTTCACACCTGTCGCACATATGTCCGTTGCCGTGGCAGTTGCCAAAACCGCTAGCTACCGTTATTACCACAACTTAACCACCGCTCAACCACCCCGCACTCTCCCATACACCCTTGTCATGGCCCTACCCGCGGCTAGGCGTGTGACTGCCCCCTCCCACGGCCCTGTATCCTGCTCCCCATGTCCTCTCATCCTCTTTCTTCTTCTCCCACTCCTATTTTCCTAACCATCTGACCCTGCACACCCTGCCTACCCGCACAGGCCCTCGCAGCCAGCCTGCCCGGGGACACCGCAGTGGCCTACCTGAGGTCCAAATTCGCAACGCTATTCGGCCTGGAAGAGGCTGCTGGTCCTGCCGCTACTGCTACTGCTACTGCTCCTGCAGCCGCTCCTCCACCTGCTTTCCCGGGGGCCCATTGTACGGCAGCTGCTGGAGGAGCCGGCGACGACGCAGCTGCCGCCGTACAATCTCCCCAGATCTCCTCGCCGCCGCCGCTGATGTCATCAGCGCCGCCGCCGCTGATGTCATCAGCGCCGCCGCCGCCATCGGTTTCACCACCGCCGCCTCCACCGCTGCGAGCGCTGCTTCCACGCACGTTCGCCTGGCTCCTACGCAGTCGCGACGCTGCTGCCTCGCAGTGCGCCTACATGCGAGGTCTGGGAATAGACGTCGCGGCGACAGTAGCGGAGGTGGCGGCAGCAGCCGCCGCCGCTGGCAGCGCCATTCCCGCGACGCTTCGATCCGGTCTTCGAGCCCCGGCGGGAAGCAGCGGCACCGCCGCCTCCGCGGCGGCGGCGACGTCGGCGCAAGCGGCAAGGATTCCAGCCGTACCGCCGCCGGTGCTGCCAGTAGGGCCCGACGGCGCCGTTGGCGCCCTTGGCGGCGGCGGTGACGCTTCATCTTCCTCAAGCTCCTCTTGGCGTTGGCTTGTACGGAACGGCTTGGTGGCGCTGGTGACGGGTGTCGTACCTGCGGCGGGTCCGGATCTTGCTGAGACGTGGGTGTGGGGCGGCGAGCGGCTGCATGGGGTGCAGAACCTGTTCCAGCAGCTGGTGGTGGCTACTGCAGGTGGGTGGAGGGGATGAAGGGCGAGGGTTGGGAGAGGGCGAGGGGATCGGCTTTGCGCGGTCAGCGACATGAAAGTAGCAGCGCTGTCTCTCCTCCTCAGTATATGAATATTCGCGCCTGGATGGGTGGGTACTGGGTAGGACAGGGTCAGGATACGCCGCCACCCTGCCTGTCGTCGAGGACTGCGGATTTCCTCTTCTCAATTGCGTCTCAGTTACGTCTCTCAAATTTGTTTCTTTCAGTTACAGCCTCTCAATGGCACCATTCCTTAACGTCCCTACCTACCTACAGGTCTGCTCCTGGTGACCCAGTTCCGTTCCACAGCAGCCCCTTCGCCCGCCTCCTCCTCCACCTCATCATCCTCCTCGCTTCATCCCTGGACTCCCGCCGCTCGCTCCGCCGCTGCCCGGCGGCTGCTGGTGCTGCTGGCCGACCCACGGGTCAGGCTGCCGCATCTCGCCACTGAGCTGGCGCGGCTGGCGGGGGTGGCGGGGGAGGAGGCGGCGGAGGGACGACTGAGGAGCGCGTTTTTGGTGGGTGGATGGCTTGGCTTGGCATGGAGGGATGGAACATACCGGTATGGAAGGCGAGGATGGCGTAAGCTAGAATGGAGAGATGGGCTCCGGTGGAAGGCTTCACATGGTCTGGCTTTCTCTCCGCTCCCTCGCACCAACCTAGGGTAGGGAATATGTATTCCTTCTGATAATCCCCCGAACCAACCTTCATCTCCCTCTCCGCACCCCCCCCCGCACAGTCCCTGGTGGACCCCGCCTCCCCCGGCTTCCGCTCCCTCACCTCCGCCCTCAGCGCTGCCCTGCTGCTGCACCTCACATGCGGACCGCCACATCCCACGAATCATGCAGCTGCTGACAACACTGCTTCGGGGGCTGCTTCTGGTGCTGCTGCTGGTGTGGCAGATTCCCGGGGCGGCGCTAGCGGTGGTGGTGCCGGCAGCAGTAGTAACAGCACCGCAACCCCAGCAGCCGCAGCGACCCATGGGTCAGCGGCGTCAGCTTCAGCAGCAGGTGGCGCTATTCAGTTGCTGCTGGGTCGGGTGGGAGCGGCGGGTCTGGCTGCTGATGTGGCAGCGCTGGGGGAGCAGTTGCTGGGGTTGGTTGCCGTACATGAGGCCGTACATGAGGGGGTGTACGGCAGGTTGGTTGGTGAGATGGGGCTGTACGGCGAGGGAGGGGAGGAGCAGGAGGAGGCGGTGTTAGGAGGGCAAGAGGAGGTGAAGGAGGTAGGACCGCAGGTGCAGGATGAGGAGGAGGAGAGCTTGCAGGAAGGCGACGAGATTTAGGTTTTGGAGGCAGCACTGGGGGACGGATGATGGCGGTTGGATAGGATTGACGCGGCGATGCATGTGTCCTCCAGATTGACTTTTTTCACATACGTGTTATGTGTACCTCGGGAGCTGTGTACGCCAAGTTATATGTTTCTGTACATTCTCCTTTACACTGGGTAGTTACAACTGTTGTGCGATGCCGTGTCCTAATCCATGTCTGGCCCTCTCCAGCACCAAGCGCACCCCTGATTGTGTACCTGTAGTTGACCGCAATGGAGCCGAGCTGCTGCACCCGTTGGTGGACGTCAAAAGGTTGACGGTTGTCAAGGTTATGTACGTATCCAGACCCCAATTGAATTGGGGTTCCTATGTGGTCATATGATGACCTACGAAAGGACGCAGAATACCGGTAGTGTACATAGCTGACAATCCGTAACGTCAACGTAGCAGCCGCCTTGCTGTGATTTAATATTACCGTTGAGTGCGGTACATGTCGAGTGGCAACCGTTGAGGGTACCGTAGGCCTGTAACAGCGGGCGCGCATGCCTGGCAACGCAACACCAGCCCCACATGACCAAAACCATGGCCCCAACAGTCCCCAACTTGGATAGCCCCATGCATCAGTGCGCAGCCCACTGCCGTACACACGTTCCTGTCAGCAAGCCGGGCTTCTCCCGCAATGACCGGGTAAAGCGGTAAACCTCCTCCACGCAACGGCATACCGGTATGTACATGGTTCCAGATCCCCACCTCCCACCTCACGGTGCTATCAGCGACCCTGCGACGCACACACTAGCTACATTGAGCCACTACTGCCTGCTATCTAGGTATGAATTAATTGCTCCATTTACGAATCACCCGACTAGCGCAGTGGTAAGCCGTGCCAGCGCAAGCCACCCCAATCCATCGCCTAGCATCAACATCAAGCCGCATTAAACAGCAACCCCTGTTTTAAGACTCAGCAGAACCGCTGGCAGTGCTAAACTAATCCTCCGCCTGGCCTCGCCTCGCCTCGCATTAGACCCGAACCATGCCTCCATTCCAAAAGTGTCGTCCTCTACAGTCGTAGTGTACGAAAGTCTTATACGACAGTGTTGTACGGCATGCGACACAAACAGCCGAGTGCCCCAACTGCTGCTGCTGCCGCCGCTTGGCGCCTTAATTAACGTGCCTCAAGGAGCGCCGCACACATGCATGCACGTAGGACGTGAGCCCCCCACGTCGGGCGGATACAGGTGAGCTGTGCACAGGGGGCGACCCATGCACGGGCACCTGCAGGGGAAAGGAAAGAGGAAGGGGCATGCACATATGGGTCCTGCGGCGGTAACGTAACCGGCATGCTGTTACGTACTTACGTTACGGCAGTGCAGAACGCAAAAGTGCACGTGGCTTGTTAAGGGCCACTTGCATCAAGTAACGTCGTCATCTCGTACGGCGGTGGTGGTGATGTACGGTTTCGGTTTGGATTGGATCTTCTTGGCCTGCTGTGGCCCAAGTAATGTATAGTCGGGATGTGCTGCATAGCGCATTCCTTTCCCCATCTGCAGCCTAACAACGGCATCTAGGGCCGCTATGAGGGTCGACTAAGGAACGTGTTTGCAGCATGCACGCACGCACGCACATACACCTTCATCCTCCGGCAATCACAGTACGTTCCGACTCGCCGCCACGTTTCTTAACACAAGCAATGGCACGCTGACTCGCCCGCATACCTGCACCATGCTGCGTAGCGGCGGTTACGCCTCTTCCAACGGCTCTTCCTTCACCCTGGAAGCTGTTGCAGCTGCCGCTGAGGGTCCCAAACCCTTCGTCGCACCTCCACCACCGCCACTTCCTCCCGCCGCCTCCATCTCCATCTCCTCCTCCTCCTCCTGCTCCTCCATGTCCTCATCCACCTCCAACACCTGCGGCTCAGGTGCCGTGAGATCCACCTCCTCCGCCGCCTCCTCCACACCCCCCTCCACCTCCTCCAACCGCTGCCTCGCCCGCTCCTCGCCGTACTCCGGCAGCAGCAGGCCGAGGGTCTTGTACGGCAGATCGGTGTTTTGGTTGCATGCGCGCGATTCGTACAGCCGCAGCACGCGCAGCACACGCAGCAGCCTCATCGCTGCGGGTGTCTCCGTGAACAGCAGCTGCGACGGCGGCATGATGCCGGATCTGACTGCTGCTGCTCCCTGCGATCCACGCCCCCGTCCACGACCGCGTCCACGACCACCGCCGTTTCCACTGTTACTCTGACCAACGGCCGCTGAAGCTCCTCCCGCCGTAGCCGTCGCTGCCGCAACAGCAGCAGGAGCAGCAGCAGCAGCCGCAGCCCTTGCCTCCGCCGCCACCTGCTTTCCAAGCGGCTCCAAATGCTTCCAAAGCCCATGTGCCTTGTACCCCTTCTCAGCCGCGATCTGCCACCTTCCCGCACGCACCGTAGTCCTCACCACGCCGCTGCGAGTCGAGCTGGCCATCTCACAGCTGGTGCGGTGCGGCTCCAGGTACTCCCGGTGCAGCTGCGCCAGCTGGGCTGCATGGAAGGGGCTGTGCTGGGTGTCGAAGATGTGCGTGTAGCGGGCTTCGGAGGCGGGCAGGGATGCTATGGCTGCCGCTGCTTCGGGGTCAGGTTTGATGAAGGTGGTGAGGCGGGAGGAATCGTTGCTGGCTACGGAGACCTCATGCGCAGGCGCTGCCAGAACAGGCCTTGCCCCCGCGGCCTCCGTTGCCAACATTGCCCCCGCTGCCGTCGCCGTCGTCCCTATTGTCGCTGCCGTACCACCTGTTGCCGACGGGGGGTCTGCAGCATCACCCCGCATAGCCGCCCCCCGGTCATGCGGCAATGTGACCGTGTTGCGTTCGATGTCGGCTGCATGCGCATCAGCAACAGCTGCCGTACAACGAGCCTTGAAGCTGGCCGCCACCGCCGACTCAAAAGCCCCAGCGGCGGCTGCCGCTTCTGCCGCTACTGCTGCGGGAGGAGCTCCCGCAACACAGCCGACCAGCTGCGGGCCCGGTTGCTGGACGTGTCCGCTTCCGTCAGCTCGGCCCACACCGGCTTCAGTGGTAGCGGCAGCAGCTGCAGCAGCGGCGGAAGCCGACAGAGGGGGCGCTGTACCCAGGACCCCAGGACCGACAACCGCCGCCGCTGTCCATGCATCCGCCTCTAGTTTGACGCGCACACCCGTCGTCGTCCTCGTCATTGTCCCGTGTGCCCGCAGGATGTCCGCAGCAGCAGCAGCAGCTGACACTGGGGCTGAAGGAGCAGGAGCAGTAGAGGTAGGCGGCGCATGAGCAACATCGCGGTTGAGATGACTGCCGCCGCCGCCGCCGTCGCCGCAGCTGACGTCATCGCCGCTGCCGTCGCCGCCACCTGTTCTCTCCCACTCTTGCATGTCTTCGCCCGACGGAGACCACCGCTGCTGCTCCTGCCGCTCCTCTGGTGGCTGCTGGTGGTGCCGCCCCCGCAGCTCCTCTGGTGGCTGCTGGTGGTGCCGCCCCCGCAGCTCCTCTGGTGGCTGCTGGTGGTGCCGCCCCCGCAGCTCCTCTGGTGGCTGCTGGTGGTGCCGCCCCCGCAGCTCCTCTGGTGGCTGCTGGTGGTGCCGCCCCCGCAGCTCCTCTGGTGGCTGCTGGTGGTGCCGCCCCCGCAGCTCCTCTGGTGGCTGCTGGTGGTGCCGCCCCCGCAGCTCCTCTGGTGGCTGCTGGTGGTGCCGCCCCCGCAGCTCCTCTGGTGGCTGCTGGTGGTGCCGCCCCCGCAGCTCCTCTGGTGGCTGCTGGTGGTGCCGCCCCCGCAGCTCCTCTGGTGGCTGCTGGTGGTGCCGCCCCCGCAGCTCCTCTGGTGGCCGCTGGTGGTGCCGCCCCCGCAGCTCCTCTGGTGGCTGCTGGTGGTGCCGCCCCCGCAGCTCCTCTGGTGGCCGCTGGTGGTGCCGCCCCCGCAGCTCCTCTGGTGGCTGCTGGTGGTGCCGCCCCCGCAGCTCCTCTGGTGGCTGCTGGTGGTGCCGCCCCCGCAGCTCCTCTGGTGGCTGCTGGTGGTGCCGCCCCCGCAGCTCCTCTGGTGGCCGCTGCTGCTGCTGGTGCTGCGGCCCGCTGCAGCTGCCCGGCTCCCAAACGCCGCCCAGCACGCCCAACGGCCCCACCCCCGTCTCCACCACCTCCGCCTTCACCCTCACCCCGCTCGTTGCTGCCGCCGCCACCGCTGCCACCGATACCCGGCACGTCGCAGCTGCAGCCGCCGCCTCAGTCCCCACTTCCGCCGCCGCCTCGCCATGTTGGGGCCCAGTGGGAGGTGCCGGCATGGAGAAACCCGGCAGATGCTCCTGCGCGTTGGACGACGGCGGCGGCAGCGGCGGCGGTGGCGGCCTTGACGGCGGCAGCTGCTGTTGGTGGCCCTGCGGAGCCGCATGCTGCTGTTGTTGCAATGGCGACAGTCGCGGTGAGAGGCGCAGCAGCGGCGACGATGACGGCGGCGGCGACTTGGGCCTTTGCTTCTGTTGTTGCTCCGGCGGTGAAAGTGGCTCTAGCTGCTGCTGCTGTGGCGGCGGCGGAGAGGACGGCATTGGTGACTGCTGCAGCGCCGCCGGTGCCCCTGGTGATTGCGACTTCTGCTGCTGCTTCCCCTGCTGTTGCTGCTCCTCCTGCTGCTGCTGATCCTCCTGCTGCTGCTGATCCCCCTGCTGCTGCTGCTGCTCCTCTTGCTTCTCCCGCTGCGGCTCCTCCTGCTGCTGCTGCTGCTGCTGCTGCAACTGCGGCTGCTTCACTTCCCGCCCCTTCGCCATTGCCACCGGCGTCGTCACCACCGGCGCCACCACCGGCTCACCAGCAGCCACCCGCACGCGGCGGTTCCCGGCCAGCTCAGGCATGCCTGCCGTACCTGCCGTACGGGCTGTACCCATCGTACTCGCCGTACAGGCCGTGCCGACCGTGCCCGCCGTACTAGTCGTATTCGCACATGCATGTTTCCCCAGCGGCGGCAGGGAGCGCTGGGGCGGCTGCAGGGGCAGCGGTGGCGGCGCTGCATCCCGCCTTGACACACCGTCGGGTTGCGTGGAGGCGGAATGAGGCGAGGACAGGACAGCTGCTGGCGACGGCTGCTGTGCGGCTGCCCGGGCCGCTGGTAGTGCTGATGCTGCTGCGGCGGCGGTGGTTGCGGCGGCGGCGGCGGTGGCGGCCAGCTTTGGGTCGGGGGGCAGACGTGATTGCGAGGCGGGAGCGGGAGATCGCGAGGGTGATGAAGATGAGGAACGGTGCGATGTACGGCGATGGTGCTTGCGGCGCCTGAGGGTCGACGGTGGGGCCGTGTCGTCTTGCGGCGACCGGCTGCGCTTCCTTCTACCGCCGGCGCCTGCACTACCTCCGTTGCCTCTGTTGCGATCCCGGCTGCTGCTCCGGCGGCGCGTCTTACGCCGTTTGGCGTCCTTCTCCTTGCCCTCCTTCTTGTCCTTCTTCTTATCTTCTTCCTTGTCCTTCGTTTCCTTCTTAACGTATTGCTGACGGCCAAGCAGCTCTCCCTCTTCCGCTGACTCCTTGTCTCTCGCCGTCACCCGCTCACGCCCATCGCCTCCGCCGCCGCGCTT